CGAAGAGTTGGCTGTTTAGAAGAGATAGAGGAGTTCATAAAAAAATGCAATACGTGTCTATTAGAGAAGATTAGATGATTGTTGGAGAATTGGGTTTATGGTAGTTTTTTTTTTTTTTTTTTTTTTTACTCTTTCTGACAAACTTTGGGCCGGAAAGTCCGAACCAAAAAAGGGTAACAACCAGCCAGGTAAACCAAAAAGGAGGCAAAATCAGCAATAGGGGTGAAACCAAACCGAAAAAGGTTTATCCAAAAACCCAGGCAGTGTTCATACGAAAGCTAAGTTGAGGTTCCACTTACGAAGTAGTCAGGCGGCCCCAACCCCAAGAAAAGCATCGTTACCAAGAAACCAACATCCCGGTCTACCGGCTCACACAAAGCCAGCCCAAACCACGCCAGATGCGATAGCAAAAGCTTACTTGGACGGCCCGTTGTTGCTGTTTCTCAACGTGAGTGGCTTCGGATATATCACTATCGATAACACAATACAAGAAGATACATACCAGAAAACCACAAACATGGATTTCCCAGCAGCAAAGCGAGCCAAGCACCCATGAATAACCTTAATTTGGTGGGTAGACCCAACCATGTTTCACCTAGAACCCTGCAAAAACCAAAAAAAAAAAAAAAAAAAAAAAAAAAAAATGCAATTACCACCTTCTACTGAAGCAGCAGCAGCGCTTCTACTTCTGCTTCTGCTGCTGCCGCCGCTGCTGCCGCCCCACCTCCAACAGCTTCCAGTCCACGTTTAAACCACCATGCTTCACGCTTCACGCTTCCTGGTACATACTCCATGCTCGCTTCAAATACGTCCCCCACCGCCAGACCTTGGCTGGCAGGGTCCACTGCCCCGCGAAAGTTTAACTTTTTAGCGCCCAGCCACTCCAGCCAGGGAACAAAAGCAGCAGTACCACGAAGGTGCACACCGAAACGAAGAAGCAAAGAAAGAAGAAGAAGAAGAAGAAGAAGAAGAAGAAGAAAGAAAAGAAGAATGCCTTTTAAGCCTTTTGACCAATCACGTTGCTCCTTTTCTTCCCCTGTCTTCCCTCTTCCTCCTGCCACCTCCCTCTCTGGGGTCCCAACTTTTCAAAGTTGGCCAGGGGCGACGATCGCGCCCGGTTCGCTGCGTTGGCGCCGCTTGAACGCCTGAAGCAACAAAACAGGCAGGAAACAAAAAGTGAGCCTGGCAAATTGTGCCCTCTCTTTTTTTTATCGGCCCACAGTGGCATGATTGCGCTTCTGTGAGATTTGCCTCTGTGCGTCGGCGCCGCGAATGGAGAGAAAAGAAAAAAACTGGAGGTGGAAGTGGAGCTGGGAGGGAGCTGGGAGGGAAGTGGCCGGGCAGAGGAAAAGAAAGAAGAGGAAGGGAGGAGAAAGAAAAGAGGAACTATTTGAATTTCATGGATTTCATAGATTTCGTGGACTTCGTGGACTTCGTGGAATTCATGAAAATGGTGGTTTGGTGACTTTGGTGCTTCCTTTTTGTGGTTCTTCCTCCACCTGAGCCTGCCACTTTCTGCCTCACTCTGCCAATTCTCAGCTTCTGCTCAGTCTCCCTCAGTCTCCCTCAGTCTCTGCCTCTTCCTCTACTTCTCACTTGCACCCTCCCAGCTCAATAAGCCATGAACTAACATCTGCACCTTTTCTTCTCTATCTACCTTCCTTCTTCATTCTCTTCCTCTCACATCTGTTTAGTCCTCTCTAAATAATTATTTTCCCGCTAACATGGCTCTACCTTCCTAAGTTGCTTAACGTGGCCGTCCGCCTCGTACAAGCTGCATTTGCAGCCACAGAGCCCCAGCTGGCCTATAGAACCTTCAAGCCTGCCACTCAAGCCTGCCAATTATTATTCCATGCTTTCGGCCAACGAAAGACGCTTGGTGTTCGTTTTTTCTATTTTCAATTAGCATTTACGTCTAGGTATCTTTACGTCTAAGTAGGCTACGACGCCTGGCGTTTTGCCCATCTGCCTTCGATAAGCCTTTAAGCCTACTCGAATACTCTTCCTTTTCCTCTCCCTTTGCCTCACCCTCCGCCTCTAAAGCCCCGAAGACTAGAACGGCGTTTACTAAGGTGTTCCACGATCTATTAACGACGCCATGTAATGCTGTCGATACCGATGATGCTGCTGCTTGTGCTTCTGCTTGTGCTTCTTTTTTTACGATCGTCCTTTGTTTTTTTTTCACCATCTCGAGTTTTCGCCCCGGGGCTCTTTCAAAGCCACCGTACGGTGCTAGGAGTTAGAGCTAATATACCTTATATCATTCGCTCTCACCAGGGAATACTTACACTAACGGAAACATTAATCTGTATATCAGAGAATGTGTCATTTTGGCTTTCTTCAGGGTTCCGACGCACCATGACTTTTGCCAATCTGATCTCTGCTTGCTGACTCTTCAGGCTTGTTTGCAGCCTCACCTTGTAAGTGTAAAGCTCCGACCATCCTCTTCCTTGGTAAGTAAATCCGGGACTGCCCTAAGGCTGAGCCTAATTTCATCTGTAACCTGTTGAACTTGTTTCCTACGTGCTTTTTCCCCTCCAGGGATTCACCCTTTTCCTTTTTCGTTTTTTTTGGCCTTTATTTGCTTTCTTGATATGTATTGGCTCGGGTTCTCTTCGCCCGATAGAGTCACCTTCCCCCCATAACACTCCAGGGAGTTCCCCGATTCGTCTTTCCTCGTGAACTTCGAATTACCCAGTTTCCAATTACCCAAATGCATCTTCAATGCTCCCCACCGCCTTACTTTCCTCGACCCACATCTACGTCCTCGCTTGGTCGCCCCTCCGGCTCAAGTTCCCGGTTGATGTTACTTGGCTGTACCTCGAGCGTTGATGGTCAAACATCGCTTCGTTCACAAGAGCAATGGGCTTCTGGAAAGCGCTTGGATGCCTCGAGGAAAAGGCTGAGCTGACGGTTACCCTCAATTGCCGTATAGAGACCACCTTTCTCCACGTATACGTGTTTTCTCGTGTTCGTGTTCGTGTTCGTGTTAACGTTTGGCTGCACTTTGCTACACACGGTCATTTCTTTTCCCTGGCTTGGACTAATCCCTCCGACTCCTTCTCTACCTTATCTTGTTGGTGCCTATGAAGCTTTTTTGTTCTTCTTATAGCTTGCTTACTTCTCTTTGCAAGCTTATACTTTAACCACTCACAATCAAACTTTCCCACCTCCCTCCACCAGACGGTTACTTCTAACTTCCACCATTCAAATCCTACCCTATTCCTTAACGTTTATCCCAATCCTCGACCAACCAGCTTTTTCTTTACTTTTCGTTTGGTTTTGGCCAGTAATGTTTTGTTTACCTTCCTTCCCACTTGCCGAACCTCGTATCCCCATTTGCAACAAGCTAGCATACCAAACACGGCTTGCTCTTCGTGGTATCAGCACTGCCTAGCCCGTATCAGCAGATGGCTGCAAAAAGCCAGTCGAAGTGTGTTTTACGGTGGTCTTCGGTATACCTAGTTTGTCGAGGCGAAGAATAGGGTTAACTCTAGGGCCTGGGAAGTGTGGAAGAGCCGCTTTTCCAGACAACGCCACGTGTGTTCAAGCGACGGTCATTAAGCGACAAAAGTCATACTTTGGTAGTGCTTTTTTTTTTTTTCTACTGCTTTCTTTCATCATTTCTACCTCTATGTTTGGTGATTTTTCGGTGTTTGGAGATCGTGTATTCTCGACCCATCCTGCTGAGAACAATGTGGACCCTTTAAGCATGCGTGCGTCTACTTGCTGCTGGAGCTGCAGTGTGCATTGCGAGTAGCCAGGCAATCCCTTAAGCCGCACAAGCGCATTTTTTCATCCTACTACGGCCACTCTTTTTTCGCCTCAAACAAAGCCTACAACTGACACGGTTCTCGTTCAGAGTTGGAATGAACACCGTTCCCGAGGGGTGAAGGTGTCTGCCTTGCCGGCACAGAGGCCAGGCTTGAGCCGCGTGCGTCTGCATGCGTTAGCTGATGCACCTCGATGCAGCTCGCCCACAAGGTGCACCTGTTTGCTGCAGCTCGTTGGCGCACCTGCATCGTTGCTCCCATCCAAACAACCCCCCGCATTGCAGCGTGCAGTGAATCACACACCAGGGCCCCATTGCCTTTATCCGCCAAAAAAAAAAAAAAAAAAAAAAAAAAAGGCCCATCTATAACGCCTTTCCTCTATCAAAAAAAGAATCTTCTCTGCCCATTTTGCCGCCTTAACAATCCCGAGTTCTTCCTGCCTTAAATATTTAAAGTTTTCCCTTCCTCTCAGCCTCTCCGTGAAGGTAGGCGTATTTTTTTCGAGACCCACATACTCAAGAGAATCATAATCCTAATAAGGTGCTCCATATCTCACGCTTGCAAGCCTCAATTGCATAGAAACAGCACTTCTTAAAGGTTCTCATATCCCACCCAAATCGCTAAATTCCATCAATTTTTCGATTTCCCCCTGCCCAATTTAAAAAATCTCGCCAGTTTCTGGTCAAGGTCACCCTAATCCCACTTGCAAGATCGCCATATTACCCTCCCACCTTGAAATCTCCAGTTTCTTTCCCAGGTCTCGCAACCATCCCCAAAACGATCTTCAGTCCTCCCAAGCTAAAACCTTAATTACGTCGCACGCCGCCGAATAGTCAATTTGTCTTCCAGCCCTTCCCCCAGAGACGATCTTTGCTCGTGCCTGGCGCTTGCATTGGTGCTGTTTTGTTCCAAACTTTTCAAGCTTTCCAAACTTTCCAACCTTGCCTTACTATTCTTCCCACCTGCTGCCGCCACATCTGTCATCTTCGGTGAAACCCATCGGAAACTCTAACACCACGAACCGGCTTCAATTCCTATCTTGGCGTGTTTTCCTTTCCTTTTCCTTTTGCTTTTGATCACCGCTTTTTGCCTGCTTTAATCTGCCTTCGGCCTGCTATTTAAGATCCCGCTGGGAACCTTAGTTCTAAGAATCACTTCTGTCTTTTGTCTTTCCAAACTCCAAACCAAACCAGTCCCCAATCCAAATCTACAAGCGACTTTCTACAAATGTCCTTAGCTCCAACCTACACAGGCTACATTGGCTCCACCAGAGATGCTGTTCTAGTTATCCAAGGCGTGCTTTCCAAAGAGTTTACTGTTGTTCACCGCAGACCCCATAGCAGAGAAAGGGCCGACCTAATCAAGCTGGGAAACGTATTTGTATTTATTGAAGAGCTGCTGGGCATCAAGCGCTGGACCGATGGTATTGCCTGGTCTCCTTCTCGTATCTTGGGCAGGTTCCTTGTCTACAGAGAATTGGATAAGTCCCTTCATGGCGACGAGAAGAGAAGAAGAAAACGCAACTCTGAACCCTCGGTGCTGCTGCGCAGCCTGGCTTCCGACTCTCTGGACCGTCAGAGCCTGATTCTGGACCAGACGTACACTTATCAACAGCAGCATTTCAACCCACAGCTCCCAATGGTGAACCAGCAGTTGACCCTGCCGCTCCAGTACTCCAAGGACGTGCTGGCGCCTCGGTTTGCCAAGGAGGACCACGGTCTTATCAAGAAAACACTTTCTGTAACCACTACAGTCAAGGACAGCGACAGTAAAGAGGAAAAGCAAACCGTGCACCTCATTTCCTACTATTCAGCCTACGACGTGCTTCTGGGCCGCTTGACCCGTCCATCCCAGAGCAACTTGCAATACATGCCTGTGGCCCCTAATCTTTGGGAAGCGATTCAGAAACTGTCGTTGGGCGGAAAAATCCCCATTGAGGACGAGGCCCATTACTTCTTGGACTCCAACTACCAGCTTCAAAACATGCTGGTCCTCATGACCGGTAAACCAGAACCACGCAAGCAAATGGGAGCCCTGCCTCGTCTCCAAGCACCCAATGGTTCCAAACGCCAATTATTCCAACAGCCCTATTCCCAGCCACTTTCCGTTAATTACGCCCTGCCGTATCCAGTCAACAAGGTTTCGTCAGTTCTCCCCAGTCACTACCACCAAGAAATGCCCCAGTATGGCCGCTTGGGCCACCCAGTCAAGGGAGAGAAAAAGGATGACGAAAACTACGATCTCCATTTATCAGCGAACCCCAATCACCCAATCACTGGTCACTTCCCAGACCCAACAGAGAAGCAACAACCTGTCCAGCCACCCCAAGCCCATGCCCATTCGCTGATTCACGCTCAGCAGCATCCTCTGGTACCTCCTATTCAAATGCCCCAGCCTGACCAACAACCTCCTTTTCAACAATCAGACCAGGGCCAAGGTCAAGGTCAAGGCATGTATTTTGGCGGCTACTCTCATCAAATGCCTTACCAGTACTACAACACTGGGCCAGGGCTTTTGAACCCAGCGGCTAGCGGCGACCAGTACTCCCTAGGGAACCCTCCAGGTCCACCTACCAATACTGGACAGCCCTTGCCGCCATACCAGGCGCCTTTCTACAACTCGGGCTACTCGTATACGGTGCCTCCCATGCAACAGCAGCCTTCCGAGGCCCGGCATGTTCCTAGCGCCCGGATCAGGCCCGAAGTGTCGGAAATCTACCAGCCTGTGGACGAACAATATAGTTACACACCGTGGAAGGAAACTTTATAGAGGAACCGATCCACGTACGGTGTGGTGATGGGCAAAAAGTGGCAGAGTGAGTGACTAGATTGGACCATAATTGGTTCGCTGTGCCATGGTCGATCGATCTTGTGGCTCGACCCATCACGCAATTTATCCCAGGAGCGATTTTAAACCTTCTGGGCAGCATACTTAGTCATCTTACTTTTATAGTGGGGAATTAATAAACATTCTAGTCATGGAAATGTCTTTTTAGATGTAGAGTAGGGAAAGCTCGTTGGCAAAAGAGATCTACTGATCTGAGTGGCCACCGACTTTTTTTTTTTTTTTTTTCTTTGCTTTTTTGCAAACCTTGTTGGACAAGTAATTGGCTAGCTTCGATTGCAATCGATCCTGTGACCTTGCCAAAGCTCCTTCTGCTCTATTGCTAAAGCGCTTGTTTTGTTTACGGTCAATCGTGGATGTCTGCTGGGTAATATCCGTTTAAGATCTCTTACCTACCACAACAGTCCAATGAAAGACCCTCCTAGATTTGAAAGCCCTAAATTCTTCGCCAAATAAGCTTTTCCCATGCTTGCACGCACCTCTGGTCTTTACCGGCCCACGTTTCCTGTTTCTTTAAAGAATGTAGAAAGGCTTGTTTTACTATACGGGTTTGTTTTGGTGGATTCCTTTCTTTTTCCTGTTTTTTCCCAATGTCTTCCCTATCCTTTACCGTTCCTCTATAGACTGCTTGGCTTCTATGGCATTTTCAAATTTCCGTCAGGTTTTGTGTTACGTATGTAAGTACACTGCAAACAAAAAAAAAAAAAAAAAAAAAAATCATACAAAAAGAAAACAACAGCAAAATCCTCTTCCTACATTTGCCTAGCTTTTTATGTACTCACGGCAATCTCCAAATTTTATAACTCCCTTCTTTTCACCATACCTCGAGCAAAGTTTCGCCGAAATCCTCTTCTTCACATTTCAGTTTATCCTTTCGCAACCTTCCGAACAACCCTAGATAACCATTAACACTCAAATTATATCTATCGTTTGCAAGACAAACTTTTGTCCATTACTATTTCTTGCATTTTTCAAGTCCTCTCTTAAAAGCTTAACTTTCAGAATTCAATGGTCTTCTTTCAGCTTGAGGTGCTTTCTTGCATTGACAATTATTAGTTCAAGCAAGAATGGCTAAGGCATGAAACAAAAAAAAAATAATTCAAGATGTCGGGAATGAAGGAGAGCCAGGAGGCTTGCCGACGACTTTGAGGAATTTAATAAAAAAAATAAAAATAATAAAAAAAAACTAATGTCGACGAGGCATAGTTCATGAATAGTCGTTCATTCTTACTGTAAATCTTTTTTTTTTTTTTTTTTTTTTTTTTTCCTTTGTGCTCTCCCTACTCTATTTTTTTTTTTTTTTTCTTTCTGAAGTTTTTATCATAAGTATAAAAGTAGAAATAAATGAAAACTCTAGCTGTAATTTTATTTTGCTTCCCATTGGCTTCGTTCGAATACCCCCCTTCCTTTTCGGGTGGTATCGTCTTTGTGATACTTCTTGTCATCGTCTCATAACTATCTCCCCCCCCTTATTCATTCCTATCATATTTTTGCTTTCTCAAGAAAAAAAATATTATTATCTTTTCTTTTTGACACTATCCATGAAACCTCATTCGCTATTAGTCTCGTAATTTTTTTTTTATAACCTCCATTCTCATGCTGCAATCACTCCTCCTTTGTCTTTATTGGGACGGTCAACGGACAACTTTTGCGGCAGTGTACGGTTCCAGTGAGCTCGTCTCCGTCTCTCACGCATTCAATGTTTGTTTGATTGTTCAAAAGTAGAAGGACCCTGTCGTAACACTTTCCGAATATTATTTAGCCAGCCGTGTCCATCTACGGCATGCCCCGTACCAACTCTTCAAAAAATAAATCTCAAGGATTAGCATTGTCTTGCTTTCCAGATGAATTGGCCGGAATTCAAAACATCGTAACACCTCCCTTCTTGCCGGGCTCGCCATTTTGATTCCGAAGAGTTACCGAATCCAACCACAACCACAGAAAACACACACCATGCAATTGAGAATTCCGTTTTTTTCCATTCATCATCAATCGTTCGATATCATTTCCAGTTTCGCCAGTTTCAAAGAGAAATGTGACCCTCTCCAGCTAGCCTCGTTATCTGGCAAGCTTCAGTGCGTCAGACCAAAAAAAAAAATAAAAAATAAAAATTAACATCAATGGCGAGCCTCGATGCCTGCAAGAGAGATGCGTCTGTGCCCCTGCACCAAGTGCGAGTCTCCCGCATAAAAAATACCTCCTGTGTCAAGGAAAATCACACAGGGTCTTGCATTATGCAGCGCTGCCCCTATTGTGTAGTGGGGGTGTCCTGGTTCTTTCTCCACTCCAATAACGGTGCAAGTTGACTAACTGGACCACTCATCTTGGTAATAAATGGATGTTGAAGTAAGCTGTCTGTGTCTTTTCTGGATGGGGCGTTGAGGATAAGACAGCATGACAAGAACGCCATCATTGTCTCGCTGATGGAGGAAGGATTCTTCAATTTGGGTGTACCGTTTGTGGCAATAAGATAAAGTGCCTTCAACGGTTCTTCATTAAGGTAAGGTGGCTCTCCCTCGATCATTTCAATCGTCATGATTCCCAATGACCAAACATCAACCTTCTCGTCGTATTCCTTCTGTTTGACAACCTCAGGAGCCATCCAGTAAGGCGTTCCGACCATCGTAGCTCTCTTGCTCCTTTGATCCGTTAATTTAGCACAGAACCCGAAATCCGTGATTTTCACGTTTCCCTTTGCGTCGAGTAAAACATTATCTGACTTGATGTCTCTGTGAATAATGTGCTTGCGGTGCAAGAAGCGCAATCCCTTCAATGTTTCGTGGCAGATGGTGGCTATTTGATTTTCATTAAGCTTCGACTCATTATTCTCAATAACTTCCGTCAAAGAACCACCTTCCATGTACTCCATAATCACCAAAAGGTCATTGGTACCACGCAAGTATGAATCCAAAAAGTTCACAATGTTATCGTGCTGGGAGTCCTTCATGACAAGAATTTCATTAATGATAAGTTCCTTCCTTGGCTGAACCTTAAGATCCATCTGCTTAATGGCGACTTTCTTCCCTCTTTCACCAGGAATGAGAGACTCGGCAAGGTAAACCTCACCCGAAGCGCCTTGGCCTGCTTTGGAAATAATGCTGAACAAGGACGTTGGATCCTTGTTGTTAACGACTGTCTTCAACTTGGCAATGACTTGACGGTCATTGAGCTGTTCACGCTCCCTCTTAATTTGCTTGGTAGTCTTGCCCGGAGCAGCAGCCCCAGCAGCAGCCTTGGTTGCGGCAGCCTTTGGATCAACGGTTCTGGGTGGAACATTGTCAGACTTCTCCTTTAGTGTGATGGTCTGATGCTGATCCTTTGCTGGTGCTGGCGCTGGCTTCAACTTAAGCGGTTTGAGGTCAGGAACATCATTTTCTTGTGGTCTCCTATAAGGATCATTCTTGGGCTTGTTGTTCTCTGAATGAACTTGAACGTCTGGATGCACATTACGAGGCATAATTGGAGGAGCCTGCTTAGGCGCCAGTGTGCCAACTCCCAATCCAGGAGCCTTCTTTGGAACTTCGGTGGTTGATGATTGCGAGGGAGCATATGGACGAGGAGGACCTTGTTTCTGCTGTGGAGCTGGAGGAGCCTGTCTTTTAGGAACATGGTTAGGTTGTCCAGGGATTGGTGGAGCACGTCTATTTGGAATCAAGTGGCCTTCACCGTTAGGTTGATTAGACGCTTGTGGCTTCACCTGATTCGATTCCTTTGGCTCCTGAGAGTTCATGAGGTTTGCCAATGGCGAATTGTACTTCTTCTCTGTTGTATGGTAAGGAGCAGGCGGTTGAGGAGCAGCACGAGTTGGTTTAAAGTCCATCGGTTGCGATGTTTTAGCAACAGGGTGTTTCGTCCATTCTTGAAAGTTCATGCTTCCATTGCCTGAGTTAAGCGCTGGAGACGCGACTGGAGTGCTGGCGTTGGAACCATTGATATCTGTGTAAAACTCCAATACCTCAATGACAGCAACAGGATCCTTCTTCCAATCTTCATTTGTAATCTTGGAGTTCTGAAGCATGTTCTTCCATGGCTCAGGCAACCCTGTGAAGTTACCACTTGCTGGATCGTAGCCCACATGGACTTTATGCGTGAAGTTAATGGGGTTCGAAACACCCAGAGTACCACTCAGGGAGCCTGAGCTGGACCCAATGCTGATCAACGGGCACTTGGTGGCAAACGAATCGAGCCAGTCCAAGTGGTCGCTGTTGCTCTTGACGGAGATCAAAAGCGACTTGCCATTATTCTTAGGAACGATCTCAATGATAGAAGGCAATGACTTAGAACTCGAGTTTGGTTTCAAATTGATAGCACTGATCAAATTGAGCGGAAACAGCATATCCAAGTCCTTTGGCTGGGTCATATCCGCAGAAGGCTCCAGCTTATAGAAATTAAGCGTTCTATCGCCAAGTACCATAAACCGTTTATTCCAGCGAAACGACGTAAACCCGTCTTCCTTAAGGTTAACCCAGCCAGCCTGGCGGTGGTTGGAAAGGTTCCATTTGCCCACTGGCCCAGCGTTGATGGTGCCAGGAGGTGGAGGAGCACGGCGGTGATTCTTTAGATCAGACGTATAGATGGACGTCATGACGGGCACTGGGGGTCAAAAACGTGGCGATGCAAGTGTCCTAGGAGGATATGGAGCGTCTTTGGTGCTCTGGCGGTGCCGATTTGAAGAATTGTCTGGAAGGTTGATTCGTTGTTGATGAAGTGAATCAATGAAACGTGAAGAACCGTCGAACTGTCACAGGGCCGTATGTTCTTCAAATGCTTATACCTTAGAAAAAGCGTTTATTAAATATCCCCAATTCTCTTAGTGTAGCGAACGTGGAAGGTCCAAGAAAGCTGGAGGTGGTGTTGAAAGACTTATATGAGAAGATAAAAAAGGAAGAGTTTTAAAAGCGTCTGGAGCGCGTCGCGGCCCCGAAAAGAGGAATAAGGGAGATTGGCAGGTGGAGGGTTCGAGGAAACCAGCGAAAAATGGCGTTTTTTGGAGCGAGAAAAAAATGGCGTGCCGAAACAAGCTGGCGTGAGTTTAATGGTGGTGTTTAAATTTCGAAATTCTGGCTCCTTTTGGTTGGTTGGTAGACTGTCTCGTCGCTGCTCGTCTGCGTTTTGCAGCCGTTCGTGTACATTCTCGGCGCAGTGCGTTGAACGTGGTCGGCTAGAGGAAGATGGAGAAAGGAGGACCTTTTTGGCGGAAGAAACGAAGGGATTAGGATGGAAATTGAAAGAAACTTGAGAGATTTTTGGGAGGTTTCGTTTTGTGGGTTTTTTCTTGGATTTGGGTTTTTTGTGGTGTTTCTCGGTTGACGTAGTTTTTCACGTTTTCTTGGTACCTGGGAAACTGGCTTAGCTGGAGAAACCGGTAGAAAACACTGCCGATGGGTGGGAAACGGCAGAGACGTGGAGGGCAGTGGAATAGAGGGAAGCGAAGGTTTTGGGTGGTTTTGGACATGTAGGTGTGGATTTGGAAGGTGAATTGGCATGGGAAGATGGATTGTAGGAGGTGACTGGACGAGGTGGGCATGGGCCATTGGAAGGGCAATTGGCTGCTGGTGATGTCACTGAAGTCACTGGAAGTACCTGTTATTAGGCCCCTTGGTTACCTAATCTCGCTTGAAGATAGGAAGGATCGTGGGCTGTTACGGAAGACCCTGGAGCGGCTCAGGTACGTCTTTCTGGGCTCAGGCAATGCAATTGGGGTAGACGAAGTGAAGGAGGTGTGACAGTGGGGCAGAAAAGGGTGTCATTTGTCCTTTGAAGCAGAGATGGAAATCAGACAAAGCTTTGGGATGACATCTGGTACTGGTTGACTCAATTGGTCGGTAGACGGGTACTAAGTACGCGTCGTTGACTGTTCTGGGAATGAAAGATGTATTTTTGATTGATGTTGGGCTTCAGCTGGTTTGGGACTTTTCAACGATAGTGGCTGCTTTGGAATCGATGTGGTGACGATATCGTTGAAGGCCCTGACTGATAGTAATGGCTGTATCTTCGATACAACCATGGTCGAAACTTGGCGAGCTGTTTTGTGGCTTCATCAGACCCCTGATGCTTCCTGACAGCCCTGTGGTCCTTCTTTGGGCCTATTTATATGTCTTTCCTTCGCTCCCGTAACTCCCAGCGCCTCAAAGACTCTCTGATAGCATCCAACCGTCACTCATTACGAGCACTGAAGGGAATCGTCTCTTTTGCTTGCTTTTTGATATTTTTGCATGCTTCAACAATGAACCATGACACATTTGTGACGCAAGCAGTGGTAGGCGAAGAAGTGTCTGATAGTGGTAGTCTGCCTTGACGAGGTTCATCTGCTGTAGGTTGAGCCTCTATTTCGAGGCAAGCATTCGATGTTTCATGGCATTGTCCACTGGCCTGTGTTCTCTTTGTCTAATTTCTTGTTGGTGGGAGTTGCAAGAAATCTGCCATGGATGGAAATCAGGTCAGGTTCTTTACTTTGGATATCCTCTTAGAGAGCTGGTCGAAAATGGATGCTAAATCAGCTATCTGGCTGTTTCACTGGCACTCCACCTCTGAAGAACACGGTGGTATTGATATAAAGTTTTTGTGGTCTTCAATTCTCGTCGTTTAGATTGTTCACGCAGCCAAACCTTATAAAACAGCTGGTCAATAAGGCTTTTATTCTGTCAACACCATTCTTCAAAGTACAGAAGTAATTGTCTGTAATGAAACAGACCAAGTACACCAAAATTGACGTTGTTGTGCTTCAAAAGCGACTAAGACTGTCAGTTGATGCTTTTGAGTGAAGCACCATAAACGGAACAAGAGACTTTTTACTTAAAAATCAGGACAAAAATTCTCTAAAGAATTACCTTTGACGATCAAACCGAAGAAAACAACCTCGGAGCACATACCAATCATAAAAATGTCCAGAATTATCAAAAATGGTTGAGCAAATTAACAAAAAAAAATCAAAATGTTGGAGGAATGGAGGGAAACCTTATCCAACAAAAGAGTGGCACCGCCTGTTTAAAAATAGATTACATGGGTTCAATTAATTCGACTTTACCTTCCCAAAAAGAATTGTTTTAAGGCAACAGCCTCCAGCCAGCCACGGTATCTACATACTTGTTTGTAGAAGAATTCTTTCAAAAACAAAAAATATGTTCAAAGGTCTACAGCCATTTGAAACAAACCTTCAATTAAATTACCCTGTTGCCCTTGTTTTATTATTTTATTTTTTTTTTTTATTTTGACTTTGTCTTTGAAAATCCCTAATGTTTCTTTTCCCCATTTTCTAATTTTTCCAAATCTTCTTTTTTCTTTTTATAAAGAGTCTCCCCCCTTCAATCCACTCTCTTTCCAACGAATGCAACTGCTCGTAGCTGTGACCGTATGAACCCGCCTAGGGGGAACAAAGCCTTTAAAAAAAGAGAATTGTCTACATCCACAAAGGGCTTTGAAAAATGACAATTCAACCCGTCACGTTAGGCTTTAGAAGATCTGCCAGCGATTGTCGCCGTTGTACGTGAGCTAATTGTCATGAATCCGATTGTTTTCCCAATTGTCAACCGTTCGGATCGGACCTCAATTGTCCGTTGGTACGTGTTACCCTTAAGGCATAATAGAATGAACCTGTTTGTCTGGACTCATGCGTCCCCGCCTAGCCTCGAGCCAGCGATCTGCCTTCTTTACACAATGATGCTTCGCAAAGCCTGTGTTGTGGTTGGAAGAGTAGACGCCTATGCACTTAGAGAGACTGGATAAGCTGGGAGGTTCCGTGTTTCTGTTTAAGTTTGGATAACAAGACGTAAGGCTGGGACACAATGGCCATTAATAGCAACATGGGTGAATTTGTTCGACGCTCGAGCCCCGTTTGGGGATACTTTCCTGGCCTTTTGTGTATTGTCTGAGTGGTTATCAATGACGAGCAGACACATAAAACGCATCTTGCAAGTGGTATACCCTGGCTTGAGTGTACAACGATTCCGTTAGCGGTACGCCCAACTAAGTATGTAAAAAAAATATTATAAAACTTGCATTTATCTTAAACGGAAAAAGGCTTGAAATCGCCCACAATGCCTTCTTTTGGCGCTTTAGAGACAAGGAGCGCTGGAACTCACATTTAAAGGAATTGCGTGCCAGCAAACTTCAACTTGACAACTCGACAAGTCGACTCTGCCCTTTTATGCCCTCCCCAAAAGAAAAAGCCCCTAGATCTTCAAGGCACAGCTTCAGCGAGATTCGCTTACATCCGTGATTGGCGTTGCTTGGGTTGTTTTCTAGAGCAAGCATCATTGACTTAGCAAGCTCCATAATGGAGGCTCCGACGAAGCGATCCTCGGGGGATGTCGCCTATCCATTTCTGAAATGAATGAAGTAGTCATTAAGAGGTGGAATGAGTATCTTCCACGAAGAATGTGGGCCCCCATTGTTACCACTCGTGGCCTCCGCCTATCACCATGCTCGCTGGGTTCGGCGTTAGGTGAACAGAAAACAAGCACATAGGGAGGGAAAGAAGCTGGGGAGAAAGAGGCCATGTGGTGGAGGGAACTGGGTTGGGTGATAGGAGGTTGGTGGTTTGTGGGGGCCTTGAAAGGCGTGGAAACCAGGTTTTTTGGTTGATTTGGGCTGGCGCCAGCAGAAAAAGTGACTCAAGGAGCTCAATTACTTCAGGAGGAAACGAAATGGAGCAAACAAAAAGGCGTCTGAATATATAAACTTCAGTGGCTCTACTTCCTGCCCTGGGTTAAGCTTGGAGCTTTAGGTTTCGCTTGGACGTGGTGGTTCGGTAAATCAGTGGGACCATCCACTTTTGACAAGACAACGACGCCGGGGCCTATCCGAATGGAAACTATTACCACACCATCTGATGGAAACAGGACATTCTTGATTTCCCTTGCAGATTTCTTGCGGTTTAAGGTTGTCGACGGTGCATCGATAAAGCATGTTTCTGTTGGAAATTGACAAAAGACTGTGGGACTAAACCTAAAACCTAAAACGATTTCCGTTGAACACAAGCAGGTCATTGACGAGGTCCATATGGCTTTAAAAGCTGTGCCAGGAGTAATAAAGGAAGATTTCTGAATCAAAAAAAGTGTTCTTCTTAATGATATCTGGTTCTTTCATTACTTTCCTTCCAATCCCCTAAAGACAAACCTCCACCTGTGATTCCACTGCAACCCAAAAACTCCAAACTCCTAAATCCTCCTTTCCAGCCATTCATCAAGTTCCCAGCCTTTTTCTTCCCCTTGCCAACCTCCAACACTTCCCCTTTCCAACCTTCTCTTTCCTTCAAAACCCACCGAACTCTCCCTCCAAAAACCCACCACACTTCCCCCCAACCCCCTTCTTTCCTCCGTTCTCTCCCCATTTTTCCCTGCTTTTTTCCCGACCTTTTTTTCTCTTGTTCTCTCTTTTCTTTTTCACTAAGAACAATTGGATCATCATGATCTCCCTCCCACGTATATTAGCACCTCCACGTTCTGCCCAATTCCACAGCACCACTCGACCCGCCACAGAATCTGCAGAAAACAAAAGTCATGTTTCTGTAAACTTCACTTTATTGTCCCAGAGTTCCTATTTTTTTTTTACCAATCTACACTTTCTGACTCTGTTCATCTTCCCGTCCATCTTCCCTACCACTCGTGCTTCCCCAGATTTGATGCGCACCCAAAATTCACCTTCTCCAAACCTTAACCAAACCTTCAAAGGACATGGGCCTCTTCAAGCGCAAGGAGCGCCTGGACTCGCCGCAATTGCACGGCCTGCTGGCGCCTATAAATACCACGCCGTCGCCTTCGCTGGACTCGGGCTCGAAAAGCAGTAAAGTCAGGTTCTTGAAGGGAAGACATCTGCATCAGGAAGAGAAGACAGGGGAGGAGCTGAAACCCAGGCTGAAACCGCTGCTTCCACGGCAAATCAGTACTGAACATCATATTGTGCATCACCAGGATGAGGACGAAGAGGAATTCGAGTCAGATCTGGACTACGAGCCTCATATGCATACATGGATCCCTAGAGATAGGACGGCTACGGTATCCCAGCTTTCTACGTTGATGGGGTACTGTGGGTTGGGGTCGCTGGATCTGAAGGAGGCGCTTCAGAAAGCTGCCAACGAGGAGCTGAAACGGACGTTTTCGTTGTTGAACGAGTCGTATAAGATCACTCGTTTGTCGCCTACGATGAATAGGAAAGATGCGCTGTTGGACGCTTCCATCATCAACGAGCCTCAATTGGAGCTTATCAATAAGCTTAAGGAGGAGTTGAACGCTGTTCTTGACATGCAAGGGGATTTGCCAAAGCAGTATGCTTATTTGGACCAGCATAAGACATTGAACCAGAGGTATGGTACAGTCAAGGATGTGGTTGGCCGTGGAGCGTACGGAGTGATTAAGCTTATTGATTCGGGAGATAGCCAGATTTACGCTGTCAAGGAGCTCCAGAAACGCCCGATTCCTGATAGCAAACGCATGGAGCCCAGCGATAAGTTCATTGATCGGGTGATTTCCGAGTTTATTCTCTCTTCAACGCTAAACAACAAGAATATTGTTCGTACAGTGGATCTTATGGTTTCCCTACCGCCGCAGGATGCCTCTGTGGATACCAATGCAGCCAACTTCATCGAGAAGAACATGAAGGTCAACCAGGTGATGGAATCCAGCAATGGCGGTAACCTCTTTACGTACTTGAAGAAGTGTGTTACCCAGAAACACTACGTTTCCATTGACGATATCGATTGCATGATCAAGCAGATTGCTCGTGGTGTTTGGTACATGCACCAGCACGGCGTGGCCCACTGTGACTTGAAGCTTGAGAATATCTTGATTGACTATGACGAGAGCTCCATCGCTCCTGACGCTGACGGCAAGAAAAAGGCTCGCATGAACCTTAAGATTTCAGATTTCGGTAAATCTAGTGTTTTCCGTACAGCTTGGGACTCGTCTGAACAACTCTGGCCAGCTTCCAGTGGTGCTATAGGCTCAGAACCGTATATGGCTCCTGAGGAGCACGGCAAGGTATGCAAAAGCTGGTCTTTGGCAAAGAAAGACTGCTGGGCGCTTGGAGTGTTGATTCTTGTGTTGTACAACGTCAGAAGACACTATTTCTGTGGTGCCTCCGAGAACTTCGTTGTAGCTACATACTACGATGAAACATCCAAAGAAGAGGATTCCAGAGCATACGGAAGCACTTACTTATGGAAACGAACAGATCTCAAACCGCTTTCTCATAAGAAATACAAGGATTCTGTGTTTGACGAGTACGTTCACAACGCCATGGACGCCGACTACGACAGCAAAACACAAGAGTGGACCATCAAGAAAAAGGGCACTTTTATTCCTATCGAAACGCTTTTCGATAAAGGTAGCGACGACGAACACTCAAATGCATCTGCCAGCGAAGACGAAGAAGGTTTCGAGGAATCTGACTACGAGTTACGGCGTCTTTTCATATACAAGCTCCTTGATATGAATCCTTCTACGAGACTAAGCGTTGACGCTCTTCTCACAGGCGCCTGGCTAAACGATGTCGAAAGTTGTGCTTGATGTATATAAACAAGATTAGGTAAGAGTACAAAGGGGACCAACATGCTGTAGTTGCAAAGCAGGTACCACAGCAAATGCCATATGCAACGTGGGGGGAACTGAAGATGGAATATTAACGTGAATAGAAATGAAATGGCGGCAGCGGGCGAAGCTGTACGCCATCATGAGATGCAATTGATTGAAGAGCCCTGTGGCAGCTTAAAAGTCAGCAAAGAGCTCTCCGTACGGATCGTCCACGCCCGTTATACCATAGTCAAGTTCCTTATCCTCAGGATAGCGGTCAAACTGGGATGTGTCACCCACACCAGACGTGATGGGAGGCTCGTAAGGCGTTTCAATATCTCTAGAAAGGAGTCTCTCCCAGATCACTTCCTTGAACCAAGGATGGTTCTTCACGTCGTCGGACCCGTTTTGAAGGTTACCTAGTCTCTGTGTCAAGTCCTTCACAATAAGTTTCTGAAGCAAATCAAGAATATCTGGAGGCAAGTAGTCAGGGTAGGTGATGGTTCCGTTCAAGATGTTCTCATATGTCTTCATGGGCGTAGGGTCGTAGAACGGCGTGTAGCCTGTAAGCATTTCAAAAATGAGTATACCGAAAGACCACCAGTCGACAGACTTGTTGTAAGGCTTGGTGGCCACCACCTCTGGCGCAATGTAATCCGGTGTACCACACAAGGTGTAAGTGACGTCAGTGACCTCTTTAGCAAACCCAAAATCCGTGAGTTTGATGTGACCGTTCTTATCCAAAAGAATATTTTCTGGCTTCAAGTCACGGTAGATGATATCGAGGTTATGAAGGTATTCGATAGCGAGAAACACTTCGGCAGCATAAAACTTAGCCACAGGCGTAGGGAACCTCTGGGACTTGCGCAACAAAGAGAAAAGCTCGCCTCCTTCTATGTAATCCATAATCATAAACAAATTATGGCAATCCTGGAACGTGCCCCACATGCGGATGATAAACGGATGCTGCGCAAGCTTCAACATTCTGCGCTCGTCGTTGGTATGCTCCACTTGCTTCATATTGATGACTCTCTCCTTCTTTAACGTCTTCATGGCGTAGAAACGGCCATTGTGGACCGACCTGGCCAAATGCACACGGCCAAAAGAGCCCGTGCCCAAAGTTCTAAGAATCTGGAAGTCGTTCAACGAGTACTTGCCCTTGGTGGTCACGTCCCTATGCTTGTTCTTGCTGGACTTCTGCGCCGGCTGGTTCTGGTTCAGCACGTTCATGTTGGCTGCGTTAGCTGCAGTTTCCTGGGCCAGCGGTTCGTTGCTCTGGTTGTTTTGCTGGCCAGCTTCTCCCTGCTGGGTCTCGTGATAGTCCATTGTATAGGGATAGGAAAGGAAAAAGAAGGCAGAAAAAGCTGAAAAGTGGAAACTATCTCTCCAATGGAAGCGATGGGCCGAGGATCAAAAGAAGCACAGCCGCTGAATAGGGGAAGAATGTAGCCTGCGCTGGTCCAAACTGTCACTTCTGAGAGGAAAAGCACACTGGTATTATCAACTTTCAGGTTTCTTATTTTCGCTCTCACTCACCTTCGCTTGTAAGCAGTATCTCCCAAAAAGATGTCAAACGGTGGGCGTAGAGACAGGAAAAGTGATGAAAGCCGCAAGGTTCCTAGAACAAACGGGCACTAGGAGGGCCTAAAAAAGAGGCTGGTTTTTTATCATTTGAAAAAGTTTTTTAAGTAGTGGGGAAGGCAGGAGAGGGGGGAAGGATGGAAGGATGGAGAGGAAGTACACTTGCACGTGACACAGGCCCCAGCCGTTCTCTCCTTTTTTTCAAGTCCACATTTGCTTCTTCGCTGGAACTTGTCGTTTTTTTCGTTTTGCGGGTTCCTGTGATTATGCCAGTCGTTTTTTTAGGTGGTTTTGCTTATAAAATGCCTCACTGCGGACACTCTTCTTATTTTTTTTTTTTTTCTTTTTCCCTCGCAATTAAACTTTCGGTATTTTTTTTTTTGTCCTCGGCTTTTTCTGCACAACCTTAAACTGGCTGCAAATGTCAAATGGAGATCTCGAATTGACATATTATGGAAGGTGGGGACCAGTCCAGTCTTTCTACGTCGCTGGAATAAACCTCTACCTCACCCAGTAATCGTCAATGTCAACCACATCGTCCATATCTGACTGCTCTGCATTGGTGTCTGAAGCGTCGTCCTCGTCTTCCTCTTCCTCTTCATCGCCTTGTCTTTCTGTACCGCCAGATTCGTCAACATCATCTGCTGAATCGTAGCCAAACCCTTCGCCGCCTCGGTTCACGTCTCTTCTGATTCTCGTACCGTCTCTGCTGCTGATGATGTTACTCATTCTTCTCAACGGATGGCGTTCTTCGGTGCGTGCTTGGCCTGCTCCTGGTGGTCCACTTTCGTGATTTGTGGCATGGCCAGAAACTAACCCAGTAATCTGGGAAAGCGCCGTCTTTGACTTCTCGTATAAGTTGTTGGCGTTCAAAAGATCGAACCTCTCGATACTGCTAACTTTTGAATTGCCCCGGCTCTTGAACTTGGGTTTCGACATGTCAATAATAATCCTTTGCAAAATCTGGCTGAATTGGTACCGGTGCAAGAGCTTTGCCTTATCCTCGGCGCTCATTTCTCCATCTTCATCTTCTGGTTGCGCTGGTGTATGACGTTCCTCACCACCTTCTTCGTCCTCGCTCTCTTCAATCACGATATTTGAAGAATTGAACAATTGCCTATCCTCGCTATGTGGATCGCTGTGAGTACGGTGACCCACGGTATCAAGAAGACCAAAGCTGACTTTATCTGGAACTTGGTAGCCAAAAGCGTCGTCTTGCCAAGTCAAATTGATGAGAATCCAGTTGATGGAAAACTTAAGTTCAATAAGCTGGTTAGCCAACTTCACTCTCTCGTTGAGATTATGACCGCAGAGCTTTTGTTCTAGCTTGTCCAGCAACTTGGCATCAAGGATACGCTTCCAGATTTCGATCATGGCCTTCAGAGGGAAGTCCAGCTTCTTGAAGACTGAAATGTTCGTGTAGCGATGATCTTCTAAGTAGTTGATACCCACAAGAAGTCTGACATACTCGGAGTTCTTGATCAATGTAAAGAAGAATTCATCTGACTGAAGGAACTCCTCTTCCTTGTGCACCTTGCCATCATCAGCGAATAAGTTGTAACTCAAAAGGTTCTGTAACAAGTATTCATGCCACGTAGAAGGAGCCGAAGTATGGCCATGCTGTGCCTCCTCTTTCACGTACTCAAGGTATGATTCCCTGATGGCTTCGCTGAAGAACGAAGAAGCAGCGGTAAGGTTTCTCATGATCTCAAAAGCAAGTATCTTGTGCTGAACAAACAAAGCATGAAGCTCCGCATCCTCTTCTATGGGACCAACAAGGCCATATAAAGACTTCTCAAAGATCAACGATAACGGAATGAAGTCCCATAATACCTTTCTGTTCTCTTCGTTCTCATTGTAAAGGTAACTCTTCACGACTTGAAGTACTGTGAGCTGCTCACGAAGATGTTCATATGCAATTTCACGCTCCTCATCTTCTGAATACTTAATCTCTTCTTCAGAAGCTGAAGTCTGGAACACCCTGGCGAGGTCCACCAAAAATGAGTCGTGGTTAACAATCTCATAACGGAAGGAACTGAAGTCAAGAATGAAATTGGCAATTGAAGCGAGGAGGATCACCTTTTTCACACAGAGAGTCTTTCTTGGAGGTGCAAACTGAAGACTCAATTCTGGGTTAGCTTTGGTAAAATACTGCATTGCATATTTGACGTTATCAAGCAGGCCCAAAATCTCCAAAAGACTAGACACAAAACTACCTCGTCTCTTGAACGAAGCTTCTCTGTTATATCTGACCTTGATGATATCAATGATGTCTTCGTTCGTATTATTCCCTCAGTTGCGTTCAAAGTAGTATCATCATCGACATCGAAAACACTTTTGATCGAGTTGCAGTCCACAAAGAAGGTTCTTAAAGTACCAATGGATCTCGAAAGAGACCTAACCAAGTAGATTGTTTGAGTGAATATTGGATGCTCTATCAAGGTGTAGATAACACCAAGATTCTTACCAAACCAGGCGAGGATTTTCGTCTGGTCTTGCTTAGAGGACTCCTGTAGGAGCTTACCCAAAACTTCGTATGATAAAAGAGCTTGCTGGATCAAGAACCTGTAGTCATCCATGAATTCAAAGACAGAAAGGCATAAGAAATTTGGACCCAGTGCTTTTGATGCCTTCAGCTCCAGAAACTTAGTCACACGACGACGGTAATCTTCATTAGAACTTGTGTAGACGCTTAAAAGCTGTAAATAATCAGAAACCTGCTCCAAAGATGTTGCATGAGCACCCAATTCTCCCCTCGAATCAGCTCCACCAATACGATGTTTCGTAAGAGTGGTGAAATCAGCGAGTTTCGTTCCTTGCTTCGATGCCACCTTGAGTTTAAAGATGCTGCTGAAAACGGGTGTCTTCTTGATAAGAGCCTGAAGATCCTTCATAATCTTCATGTCAACATTGGTATTGTGCAAATGCAAGGACATTCTTGGGTACTTGAGGCAAAGACCTGAGAGGACTGATACGGGAAGCTGAAGGAATGGAGGAATAGAATGTTTCTGGGAAAGGTCTGTGTCCAAGAGCTCGATAATCCGGGGAAATAGCTTCTCGTATGTCTTAAAGATGATCTCTTCAGAAGCCGTGCCCAGGTCCTCAAGAGCATTGAGGTAGAAATGTATCAAGTTGAGGGTAGCGATGTTAAGCAAATGACATTCTTCACATTTAAGCAAAAGAACCATGCAAAGGAACACTTCCTTGGATGTGAAAATGCTCAGCTGAAGTGGAAGTGCCTTATTCCTCTCCTTAGTGTGGTTAAGCAACTGAGCAGCTGCGACAACCAAAGACGTGATAAAGTCAATCTCAAAGAAGTCACGTAGAAGCCGCTTGTCAGCGATAATATTCGGAGAAACCTTCTCCAAAAAGTGTCCTTGTGTGGGCAAGCCATCCACATAGTGGTTATGTAACTGGGCGAATTCCTTATGGAGACGAAGCAAGCAGAGCCTAAGCAAAGACGAAGCGTATTTCTCAGTCAACTCCTTTGGAGCCCCTTTAAGAAGAAACGGAAGCGTGCTCAAACTTGAAACCACGGCAGTTCTGAGTCTCAGTGCCAGGCGTGATGTCTTAGTATCGTCACATATAAGCAATGTAGTGGTCAACTTCCACAAGTTCTCGTAACATTTCTCATCAAGCAACACATTCGTAGAATTGGCAAACACAAGCACAATCCAAAGAGCGTCACAGAGCACTTTCTGGAAGTCAGATTTCACCTGGACCACCTCACTCTCGTTACGGGCCGAACCGTGGCCTGACGATGTCGTGGCCGACGAAGATGACGGAAGAAATGCCAGACCCACATACTCAAAAAGCCTTGCCATCAATGGCACACAGCCACGTAAGCTAGCTCCATCCACAGCAGTCTTGTCGTCTGAGTTCTGGAGGTCCGCAACGAAACACGCTAGAATCCGCAAGATCACCACCTTATCGTGAATATTCCGGGAAAGCTCAATTCCAGGAAGAGCTGAGTCCCTTTCCACCTTGTCCAAGTCCTGCTGAAGCTGCTGCAAGAGCCATTCCACGAACTGTGGCTCCTGAAGCACTCTGATCTTGAGTTCTCTGTTTCCAATAAGCTGGAGTCGAAGCTCGCCCAAAGTGTCTGGAAAACCGCTGGCGCCATTGGGAAGGCCGTTCAAATGTGCATAAGTGTCCAAAGGCATAGTATACTGGAGGATTGGGGGATTTGGAGGGCCTGGTGTGGGGGAACAGTGTAGAGTACCGAGATCGCAGATAAGGTGAGGTTTGATGGTGGACTGGATAGTGAGAAATGGCAAGGTATGGAGAGGTGGTGAAGTAGGGGAAGAGGAAGGAAAAAATGTAGAAAACAAGAAAAAAATGGGGGTTTTCGACTCTGACTAAATCAGTCACGGGCTTTGTTTTGCTAAAAAAGGCCGCTGGGGCGCTGGTTCGAATTGCTGCAAACTGCAAGTGCAACACTCACCACTGCCAGCCATGGAAAGTGGCTATGCCTGCCTTTAAATCTTTCCACGCCAGAACTTCTGGCTCTCGGCAGCTGGCTTACCGTTCTTAATGTCTTCGCTCACGTGGGTGTCGGCGTCGACTCTCTTGGGAATGTACTCCAACACCTTATCCAAGCTGATATCGGCCTCTGGGCCTTCCTGGTGGTCAATGGGGATTCTAACAATGCCATTCTCGTCAGCCACGACGATATCATTAGGCAAAACACGAATTGTCTCTTCGCCGCCGTCAATGCCAGCGACTTTCACCGAAACGGGCACATTGATGCCCACAACCTTCACCACTGGCTGGCCAGCAGTCGTACCCACGCCGTAAGACCACACTGGATACTTGAGATCGTTATGTTCAGCCAAATCACGCACACGTCCAAGAATCACGGAACCGGCCGCTTCTCTATAGTTAGCTCTAGTAGACATCAATCCACCGTACAAGGCGTTGTTCACCTTGACGTAAGGTGCTCCCGTCTGCTGGAGCTCCTCGCTGACAGCCATCACAAGCATACTGTTCTTTGGGATTTCGTCAATGTACGACTGCTTCACAGCAGGACGTGGGTCCAGTTTGGGAGCGTAAAGCACAGTATAAGCTGGACCCACTGCCGTGGAAGCTCCAGCGTTAGGCTTATTGCCAATTGGGCTTCTTTGCACGAGGTTTGGAATGAACCCGCCATTCTTAAGGCCAAACGCCGCCAAGGCGTCTGAAACGTCACAAGGAGTGTACTTGGCAAGGGTATTTCTAACAGACATGATGGTGGTAGTGATTGAATAGATAAAGAGTTGGAAGTAGTTGTGGGGTGCGATTCCGCGCCCGGGGTATATCGGTGGGAGCAGTGAGGAATCGGTGTAGATGGGTACTAGGAGTGATTGGGGAGAAGGGGGTGTGAGTTGTGGGATATAGAGGGCAAAAAGGTGGCGGTTGGTTGTTTTTTGGGCGTTTTTGGGGCAGTTTTGGGGAAATGGGTGGATGGTAATGGAAGTGATTGGTGGTGATTGGAGGGTGAGAGTACGGTGGTAGAGTCAATGTAGGGTAGATAATGGGAGACAGGGGTAGAGTAAGAAGAGTTGACGGGTAGTATTTATGTGGATTTGGTGGGCTTGGAAGGTCCATAGGAGTTCTTGAAGTCAATTGAGGGGGTTGAAAGAGCCGGAGGATGGTGGTGGATGAACTCATAGATACTTACAAGCTTTACTCTTTTTTAAGCATTGAGGATCACTTGGCAAGGGACTAAGTTAGGAAGGTGAAGTCACTCATTTATGAGTCAGCTCTTGGCTTTTGGTAAAGGAGAGGTTGGTGAACAGCCAATGCTTTGATAAGAGGTCCTGCTTGGCCAGTATGCCTTGTTAAGTAAAGATGTTTAGACTACCTTAGAATGGTTAGAATGCAAATTACGTACCAAAATATCTCCGTAATATCCAAAGCCATAGCTTTGAGACTGCTTACCCCCACGGTCAATGATCTTTTAAACGTGCTCTGAACTGAACAGACCGTTGGGCTACGCCCCAATATGGAAAATATATCAGTAAAACCGTTACCTACCTGGGGTAGATTTTAATTAGCTATTTCTATGGAAAACTTAAATTCTACTTTCAAATGGTATGACATCCCACCACTGTTGTCGCTTTCCGTCAAGCAGCCCTATTTCCTTCATTACATCTACTATTATCAACTACATAAACGCAATTACCATTAAACAAATACCAGCACTTCCCTTTTCTTTCTTTAATTACCTTCGACTTCTATCGCCCTCCAATCGAGACGTGGCACTCTGGAAGGCTCCCTCAGCATATACTCCAACTTTCCCCAAAAGCACCAACAAACTCTTCCTTCCTCACAATAAACCAACCCCTTCAGAACCTCTTCGAACATTTTGGACCCTTCCATGAGCTCCCATGAGCTTCTACTTTACCCACAGGGAAAGTCCACCGTTCCAATTACGGAAAGTGCTGTGATTGTGTTGCCGCGAGACAACTATAAGTTAACGGCCCTCCCCCGTCCAATTGGGAATTCTTTTCGATTTCTTTTCTTTACCTATTGTTATCAAAAATGCTTACTCGTATTCACCACAAGATTCACGCAACACGTTATCCTCGCTACTGTCCAGCGCCAGCTCGTCAACTGTATGAGCCAGCACCAGGCTCAGCCTATAGCTTTGAAGTTGAACCACTCAACCCCAGAGCTCCCCCAATGGTTCCAGAATCTGAAACGCTTTTGGATCCAAAAAATCATAAAAACATCATCTCTACTAAGGGCTCCAACAGAGCCCGTATGAAGAACGCTATAAGAAGATTCTTTAAGCACCTCTTCAAGAAGGAAGAGCCTAAATGGCTTTCCAAAAAGGTTCTCTGCGAAGAAGAATGTCCTTCTTTTCTTAAAGATAAAAGAACGCAGAGAAGGTTCTACAAGACCATTTTTCGTAGTTTTGTTGACCCAATTACTTGCGAATTGCCCAAGTACACTGCTCTTAAGGAGCAAATGGATACTCAGCTTCCATATACTTACCCAGACTACTTTGCTGAGCACTCAGAAGCCTCTTCTATTCAGATGGAGGAAGAAGATGCTGTCCTGATCCAGGATTCTGAGTTTGGTTCCTTCGTGGAATCCACCTTCTTGGTAACTCCAGAGCAACTGGTTTCCAACAAGCCAGCTCTGTGTATGGCTGTGGGTTCTCTTTCCCCATACCACCAGTTTATGCTGTTGCTTAAACTCACCCAATCTCTGAATGGTACTATTATGCCTTCAGCTATCAATGCAGCCTTGAGTAGCATTGCCCAAGCCAAACCTTATGATCTCAAGATCATCACCACTTCTTCTCCTATCCAGAAAAGGCAAGTGGAACCAACCAGTCCCCTCAAAATCATTGAAGTTCTTGCTTCACCTCTGGCATCGATGCCAGAATCCCCAGTCATTATGGCTCCTCCTTTGTCTCCATTCAAAACAGGCAAACAGTCAATTGTGGGCAACAGAATCAAGGACACACTTGAAAGACTCAAGCAGTGTGCTGATTCCAAGCAAAAAGCCCCCGTGGACAAGCAATTGGAGAAGGCCAGGTTCAACAGGATCGCTTTCCACCTGTCGAGGCAATTGGGCCTCAGATGCGGGAAGCCATGAGCACCTAACATGATAAAACAGGTACATTTAAATAAGCAAAAAGTAAATATATAAATAAATATTTATTAAAAGGTATCAGTATGTTGTTTTTTACCTTGGGGGTGTTATATTGAAGGAATTGTTCGCAGTGGAGACTGGCGGGTGTCAGTCGTACCTTCCAGCCTTCATTCACTGGAACCCTAAGGAACATCGAAACCTTCCTTGACCCTTAACTATGTACATTTTCATTGATGCAACGTGGCGCTTTATTCAAGACGCTTTCTCAAGACCTTCAACCGCTCGTTCTCGATGTCGCCCTCGGTGGTCCTCTCCTCGTCTGTCTCCAGGACTCTCAAACGGTCTCTCTCGGTCCTTGGACCAACTTCGTCCTCCTTTGTGTCTTCCTGAAGCGGCACGATATTCTGAGCGACCTTAAACCTATTAAGATTCTGGAGGAAGTCACCGCTCAACTCGTAATCCTTCAACACTCTCTCGTTCGTCACGCCTTCATCGTGGAAAGCGTTCAAAATAGCTGTAAGCGTCTTTGGGTGTATCATCGTTCGTGAATGTGGCTGCTGGGAATCAAGCTGGTCCTTGACCTCTTTCTGGCCCTTTTCATAAAGCGCTTTCCTATTAAGAAGCTGCTTCAACGCTCTCACATCCAATTGTTGCTGATTTGGCCCTGCAGCATCTTCACTCTTAATCTGGCGTCCAAGCTTACTAATCGAATCAATAAACGCCTGGTCGGCTGTAGGATCCATACCATCCTTTCCGTGTGGCACATTACCCTGGCCCTGTGGCGACTGCTGCTGGAACCTGTGCTGCGATGGTACCTTAGAAGTCTCCTTCTGACTTTCAGTACCCTCCTTTTTTGTCTTTTCTGGGCCCTTCGGCGTCTCCTGCCCTCCCTCTGCTGATCTCTCGAATTGCTCCTTGAGCTCCTTGGGTGGAAGATGTGCCCTGGAACTCCTCAGAATCTTGTCAGTATTGACGATGTTCTTGGTGAGCTTCCGTGCTGGCCTCGATGCAGAGCTTCCCATGGTTTATAGTGGCGGTTTAAGTTGGCCAAAGGTGGAGTAGATGGGATGCTTTAAGTAGTAATACTGTTAAATGTATTGGCTCATCAGGCTGCGCGCACTATGATCTGGGGAACCCACTTTGAACGAAGAGACAACTGAGGAGGGAGTGTTTCTTGGGTTATGACGTTTTCTAAGTTGAATCTTGGCCTCCTCGCTTCTAGGCAATATCCATGGCTTTCCGCTTTGAACCTGGTTCCCTGTAAACTACTTGGATCAACCTACACTATCCACATCGTCTAGATGGTTTATTATTATACAAATGCAAATGCTGTTGAGCTGCTGGGCTCTGCCTGCCTTAAGCCAGGCTCTTCTTTTCCTTCTTCTTCTTATCCTTCTTATCTTTCTTCTCTTTCTTGTCCTTTTTCTCCTTCTTCTCCTTCTTATCCTTCTTTTCCTTCTTCTCAACAGACTCGTCCGAAGAGACCTTGGCCTTCTTGATCACCCTGCCGTCCTCGTCTAGTCTCAGCTCGGCAATAGGCTGGGCCTCCTTGAAATCCTTAGCGCCATATCCAGTAGCGAAGTGTCTCATCTTCAAGCCATCGATCTTCTCAACATCTTCTCTGGGAACAGTAACAGCCCCAAAGTCGATCTTTGGAATATCAACAACCTCTCTTATCGTGTAGTATCTGTCGATGTGCTTGCCTCTCAACTCCTCGTTGACGATGGCGTATTTAGCGTTGTCTGAAGAAAAGTGTTCCTCGTTAACCTGGTACTTTGTCTTGTCCACCTCAACTGGCTTGACACCGTCATTTCTAACCTTTCTGGAAGTGAAAGAAACAGGCAATGTCTTCAATTTTTTAAGTGGGAATCCCTTGGGAGTCTTGATGAGCCAAACCTCCTTGTCGTCCATGGACTTTGGCGCTTGGAGGGGAACCTTAGTGAAACCCTTTGGAGGCTCAAATTGGGCATCTTCATATTCAGACCCACTTTCGGAGTCGTACACTCTTTCGTCTGACTTGTGGGATGGAGCCATTGTGGAGGGATCGAAAGAGCTAGTGATAATAGTCGATGCTCATCAGAGATTTTTTTGAGCAGAGTAGGGTAGTATGCAGGTTGGTGTTAACTATGGTACTCTGGTCCCTCTATAAAAGTCGGTCTAGGTAGGAAAAATGGTATAGTGTTTTTCTATTTCTTTGAAAATATAGCTGAGAGTGAGATCTGTCGTTTTCATGGCGTTTGCAGGGTTTACGGTTGTGTGGTTCGCACCTGAAACCAACTTGAAAGAACAGGGTAAACTGTCACCAAAAGACCACTAAGTTTATATCTCAAAAACGAATTATATTTGTATAGTATGTTAATAAGCTAATACATTAATGCTTTGTTCCTTTACTTCGTGTGTTTAGGCCCAAATGCTGTCAAGGTGGGCCATCGTCCCTTCCTGTCCAACCTATGAACTTCCACTGCTTGAAGACCAGGCAGGCACCATTTCAAAATGGGATAGATATCATGTGCTCTTCGGTTTGCGGTGATTTTGATACCGCTCAGTCCTTCTTGCTCATCCATACGCCCATAGTATCCGGTCCTCTTTCGTGCAGAGCCAGAAATGCCCCTTTAAAAGCTTCTTCTGACACGTCATACGGTTACAGAGCTATTTAAGCGCTTCTATGCTACTTAAAGCTCCCAAAATCATCAAATTCTTCCTCTTTCAAGCTTGTTCTACCTATATATGTCAAATAGGCATGGCTTGCGTATTGTTCTACGCTCGGTTATGTATGATTTACTATCTTGCGCAGCTGCGGCGCATGAACTACCAGAAACAAGCCCAATCTTGGCTTTTAACAATATGAATAGACTTTCTGAGGCCAGTAGAGTCCATCAGAATTCATCAATGGTTTTATCAGACCCCAAAACAACTCAAAATTGTATCTTTCTATGGATATCTGGGTAAGAGAGGTGCGTGGCCTGCAGGCCTGGCTGCAAAATCTGGGGTATATAAGAAGCGCATTTGTGATTTCCCCAGGTTTCTTCTCCCTACCACCTTCTTTTCGTTCAGCAACCACCCAGTCACGATGAGATTCGATCAGCAAGTTCCGACTTTTATTTGCCGACCCTTATCGTCGCCGAGCGACCACTCGGGGCCTCAGCCCCTCCAGTTTAGAAACGGCGTTCCTTTGAAGCAGTTTCCACCCAACCATTTCCCACAGAAGTCTGCCAACTTCTCTCACAACCCCTCCACCTTGGAGATGACCACCTTCTCACCCGTCGCCTTTCCAGGCGCTGATGATGCCCCTTCTTCCCCTAAGAAGAAGAGCTTTTGGCGTCGTCTCTTCTCCAGGAGACGCAGCCGCAAATATGATGATGCTACCAAACCAGATGATAACCACCACGAGAAAGCCTCTTTCACTTATAAGAGACATACTCCGATCACCACCAGGCTGGCCCATGCCGCCGACAAGCACGTCGTCGTTCTCAAGGACGCCTTGGGTTTGAACACCCGCGTTGACGACGAAACACCCAAGCCATATGGCACCCCGGAAGGCACAACCTATGAAGCCTTCCAGCGCATGAATGGCAACCTTTTCCCTTCCCTCGAACCACATTCGTTCGTGATGAAGCCCATTGACTCGACGACTAACGCCTTGGAGTTTAAACAAGGCAACCTTAGCGCCACTTTCAGACTCAAGTCTTTCCGCTTGCAGAAGTCAAGCGATGGTTCTCTCTCTTGGAGGCCTTCTGCCGAGGTACCCCGGGAGTCTCCCTCCTCTCGGATAGAGCTCGACAAGATTGCCGCTGCTGCTTTTGAAGAGAGACCCGTCGCCCTTCCTGATCTTCGCTCGCTGGAGACTTATGCTCTGGTCGGCTGTAGCCCCGTCCCTAAGTGGGCTGCCGACATCGCCGAGCTTCGTAAGAACATCCCTGATGCAGAGAATCTTACCATCTTCCAGGCGCTTCGCTTTGCCCAAAAGGCAGAGAAGAATCCTGTTCTTGCCGAGCTCATCAAGGAAGTCGCCTACAATGAGTTCATCAACTACGACACTGAGAACGTTAAAGCCTTGAAGGCTGACGGCGCCTTTGCTCGCTCACCTCGTGAGTCTTTCGCCGGTCATTTTGAGGAATTGACTGCCAAGTACGTGTCGTCCTCGTCGCCTTCCAGCACTGGGGTCCCCTCCTTTAGACCCCGTGCCGCCCTGGTCCACACCTTCGTCCTGCCTTCCTACAGCGACAAGGCTGTTGATGGCCAAGCCCAGGCTAAACGTTCTAAGCGTCGTCGCCTTTCCTTAGCCCTTGGTCGTCTTTCTCGTCGTTGGTCCTCTCGTGCTAAGCTCTTTAGGGAGCACTGGCGTGAGGACAGAGTCCACAGGGACTCTGCGAAAGAGACTAAGAGAAGCATCAAGGTAGAAAAGCGCAACATTGCTTTGTTGGACAAGGAAAAGCAGTTGTTGCAGTTGCAGTCTCAAGTTCTGAAGGCCTCCCACCAGAAGGCACAAGAAGAGAAGGACCACCAGCAGGCCGAGTACCACAGACAGCTCGCCGCTAAGCAGGCCGCTCAGAGAAGAAAATTGGAGTTGTTGGAGAACAAGGCTGTCGCCGCCGAGGCTGGTAGAAAAGTTGCTGCCGCCTTGAAGCGTAATAAGGTCTTGCTCGACAACGAGGTCAATTCCCAGTTCGAGAAGGTTTCTCCCCAAACCTCATCAAAGACCTCCTCCTCCAAACGTTCTAAGAAGAGCACGTCGACGCTGATGACTACTCCTACAGTCAGTCCTTCTGTTTCCCGTCCAGGTAACTCCTCTTCTAAGGTATCACCAAAGCAAGGCCTTGCTGGCAAGGACCCCAATGGTTACCTCGATGACAGAGAGATGGAGGAGAACCCTTGGAACATTGGTGGAGACGTTGAGCTTCGCAGCGTTATTGCAAAGGAGAGACCGCTTCTTGGAATCAAGCCCAAGAAGACCGTCGTCGGGTCTCGAGTCGTCTCCGTTGCCTCTTCTGTTCATTCTGAGGAATCGGAATTGAAACCTTTTGTTCCTGTTCCTTACAGGCCTACCACTGATGCCTACTATCATGGCTTTGCCATTCCTCGTGTCGACGCCCCTCCTCCTCCAAGACCTACGGGTGCTCCCTTCTGGGAGAGGAACGAGTGGGTGAAGAACCGCATGGCCATGAAGGGTAAGATGACCAGATACATCGCTACACCTGAAGAGGTGTTGCAGGTCAAGGCCAAACTCAGGTCTATTCCATTTGCCATGGACTGGTAATACGTGCACTTTTCGTGTGATCATTTAGTCTCGTTTTGACTTTCTCGTTGGTTTATCATCATCATCATCATCATCATCATCATCATCATCATCATCATCATCATCATCATCATCATCATCATCATCATCATCATCATCATCATCATCATCATCATCATCATCATCATCATCATCATCATCATCATCTACGTCGTCGCCGTTGGCGCCATCACTCCCATCGACCTTACCCCCTTTGCTGGTGGCTCTACTCTCTGGCAGGAGAGTAGCTGCTCGCCAGGTATATCAATAAAGTTATTTAATAGTTCGTGTAGCACCTTTTCTACTCTATGCCCAATGGGTTTCGTTGTCCACTTAACCCATAAAGGCTGTGACGTGTCATCTTGATGTTGTTACCGTTTAGGAAGGTGTTTTAGGTATATCTGTCCAGTTGCCCAAACCGTTCATGGTCTGAGAGAGGTAACTACAAACTTCTCTCACCATGGAAAGTCCAAAAGAACGATAGATAAGAGGTGCGTTGGCCACCTTTCTTCCCGTATCCCTCTTCCGTTTAGTACTCCAAATTTTATAAGTCCAAAATCCAAAGATGTCCCCTCCGTTTGATGTTCTTTTAGAGCTTCCAGGCCTCATCCAACCTCATGCGACCAACAGAAAGCTATATCTGAGAGTGGTGCTAGTAGTACATAGGCCAATAGAAATTGACACCTTTACTTTGAATATCAAAGGTGTTTCGAAGTTGACGTCCAGAGGTGGCAAGGTCGATAAAGAAGAAGTGTTCGCCACGGGCACATCCAATCTCTTGACTGGAAGAGAGACAACATACGACGAAGGTACTTACACTTTTGAATCCACGTTTATGTTTGCAGACATAAGAACATTTCTTCCCTCCCAGCAGCTTCAAATGCCAGATGGAGTGGTTTCCACTTTTGAGTACGTGCTCAGGGCAACCTGTAAGACGGTTGATGAAGTCGAGATGGAGGTGGTAAGGCCCGTACAAATCAGACCAGCCTTGCAAGACTTGCTGTTGGATACCGAATTTTTTGCATCCACCGAAACTCGTCCACCTTGTGTCTCGACAGAATTCACTCGTACACTTGGTAAGGCCAAGAGGGACAACATAATCACCAGAGCCATCACAGATGTGCCTTTCCGGATTGAATTCGCTTACAACCGCAAGTATCCAGACCTCCAGTTCACTTCTACAGATAATGTCTACTATCAAAAGGAGAACTTGGCTGACTTCATTGACGTCTACATCTATACTCCATTTTCAAAAGCTACCATTATGAAGCTGTATCACGGGAAACGTTGGAGAAAGACAGCATTGTTGGCTCCTACCTTGAAGCTACTGATGAGCGATGTGAATTTGAAGCAGCGGTTTGTACGTGAAGGTAAGACTGTTGAGGGACACTCGCTTGTGTACCCATTGCTTGAGCGTGAAAACTACATGGCCGTTGGCCTTGAAAAGTTTGAGGAAGTCAAGAGGACTTTTCCATGGACCAACGTCAAACAACAAGGTCTTCTTACGGACTATGAGTACCGTTTTAAGCTTCCTAATCGGTTGTTGAGATGTTGTCTTGATACACTGGCCCAATCGTACTACAATAAGCTTTTGAGTCTGTACATTACGCTATTCATCAAGTTTGAAATCTCCTTCTTGCCTGACCTTCCAGACCAGCTGATTGAATTGGAAAGCCGGATTCTCTTGTTGCCACAAGACAGAAAGAGACTTAGGCAGATTGAGGAGGAACGTGGCATTCGGTGGTATGATACTGAAAGACCAACGGTGTTGCCTCCGTACACGAAGGATGATGAAAAGAGAAGTGATCAGTTTTGGTAAGTACTTAAAGTGTATCATTTTTTATATACGAATTCGTGCAAATTAGGTAGTCGTAAGAAAAAAGCAGCGGTGAAGAAAATGAAAAGAATATGCGGTAGCTCACCACTCAGGCGTCTGTCTCCATTAAAGACAGCGTGCCATATGTAGTGGGCTCAAAAGATTTGAGAATCAACCTCAAATGTGCTTCACATTTAGAAAAAGTAAAATCTCTTACTCTTTGGGATGAGAGGCAAGCTGGAGTTGCTCAACTTGTTAGTCTCTGGGTTGTAGTTGATGGTGTCATCGCTTTGGACAATGAGCTCAATCTGGTAACCTCTGGCCTTGTTTGGACACTCAGTCTGGTTGTTGTTACCCCAGTGAACGTAGTATTCACCTCTGAAGTTGTTAGCAGGACAAGCCAAGAAACCAGTAGAGTTCTGGTATGTCAACTTCTGGTGGGTGATACCAAATCCGCTGCTAGCGTTCACAGCAGATTCGGTGGTGGACAATTGGTAAGTTTCTGGGTTAACGTAAACGTTAGTGTTGTGTGGCTCAATCTGAGAAGCGTTTGCAGACTTGTTGGAGCCAGGCAAGTTCAAGATGTAGTCGTTGTTGGCCTTGATTCTGCCAAAGAAGGCAGTCTCGTCTGTGTTGAGCACAAGGTCATAGCCGTCCCACTTCAACAAGTAGTACTGGAAAACAGCACCTTCGTGATGAGCAATCACCGAAAATACCGGAGAGCTTGGTCTATAGAGACGCTTATTGATTGGAAGGGCAGTGACAGCCGAGATGACCACGAGCAAGTATGTAAGGAAAAGTTGCATAATATGTGAAATCAGGAAAAATCCGATAGGGAAAAACAGCCAGCACCAGGAAACCCGACGAATATATATATGTCCAAAAAAGACCCTGTAGGTCTGCAAAAAGATGCAATATATGCAGTGAGCCAGGCACCGGCTGGCAAGTAGCAGAGGTTATGAGAGTGACTTTCCGAGGCTGAGACACTATTTTTGGCAGCGACATCCTGCGTCGTGACGTGGAAGACGTGTGCGATGGTAATGACATTGCCCAATTAGGCAATAATTTCTCGTCCGAAGAAGGACATGGCTCTCTAAGGCACCCCAAGACGTGTCTAAGGTTTCTTCATGGAGAACGTTGGAGGGGACCCGGAGGGTGCTTGTTTGACCTTTCCGCTTTGGGTTAGCTAATTACCTTTGAGAGGCTTTTTTAGTCTCGAAAAAGAATGCCACTATACTACGGAAGCATTCATCATCGAGTGAATGGACACCCGGAAAAATCATCCAAGACTAAGAAGCAGAACCGCTTGTTATCAGACGACATTCAATTAATACTTGTCTTTTGTGCACTACGCACACGTTGGCTCTTACAAAATCCCGTTCCACCTCTCTGCAAAAGCTGCATAAGATGCACACACTAAAGGCAGTGCAAAGTGTACTCACGCTAAGAGAAGTGTCCGGTCACGGACCTCTAAAGCAACCTTCTATGATGTCGTGGTGGTGCATGCAGAACGGTCACAGTGAAGGCATTGCTAGTGGGCCTTGGCACGTGACTGTGCTTTGACGAAGGCACAAAGCCTCAGGAACCGCAAAGGTGAAAAGGACAACAAGGCTGAAGGAAATGTATGGCGGTTTCAGTTAAAATCCTGGTTTGGGCCGAAAATGCTCAAGAGGGGTTAACTTTTAAGGAAGTTTAGGTTTTATTCTTTTAGATCATTGTTCTAATTATTTTTGACACTGTTTTGCGAACGGCCTGATTTGGCCAGTTCTCAGAGTATAGTAGATTTTGCACTAGTATGACAAAAATTTACGAAACACTTGCAAAAATCCAGAATTGGTAAATTGCAAACATATGCAAGGGGAGAAGCTTTTTAAATCGATAAGCTATAAGTTTAAAGAGGTGGGGAAGAGAGAAATGTAATATAACCTTTCAGGAAATGAAAAATACATGGACGTTGGACCAAGATGGCGAAAAACCCGTACATCACATCACATCATGGCTGCCACAGTTAGCTTCAGAGTCAACGTCAACTAACACGGTCGTTTCGTAGGCTACAATATCGTATAGTGGCAAGTGCAAATAACTTAAGTCTATATAATTAACATACTTACAACTCAACACCCTTTGGACAACCCAAAGCAGCCTTCAAAGAGCCGTAGATGGTGAACTGCAAGGAGGTCAAAGTACCGACCATGACCAATCTGGTTGGCAAACCGGCGAAAGAACCACGGACACCCAACTGGCCGGCCAACTGGGCCAACAAACCGACGGTAGACTGGCCTGGAGCCTTCTTGGTCTTGTTAACCTTAGACAACAAAGTGTCAGCTGGCTGGGAAACAATGGCGGCAGCGCAACCGGCGATGATACCAGCAGACAAGTTGATAGAGGTCAAAGTACCCTGGGACAACTCGTTTCTTGGCTTGCCAACGAAACCGAAGATAGCCTCAGCAGCTCTCTCGAAAACCAAGAACTTAGCAATGTTGTAAGGAATCTGCTTGAACAAGATTGGGGTGAAACCGTTGTAGAAAGAACCAACACCCTCTTCCTTCAAGATTCTACCGAAACCACCAACCAAACCGTTGGCGAAAGATGGCTGAGAAACCAATCTAATTCTGGTGGCCTCCAATGGACACAAAGCAATGTCAGCGAAGAACTCGGCCAAAGCAGCAGAACCCATGAAAACAGTGTTCTTGTACTTAGAGGCGGTGTCGTAACCCAACTGCTCAATGAAGGTCTTCTTGAACAATTCGTAACCACCGAACTTGAAAGCACCCTGCAAAGAGTAACCCAAGACGGTTGGACCCAAACCGGTCAAAAGGGCAGAGGCACCCTCCTTGGAGATAACCTGTCTGAAAGAAGAGATCATACCCTTGTTGTAGACAGTTGGCTCCAATTGGATTCTGGTCTTAACGACATCAATTGGAGTCATGGCACCGTGGGTGATACCACAGCCCATAGCACCGGCAAGGGCGAAAGATGCATAGTCACCGACGGTGTAGTTTGGGAGCTTGTACTCAGACTTGGTGGCCATTTTAAATGTGGGAAGAAAAAGATGAAATTGCTTCTAAAGAAAAAGAGCTTCTGAATTTGCGGCACGGAAGAGTCGAGCTTAGATATATCGAGGAGTGGAAAAAAAAAAAATTCGCGGTGACGAATGAAGCCTTTTCATTGGCTTGCACACTCGAGAACGCTGCGTTTCTTTTCCCTCTACACAGTAATCTTCCCATGTGCCCGATTCACGCCGGGTCCAAGAAATGGATGTTACCGATCAGACCAGGGGGACGACAGGAAATTGATCCGGGCATACGATGGTTCAGGTTTTTCCGGCGACCCGGTTTGGGATCACTTGGAAACTCTCTGTGAGTTTCAACAAAGTAAGTTTCGTGGGATCTCCGAGTTTATACAACTTCCCCGAGCCCTCGGCATGTCTCAGGCGCTCGCCGTTTTGCACCCAAATATATTTCGAAACCCTGTCTTGGCTGCACCGGCTCTACACACCACCGAGTCTGATCTTTCTTACCTGTTGGCAGTTCTTCTCTTCATGTTGGGGATCGGCGGCAAAGCCCCGTAGGGTAAGGGCTTTCTAGTATTAGTCTGTTGCGGTGGCTCTGATCTTTGAGATGATGCTGGTGTCTGGGATGAAGCCGGAGTTTCGTCTTTACTCAGGCTTAGGGCTTCTGGATCGTAGTCATCGTCGTCATCAATAGGTTTAGCAGAGGCTTGCATAGCAGCTGCTACAGAAGGTGCAGATGGATGTGATGCTGCAGCCGAGGGTTGTTGAGCCACTGGCTCCTTTGGCTTTGGTGCTTCTGGTTTCTTGAAATTTTCAAGCAAGTACTTCATGAGCTTGAAGCGTAAGGTCTTGCTTTGGAACAATTCATAGGCAGCCTTCTGTCTTGCGCCAAGCGCCGTATTATCGGTGCCTGTACTGTAGTCTTCACCTCCGACCCTAAGAACACAAACAAATGGATCCTCTTCGACCGTGGCGAACTCATAGCGGATCTTCTTCGTAGGCTGATCAAAGTAGTTGTTCACACGAGTTAAAAGGAACTGGAATTCGGAGAGGGCCACAGCGTAAACGTTCTTCAAAATTTCACCATTGCTGTACTCTTGCTTCAACTTGACAAGCATGGGCTCGTAAAGGGCTTCGAGCCATCTTTTGATCTCAGCCGTGCTGTATTTCAGCATCACCAATGCCTGGATATATGCCAAAAACACGTTCTTGAAGACGACAAGCTTGTCTTCGAAGCCAAGGTCCTCAGAAATGCCATGTTGAAGCTCGTCAGTGAGATTGTAAAGGTAAGCAAACTTGGCCAAAATGAATGTAGATGTTAGTCTGTTCTTAACGTAAAGCACATCGTCCTCGTGGGCCTTATGAAGAAACTTTTCGTCAAGAATCTCAAGAAGCAAGTAGTCAAGCAACAGCTTACCCTTCATGGCCAACTTTCTATTATGATTATTGTTGAAGTCGTGATGGCCATCCTGGAATTGCAGCTCCAAGAAGTCTGGCGGTTGCCTCAAACTCTTATCTGTAAGGACCAACTTGAGCAAGGAGTTATCGTCAAGTGGCGGCAAGCTTGGAGGGTACATTTCAATATCTTTCGTAACCGCATTGCCGTTCTCTTCTTCCTTCAACAGCTCCTGGCCCTTAGGTGGCTTATAGTGCAATAGGTAACCCACATGGCGGTCAAACTTCACCGATTTGAAGTTGCATTTGGCCAAAGTTAAAATAAATGGTAAATATCCCTTATCACAAAGCTCCTTGATGCGTACCGCAACCTTGATCTGGGGTGTATTAACTGTAGCCTTGAGTCTTTCGACCATCTGAGGTGATGAGGCAAGCACCGGCGGGAGATTAGCAGGCGATTCCAACACAGCAAGCAATTCCTTATACTTGGCAACAGAAGGCGCTCGAGCAAGCACCTGGTTCAACGTAGCTTGGAGCTGGGAGATATGGCCCTTCATGTGGGTCAACTCCTCGAGCAGGTATAGGTCGTCAGACGCCGACATGAGAAGAACTAGGAGAAAGCGAAATTGAAATTGAGTTTTGAAGTTTTGGGTGAGAAGAAATGCAAGGGCAATGGAACCCTGGGAATGCCTGTGTTTTTGCTTTACTACAACGAGATCCTCGTGGCGGGAATTGGAACTGACTTGTGGGTGAGGTTCTCTACAAAACGAGTATATTGATAGACAACAAAAAAAAGCGTGCAGAGAGTTGGAGCGAGCTAGCCGGTCGTGTGCGACTCATAAAGTTGCTCGCGAATTTCAGAAAGCCAAGAACGATCTCACATCGCACTTGGCGCATACATTGACAGCTTCTGTGGAAGTATTGTTGACAGGAAGATGCCCAGACAATTGGGGAAAAGGGAAAGAATTCGCTGGTTCGGAGATCGATAAATTCACTCCGTTACAACCACCACCTGAAAGACTTATCTATTCCGCTTAGTACTTCCTAAAACGGGTAACTTGTCGCTTTTCCCATCTGACGCAGCCGTGGCTGATGAGATGACGTTCTTTAGCGAGCGGCCGCAAATAAAGAGAAACCAAAAAAAATCTTCAAACATATAATCCACACATACACAGCGGCTATCTTTGCTCAATAAAAAAAAAGAGAAAAAAAAGGAAGTTCATATTTCCTAGCAGAAACTGGCAACCCCACCTTTTTTTACTTCACCCATCCAAGTCTTCACTTGCCATTTATTCAAGCTTTCCTCAAGAAGGCCTCATACTACTCATAGCCAACTATAATGCTCCTTTGACATCGCCAATTCAATAACCCCCTTAAGTCACACTAGAGCATATTATAGAAAAGCAATCGGAACTACCCCATGAACACGAACTACTTTGCGGACGATTACATCCCTGGATCGACCAACATCTTCTCGTCGTCTGATGACTCTTCCAGTAACCATACCGGGAGGCCTTTGAAGAAGAACAAGAAGGGTGTTATTTTACTCCCGCAACCTTCAGACTCCGTCAATGACCCTTTGAACTGGTCGGCTGCGAGAAAGACGTGGCATTTCTTAGTGGTTTGTTACATCACTGGTCTTACTGCTGCCATTGCAAATGACGCTGGTGCTGCTCAGGAATCGTTGAACCAGTTTTACGGCATTTCATATGATGCCATGAACACAGGAGCTGGTGTTCTTTTCCTTTTCATTGGCTGGTCGTGTATCTTCTTTGCACCAGCTTCGTCCCTTTTCGGCAGAAGAATCACATACTTGATTTGTCTCTTGGCAGGAACTTTGGGATCGGTCTGGTTCGCTCTTTCGAGGAAGACTGCCGACACAATTTGGTCTCAGGCGTTCGTGGGCATGTCTGAAGCGTGTGCTGAGGCTCAGGCCCAGCAGTCATTGGCAGATATCTTTTTCCAGCACCAGTTAGGTTCGGTCTTGACTGTGTACATTTTGGCAACATCGGTCGGTTCATTTCTTGGACCATTGATTGCTCATTTAATTTCTGAAAGTCAAACCTTCCGTTGGGTAGGCTGGTGGGGCGCCATCATCACAGGTGCAACTCTTGTCTTGGTTTTATTTACCTGTGAAGAAACTGTCTTTGACAGATCCAAATACTTTCCGGTGTATGAATCGCCAGAAGAAGCTGTGGCCATGATTGACGACCCAGAGAGAGACTACAAGCCTTTGAGTGAAAAGGAAAAGGAGGCCAGCGAACCCACTGCCGTTACTTCAGGTACTGAACTTGCCGTGGAAAGAACTAGAAGAAGGTCAAGGCCTGCGGTCACCGAGATGGATGAAGAATCTGGATTAGAGAAGGAGAAGCCAAACTCCTATTTGAAACAGATCGCCATCATTACACCCTCTGAATACATAAAGGGTACTGGTTTCAAGCAGTACATTGAAAGATTTCTTGTCTACTTCAAGGTGTTCACTTTGCCTGCTGTCTGGCTTTCTGGTTTACTATGGGGGTTGCAAGATGCATACATGTCTTTCTTCCTCACAACCCAGGATACGTTTTTCTATGATGAACCATGGAATCTTACTGAGACTGGTGTGGCCGTCATGAACGTGGCCACATTGATAGGTGCCGTCATTGGCTGTATCATGTCTGGTGTGTTTTCTGATAAGCACGTTCTTTGGCTTGCAAAGCGTCATGATGGTGTTTACGAGCCGGAGTACAGATTATACCTTCTTTTCATCACTATGATCATTTCTCCAGTTGGTTTGATAATGTTTGGTGTGGGAGCCGACAGAGAATGGCCAGGCTGGGTTGTATACGGAGGTCTTGCTCTCATTGGGTTCGGCTGGGGTTCTATTGGTGATACAGCCATGTCCTACTTGATGGATTCCTATCCAGAGATTGTCATCCAGGGTATGGTGGGTGTTTCCATCATTAATAACACCTTGGCTTGCATTTTCACATTTACATGTTCCCTTTGGTTGAACTCTGCTGGCACCCAGAATACCTACATTGCCTTGGCGGTTATTGATTTCGTCTCCATTGCCTTCATTATTCCAACTCTTTACTGGGGTAAAAGCTGGAGGAAGTGGTCTAAAGGTCTTTATGTCGAATTGGTGGAACTTACACAAGGTATGGGCTAATATTTTAATAGCATCGTTAGATGATTGATTTATACATATACACATACATTACTTAGGTGACTAAACGTAGACGGTAAGCCACTTTTTACAAGAGGCTTCAATATTTTCTGGCCTTCCTGACACAACTAACAGCATAAACAAGCTTAATCCAACATGGCTTCGCCGTTATCCTGGGCAGCAAAGGCGCCGGAATCAGCGCCGTTATTACCGTTTTGCTGATCAGTGCTCATGTAAGCAGACAATTCAGCATCCAAATCCTCGGCAGTCTTTGCAGCAGGTCTTGGTTTTCTGGGTTGTCTGGGCTTCTTCTCTCTTGTTCTTGCTCTGTGTGCTTCTCTGGCTTTTGGTGCATCATCACGCTCTCTCTCCGCAATTCTTGCAGCGTCTCTTGCATTTCTTCCAACGTGGTTTCTTCTAGGATTGGACTGTGGGGCTATTCTGTCTGCCAAAGAGATGGCGTTTTCAACCACCAAAGTTTGGCCCATGGCCTTTCTGCCATCGAACTTCTGCACAGCTTTGGCATTGTTATCACTGAAGTTCAGCTGGAAGCAAACGTATGCAACAGCTTCATCTCTTGGGTCAAATTTGATAAAGTCAACTGGAGCAACGCTGAAAAATAAGTTGGAAAGATCCTCACCATTCAAGTCTGGATGGACGTTCTTCAATCTCAACATCGGTCTGCCATCAGCACTCTTGAGAATCTGGTCTGGGATTGAGTTTCCGCCTCCGAATCTTACGGGCTGATTATGTTAATATTCTGATTTGCTCCGAAAAGTTCACTTTACTATTCATTATTCGTTAGTAAGTCTCTGATCTATACATACTGGTCTCCTTCCTCCAGAACGACCTCCTCTTCCCCTTCTATCCAGGGAGCCGGATCTTCTGGGCCCACGCTCGTTTCTCCGGGCCTTTTGCTGGTCCCCGATTATATCATCCAAGGATTGTTCTAGAGCGTTGGACATGTGTGTTATAGGGTTTTGAGTTTGGAGTATTGAGTTCGTTGAAGTGAACGCGATAGAGAAAAAATGATTCGGGTCACGTGCCGCTACTTGGAGTTTGCAATAGATAAAGTCGTAAAATAGCAATTAGGCTGAAATAAAAAAAAATAAATTAGCCGGTATCAAAATTCGATTCTAGGCTGCTTTGTTTTATCTAAATCTGCTTCTTTGATGTCTTATAGTTCTCGTGCTCTTCATACTTGACCCCAGCAAACTTTCCGTCGGCCCCATACTCTTCAGTTCTCTTTAAGAAGTCCAATGGCACCAATTTAGGCCAGTCGACAAACTGGTAACCGTTGGTAACAAGGTAGGAAGCATTCTTCAAGAACAAGTAGAGGCATCCAGTGACGATAAGGATGTTTTTCCAACTGAGAAGAGAGCCGGTTGGGTAGATCAAAAGCGAAAGGAGCACAAAGAAAGAGGCACCAATAATGTATGGAAGCAACTGGATGTATGGGGACCTCTTGTCAACGAACGGACTATGAAGAGAGTCGCGGAAAGGTCTGTAGTTACCCAAGAACAAATCGTAGGCGTCCTGTCTGTGACCATCCTTGAGGTTATTGAGGTAGTATCTTGTGATAGAATTGTTCAAATCTTGCAAAGCTCCCTGCTTAGTTCTCTTACCAGTTCTAGTGTAGTCAGTCTTCAAAGCACCAGTACCTGAGTAGGCGTTGGAAACTGCATCGGCATTGTCAGCCCAGAAGCTCTGGAAGAATAAGTTGAAGTCAGGATCAATGAGCTCCCAAGGTTGAGCAGGAGTAGGCAAGTAGCTAGTCAATTCAAGCTGTCTTTGCAAGACCCAACGACCCAACATTGACTGGACAACATTGGTTCTGTCCAAACAGTCCATACAGTTGGTTCTCACGACCTTGGTCTGCACATTCTTAACTGTGTTAGAAGCGAGGTCATAAGCGAAGAAGCTGTCATTGGTAAAACCCAATTGAGTCAAGTGCTCGAGTAAAAGCTTAACTCTATCCCAACGCATCTTGCTACATTCGTGGTGGAAGTCAAAGTAGATGTACTTCACATTGGCAGCGATCGAACCTGGCAAGGTCTGGACAGCTTCTTCATAGGCATCCTTGACTGGCTTTTCGTAACCGCTTTGGTTCACCAAGTTAACCAAGTAGTTATCACCGTAGAGTTTAACTTGCTGCTCGAAGTGCTTGGCAGTTGCGTCTTGCGAAGGTCTCGAAGAGATGGCCAAGTTTGGCTTATACTTCAAGTCGTTGATCTCAGACCAGTACACTGGAACGGAACCTCTAGTCTGAAGGAAGGCAAAGATCTGGTTATTTGATGAGGTGAAGATCTGTTCAGTCTCATTGAAGTTGGCGACATTGCCGTCCTCATCAATACCACGACGGAAGTATCTCGTACCGGCACGTGTCCAAGCACGACGAGTCAAAAGAGCAAAGTCCAACTTCTGGTGGCCCTTGAATTCGGCCGAATGGGACTTGAAATAACCGTAAATGACCGGAGTGACAAAAGACGTGGCACCAGAAGCAATCAATTCTTCAGACAAGTACTGGTTCCAGAAGAAACGGGAGTCCCAAGTGGAAATGCCATCAGAAAGCTGTCTCTGCAAGGAATTGGTCAAGTCGTAGCCATTGTCAAGCGAGAAGAACAAGGAGGCCAGGTTCAAGTGTTGCTCCAATAAGGCCAAGTAGCTCGACTCCTCGGCATCCTTCTTGGAAAGTGTTTCGTTGCCCAATGGGTAAATCTTATGGGACACAACCTTGGCGATTTTCTTACCCAAGATCAGACCGGTAACCTCATGCTTGTCGACCAAAACAAGGTACTTGTTGATTCTAAAACGAATCGTTCCCAAAACTGCCGAAACTGTGGATCCGGTTCCCTTGGCAACGACATCTGGGGAAGACGAAGACACGGTGGAACCTTCAGAATTCACCAACAAGTACTGATTAGCCAGCGGCGAGAAGAGCACATGAGAGCCGTCGGCACTCACAAAGTGTGTTAAAGACATAGTCTGGACAGAAAAGAAGTAGGAGCTTATCGAAAAAGAAGAAGTTGGGGCTGCTGGCAGTGTTGATGTCATGTGAGAAGGTTCGCGGCTGGCAATGGCCATGGCCAATAACTACGGGCAACCAAATCGGGGAAAAGGAAGAAGAAGGAGAGCGGGGCAAGAAAGAAATGTCAATTTAGTGTGATTTGTAAGAAGCCTGAATTGAAAGCTTCTTTGTTCTTTTCTTTCTATTTTTTTCGGTTGGCCATGCGGCTTATAGAAGGTGGAAGCTTCGCTGCGTTAGGGGCTCTGGCAGCAGAGCCTGGGATGGGAAAGATGGGCAACCGAAAGAAGAAAAGGTGGAGTGTGGAGTAGAGAAGAAGTTCACTGACTAAGCTTTTATTGGCCGTTGGAAGACTTATCTTTGAAAAGAGAAGGGGGAGGCGGGGGACATTTTTCAAATGGTTCAAGGTATTTCGCAGCCATTTCCAGGGATGAAAAAAGGTGGGGAGGGAATGTCCAAAGAGGAATACAGAGCAAGGGAGTTTTGAGCCACAAAGTGAACCTAAGGATCGAGATTGTTTATGTTGGTTTTGGGCTGTTTCATTTGATGTTGGGGTTTTATTGATTGGGATTGAACCGATGTAGGTATATATTTCGGCCTTAGAGAGGGATACACTATTTTTCAGAGGACATGGTTATTCATGGCTGTACCAAGCAATTCGAATAGCATGTGCATCAGCTGAACAAATGAAAAGGTTATCTAAAACTTTTGGGCAAATCCGTACTGTAAACGATCGCTAACGAAAAAATAAGCCTGAAAATGTGCCATCTTATCGGGTTCGTCTGGGACTATATGCTATTGAACGATCTGAGACAACCTCCTTCTCGTATAAGACACTTCGCCGGATGACCATATTTTTCAGGGCATTAAATCTTAAGAGAATACTGTCCTTGCCAATAAATCTCCACTGTGGCGACAATACCAAAACCTTTGATCGGATCATGGGACATGTTTCGGTTCCTTATCCTACCTCGTTCTATGTGTGGCGACACTTTTCGCAGCCATTAGACTACCAGCTGAACTGTCCATACCTCCACAACTACCCAAGAAACATAGCTTAAAAAGCAAATTTGCTCTTTCACAAACCACCACCGTCATTCATTTGTCACACCTTATTCTTTCCGGGTATACAGCCAAATCGGGCTCATCCTATAGCTCTAGCTCAATCCATCCAGACCTCCCCATACTTCGCAATCGCACCAAAACCTCTCCACCACTTCAGTTGCCTTCAGAAGGTATAACCACTTTACGTCTATTCCTCATGTACAAGCTTAGATCAACTCTTCCTGGCCATGAGCTGGATGTGAGAGGCATTGCTGCAGTTTCAGACGAAAAGGTTGTTAGTGGCTCAAGAGATGGTACCGCAAGGGTTTGGGATCTCTCACTAAGGCTAGACACCAACCCGAACAACGAGATCTGTTTTCTGTCGCCAACGGGCGCTTTTGTCAATGCTGTCGAGTATGTGAATAGTGCTTTTACCGGTGATGTTGTTGCAGTGGGAGGCAAAGATGCTATCATATATCTTTCCGAGCTCCATGGCTCATTTGTCAAACCTGGGGACGACTTTGGCAAGTTTCAATTGGTTGGCCACCAGGGCAATGTATGCTCTCTTGACTTCAAGGATGATTCATTGATCTCTGGATCATGGGACTGTACTGCAAAGGTTTGGGATTTGTCCTCGTTCTCGGTGAAGTACAACCTTACAGGTCATGGTGCTTCGGTATGGGACGCCAAAATCATTGATGCTGCGGCAGACACATACCTTACATGCTCAGCTGATCGTACAATCCGTAAGTGGAAAGGAGATAAGGAGATTGCACAATATTCTGGACACAATGATGTCATTCGAAAGCTCTTGGTCTTGCCTGGAGGAAAACAATTCGTCTCTGCTTCGAACGACTGCACGCTAAAGGTTTGGGATCTTGAATCTGGAACTGTTTTACAGACTCTTCACGGCCATGACTCTTTCATTTATGATATTTCAGTTCTTTCCAATGGGGATTTGGTCTCCACGGCTGAAGATCGTTCTGTTAGGATTTGGCGCAATGGTAAAACACTCCAGGCTATAACATTACCATGTATCTCAGTATGGTGTGTTGACGTTCTTCCTAATGACGATATAGTTGTTGGAGGTTCTGATAAGATGGTATATGTCTTTACATCCTCTCCTGAACGTGCAGCCACTGAGGGAGGCATTCAAGAATTTTCATCATTAGTGCAGAATTCTGCTATTTCTGAGCAGTCAATTGATGACTTGAAAAGGACTGATATCCCAGGATACGAAGCATTGGAACGCGCTGGAAAAGAAGAAGGTTCTACTATTATGGTCAAGAGTCCTGCTGGTGTCATTGAAGCTCATCAGTGGTCTGGTGGTGAATGGGTCAAAATTGGAGATGTCGTCAGTTCGGCAGGCGGTAGCTCAGGAAAGAAAACTCATAATGGTAAGGAATGGGACTATGTCTTTGATGTTGACGTAGAGGATGGCAAGCCTCCTCTTAAATTGCCATACAACTCCAATGAGAATCCATACACTGCAGCCGACAGGTTCTTGGCGGACCATGAGTTGCCTGCATCATATAAAGACGAGGTTGTAAGATTCATTGAACAAAACACTGGAGGATTCCTGTTGGAGCAAGGCCTGGGTGCCTCGCAACCTGCTCCAGCTGCTGCTGCCCAGGAAGCACCATCCACCGCCACCCAAAATTTCAAATTGCTTCCTGAAAAGTCGCCCATAACCTTTAAGGATTTCAAGCCAGAGCAATTGATTAAAGGCTTCAAGAAGTTCAATTCAGAGCAACCTGAAACGAAAGAGTTCACTCCTCTGCAAATAAGAAGTGTGGAATCGGCCCTTAATGACCTCAAATCGAAGGATGCTCTTTTTATTATCACAGATATAGTTCCCAAAATCTTGTCTTCGTGGGAACCTTCACAAAAGCTTATTGGCTTCGATTTGCTAAGGGTGAGCATCCCAAGGGTCACTACGGTTGACTTGATTCAATCAACCGAAGCAGCCGAGGAGATTCTCAAGATGCTTTTGCAAAGTTTAGATGAAGTGAGCGAAGAAAACCTTCCCTTGGTGATGATGATCGCTCGTGTCTTGTGCAATCTCACAACCAGCACTTTGTTTGCCCAATTGTTCTTCACTGTGGACGACCATAATCAAGTAACGCTTAACGAGTATTACGAGGATTTCGTCAACAAAACGACTGTTGTTATCAAGATAATCACTTCATCTCAAGTTGCATCCGGTCACAAGCACTACAGTAACGCGTTGACGTCTGTCGCAGCATTCTTGTATGACCTCACCGCCTTGGTATCCAACAACAAGTCTCTTTCCAGTAACCCATCAGCGGGACTTGCGTTTTACGCTCTTCTTGATGATATCGCTGAAGACTTGATCAACGCAGATGAGGAAGCTGCCTACAGAGTATGTGTTGCATTGGGAAACTTATTGGTATTAAAAGTAACGTCAAACAAGCCTGCCTGGTACGACGCTTGCAAAAAGCTATACAGTGGGGCAAGATTCAAGGACATCTATAGAGATATCGATTTAGCTTAAGGCCCCAATCAAAGACATCACGAATTCGTTAGTAAAGGTACACATTTAGTAGAAAAGCTCAGGCACCTTGGGAACAAAGGCAGCTAGCTTATTGTGCAATTCCAAGTTTGTGTTGTCGGAGAAACGCGTCGAAGAGTAGAAGTGGATCTTATAATCAGATGCACTCACTTTGCCAATAATTTCAAAGATCTTGCCCACTTCTAGATCTTCACCTCCGTTTAAGATAACCTGAATGGGACCATCCGCATTGATGGTTGCCGTATTCGAACCAAAATCAATGTTCTCCACGCTTCCAACCACTCTCACAACACGACCGCCGAAGTCTTTTATCGTAGAGGCTAGAACTCTCACACTTGCTCCATCCATCTTGAGTATATAAAGAGTACAGTTAGATACGCGTTCTAGCGAAAGTGTTGATGATGGCGTACACCCGTGCACCATAGGTTCCACCATACCAAGGCAAAGACCATTACGGAGCTCTACAAACCATGAAGGTAATTTTTTATTATGAAAGAGACCAATGAAATGATACTTTGATATCTTTTCCTTTTGATTAGGACTACTCGCTGCATCATGGTTGTGAAGGAAATGACTTAGGGTCCAGCGATGGCCAGGCTACTTGAATGAAAGCCTTGAAGATATAGCATTTCCAGCAGGAAGCATGATCAAATGCCTCAAAATGTCCCCTAATGATTACATCTTTGGTTAGGATAGGCAGAGCTGACCAATTAGTCTACAGTGGTGAGGAGAGAAGTGGTTAGCATGACTGGCGTTTGGCTGCAAAATCTCACGAAGATCATGGTAGACGCCAAAGAGAACTATATTATGGCTACACAAATACACGAGACCAATCTTTAGATGTTGATAGTTGCTCTACAGCGTCTTCTACTGAATCACATCCAGCATGTTATCAAAGGCGTTGCTGGACCCCGCGAGATTTCACAAACAGCCGATTCACTCTCTTCACTAAACTAATCCAAACCTCTGGTTGAAGGAAGATACATTTTAGTTTGTTTAAAAGTCCTTACCGAGCGCCGTTGAGTTATGCAAAGGCGATTTGGGATCCGATCACAGGATCCAATTTCAAACTGCCCATGGGAGAACCCTAACCCTTCCACCAACGACGCTTCTCCGGAAACCCAAGAGCATTTTTTGGAAGCCGATCATCAACAAGTGGCAATAGCTCTTTACTCGTCATCGGATTTATCAGACATCGCCAATAGTCCAGATGAAGTAACTGTGGGGCCAGATCCAGGTAAAGCTTTGGTGCCTTATGAGGTAAAACCAGAGACATCCACCAAGAAACCCAGGTTCGGTTTAGGGAGCGATCATTGGCGTCTGATGAGCGGGCCCTTGTTCATCGACTCGGCTCCACGTAACGATGGAAGTTACCGAACGGATAGTGAAGACACAGACCTTGAGACTTCCGATCCGTTAGGATTGTTAAGTTGTACAACGGATTTGCTCAACAACGCAAGTGACCGGTTACTCGGCGAAACTGCTATTAGTCCGCCTTTGGTCCATTGCCGTTCTGGCGCCGAGAGCCCTCTTCCACCAAGAAAACGGCCTCGTTTACAACATCGCTTCAACAATTTCTCCCACTTCTTTAACAAGTCCCAAGACAACATACGAGAAACTCAGTCGAGTCCAGCGCCCCAGCTTCCAGCTGTTAACAGTAATAGGTTTGTTATGCAACCTAAGAGCTCGCCTGACGTCGTGCAAACAACTGTGCCAGGCGTTTCTGTCTTACTTCCTTCCATTCAAAGTCTGTGGCAGGGACCTAGAACCCAAGGCATACTGTATCAACAGCCATATTACCAGGATGATTTGAAACCAAGAATGATTACAACGGGACTGGTGACGGAGTATGTGAATTACGGTGTGGCCCAATACCCAATTCTAGATCGTCCCTTACAAAACATCGCAAAGAGGCGTGAACCTCAAGGGTATTACGATCCATCAACGGGTGTGTTTGTCATGCTGCAGTTTAGGATGAGCTTTGTCAGACTTATAGACCAAGATATATGTGTGATTAGGAGGATTCGATATGACCGTCCCTCCCTAGATATCCTTCAGCAGGATACGACGGAGCACCTCTTCCAAGAGAACATCTTCTTCAACGACAAAGAAATCTATGGCTATCAGTGGCTAAGGCTAAAACTCGATCAAGCGACAAAGGAACCGATCCTACTGACACGCTGTGTACTTTGCCCCTACTGCAAACAACTCCGTTTCTTTAACATACAAGACCCATCATTCTCGACGCATATGGCACTTTGCCATGGTATTTATCCTGATGGTTTCCTTGCACCCGATCCATTGTACGCTGGCATTTATACCATGACGACAACGACAAACTATAACAACAGAGAGGTGGTGGCAAACCAAAGTGAACATAAATGTGTGGTTTGTCCCGCTTGCTACCTTATAATCCAAATCAACTTCTGGGGAGAAGGTAGCGAGAAGGATGAATTGTCCTTCTACCTTCGTCATTTCACGGAAGCACACCAGGTTAAGATGCCAGGATTTGACTACTTTGACCAGCATGTTTGGGGTTAGTATAGCCGTTGATATTAAAGTTCATCTATTTTTGTTCGTATAATTTTCCTTTAGACGTGTATAAGTTTTTCCAAGAACTCCTTCGCTTCGCCTCTTTCCTCTGCCCTCATGAGAGACTCTCCAATCAAGAATCCATCGACATCGTCTTCTGATTTGTACTTAAAAACATCCTTTTCAGAAGTAATGCCAGACAAAGCCAATACAAGAACATCCCCCTTTCTGGAGCTATTCTTTGCAAGACTCACAAGAGAGCTGGTAGTCTTCAAATCGACATCAAAAGTCGTGAGATTTCTATTGTTAACACCAATGATAAGTGGGTCATCAGTGCCGTTATTGTTGGTCAAACCGAGGGCGATCTTCAACTCCTCGGCATCGTTCACCTCCACCAAAGGAATCATACCCAATGAAAGAGAATACTCGTATAATTGTTGCAATAATGCACCATCTTGAAGCATTTTCACAATAAGCAAAACTGTGTCAGCGCCCGCTAAACGAGCCTCAGCAATTTGGTATTTGTTGAAGATGAATTCCTTTCGTAAGACTGCTGGTCTCGAGTACGAGGCATCGTCCTCGCCCGCTACTTCCTCGTCAATGACTCTTCTCACAAGCGTTAAATCTTCCAACGATCCCTTAAACCACTTAGGCTCGGTCAAGACAGAAATGGTAGAACAGTGGCCCTTGGCGTACGTCAACGCTTGATTAGCAGGATGTGCAGAAACGTTGATATTTCCCTTAGATGGAGAAGCACGCTTAAACTCGGCCAAGATGATATTTTCCTTGTTGGATTTCGTAAGTTGGAGACGTTCATAGAAGTTAATAAGCGGTGGGGCCAATCCAAGTTGCAAAGATGTCTCTAAGTTGGCAAAGCTTCGACCAGGAATATTCTCGATCTTCTCGTAGTCCTCAACACGCTGTTTATAGATCTTGATAAGAATATTTTCCTTAGAGGAAGCTGGCTTGCTCTCCTCCCAAGTTCCACCTTCCATCTTGAGGATGTTTTCGACAAGAAGATGGCCGGCCTCAGACAAAACCGACTCAGGGTGAAACTGAACACCTTCAATAGTGTACTTCTTGTGCCTCACACCCATGATGACTTCGGGAGTAGTTGTTTCTGTCTTTGCAGTGACCTCCAAACAGTCTGGAATGGAGGAAATGGTACCTGCCAAAGAGTGGTATCTCGTAGCTCCAACACCCTGAGGAACACCAGTAAAGCATCCCTTTCCGTCGTGTTTAATTGCAGAAGTTTTACCATGAACAATTTCACCAGCGTAAGAAACTTCACCGCCGAAAACCTCTACCATGCATTGTTGGCCCATACAGACACCAAAAATCGGGATCTTTCCTTTGAAGTGATCGATAGCAGCCTTGGAAATTCCGGCATCGGTACTAGGATGGCCCGGGCCAGGGGAAATGAATAAAATATCTGGCTTTATTTCATTTTCAATCGTCTCGATATCGATTTTGTCATTTCTGAAGACGTCTACCTTCTCACAGAGCTCGGATTGACACAAATATTGGTACAAATTCCAAGTGAAGGAATCGTAGTTGTCGATCATCAAGACATGCTTCTTGCCAAATTTTCCTGCCATGTCGTTTTCTAATGAAAGTGTTTCTTCGGGTTCGGCGCCAGGAATGGAGAAAGTTGACTCAGCTCGAGGTGCATATAAAAGTTGAGCCTGGGTATTTTTCATGATATTGGTAGTCGCGAAAGGCCAGTGCTACGAATGCTACTGAGTGCTGATTCATTATAGATTTCTAGAATTTGTCTATGACTGATATGCAATTTTCTTCAACAACAACACACCTAAACACGTTTGCGACTTCTCACCCTTTCGCTGATTGGAGTTTCATCCTTAATTATATTTTGGATCTTTTCCTGCTTTCTCTTGGCTCTGTCCTCATCACTCTCGAATTCCACACCTCTGAGAATAATGGTACTCACAAGTTCGAGAATAAGCATGAAAAGTGAGGATAAAATGGCCAAAACATAGTTAGAAATCGTGACACCAATATCAAGCCATGATCCCTCAGTCTTCACAAGGTAGAAGAAATTCAACGACAAAAAGTCTGATGTGGAGATGATGAGGGTGGAAATGGTGAACTTCTTGATCTCGAGCTGATGGTTCATGATACCAAAGCATGACGACAAAAGAATATATGGGATGACCAATTTGAGCATGAGAAGTGCTCCCATAGGGAAGGGGTCAAAAATAGGAATCAATCTGTAGACAGAGTCCAAGGAGAATGACGAAATGGAAGCAACGTTACCCGTACCAAAGAAGGCGAATTGCAAGAAAAAGAAGCCAACAATCGAGACACGGATAGTCTGAAGCCAGTAACCTTCTGGTAAGTTAAGACTGTTCCGCTTAGAGTCTTCAAACTCTTGTTTAGTCATTTTCAATTTGGTTTCGATGTTCAACCACTGTAACAAGACCAATGAGAAACCCACGTAGAAGAAGAGCTCAAAGGAAATGGTCAAGATAATAAACGTTGGAACGAACGTCAAATAAATGATCAAAAGTCTAAGCTGGTAATCGGTGGAAGGACGGAGGAAGTACAAGGTAGGAAGCACGAAAAGTGAAACCAAAAATGTGACCCATCCGAGAACCTGCGAGAACAAAGGAAGACCATTCCTCGCCTGCAAGGATTTCACAGAAATGTTTGTAGCATATAATGTAAGCAACGAATCAACAATTTGGGCTCCAATAAGTTTCTTATTGTATGAGCTGACACCCCTCTTGAAGACGCTCTTTGCCCCAACAATGCCCACAACGACTGCTGCAACAGCACTGACATTGATCTGCCACAAGCTTTCAACCTTAACAGCGTCCAAGTTAGTAAAGATACACATACTGCAACAACTGATGAACCAAAGCAGCAGGACTTGAAGGTCAATTTTCTTCAGGACAAGGAAGGGATAAAGACCAATCATCACGAAAATTACTGAGAATATAATCCTGTTGAAGAAACCATAGACAATTCCTTCATACATTCCAATAAAACTGGCAAAAGTAAAGATTTTGACTGGACCCGAAATGCCAAAGAAGAAATCATGTATACCCTTGAAGAAAAGGGAGCTCTCATTGAAAAGAGTGTACCAGAAGTAAAGCGGGAAAGCCGCATACATGTAGTAGTTGAACGGGGAGTGCTGGTAAAACAATAAGTAATTGAGGGACAATGCGATACCACCAAATGCAACTAAGAGTCTCGTGGATGGAGGGGGTTGCTCAAAATCTTTGAGGATAAAGAGCTTCAAAAAGACATTGAAGGAGTAGCCAATCCAACCGAAGAACCCTAACGTAACGATCGAACGCAACAAGAGCCAGTTGTAAGTTTGTAAGTAGTTCAAACCATCTAACGATGCCTTCATAAGCTCCTCAGTAAGAGCGATTGCTTCTGCCTCGATAGCATCACTTGGGCTCAGCTCAAGCTTAGCAATGAGTTCAGGTATCTCAACCTTGTATTGAGCAATGGGTTTCTTGACGAATGGATCATACGGCTTGTACTGGAATTGGTGATCGTACACCTCACTTTCCTTGACAAGGTATTGCTCCAGAACAGCCAATGCATTTTCATACAAAGCTTTAACTTTACTGAGAGCAGAGCCGTCAATGTATGGTAATGGCAATTCGCCGACGGAATTCGCTGGGTAGTTTGCACCAATAAGATATGCCATCAATGATGCAATATCAGCCTGGTTCACATCGTGACGAGCCAAGTGATCCAATGCCCAAGTGTCAAAGTACTCAGCTTCATAGCCACTCGCAACTGGTTGTTGTTTAACCTTCTGGGCATCATCAGCCAAAACAGGCTTGTTCACACCAGCACCCCATGCAATCAATGGAGTTCTAGTATTGTCTGGGTGACCATCACCATGAGAACCGAAGTCAGACATTCCATGATCAGCTGTGAAAACAAATGCAGAATCTTCATCACCGAAAAACTCGTGAATCCGAGGGATAAGTTTTTCAAGCTCCTTATCAATATACTGAATATTGTCATAGTATTCAGCAGAATAGGGTCTGTAAGCATGTCCAGCAGTGTCTGGTCCGAGAAGATGCAAGAAAAAGACATTACCTTCTTGGTGCAATTCATTGTGAAGCGTCTGGTTGGTGGAAGACTGGTCCATCAACTCATAGAAATGCTTGAAAACGAAGGAGTCGAGCTCGATGGAGCTTTGAGTGAAGTCCTCAAACTCATGCCCGTACATACAGACATCAATTCTACCAGGTACCACATTATCACCGTAGGCAAACATAGGCAAAATATCTGGCGAGCCGAAAGAGTAAGTGTGCGTGGATTGGTTAAAGAAAGAATCAAAATCGACAGGGTTCTCTTTCCAACCTTTTGTAACAGCACTAACATCCTCGTAGAAGCCTGCAATCATAGCAACGTGACCTGGACGAGATTCTGTAGGCATTCTGGTATTCGAAATGCCCCAGGTTGCTTCAGTCTCCACCAAAGAACGTAAGTAGGGAGCCAAGTACTTCTCTTCACCTGTACCAGGGTGTAACAACTTCTTGAAAGTCTTGTCAGCTCTCAAGCCATCTCCCACAATCAAGAATAATCTCTTTGCTGGTGGTTCAGATGTTGACTTGTGTTGATCCATACCATGGACCAACGGTGAGACAAAGTAGATATCAAAGATCAGCCATAGGTAATAAAAGTGAAAAAGCACACCGACCACGATGAAAATCTGACGTTGTGAGATACTAACCATCGCAGACTGTAGCTATGAAAGAAGATGTGGTGGCTTCGGCAAACTAGTTGATGGTATGAAAAATTGAGGTTTATGTACAACTACCATGGTTCGCGTTCGCGTGTCTAGATATGGTGGTTACGGGGTTTGCGAGGACACGTTGCAGAGGAAAAACGTGCAGCATGTTCCACAAATAGTGTATTTTGTGATTTACAAGTCTCCTATTCATACTTTTGGCATATGCGTATGTCGAGCCTCTCATTCATCCTTTATCTTCTATATACGGGTGTTTTCTCGAGTTTCGATCTCGCGTTTGAGCTCACAATTCTTTCGAAACGTCTTCACCACGCTCCGAAATTCCTGTAGAGCTCGTCCGTAGTTCTGGAGAATAAGCATGTCGTTGAATAAGCTGTTCAGAAATGCATCCAAACAGGATGTATCGTCATAAATCGTATCGTGATGCCTCTCGTCCTTCTGGAATCTGAGATTCTGGTGTTCAAAGACAGCACTGCGGAAGGCAGCAAACCCACGCTCGTATTCGTGGATGCCTGAGGCATATCGAAGCCACTGTTCTGTTGTGAGATCTGGTGTGACGTGGACGGTGGGTGGCTCTGCAGTGAACATGAGTCTTCTTTCATCAAAATCGGGTGAAAGATCAGTGACTGTAATAGAATTGTTGCGTCGACTTGGTGCTTTGTTCACAGGAGTATGAAGCGTTTCGGCCCTGGCTCTACCATCACTGAATCCGTCAGGATTGGAATAGGTTCCAAATTTCGTGCGCTTGTTAGGAACCTTATGAACCGAGTTGCTCGACTTTCTGGTTTTTCCAGGACTTGGCGGTCCGTTCGTAGATTGACTGGTGGAGGTCCCAAAAGATCTCGGAAGAGAGTCAAGCATGTCCTTGAAGTTTGTATCATCAATTGAAGTACCCAATGACAGGCGCAAGTCAGACATGTCGATATTCCTTGCGTGCTTTTTATGTGCTGTGAACTCTTCACCGTGTTGGTCTTCCGCCAAGGGTCTTTTTGGGCTCGCTGGTCCATTTGAAAATCCCTTATCCTGGCTTCGGCTGCTTTCACCATCGTTGGACCGAACTTCAACTACTTCTGGTTCGGCCAGAGGGGTGTGTAAGCCTTGCTCCCTTTTCACCTTTGTATCACTCCCATTCAAAGTACTGTCACCATGGCCATTTCCGTCAGGAGGCGAGGCATGGCAGTCTTCAAAGTTATCTGACGAGTCAGCTTCATCTTCAACCACAATGGGTTCATCTTCAGCTCCTCCCTGTGAGAATTGTTGGCCATCCTCATAAACCTCCTCGTCACTTTCACTTATCTCATAAAAGTTGTCCCATTGGCGCCGCTGAGCATTCACTTTGCTGCGAATGTAGCTTTCCTCGTCTCGCGTCCTCTGTTGATGCTCTCTAACTCTCTCCCTTTGCTCTCGTAGCTGCTGCTCCATCTGTTCTCGCATCTTTCTCTCCCTTTGACGCCTCTCGAGCTCCTGTCTCTGTCTTTGAGCTTCGTACATCTGGTCTTGCCGTCTCCTCTCCATATCCTCTTTCATCTTCTTTTGCGCTAGCTTGGCTGCTGCCGTAGCAGCATCGTCGTCATCGTTTCTACTCGGTCTTTCATGGCTTTCAAAATGATTTTTGGCTGCATCTGTGTAAGCACGATAATTATGCTGGAAAAAGCTGTAGTATGATGTAGCGCCACCCCCATATGAGGTTCCAGGGGAGTAATAGGAAAAGCCATGATGGGATCTAAAGTTATTATTATAGGAGTCTGTATGTGACGACAGTGAAGCCTTTGCCACTGAAATGCCATTCTGTACATCGTAGTCTCTTCGGCTAACATCATCAATCAAGATTTCGTAAGCTTTTCTGATTCGTAGGAACATTTCGTGATGTTTAGCATCATCAGTCTTATCTGGGTGGTATTTAACAGCGAGCTTTTTGAACTGCCGTTTTATTTCGTCTTGACTTGCTGCGGGAGACACCCCTAGAACAGAATAGTGGGTTGAAGCCATAAGTTGGGTGTATTCCTCTAGCTTGATAACGATTCACGATGGACCATAAACGGTGTTTTTGTCACGTGATTAATGTCCATTGAACAGTAATTCCCTTTCCTGCAGACAAGGACTTATATAAAGTCATTACTAAAGGTGGTGAAAATATATTCTGAGCAGAGATGAAGAAAAGTAGTATATAGTTATAATATCAGGAATTGCAAAAGACCCAGATTATATACCCCGACAATAGAGGGGTAACTCATGAATAAGACTATGCCACTTCAGGGGTTAATTAAGGTTTGAGGATATATTTCCCTGTCAAGGGAGTGCATATAATGGAGATATCCAACACCCCCTCTTAGACGAAAACCTCAATCTATAGTATCAGTTCTTCTTGAGTATTCCTTAGTCTTTTAAAATCAGTTTGCTTCAAGCCTTTAGTCATGAGGTCAGCAAAATTGTTCTTTGTATGAACTTTCAATACCTTCACATTTGCCTTCTTAACTTCATCATTAATATAACTAAGACGAATCTTAAAATGCTTAGTACGATCAGAAGTAAAATGCTCTTGGTCACAAACATCCTTACAACCCTGGTTGTCCACATATGTGATAATCCACCGCTGTAGATTCCAAAGACGTAATTCAGTAAGTAGAAACTTTAACCAGTTAGCACTTCTAACACATTCACATAATGCATAATATTCCGCCTCTAATGAAGAAAGAGCAACTGAAGTTTGCTTCTTAGACTTCCAAATAACTGGAGATTCCTCAATGAAAAATATGTTACCTGACACAGACTTAAATGTCTCTTTGCAGTTAGCCCAGTCTGCATCGCTATAACTTTTGATATCAACGTAACGTTTTGGCTTGCTGACTTTTCTGTAACGAATTGCAAAATCTGACGTTCCTTTGAGATACCGTAATATTCGCATGCATGCCTTATAATGCTTCATAGCTGGCTTACTTGAGTATCTCGCTAACGCAATTGTTATGAAGGAAATATCATACCTCACAGTCGTACAGGCAAATAGTAATTTCCCGATTATCTCTCGAAACTTAGTGGGATTGGGATAAAGTTCATCAGTCACTAAAGGACATAACAAGTCTGACCACTCTGAATAATAAGGTGTTTCACACGGTTGAGAAGACTGATCCAAATGCAAACTAATAAGCTTAGAAATGTAATCCTCTAAGGATAATGTAATCACTGAATCAGACTGACTAACATTCATTCCCAAGAACTTCTTCGCTGGACCAAGGTCCTTAATCTCATATGCCATAGACAAACCTTGCTTAACCTTTTCAATAAGTTTAATATCAGAACTCATTATCAACATATCATCCACATAAAGAGCCACTAAGAGCAAAACACCACTCTCATACAAATAATAAAGACAGGGTTCCCGGACACAAGGAACAAGTCCAATAGACCTTAATGTCTTGGACACTTCCAAATTCCAGACCAAGGGAGCTTGCTTAAGTCCATATAATGCGCGTTTAAGCCTTAAGACTTTGCCCTTATTCTGACTTGTCTGTAGACCTTCGGGTACAGTGAGATAAAGATCAAGACCTAGGGGACCATTGAGGAATGCCGTTTTAACATCAATCTGATGGACAGTCATACCAAGATTAGCTGCCAAAGCAATTGACAATTTAATAGTATCATACTTAGCAACTGGTGAATAAGTTTCTTGATAATCCTTACCTGGCACTTGTGAGAAGCCTTTCGCGACCAACCTAGCTTTATATCTACCACCATCTTTAATGGTAAATATCCACTTATACTCAATCGGCTTACGACCTGAAGGTAAAGTCGTTTCCTCAAATGTTTCTTTCTCTCTCAATGAATCAAGTTCAGAATCTATAGCAGTTTTCCACTTATCAGCTTCATCGCATGAGATAGCTTCCTTATAGGTTTCTGGTTCAAAGCGAACTTTAGTAAACATAATTCTTGTAACATTGTTCCTCTCAAAAGCTTCAACAAACAGAGCGAGTGATTTGGAAACGTAATCATCTCCAGGAGTGACTGACAAGATCATAATATCTCCCCCTCTCAAAGAATGAACTCTGTTGTCTCTTTTGCCTGATAACTGACGATAGTTAAGTTTATGCTTCCCAGCAAGACGACTCAGCATACGAGGACTATGTTGACTTTCATCCTCAGTAGCCCGTCGGTTAATATTATCCTGTTCAGGAACTGCTCTAGGCAGCTCAACAGTCCCACTTCGTTCGCTTTGCGGGTGCAGTGCACCGTTATTCAAAACCGAATGTGACAATTCATTTTCCAGCCTGTCTCTGGAATCCTTATCACTCATGTTGGAAACATCCTCCTCACTTGTCTTATTTAAGGAGGTAAAACCACCATGCGGTTCAGTGGACTTTTCTTGCTGATTAGACACAACACTTTCATCAGTTTGGTCAACTGGAACATAATCTGGACTTAGCATTGAATCATCCTCTTCCTCAGGATCTCCGCAGAAATGGTTCGGATGACTCTCACTCATAATATGACTCTTCATAGAATCATGATCAACAGTCCAATGGACACCCAAGAATGGAAACTTCTTCAGTATAAATTTAACCTGATGAGTTTCAACAATTTGCTCAGTAAGTTTATCATTATCAAGGACTATAACTCTCGTGGCTTTGCGATTTAAAGCAGGGCCTAGCGATATACACTTACCCCCACGAGGATCAACCTTCTTACCAGCATTCACCTTGTACTTTTTAAAGTAACCTAAACAACCGAAAGGAGATGCTTCCCATAGTTCAAAACGTTCATATTTTCTTGGGATAAATATGACATAGGAATAATCCAATGATTCTGGGATTTCGGGCTGTTATTCAAGGTGAAAACAGCAGTCTTAAACGCTTCAGGCCAGAATGTTAACGGTAAACCACTCTGAAGTAAAAGAACTCTAGCTTTCGTCAGAATAGCACGAATGGCTCGTTCAGCGAGACCATTTTGATGTGAACTATAAGGTGTGGTAAATTTCAAGGAGATGTTGAAATGATCGAAAATATCTTTGTGTCCTCTCGAATACATTTTAGAACGAAACTCTCCACCGTTGTCAACACGAACTTGCCTGAATTTCTCACCGGGGAATTCATCAACTAACCTCTTAAGTATAGCATAAAAATTGCCAAGTGTGTCTTCCTTACGAGTCATGGGCGAGCAATAATACATCCTCGTAAACTTATCGACAACCACTAAACAAAACTTCAGACCATCAAAACCAGCTGGTGATATAGGACCACAAATGTCCGCATGCAAGTACTCCAAAGGATGGGTAGCAATGGTTTCTGATTCACGATCTTTACGAAAGTTGACCATGGTACCCTGTTGACATGCATCACAGTGTTCTCTGATGTCCTTATCAATATTAGGAAGAAAAGAAAATTTCTTCTGAAGTTCGAGATATTGTTGATATGTAGGATGTCCAGCACGAATGTGATGTTCCATATCCTTTTCTGCATAAGTTGCTTTTGTCTCCCACCTCACGGACCTTAATGCATACACATTGACTAGATTAATTTTCATGTCATCATGCGCTGCCTTGATCTCCGAGTGAGAAAGCGTCACTCCGGGATTGTCATGAACCTTGCAATCCAAATCGATCATATAATGACCAGGACTGCGACCCTCACCAATTTTGACTCCATCACTATCGAACAAATCCAGTCTATATTTCGAAACCGATAATCCGAAATCATGATAAGCCGAAATAACATTAGCAGAGGCATCAGGTATGTAATAGACGTTCGCCATCGTGATTACTTTACCAGAAATAGTTCTCCCAGTAACCCGGCCATAACCAGGGGCTAAATAATGGTGTGTGCCATAGTCACCAAAGAACTTCGGACATTTAACATAACCACTCAAAAGGGTCAAATCACTCACAAAATGTATCGGACTTCCCGAATCCCAAATGAAACACATTTCCAGACCACTAGATTTAGACAGATGAGGACTAACTAGAAATGACTTAGCAGTTTCTTCTCCCTTAGGCTTTTCTTGTTGGCTCTTGTCCTTCTTTGCTTTAGCTCGCTTCTTATTTTTAATTTCTGTCCAATGAGCCTTCTTCTTTCTCTTATTCGCTTCAGTTCGCAACTCAGGATGCTTTAAGAAACAACGGTCTTCAGTATGACCTTGCTTACTACAGTGCGTGCATGTTCTCACAAGATTTACCAGCAGGTTAACAGTGGAAGGAATAAAGCTCGTAGCCGAATTCAAATCCTTTTTCAAAGCCGTAACTTTCTCCCTCTTGCTAGGATTTTGACCTTCATATGCAAGCACCAATTCATTAGTAGGGCAGGCAGATTCTCCACACAGTTTGAAAAGCTTTTCTCTGAAATCATAGTTATCCACATTCATGGACCGAAAGAGACTCTTTATGATTAACTCATCATCATTATCTGGATTACCCAAGGCCAAAAGGTAAAAGAGTTCTTTCCCAGAGAAGGAGTGTGCAACGCACATACGGTACACATCCATAAAATCAAGCTCATTATACGCTCCGAACAGCACGAAAACTTGTGCAACCTCATGAATTAAATCCTTAAATTGCCTTGGTGTATACTTCGTCATTGTCTCATGCAAATTACACAAAGTGTCAAGACTTTGACTCGATACTTTAATACCCAGCAATATTGATTGATCAATGCCAAACATTTTCACACGTTGAGCAATATGCTCAGCATAACCATTCACGGGTCTCCGTTCTGGAGGTTGGAGATCTGAAATACTTCCCCTAGCATCCTCTTTCTTATGAAAGTAAGTATTAATATATGTTGCGGTTGGATCACCATAAACCTCTCTTATCTGCTGAATAAAGATTTGATACCAGTAAACATATTGTGTATGGTCTTTCAAAATAAATGGGAGTTTAAAGATAACCTCATATGGGCTCGTTGTCCCGTCTTTATAAAGATGAACAGTAATTCCCTTTCCTGCAGACAAGGACTTATATAAAGTCATTACTAAAGGTGGTGAAAATATATTCTGAGCAGAGATGAAGAAAAGTAGTATATAGTTATAATATCAGGAATTGCAAAAGACCCAGATTATATACCCCGACAATAGAGGGGTAACTCATGAATAAGACTATGCCACTTCAGGGGTTAATTAAGGTTTGAGGATATATTTCCCTGTCAAGGGAGTGCATATAATGGAGATATCCAACATCCATAGTTTGGTCAAAGATATTGATTTCACAAAGCAAGATTCATTAAAATATATATTAGTTATTAAGCTTATAAAAAGCGGTTCAAAGCATCCTAGTCAATTATATGATTTCTTATGCGGAAGTAACCTCCTGCTTAGTAGCCTCTTTGGCCTCATTCTCAACCACACCTTCGGCCTGATCTGCGTCCACGGTAGCCTTCTCGGCCTTTACGTCTCCAGTTTCCTCATCTGCCTTACTTTGCGACAAATTCTCTTCTTCTTCCTCGGCCTTTTGCAATCTTTCCAAGATAATGGCTCCGTATTCAGGTATCTTGATAGACGATTCATCCACTTGCAGGGCAAAAAGATCAGGCACATTCTCGTTCTCCTTGCCGCCATTATAAGTCAGTGGCAAGTTATCCTTTCCAAAAGCCTCAGACAAGTCACCGTGGTTTAGCATCTCAAACTTCTTCAAAGTTGCAGCACTCATGAAACCAGTTGCCTTGAAAAATGCAAACACCCAACCCATGAGAATTGGAACATTGATGAAATACTTCTTGGAGAGGAGCTCAGGGTAATTGTCGCTGAAGATTGTAATAATTTCCTTGGTGGCGGCCTTCATACCTGGGTCCATTCTGAACATTGACACATTATTGTAGTCATGGACCTGTGCAATCTTGCTTTTATCCGAGTCACCAAACGTCAAAAGCGCCAATGCCCTCTCCATGAGGCCAACTCTCCATCTCAAAAACATTGTTCCAGGGCGTTCGGTCTTATCGGGATTATCCACGCCAACACCAAACTTAGCGAACAACTTCTTAGGGTTCTTCAAGTTGGCGTACAAATTCCAAGTCACGACAGAAAAGTTATCTTTGTTGCCTTCGTAGTCAGTGATTACCCCCATTTTCTCTAACGTTTCGTCGTATTTTTCTCCGTAAGCGGCACTGAGAACTTGGAACTTTCTTCTCCAATTGAGAGTGTTCACCAACATTTCTTGTGCCTTAGCAACATCATACTCTCTGGCAACAAGAAACTTGTGCAAAATCTCATTTCTGTTCTCGACATCGACGTATTCGGCTTCGTCGGAGGCAATGCGATAGCCGTATATCTCATCGTAAGTAGGATCCTCAGTTTTGGCGACGATATCAGGGATTGACTCGATAAGCTGCTCGAGCTTCTTCTCCTGTTCCTCGGTAAGCTTTGTGGATTTGATCAATGACATTAAAAAAAAGGTCCTAACCAGTCAGAAAGTAGTAATGACAGAAAGAAAACGTAACAAAGGGAAGGGGAAAAATAGGCACTTTGTTTTCCAACGGTTCTGGCCTGACTCCCGAATCGGCTTTATAGACACTCCTACAGCTGCACGGTTTTTTCGAGTATGCGATTTGGACCATTTATCTGTATAATCTATGAGACGCATCCAACTATAAAAAAAAAAAAAAAAAATGCAAATCTGTCTTAGCCGAAAGCTCCTTGTTATCCTAATGACCACCTGGTACCAACTTGAATGAAAGAATATCGTTCTTTCCCACATCAACAGTATCCTCCTCACCCACTCTAATTCCCCCTACACCTTCAATGGCTGCGATAGTCACATCGCCCATGATTTTACGGGCCACCGATATCACCGGCAGTCCACGCTTTACCAAAATACAGTCTCTGAACACAGCCGAGCCAGAAGTTCCCGTGAAAGAGCTGATGTTTCTTACTGGGAAGACGGGGACAAGGTCTAATACATCGGCGGCAGCTTGGAGAAGCTGGACGACGCCTGTTGACCCAAATCTGTAAAGTACCAAGTCACGGATATTTTCTATTCTGTTCTGGAGCTTCTCGTCCATTTCGCGAAGCCCAGCATCCGGTAAGTCCTCGGCAGTGTCGACGAATTCAGTGCCCAGGTCATACTTAATAAAGTTTTGTGCCGCTAGCTTCCTTAAGAGCACTTCTGTGAGCGAAGAGGTCAATACGCACTTCAGCTCGGGATGCTTGAGCATGATCTTTGACACGTTCTTGTCTGCGTCCGGGTGGTCCATTTTGTTCAATGCTAGCACTGTTGGGAACTTGACCGACATGAACGCCTTCACTACTCGTTCCACCATTTCATTGTCCCAGTCTTTCAAGGGGGGTAATCCCGGGATGGTATCCAAAGCTTTTCCGATTAACTGTTTGTTGGCATAATAACCGCCTAGCTGCTGTCTCAACGTCTCTAACGTCGTAGATTTGGTAGCAATATGGCGTCTCACCACGGAACCCCATTTCTCTGTCAAATTTCCCAAAATCCAGCGGAAAATCTCATCCTGGAGCCACTCGATGTCCTTAAGTGGATCATAACCTCTGGTTTCTTTTCCCTCCGCATCAGTTGTTCCACTGACGTCAACGATATGAAGTAGACAATCCGCCTCAGTCAAGTCACTGAGGAACTTGTTCCCGAGACCTCTGCCCAAATGAGCGTTGGGTACCAAACCGGCCACATCAAGAAGCATCACAGGTACACCCCTTTTACCATCCCTACAATACCCATAATTAGGCTTGCAATCACCACTTTTGTCGAACCTCAGACATGCACATTCCACTTCTAGGTAACCGGTCGCTTTGTTAGGATCTATAGTTGTGAAGGGAAATGCGCCAACTTTTGCATTGGCATCAGTTAATGCATTGAGCGTGGTTGATTTTCCGCTCGAAGGCTTGCCGACAATTCCAATAACAGTTTCTTTCCCCATTTATTCTATGGATAGATGCTTCATATAGTTGAGAGTCTTCGATTTTTTTTCAGCCTTCGATCAATGAGCATACATAGTCGTGATAACCCATGCAGGTAGTACTAATACACGGCCTGAGTTAAACAACTCCACGACAAGGCATTCTGCTTGTAAAAAAAAAGAATTGTTAATAGTGTAATTGGATACCTGGGGATTTGGGACCGAGCCACAAGAAGATATTTTGTAAGTAAGACAAGGAAGAAAAACAAAGATAATGAAGAATAAATGAAAAAAAAAAAAAAAAAAAAAAAAAAAAGCGAGTTACATGGAACACTTTACCATTTGAGTATAGACGATCAAACCTTCACCGGATATCGGAAAGGCCATATTGTTTATGCACTAATTCACCAATTCTCTGACATGAATTGAGCCTTACTGAACAACCGCCAGTGCAGGGAGATTCGTTAAGTGGATATTTCGCAGCTACGTAAACTTGCCTCGTGTTGCAGGCTCCTTCTTCCAAGCACCTCGATTCTCGACATATACCACAGTCCAACTGCTAATCACTCTTCCACTCAGCACCCCATATGGCGGTAATTTAGGGTTGGCTCTTTTTTGTGTCCTTTCCCAACAAATCTTGGCTACAGTGAATGACTGGTCCATTCTCTTAGCCTGCACATACTATCTCGGAGTAACAGGTGTTTACTGACATGTAATCCTTCCTCGTTTAGATCTTCCCAGTCAGTTATATTCATATATATCTACTACACATCAATTGAAAGTTCCTGACTTCCAACAGAAAGAATCAAAAATGGTCAATATCAAGAATATATTCTCCAACATTTTCAGTGGGTTTTCCGCGGACTTCAAGAAGAAGAACTTCTCCCTTTATGGTCAATGGCTTGGTATCCTCAATATCTTCTTGTGTCTTGCCTTAGGTATTGCCAATATCTTCCATTTTAACTTGGTGATTATCTTTTCCATCATTTGTATCATCCAAGGTCTTGTTGTGGTCTTTGTGGAGATTCCATTTTTGTTGAAGATTTGTCCCTTAACCGACACTTTCACCAATTTTGTTCGTAATTTCGATGAAAACTGGCCTCGTTGTGGCTTCTACTTGTTAATGGCTGCCATCCAGTATCTTAGTTTGGTCATCCAAGCCACTTCCTTGCTTGTTGTTGCCATTATTTTCACTTTTGCGTCGGCCTGCTACTTCTTCGCCGCTGTCAAGCATCAGGAATACCTTAAAACATCGATTAGCGTCACGGGCAACAACGATGACTTGGAATCACAAGTTGCTCACAACGTCGTTAGAAATGTGTTGTAAGGTGGTTGGTTGAAAATGGTATCGAGGGGGGTTGCGATGTCCGAAGTGAAATGTATCACTAATCTATTATGTAAAACGACTCAATTTAAGTACGGCTATAATTCAATAGAAAAAAAAAATGCCAATAATCTAGAAAATGGGAAACTGTAATGGAAGCTAGACATGTGCTTTGACACGTGACTGCATTGCAGAGAAGCATCAACAAAAAAGAAAAAGATAGGCCATCGTGATACCGAAACTGAGCGCTGTTACATAGATAGCAACTTTAAGAATCGTGATACGTTCAATATAATGGGGCTACTATCGTTTGTTGAAGATACTAAACCGTCCGAAGTGGACGAAGGCGCCAGATGGGATGAGAACCAGCCGGAAGCCAAGAAACAAGAGAAGCCTCAAACAGAAAAGAGGAATCAAAAGAATGAAAATAATGGTGTGACATCGCTTTCATATGACCAGGTTAATGATAATGCTGATGAGCTAATAGAACTTCGTGGAGAAGGAAGATACTTCGGTATTACTGATCCAGAACATGGCACCACGATCAATGCACAGCTGTCTCTAGGCCCCTTATGTGATAATTGCCATAAAAGAGGACATATAAGATCAAAATGTAAGACTGTCATATGTCATAAGTGTGGTGTGGTTGGCGACCACTATGAACTGCAGTGTCCAACAACCATGATCTGTGCCAAATGTGGCCAAAGGGGGCACATGGTATCCGCTTGTACCAACAAGAGCAAGAAGAGAGAGTATTGCAGACACTGTGACACATTCAGTCATGGTGACCATAATTGTCCTAGTATATGGCGTTCCTACATTACCAAGCCGCAGCCTAATGCTGCGCAGGATGAACTGCTGTGGAAGGTTTCAGACCTTCCAGTGATCTATTGCTATAACTGTGGCGATAACTCACATTACGGAGATGAATGTCACAGGCAGAGATCATCGCGTATTCCTAATATTAACGGTAGTGCTTTTAGTGGCACTAATCTACCTAAGCATCTTAGAAAGCTATACAACTGGCTCGCCAATGATGTGAGGCAAAGTGGTGACAGAGATAACAATTATGGGGCCAATGGTAACAGAGGTTACAACTACGGGACAAATGGTAACAGAGGTAACAGGGGTTACCAGAAGAATCAACGTCCTCTCAAGTCATCCAAGAAGGACTTTAATGGCGGCTCTGGCGCTCAGCCAACCAGGTCAGGCATCATCAAGCATAGCAGTACAAACAAGAATGGTCTTCCACCCATTCCTACCAAGGCAAATCGGTCGGGTGTAATAACATCAAAGGGTCAGAAGAAATTCAACACACAGAACTCACGTAGTAGTGGTGTGAAACCCAACAGGTCAGGGATGTTGCCCAAGAACGGGAGCCGCAAAAATTTCCAGGCATTTTATTAGATATCGAATTACAGGTTAATCAGTTTAGGGAGATCAATATTCTCGGGAATTATAGAAGAATTTAAGTTGTGGCGAGACAAAATAATGTAAGCATAATACGAAAGGGAGCGACCCCCAATCATGGGGACCGTTTTTACAGTTGCGCATCGGCATACCATGTTCGTCGTGCCGACCATGTTCCTCCAAGAAGCAAAGAAGGGCCCTCAAGATATGAATTATTAAAAGCCGATATCAATAAAAAGAATGAGTGAACATTCTTAGTATGTAGAAGTCTCGTCAGAGAACAAAGTCGTTAACCGTCAAGACCCGTCCATAAAGAGCACCAACCGCGAAATTCCACCTCGCTTACAGTCTGACTGGACGGGTTGATGTCGCCGAATTCTCCGTCGGAGCCCCGTGTGCACGGCTCTCCTGTAACCCTGTAGTATTCTCGCAGCCGAAATATATTGCAAAAATTGGCCAGCTGCGTATGTGGCGCGGCGTTAAATGGCAAAAAAGTTAGATCTCGGTCCCTTCCTGTACAAGCTATATATTTCTTCGCTCAATGTGTTGCACTCAATTTTATCTATAAGATCAGCTCTGATTCGCGCTACTTTTTCCCCAGTCAGTCACTCATCATCATCATCACATACCGTTGACCGGGACCACCGCCATGGATGTTCCTTTTCTTTCGGATTATTTCTTCTATCCGGATTCCAAGTCCAAGGAATACAAGGACTGTCGTCAGAATACCACTAACAAGTTCGGCGACATCATGGGCTGGGTATCTGTGGCATTCCTTGTCAGTATAGCATTCCAGAACTATTTATTGGCTACAGGGCGTTGGTATCTTAACAAAGTACATGTCCTAGGGCCCATCAACAATTTCTGTGGTCGTTTCACGTCTGGGAGCGGGCGTGTCAGTTTCTTTCGTCGCATGCTTCGGGGAGCCGCTAGAGTGCTCAAAGACACTGCTTATGTTTCTTACTTGAATCTCCAAGCCATCACGCAGATTGTCCTTTGGTCAACTGTTTTTGCAGTTTTAGCTCTCCTGGATATCAACAATGGCGATTTAATTTTCTTGGCGAAGCGACTTGGTCGCTTGTCTGTTGTCTCCTTACCCACGGTATTCTTCTTGACCATAAGACCATCGCCCTTACCAAACACGCTTTACTTGAGTCTACTTCCCGTTCATAAGTGGCTTTCTCGTGGTGTTATTGTGCTTGCTATTATCCACACTTTCTTGTATCTAGGTTTTTTCAGCAAGAATGGTACTTGGAACAAAGCTTGGAAGCGGGAGAACCTCTACGGCTGGGGAGCTTTAGCTGGCTTTCTTATGATAATCGTCACTTCTTTACTGAAGGTGAGGGATCGCAGCTATAAGTTGTTCTTCTTCAACCATTATTTCTGGAGTTGGGCAATCGTGCTCCTTCTTCCATTTCATGTTAGGCCGGTTAGCACGACATATGTTAACATCTTGAATGTTGGTATTCTCACGTATCAAGTCTACTACCGTGTTTCTAATACCAGAACATCCCTTGCAAATGATTTTAAGGTGACGGACGTCTCTCCCAACTTGGCTTTGATCGACTTTCCTAATACCCTAGTCAAGAATCGTGCGGACAACCCTGGAGCGCATGTCAGGATCACGAACTATGGTCTGAACTTTTTCGTCCGCCTCTATAAACAAATCATTCCAAACTATCATCCTTACACTTTGGTCTCCTTGCCGCTGGATCGGTCCCAGAAGCTCATCGTGCGGAAAGGCACTTTCCAATGGACTAACGGCGCGAGATACAAGGTTTGCGGCTCGCTAGATCCCAAATTACTCCTCGTGAAATCCAAAAATAATCAATCCTCTAAGTTTTCCATTTCCAAGCTCGGTATTAATGCGAAAAAGATGCTCATTGTTGTTGGAGGATCAGCAATATCATTTGCCATTCCGATATTGAGGGTGCTGAATTATCATGGTGTTCCTGTTAAGATATTATGGGTTGTTCGTGACTACAGAGATATTGCTGTGCTTCGCCACTTTGAGGGTTACATACATGGAGATGATTTTGAGATTTTTGTCACTGGAAGTCCCAACGTAAACGAAGAGTTTGATTTCACAGAAGTTAGAGGAATGCGAAGCTACGGTACCTTCGGATTCTTGTCCAATAAGTCATCATTTGCGCCCCTGGATGCTAACGAAAGATCACGGTTAATATTCTCCGCTGAGGATGATGCTGAAATGAATCAAGAGCTGGAAAATGTGGACGTGGATTTACTGGATGAGAATGCCCTGGAAGAAGAGGAAAATGAGCGTGACTGTACTGTTCTGCTGTTTAGTCCGGCCACTCAATTTAGTGGCAATTTTGAAGACAGTATCGAATTTGATGAGGAAGAGGCAATCGGGCACGATATGACATCAACTATGTCCAGAAGGTCTAGCAGATCTCATTCTATTAATGAAAGGTTCAGCATTGACGCAGAAAAGGGCAATGAATCTCATAAACAGTTTCATGCTACTGTTAAACGCCTCAACTTGGATAATCATATCTACAGAGGTCGCCCCAAATTGAACTACCGTTATTACAACTGGTGTGTCAACCAGCATGATATTTTTACACAGTGCTCTGGTCCACAGCAGTTAGACGGCGACTCCGGTTTGGTATGTTGTAGAGACATCCCTGGGAGGAACAAGATAGGTCCGGAACATAAACTTCCTGATGCCGAAAAAGTGTGGGTGATTTCTGCTGGTCCTAAATCACTTGTGAAAAACGTGAAACTCTGGGCGAGCGAAAATGGCCTCAAATATCACGAAGAGGCCTTCTACGTTTAAGAAGGTTTCTTGGTCACCCTTGTGATGACCTTTGCATTTAATATGAAATGAATTACATAACATTCGTCATGTCCTTCTGTCACCAAGCAGGTCTTGAAAAAACTCGCTTCGTCTAATGTCCTCCTCTTCCGCCAACGACTGAGCAATGTTCAGTTTAGCAATTTCGGCTGAAAAAGTTATTCCCACCACACCCCAGGAGACAAGATACCAGATCTTGTACGGGGTTTTGAAAAACTTCTGGTTCTGCCCATGATTATACTTATAACTGAAGTAGTAACCTGAAAGAAGCCCAACGAGTACTCCCTTCAATAGGCCAATTGAGCCAGCTTGGAGAAGCTGGGAATTGATTTGCTCCATACGTTCTTTACTTACTGATGATCGAGGCATGCTTACACGGGCCTCTTTTCATAGTAGTATGTAGGGAAAGAGCAAGTTGTAGTTTATCCAACTTGATTTGCGAAGACGGACTTTCGAGTGCGGGTGAACAATATAGGTTAAAAGTGCGCAAGTAGAGCGCGACCTACAAAATCAAATTCATAATGCGGTTCTATTATCTATTAATAAGTGCTCGAAAGCTATTCATAAAATCGTAAAAAAGTAGTGGACTGGCTTAGGCCTCAATGCAAACGCCGCCGAGATTAACCAGGCGGAGCTTTGGAGCATGCTGCGCCATAATACTGGAGAAGTCGGCAAGACATGAATGAATGAGCAATGACAGAAACTTCTTCGTCTCTTCATTCTCTTCGAGAGGCATTTCATGCATGTTTAACATAGACCCGACAGAGTGGAGGTTTCTCTCCATACAATGTTCTTGTCTTCTGAATTGGCCTGCAACATATTGCAAAAACTTGACATTGGCAATCTCCGTGAAGTCAACACTCGTAGTCACTTGACAGGGAGTGATCTGTACATCTGATGGCTTACCCTTGTGACTATAATTATTTGACTTGTCCAAACGGGCGAGTTCCACAAAGTATGAACGCGTGTTATTGCAGCTGTCGCAATTACATTGGTTAATTAAGACGTCTTGACATGGAATAGTACGCTTGTCAAGTAACTGTGGTAACTGACTGACCCATTCGTTCATGAAACTTGATATGTGGATATGCGCTAAGTTGGGAACATGACGAAGTTGCAAGCAAACTTTCTTCAAGTCGATACTGTACTGATCACTGGTAGATTTGACAGAATCTGACAAGTTCAAATACACCTCTTCCAAGGAGCCAAAAAGTTCGCTAAAAACGTAATTCTCGACAACATGCTTAAACTGCGTAGTGTCAGCTAATGACTTGTAATGCACGATCGCTAACTTCCTCAAACTGGTGGTAAGCCCGTGGAGTTGATTGTATTGCTTCCAATTCTCGAAAAAATTGAGAATACAACTATTAGAACACTCATGCAGACGAGTGCAGTTCATTTTCAATTCAAGTTCTTCAAGGTTGTTAAGATCAACATAATGGCGCATCTTGTGAAAATCTGTCATAGCATTATTGCGAGCACGATGCGATGTGGATATTGAAAGAACCTTCAACTTCAAGTCATTCACACCGAGATGATCAGCCATCTCAGTAAAACGAAGAAATGCCAAAGGCGAATGCAAATAAAGTCTACTCAAATTGCGTAAGTTCTGAGCGGGGGCCTCATAGGATCCATAAAAAATGCTCTGAACGTTTTCGCTGTTTTGAAGATAGGCGTTACTCTCAACATACATGTTGAGCTGTTCCAACCGTGAGTTTGTTGGTAATGCAAGGAACTCGCTTGTGTTGAACACAAACCAATTCAGAAGGTTGAGAACCTTATGATCCTTCCTTGTTACCTCGCATCTGTCTTCATCCTCCACGTCTATAAACTGAACAGAGTTCAGTGCCAAAAAGTTTGTGAGGGAACGAACACAACGCAAGCTCAAGACATCGTGGTTGTTCATGCATAATGTGTGTGGGTTTTGATTCCAAAAGTTTGCCATTCTATCGTATAAATAAAGCAAGCTGCTGTCATTGTCGTTTCCGTGTGTGTTCACCACGAACTTGCGTACAAAACGGAAAGTAGTTGGATTAAGACAGTTAGCGAACTGTTGCAACTTTTCAGCAGGCAATAAAGTCCATTCTTGAGAATAAGGGTGCTTCCCACAGTGCCAATCCCGGTCCGACTCTACCACCATAATATTCTTGTAAAGGGAGTCACACACCCGGTAACGGAAGTAAGGAGTCATGTGGGCTAAGGTGAGCCGCGAGTTATGATCGCAGCTATCCAAGATGGTGTCAAGGACGTTGTGAGGAAGATCTGTTAACCTCATGCTAGGGTTTGTCAGTACAGACACTGGTCTTAAACTTGAAAGCTCAATGTGGTACCTCGGGGGGAAGGCACTTCTTAAATACTGCCTAAACCCTTTTTTGCAGTAGCGCAAGTCTGGCCTCTGCAGTGACCATAATAACGAGGAGCGCTAAGAAAACAATGCACCGGTGTGGTTAATATACAGGATACCATCCAGAATGCCTTATTAAAATCATGTCTAGAAGAATCTTCTCTCCACACTGAGTCAAAACTGCGGCGCGATGCGCTCGGATGTACACCTCCTTGTTGGTACCAGCCTCCTGACAAGCTTTACCACAACCGTTCGAGAAGAAGATCAAAATAAGGCCAACAGTGGAATTCTAGCAAGTTTGCACACGAGCCAAAACCCTGAAGTATCAGTTGTGTTCGCTTAGTCCCGGAAGTGATGCTCTCCACCTTCCAGTGTTGGGTTACCACGAAATCGCCTTGCCTCAGGACGTGCGGCACAACCAAAAATCTGGGGTTCGGGCCATAGGAGCCGTTGCAGTTCGCAGTATGGAGAAGAGACGAGCAGGAAAGAAAAATCGCAAATGTGCCACAGTTCGCGCGGACCTTCGGACTAGGACAAGCAAGTGCTTCGTGAGCCATCACATCAAGAGACTTTTCTCCGGAATCAAACACGCTTCATTATCACTTTCCTCGAATGTAATACATAGCTGGCAAAAGCATTTCTGTCGGATAAAAAATATTGCTTTCCACCTTGTCATACCTTGGGCGGGCCACTTGTGCGTAACAAGATACTTTATGCGGTTTTGTGTGTATTATTTTTTCTTGCCTGTTCGCCTCATTCCATCCATTTGTCCGCATAGTTGAGACGCCCTTCAGATCCATTGCCATACTTGACAAAAGAAATTGCAGCTACCTCGGGAAACACACCTGTCTTGCTTAGTGATACCACCCGAAGTCTCGGAAATAGCTTTCCCTTGAGTAAATTCTGATCTATCAAAGTCACCAAACAGTTTTCAATGACGAGATCGTCAATTTCTTCCTCGGAGCCTTCGAGATTAACCTTCTGTCCAAAGCAATTGATTTCATTAAGAGATAGGCCGGCAAGTGATGTACTGAGAGCAATTTTGATACTATCGTAGTCAAGCTTCGCTTGTTTTCCTTGTAAAACCCATACTTTCCTAACCAAGTTACGAAGTAAAAGGAGAGGCACTTTTTCCGCAAATAATACCAATAGAAGATGTTCTTTGAGTTCCTGATAATTGTCAGGGTCGTTCAAAACAGTGGAAAAGCCCTTGAAGTCACCCCTCTCTATCGCTTTAGAAATATCGCAAAAGGTTTGTAGAAAGCGAGGGGTCCTGTCACGAGAGCTGTAGAAAGTAGAGCTAATGTTGTCCAAGAGAGGTTTTTTGCCGATAATCATTCCGAGTGGAATCATCAGTCGTAAGACTCTTGTGACATTAGCATTGTCTCTTAAGTAATTGTTGGGTGTGTTTGATAAACACCACTGAAAGTGTTGGTATGCATCGACAAACTGGTATTTCACCATGTAAAATCTCGCAAGATAATATCTATACTGAATCTGTTGGTTTTTGGGGAAGTCTGTGAGTCTTAAATTTGCGTTATTCATGTTGGAAAACACGTTACGACATAAAAGTGGATTCTGCAATTTGAAATAGATCAGACAAAGTCTCACTCCGATCAAAAGCATGATAGATTTTTTCGCCACCTCAATGTGATCTCCAGCGCCTAATTGAGAGCGGACGTTGTTGAACATTTTCAATAAGAGTGATGCCAAAAACACAAGCCTTGGTCGTCTCCTACTTTCCACCAAAAGAAGCTGCATGTCTAACTGTGTGGCCATTGGAATTATAATGTCAACTGTGTCTTGGATCAAAGGTGTCAATAGGTATCCATGAGATTTATTCGTAAAAGCAATTGATAAGTCATTGAAGTAGCTGGCATAGAGATCGAACGACTCAAGCATTGAGAATGGGTTTATCTGGTTTGATAAGCGCACAAAGCTTAGCACGAGTTCTTCGAATGCCATCCATTCATTGTTATAGAAATTTCTCCTCCCTAGTTCCTCTTGAACTTGATTGACATCTATTGGACCGATATTGTAGAACTTGACAATCCATGGATTTAGCGAAGGATGAAGGCGAAGTAGCTGTATAAGCTCTTGGGCCTGTAGTTTGGAAGGTTTACTTGTAACTGCTTGTAGATTTTGTAAGAAGTCCCCTGTCACATTCATCTGTATGTTAATGGCGTTGAAGTTGGCGATGTTTTTCATGTCGCACCTCAACTTCACGGATGTCGGATAGTGAGCTATGATTACCTTCCTGTTGGAAATCTACGTGAGCATCTGGAGCAAATACCGCTGCAAGGCTTCAATCTCCATTTAACATGGATTGCTTTTTAAAGGTTCTTGAAGGGAAAGGAAGAAAATACCTACAGAGCTACATTAGGATTGATGTCTACAAAATTCCTTGCATTTTCTGATTACAACGCTGTCGCTGACTTTACACTCAAAATATGAGATGCCGTCACTCAGGCGGTGAAATCACGTCAGATACCACAATCCTGTTGTCTTTCTTTAAATAAAAATGTCTGAAAAAAGTAGCAATTAAAGAATGGAAAGGTACGAGAGGCCACCAGAAACCGAAACATCAAGAAGCATCCATTCCTTTCAAACCTCTTTTAAACATCATTCAGTTGCTTTCTTTCTCTTGTTCTCTACGTTGATGTTGTTTTTTTTTTTTTGTTTTTTTTTCTTCGATATTTTTCCTTTCTAAATTACCGTTTTAATGACATTCAACTTTATATATCTTAGAATATTCGCGATAATCTGAAAGTCTCAACTAAAACTTGCAAATCAAACACAACACTTATAGCCTATGGCGATACAATGCAAACCAAGGCCTCCGCCACAACAGCAAAAGGATGGCACAAAGAAGAAGAAAAAGACACTAGGAGATACTCAACCGATAGTGAACTATGAAGACCCGGATCTTAAGGTGGTGATCAGGCTTCTTCCTCCAAACATGAGTGAGGAAGCCTTTCTCCTGCAAATTCCGAAAGAATATCAGCCTACGATCAATGGTACCCGTGGCCTACGAAGGTTTTACTTTCAGAGGGGTAGCGCCTCTACTAAACCATTTGAAGAGCCAAACTTTTCAAGAGCATACTTCCAGTTCCAAGAGAAACAGGATGCGGACCATTTTAAGTCTGAGATGGAACAAATTGTATTTGAGGATCCTGCTTCGGGTGATCGAGTAAAATGTGAAATGATGAAGCCTTTGTTTGGAACTGTGATAGAGACCACGTCAGAGAAGTCTGAAGGAAAGATTCTTCAGGAGACTTTGTATAAAAAGTTTATCTCTCAACGTTCTGCGGATGCAACAGATATTGATATGGTAAAGTTGATAAAGTCGTTACATTCCGAAGATAATAAAAGGAGACGGGAAAAGAACAAGTCAAAGAAAGCAGCTTCCGCAAACACGAAACCAGAAAGCGCCCCTGAGACTCTACTGTCGAGGGAACAGAGCAAGACTATTGTTAAACCACCGCCAGCCGCCCTAAAAAAGAAGCCATATCAAGAATGTAAGAAAGAGAAGGACCAGAATCACAAGAAATCGGATAAGGATGCGGATCTGGTTAAAAAGGATGCCAAAAATACTAAGAAGAAATCACTAAAGGCAAAGAAACCAACCTTGACGACCTCAACCAAGTCGCTTAATATCACGCCCGAAAAGCCAGGCGGCGGTGATCCTTCAAAACCAAAAAAGAAGCAAACAAAGGCCAAAAAGTCGAAAGGAAAAGGAAGCCCATCAACGGAGCAGACCCAAGCGACTCACAAGAAAACACCGAGTCAAAGCAACAAAAGCACGACAAAGAAAACTACATAGGAGATAAAAGGGTCATTTATAGTGAATGGGAACGAGTTTTTCTGAGAACAGTAGTGTAATATTGTTAATGTACACTTTATTATATTTATTTTTCTCCTTCCGCGCTACTGATATGAGCTTCTCTCGATAGTTTACCAACACCGAACATGGTATGTGCTATTCCAAGGGCACATCTCCGAAGTATAACAAAAAAATTGGCAATTCCATGCCGCTCATTGAGCAATAGGAATGACATCAAATTCGCAGACCATATGGAACTGTTGGATACATCAATTCCCACTATGGAGAAGATCCTCACAATTCTTCAAGATGCGGAATCGAACAAGATTGAGCCACAAGAGAGCCATGAAGACAATGAGGATTCGCCCGGACCCAAAGGAAATATTTTGCAAAAAGAATATCATGCATTTCTAGGTCTTAAAGTCGTTGATTATGACGTCCTTCGCTTTCTTAATGATGCAGAAGTCGTGAAGAAAGACCAATCATTCGAAAACATAAAACCAGAAACATGTGAAGTCATCCTTAAGCATTACGCTGAAAATCTACGTCAGGCATTGATAGGGTCGAAAGATAGCCCGAGTTTAGCCTCGATTGGCGATGCATTTCTTCAGAGCCCCGTGAAGCTCCAAAATCAACTTAGGCCTCGTTTGAAAGCTAAGGCAATGCAGAGCTTCTCGGACTTTGAAAAAATTCAGCAAGCCCCCAAGCTAACTTTTGACTTCCAAGACATAAACCTACCGAATCCATTTAGAGGACGGGAAAAGCATCCAATGCAGCTCCGGAAAGGACTCAGTTTGAAGCGACGCCCAAATAATTTACTTTGTTTTTTATTAGATGACGAAAAAGTTCTAGCAACTTTTCTCAGGAAGTTAAAGAGCTCTTTGAAACCGGCACTCATTTTGAACTTCATGAAATGCCAGTCTCTTGAAGGAAACGCAGCTTTCAAAATTCTCCTAACAAAGCATTTAAAAGATCCCGATAGCGTGTTTTTTAGGTCTAATCCTTTAGACTCCTTGGGCGGGGTTCCACTCGACCATTTGGAAAGTGAGTTAACAGTTCTTAAAGCAATCGTGGCCCATAAAAGTAACATTCTACTGCGGCTCAATTCGTTTGGAATCTACCAGAGCAGTGTCCCCGATATCGACTTGAAGAGAGTCAAAACATCTGAAGACATAGTTATGACATTGGCTAGATCATTCGACCGATACTTTGGTGCCTGTTATAGACTAGATGCGAGAAGCTGCGACGCATGGGTCGCAGGCCTTTTGAAGTTTTATCACGACAACTGGAACAGAAAGGAGATCTTTGAGGCTTACTTCTTGGAAGGCATTAACGAATTTAGGGATCTGTTAACACGCGCAACTTTAAGATCGCTTCTGGCAAGATGGTCCTCTGCAAAAGAAGGAAACACAGGAGAGCTACTTACCGTCAAAGCTTACTATCCTCCTGAATAATGATGCCATGGTTTGCTCCATACTTGAGCTCATTGAGATCCTTGTTGAAATGGTTAGACTTCAAGGCGAACTCCGTTTCATGAATGCCTGAAAAGTTAATAATTCCATTATCGATGCCTGCAATAACAACAGACCTACCGCTGGACCCCATTTTGATCAAAGAATCTCGTAAACGAATATATTCAAGATTTTTGAGCGTCTTTGGTGCCAAGGTCAGGCGTTTTTCTGTAATTTTGCGTGCTCGAATCTGCTTCTTGGAACTTTGATCCGCTGGTTTTCTCGACTTTTTCGAACCATCCTTGCTGCTTGTTACCTCATCAGCGTTAACTTTCATCGAAGACTGTTCCCAAAGTTTTACCATGTCCAGGAAGGAAGGGAACTTTACCTCGGATGTATTTATGACGCAAACTTGAAAGTCCGGGTTTCTATGATTCTTTTTACTGAACTTGCTGGTTGGTTTCCAGACATCAAAATGTAGATCGTATGTCCTATCCGGTGTACCCTGTTCTTTGCAGTCCAATGCATTCCTGGCAGGAATGTATTGTAGTTTCTCATAAACCAGAGTGTAGTTTACGAAATGAGTTGAGGTTATGGAAAATCTCGAAATTAGCATCCTAATATTGAAGCCTAAAGAGGCAATGGCGGCCCATGCTTGTGATAGAGATGAGATGTCTTTTGTGCTCATCGGGACCGGTTTCAATGTCTTCCGTTCGAACCTGCTCGAAGCACGGACAATATAACCCAAGCGTTTTAGCAAACAATAAACTTGGTATTTATCATGTAAGTCTGAGTTATCCGAAAAAGCCAAATTGTAGAAAAAAATTAGTGAAATCTGCTTCAAGGTAGAATAATCGAAAGTTTCTTCGTTCGATACCATAAATGACTGAAACCTCTCGTTCGAAAGGTAAAGAATCAAGGAGCCTCTTTCCATAAGATAAAGCGTTTCAATAGACAGAAGCCAACAGCCTTGGATTTTAGGCTTTTCTACAAAATTGTGCAGCTCACCCATGTCTCTGAAAAAGTTCCCTTTGGCATGTGGAACTAAAGTCATGCCCTTTTTCTTCATCCAAACGCCCACCATCTTTTGTTTCTCATGATGGCCTCTTAAATGGTCAAGAGCTTTAAACATTTGATTACGGGCCTCAGCTAGAGTAGATGTCTGAAAATCGGTAAAGTCAACATCAAAATCTTTCTCGGACCTCTTCGGTATAGATTCGTCGGCAATTCTGAGTGATGTAAAGCGATGATTGAGATCACCCCAATCAGGAAAGGTGTCTTCATCTTGCGTACCTAGAATTTTAAAGGTTTCCTCTTCATCGTTCATGCTTCACTTTATGGTGGTGGTAGGGCTGGATCTTGCGAAATGCGACTTTGGAAAGAAGCTCAAGAAAATGCGATCCCCCAACACCCCTTCGTCTATCGACAAGACGGACGCTACACTTTATAAGCATGACCTCTTCAGGCTTGACAATCGACAACTTGGTATGTTTGATTATTGGAATCGCTCTATGGTTACTGTACTAATTCCAGGCTGAATCCCTATATGAGGACATGATGATGAATCTCATCAGGCAGGTCTCACTTAATAGCATATCTAGGTATAAAACCCTCCAGCAATGTGTCGAAGGAAAGTATACAGATCCCAATCCTTCTCTAAGAGCTAGTAATCGAGATATTTTCGGAAATGACAGAACGAAACTCAAAAACTCGGAAACTTCGCGTTACTTCGATTGTGGTAACTGTGGGAGACAAATTGCTGGGGACGCTTCGCTCAGCATATTAACAAGTGTTTGGACAGAGGAAAGAGATGATTAAAAATGTGGATGATCACGTCTGTAAGGACCCATAAAGCGTGTCAATGGGACATGTGTGAGAAGAATACAGATATATTGGCCAGGAGGTTCTAAGATAATGTGGAGATGCGATCAATTAGCCGGCTACTGGTACGGATCCATGTGGCTCTACGGTCAGTTGTTACCCTACGCTTTCCTTGTCAAGAAAATTGACACGACTCCAACAAAAGATATTGATGCGGAGACCTGGTGCGCGGAGGTGACCGTTCCAACAAGCCAACTTAGACTTCGACTTTGGTATCTTTTTGCCCCACCTGAACAGGCATCCTTTTCCGTGGAACAACATAGGGGCGGCCCTGATAGCGAAAACAGCAGCCAGCCAAGCGGGGAGCGGTAGGGAGTATGCCATCCTTAAGCCTGTATACTCCTTGTAAGAACCTCCACAAATTCTGAAATGGAAACCAAAACGTTTAACAGCTGAACATGGCCAAGCGCTCAACTAGGTAGGTTCCGCGCTTAAACTTGGTTCACTTGAAATGGGGTCCTGGTGGGGGCAGTTATCCTAACATTTTCTGTCCCTCAAAGGGTTCTTGCGGGGTATTCTGCATCGCTCCAGGCTAATTGCGCCCTTAACTGGGGAGATAGAATCCGTTTATTTAAAGCTCCAAAGTATCCGGTCATTACAACCCATTACAAGACCAATAATGCCTTACCTTTTTGAAGATGACATTGGTGAACTACCATTGGATGCCGAGCTTAGCTCAAGAATGGTTCCAGTGCGTAAAGACGGCAATGACTTGATTTACCGAAACCGTGCTGTACCTGACAAACTTATTGAAGGGTTGCATCCATCTCTCGGGACATACAATGATATGTTCAATCGAGCAGTCGAACTCAACAAGCACAAGCCTTGCCTTAGTTACCGACCATACAATTATGCTCAAAAAAGGTCCCAGCAAAATTACGTGTCTCTCTCTTATGTCGAGGTAAACGAAAGGAGACTTGCGATTGGCTCAGGAATCTTGGAGTGTTTGCTGAATGTTATCCCCGAAGCGATTCAAAATCATGTCAAGAACTACAAGGCTTATAATGCAAGAACGTTCTCCCCTATGGTGTCGATTTACTCGGCCAACAGGCACGAATGGTTACTAACTGATTTGGCTTGTCATGCTTTTTCCTTGACTAACACCGCTTGTTACGATAATTTGGGTGACGATGTGACTGCCCATATCTTAAGCATAACCGACTCTCCAATTGTATTCTGCCTGGGAGATAAGGTAGAAAAGTTAGGTCGGTTTAGTAAGTTAGAGAACTTTCCTGTCAAGGTTATTGTGTCATTCGATCCTGTTCCAGCTGCAATAAAATCTTCATTGAAGCAGCTAGGTCTTCAGATTCTCGAGTTTTTTGAATTAGAGGAGTTAGGAAGGAAATCTAGCCATCACCCGTTGCCACCGCATCCTGAAACGCTTTTTACGATTTCCTTCACGTCAGGTACGACGGGCGCAATGCCGAAAGGTGTTGTGCTAAACCATAAGGCGGCTGTATGTGCAATGTGTTATTTGATGATTGGGCAGCCTTATATCGAAAATGGCAAGACCTTTGCCTTCCTACCCTTGACACATCTTTACGAACGGGAGACGAGCGCGTATGCGTTGTGTCGTGGATATAATATAGGTCTCCCAGACATAGCCTATGACCGGGCGCCATATAATCCTTTTGATCAATTGCTCGAAGATCTTAAACTTTTTAAGCCCCACTACATTTCGCTTGTCCGCGGATCTTGACAAGAATTGAGTCTTTGATAAAGTCACATATCAGCCAACTTTCCGAGAAAGAAGCTGTCAACCGCGTTATCGACGAAAAATGCGTCCAACAAAGTAAGGAGGATTTTAGCAGAGGCGACCAATTTTTACTAAAGGCTTGGAAAGAATTGCGGAAGCTCGTGGGTTTTGACAACTTGAAATGGATTCAAGTTGCTTCAGCCCCCACCAACAAGTATACTCTTCAGTACTTGAAAGCATCTCTTGATATTGGTGTGACTCAGATGTACGGCCTCACTGAAACTTTTGGTGCTATGACTCAAAGTTTGTTGTATGAGGCTGAGCCAGGTTCGTGTGGTGTAGGCGGACCATCGGTAGAGTTCAAACTTCATGACAGGCCTGAGATGGGTTATTTTGTGGCTGATCATAAGGGTGAATTACTTGTACGTGGCCCTCAAGTCTTCCGATCATACTACAAGAATCCTGAGGCAACTGCAAAAGACATCGACAAGGATGGTTGGTTCTCCACTGGAGATGTGGTCGAATTAAGAGACGGAAGGCTATACGTTATTGACCGTGTGAAGAACTTCTTCAAACTTGCTCATGGGGAATATATCTCGCCCGAAAGGATTGAAAATTTATATCTATCCAAGAATCCCTTCATTCTGCAAGTATACGTACATGGGCATCCATCTAAGGATTATACCATTGCAATAGTGGGTATCAATGAGGCATTCGGATGCGACTTCATTCAACGGGCAGGGGCAAGGAATGAGGACATGATACATGAGATTAATAAGCCAAAGCACAAGAAAAAGCTTTTAGCACTCATGAATCGAAATGTTGCAAGTTTCACAAATGGGGTTGAAAGAGCCCGCAATGTGTTTTTCGATGTCAATCCACTCACGGTTGAACGTAATGTGGTTACACCTACTATGAAATTGAAAAGGGCGCTAGCATCTAAATTTTTCAATGATATTATCACCAACCTCTATAACGAAGGTCCACTTGATCCAACGAGCAGGTTATAGTTCAATCGAATATTGTATCATGAAGTAAATGTAAAGCTTTCTCCAAGCCTTCTGTGCTGTATCCAAATGCCCCGCAGAATCATGTGCTGATAATCACGTGTTACCGACCAAAAAAGTTTCTATCTCACGCATCTTCAACATCAAAGTTCGAAATTCCGCCAGCAACAATAGAGTCCTCCTTAACATGGCTCCGCCGCCTCCCATAGTTATCGATGCTCAAGTGATTTCAGGAATTACAGGTTCCATATCTATAGCATGTTGGATTATCGTTTTCGCCCCACAGATTTATGAGAATTTTCGTAGGAAGTCATCGGAAGGACTATCGATGATGTTCATCATATTATGGTTGGCGGGAGATATCTTCAACGTGCTTGGTGCCGTTCTTCAAGGAGTTCTTCCTACCATGATAATTTTAGCAATCTATTATACGTTGGCTGACATAGTTTTATGGGTTCAATGCATCATGTATGGAGACGGAAAGTCCAAACCAGACTACGTTCACCTTTCTCCTGCAAATCCATTAAATGATGATGTGCTTGAAACAGTTTTATCTGGTGATAGGCCAGCTGAATTGAACGAACCGGATAATTCAGTTGATGAGAGGGACACTTACGCTTCATTTCTGAATGTCAGTCCCCTCATGTCAGCATTTTTTAAGTTCTTAATGGTTTTGCTTGTTTTTTTGGCTGGTCTTACTGGATGGTATATCTCATACATTAAAACTTCCCGCAAGCATAAAGCTCCTGTTGATCTAGTCTTTGACCCATTGGCACAGTTCTTCGGATGGCTATGCGCCATCTTTTACCTTGGATCTAGAGTTCCCCAAATTTTGCTCAACTACGAGCGTAAGTCGTGTGAGGGTATTTCCTTCATGTTTTTCTTATTTGCATGCCTAGGCAACTTGACTTATGTTATTTCAATCCTCGCAATAGATACATCATGGAATTATGTCTGGGTCAATTTGTCTTGGTTAGCCGGTTCACTTGGCACATTGGCTCTTGATTTCACCATCTTCGTCCAATTTTTCCTCTACAATGAGGCAGACGACTATGAAGCAGGTAACGCTTCTAAATATTCTAATTCTGACAGAAGCGAACCGCTTCTCGAACGCCAGTCCGGCGGATACGGGGCCGCATAAACCCACCTAACGAAATATCAAAATTAACAAACACAATACTTTCAATCTTTATTTTTTTTTCTTTGTTCTCTTTTATCTTTTCTGACTTCATTCACATTTCGACCGCAACTAGTAAGCTTTCTGTTGTTGAACATGAAGGCTCTCGGTTAGTTACGAGAAGCTAGTCTAGCAGGAATCCCGAAAAATGAAATCTTTATCAGTGTGCTTCTATTACGCATAAGTTTGAGCCGCCCTGGCTATAATAGACAAAACGCTATCTCATTGGTACCATTGAAAGAGTGTGTGGGAGAGGAGGGTTCTTATAATCAATAGGAAAAATAATGATCGTATTAAAAATGAGAAACATTAGTCAAGAATTAGTATCCATAATGCATAAGATGTAGTCGAGATCTACACATCTAATTAAATGTGGGAGCTCCAGTAAGACAAGCATCCTTACTAGATATATCTTCATGTGTGGGATACAATAACCTTCCAACCTTGCTCGCAGAAGGTAACCTACGTGCAACACTCGCGTTCCTTGAGCTGTAGGACCCTGTTCGCATTACCCTTCGCAGAGCCTAAGAAATCAAATTCTTAACTGTCAGAAAAAAATGGTGCAATGGAGGTACTAGTATGCGGCTCGATAACTGCTAGTAATTATTTACTTTGATGTTTCTCTTGGAATCAACGCAGAGGTACTCTAAATCAGCTAGCTCATGTGACGAAAGCAGGAGTACAATGCACAATCGTGCAGTATTATATGTCCCCACAATAAAGCGCCAGTGCACATGATCCAATGGCGAAGCCAGACCAGAAAAGTCCGGAGCCCAAGTATCGCTCGAGGTTACGCATGCCTGGCGCCGAGTAAGCACGATGTTTTTGCACACCTAGTTTTTGAGATTCTTTCCACTCTATCTTATTTAGACCTTTTTTTCATTTAGCCGACAAGCATCGATTTTACCGCTGCTGGAAATACAATTCCAGATCCCCAATTGTTCCACGGCATCCTCGATACGGTATGTTTCCAAGCTCTCAAAATTTCAGTCATCCGCAAATTAACACTAGCTTAAGAATTAGTCAAAGTATTCCTCAATGGCACCATCCACTCCAGTGAAGCGAAGAAAGCGTGCAAGTCTCGTCTGTAATCGCTGCAAGCGCCGTAAGATTAAATGCGATAAAAAGAAGCCGTGCTCGAGTTGTAGCAAAGTTGATCATCCCTGTGCTTACGACTCGGCCTGGGCTCCTGGTCTACATCTCAAATCGTCAGCATCAGGAACCCAACAGAGTCTTCAAAATGATGAAATCTCCAGCGAGCCTACAAGATCTAATGGGCCAAAAGATGCATCAACTTCTTTGACATCATTGGGTCCAAATATCGATGCTGGGCTTTCCTCCCCTCATCCGATGGAAGAGATGGTCTTTTTATCCCGAAAAAAATTTGATCAGCTTGCGAATGCAAGAGACTCAACGGCTCTGATAGGTGATTTCGAAGCCATAATCGCTCCCATAACCATAGGTAATGAAGGCCATCAAGCTTTCAATGCCAACGCTGGTCTTGTGAAAACGCAACTTCACGATCGTGAATGGCCGGGACGAATTTTATTCGAAGCACTTGGGGCACGTCAGGTGAAGTTTGAGCCTCATGTAACAAAATTGGTTAAGAATGACTTTCTTGGGGTCAACCCTTTTCAGGAATACAATGAAAAGCTATCGTTCCTCGATCAATTCGCCCTAGAACCTTCAACTGATGAAGCCCTATGGGAGCGAAATGGGGTTTTTGCATGGCGTACATTGCAAAAAAAGACGGCTGGCTTCTGAAGTTACTGGAATATGTCAGTCGCAAGGAGTCTGTGGAGCGAAGGAATGACATTCAGTCGACAGAGCTGCCATCATTGGCAAAAACACCACAATCAGCACATTCAACTTTTAGCAACGACAGCACTCGAGAAGCTGAAGAAAGGATTGGGTTTCTGCGTAGTCAGCGCCTAAACACGGAGAGAGATAAGGCCAGAGATGAAACCGCATCAAGATCTTTTTTATCTGAAAACAATCTTTCTGGTACGCTTCCACAATCTACAGATGCAAATGCGTTAGGGTTAATGTTGTACGAGGATGATATAAAGTTTGATATCAAGTTGATTCAGCAAATGAGAATGATGATACCAAAAAAGCGGGTTGTATGGCTTCTAATTCGTCGCTTTTTTCGCGTACTATACGCTTTTGCTCCTTACTTAGATGAGCATGACTTTCGTAAGGTCATATCTCGAATCATAGGAAATGAGAGCTTCGACGATATTGATGTTGATTTCCAGCTTGATGACAGACTTGATGTCATACATATCAGTGTCCTATTGGTCATGATCCGGTTTAGTTATGTTTCCCTCTTTTCAAATAGGGTGAGTGCAAATGAGGTGATAATGAATTCTGAGGATCCCAAATTACAAGAACTCCGCTACCTTTTCAAAAATCCTGTGAATCTTAACTGCATTGAATTGAGTCACAGATGCCTTCATCAAATGCTTTTCCTCAAGATAACGAATGTCCCTCTTTTGCAATTAACTTTGTTTCTTCGGACATATAATTACCTCGCTCCTGAAGAGGGTGATGGATGCAATGGATCAAGCTCGCAGCTATTCAACAGTCTTCTGGTTCAAATGGCATATATCCTAGGCTTTAATCGAGATCCATCGAGTTTCCCTGGTTCGATCTGCCCCAGACAGTCACAATTGATTAGGAAAATTTGGGCACATTTGAATGTGAGCGATGTTTTCCAGGGGTATCGCTTTGGTAATCCAATTTCGACAAACCCAGCTTTTGGTGACACGAAGCTCCCAACCGATGAAAAAGATAATGAAAATATTTTTGATAAGGAGTTGGATCATTCTGTTACTCGCGTTCTAAACTTCAGCGACGTGTTATCTGGCGGCGCCATGCGGAAACTTATCGATTTGACGTTGCATGTAAAACATCCCGTATATCTTCCTCATTTCACTTCATTGGTGAACCTGATAGAATCTGGGGCAGACAGTGTCTTCGGAAGATTAAGGGATTATTTGGAGCCACTTGAGTTACAAAACGCGTCCTATTCATATGGAAAGCTAGTCAAGTGTGCTCTTCTACTATCATTGAATTCCTTTTTCATTACTTGCCTGAGTCATCTTCTTGCATTCTACAGAGATCAACATAACGCAGCACTATATGCCTACTACTTCAAAAAGATTCTATACTTTGCAATAAGCGAAATTCTTCCTGTTGTGCCCGCATTCGTGACGAAGTTAGAAGATATTTTTGGGGAAGGAGTCGCCGTATGGATGAACCCGTTGATCATCGATGCTATTTACCGGGTGAACGAAGTTGTAATCACCTCCATTGTTAAAAGCAACTACTACATCTTAAAAGAAAAACGCTCGTCGGATCATGACTCTAAACTCGCTGATCCTGACTATTTCACGCATTTCCAAAAGCTTTGTGAGTTCGTGACTCTTTTAGAGAAATTTTCAAAAATTTGTATTGTGGCTGAATCTATCATGAGCAATAGGTACTACTTTGCGTGGAGAATTTTTAAAAGTCACCAGAAGTTTTTGCAAGCGCTGAATGAACCGGAGTTCTATCGCCAAGCCGAGAGTGCTCCTGAGACGACCACCAGTTGCGGTCCCCAAAACCTTACTTCGACCCAGTTACAAGAAATCATAGACATTTTTAAGGGCAGTATGCACTTTTTGGAGAAACAAATTGCAGAGAACCTGAAGGAATTTTGTGTTGAGGAATTTTTGACCAAAAGCTCACGCATGGATCTTCCTGGAGTTTTACGAAACGAGCAAGAGGTGACAACTACTTTAAGGACCGATCTGGCGCCGGAAACCACACATACTTCTACGGATTTAATGGAGCCATCAAAACTAGTTGAATCTTTAAGAGCGTCTCCTGGAAATATCTCCTCGGATATATCCAACATGTTAGAACTTGATCTCTTCATGTTGGACGACTTTGATGCCTTTAATAATAATGAAGTTGATCTACTTTGGCTTCAAATGTCGAATCAGAAAATGCAGAAGCATAAAGAAATCGACGAGTTCGCCTGGCAAAGCGTCGGAGATGGCACATACTGATTATAGCTTCGTTAATCGACGTCATGAATGCGCTGGGAATAAATACCAAGAGACTGTTTGTATTTCCTGTCTGTAAATCCCTCATCGGAGAATTTACCAAAATTGTCATATCGCCGAAATATTCAAATTGCCATCAGAATACCATATACCATACCTCTTTCTACATTGAATTTGATACATGACGCTTCAAGCTAATACTACGTGGTAGCAATTGATAGGTTACTGAGTTTCCCAAAGATACTGCCCACATATGGCTGGATCGATTTCCCCAATGATAGAAGACCATAGTTCTCCCTCCATAGGGAGTAAATCCAAAGCGAAGAAAAGACGTCCTCGTGGAGTAATCGTTTGCAAGAACTGTCGAAAAAGAAAAGTCAAATGTGACAAGCAAAAGCCATGCTCTAACTGTATTAAATTCAATCAGTCAGATACGTGCTGTTACGAAACACAGAATGTACACGAGTCAAAAGCGGGCTACATGGAAATCCAGCTCCCGCTTCCCGTAACACGAGACAACACAAATAATGGGCGGAGAGAAGCTAAACGCAATTCCGAGAATGGAAATGTTATTGATGTGAAGAGCAAAAACAATTTGAGTGTATCGGAATTTAAGAAGCGAAGGATAAGCGACATTTCGGAGCTTGAGCACCTCAAAGAGCGAATACAACAGCTTGAGCTGTCACTTATTAGCAATTCGTCCCAGCTGTTATCACAAGCAGACAATCGTTTGATAACTCCGGCTCATGGGCCAGCCTACAATCTGCCACTGTATCATCTTCCGACCCTTCTGCAAAAATTCACTTCCCCAATGGCTGGCCCAAATCCTAATTTGGCTGGAACAGTGGGCCCTATGTCTAATGCTAGCCCAAATTTGCCTTCAAAATTATCCAGGATGCCATCCCATGCTCATGCCTTCAACAGTAATGTGGCAGCTACTCTTCCGCCGTTGAACCAACCCGCCCCCAACAACGAAGAATATCTCAAGAGAATACAGAACAGTGATCCGTCACTACATCATTCTCAATTTCCATTCTTCAAACAGAAGCCACACCTAAGTCCCGCTAGAGATAATAGCAGAATCGATGGCGAGTTACGCTCCATGAAAGATAATTCCTTTTCTTTGCCATCGCGATACCTGGCATTGCCGCGCTACTCGGAGGCTCCTTTTATGATTGGCAAGAATGTTGTATCGGAAACCACAGATACCATCAACTTCTATGAGGGATACTCATCTATTCATTATAAGGACACCCTAAGAAGGTTAAACTTTGGCCCCTTCGCCTGGTCTTCATTGATGAAGAGGGATATTGGCTTGCGTATAACATGGGATTATGTGGTTATGGGTAAAGAAAAGGCTTCAAGCAAAGGCCTGTCAGCAGCCTTGATGTTTGCGCATCCTAGTGGAGACATGACCGAAGAGAACACAGCAACATTTATCTCTGTTGAAAAAGATTCTGAGCATCTTGAGCATCTTGAGCATCTGGAAAAGCGATTTGAAAGGCGTGCTTTGCAAACTGATGGCCTTGATGACGTGATCCCGTATAGAGCAATACTTCAGGCTCGGAATAAGACTAATGTTCACAAGGCCACGCTTAACAAGCATGCACTTCCTTTAGGGCTTACTGTCTTTGACGGGAAACTTGATCGCGAGCTTCAACTAATGGAAAAGATTGAAGTCGTTTTACCCAAGAAAAGAGTACTTTGGAAGTTAGTACATAGGTTTTTTCAATCTATGTACACATATATGCCATTTGTTGACGAGGATTATTTCAGGCGGGATGTGGAGAAGATTATTGGACCTCAGTCATACGATGATGTCTCAGTTGACCACATTAAAATCGAACGGAAACTCGATTTGGCAACTGTTGGGCTCCTTCTCATTATTCTACGATTAGCTTATCTTTCCTTGTTCTCCAACAACAGCTCTCTCAACGAGTCAATATTAAACAACCCGAATCCGAATTCGGAGGACAAGCTTTTGCAGTATTTGATGAAGAATCCGATCAACATCAATACGATAGATGTCGCGACGCTGTGCCTAGATCAGTTTCAGATCTTGAGAAGAAGTAACTTCAACGTCCTTCAATTGGCTCTTTTTTTGCGTCTCTACCATATTTTCGCTCCTGAGGATGGGGATGGAGCAGACGGGGGAGACTCTCAAGTCCTAAACTCTGTTCTTATTCAAACGGCATTCTCCTTGGGCGTAAATCGAGAACCTGATCAGCAATGTACTGATCTAAAGTTGAACCACATAACCCGAAAAATTTGGAAGTACCTAGTTGCTTCAGATCTCCATTTGGGGTATTCCTTTGGGAATCGTCCCACTATAGACGATATGCATTTTGATATCAGTGATCCAATTTGTGAACCAGGAAGCGAGAACATTAGAGACAAGATCAAGGATCGGGCTACAACCGAAAATCTCAACTGGTGTTCACATACAACGCCAAAGTTGCGAAGTATTCTTCAGTATGCACTTGATATAAATGGAAGAATCAGCTTGATGAGACTCTGCCAGGATGTCTCAGACTTTGAGCTACATCTTCACGACAATATGGGTACCTTGGGAGACTTTATAGTCTGTTCAGGGATGGATGATCAGGATATTGCCAAGAGGAATCTCAAAGTGAAGGTTTACCTTGCGCTCAAGTCTTTTTTGATATCACTTTACTTTCACATTTACCTTTACTATGAAACTAAAGATGTCGATGTCTCATTTTTTTATTTGAAGAAAAGTCTACTCACCACCATAGGGGATATCATGCCTCATTATGTTACGCTTCTCGGCAAAAGTGAAGTTATAAGTGACATGATTATCAATCCAACCCTCGAAATGACGATCCATAAGTCAAACCAAATCAATCTTTCCATTATTGTACGTGTGAACTTTCTTATTTTTCACCTCAAACAATCCCCGCAACATGAGAGACTTTACAAGACGGACAAATCATATTTCAATTATTTTCAGCTATTGTGTCAATTATCCTCAGCTGTTACAAGGGCAGCCGAATTTACCATTTCCGCCATAAGCAAATTGAGTAATCGCTACTATTATGCTTGGAGAATTACCAGGGGACAAACATTTCTTTTAAAAACAATAACATTGACACAGTTCTACGAAGAGAATTACCACAAGGCATCGCAAGTCTACTCCATACGCTATAAGCCAGAACAAATCAAGGAATTAATTTCCATATGCGAGGAAACGCTATCACTGTTTTCACAAACAGAGTTTTGTACGTATGGCTTTGCGAAACATATGGATGAGGATCTATACAAATGCAATGAACCACGGCAAGAGAGTATCGGCAACGAGTCGAACGTGTTTAGAGAACCTAGTCGGAACTCGACAAACGCTGAGATCGATAAGATCTGGTTACAAGTCCTCTCTCTCAAGCACAATACCACCTTGGCAGGAAACTTGCAGGATGCCCCATTGGATTCTAAGGCACCAATTCCGCTGATGTCGTCCACAGATTTCGGCTATCAGCCACCCCAAGATTCAAGTGACATAGATCCGTCTACCGGGATCGATCGATTTGGCTACGATATGGAGATGGCCACTCGATTTGACTTTTTCAGTGAGATGCCTTTCGAGGGAATGTTAGATATTTAGAATGAGATCGTCGTCTTGACTGGATTGTAGTTTCTGAGACTAGCGCGTGATTCACCTCATCACTTCGCACAAGCAAAAACATTCGCAGAATTGATGGCATAGTTTTCCATGTCCGCTTACAAGCCGTGGGAAGCAGAATTTCCACAGGGAATCTCGAAGAACGCCTGGAAAAAGTTGCAGAAGAAAAGGAAATGGGAAGATCAGAAGGAGGAATGGAAAGCAAGGAGGAAAGAGAAAAAAGTTGCGGCTCGACGCAGAAAAGCAGAAAGTAAAGGCATTGAGGGGCACGATAACAATACTAAATCGGCTAAAAAAATTATACCACAGTCCCAAATACCGTCAAATGTCGAGGTCATTATGGACTGTGAGTTCGATAATCTCATGAGCGACAAGGAAATCGTTTCCTTGAGTAATCAAATCACCAGATGTTACTCCGCCATGCGACATTCCACTCATGAGGTCAAACTTAGAGTATCGTCATTCAACAAACGCTTGAGGGAACGCTTTGAAAATACTCTTCCTGACTATACAAAATGGAAAAACATCTGTTTTGAAGGAAATGAGACTTTAGATGAGCTTCTTCCATCCGACTCGCCCCAACGCTCGAGAGTGATTTATCTTACTGCTGATACTGACAATGAGCTTGAAGAGTTGAAAGATGGAGATACATACATTATTGGGGGAATTGTTGATAAGAATAGGCACAAAAACCTTTGCCTTGAGAAAGCAAACAAACTTGGAATTAGTGTGGCACGATTGCCTATAGGCAAATTCATCAAGATGAATGGAAGACAAGTCTTGGCTACCTCGCATGTATATGAGATCATGTGTATGTGGTTTGAACAATCACAAGACTGGGAAAAAGCTTTTAACGTCGTTCTCCCACCACGAAAGATCAATAGTGGCGCGTGCGAGAGTGTGAGTAAGGAAGATGGGAATCACGCAGAACAATGCACCGAATCAAAGCAAGAGGCGCTGCCAGAAGGTGAAACTTAGCCACCAATTATCATTAGGACTAGGGCAACTCTGAATAAGGAAAATTTTATAGTAGTACGTTTTGAATGTCTTTTTTTTTTTTTTTTTTTTTTTTTTTTTGCTTCCTTTGTTTTTTTTTCCCAGATACGGGAAGTCGGCCAGAGGCAACAATTCAAACTTCGATCCGTGCCTCAACTATCACGTGCCTGAATGTACTGGACTCTTGAAGGATCACAAGACGTAGATACCAAATTTTTGTTCCTATTTTTTGTATTTCTCTTTAGACTTTTGAGACGATCTATCTTTTAGTACCATGACAACTTCGTTAAATAGGACCAGGACATATGCAACGACGGATGTTTCAAACATTTGTAAGTAGTATGCCGCGCCGCAGGCTGAGTTCCCAACCTCCTGACGGTACGCGGCCTTACGGTTGTCGGCATACACCCGTGCCTTCCTGACACCTCCCTTAGAATGGAAATCCAAAGGAGAAAAAAAAAAATAGGTCTATTAACAGAAGCTCTCTGACCACGAATCGTTCACAGTTTATACATTTGAGACCACTGGCAATCACTAAAGTCTTCCAATTTTGCTATTATCTATCTTGTCTCTTGTGTCTACATTGGGCTGATCTGAACGAAATAAACAACTATTTGAGCAGCATAAGAAGTACGTGAGGTTTCCCATCAAGCATGTCAGTTTTCATTTAGGAAGGCTGGGTCTGTCTCGGAAAGCAATGATTTGCTGAGTGCATCTTTCCGAGCTCCAGTTTTTATTTGAAACTCTTTGGCAAAGCGAGGATTAATTACTAACCAACAGAAAATGGTACCACCCCCAGCTGAATTTCGCAGAAAACTAGTCATTGTAGGTGACGGTGCATGCGGCAAAACTTGTCTTTTGATTGTGTTTTCTAAAGGCACTTTCCCTGAGGTATACGTCCCAACTGTTTTCGAAAATTACGTGGCCGATGTGGAAGTCGATGGTAGAAAGGTTGAGTTGGCACTTTGGGATACTGCCGGACAGGAAGATTACGATAGGTTAAGGCCATTGTCTTACCCTGACTCAAACGTCATTTTGATCTGCTTTTCTATCGATTCCCCAGATTCCTTGGACAACGTTTTGGAGAAGTGGATTTCGGAAGTCTTGCACTTCTGCCAAGGTGTGCCTATCATTTTAGTCGGCTGTAAGGTCGATTTGAGAAATGACCCCGTCACTATTAAGCAGTTGTCTCAGGAGAACCAGCAACCCGTGTCTACATCAGAAGGTCAAGCTGTAGCCCAGAAGATTGGTACTCAGTACTACTTGGAATGTTCCGCTAGAACAGGCGACGGTGTGAGAGAAGTTTTTGAGACTGCGACAAGAGCCTCCTTACTGACCAGGGAAAAGAAAGAGAAGAAGAAGAAGTGTGTTGTGTTGTAAGTGATATGTTGCTATCATATCTAGGTTTCGCTAGTGTCTGTTCAATGAGCAACACTGAAATAGTATTTAGAACTGATAATACTTGATGTCCCGTTCTTATTCTCCTTAAATCGACTGTAGTTATTTGTTCAAGGTTTCTATGATAAATTATGTGCAGTCTCTTTTTTATCCAATTACAGTTCATCAGAAATTTCTTACAAGTGAGCCAGGTCACTTCTTAACCATAAAAGATAAGTCGCCGTTATGTTGAGCAGACACTCTAAGCACTTTTTTTCGACGTTCGAAAGGAGATTACAGACTGTTCTTACCCCTGTTTCAAGAAAAACCACGACGGGTCTTACGAAGGAAGAATTGCAGCACAACCCCAACGCTGTTCAAGCACCCAATAGAGCCAAACCATGGACTGCAAGCCAGCAATCTAGAGATGATGCAATTTCACGAAATGCCGTTAGATTTGTTCAGAGAGATTTGGAAGAACAACCGCAACCATATGCTGCTATTGACTTAATTGCAAAGGAACCAATCAGATATCTTGAACATGATAATATTGCTGTATGTGATGGAAACAAGGGGTCTACTTTGCAAGGTCACCCGAAGGTTTTCATTAACTTAGACCAGCCTAAAGCAGCTACATGTGGTTATTGTGGCTTAAGATATGCCAAAGAAGAACATCGTGATATCATTGAGAAGGGCGAAAAGCAATTTTAGCTTCATACCATCTGGGTAGTGTACTGTTTAAAGTGGCTGCGTCATAATCAGTGAATAAATCATTCGAATTTTTGAAAGTTCTGCTTTATAGAGTTCCACGCTTATTCGTACAGTGAGAATGGCGTTCCCATCTATACTGTATTCGGACAGAAACTACAACAAATGGACAAAAAGAATAATCATGTACAATATGTAGCGAAAACGAGAGCTCTAAGGCGGATATACCGTCTATTGTAAAATTATATCATGGGATGCGACAGTGATAGTGCTTATCGGATTTCCTTGAGGCATGCCTTCCGCGGTTACTGTGTGGTTCCCCAATTCCCAACGTACGTCAACCTCAACTTAGAACCCGCTCGCCATACCAGCCATGATATCAACAAATGCAAAGTCATACATCAAGCAACTACTAATTGGTATTTTTTACGGTCTATGGTATTCTCGTCATCATCTCATTCACTCCTATGTCATAATTCCGATCGGTATAGTGACACTTTTCGTTGTCCTATATGGGTTCAACTTGCTTCTAACGAACGTTTTCAAGATCCAATTCCCAGCTTCAGTCCTTGGGATGTTAATAAACTTGATAGCTTTATGCATTTTAGATGCATTTGCCTCTTTGAGGGAGACTAACTTCGCTCAAAAGCGGATATGGGCTATTCGATTGGGGGATGTCTCTTCTTGGATCTTGGAGAAGTATTTGACAGCTATCCAGCCAAGCATGAATTTTTCCCTAAAATGGATAAACGTATTTTTCATTCCATCTTTTGTTATACTTCCCTTGAGTGATCATATAACCTTCATCGAATGTTTAAAGATTGCTGCCGTTTTCCTCATAGGAGGAATATCTCTAATGTTGTTTGACGTGTACTCGATATTCCTTCTCAAGAAACTTATTCAAGCTCTTAATCTTGGCTCTTTTGATACTGACAAGTCACTGGCGACCTCGCCTTCTCAAGCTCTGCAACCCACTCGGGGTGAGGATGAGGATTTGGAGATGGATGTTTTCACTGTAAGCCGCTCATACATTTCCGCGAGAAACGATATCACAACAATTGATGTTACTAGCTTGAGGTCAACGAGACATGTTCCGGATAATAAGCAAAAGGATCTTGTCATTTCGGACAACCCCTTCATGAACACAATCGCAGAACCTGGTTTTCTCGTTGAAAGTCTGGCTACGAAGTCATTTACTCGGAATGAGCCGTCGTCCCATGAAACCATATCCCAAGAGCCCGTTTTGACATCTTTATCGGCCTCACCTGACACTGATGAGCTGAAGTTACCTTTTGATTACTTATCCAGTTTCTCGAAAGAAGTGACTATATTTGTTACAAATCATATCGACTGGTTCCTCTTCTTTGTCTTATTTATCATAGCGTTGCCTTTTTATTACATCCGACGCCTTCATATAATGCTATTCTACCATCTAAGCATAACGGTGTTAGCTTACTTTATTGCCTTACTAGTTCCTGTTAAGATTCCTCAATTGAAAAAGTTTGCTCACCCAATTTTAGTTTCCACTGCTGAAATATTATTTATTTGTTTCATCGGGTCACTAATCTATCATCGGGGACAGCCCAAAGGTTTTCTCGAAGATTTGAAATACTATAAGACCGGAAAGACGTACCTTCATCTTTTTAATAAAAAAGGAATGTACAATAATGGTGATACAATCCCGGAATCCAAAGATGGCTTTACAGTGGTTCCTCTTTGGCCAGGCTGTGGTGACATCCTTTCGTCATTGATGGATATATCCATCGTTTCCTTATCATTACCCATGTTCACGCATAGACGTGATTTCATTAGAAATTTTTGGGTCATGATGCCGCCAATTCTCGCCTCTATGGCACTTACATTTTTCTGTTACCCTCTCGTCTGCTATCATATCGGGATAAGTCCCGAGCGATCCATTGGCTTCATCGGTAGGCTGGTCACTTTAGCTCTTGGAACACCCCTTATCTCAACATTAGGAGGGTCTGTATCGCTTATGGCTGTTTGCACGATATTGAGTGGTATACTAGGCGTTCTTGTGGGCGACGCTTTCTTCAAACTTTTGAAAGTGCCGCAAGAAGATTATGTTACACGTGGAGTGACTTTGGGAATCAATTGTGGAGCTATTGCGACGGCTCATCTATTGAACGTGGACCCTAGAGCAGCATCCATGAGCTCTTTAAGCTTTAGCATTTTTGGAACAGTGATGATCATACTCGCCAGTATAAACGCGGTTCGCGAACTTATTAGATCGTGGGTAGGACTCTGAAGATTTGCATGATGCTCCTCATTCGCGGGATCGATACTTAAAACCATCTACCTTCTTTATCTTCTGTAGGATGTTGAGTGAAACTACTAAGATACTCATCTTACCGCAAGAAGTGGAGGAAATCGCTTTATTTGATGTCCAGCTTAGCGGGCAAGAGAGAAGTCTAATAACAGGAAATAATGAAGTGTATGAGGTACTTGAAGTTATAGGGCACAGCTCTTTCGATACCACGCCCGCGCCCCAGTTGCCTTCAATGAAAGCCGTCAAGTCAATCATTTTGGAATCTGAAAATGGAGATGGATATTGCCTCCAAAGTCCGAATGTTCTACTGGCCACCAAGTTCGACATGACTTATTTTTTTAGTGCGCTGCTCCATGATCGCCTGTCTTTTTCATCGCGATACAAAAGCGCGTCTGACATCAAAGACGAACTCTTGGATCTCGCTGTGATTAATGGGTGGAATGATACTATTGAATGCGCTTTTCAAAGGTCTTTAGCGAACATTTGTCAATCAATATTAGAGGGCGACGAGGCCTACTTTAAATTTTCCAGGGAGAAATTTTTCTCATTCTTGCGACAGAAAGTAGAGAAGCTCTCGGATTTCATTTTTAGGTCACCGAACCTCAGTTTACACAAAATGATAAGATCGTCGCTTGTTTCATCAATACAAGTTCCTGAAGATATTTTTCGGGCACAAACGCTTCGGTATGCAACTGACATGGTTCTACTTTCCTACTACAATCCCACTTTGAGGGACGAATTTATCGACGCAGAAGGCTATAAATTCGACGATCTTTTGTCATATCTTGAAGAGGCGAGAAAAGACAACGAAAATGGTGCTATACTCACACCGTTGTCAACTGTTTCGACAAAAATTGTACCGAGAAAGAACAAGGGGAAAAAAGACCTGAGAGTGGCTGTCGGAAAGGGGGCGTTGGACTCTTTCTTTAAGAAAGCTTGATTAACGATTGGCACCTACCTTGAGCAAATCAAGTCTTTCTGAGTGGTACCTACTGTCGTGGTTCTCCTGTAGGGAATTCTTCATCGTGGCGGTGAGGTTTTCAATGACATCGAGACTATTTTTGATAGTTGAACCAAAGTACTCCCGTCAATCGGTAAACCACCATTTTTTGAAATCTGTATCAACTCTCGATTCATATTCATTGTTAAAACCAAGGAGCCATCTCGCACAGACTCTTCTTCCTTATCAGCATCCAAAACGGCAATCTCTTTGCTGGATATGCCTTTGATATTCTCGACACTACCATCTGGATTGAAAAACGAGTAGGTGATGCAAAGTGGAACATGCAATATACTCAAGGGAGTTGGTTGATGCGTTTCGATGTCATGAATAATCACATCAGTACCATGGATAGAGACGTCAGGTTTCCTGAAATTTTGCAATGCGGTCATTACCCCTAAGCAAGAAGCATCGATTAGTCCTCCATCATGGCTAAGAAAGCTTATATCCGCACGGATGTGCCAGACTTTCTCGCCTGCTATAATACACAAGCTCTCGAGATCCAAAGCATTCGACCTTCTAACGGCTTTCTCGATAAGCCTTGAGACGAGCACTTCTTCATCCGATGACTTTCCGTTTTCAAACGACATACACGCCATCAGGCTCATCTCAGAGTTTATCGAGAAAAGTCCTTCAAATGGCCTGTCCTCATACGGCTTGCTTACTTCTGCGCTGACTCTCACTGCAAGCTTTGTCTTTCCCCATTCGATCTCCACGAAACCATACTCGGACGAAGAAATATGCAACTTTGGGTTACGGATATTGTCTAATGTCCTACCATTTAATCTGTATCGTTGTTTTAAAGCCTCGAGAGTATAGCTCCTTCTGTTCTCGATAACATTGAACTCTTTCATCATGCCTAGATGATTATTATGTGCTAAACATGCGATGAACCACTTTGGATTGATCACGTGATTACTGAAGTCTCTACTCGTAACAAAATTTGGCCTGCACTTTGTGGATTGTGAAGAAAATGCAGCGCTTCTATTCAACCGTAAGTTAATGAATACCATGTCTTCATCGCTAGTCGCTCGTCAGGTCAGATTGTATAGCTCGGTTAATGGATTTAAGTCTCAAGCGCCTGCTTTAAGCTATTTCCAGCGGGCTAAGTTGCCGGCAAACACTATCATTAAATTTGTTCCTCAACAAACTGCTTACGTCGTCGAACGAATGGGAAAGTTTCTGAAAGTACTAAAGCCGGGTATGGCTATTCTAATCCCTATCTTGGACAAAATCACGTATGTCCAATCTTTGAAGGAGACCGCTATCGAGATTCCTTCTCAGAATGCGATTACAGCTGACAACGTGTCTCTCGAACTTGATGGCGTTTTGTACGTGAAGGTGCATGATCCTTATAAAGCATCTTATGGAGTGGAAGATTTCAAGTTTGCAATCAGCCAACTTGCACAGACTACAATGAGATCAGAAATTGGCTCTATGAACCTCGATTCTGTATTGAAAGAAAGACAGAAGTTAAACGTGAACATTAATAAAACAATCAATGAAGCGGCACGGGAGCATTGGGGTGTCGAATGCTTGCGTTACGAGATTCGGGATATACATCCTCCCCAGAATGTCTTAGATGCGATGCATAGACAAGTGAGTGCCGATAGAGCGAAAAGGGCGGAGATCTTGGAGTCCGAAGGAACACGGCAGTCAAGGATCAACATTGCTGAAGGTGAGAAACAAGCAGCAATTCTTAATGCTGAGTCCACTGCCTTAAGTATTGAACGTATCGCAAGATCAATCAGTGAAACAGCCGGTGGAAGAGATGCTGCCAATCTTCAAGTCGCCCAAAAGTATATCAAGGAATTTGGCAGGATCGCCAAGACTACTAACACGGTGGTAATTCCTTCAAACATGAATGATCTTAATGGAATGATTGCTTCTGGTTTGTCGATTTTTGACTCCATGAACAAATCAAACAAGAAGCCCATCGAGTAAATACATGCTACCACTCCCGTATATACCATTTCATATCCGTTACTCGGTACCCTTTGTTAAACAGTGTGCTGGCCACTCGTCAAGAAGCGAAGAATGGCCATTATTCTATAACTCAATTAAATGGCAATTAAAATGTAAACAAAAGGGAGCAAAGCGTTATACTAATACATTGACAATATGTGACGTAGGGATCGTGAATTGGTTCTAATAATACGTTTAAAGGGAGATCAGACGCCCAACTTAAACAGTATTTTCTTTAGTAACAGCAATTTGCGCAGGAAGATTAGAATCTTTTCTGGATCTCTTTTTACTTCTCCCAATCCACTTAAACTTTGCCTGCAAACGTTCAAAACTTTTGGTAAAGTTCGTATGTATGCACCACTGGTAAAACCACCACTCCAATAGAAGGAAGAGGCTCGCGATGACGAATCCACCAAAAACGGCCAAACCAATGTGATTGGCCAATGATTTTACAAACTTAGCATCATCTAGATGCCACAGCGACCCTGGAGATATAGCAAAGAATGAAAAGACATGAGTTTTGTAGTCTTCAGGAAGCAAAATTCTCACTTTCGCTGCCTCTGGCACACCATACCGCTTGTATTGTTGAAGCATCACCGAAAGGAACAAAGGCCCTGTCGAAAACATAATAGTGATATATGGAACAAGCCAATTCCTTTTATACTTTTGAAGATTTCCCAAAACCTTGATGAAAAATGGATGTTTAGGAACTGCACCCATCACATCGTTGGATATACCCGTTGGCACTGTCTGCCTAACGAAGGCGGGGACAGTCAACAACGGATCTAGACGGCGCACGCAACCATCGTCCAAATCTATGTATATGCCACCGTAATGAGCCAAGGCAAAGTAGCGTATTGCGTCTGCACGTTGGATCGGGTATGGGTAAGAGTCCCAAGTCAGAAGAAACCAGGGATATTCTTCAGCTATAAATTCTCTTGCGGTATCATCGGTCCATAAAATGTATTGGTAATCATGGTGTAGCTCAACACAAGCCTTTTGTCCTGGCTGCCATAGTTTGGGGATGTGCTCATCCTTATAAGTTTGATGTATAATTTTGGGTATCACATTTGGCTTTTCAATTTTGCCGTCCGCTGGGTTGAGCTCAATATCTAGCAAGGCATCTTGAAAGGAGTCATCAAAGAGTAAACTGATCAAATCGTAGCTGCAGTAAACTAAGAACGCTATCAAAGCGGCATGGCCCCACAAGATATATTTCAACTCTTTCCTCATTTTCTCTCAAGAAACTAAGAAATATGTTCAATTAATAGCCTGGAAGTTGAAACCAAAATGCAACGCTCCCTTTTTGAATGCTGTAGACAAAGAGCGTGGAGAAGATTCAGGCGAAGAAGAAAAAGGTGATGTGTTTGGCCCGCGATAATGTCACCTTGGGTTGTTGATCAGCGAACATGATAGGGGAAGGGCGAGCGTAAAAAAAAAAAAAAAATAAAAATAAAAATAAAAAAAAAAAAAAAAAAAGAGGCAGGAAGGGACGAAACTAAGGCCAGAGGTAAGAGACATAGAAATAGAGTAGACCTTGGTAGGTTTTCGAAGCATCGAACGTTTAAAGGGCACAAAGTTCAGCATTTCCATTATTAGCCCTTAACGTGGTGGCCTGAGGCTGAGCAACTCATGTGTTCAAAATATCTGGTTTGTGGTGCACGGATCTCCAAATAGGAGGCATGCATATGCCAAAGTAATCATACGGCAAGGGAATCACTGTGGTAGTTTGCTAGTAAGTGAAGGACGGGACTAAAATGAGGGTGGATGGATCTGAACCCATAAAATACATCTCAACCATACAGTTTAATTTTAATTATGTAAAGCGCACATTATAGAATTGAAGTTGACCATAGTCACCTCATAACTTAGCCTTGTATTCATTGGCATCCCTGTCAAAATTTTTATCCACAATGTCAATCATGTAGTTTAGAGAACGATTGTCCACTTCGTTCCTCATTATGAATCTCTGTAAGAAACTCAAAATGAACTTTAAATCACGCAGATTTCTAATAATGACGTATGCTTTTGTTTTCGACTTGTTCTTAAAAATCTTGATTAACTTCAAGTTGTTCAAATAGAATAGGAAAGAAAGCAAATACTGCTTGTTATATGTCTCGATGTGAAAATGCAGGTTACCTTTCTCGAACATCTTCACATTTTCCTTCTGTATAATCTTCAACAAGGATTTTGTTGTTGGATAATCCTTCAGCATCAAATTATCACTGATAAGTTGCTGTTCTGAAATTTTGTTCTGTGAGTTGGCATAAAACTTCACGACTGTGCTATTAAGTTCATCCACACAGATCATAAAGGACTCTATAAAAGGCAATATGATAGTGGCAAGAACATTATGGAAATATCTGTCATTGATTTTAAGGTCATCTGAGATAACGCCTAAATTTTCAAAACTTTCCAAAATAAACGACAAGTTATGTCTTGGATTATAATTATAATCAAACAAAAACTCATTCTTCAAAAATCCTGTGAAGATGTAAAATAGCTTATTGATCTGCATGCGATCCAGAGTTTTCAATAGGATCAATGACACCAAGCACTTATGGATCAATAAATGAATGGTAAGGTTCTTGTAGTAAAGTAGCTCGAAAGAGTTATCAATTCTCACCACATTAGTCTCCGGATTGATCCTAGTAAATTTAAAGAAGGAAATGATTTGCGATTTAATGAGCTCCACCTTTTGAGTTTCATCCAAAAGTTGGATCGCCTTCAAAATCTTAGAGTTTGTAGTGCTCAAATCCTCTTCTTGATACACTTTCAAGAGAAAATCAAGCATTGGAATGAGCTCAGAAGCGTTGAATTCGGTTTTACCAGACATGTAGTGGAAAGTCTGAATTACCATACCAACGATAGCACACTCGGGAAGATATGATGCAGCATTGACAGCATGCAAAATCTTAAAGCCAAGCTTCTTCAAATTGATGTCTTGCTCAGACACCGATAAATCTTCTTCAAGCTCGTAATCGACTCGGTTTTTAGGGTCTTCGACGTAGGAGGAAAGGGTAAAGCTGTCAGCAAGCTTCACAAAGATCTTACCATGCAAAGTGCGATTCATGTTAGTCACAAAACCATCCTTCAGCAATGTCTTTTTTGCATCATCTCTATCGACACCATACACAAGGTTTGACACACCATTAGAAAGGATGTTAACGAAACTTTCCTGCTTCTTGTCACTGCCGATTAATTCATCGAGATAGCCATCGGCCTCGTAAATTCGTTCGTAGGTTATAGAAATCGGTTGCATTAACATATCAAACTTCTCATTCATCTCCTGGCGACGTTGCTTCAAATATATTGACACAAGCGTTTTAAGGATACCGTACTTAGGAAGAAGTAACTTTCCGTCTCTGGAACGAGTACCTTCGATAAAAACTTCGAAATGTATCTTATTCAAAAGCACGTACTCCACGTAGTTCGTTAAATTCCTTTCAGTATAAAGTTCATTGTTGAAAGACCTTTTGATAAAAATGCCACCGAGACCTTTCATAATACGACCAAAGATTGCGACGTTCAAATTATCTCCAGCGATAACCGTAGGGATTGACATCTGGAACCTGATGAGAATCAAATGCAAGATCACGTAGTCTATGTGAGACTGGTGGTTGGGTAGAAGAATAATGGACATGGGATCATCCAAATATCTTTTGTAAAGAGAGCTCATTTGCTGTCGGTTTACCCAAACGCCCTGAGGAAACATCTTGCGAACGGTATTTATGACAGTGATGTAGCAAATTTTTAAAAAGCCTGGAGAGCCAAACTTTGGGAGATTCTTTTCATTCTCAGCAGAGTAATAGTTAATCATAAACTTCTTTACATCCGCAAAACGCTTCAGAAAATCCTTTGCTTTGATGAGATTCATGCGCAATTCCAGGTCTACCAACTTGTAAACGATCTCGTCTAATTTTTCGTCCGTTCTTTTCAATCTGTCCGTCATAAACTCCTTTGACTTCTGATTAAACTTCCCTCCCATCTTACTGACGGCGTATTTGTACTCGCCATTAGCATAAATTTCATCGTAATTGACCTTGCTAAAAAATTTGATGAAGTTTTTCAAAAGGCTGAAACTGTTGCTCACCTTTTCGTTTGAATCTAAATCGAGGTATGTTTCCTTGTCCGTTGGTAACGGAAAAGTCAATTCCACGTTAGGGTGAGTCAATGCTCTGTCAAGGATGTTTACATCGAAATCCGAATTTGCTATCTCATCTGCCATGGTTTCTAGAAGTGAATGGGGGCGCTGTCAAAGACAAACTTTGTGGCGTCAAACCGGTATTTAAGTATGAAATACTTCCAACCCAACATTCGCGACCCCACAGCTGGCAATTTTCCTCATGGAGGAATTTTTAATAAATGCGCATAAGTATTCCAAGAATGAAGACAACCGTTCCCAAGGATAGTAGAGCACGAAGAAGCAAAAAGACATGATTTTTGACATCATTAATTTGCAATTACTGTATTCCTAAATCTTATATTCTTTAAATGTGTTTTGCCATGCAATTCAAAGATAGACTGTTGGGTAAGGTCAATCACATGGATCATACAGAAGATGAGCCGCGCAAATGCGCATGTCTGGCATGACATTGCAAAATTGATAATGCACGTTTAACACTATTGCTGAAGGAAATTTAACTGAAGCTCAGGTATTCAGGCCAACGCGGCACCAACTTTCTCCATGGTCCACCTGATAGTCACAAAGCGCTGGTTCTAGCCATAGACTTATGCAGCCGGCCACCATTATCCCAAATGAATCGCTAATTCCCACACAGCCCATTGCAAACTCCCTCGAGTCTTCTAAAACCTGTTCGCTGACAGACATGAAAGTATTGACGTACAGGAAGCCACCTAGAAGCCCTTCATAAAGAAACAATATCGAAAGAGCCCAGATACTTGAGAAGGGAAAGCTGTAGATCGATTGCGTTAGCGTGATTACCACGTTCATCAACTGAAGGAATGTCAAGAGGTATAGCTGACGAATCCGAATTCCAAACATTGTCGAAGACCTCGAGAGAAAGACACCAACTTGATACAAGAAACCGTAAAACACGTAAATATCTCGATACTCTTTAAAAAGCCAAGAGGGTAGTTGAGTTAGAGGAAACAACAATGTTGGAGAGATTCCTTGGTTTATGACGTACTCAAAGATATAGACCGAGCACAAGGGTACCATATATGGTCTAACCAATGGAGAGGCTCTCTGGCAAGTAATCCAGAAATGAGAAGCGATACGCCCAAAGCGACTCTCCAGTTTAAAAATTGTATTGACAACGACATTTCTTTCCATAGTACTGCTGCTAAGCAGGTCTTCATCCATTGAAATTCTTTCGTAAGTTGTATTCAGCCGTGGCAATATTAGATAATAAGCAGCGACGTGGCAAAACGGAGCTATAGAAAAAACAAGAAGGGAATTACTAGCACTCAATTGGAAAACGTTGGTAAACAACAAAAAAAGGAAGCTTCCAACAATGCCAGCTGCCCCAGTTCCAGTCGAAAAGCCACCTATGGACAGGTTCCGGGAGTAATAATGCGTGAGCAGTAGGAATGATACTTCACCAATCCCAGAGGAAGCAGATGCCATGCATATTCCGAGAATAACAACCGGCTTACTTTCATTGCTAAAGCTGATCAATAGCATACCTGGAACGGATAATGCTACTAACGTCCACAAACGTACATGGTAAGCGAATTGATGGATGACAAGAGGCGCTATTGCTTTTACTATGAGCGAAGGTAGAATATCGGCCAACAAGACTACCCCTTTGGGTGTAGCTGAACCAACGAGATCGATTGCAGCAGATAAAATAACAACATACAATATGTTATTGATGAGACCGAAAAAAAGAAATCCGGTGAATACTCGATGCTCGTTGCTCAATAGGAAGCGCATTTCATGTGGGACCATGTTGAAGGCAAGGTAGATAAGAGCTGTGTGCGTAAACTTGGAGTCTTACCTTTATCACGATCTCGCGCTCTATACACCACCCATCCTAAAAAAGTGGAGATCCCATAAAAACAGCGTAACTAATCCTTCGAACTTCACCTTCCGATGTCGAGAATCATATAAAAATTATATCAAAAAAGCCGCATTGATGGTATTCCTTTTGTAACATCATCACGGTATCGCTAGAACACGCAATCCCCGTCCCGACATGCAACATCTAAACCCAAGTAGTATGAAGAATTAACTAGAAAAAGTCGATTCAAAAGAGGTTTAAAAACAAGTGGAAAGTGATGAATGGCAGGTGGGACTATGAGAGAAGGGCTACCAGCTATATGTCCGACTCTTCCGCCCACATGAGCCCATGTTCAGCGATTCAGTATCCTGTATAGTACTGCTCGAGATGCCTCAAGTGGAAGTCGAAAATTTTCATTGAGTCATCGAGAAGCAAACCTATGTCTGCGATTTAAGTATCAAATTTGCTTAAACTACAATACCGTTGACATGAGCCAAACACCCATCCCCGAAGAGTACGACGATACCAGAATTATGGGATATGATCCTTTAATACCCCCAGCCCTCCTTCAGACAGAGATCAAAGCCACTAAACAGTCATTAGACACAGTGATTAAAGGAAGAATCGATTCCCTGAGAATTATCAGTGGTAAGGACGACAGGTGCCTAGTAATCGTTGGTCCGTGTTCCATACATGATCCCGTTGCTGCTATCGAATATGCCAATCGCTTGAAGAAATTGGCGGAGGAACTAGAGAATGATTTGGTGATTGTTATGAGAGCATACTTGGAAAAGCCTAGAACTACTGTAGGCTGGAAGGGTCTCATTAATGACCCCAATGTGGATAATACTTTCGATATCAATGAAGGTTTGCGTGTGTCCAGAAAGTTGTACGCTGACTTGACCGGAGAGGTCGGCGTTCCGATTGGCAGTGAGATGTTAGACACTATTTCACCACAATACTTTTCTGATCTTTTGAGCTTTGGTGCTGTTGGTGCAAGAACTACCGAGTCTCAGCTTCACCGAGAATTGGCTTCTGGATTGTCTTTTCCTATAGGCTTCAAGAACGGAACAGACGGTAATGTTGGAGTCGCTTTGGACGCTGTACAGGCATCATCTAAAGGTCATCATTTCATGGGCGTTACGAAAAATGGTTTAGCTGCAATCACCACTACGAAAGGTAACGACCACTGCTTTGTCATTCTAAGGGTGGAAAGAACTTCACAAACTATGACGCCCAGTCGGTGCAGAATGCCAAGGATGCCATTTCGAAAAGCACAAATCCGAATATAAAGATCATGATTGACTGCTCTCATGATAATTCGAAGAAAGATTACAAAAATCAACCTTCCGTTTTGGCATCAGTTGCCGAGCAAATCGGAGGGGCGAACGTGCTTTAATGGGCGTTATGATCGAATCGCATTTGAATGAAGGTAAGCAAAGTATGCCCCCTGGAAATGAAGGGAAAGCGGCCTTGAAATATGGTGTCTCTATTACCGATAGCTGCGTGTCATGGGAGACTACTGTTGAAATGTTACGGGACTTGTCGAAAGCTGTACAAAAAAGGAGACAAGCATAATAAAGTATCAGTATGTATTACAAGTCTTTTGGTTATGCTACAAATGTAGACGCGAAACCAATCTTTTGTGACCTTTCACACAAGCTAGAAACCTGCATCCCCTGAGTTCCATGGGAACAGGCATTCTTCGTCTTGAAACCGGACAGCAGCAGTTTCATCGCAGTAATTTAACATCAGAAGAAGACGGTTAATTGTCTCGTTGTTGGTTACATAGCAATGTGTCTCCCCGAATGGATTCCGGCTTACTCTTTTCTTGAATAAGTACAGACGGATACCGTACAAGTCTTTCTCGAAGGGTTCCAATGCGTTCCTCCTCTCGCTAACCTCAATTTCTTGATAGTACGCATCTCTTTCACTGCCTTGCAGTTGAGGCGAAGGGAAATTTCCTAGATATTTAACTTTATTGATGTCAAATTTCAATGCTCGTCCCAAATGCAAACTGATGAATCTTTCTTGTTTGAATTGAAATCCCGATATTGTCACGTACACTGGGTAAGTGCGGCAGACTTCATGGAACTTGCAAATCAGAAATATTACGTTTTCAAACGAGTCTCTCGCGTAAGGTTCAATGAAGATCCTCTCGTCAAGTGCCTTTCGTGCGTTATTCCGGGACCGATCCCAATGACAGCGAAGCAATTTGTGATAACTTTCTGCCTCCGAAACTTGTCCCGCCTCCTCTTTAGTCTTACCTCCACTTATCACCATGATAGATTTGGCGTCTTCAAGGAGCGTTTGTTCCCCACGTAGAAGGTGGTCTACAAAGCATAGATGGTCATTTCCCGTTTTTTGGAACTCCTGCAAAAACCACTCCGACGCTTGTTCCCCAAGACCATTACCTCCTCTCCATATGGAATGGCACGGTACGATTATCAAATGATTGTATTTCATAAGTGTAGTCTAAGGAAGTCACACACGCGAAGTTAGTGTGACTTCATGTAAATATATGTAACACCCGACAAGCGCTTTCCAATGACAGAAAGCCGCGATTACCACCATAATGTGAAAGATCTGGTGCGAATGGCCCACAAGATCAAACATTCCTTTTGCGTACCTGTTCTGCCCTACGCAATTGTCTTCCACGTGGGTAAACCTCTCTGGAATTCGTGCAGCATAGAGGCAAGCACCCAATATGTAAAAGAATCCCTCGCAAATTAGCCAGGAAGCATTAGACCGATCCTCAGCTTGCTGCACGCCAAATTTCGCAACTGCAGTCACAACCGGCAAAACTCCAGAGAGGCCGAAGGTAACGAACATAAGCGAACGAAAAGGTCGATAAGCGGGTGTTGCGAATTTGCTATCGAACGTAATTTTGGTGCAAATAACTCCAAGAACAGCAAAAAGTCCAATATAGAAATTCCTCCAATGCGGAATATCATGAAACGCGAACAACACAATGGAGTTAAGGGAGCAGGTTATAAGGACGATTATTCCAAAATAGTCACATTGATTGCCCATTTTTGAAACCTTGTGAGAATGGCACTTAAAGCAATGAAACGAGGCGGACAGGAAAAGACAAAAGGTTGCTGCAAAACCGAACTGATAGAAGTTCAATATTTCCCATATCTTTGGTGCCACTTCGAAATTGGGTAGTTCGTACATTAAGACGTACGTTATCTGGCAAAGTGTTACAACGGATGGAATTAGATGTGAGTATATGTTGATCGATTCATTGTGCCAGTATGATAGAGATCTGATACATTCTTTATAACTCTTCGTTTCCTTTACGTAACCGGAACGGATGAAGACATTATCTTGCTGCCACTCATCGACTTCATCATAGAAATATAATCTCCTTTTCTCATTCCTATCCTTGTTCAATTGAACAAATGCGTCATCTCCATCCTGGTTCAATTGCACTATTGTTTGAGGTTTTCTATTGGTAAGCATAAAAAGTCGGTTTAAACTTGAGAAACAAAAGGTCGTATATACTTCTCCCGCGCACATGCGGGGTACGCTAACTTGAAACTCGTATTCTTTTCTTTTTTTTATCGCAACTCGTCACCGACTCATATAAACGACTTCGGGATTCTCTGAATAAGTTCCCAGTATTGTGCCAATCTTCGTTTGATGTCTCTCGATATCCTTCGATTGAACGACTCGCCAGCATAGAAAACTTTCCATCCGGAGTTAGACCCATTGAAAGAACCATTGCATCTTTCGAAATACCACTTGTTGACAGGGTTAAGACTTCGAGACCTCCAAATGACCTCATCTTGATAAGCTTGTAACATCAGCTTAAAAATTACGTCTGCCATGCTAGGAAGGCCCTGGTTCTTCCGAGTGATGGCAAATTTATCAAGGTAGGGCACTGTACGTCCATCAGACAAGATTTCATTGGTAATCACAGCACCTCCGTCGTAGTCTCCAATAATGATGATGCAGTCGAGGTTACTATTTATACGCTCGAAGTAATCTTCCGAGTTGAGACGTTTCCCAAATGAGTCATTGATCATATCAGTAAATCTATCCTTGTCGATGTAACCCTCTCTCACAAGCCCATCGAATTTTTCTTTCCAGCCCAAATGATGAGTGAAGGAGATCTTCACATCGAAGCCCTTTTTGATAATCGATGTATAAACCTGAGGAGTTCTCGAACGGCCTGAGGGTAACGATGAAGAGATCAAGGGTCTATCCGTCAAAATATTGTATGCAATTGGGTTTAGCATGTCTGTGTGCTGTGTAAGGTCTTCCGGTCGAAGTATAATGCCTGTAGTATCATTCTGTTTTGCTTGTCTCTCGTTGGCAAGTAGAATCTGACGCATATTGAAGAGGTTCGCTAGATGCTTGTCTCTAACGCTCGGGTCAAGAAATCCAATATGCAATTCAGAGATAATGTCAGAATACTCTTGCGAAAGGTTTACAAAGACATGACTTGTTTTATCACGCTCTATCGATGGAATGCCGCCAACTGGATCAATGAAGACAACCTTTTGGATGTCTACTCCATTTGCTGCCTTTAGTGAAGTTATGAGCGCTAATATCGCATCTTGAGCTGGAATCACGCAGTTCTTGCCACTTGTTACATCATAGGCAATGGGTACTAGTATAGGAATATTCCCTTGGCATATCGGAAGATTGACCAAATTGGCATCGAAGAGAGTCAATTCATTCGCACTTTTGTTAAAAGGGAATGATAAAGGAACAAGATGAAGCGAGTTGGAGGACCCAGCGTTTGACATCGCACTTGCCACCTCTAACGCTTTCGAAGCAAGACATGACATTCTGAGCTTGTGGTCCACAATATTATTTCCAGCATCATCTAGTATTATTAATGGAGAAACTCCTAGTTTTTGCAAGGTTTTGAAAGCATGAATCATACGCTTTAGAACAGATGTATGGAGACTTGAAGGGACCCTAAAAACGGCGGCTTTTCTTGCATAGCTCCTCAAAGGAAGATTGCTTTTCTGTAATGGCGATTTATTAGCCAAAAAAGATTCACTAAGCTATTGTCTGTTTCTTTGTGATGAAATCTGCCAGGTGAATGGAGCAAGCTTCTTGATGACTGTTCTGTCCGATACCTTGTCAAGTACTCCTTCGCTTCTCTTTTTGTTGTCGTCGATTTAAGAATTGACAAAACTAAATCACGTTTCTCTGTGGACGTATATCGGCCGATCCATTCCTTCCTCAATGGCAATAGTTTCATATTGTCAAGAAAACAAGGAACATAGAATGGTCGAGCTTATATCAGACCACGTGACTCCCTTTCGTCGTCACTGTAGGACGTCTGGTCGGTGTTGTTGGCAGCCTCATGCACACGTCTTAGTTGATTCATCACCGTAACAACGAATGGTTTTATCTCATTAATTTCCATGATCGATAAACCATCAAGCTGAACGTTGGATTCATTTAGTTCTCTGAGACCTCTTTGAGCTTTCAGCTTACGGATTTCTTTAAGATCCTGAAGTACACAGTGCAATTGTGAAACAGTGTCGGAAAGGTCATCCGATGCGTACAGTAGGAAGTAGCGGGCTATCTCTTGCCAATTCCAGGGGAGTTGTGAAAACTTATTCAAATTTTGTTTCTCCTCCTCAAACTTTTCCTTCAAATAAACAAAACTTAACCAAAAGGGGGGAACAAGGTTACATTTGCCCTGTTCCTTTAATACTACCGCCACCCACAATGGCACATCGGTTCGTGACATCACCTTGAGGGAAGGAACGGTTCTCTAATTGTTAGAATTTTGAAATGTGTTTCTATTACTTTGACGTACCCCAACTAAACCTATTGACTTCATCGAATACCGAGGCAATATTGTAACAGTGTCATTACCTGAGAGAAATTGTAGCTCTTTGGGAAGCAAATGGCTTCGGTAAAGCTCTGGGACAACCATACTGAAAGAAGGATGGGCTGGAGTTTAAGTATACATGTCCATGGAATATAATCATAACGCGATGTCCTGCAACCAACGCATCGCTTCAGCTAGCACTGGATCGCGCATAGTCAGGTCCTCTCCTGTCAAAGTAGAGGACGCGTTCAGATAAGATAAAAGTACACCAATACACCCAATTAGCCGTTCATGAACGGAAAAGTTTCCAAGTATGAAGCTAGCCTCTGCTTCGATCAATCTCTGTTGCAGAGATTTTTTTGAGCTTTAGACACGCTGAAGTAGACGGACTTTCGCATATTAAGAATCGGCAATACCACAGCTTCCTTGAAGGCCAACAAGATCATACTTTCTAAGACATGGTTCGGTGATGTATAACCAGCGAGAAGAAGGAAGTCTGAATCTAAACAACCTTGTAACGGTACGAAAATTTGTAGGAGCGTAAACCTAATCGTTCTATTGAAGTACTGCCAAATGTCCGACAACATGATCCAAAGGTCGCATAGTCGCTGCTTAGGTTCTCCTAGATCCCTCTCGCCTTTACCCCTCCTCGCAATATAAATCCAATTCTTCCTCAACAGTTCGAGCCCGCTTCTCGTGAGATTCATAAGCTCCTGTAGTATCTCGCGGAGCTTGACTTCGTTTGTTTCCTCATGAGGGTCGTCTTGGTTTGAACGATCGAGGCTTGCCTCGGAATCTTCGTAGATCTCCTCAGTGGGTCTTCTAGGGGAAAAGACAACCTCCACGATATCAGTGTCCACAAAACGCGCAAGCAGTTCGATACTAAATTCGATTGGGGTTGCCAAAGAACCAGTTTTGTCCATAGTCGGTTGAAACATAGGCTCTAATGCTTGCGAGAGATTTTGGAAGCCCTCAGACAAACCAGAGGAATTCAATGTTTGACGTCTGCGAAATGCCGTTCCATGTGATCCGCCGGCTACATTCTTGTTCCACTTGCGTAATATAAACTGATCTGCTGACATCAGATACTTTCTGTGCAATTCCTGTAGTGATGTTGGGTGTGGCTGATTATGGGCCCCGTGAGTAGAGGAAGGCTCAGATGATACAAAACGATACCTCAAAGCCATAGATGAATCTGTTACAACAGAATTAGAGCTTTGAGAAGACAATGCAACACCCGGCCGTCCCAACTGCTTCCTCGAATGGGTATCTTTCTTTGGATTCTCATTTTGGTGACCAGTGTTGCGGTGAAAGAACTGGGCTATGGAGGAGGTTGAGTTTGTTAGCTTATTGAGATGGTCTTCGGGCCTAATTTGCTTCCCAGTATAGCTTATCTCTGAATTATGGCTCAAGCTTTGCTCTTTTGATACAGATTTAGCTCTGGCCTTCTTGGTAGTAAAAAGAGTCTTGCTCGCGAAGGGCCTTTCATTCCTCTCAAAATTTGATATGTCTCGGCCGAGCGATAGTTCCCTGTCACCTGCTGTCATTCCATTTTTGCTCCTGCTAAGAAGCCTGCTAAGCGGGTTTTTTGTATAGACGGTATCGAGACTAGAGGTTTGCGATACACGGGAGAGGTGTTTCCTCAAACTTGAAGACCCCACATACGGAAAACCTCCATCCTCGCCATCATCTGAATCTCTGGATGAGTCACTTTTATACATAAGTTTCGACGGTTTAAATACTGCCCTTGTTTGCTCAAGATTATTGTCTTGGTGTTGATTTGTTTCATGCACTTTGGGGGTTCTGTGAGTCCACTATTGAACCCCGAGCTCATATGTAATTTTGTCGCGAATGTGATAAATTATAGACAAACTGGAATCTAAGGAACGTACTGAGGCTCCAGAATATCCTTTTTTTTTTATTTTTCTTTATTTACACAAATGGCATGATGTGTAGTACAGCAGGGAGCTAAATGTGACTGTATCAATGACTACTGACAAAAAAAAAAAAAAAAAGAGGAGGTCAAGAGGGAGAAAGGATAGGGCACCGCTCAGAGACATCCGTCATGGAGCCTAGCGATGAGCAGCATTATCAAATCACCAGAATCAACTATTCAAGGATATTCGAAGCATTCAGATAGCCTAAAACCTGGACAGGCCTCTGGTACAATCTTGAAACTTGAATCTTTGCTTGCCCTTATTCCAAAGCCAGTATTTTTGTTTTTCCTAATGTGGTATAATGTCAATAAACAACTGAATCTGCAATATTCTACAGGTTAATTTCAAACTACGCAAAGTTATACATCCGATCTAGTATACCATTTTTGCTTCAATGAAAAATCCATTCGAAGAAGAACCATTAGAAACCACCGAAGAGCCGGTTTTTCCTAATGCTGCGTTCACAAGACATTCGCCTCGAAAGTTATATCAGATTAGCTCTCGTGGAGAAGACAGCCCATTCGACGACTTCACCCGAACAAGTCGAAGAGATGAAAGAACAAGCTCTCCCGATATATTTGCTCGAAGCTCATATCAGGGCCAGCAAGTATTGACAAGCCGTATAGGGTCCAAAACTCCTGATCTTGGAATTCATGACTCAAAGACTCCACGGGCAAAATTCACCTCGAAAGAAAGTCCAAAAAGGCAAAGACAAGGGGGCTTTTTAATTCCACAGAAAGATAGTGACACTATGCTGAATGAAGATGCTTTGGCGATGGATGTATGCTCTTCAAGAAGCACAACAAAAAGTGAAAGGATTCTTGAACTACCTCAGCCTATATTTACTCCTGAAACATTCGCAGAAGCAAACAATCAAAGGTCATTTCTGAATAGCGATTCCGATGAGAAGACTGTGGCCTCCGACCCAACAGATGAGTACGAGTTTCTGGCTTATCAGAAGGCTTATGATGAAATATCGATGTCAGACACTAACACGGCTTATAGTTCCGGCTATCATTCTGTGGAAGGAAGCGAGAGTGATTACTTTGGGGCATCCATTGACAGAGACATGATGAGGAATTTACCCGATGGTTTTGTTCCACTGAAAGAAAAGACCACTACCAAACGAAAGGTCAGATTAGTAGGTGGAGACTCTGGAAATTTTGTTCTCGAGAATCGAGTACCAGAAGAATTAAGAAAGGTGTTGACGAGAACCGATTCTCCATTTGGGGAGTTTACCAATATGACGTATACAGCCTGCACCGCTGAGCCAGACGAGTTTGTGAACGACGGCTTTACTTTACGACCTGTAAAGTATGGACGAGAAACAGAGCTTGTCATCTGTGTGACAATGTATAACGAAGACGAATATGCCTTTGCAAGAACAATGCATGGCATAATGAAAAACGTTGCTCATCTATGCTCAAGAGCGAAGTCAGCTACATGGGGCAAAGACCTGTGGAAAAAAGTCCAGGTAGTTATAGTTGCCGATGGTCGCAACAAAGTCAATGAGGCTGTACTTCAGCTCTTGACTGCTACTGGCTGCTATCAAGACAATCTAGCCCGTCCTTATGTGAACAACAAGAAAGTTAATGCCCATCTATTCGAGTATACTACTCAAATTTCTATCGATGAGAATCTAAAGTTCAAGGGTGACGAAAAAAGCCTTACCCCCGTTCAAGTACTTTTTTGTCTTAAAGAGAAAAACCAAAAAAAAATCAACTCCCACAGATGGCTCTTTAACGCTTTTTGCCCTGTTCTTGATCCCAACGTTGTCGTTTTATTAGATGTGGGAACGAAACCAGACAATCATGCAGTATATAACCTCTGGAAAGCCTTCGATAAAGACTCAAATGTGGCTGGTGCCGCAGGCGAAATCACGGCAATGAAAGGAAAAGGATGGGTGAACTTGCTTAACCCGTTGGTTGCTTCCCAGAACTTCGAGTACAAGATGTCTAACATCTTAGATAAGCCATTGGAGTCTCTCCTTGGTTACATCACGGTTTTACCTGGTGCGCTTTCAGCTTATCGTTATATCGCGTTAAAGAACCATGCAGATGGTACTGGCCCTTTGGCTTCATACTTCAAAGGAGAAGACCTCCTCAATTCTCGGCGGCTCACAAACAGCAAAACGAATTTTTTTGAAGCGAACATGTATCTTGCAGAGGATAGGATACTCTGCTGGGAGTTGGTTGCAAAGAGGAATGAAAGCTGGGTTCTTAAATTTGTGAAACATGCTACAGGAGAAACCGACGTACCCGATACTATACCCGAATTTTTGTCACAGAGAAGAAGATGGATCAACGGTGCGTTCTTCGCAGCTCTTTACGCTTTGAGGCACACTTCCAGGATCTGGGAGACAGATCACTCTTATAGCAGAAAGTTTTGGCTTTGCGTGGAGTTCCTTTACCAGTTCGTGAGCACACTTTTTTCGTTTTTCTCGTTGAGCAACTTTTACCTAACATTCTACTTCCTTACAGGATCTTTGGTTTCTGAAGAAAGTATTGGAAGAGGTGGGTTTTGGATCTTCACCATATTTAACTACCTATGCATTTGCACACTTACGTCATTGTTCGTGGCATCCATTGGTAATAGACCACATGCATCGAAGAACGTGTTCAAAACATTGATCATATTACTCACTATCTGCGCTTTATATGCCTTGATAGTGGGATTCTATTTTGTGGTGAAAACAATTGAAAAGTTCGGAATGGGTGACTCTTCAACATTCGTTTTCGTTAGCATTGTTGTTTCGTTATTAGCGACTTATGGATTGTATACATTCATGTCCATATTGTATTTGGACCCTTGGCACATGTTCACATGCCTGGTGCAATACTTCATGATGATACCATCTTATACTTGCACGCTCCAGATCTTTGCGTTCTGTAACACTCATGATGTTTCATGGGGAACAAAGGGCGATAACAACCCAAAGGAAGACAAGATGAATCAGTATATTATCCAACAGAATGAAGAGGGTGAATTTGAGGTCATTGTACAAGACTATAACATTGACGAGGTATACCTTGAGACACTTTTCAGTATCAGGTCACGGAGATCGAACAAGAAGGTCAGAGCGCTTTCGGACCAATCAAATGATCTTGATGGTGAGGACTACGCCAAACATGTCAGAACTAAGGTGGTTCTTCTGTGGCTACTTATGAATCTCATCTTTATTTTAACAATGTTGCAAGTCTATGAACCCGGAGAGACAGGCAGAAACTACTATCTTGCATTTATATTGTGGATGGTTGCTTCCCTTGCGTTGTTTAGGGCCATAGGATCGGCTGGGTATCTTGTTCAGCATTTCGCAAGGTGGATAGTTGAGTCATTTAACAAGTGGTCCCATAAGAAGAGCGGTTACCATAGTACGCGTATGAATGCTCTCAATTAAATAAATTTGCTTCTGGAACGATGTAACTGTAGAGATTATGTGCAAGAAATGCGTCTATCGCGAAACGATGATGTTGAGCCGAAAAAGGAAATCAAGCATCAACGAAAAAAAAAAAAAAAAAAGAAGCAATAAATAAGCAGACTTCTCTGTAATTACACAATCTATGGTTTCACTTACAGCTAATACCAAACGTAAGCAGCCAACTGAAGTCTCCGGCCCTTCGAAAAGGGCTAAGCGCTCAACTTCCTCGAGGATCCTAAGCTCGTACCAAAGCTTACCGGATGTGAATCTGCGTCCCGGCCAGAGCTCTGATGTGATGCTGGTGTTTGTATGGGGAACTGGATCAATGTGTGAGTTAGGACTCGGCCCCAATGCGCTGACAAAGGAAGTCAAACGTCCAAGACTCAACCCATTCTTGGCTCCAGAAAATTTGAATGATACTGGGATCATTGATTTTGCTGTTGGGGGGATGCATGTATTGGCCTTAGATTCTAAAAATCGGGTATGGTCCTGGGGAAATAATGACAACAAGGTCTTGGGTCGTGATACAACCAAAGCAAAAGAGAATCTCAAATCCGTCGATGACTCCGATTCCGAGGACGAAGATGGGGACTTAAATGAGGCAGAGTCTACGCCTGGCCTTGTTCAGAATTTACCCAATAATAACGAAAAAATTGTCCAATTGATTGCAACGGATAATCTAAGTGGTGTGCTTTATGAAAACGGAGAGGTGTACACTTGGGGTACATTTCGAGGGAATGAAGGGTTGATGGGATTTGACAAGAATATCGCAATCCAAGACACTCCTTGTATTTCTCCTTCGTTAAGAAATGTTGTACAACTTGCAGGCGGTAAGGACCATGTATTGGCTTTAGATTCCAAGGGTATTGTTTACGCCTGGGGTAATGGCCAGCAGTTCCAGCTTGGGCGAAAAATACTAGAGAGACACAAGATGTCTGCTCTTCTGCCACAGCAATTTGGTCTCTATGATATAAAGTACATTGCATGTGGTGACTACCATTGTTTTGCAATCAGCACTAACAATGAGGTATTTGCATGGGGACTTAATCAGTATGGGCAGTGTGGCGTAGCAGATGATGGGCAGCTTGAAGACGGCTCGCTTTTGATGAAACCCACAAAAGTGGAAGCCTTATCTGAGATTAAATTGAAGTCAATCGTTGGTGGAGAGCATCATTCTCTCGCGTTAACAGAAGATGGCCAAGTCCTTGCTTGGGGCCGAATTGATATGCAAGAGTTGGGAATTCCACCCGACCGCTTACCTAAGTACACATTTAAGGATGCTCATGGCAGAGCAAGATCTATTCCTCGGCCTACTTTAGTTACCATTGGTAAGGCTGATCATCCAAAGATAAAAGCTATTGGTACAGGATCCCACCATTCGTTCGCCGTAACAGAAGATGGTGTCGTTTATTCGTGGGGCTTTGGCGACACATATGCTCCTGGCCTTGGACCTCTTGATGATGATGTAAAGGAGCCCACGAGAATTTATAACACTGCCACAAAAGCGATTGATATCTCCATGATTAGTGGCGGCGGTCAGTTTTCGGTGAGCGGTGGAAGAAGTATATCTTCTGCGCTGGCAGCCGAACGGCTTGAGAAGTATGAGGCCATTGACGGCTGAAAGTGCTCGTCGCACAACATCCATGCTTAGCTCGCAGGTTACATAGATAGCTATATATGTAAGGAATTACAGTGAACTTAAAAGATCAACCCGACTAGTAACTTAACTCGCCAGCGTTCGTACAATTCGAGGCAAGAAAAAAAAAACGAATTAAAAAAAAAGAAAAAATCCAAGAAACCAAATCACGAGCTATAAAGTCTACAAAAACCAAGAAAGAACATCTCCATTATCTACGCTGCAAGTCAAAAAAATGCAAAGAATGTGCCCGCCAGAATCCAGAGAAAGTATAACTCAAAGAACCATATAACTACACGAAAGAATGTAGGGACTGAGCGACCGTTCCAGCAGCTGAAACACACGAGCGCAGCCAACCAGTATCAAACGTCTAGTTTCGTGGTTGGTTGACAGACATTATTTTTTCTTCCAAATGCATCCGTTGAAGGCACCAAATATATTCAACGATAAACGATTAAGGAGTTGACCACTCAGTCTCAACCAAATTGTTGAAAAAACCCAGAGACAATAACTTAAGAACATTTAGAACCTAGGAGAGGAAAGCAGCCTTGTTTTCAAATATTCTGTTCTCATTTACCGCAACTCGAGAATTGCGTTGCCAAAAAATTATGTAGGATTTTGACAATAGCTCCTCCATGAATCAAGCGTATTACAAAATCTAGTCAAAAAGGTTTACCAAACTTTTTGCAATTCAAAATCTCGTAGCGAAACTTAGCCCACGAACCAAGAAACACATTGAGCACAGCTCCTTAACTAACTAAGTCGAATTCTTCCAACGACTTTCGTAATCTTTCAAACTATGGTAAGAACTGATTCAATCTCTTCGGTGCCGCCATGGCAGTCAATACCACTTACCATAATGTGTAATAATGATTTTCTGGAACTACAATAATTTCATATACACCGTGCTGACCTTTATAGCATTTTTTCCAGTGGTGGATTCTATAGACCGCTACAAAATTCCATTGATCAAGCAATTATCAAAAAGAAGTCATATCAAGCATACCGCGAAATATCGCCATGGTCGCTTACATTCATGAGTTCGACGAGCTGTGTGTCTCCCAAATGCACTAGCTGATTAAATCTTTATTTCTAAGAGTGGCATGACGTACAATGCCCCTTTCCAGATCACTCAATATTCGCCCAGTGTTGCCAAACCATGATTGCGCAACAGATCACTCAATATTCCCCCAGTGTTGCCAAACCATGATTCCGTAACAGATGTCTAGGGATTGCTGGTACATTGGATTAAGTCAATATCAATAGAGAATAAAACAGAAATACGCCATGTGCCAGCAAGCCGTGCTTTCACACTTGCTTTGTGTAGCACGTAAACAAGCAAACACCTAAATAACGTAGAGACACTTTAGGTCGCTCTCATAATGAGTCATCGAGACGCATCGATATCCTCAGACCACGAAATGCTAGATATCCTTCTGATGGTAGGGACATGTGTCATTTATCCTTCATCTCTAAAAGGTAAAATTCTTTGTGTAGGAGGCGACATTTATTTGGCAATCGTCATTAGCCAGTTTAATTATGTTCACGAGTCATTTATCTTCACATTTTTTATGTAGCTAGGTCACATCTGCTCATTAGATTCTCTGACAGTATCCCGGATTTTAAATAGTGTGTTTGATCTGTGTTCACATCGGTTTGATTTTGCTCTCATTTTGAAAAGGAACTATCCGTTGATGCAAGATGATGAGTTAGTTCATCACTAATGACAGGAGAGTTCGAATAGAAAGTTTTCACCCTTTAACAATCTTTGCCTTAGGGCCACGCCTACTTGTTCGAATCGTCGAATGTTTGTGTTATCTTTACATTCTGTTTGCTTTTGTCATACCTGATTAGTTTCATGTGTGACTTCTTGTTAAAAACAAGCGCACGAGAGAGCAAGAGGGAGTACTTTCTTTTTATTATTATTATCATTAAGGGGTGGTAGTGAATGTGCAGTGTTCTGTCACGAAGTGGCGAGTTTGGCTTGGTTGTAGTATCATCTCGGTTGTTTAATTTTATTTCATGTGAGATATCTTTATTTTGTTTCTTTTTTTTTTTTTTTTTTTTTTTTTTTTCATATAGTTTGTGGCTCTTTTTGCTGCAAGTCTGCGGAGGGAATACCTCGTTGCGCAAATTTTATTCAGAAAGGTGTGGGAACCACCATGATTGATCACGTGGTCCAAAGAGATTGAGGGCGGTCTACTGTTATAGCGAACAAATCATCAAGCAGTTCTATAAATGGTGGCGTTACCCTACTTCGCATCCTATCAGAGTGTTGTTGTGGGGCGCTCCGAATTAATCAGGTGTGCGCAGCCTTCGATAGCTTGCTGAGTGTTAAAGTTTTGATTTTCCTGTATATCACGCGAATCCACTGTTTAAGTTGATTGTAACGCGGTGTCAACACGTCAAACATCGCTATGACGAAAAGCAGTCGATGGGGGAGCCTTATTATTGCTGTCGTCAGCTTAATGGGTTTTGTACTTTTTTCCAAAGGCTTTTTCCCGGGCAAGGTCATCATTCCAGGCCATGCCGATTTTGCAATGGAAGGAGCATTTGAACTGGAGCTGGGGAATGCTCAATTCGAAAAAATCATCCTCATCGTCGTGGACGCTTTGAGGTCGGATTTCATGTTCTCTAACTCTTCATCGATGACTTTCCTTCAAGAACTTATAGAGACGGGAAGTGCGTTGCCTTTTACGGCTTATTCCAACCCACCAACGGTAACTTTACCTCGTCTCAAAGGAATCACGACAGGCCAAATTCCCAGTTTTGTGGATGCTATTCTCAATGTTGCAGACGATAAAGATAATTCCCAGGGGCTTAGCAACACGGATTCGTGGGTAGGCCAATTTCTCAGGCAATCTAAGGACCGGAAAATTAACTTTTTTGGAGATGACACTTGGCTCAAGCTATTCCCTCCAAATGAATTTTTTAATCAAAGCGAGGGAACAAGCCTGTTCTTTGTGAATGACTTCACAGAAGTTGACAGAAATGTGTCCCGACATTTGGAGCGTCAGTTAAAGGAAGACTTTGATGGTCTAATCTTGCACTACTTGGGCGTTGACCACATTGGGCATACAGGGGGACCGAATTCGTTGCATATGCCCATAAAGCTAAAAGAAATGGACGATGTATTGAAAATGATGTATGAATCTACTTTAGATGATGATGATTCCACTCTTGTTGTGATAATGGGAGATCATGGAATGAATGAAGTGGGTAATCATGGGGGATCCTCAAAAGGTGAAACAAGTCCGGGACTCGCGCTAGTATCTCGACTATTCCAATCCATCGAGCCAAAACAAGACCCCATACAGAGCGAATTGCAGGAGGATGATTACGAATATCACGCTCTCATCGACCAAATAGATCTTGTACCCACGCTTTCGGCTCTTTTAAATTTTCCTATCCCCAAAAATAATGTTGGTATTATCATACCGCATGTTCTTAATTGTTGGGCTTCAGATAAAAAAAAAAAGAAGGTACTCCTAGAAAATTGTGAGCAACTCTTTGCTCTTTGCAAGGCGCAACACATTTCCGAATTAAGTTTTTATTCAGCTTTAATCGAGGACTTAAGAGATTTAAATGCACACGCAATTGAAGAATACTGGCTGTTTCTTCATCTGTTGAAGAAAAACATGACTCGAAATGCAACGAACTACGCCTTAACACCCATGTATACCGGACTAGCTCTAGTAACCATTTCAAGCATGGTGATTTCGTTGATAGCATTTTACTACTTGAAGGATATAATCTTGCGACAGACAATCTCAAGTGTAATCTACGGAATTACATTGTTGTTATACTCTGCCTCACTTCATGGCTCCTCGCTTATCGAAGAAGAGCATCAGTTTTGGTGGTTTTGTCTAGTCACTTCTCTTTCAGTGTGGGCTCTTCTTGGTGGCATTAAGTTGAGATTTTATGCTGTATGCCTCATATGTGTGAGGCTTATCAGGTCCTGGAGTCCTTTGGGTCAAAAAGACAGATCCACCCAAAATATAGCGGAGACCCTCCTGAACTCGCAAGGCTTGTTATGGACTCTAGTGATTATTGCATGTATAAGTGTGCCAATTCGCAGTGGAAGGCGATCGATGACAACCATTTGGACCAAAATGTCGTTAGCATTAGAAGTGACCATGGCAACTTGCACACTAGCATTAAAAGTGTTGCAAAGCCGCATAGATGGCAAGCTGCTTCCTTTCTTGTTAGAGTGCATCATTCCGCACAAGATGGATGACTTAAGCCAGCTACAAAGCTTAGCGGTCTCTTATTCGCGCTTTTTCTACCTTTGCGTCCTTCTTGTTATCATTATTAATTTGTTATGTCGGAAGCAGGTAGATTTCGATCATAGCATTACCATTCTGCACATTTTTTTACATCAATCGAAGGTGGAGATTGTCCCATTGTACCTTGTTTTTGGTGCATTAGAAGGTGTACTTTCCTGTGCTAGAAGACAACAAGGGTTCGAAGTACTTTTATGGGTAATTACCTTTTGCTTGCAAAACATTTCCTTCTTTTCCATTGGCAACTCTAATCTGATTGCAACAATTGACCTTTCAAATGCATACAATGGCCTTCAGCACTACGATATAGCTGTGGTAGGGTTGCTAACCTTCATCTCAAACTTTGGCCCAGCCTTATATTGGTGTCTTGCATGGTATCGCTTGTCCCGTAAATCAATGGTTCACAGTGATAGACACTCCCATTACCAACTAGAAAGAAGCTTGATACTGTTGACATTTTACAATGTATCGCTTGCAAGTTTGATTACCTCTTGCATTGTCCAGCGCTATCATCTCTTCATTTGGTCAGTCTTCTGCCCTAAGGTATTGTATTTCGCTGCTTGGTATGTATTAGTCGAGATTGGCTTCAACATCATCATCTGTCAAACTGTGGGCCTATAAGATGACAAGATTTAGTGCGGTATATATATTAAATACAGCTCTATACTCATTGGAGTAACTGGTCCCTAAAATGAGGTTGGTTGTTCGCGTACTTCGCCAGACGTTTGTCTTTAAGATCGTGCATCTTCTTTTCTGATTTCCAAGCTGCCTGTTGTGCCTTCGTAATTGGCGTGGCAGTATTAGTGAAAATCTGCCTACTTTCGGCTGCTACCACTGTCCCTTGACCCTCAGAAAGAACTAACTCTGCCTTCGGTCTGCGAGGTTTTCCCAGCGCCCTGTGTCCAATCGAAACCCCACTTGGAAGTACGAGCTCATCGCCAAGGTTTATAATGAAATCTTCGATGCCACTCTCTTCGTAAACGTCGGCGAGGTCTTCTTCGTCACCCGAAACGTCTTCCCACGCATCATCTTCGATATCGGAGGTCACTTTATTAACATTGTCGAAATAGGTCGACGAGAAATCATAAAAGTCGGAGATTTCTAGCTTTTCTTCCTCTGTTTCATAAGGGATTCGTATGTGACGCTTGCTATGCATGTGTTCTCTGACCGCTTCTAGATTCTTACCTTGGTAGGAGCAAGACAAGCATACATTTCCCAACCCCAACTTCTCGCCGAGATACGATATTAGGCCTTCAACATCGACTAAATATTTTTTCTCAGGGATAAATAAGCCATGCACCTTGGTCATATGAGAGACATTCTCCTCTACAGTATTGAAAGTTGAATGCTTCTTGTTCTGACAAAATAGGCATGTTGTCGGTTTGATATCAACCCGTTGTTTAATCTTCTCTTCAATAATCTTATTGGCATCATCTTCACCGGCGCTCTGGTTAGGTTCTGGTTTATTGGGTACATCATCCACACCCTTCAATAGTGACTCACGTTGCTGCCTCAATCGTTCTCGTTTTACTTTGCGATCCTGTTTAAGCTTTCTTTGCTCACTCTTTTCAGTATCATGAGCAGGTGAAGATGAACTGGAGCCGCTCTCTATAGTTTTTGATTTTGATTGAAATGTTTCTTCATCAACAGGAGGAAGCTGTGTGACACGTCTTTTAAGATTATACCTGTGCCAATCTGTCTTCATATGACATCTTTGTTGTTGGGATTCCTCAAAAGAAAGGCCACAACTAAGACATGTGAACAGCATTTGATAAAATAAGGAAAAAGGGTGATGCGATGAGCATCTGCGTTGATTACGTATTTTTTTTTTTTTCTGTGGAACCTCATCTTCTCTGCAAATACGCGCAAAAAAAGCAGAAAGTGACAATCTTTGAGAATTCATTAATTCATCATGCCTCAGCCAATAGATGACGTTAAGACTGTGATACCAAAGCTTATTGATACTGTTAGGTATTCTGTTGCAGTATCAGCACATGATATAAACTTTTATCGAACAATAGATGCTGAGATCGACGGCATTTCTTCTGATTTTTCTGACTTGCTTTTACGCTTGTTGGATAATTTAGCTGATCGGGTTCACCAAGATAAACATCCTCTACATACCAAGAGCAAGCTTATTTGGGAGCAGGTAGAGTCATCTCTAGATTCGATCTATGAGAAGGTCGACATTGCTACTGAAAAACGTACAATCAAAATTCAAGACGTACAGGAAAGTGGATTGCAATCTACAGCAAGTGGAGACATCGAAAAGCCACAGCATAAATTCGAGGACGAAGTTAACAATTCTGACATAAGTCCATTTGTTCCTAAGTTAACATCGAAGCCCTTTGCTCTTGAGCCACTTGATGTGCTGCTACGCTGCGATGCAAATGGGCTTTACCCTCAACCTTACGAGCATGAGATCATGAGTCAGCCATATCCAGAAGAGATATTAGTGGTAAGTGAACCTATTAAGCCACATGATTGGGATTCGAAAGAAGCGATAATGGTGTCTACAAAAGACCAATTAAAAGAAATGGTTGAAACTCTTCAATCTTCCAAGCAAATTGCTGTAGACTTGGAGCATCACGATTTGCGATCATACTATGGTATAACGTGTCTCATGCAGATTTCAGATAGAAACCAAGATTGGTTAGTTGATGTCTTGGCCCTCAGGTCTGAAATGGAGATTTTGAATACCGTCTTTGCGGACCCAAAGATTGTCAAAGTGTTTCATGGTGCCTTCATGGACATAATATGGCTTCAGAGAGATTTTGGACTTTACGTTGTATCACTTTTTGATACCTATCATGCTGCAAAATTGTTAGGATTTCCTAAATTATCACTCGCTTACTTGTTGGACCGATTTGCAGGTTTCAAGGCATCTAAAAAATTTCAACTAGCTGACTGGCGAATCAGACCATTGTCTTCTTCTATGGCAAAATATGCCCGAGCAGACACGCATTACCTTCTTTATATTTATGATAGTCTTCGAAACCTATTGGTCACCGAGGACAATTCAAAGCTCAAACTCGTTCTTCATTCATCGCGAAAAGTGGCGCTGCGCAGATTCGAGTACATCAGATTCCGAAATTTGGACAGTGAATTTATCGACGAAGCTACACAAATCATGAGGAATTATAATATTTCGATAAAGTATGAGGCTCATGTGAGACAAATATCTGCCTGGAGAGATAAATTGGCAAGAGATTTAGACGAGTCGCCCCGATATCTCATGCCGAACAGTGTATTAGTGAAGCTCTCAATTGGTGAGATGCCGGCGAACGTTCTCACATTGCATCGAGTATCCAATGTTAACTTAGACAAAGAAGCTTTGGAATCCTTGGTCCAGTTAGTCCGCAGTGCACATTCGAGAAATCTTCAAAATGTCGATTTAAATAATGGATTGGAAGAAGATGTACCACAACTGAGACAGCGCTCGGTCAATGACCTTTTAGACGGACAGTCGCAGCTTTTGCTGTCGAACGGGGATCTCTTACATCATCAGTCAATAATTTTTTCTGCAAGGCTCTTAGTGAGAATACCTAGAGCGACTACGGGGAAGGTGATCAAGCCAAAAGGTGCATTCGAGTTGATGCCCTATACCCCTCACCATCGACTACATCAGCCGAAGAAACGCTGAATATTTGCCCACCTCAAATCGAGGCAGAGGAGATGACAAGAGAAGATGAAGATCATATGTTTGTTCAGGCCATTAAAGAACATAGAAAGTCTACGCATCAAAATGAACGTAAGGCTAGCCGTGTCGAAGTGAAGTCACCAAACTTTTTGAATTATGAAAAAGCTTTACAAGACCAAAATGTCCAAAAGGAAACAGCGAAGTTACGTAAAAGGAAAGAGCTGTTCGACCCAAATCATCAAAACTTTGGACGAGAGAAGCAAAAAAGGCGTCGTTTTGTTGGAGGAAAGTCTGCTGCTTTCACGAAATAACACTCTTGTCCTTAGCATGGCCCGAGCTCAAGATTTCTTTGGGCTGCAAATGGCGCTTGACTGTAATTATATCAATAGTATTTGCGATTCCTTGGTTCTACTAATTGATACCCTTATCTTGTAAGCTTTATCATTATTTTGTAATTTTGGGCTGTAGATAGTGCCAGCTGATTCATCTTCCTCAAAGTTGCTTCCTCTGAATCCCTGACTGTTGAAGCACGAAATTATCCTACATATAAATAACACTATCATCATTTACTCCTCCTTATACCGCACTGGCACGATAAAGATTGAGTGAATTAGATATGAATTTTTACATTGTACCGTCGAGCCTGTATCAAACACAGCAGAAGATGAAGAAGAAGAAGCCCAAGGCTAGTGGACGCAGAAGGTCTAGTAGAGGCTCTCTGAATAGTCGAATCTCCGCTGAAACGAAGTCCTCTATCTCAGAGTCTACAGAGCTGCGACACCTGCTAGATTCTCCAAAGGACGTGCCCATGATGGATAGCAGTGCTCCTCACACTGAAAGAGATAATGAAACATCAAACGCGGATTTCTCACCACGAGAAGAAAGCCTTGGGGAGCCTCAGCATCTACCATCAACGCGTGATAGCGCCAGGAGCCAGTCTGATAAGAAGCCCTCGAAACAACAAGCTTATCTGCAAGTTCCAACTGCATCCTCGATATTGTCCCCAGAATGTGGTGGCATAGAAATCAAGCCCGTTAACCATCAATCTAGGGGCGAAAAGGAGGATATCACGCACCGTAAGTCTCCTCAAACTATCCCAGAATTCAGCATTATATCCTCAGTTGCAGGGCTCAATTCAGAAACTTTTGTGAAGCGGTTCTTCTTGACACCGATGTTTCAAACCTTAAGATACAAGAACTATTTAGACTTGCTTGAAAGCCAACATGAAGCTGACGCTGTGACTTACGCAGAAGTGCGAAATCAATCATTTTGCAAGTTTGTGAACAAATTACTGTCCGAACTGGGAAGAGAGCAGGGAGGCGAGGAGCGTGATGCTGACTTGTATCGGCACGAGGGGATTCTAGCGTGTGAGCTCTTCAAATGCAGACAGTTTTTGAGAAGACTACTCTCGATGAAGATAGGTATTGATAATCTGAATGTTTTGCATTACCTACCGGAAGAGCTTATTCAGGCAAACTTCACCAACTATGTCAGATATCTACTCAGCCTCCCGTTGACATTACCCGATTTCCATGAACATCTAGACTCTGTAACAGCGTCGCACTACAAGTTTAAGGCTTCACTTCAGGAATTGAAGGATAGGTTGAATTCAATAGCCCAAGATGGACTTGGAAATGAGGCGTTAGTTCTTCCTGGTGCAGACGTCATAGTGCAAGCCATAACGAAAGTTCTGTACGAGTACATTCTTTTGGAGCAGTATCATATCGATGTTTTAGCTAAGTTGGGAAACAACTCCGTATTGGATCGACGGATCGTAAAGCTTCTATTCAACTTATACAGCTTGAACATGAAGCTCGAAAATAAGGAATCTTTGAAAATTTTGAACTTCAACATATTTTTCAGCGCTCAGTATTCGTGGTACCTCGCCCTAACTATCCCATTTGTAAGAGTTTTTGAAAGCAACATCTTTGTTCACGACGAGGCAGAGCAGTATGGTGACCACTTCAAGACACTGGATCTTGAACTACACGAGTCATTTTTCAAGCAGCTCAAATTTGAGTCATTCGAGGATTTCAACAATCTAACCAAGGCTGATCTCATCAAATTGCGCAAAAACTTAGAGGAAAAGCCTCATAACAGTGGATCAAGCCATGGCGATACCAGGCCTGCGAGACACAAACCTGACAACTTCGAGTATCTTCGTCAAGGTATTTTTGAAATCAAAGCCGAGACATTTCATGTAATTCAGTCTCGTGATCTTTACCTACAGCTCAATCATGACAATTATCATGCCGTCATAAGGGAGTTTCACAGGATACTAAAGAAAGGCGGTATTCTTGAGCTACCAATACACATCCCCAAGACTTCGCCGCCTCGCGATTCTACGACTTCATACTTCCCGAAGCGCCCTTCTAACGACATATATTACCGAGACCAAAGCTTAAAGACAGATTTCATAACGGCTATTTTTCTGGAATTGAATGTTGTCTTCGGTTCCAGGAATGTTATGCTTGGCAGTGCCTTGATATCGGCCGAAAGCAAAATGAATACTTTTGTTTCGAATCACATATCGTTAAGACTTCACGATATGTATGGAGATATCCAATCTTTTCTATCAGCATTCAACGAAATGTCGAGTCCTGCAGGTATGGTAGGAAACTACTATTTCTACATTCGTTCCGAGAAGACGTGAAGTTCATCAAGACCTATACACCACTGAGTCATCTAGCGCGCCTGAACGCACAATACAGAACATTATTCTCCAAAGTGTTCGATCTGTTCATTTCATCATGACAAAGGTTCACATCATCGACGTCGAAAGCGGTAACTTAAGAAGCTTGACAAATTCTATTAAGTATCTTGGTAACTACGAAATCGTATTCATTCGTGACACACAGGATTTCAAAACATATGATCATGAAATTATTAATCTTGTCTTCCCTGGAGTTGGTAACTTCGGTCACTTTGTTCAACAGCTTAATGATAGAGGCCTCGTGGACTGCATCAGAAAGTATTTGAAAGATGGAAGGAAGTTACTAGGTATTTGTGTTGGTTTGCAGTCCTTACTTGAAAGCTCAGAAGAGAGTAGCGAGATATGCGGAATGAACCTTCTTAGCACGCGCTTGTCCAAATTCAACAAGAATGATGAACTATTCACTTCCAAAAAGCAAATCAAGTCTGTTCCTCATATTGGCTGGAACACTGTACATAGCATCACAGGAGATGAAAAGAACGCTTCCAAGAATGGTTTTCTTTACGGGATCAACACGTTCGACAAGTACTACTTTGTCCATTCGTACGCAGCAATGGTCGATACAGCGGAGAAAGAAGATGTCATCAGGCAAGCGGAAAACAACGGCTGGAGATTTGCATTTTCCACTTATGGTACGGAAAAATTCGTCTCTGCTGTTTCAAGAGGCAATTTTTTTGCAACTCAATTCCATCCAGAAAAGTCTGGTGTGGCGGGGTTGCGAGTAATAAAAGCCTTTTTACAAGGTGAAAAGGGTACCGAAGTTCAGGATAGGCCGAGTGTTACGCATACTGGCTGCCCCTCTCGTAGGATAATTGCGTGCCTTGATGTTCGGACGAACGATCAGGGAGATCTAGTTGTCACCAAAGGTGATCAATACGACGTTCGCGATAAGTCAGATTCACAAGTGGGGGCTGTGAGGAATCTTGGGAAACCTGTGGAACTCGCTTACAAGTATTATCAGCAGGGCGCTGATGAAATCACTTTTCTCAACATCACTTCGTTTAGAGACTCCCCCTTGAAGGATCTTCCGATGCTCGACGTGCTTAAGCTTGCAGCAAAGAATATCTTCGTACCGTTAACTGTGGGTGGAGGTATTAAAGATGTGACAGACCCCGTCACTAACGAGACCGTTCCTGCCTTGAAGGTTGCTGAGCTTTATTTCAAGTCAGGTGCTGATAAGGTGAGCCTTGGTTCGGAGGCTGTGACTGTTGCGGAAAGATACTACGAGTTAGGAATGGCCAAAGACGGAACGACAGTGATCGAACAAATATCACGTTGTTTCGGGAACCAGGCGGTTGTCATATCTATCGACCCAAAGCGCAGGTTCATTAAATCTCCATCGGAAACCCAAATGCAATGCCTTAAGATTTCTGACAGCTCTGATTTCGGCCCTAATGGCGAGGAGTACTGCTATTATCAGGTTACATCGCAAGGCGGGCGTAAGTTTCATGAAATCGGCGCATTGGAGGTTTGTGTCGCATGCGAAGATCTTGGTGCAGGCGAGATTCTATTGAACTCGATAGACCATGACGGGTCCAACAGGGGGTTTAATCTTGAGCTCTTGAAGCAGGTGAAAGAAAAAGTTACAATACCAGTTATTGCGAGCTCTGGGGCAGGTTGCCCCGCTCATTTTGAAGCCGTATTTCTGATGGACTGTGGTGTAGACGCTGCATTAGGTGCTGGGATGTTTCATAGAGGGGATTATGAGGTCTGTGACGTAAAGCGCCATCTTTTGCAAAAGGGAATGGACGTTAGGTTAGAAGTAGATATGCTGGTATAGAGCGCACTAGGACATGCATTAATTACATACCGGAATCAAGGATCATAAGTCAAAGAGGGCCAACCGAATGATTTAGAAGAAAGCAGTCTTAATCTAATGCAGCGCAGAGATACGACGGCAATCACCATTCATTTTTCTTTCCATCTTTTTTAACATAGATAAGATTCATTCTGAGCTACCAGTTTTTCCCTCAATGGTTAATGATGTGGACGAGATGAGCCTGACCAAGATTGTGAATCTTGGAAGCAGCAGCATTGAGAGTGATGAAAAGCATCTTCTTAACTCGATCGAAGATGTGAACTCCTTCAAAATACCTTCTGTTTTCTTGAAAGACGGCCTTCTGTTATTGAAAGTTTCCCATAAGTCTCGGAAGCGGGTGAAACTTAAAGTCGAACCTTCCAATTTTAAATTTGTTTACGAACTACCGAAGGGAAAAATCTACGAATTTTTGGTGGATGACATAAAGGGACTTTTTTGGGGCGATTCCGCGCTGAACTTTAGGGAAGAATTCGGAATTTCGAAGGAGTTTGACAGACAATGGCTATCAATAGCTTTTTTTAATCAGTCCAAGAACAAACTCAAAACACTACATTTGATTTGTGATACCACCTATGACTTTCGTCGTGTCAGGACAATGTTCACTGGCTTTAAGAAGCTCAAGGATGATATTGCGCAAAACTTCTTTCTAAATTTGAGTGATCTTCACGATTCTACGAGGTCTATGGTGGCTGAAAAAGCGGAACGAGGTTATGATGTTGGAAGAGATAGCCTTTCTTTACTGGATGTGGTGAAATTTACGAAGCGCATGAATATTAATTTGAGCGAAAGGAGGATTAGAGTACTCTTCCAACAGGCGAAGATTCAATCAGGATCTTCAGATACCTTGCTGTTCGATGAATTTAAGACTTTTGTTACATTGCTCAACAAAAGAGAGGATCTAGAACATATATGGACACATTTGGTTTATGGAAACCCTTCCATGGACTTCTTGCAATTTAAAGTCTTTATGTCACACCATCAGAATGAAAACTCTAGCGAGGCGTTGCTCAGGAAGTGGTTCATAAAGTTTGATTCCAATCTGAAAGGCTATTGGCAACGACTGGATTTCAACTCCTTCCTTCTCTCAAGATTTTGTAATCCAGTACGCGATCCAGGCGAAAAAGAGGGATACTTCTCAAGGCCATTGAATGAGTACTACATCTTGTCGTCTCATAACACTTACTTACTCGGGCGTCAAGTTATGGGAGAATCTTCCGTAGAGGGATATATCAAAGCATTGCAGAGGGGATGTCGTTGCTTAGAAATTGACATTTGGAACAATAGCAATGACAAAGATCTAGAACCCGTTGTGAATCACGGAAGAACATTTACAAACGGCATTTCTTTGAGGAATGTGGTGAAGACTATTAAAGCTTACGCATTTCAGGTAACCTCCTACCCGTTAATTTTGAGCATCGAAAACCATTGTTCCCCGGAATCTCAAAATGTGGCTCTTGAAATTTTTCGGGTCGTATTTGGAGATCTTCTAGTGAGAAAACCGTTGTCGGATGATAGGAGACTTCCTAGTCCAGAGGATCTTCGATACCGTATTCTCCTAAAAGTTAAGAAAACAGATGGTCCCTTGGGAAAAGTAGATGAAACTTCTGCCTCGTTGAGCACGGGGACCTCTACTGCCACAGCTACACTGCTCAGTGACAGTACAGAATCAGGAAGTTTAGGCCTAAAGATGAAATTATCAAAAAAGAGCTCAACAAAGTCGGTTATCAAACCGCTTAGTGAAATGGGAGTTTATGTCCAAGGGGTGAGATTCAGGAACTTTTCGTTACCGGAGTCTAAGGTTTTTAATCATTGCTTCTCATTAAGCGAGAAGTCCATAAACACAATGCTTAGGGACGATAATAAGTGTGCATCACTCGACAAGCATAATCGAAACTATCTCATGCGAATTTATCCATCAAAAATTCGACTTAAGTCTACAAACTTTAACCCCATAACGTATTGGAAGCATGGAGTTCAGATGGTGGCAACTAATTGGCAGACCTATGATATTGGGCAGCAAATTAATGAAGCCATGTTTAATGCTCCATTAGGTGAGGGATTCGTTTTGAAGTCTGAAATCTTGAGGGCTCCCTACTCTAGAGAAAAGAAGGTCGTCTCTCGTACCACGACGTCTAAATCAGTCGAAATTACTGTTATTAGCGCTCATCAGTTACCGAAGCCAATTGAATGGCTAGGAGACATTAATCCTTTCATTAGTCTTGAGATCCTCGGGGCTGACGCCGTCAGGTGGTGCCCAGACAAGCCCGTTACGAAAATTGTTGCAGGTAATGGGTTCAATCCTGTCTGGAATGAGAAATTTACTGTTAACTTCGATGGCCCTTCTGAACTTGTTTTCTTGAAAGTTACGGTGGCCTCATCATCTTCTGTTGAAGTTGTTTCAGATCAAAGAGAAGTTGGTCTAGTGATTCAAAATATTTGCGACCTCAAGAATGGTTTCCGATACTTCATGCTCAAAGACATGTGTGGAGAGCAGCTTTTGTACTCATATATATTTCTCTACATTAGTTTGGAAAGGGCGGCGTGAAGATACATTGAAATTGTGAATAATGTAGACATTCAAGGGATGAAGGTGCGAGGACCGAAAAAAAAAAAAAAAAAAAAAAAAAAAAAAAAAAAAAGGTCCTCATAGCAAAGGCGCGATGAGATGCTAGAGATTAACTTCTTCTCATCATGGGCAAGATTGAAACAACAGTGAGCTCAAGAAAACGCCACAACCCTCTCGAGAGGGATATCGCGTCTGACGGTGGCAACCTCAAGAAGAGATTCCCAGGTTCAAGTGAGAAGGGCAGTTCTCAACATGATGGCTTTTATGATGCCTCCATATCTAGGAAGATTTTAAAGCTAGCGAAAAGCCAGCAAGAAGAATTAGATGAGGATACTAATTCACAGGTCTCTGTGGCGCTTGAACTGGATGATGAACTGCAACGCAGTGTTTCAGACATGGAGGAGTACGACATGGCCATGGATCAAGCCATATTGTCAGACAATGACTACGAGGAAGAAAGCCAAGTCATTTTGCATAATGAGAACGATCAAAGCTTAGTCGATTCTTACTTTGGTAACGCTGAACAAGCCACTGTCACTTTAGCCGACAAGATCATGGCTAAGATTCAAGAAAAGGAATTAAGACAAGCTTCGGCTGACGATATCGTGTCCGATCAGCAGGGTGTCCGTCTTCCTCCGAAAGTTATTGCTGCTTATCAGAAAATAGGGCAGATTCTCTCGACCTATAGACATGGTAAGCTTCCGAAGCTTTTTAAAGTACTTCCTTCATTAAGGAATTGGGAAGACGTTCTCTTCGTTACAGATCCTGGCTCTTGGACACCCCACGCAGTTTGCGAAGCCACAAAGCTCTTCGTGTCCAATTTGTCGTCGAATGAGGCCCAGATATTCATTGAGACGGTTTTACTCCCCAAGTTTAGGCAATCGATAGAGGATAGTGACAACCACACTCTAGATTATCATCTATACAGAGCACTCAAGAAATCCTTATACAAACCGGCTGCATTTTTCAAAGGATTCCTTTTACCCTTGGTCGACGATCAGTGTACACTTCGCGAGGCCATGATAGCATCCTCTGTCCTTTCGAAGATATCCATTCCTTCATTGCATTCTTCAGTTGCTCTCACACAATTAGCGCAAAGAAGTTACACCCCGGCTAGAACGGTATTCATCCGAGTTCTCATTGAAAAGAAATATGCTTTGCCATACCAGACCTTGGATGATCTCGTTTTTTATTTCATGCGATTCAGACAAGCTTCCAACGATGATCAAATACTTGCTGAAGATGCTGTGTTGCCAGTCGTATGGCATAAGGCTTTCTTAGCTTTTGCTCAACGGTATAAGAATGACATTACGGACGACCAGCGAGACTTTTTACTTGAAACATTAAGACAAAGATTCCATGGCGCCATCGGCCCAGACATCAGAAGAGAGTTAGTCAGCGGTAGTAACCGGTCTACAGCTACAGATGATTTGGCGATGGAACGTGCTTTTTAACAATACGAAGTTTTAGACACGATCGGCGGTGCGTTTTCGTGCATCTTTACAGAGTTTATGGCCATCCGCCGAGACAACAACGTATGTCTGAACGGCTCCTATGATAGTGAGAGCTACCGTCGTTCCAATCCAAAGACCATGCAATGAACCCCTCCACAGAGAGTAGAAGGATAGATATATCGACAAAGGAATGCCCACAAGATAATAGGAGACTAGGTTCACAACCCCGCCTATCATTGTTTGCCCTTGGCCACGAAGGCAGCCGGCCGAATTGGCGTTCATAGCATCAGATATTTGCATAAGAGCCACTAGCCACATAATTTCGTGAAGTAATGATATAACAGTCTCGTCGTTGGTGAACAAAACTGCAATAGGAGTTTGTAGGGTGTACAAAAGTAAAAAGTTGATGAGTGAAACAAAAAAGCCGAAGACTAACGCCACTTCACCTGTAACCTTAGCACAGTGACCTAATCCAGCACCAAGATAATTTGCTATTCTTGTAGAAGCAGCTATGCCCATAGCAAAAGGAACTTGGTAGGTCAATGAAGCCATTGTCGAGCCGATTGACTGAGCTGCTAACTCATAAGTTCCTAGGTATGAAGCCATCAAGGTCAAAATTTCGAATGCAAGGAACTCTGCTTCTAACATAACCCAACCAGGAACTGCCAAACTGACAAGCTTAGGCCAATCCTGAAAAGATTTCCGTAAATTGAAACCGTTCCAACAATCTAAGGGGTGTACTCCTGAATGTCCACTGTTTTCGTTCAAAAATGAAGTAGCGGCTAGTAAGCCAAGCGCCATCAACCAATAATTTATAGCAACTGCAATCGGCGCACCCAAGTAGCCATAAAGTTTCACAAACAAAATATTCATTGCAAGGTTAGATGGCGCAGCAAGTAAAAGGACATACGTAGCGACGTGATAGATCCCTTGGGCCTGTAAAAATCTCTTGCCACATTCAAACAAGATGTAGGCGGGTATACCAAAACTTATATATTTGAGATAAACCGCTGCAAGAAATGCAGTAGATTTATCCGGAAGTAGCAAAACTATCAACTCATAGCCGAAAAAGATCCACACGACCATAAGTGGAGCCATAACAACGCATATCAAAGCCACACACTTTTGCATATACTCACCTACAAGGTGATACTTTTTGGCGCCAAAAGCCTGTGGGCACAAGGTGTCCAATGCAGTAGCAATTCCTTGAATGGTGGCATAGCCAGTGATGTTCGCTGTCATTGATCCCATTGATACCGCAGCAAGTTCAACAGCTCCTAAATGTCCGACGGTAAAGACAGACACTGTAGACAACGAATTCTGCAAAAGAAAAGTAAATACAAGTGGAATAGATGAACGCACCAAGGAGACAAGTTCTGTATACCTGGTTGTACTGTCCAACGCCCCTTGCAACACAGCATCCTCAAACGTATCTGCGATGTCATCGTCATCATGATTGTCAACCTCAAAACTATGGCGTCTCAAAATTTCGCGCTCTTCACCGATAAGTTCATCAGAATCTACTGGTTGATGCTGCTGCTGCTGCTGCTGCTGCTGCTGCAAAGCATCGAAAGATCCTGCCAAAAGGGGTCGTTCTGGGTCGTCATCAAATGCCCATTCATCAGATCCATAACTGATGAAGTCAGTCGGAAGAAATAAGCCTTGCTTGCCCACCGAACCGAACACCGTCGATGCACGCCGTTTCGAGCTTGACTGAGAAAATTGGTGAGTTCGAACCGGTGATGCCATCAGAGTATGATAAGCACTTAGCAATTTGGGCTCTGACTGTCATTAAGACAAATGTGCAGGAATATCATTATGCAATCTCACGAGCTTATTGCTGCTCAGTGATATTCAATAAAAGCTGGCCAAGGCATCTTTTAGTCGCGATGTCATCTTGTAAGATTGAAGAAAACGTTCCATCTCTTAGTGGCTCCGGCAAAATGGAGGCCAATGCTTTTCTGGCCTCATGATTATCTGATAACCTCATGTAACAACGCACTACATGCTTAAGCAAACGGCCAGAGCTTCCGGATGTATTCTGAGAGTTCTGAATGGACATGGCATTCTGAGACAGGCCTTCTGATGCCAGATAATTCAAAGGTACAGTAGACTGACTGAGTTGTTCTATCATCTTGGATAAGACAGATGCAACAGTGTGGAACCTTTCATATGTCGTACAAATGTATGAAAGGCCTTGGTCATCCAATAAAATTTTCTGAAGGATGAATATAGCCACCGTCTTTGAAAGCTCCGATGAAATCTCCATTATATTGAGGCACAATGGAACAATCTCGGTTGTTAAGAGGAAATTGATAACTTCGGGTGTATCGTTTTTAACAAGAGCGCCTATAACCCCCAAACTTGTGAGCCGTAAGTACTCGAAGGACCTTTGCCTAGCATTTGTTGATAGGAATGGATAAAGATATAGTGGCATATTCGCATGAAGAAAGGCGCCTCGGGTTTGTGCATTTGAAGCAACACACTGCAATAGAGCGAGGGCGTTGCAGACTCTATTTGAAACTGACGCCGTCAAGACAGGTGGATTCAAGAACGGGTATACCGAAATGATCTCTTCCAACAATGCGGTCATAACTCCAAACGAATTCCAGAGAACCAAGGCAAGGTCATCATATTGTTCTCTTTTCTTTCCTAGCTCGAGTAAAGCTCTCTCTCGGTTACTTCCTGTTACTAGCTCCGTTATCCATTGATAGATATGCTTATCATTCAACGCTTTGATATTAGGGTTATCAGGCGACAGCGCAGTATTGCTGGGGAGTTTCGACATGTCTTACAACCGACTTAAACAAACGAGAGTTCTGAAAAGTGACAAGTAAAGTCGTGTTTTAACCGTTTAGAAGAACTAGCCACTAAAAAGCTTATGGGTTTCTTGGCTAAGTCAGTGGGGAATACAATAAAAAATAAGATTCCCTTTATGTTAATTTTACTGAATTGTGTTTTATTAAAATTAATTTATATTAAAATCAATTTATGCGTAACAGAAATAGAGCTGCTTTCCAAGGTGGTTCCGTAGTCACGAGGACCCGGAATACAATTGTAGTGTATATAAGTGGATATACCACACTCAAGACAGGATCAACTGCTCCTAGACCGACGGAACATCGAAATGGTAGCGTCCTTCGAAACAGTATTCCAATTGCCATTGCATTGCAATAGATGCGTGAACGATGTACAAGAGGCATTATCTTCATTAGATCATGTGGAGGAAGTAAGGGTGGATCTTGACAATCAGTCGGTCGCTGTAACCGGCTTAACCCCACCGTCAGCGGTAGTCAAAGCGTTGCGGAATATTGGGAAAGATGCTATCATCAGAGGTAGTGGAAAACCAGATTCGGCTGCAGTTTGTATCTTGGAATCATTCGGTTCCAATGAAAATTCGCAACCAGTCAAAGGTCTCGCCAGGATTGTTGAAATAGGTAAAGCTAACATCGTGGTTGATCTCACGGTAGCTGGGCTTAAGAAAGGTTTATACTTTCCTCTGATCAGGTATTCAGGAAATCTTAGCGAAGGCGCCTTATCCACGGGAGGATCAATGTACGAGTTTGCCCCAATTGATGTCTCACTGCCAATGACGGAGGATTCATTTATCAGCTCAATTGGAGCACTGAGGGATCAAAATGATGCCTTATTCTCGTCTCAGTCGTTTATGCATGCAAATTTGGGCGTAAAGGACCTCATTGGAAGAAGTATCGTGCTATCAAGTTCGAGGGACACGGTGGACAAAGACTCTTTATGTGGAGTTATTGCTCGAAGCGCAGGAGCATGGGAGAATGACAAGTCTATCTGTAGTTGCTCGGGAAAAAATGTTTGGCAGGAAAGGCAGGACGCCATAAGAAAAGGAATAACTAGTTAGCGCACTTTTGAAGGAGTTCTTGTATACAGCGAAATCACCATGGTACACTCTTGAGCACTGAAGTAATCACAGATCCACACCAAAAGGTGAGACACAAAAAAGAACTCCATCGTATTGCAGACTCTTTATTTGAATTAAAAAGTTTTACGATCATAAGGGACGATGTCGGTTTCGGAAAATATAGATGCAAAGTCGTCGTTAGAGATACGCCGAATACTTTTGGAACTGAAAGACACTTTACGAAGCAAAAGAAGTCTAAGCATCAGGTTGGCCAATTTTCCACCATATACAACAATCTTGAATGTAATAGATGTATTAAGAAGTCTTCTTACCGAGATGAATTTGCATATCGAGCGACTACTGTTGGCTGAAAACAGGCTCAGGTTTATCCCTGATGAACTACTGGTAGTTTGCGATGATAGATTGAGGGCCCTTGATCTTCGAAGCAACGATCTCCACGAGATTCCCAGTAGCATAGCTGCGATGTATCCCAATCTTGAGCTTCTTGATCTTTCATCAAACCAGTTATGGAATCTACCTAATTCGACTTCCTCCTTGGAGAATTTGAGAGTTTTGAAGTTGAATAACAATGTATTCTCCTACCTTCCCCCAATTCTAGGGGAACTCATATCTTTGGAGAAATTGGTTGCCCACGGAAATCCGCTAGTTGTTCCATCGCAACAGGCTATTCAAACGCTCGAGAAAGACACGAATCGTTTGAAAGCATATTTGCTCTCTAATAGTCTTTTGTTAGAGCAGAACTTAAACCAGCAATTGCAACGGGTGAAGTCTACTAACCTGGTTTCAACAAGGTCGAGGTCCTCGTCCGATACTAAAATGAAGACATCCAAGGCATCTCGAAGGATGGGTTTAATCATAAACAAAAACAAGAAACAAGAAGCTAAAAGCGATTCTGGTCAAAAAGCTGACAAGTTAGCAGATCATTCGGAGTCGAATGCTGGAAGGCAGGAACCAGAGTCGCATGAGACCCATCTGATACCGAGAACGTCTCCACCAGCTATTTCAATGACTAGGCTGCGACAGAATACCATGACTGAAATCAATGATATGCTTCAACAACCAGAGCTTAGTGATACAGAATACAAATCGGGGGCTTATTTTCGTCGTCTTTCCACTTTGCAAGAGCTTCCCTCCGCAGACCAGAAGCGTGAGACGTTTTCAATGCTTGACAGACTGAGTGATGTCTCCAAACCGAATGACTTTGGGATTAGCAAATCACCGAATCCAACTTCCGCGGCATCTAACGTTGTGCGAATCAGTGAGACATTTTTGCCAGGATCATTCGTCAATACGAACGAAGCTGTGATCCCTAACGCAAATTCAGGCCATGATAACAGCATCCTAGATTTAGCTACAATTTTAAAAGTAGCCCGCAAAATTTTGTTCTCCTTCAGCGAGTTTCATTCTTCAATTAAGCGCTTGACTGGCTTTTGTACGGATCGAAAAATAGCAGCTAGGACAATTTCATTGCTCCATAATTCTAAAAGTGATATTGATAACTTAGTGGAAACCATGGAATCTTCTGAGGAGCAGAATGAAGGATCAGATGATCTTTTTAACGTTGTTACAACTTGTGTTCATTCTTTTAAACAGATATTGTCATATTTGGTAGACAATTTCTCCTACTATGTTGCTCGGATTGATGTATGCTTCATCCGTATGGTGTATCTTACGATCTTTGGTGCGTTCAATGAATTGCAAAACGCTCATGGAATAATCAATCCCAACTTGAAGCTCTCGAACCCGAAGTCGCATGGTATTTTGGCAGACCATTCGAAGCTTCTGCTGAGCAATCAAAACATCGAATATCTGGTAGAGCAAAACAAGGATGGGTACAGTAATCAAGCGTTTCTTCAAAGGACGGATAATAACACTGTCCTTGATGATGTTGACGAAAAACTATACGAATCTATCAATGTGGCAATCACAAACGCGCAGGTTGTCTTCAACGAACTCACAAAAGCTATGAATAAGAGCGCTGTCGCATCGACTAACAATGGTCCACAAGCGATGAATCCCCTGGTCGCTTCAAAGTTTAAGGACTTAACTAATACTTGCATGTCCTTGATGGACATCACAAAACGTCTTTCCGCAAAAATACCAACCGTTAAAGCTAGCCTTGCTATACAAGCCAAGAAGGCTTTTTGGGACGACATCAATGTTTTCCTTAAGGCTATTATCCAAACATTTTCGTCTGTCAAGCTTATAATGAAGGACGCACCAATCTTGAACGAGGTCCGGCAATCCATGGCGAATCTTACGAAGGCAACCAAGGAACTCACTATCTTACTCGAGGCCTCATCTTTTAGCATCTTTTCTGAGGCGGCCCTGACAGGATCATTTGCCTGGAGCCATTCTCACACGAATCTCTCACATCTTGGGTCGCTGTCGGCTCCTGTGCGGACACCGCTAGTCGCAACAGTAGGCGCTGCAGCGGCGCAGGCTATAATGCCAAATAATGACAACTCCACGTTTTTTCCCTCTCTGACAGGGGAAGCATCAACAAGTGGCTCTGGAGTCGCTCCAGAACAGACGAATTATTTTCCGGGTTCTGAGTGAGGGAGACAATTTTATCGCTCGTATACAGAAATCAATAGAACAAGCTAACATAGTCCTCTTGTGTTTACATGGTAAAAAATTATACTACGTGGTGGAAAGGTAAACGTGTAGCAGAAGGCTAATCAAAGCTTGCATCCTTGCGGAAGTTCCGCGGCATCCTCCCCACTGTTATCGGTCGTTCCGGGTCAAGTTGGAAACCGCGGGAAGTCCGCGGCACCTACCTGATATAAATAAATAGTCCATGTCCTGATGGTCTTTGAAGCTTATACCATCTAAAATGACAGAAATCAACATTGTGCCTTTTGATCGCGGATTTGGGTGTTCCATAGAGCTCCCTTCTTATGCAAACAATGACCCTAGTTCACTAAATGAAATCGATTTTAAAAGGTTGCACGACGCTGTACTTACATACCTAGTCGTGGTGATACCTCGACAGGAAGGGTTATCTCCAAAGAACCAGTATTATCTCACCCAAAGATTCGATGACACTATAGTCAAGTCGACCGATGGGGGAGGTTATGGACATGGAAAAGAATTTCGCCATGATAACTCGGTGTTGAAGAAAGATGGGTGTTCCGTTAAGTCTCAGCCGCAGGTTCAAATTTTGGGTCAGGGACAATTTGCGGCTGACGAGCCAGGAAATGAAAATGGAGAGGAAATCAACCTCACACATCCTTCACATACGACATTCCACAACCAGCCGCTTTCTCAGGACGATATCAAGGATAGGAAGCAAACCCGCTTCTACAGATGGCACATAGATTCAGCTTTGTATGGCTTATCGCCACCAAAGGTCACGACATTGTTAGGAATTAAAGTGCCTCCAGCTACGCAAACACAGACCATCGATTACAATGATGGTTCTGGTGAAGTGTTGAACCTCCTGCAAGGAGCAACATGCTTTGTAAGTGGTCAAGAAGCTTTCGAGAGACTATCGATCGAGGAAAAGGAGTTTGCACTTCATACTCTTGTTGAATACGCCCCCATCCCTATATATTCATTTCGCCAGCCAAAGCCACGAAAGACGGATTAACTATGGTCTCTGACGGCAAGGAAATTCCGTTTTCTGATTTGCCTGAATGGGAGTCATCAAAAGTCAAAAAACTTCCAATGGTGTGGACTAATCCAGTCACTCAGAAACATCACCTTCAGGTCCACGGCTGCTGCGTCTACAAGCTTCACACCCAAGTTGGCGACAAGACTGAAACGTTAAGCTTGACGGAAGCAAGGAAAAAAGTGCACTCATTGATGCGGCCCGCAATTTCACCTGACAAAATTCTTGCTCATGGGTGGTCACAGGGCGATCTCGTTATCTTTTATAACAGGGGCGTATGGCATTCTGTCACTGGTGAGTTTAAGGGAGTGAATGATGGCCTGGACGAGAAGCGTCTCATGCATCAATGCAATATTGCTAGTGGAAGTGACCCCATTACTGTAATTTGACATCATGGAATAAAATATAGTGAAGTGCTGATCAATAAATAGTAGTATCTTATCATTTGAGTGTACTGCCAAAACTTGCTAGACTGTAAAACGTAAAGACCCGTACATACCGCTTTACATGATGCATAGATGCGTCGAGAGGTGACATCTAAGTCAGTACCATCATGGGCCAACTTACCACTTTAGCTACTTGTAATTTGAATCAATGGGCGCTTGATTTCGAAGGAAATCGGGACAGGATTATCAGAAGTATTGAATTGGCGAAGGAAAGAGGAGCATCGCTCAGAGTGGGGCCGGAATTAGAAATCACAGGTTATGGATGCTTGGATCATTTCGCCGAGAATGATGTATTTGATCAATCGTGGCAAATCTATGGAGAGTTATTGAATCATCAATCTACTTCTGACATTATTTTAGATATCGGTATGCCTGTTGTCCACAAGTCTATCAGATACAACTGCCGGATTATTAGTTATAACAAGAAGATTCTACTCATTCGGCCTAAATTGTACCTCGCAAACAACGGCAACTATAGAGAAATGCGATACTTTACTCCATGGTTGCGTCCAAGATACTACGAGAGTTTCTTGTTGCCAAAAGAGATTCAGGTTATTACAGGCCAATCTTCTGTCACAATAGGTGACTGTGTTGTACAGACGCCGGACACAAAAATTGGAGCTGAAACTTGCGAGGAGCTTTTCACTCCGAAATCACCCCATATTGCTATGGCATTGGATGGTGTTGAAATCTTTACCAATTCCTCAGGCTCCCATCACGAGCTTCGGAAGTTGAATACAAGAATGGAGTTGATCCTCGGGGCGACAAAGAAATGTGGGGGTGTTTACTTGTACGCTAACCAAAAGGGCTGTGATGGCGACCGACTTTACTACGATGGCTGTGCGTCTATCATTGTCAATGGAAAGATGGTAGCACAAGGAAGCCAATTCTCCTTAGACGACGTCGAAGTTGTCACAGCTACTATTGATCTAGATGACGTTAGAGCATATCGCAATCAGATGTCCGCCGCACTTCAGTCTGTCGCTGAATCACTTGCTTATCATGCAATCCAAACCCATGTAAGCATTTCGTCGGCAGTCGATATGTTTGACCCCACAATTGCAGTTACTGGGCCCATGGATGTCCAATACTCCACACCAGAAGAAGAAATTTCTCTTGGTCCAGCGTGCTGGCTTTGGGATTATTTAAGGAGGTCTAAAACTGGCGGGTTTTTCCTTCCTCTCAGTGGAGGAATTGACTCTTGTGCAACTGCAGTTATTGTCCACTCCATGTGTAGATTGGTAGTGCAAGCAATTGAAAGAGGGAACGATGATGTTCTTCACGATTTGAGAGCTTTGGTACACGATAGTTCGTTTCGGCCAACAATTCCGCAAGACGTTGCAGGAAAACTTTTCTACCTGTCTTTCATGGGTACGTCCAATTCGTCAAACGAAACCCGTGATAGAGCCAAACAGTTGGCTTACGACTTAGGCTCCAATCATGTTGATATGAACATGGACACTCTTGTGTCGGCAGTGATCCAAGTTTTTGAATTAGCGACCGGGCGACGCCCCATATACAAGATTTTTGGGGGTTCACAAACAGAAAACCTCGCTTTACAGAACATTCAAGCTCGACTTAGAATGGTTTTGAGTTATCTTTTCGCTCAGCTTCTTCCATGGACACAAAATCGGATGGGAGGCTTGCTTGTTCTTGGTAGTGCAAATGTCGATGAATGTTTGCGAGGGTATCTAACCAAGTATGATTGTTCAAGTGCTGACATCAACCCCATTGGTGGTATATCTAAAACGGATCTCAAGCTGTTCATTAAGTGGGCAAGACAAAAGTACTCTTTACCCATCCTTGACTTGTTTTTAGACGCCACTCCAACGGCGGAACTCGAGCCCATTACAGCAGATTATGTTCAATCCGATGAAATTGATATGGGGATGAGCTATATGGAACTCTCGCGTTTTGGTACATTAAGAAAAGTTGAAAGTTGTGGCCCACAATCGATGTTTATAAAACTTTTCCACGAGTGGTCGCAACCTCCATTCAACTATTCGGCTGCGACGATAGCCGATAAAGTGAAGAAGTTTTGGTTTTTCTATGCTATAAACAGGCATAAGATGACGACAATGACGCCCTCATATCACGCAGAACAGTACTCTCCGGATGACAATCGATTTGATTTGAGGCCTTTCTTGATCAATCCCCGTTTTCCATTGGCTAGCAAGAATATCGATAAGATGGTCCAAAAAATCGAAAACCTGGCGATTACAACAAGGAAAGCTCCCGAAGTAGACTAGTCTATAACGTTTTAATGTACATTTCCACCCCATAGCGTCTTGATCGAAAACTCTTTTCGTCCCTTGTAGCCGAAGTCATGCCGCTTCAAGAATTCCATTATGCTTATGCTTAACTTGGAAGGCACATCCTCCTGGATGAAGTGACCCACATCCGTGGTATTGTTGAAAACTATCAACTGGTACTTTCCTTGCATTTGACCAATAATCAACTTTTTGTCTAAGCTTTCGTCTCCAGCCAATATGAGAAGCTTTGCAATATTTTGCGACGAAGAACCGCAACGAACGAAGTTCTCAGACATCCCTGTGAACCAGGAATCCCAGAAAGGCGCCATCAACTCCAAATTTGACCTCCAAGTGAGATAGCCTTCGTCGTCTTCTACAAATATGTCGTGTATGCTCAACCGTGCGGACTCCTCGTTTCGTAAAAGTCTCGATTGTAGGTGCCAATTCAAAGCGTCCTCGTATAAACAAAACTTCTGTGGCCTAGTTTTTAGGAACGAAGGGATCGTTGAAAGGGATCTAACCGCCGTTTCTTCGACAATATCAAGAAGGACCAATCCGGAAACACTTAAACCTTCGATATTAGCGTTCATAATGAAATTGGTCATCACAGAACCTCCAAGAGAATGGCCTATAAAACATATTTCGCCTGGGTTAGCCCTTTTAATGAACTCCTCGACCACAAACGTAAAATCTGATGTCAAAGCGTCCAAGTGAAAGTCTTCTTGCTCTCGTTCGCTTGATTTTCCATGGCCAAACATGTCAAACAAGAATACCCCAGGGCATTCTGATTGCAGAAGTTTCTTTAATTCAGACACAAAAGCAAGAAATGTCAGAGATGATGATCCTGCGCCATGATGACAAACGAGAACTGGCATTTCATCCAGCAGTGGTGGAAGGTAATATGTCTGTACAAAATGGTTGGCATCTCGGTAAAATTTATCTTTCTTGGGGAACAAAGAGTCACGCATCTGATGGAACTCATGTCTCCACATCATGTTTTCACCCCGTTTCGGTGACGGATCAACCTCGGGGTCGTCCTTATCAGTAAAACTTTCCAGGATCCGTTCTAAGCCATATGCTGGCCTTTTACCTTTTAAAAGCTGTTTCCGCAAGTCACTCATATGCGTCTTTGTACAGTCGTCCACCGTGCTCTATCATTTAAAGCTTCAGTATTAAAGATAAAATGATTAGTGCTCCCCCGTAAGTGTTGTATCAATATTAGGACCTCGTCGCTTATATACAGTCTTAAAGGGCCAGAGATCAAAAAAAATGATAGGATGAGCAAGACATCACTACTTTACTACTCGCCAAAATATTTTCTCCTGTAAAGAAAGTTCCAACGTTAGCGGTGGTAGCGTTTTTAATTGTGATACCCCCACCATGTTCTGACTAGTGGGACGTCCGGCACGTAATGCGTGGTTGTGCGATGTAACAACTTGATTTATGTCGAATGGTCTTCTTCAGTATTTCTTTCCTTATGAATGATCTTACAGTCCATTTTAAATACCTAGCTTTATCCACATTCGTAGCATACCGCGCGTTGTGTAACTTAGAAACCCCTGTTGCATGCATAATTGTTAACAAGAAAACTGGAAAGATCTTAAGTTACGGTTGTAATGATACAAACGCCTCCCTCAATGGTACGCGCCATGCGGAATTTGTCGCAATCGATAAAATACTATCCGACTACGATCTTTTGGGAGCTTCGCCTGAAGCTTTGTTCGACTTCTGGGAAAATTTGGTCTTATACGTGACCGTAGAACCGTGTGTCATGTGCGCCCTGGCTCTTCAACAAATCGGAATCAGGGAAGTATACTTCGGGGCCGCCAACGATAGATTTGGAGGCAATGGATCTATCATTAAAGTCCAGCTGACACAGTCAGCGTCGACATATCTAAGTTACGGTGGTATCATGAGAGTCGAGGCAGTACATTTGCTTCGATGTTTTTACATCCAGGAAAACGATACCGCCCCCACACCGAAGATCAAGAAGAATAAAGACATCGATGGCAAACCGTTTCCGCCCAATATCACTTTCAGTCGCATCTTGAGTTATAGTGAATTCGAGTCGTTTTATGAGAAACATCGTACTGATATTTTCTTCCCAGGTCCTAAAGAAGACATTGAGATTACGCCATTAGTTGGGAAAGGATACTGTTTCAAGGACCTTGTCGACGTTGACACAATTAGACAAATTCCTGACATCAATGGTCTATATCCGAGAGGATCACCAGAAATTGATCATGATATAAAGGAATTAAATAAAATACTTCCTTTTGTCAAAAATGATGGCAAAGTCGGATGGTCTTTTGAAAGCGAACATAGCCCTCAGTCATAGTTACCACCTGCCTATTGTTCGGCGCCATTTTTTACCTCGCATTAATGACACGACAAATTTCTCGTCTGCAAATGTGTCCTGAAATAAACGGCTTGCCGGGGTCAACGGAAGGACCGTGTAGTTGTCGATCAAGGGGTGTTGGGCTAAAGGGGAACAAGAGCAGCGGATAGGCGAGGAAATGTTAAATTGAGCCCACAAGGAACGGTAATAGCTGGGTTACAAGGCGCGTGCACATTTGTAACAAGTAAAGCTAGTTTATTCTCACAAGAAAGGGAGATCTAGGCCTCCCTTCGGCAAACATTCGTACATACACTCGTTTCTTCACTTCGAAAACTAAATGCGAGCAGAGTAAATATCTTCTGATATTTTCCAAATCGGCAATGTGCTTTGATTCATCTACAATTAAAATTTTAAAGTTATATAAATCACTTACACCCGCAACGATAACGTTCTCAAAGAAATATTATCAATGATTTTATCAAATAAAATAACTTGTTTCGTTTTCAACAGTTCTCAGCGGCAGCGTGGTCTGGCCCGAAACAGGAGTCTGAGAGATGCATGTAATTAACGCACGAGAAGCAGGATACGGTGTCTACGCGAATCAAAACTCCTGAAACCGCACTCTCCTGCCTAAGCCCTCAATTGTCCACTCCTTGCGATCCAGGCACTCACAGTCGCGCAGTGCCGAAAAAGGAGAGCGAAAAAAAAAAAAAAAAAAAAAAAAAAAAGAAACGAAGTATTCTTTGCGGCGATATATAAGAGCACTCTGATTCCCTTCCAAGTCCACATTCAAGAACCATACCAACTATTCACATTCCTTTGAATACAGCCCGAGTGCGACTCACCTTATCCTTTCCTTTTTAAAACCTTCCTTCATTCCTTCATAAACTTTTGTTGGCTATCTCTCCTTTTTCCAGCAACTGACCTTCATTTATTGTCATGAAATATTCATCTTTTGTTATTGCACTTTCCCTCGCTTCCCAAGTGTTGGCTTCTCCAGTACCTGCAGTCAAATGGGTGACTGAGTATGAGTATACGACTGTCACAGTGGGCTTTGATGCATACACAGCCTACCTTGCGTCTGCCTCCAGCAAGAGCCCATCAACTCATGTCCCAAATGCTCCTGCTACGAAGGAGTCCTCACCTGATGAACCTGATAATACAGTCAATGTGGTGCAAGATACCCCCTCGCAAGTTACTCCAGAATCGAGAACGACCGAGGATGCTCCAGTAGACCATCCTTCCACTCAGACTCCCTCTGTTCTGAACATTACTCCTACATCTGATGTGTCTCCTACTTATACGTCGACAAGTTCTACGGCAACGGGCAGCGAACCCTCGGGATCAACGTTTTCCGGTGAAGGTACTTACTATGACCCTGAAATGGGCGCCTGTGGTAAAGTCAACTCGGGTACTGAAATGGTGGTCGCTGTCTCTCACGAATTGTATGATAAGCACACTCCAAATGGAAACCCAAACAAAAACAGTCTTTGCGGCAAAAAAATCAGAGCTTTTTACGAAGGCAGTTCTGTCGAGGTGAGCATCGTCGACAGGTGTGTTGGTTGTGCTCATGATGACCTTGACTTGTCACCATCTGCTTTTGAAAAGATCGCGGACAAGGACTTGGGAAGAATTAACCTTACTTGGGAGTGGGTTGAGTAAGATATATAGTTTCGAAATTTGATTGTTTGAATATACTGTTTTTTTGCACTGTTTGAATGTATGAATTGGTATTATCTCCATTTCCTGCACATCGCTTACCACATCGTCAACTTAATGCCTACGTCCTCATATCACCTCTTTTCATGGATATCTCTGATGACGATTTTAGTGACCACGGTTCTGGAGCTGACCTAAGGGATGAGTCTCTCCTGCCCGATATTGATGGTATGGCCCAGAGAACCAGGTCAAGGAAAACAGATATACCCAAGCAAAGCTCTTCAGGTGGGTATGCCTGGGAAGATGAGTACAAGAGACCGTGGGATATCGTGAAGGACGATGATGAAAGCGGGCGATCTATGGAAACATTGATTCAGAAGACCATTGAAATCAGGAAGAAAAAGATTATGAGAAACCCCACAACGCCGTTCCAGAGAGGAATTATAAGGACTCTCATTGTCGTGATCGACGGTTCTCTGGCAATGCTTGAGAAGGACCTACGGCCCACACGCTTTTCTGCTATGTTGTCATATCTACAAGAATTTGTGACAGAGTTCTTTGATCAAAATCCAATATCCCAACTAGGCATAGTTATGATGCGGAACGGCATGGCACACCTTGTCAGTGAGGTAAGTGGTCTGCCACAGTATCACCTTGATAAAATAAGGACGCTTAAGTCCCGTCAGCATAACAGGTATGAGCCCAAAGGTGATCCGTCTCTACAGAATGCTTTGGAATTGGCACGGTCGCTTCTAACGGCCAACTTCGAAGGTATGGCCTCGTCATCAAACAAGAACTCCAAAGAGATACTCATTATTTTTGGTGCACTTTTCACTTCAGATCCTGGAGATATCCATAAAACAATTGATTCCCTAGTGAAGGAGAATATAAAAGTGAAAGTTATCGGCCTCTCGGCGCAAGTGGCCATATGCCAGGAAATCGTTAGTAGAACAAACTTTCCGGCTACTCCAAAAGTCAAAATCCGCATAGATATTGCTAACTTCTATGGTGTCATCATGAATGAATCTCACTTCAAAGAACTTCTTATGAGCTGTGTGGAGCCTCTCGCCGTTACAACAAAATCGGCTGAAGCAATTAAAGGGTCCTCGACTGGTGTCCCGCTTATACGAATGGGTTTTCCTCTGAAAGTCCACCCCTATTCCAATGCTTCAACGATGCTTATTCAATCCAATTTTCCTCACCTCTGCTCGTGTCATCTTTCACTGGCACAAGAAGAGGCTAAGGACTTGGTGCAAATACAGACCGGGCCTCAAGAATACCCAAGTGGTTCCAATGCTGGTTACAGGTGTCCACAATGCAATAGCAGTGTGTGTCATCTTCCAACAACATGTCCAGTATGTGGGCTAATGTTAATTTTGTCAACACATCTCGCGAGATCGTACCACCATCTAGTACCCTTGGCTTCTTTTTATGAGGTACCTGTGGCGCCACGCTACGACCATCAGTACTGTTTTGGCTGTCTCTTAAAGTTTCCGGAGGGAAAGAGTAGTCTGACAGAGTTAACGCAGACCAGCTCTCGCTACAGGTGTGAGAAGTGTCTGAACGATTTTTGCATAGATTGCGACGTTTTTGTGCATGAGAGTCTTCATAACTGCCCGGGATGTGAAAGTAAGGCCTAATAGATAATATACACGAGAAATTTATTTTGCTGTATAATATTTGTTCAAGCTATGTAATGATGGCTTCAATGGCTTTTAACTGTTACCCCACCCTGTATTCTGATTATTGTTGGAGCTTCCCCATGTAGATGAGCTCCCAGTGCGCCCTGAGCCCCAGGCAGAGCTGTTACCATCCTTCTGGCCCCAAGAGGAAGAGTTGCCACGATTGCCCCAAGCCGAAGCACCGCCACCAGGGCCATTATTGCCCCACGTCGAGCTTCCACCTTTGGAGCCCCACGTAGAGGAATTTCCTTTGTTTTGTTGGCCCCAGGTGGAGGTCAGTCCGTTTTGGTTACCCCAAGCAGAAGTATTACCGCCTGAACCCCAACTCGAAGACCCACCACCACCCCAGGCGGAGCTTCCGCCTGAGGCACTATTTCCCCATGTGGAAGCAGCACCTTTGCCGCCTTTCCAAGTGGATGCTCCTCCAGCTCCTCCTCCTCCCCAGGCGGAAGCTCCTCCAGCAGCACTACCCCAGGCAGATACACCTCCGGCGTTGACGGATGGTGTCTTGCCGCCCCATGTTGAGGTACCGCCCCCAACTGAAGGTGTGCTTCCGCCCCAAGCTGTTTTCGCCCCGGAGGAAAATGCCGGTCCCGAGGACTGGGTAGGGCCGCGACCGCTATCTGAGGCACCGATGAATCTAAGGTATGGGATGGATTCACCACGAACAATAACACTCAATTTTGTTTTGTTCACCTTGATTTTCTTTGCTTTGGTATGCAATTCAATACGGGCATCAACGTCGTCAGTTTCAACAACTTTACCCATTAAACCTTTATGATTACCGTTGTTGATAATAACATCCTTATGAAGCAACTTATCCCTCCCTCCAATTCTTCCTTTAAGTCCAGGAGCAATGGAAGGCGCTTGTAACTTGACATTCGGATTCATACTGCTCAAGTCAGGCCCGAGAGTCCTAGATATCATTGAGTTCTTCGTGGAGACTGTGCTAACATTCAAGGCATTGGTTACAAAAATGCCCAAGTTTTCTTGTAATTCATGGGACTCCACAAAAACTGCATTCTTGTAAATGTGTAGAATAACACCTTCTTTCTTCTTGTCACCACCGAACTCTTTAACAGTATCACCAACTTTTATAGTAAGGCCATTTTTGTCCGTCGCGACTTGTTCACGACGGGTCATTGACAATTTTGAGGCGACTCCGCTGGGCTTAACTGTAATGTAGCGGGCATCTGCGGTCAAGATACCAAGCAAACCCTTTTCAGCCTTCACGATCACGCCCACCGAGGAAGCATTTAGTTGAACGAGATCTTTGATATCGTACCTGCTACCGGAAGGATCTGCACTCGAGGATGTATCTGTCGCCTTGATTAAATAGTTTGCGAATACCCGAACATCCTGTTTGGTTTGATCACTTAAGAACACAACTGAGTCGCCATCAATTTTTATGACGAGACCACTTTCATCAGAATGAACACCATCAATCACTTTAACGTGGTCACCCGAGCTGAAGACCTTCCGGAGGTCTGTAGCCGGGACCGTCAACTCCTGATTTACAAATTGACCATCACCACTGTCAAGAACCAAGATCAGAACTTCGTTAAGCGACACGTTCAATACTTTTCCAACAGTCTTAGCTTGCTCTCCTCTTCTTACTTCGACTTTGTCGCCCGGTTGGAAGGCATTTGATGGATCATTATCCTGTGACTTCCCTTTAAGAGAAGCCGCCACTGCTGCCAAGTCGAGTCCATCTTCTTCAGTTTGGCCAGTCTGAAATCTGTCTAAGTCTTCCAACTTAGGTTGAACATCCTTGGTTTGGATAAATTGTAGCTTAAAGTCTTTCATTAAGAAGCCTTCAACATATTCCTCGCCGCGATATATGAAGCTTCTTGGCCCCCGACCTGGTTGCAAATGTTCAGCATCATACATGCGAGCTTCCTGCTCATTAAAAAGACGAGGTACGGGGCGGTTTTTCAGCTTCACCCTTCTTCCTTCCGCATCAAATTCGTCATTTTTTCCATAGTCAAGTCGTGGGACTAATTTACACCTGACTTCAAGACCATTTTCAGATAAGTTATCAACAATTGCCAAATCTCCCTTATATTTACCACGAGAGATACGCACATAGATACCCGGGAGAATCTCAACATCTGAAGACTTGACTTGTTTGAGTAAGTCGGGATATTCACTCACTGGGACAATAATTCTTTGCTTTGCGTAGATGTTTACCATGCCAGACAATGCACGCTCAATTGCCTCTGGTTTCTTAGCTTCAATATAGATATAACCTTTGAAGGCATCTCTCTGGAAAACTGATAGTATATCAAGAGGGCGACCGGAACGAGCCAAAGTCCGTTTCTTCTCGTAAAGTTTCCTGACTAAATCCTTTTCGCGACCGGGTGAGCAGCGGATAGCAAAAATGGCGGGGTCGTTGATGGAAGGCATCAAGAGCTTCTGCGATACAGTGCCACTGGCGGTAGTGTCTCCACGATACGCGGTGTGGGACTTACGATAACGCTGTTTCAATGTCTCCGCAAGTTCCTCTGCATCCTGATCCTCTGCCTGTTGGCGACGTTGATCGTACTGCCTATGAAGCCTGTCATCATCGGGGCGAGTGGGTTCGCCATCATGCTTCTCCACATGGTCGTCCGAAATAAACTGCTCGCGTAAAAGCTCTGCTTCTTCATCATCTTCATCGAGTTCGTCCTCTTCTTCGTCATCCACCTCAGCCTCAATATCAAGGAACTGGTTTGCTCTTCTCCTTTTCTTTTTCTGTGGCAGATCCTCTTCCTCGTCATCTTCTTCTTCCTCATCCTCATCGTCCCCATCACTGTCATTGTTCTTCAATCGCTTTACTTGCGGAGCAGCATCACTATCATTATGGGAATAGACCTTCCCTTTTAAGCTTCCATCATCATCGCGTGTATAAGTGCCGCCCTCATCAGTTTCGGAGACCTTGGTTTGTCCTTCTGTTTCGGAAGCCTCTTCGTCAAGGACCCCAGGTTGCTGCTTTGATTTCTCAAGTTTGTTGGGAGAATCAACAGAAGTTTGCTCTGAATGATCTACTTTGGTTCTTCTGTCTTCAGACATCGCACAAAGAAAACACTCCTGATTGTTTTACCTGATAGCTGGGGTGTTGAATTTTCTGTCAGCATTAGGCGTGCGCACACCGATCGATCACGAGCGATTTTGCGAAGGAACCAAATTACAAAAGCTGTGCGGGTGCAGCATCATTCAATCCGAGAAGAGAAATTACACGGCAAATATAGCAAAAATGGCTCGCGAGTATATAAGCTGTGTTCCTACCCGGATAGATAGAAACATGGACAATGTTTTCTACTTTCGTCTTTTTCATGCTCATTCTACAGCATATTTTGGCTAACCAGTTTGCAAACAACGTTGTTAGAGTGGCTGACTGTGACATCGAGCTCTTATCCGCTCATTTCAAAGAGCGTGGTATCGTTTATTATTGTGAAGATACTGGGCATACAATTCTTCACTCACTGCAACTTATTGGCTTAGTTGAAGAAGAAGCCTTTCACGGTAAAACACTGGTGATTTCACCACATGGTTGGATTGAAATAGCTGCAAGCAGTCACGAAATCGAGGATGAGACCTCCATTATTCCCTACACTGGATGTTTTACATTGGAGGATGGCACGAGCGGAAGTTTACAAGCCACGGTTGCACATTCCTATGGTTTTGGAACCTCATTGGATTTTGGCCTTTCTTTTTTGAACGCACTTGTGGTGAAGCTTTCTCAAAATGGAAGGGGGACTCTTGGAGGCAGTTTAAGTATGACAGCAGAGTATATTTGCTCTGGCAAGCCGGGTGGCACCGTTCAGCTACAATTGGCCCGTAAGCATCACGTGTTCCGAAATAGCAAGTGGAGGGCCATCAGCACAAAGCCACATGTAAAATTTACAGGCATTAGCCATGGAGTGTGGAGGAATATAGGGATGGTGAAATCATTGGTTTCTTCCCCCATAATTAAATGCGTCACAGACCCGAGTCTCCTTAAGTGTGGCTCAAGGTTCTTTTGAACTTGTCCACGAGGTACCGCAATTCTGCGGTACGGGTCTTGCATTGCTACAAAAACCGATAATTTAGCTTAGTACAATAAACTTCCGCAGAACAGACGCCGTAATGTCCGAGATAGAGATCATCGCAAGTGAATTAAAGTCTAGTCTTAAGCAATTTCAGGACTTTCCCCAAAAGGGAATTTTGTTCGAAGACTTTTTACCGATCTTCGCTGAGCCAAAGTTGTTCAGGAAATTGGTCCGTGCTTTCAAATTGCATCTCGGCAACACCAAAATTGACTACATCGTTGGTTTAGAAAGTAGGGGCTTCTTATTTGGACCTGCTTTGGCTTTGGAATTGGACGCTGGATTTATCCCAGTGCGGAAGCCTGGGAAATTGCCAGGTCCAACATTACGTGCTGAGTTCCAAAAGGAATATGGAACAGATGCTTTCGAGATACAGCAGGATGTTCTTCAAGCAGGTGCTAGAGTTGTAGTTGTGGATGACATCCTCGCAACAGGTGGAAGTGCTAGCGCTGCTGGCGAATTAGTCTCGAAGTCAGGTGCCGATGTACTTGAATATCTCTTCGTCATGGAGTTGGACTTCTTAAAAGGAAGAAACAATCTCAAGAGTCCTGCTTTTACTTTGTTATCGGGTCAAGAGTCCAAGCTGGACTAATCGTTCACCTTTTGGCTCCGTCACGTCTTCGTGTATTTATTAGCATGAATGATATAGATTTAGAAACACAATTAGTTCTTGAATATAAGGAAAGCAAGGTCGCCAATGTAGAAATACGCAAAGTATCCTTGTTCGTGAGTAACATTTGAACCAAAAGACTTGCCTACAATGACATGCCATGAAGCGCCATAGAGCAAGTCTAATTCCTTCTTTAGATAAGTTGCAATGTCCTTCTCGACTTTATATGTCCTTGTGGCATCAATTGAAAGTTCAAGCACCTTCGTTTGAATCTCGTCAGCAAGATCAGAGGCTTTGAGAATCGCTATGGTTAGTTGTTGTGGGAAGAGTTTCACAAAGTATAACGTACGAGTAACTTCCGAGGAAGGTAGTTTTTCCATCACGACGGATTCTTGATGAACTTGATGTTTATAAAGTGTGCGACGATTATTTCCCTCGCGAACACATACCTTGGGCAATCTGGTAAACGCACAATAAATACCACAAGATAGTGGCCTCAAGGCATTAAGGGCTGTTCATTGATTCGGATGTTAGGGCGGGGTTTTTTGTTTGCCTTTTGTTTTCCATAAGCCGCAATTCTGTTCACATTGCTGCATTCAGGTAAGCACCCTTGTTCTGGGCAATTGAGCATCTACACACCCATACCATATAAAGTCTCGAAATTCCGTTCAAAACTGACTTGTTGGTCTTACTTTTTTTGCCTTCCAAATAAAAAAATAATTTTTCAAAAAGTTGACAGGTTTCAATCGAAATGAACAGGTACGGGTTTGATAAGATTGAAAGGGATCCAACGAAGGCTATTACTTCAAATAATGAGCCTACCCCACAAAAGCCGGAACTTCCTGACACTCAACTTGACAGAACGTTTTTGGCTTATGCTTCAAGAGAGTTGCCCGAAAAAGTACTCTACCATTCAATCAGGGTTTACTTATACTCTGAAGCGATCATGAAGGACTTTTTTAGTGAATGGCAATTGGATAAAACAGTTTTATTCGCAACCTGCTTGCTTCACGACATTGGCACAACCGAGAAGAATATGGCAGCCACAAAAATGTCATTCGAATTCTACGGGGGATTTATAGCGAAAGATTTGGTAGAAAAGGAAGCAAACGATCAAACTTTTGCCGAGGCGGTGTGTGAAGCTGTCATCCGTCACCAGGACATTGGTGATACCGGTTACATCACCACTCTTGGCTTAATTCTCCAGATAGCAACCATCTTGGACAATGTGGGAAAGCATTCCCAGTATATCCATGCTGATACTTTGGATTATATCAACAAGAAGTACAGCCGTGAGGGTTGGCTTGCCTGCTTCGCTGGTTCAACAGATAATGAGAACGCCAAGAAACCGTGGGGCCACACGAGTAAGCTTGGTGTACCTGACTTCAGCGAAGCTATTCTCGCCAACTCCTTGAATTACACGAAGTAATATTGTTGTATCGAGCGGCTCCTCTATATTGTCTTTATAGTTGAAAGCTAGTGAGGCGTGGGTTGGTTGTTTTGAGAGGATGGTTTTAGGGAGGTATTGAGGTATAATTGAGTAGTTAGTTTGATTTTTAATAACAAGTTTCAAGCGGTAAAATTTCTCCTGTAATTTTGCCTTTGCCCAAGATGTCATTCTTTCTCTGGGTTCTACTTACATGAGGGCGTTTGTGTGCCTCCAACTGTTGGATCATTGGAATTTTAAGTGCGCACTTCTCACATAAACCGGATTCTCCTACAACTTGCAACCTAAACTCGGTTCATAATGCCAGGATGTCTGACCTGATACCATTATCACGAATCTCTACGCATTACTATAAAATCGCCCATCTACTGCTGGTGAATTATGCCGTCTATACGGCAAAAGAGACGTCCCTGGATCAGTTCTTGCTAGAGTTAGAACTTCAGATTAGAGATAGATTTCCACGCATACTACTTACCTACTATAGCAAATGCTTATATCATTTTGAATTTGGTCATATATCGGATGGTTCACCATCTAGTGATTCGGATACAACATCGTATTCTGGAAAAATTCGCCTCGATCAACATTATCCTCAGCTCGCCCTCAAGAGAGAATCGTCAACGAAAGCCGCTTTTCTATCAAAGCCCGCGAAACACCATGCTGCCCAAGCATTAAATAAGAAAGACCAGTCTGTGACAGAAGAGCATTTGGCTTTCGTCAGTCTAACATTTTTCAAGGCGGTCAAGAAGATGATAGTTTATAATCTTTGCTTGAAGAGTGACACGCGAATGTTCGGGAACTATGTTGTAACGAACAATCGCAAGGAAGACGGTCAGTATTCCGTTATCCAGCTCGATCCTGTTGTCTTGGAAAATGGTGATCTAATAGTTTCCCTATTCCAAACGAATCGTTTGGTTCTTTGGGACTCACAGCTTGTACGCTCTAATGAGGCTTTTGTTGAGTTGGCCAACTCTTTCGTCATATACGTGGTACCTTCGGGGTTACGCTGCCATTTTTATGATCCGTTGGACTATAGCCAGACCTTCACAACTGCCGCCCCTAAATCGAGTCACACTCTCTTACGCCTTTTAAAATTGAGTACAGGCATTGATCTCACCAACAAGCAAAACATTCTATGGACGAAACTTATTCCGAATCTCCAGCATTTAAACAATCTTACTTCCAATATATCTCACTTCATCCATGAGGTTGATAACAAAAAATATATCATGTGGCCTTGGGAACTATGTCTCTTACAATTTGGAAGTCATGATATTACTAGCAAACCGAAGGATAAAACTTCGTGGTCAATTGATCCACTAGGACTTATTAACAGAATTTTGGACTCCAATATCGCTGCCAAGGACCATCTGTCTCATAATAAAGATGGACTGGCATCAGTCGATATGAACGCTGCCAGCAGCGGACAAAATTTTAATTTCAACGCTCCCAGTTCACTCTCTACTGGTAAAAGTAGTGGTCATGGCGCCACGATGGAGGATATTTCGATTAGATTAGAAACGCCTCAACTTGATGACTTTAACTATGCTGTCTCCCAACCTATTGAAAGGGAAGTCTCTAATCCCAAAGCCGAACAAGAGATTATAACAGGGGAAGATGATATGTGCACATCATCTTTATCTCCTCCTAGAATCGCTAGGAAGGTCGATTATAATGATAGTGATACCAATGACGCAGAATATGAGGGGATTGATGACGATCTTTTTGGCGATGGCTCTGAGCCAGAGGTGTTCGAAAATGACCCCGTTACGACATCCATAAGAGATAACAATAAAGGTGGACACTCTTCTACCGATTTCTCGGGTGAAGGAACCCATCGTGATACAAATTTCACTCCTGACAAGATGAACAACAGAGAAATAAAGGATTTAGAAGCTGTTGACCAAGGAACCCCGACCACCTTCGTCAATATCCCCAAAGACCAAATGATATCGGATCTAGAACCAATTCCTTCTTCATATAAAGATCCGGGGCTCCTTTACCAGTCGTTCCTACACCTGTGATACCACTGCGCTCTAGTTTCCCTCACTCAACCGTTGCTTTCTCTGACTCGTCTATTTCTCACAAAGACAAGGTCGCATCGACGGTGCAAAACTCGACAAAAAACGAACGACTTAACGACTTTTCTTGTCATGAACAAAGACAAGGCTACGTCTTCTCTCCTATCAAGTTTAACCCTGTGATAAGGAGCAGTATAGACACAAAGTATGGTAAGGGTGGAAAATTCTACGTCTCGCACGAGCCCATGGACGAAGCTGATACGAAAGGTCGTCGTATGCGTGAAACGAGCGTGAGCCATGGCTCTCCACTCCACTTATCGAATGATTATAATGATAATGATAATGAAAGCGGTCAAGATATTAAGCTCCTGACAAAACTTCGAGCACCAGAGAGAACTAATGGGAGTACGGGTGAGTCTGGTGGACTTGATTCGGACCTGCAAGTTGAAGACCATTTAAGTCGGCAAGACAGACGTGAGATTGATTTCCAGGGGAGTACTGAAATCCTGGAAAACTTAGGCGAGAATGATAACGTTTTTGATGATGCCGTTCCTAATGAGAGTGATGATGTGGATGATGAAGGTGGTGAGGAAGATGAAAGTGATGAAGATGAGGAAGTCGAGAATGATGAATTAGAAACTTCACCGCTCAGGCTAAACACCTCTAACCAAGATCCTGCTCTTGGCGGCCCTGTCGATACTAATCGTAACCCGAGCTCCAATGCGTATGTCCCTATGCCGCGTTCCAATGTATTGTCGCCCGCCTCTGGGGTCATCAATATCAAAGTTGAGTCGCCCTCTACCTTGGCTGTGAGGAACGAGCTCCATGGCCAGTCTTTATCGCCTATGTCTATACACCAGCTAGAACTTAAGGATGATTTAGTTGCAGCTGCTAACGATACAAAAGATATTGACATGTCCGTGCCAGCTACAAGTGCTGCTAGCCCGACATCGATCTCGTCCAGTGGAATGGGGGAGTCTTCTAATTGTCTTCCATTAATACTTCGAAGTATAAATGTTCTTACGATACCCCCTGCTTTCGTATTAAGGGAGGAAATCGATAATTGGGACGGCGTTACTATGCTGACGGGTTTTGATATGGATGTGGTGGAAGAAGTAGAGGATCTATCTAATAGTAATGCCGGTCCACTTAATGTGAGAGGAACCGACTTGGACGAGTATTTAAGGTGGGTAACAAGCAATCTTGTATTCGATTTTGGCAACTTTGAGACTAACGCCAAAATACTAATGAGGCTTCCAGGTGATCGGCAAGATGAGCGACCCGAATCAATGGCTGAAACAGAACCGTCTGAGAGTATGAGAAATTCATTCGAAGAAGTTTTTCCGTTGAGTTCTAGAGTGAACCTCAACGAGTTCCGCTTCGGCTTCTCAAAACAGACTGATGAAAATTCTGGCAGAGCTCAGCTGACTCATATGGATAATCAACTTGCCTTTCTTGAACCAGCAGAAGGCTTACAAAGTCAAACCCTGGATATGAATTCTTTGTACTGGGATTCTATTTATTATGACGCACCCGGAAATCAGCGTAATGCCACATCTTACTGGAATATCTTGAAGCAAACCGAACGGAAATGGGCTCTTCAAAAGGGTAATGATGAGGCATTTCTAGAGATGTATGACGTTAAGGCAAAAGTTTTGAAGCCTTCTTCAGAGATAATCAATTTTGATTTTGTTGGCTTAAGATTCTGGCGCTATCTCAATCTCACTCCTGTCAATCGTGATAGAAAATTTCAAATTCTACTAATCTCGGAGTACTCGCCAGAAACCTATGATCTCAATGTCTTCGAAAACGGTAATCTTTCCCTCTTAAACATGTTGAGGAACAACTATAAGGATAATCATTTTGGAGACATAAAGAAATTATCGTTGCAGACAGCAGAAAATAGGCAGGACCTTGAAGGTGTTATAAATGGTACCGTCTTAGCAGAGCGCCCCAGAGGCGATCATAGTTACAGCAAGTTCTACAGTCGTACGGACAAGAGGCTCAGATCGTTGGCTGAACTCATCAAGTTGGACCTCATCAACAAAAACAACAGGTTCGACTTCGATCGACCCCTCCTTTTATTATTTGTGAATTTTGATCAAAGCGTTGGCTCTATTTCTCAAATATCGAAGCTCTGCAGAAATTTCAAGGCGGCTCTCAAGGCTCATCAACTATCACTAGTGGAAGTTTTTTCTCATATTATACCTGGAGATAAAATTGTGAAACAGTCAGCTCATTTGATGAGATTAAAGTATATTTCGAATACTGAGCTAACTAATTTGTCGATGATGCTCTACAACAAGTGCCCCGATAGCAAGCCTAAGCATTCTGCAAGAAATGCAAAAGGAACTACGGGTCTTTTTACCAGGCTAATCAAGGAAAGACCGGAGAGCTTAAGTTTTAAGGCGACAAATCGTGGGTTGAACAACGATACCGATGCTACACTATCAGAGGATTTGTTTCTACATGTAGCATATGAGCGATCAGTTGACAGGAGATGGATATCGGCTGCCTGGTCCGATCCTCATGGGATCGTGACGCACACTAAGTCATGGCATTGTACGACGAAAAGAGGTGGCTCATCAAGCGCTCACGACACTGGAGAAGTCATAACGGAGATCTGGGAGATTTCTAATTCATTACTCAAATTCCTCAGTGCTGATGATTCTCGCAGAGCGTGCGGTAGTGGCGGTAAGCGCTTTTTGGTCCTAACTCGTGTGAACAGCATTTTACCAGATGATGAGCTTGTGTTCTGGAAAAGATTGACCGCCAAACACAAAGAAGTCTCCTTAGTTGTGCTTACCGCGAATAGATTGCCTAGGTTAACCTTCAGCTTACAGGAGAGGGCTTTGTCTGATAGCGGAATAAGCGAGCACACACCCTCACATTCTGTCTCAACATCGGCCAACAGGAACCATTCCGTGAGCGGACTAGCTGGGGTAGACTTAATCAAAGCTTTCAACGGTGGTCCCTTTCCGTACATGTCTTCTCCTAACACTGCCGAAATGAACACTTTAAACTCACCAATGAATCCAGGTGGTATAAATGTGCTTTCACCTCATCAGTTTGTCAATGTGCCGGGGAATTTTTTAAGTCCTCACGATGGGAATGGAGCTTCTAACCTACCAGAAAGCAATGCTACTGATGAAATGAATTTGCATCTTCGGGATGCATGTCTTGACCTAATAGGATTTATCCCTCAGACATCTCTTCCATCCTCAAATTCCCCAACGAGATTGGGGATGAAAACGGGTTACTTGATTCGAGATGTCAAATCAAAAGGCAAACTGCTGAAAGGCTTGATGGTTTTTGAGCTTTCTCTTCTCAGTTGTTCTAGTCAATGGAACTTGAATTCAATAATGAAAATTTTGCTTAATCAGTTCAAAAAGTTGATCTACTTAAATCATATCATTGGAATTTGTGGACTCGCTAGTACTAGTGGAAAAGATGATGGCCAGAATCATAGAAACTTGCTTCGATCCATGGTTCCTTGGCATATCAACGCTATTGGGAAAAGTTTAGATTACTTGGTCCATATAAGAGTCGATGAAGAGTCATAAACTAGAAACAAAACACAGTATTTCAACATTTTCATGTACAACAATTCTATCCTGCATTATTATTCCAAAGATATCAACAAAATAAACGCGTAACAACAGTCCCTCAGTTTTAGCCATCCACGAGACATAAGCGTCCTCTTAATATTGTTATGGACCGCGAAGGTACCCAAGATATAATAAATGCATACCTCGGCATTCAGCAGGACCCTTCGAGACAGTCTTCACTCTTGCTTGACGATGCTTGGGAATCCGACCCTCTCATGGATCTCCTGAATTACTCCCCATCCAGCCGTAAAGCATCCCCACTCAGGCAGTTCTCACCAACGAAATCAATCGAAAGCCCGTTGAAATCCCATTACAAGAATCTTAGGGGTAGTCCGACCAAGGTGTCAAATTCATTGCCGCAACGTCGTCGCTCTTTTGGAAGAGGGCAAATCGACCTCGACCTAGATCTCGACCTCGACATTCTTTCCATAGCGGACTTAGATGACAATGAAGAGGATCAACTACGAGCAGTTGAAAATCAAGCCTACTCGTATCTTCCGAGTACCAAGTATGCACTGTTTATATCCAAATCTACTGTGAAACTCAGGCAGACCTTACTCGCGGAAGTCGAAAAAAGAAAGAATCTAGAGCAGATAGTCTCAGATCTCAAATCCAAAGTATCCAACTCTTCAGATCTCCAATCCCATCATGATACCCTAATAATAAAGCTTCGTGAACTTCAGCGACAAAACGGGGAGCTTGAGCAAAAGTTGGAGAGAAGTGAGAAAGCTATTAAAGCGTCCCAACTGTCGCAAGAGAATGCGATGCTACGGCTGAAGCTTGTGAAATACAAGACCTTGTATGAGGAGGCCGCAAAGTTACAAAGTGAGAAGAATTCCCCGAAGGGATGTACCTCACCCGATAAGGTATTGGGAACCAGTGAACGCATTGCAAATACGACGTCAGGTTCAGACCCCCAAGAAAGGCTGACTGAGCTCGATATCTTGTTTAGTAGGTTGACATCAATTTTCAAAGATTTGGATAAAAATCGGAATGGAGACTTATTGTTGACAGATAGCCACATTCCACAACAAGAGACAAGCAAAAATCTTCAAGCTTCCTGTAATTGTCCCAAGATTAACCTGGGGCATGAAGCTGCAAAAACGGTTCACACATCTGATGAAGGCCGTCAACTGGGGAATGACGAGAGCCTTGTCCATGCTAATCTCAGACCAAGCGGTTCTCATACGTCCCCGGTATCTTCGACTTCGCATGAACAAGTTGCGCATGTTGCTGAGATTATTGAACAAATCCGTCATGAGATTCATAATATCAATGCCACACTACGTGATAATGGACAGCTTAGAAAAGATACCAGCTGGTCTTCAAGCACTCGTCCCTCTAGTGACAAGAGCACCTGCAGTGCTTGTTCAAGGGCTGCAAGCAGAACATCAACCAGGCCCAATACCTCTTCCACACCTGAGGTCGGAGAGGATGGTCAGGATGCAACACGGAATTTAATGGGCAAGTACAATTGGAACCGTACTATTTGAATACCAACTGAATTCCTTTGCCATCTGAATTCATAAGGCTTCATTACATCAAGTAACCTACACAAAACCCATTTTTGACATGCGTGTATGTCTTGCGGATGGTCAAAACTGGCATATGGATATTGCAGAAGAACAGACTTAACTCCTAAAAGCAAGAAATTCAAAAAAATTGGATGCCAATGATATGAAACCGCGTTGCTACGGATATATTCAGGTTCAAGCAATCACCAAACGCAACAGAGCGCGTTGGGAGAATGGGCGCGCTGATCTGTGTTTGTTTTGAAGAACGATTCATCGTAAGCCATGAAACGTTAATCCACAGGTATCCCTAGTTTATTGACTTGACAAAGCTGCATTCAAATGAATTATTTTAATTTTATTCCTCAATAACAAAAGACCAAATAGTCCTGCGATTAATTTTCAGTTGTAAAGCAGAAACAGTACACCAGATCTTTGTTTAGCATTTGCTCATGGAGCTGGGTATTACGCGGTTTTGTGGAAGGTTACCTTGAGCAAGAGTTCAAACGAAAAATCAAAAAACGAGATTCAAAAAACAAAAAAAAAATAAGAAAAAAAAAAGAAACTAAAGCAAAAGCACTAGCGACCAAGGATGGACGGACAAACGGGAATCAGTGGTGCCTTACACTGATGCCACGACCGCCTTTGAAGGTTAGCACACATAGAATTACAAACATATCACATACCTTTCAATAGCAAAGAACTTTCATCAACTCTTCCTACGATTGCATTTCTATCAAATAGCTTCGTTTTGCCTGTCTCGATGCATATCGATAAACGTTGGTTCTCTTGGAAGCATATTCGGGCAGTCCTTCGCCTTCTTTTGTTTATATATGAGCTAAATGCGGAAAGTGAATCGAAACGAAGCCTTGTTTCCCTCGCATTTTCCTTCGATTCCTACAGAACGCGATGCAACAAGGGCGCCAACATGCTTAAGCTTTTTATTCTTTTCGTTTTATTTGTTTTCTTTATTTTTTTTTTTTTTCTTTTTTTTTTTTTTTTTGCATAGTTGTCTCTCTCTCCTGTTATGCAAAGATGCGAATTGTCAGTGCTCGCCGTATTTACCTTACCGCATTCATCACTTCTTTTTTTTTTGCCCAATCTGCCTTTTTTGTCGCTCAATGTGCCATACCTTGTCCTAAGGTTGCCTGTTTCTGTTTCAACCATCTTGGGTACTGTTTACAAACTTATCGACAAATTATATTGCACATCCAGCAAAATCCCTTTCTACAACAGCACTGTTTTTAAGTCATCCTAAGCGATTTAAGCACTTCCTCATTTGAAAGCCCTAGTAAACACCGTTTTGTACGCGCCGGAAGTGTGAACCTCCTTCCATTCTTCATACCCGTTCCTACCACCCCATCTTTCCAAACCTACGAAGAACGCAACGACACAATTGCAACGACAACATCCATCATGTCAAACGTGAACAACGAGAATGAAAATGACAAGGATGTCATCGACGCATGGGCCTCCAGAGCACGGAGCAAGAATCAAGACACGGTTCACCATAAGGAGTGGCTTCATAAGAAGGGACCAAGTACAAATCAGAAAGATTCACGCCACAACAACCAACGCCAATATTTGGGCGACGTCTCTCTGCAATTTGGAATACCTCGTACTTCCGCTCAAGCTGTTGGGCGTAAAAAGCCCTTGGGGGGAGGCGAGGTTGGACCTTTGCGCCAGCATGCTGACTTAAACACACATACCTCACTGAAAGAAATCAAGCTTGTTTCAAATCCGAAAGATGGAGAGGTTTTGTCCCTGACGGCTGGTCTGGCACCAGCGCGTACGCTGATGCCGTCAACGCTGACAAGGCCACTGGCAGCAACAGTAAGTCATGGACTTCCGAGAAAAAGACAAGCAACAGAATCTAGCACGAACCTAGTTGAGAAACTACACATTACCAGCGATGAAAACCTGGTCAAGTACAAAAAATCCAAGCGCATAGATTACGAGTGGCAAGATTTAGATGAAGAGGACTTCGACGATCCTTTGATGGTGAGTGAGTATGTCAACGAAATTTTCCCATATTTACATGAACTTGAACGAAAAACTTTGCCCGATCCGAACTACCTTTTTGAACAAACTCAACTCAAACCAAAGATGCGATCCATTCTTGTTGATTGGCTTGTGGAGATGCATCAAAAATTTAGGCTCTTGCCAGAAACACTCTTCTTAGCTATCAACATTATGGATAGATTTATGTCAGTGGAAGTTGTGCAAATCGACAAACTCCAACTTTTGGCAACAGGTTCTTTGTTCATTGCCGCCAAGTATGAAGAGGTATTCTCGCCATCAGTGAAGAATTACGCTTATTTTACTGATGAGTCTTATACAGAAGATCAGATACTTCAAGCAGAGAAATACATCCTCACAATCCTAAACTTCGATCTCAATTATCCGAATCCAATGAACTTTTTGCGACGTATCTCGAAGGCAGACGACTATGACGTGCAACTGAGAACTTTAGGAAAATACCTTCTTGAGATCTCTATCATTGATCATCGATTTATTGGTATGCTTCCGTCTTTGTGTTCTGCTGCAGCCATGTACATTGCACGACTCATTTTGGGAAAAGACCCTGTTTGGAACGGGAATCTTATACATTATTCAGGCGGATACCGTGTAGACGACATGAGAGAGTGCGTTGAACTCATAGTTCAGTACCTCATATCACCGGTTGAGCACGATGAATTCTTCAAGAAGTACGCCACACGAAAGTTTATGAAAGCGAGTATCGTTTGCCGAAGCTGGGCGAAGAAATTCACGGCAGAAAAAAAGGAGCTATTTGATCAACTGCTTCTCACGGAAAAGGTAACTAAATGAGCCTTCTCATGTTGACTTACCTGTGGCCTGAGCTTGCCTTTGTCCTGCGCATCCGCCAAACAACTCACCTCATCATTTTTGCATTTCCATTTCTATTAAGATTATATGAGCTACGGATCGTTCACCAACAGCATCATAAGGGGCATCAGATATCAAGAGCTGGTACCTTTAATATCTCATTCATAAGCTTCTGCGACACCATTCAACGCCCCACTGCGTTTTAAGCCAGTAAGTCGCAGTATTGTTTTAACGTCAAACGCATACAGCACTTATTCACGTAATTTGAAGTGCAATAGATTCTTCATTAAGTTTATATTAAAAGCCTTTAGAGTAGTCATACGAGTAGCAGTTATACATACCTTGATAGACTGCACTGGAGTTGATGCGGAAAATTTGGTGGTAAACATCAGGGTTGTTGTGACGCGTGCAGATGTTACTGGCGAGGCCAAACCATAGCGATTTACTTCTATGAGTGGACTTTTCGATAGCATCACGTTTCTTATCATAGACTCTCCCAAGAACGGAGAGTACTCTATATCATGGATGCGGGAAGTCATATCACTGAATGGTGGAAGGAGCATTATTCTGACTCCAGATCTGTCATCCGAAGTCATTCAGAATGACAACATTTCTCATATTATAACCTCGACATTCGAATTCTCTGCTTACCGACAAGCACAGGATCTCATGGTACCAGTTACTTCTCCCCAGTGGCTTGAAGATTCGGAACTGGCTTCTCAAAGGAAAAACTACAGACTATATTCGCCACAACCGGTCCCTTTCATGGACAAGGTTGTTGTTTGTATCGCCGATAATCTACCAGAGGGAGATAAAGAGATGATGTATGCTGGAGTACGTGCATTTGGCGGACAGTACCTTGATTCACTTTCTCGTTATACCACGCATCTCATAGCCATGGACCTCACGAACAACAAAAGCGTACTTGCTGCAAATATAAGACAGCGGGAAAATCTCCAAATTCAAATCGTTCTTCCGCATTGGCTTGATGATTGTTTTAGGATGCAGAAACGTCTCGAAGAGAAGCCTTACCGCCTTTCAGACCCTGTGGCCCTACGAACCAGTAAGCCCAATTTTGAGATTTCTAACACTGTTGCTGACTCCATATTCGATGACGAAAACTCCTATGCAATATCATCAGATATCGATAGTGATTTCTTGCACGGAAAACGGGTCTACATAGCACCCGACCATTGTTTTAGCGAACATTTCAAAGACTCAATCTTCGAATTAGTCGAACTTTATGGTGGAAGAGTCGTCAGAGACTATGATTTCGGAGCTCTTGATGTATACATCGGAAAGTATCGCAAAGGAAGCGAGTATACAGAGTGTCTCCATTCATCAACAATTGAGGTCGGCAGTTTGAGATGGCTTTACCAAATGGCTATTAGAAAAGAATATGTGCTGCCTCTCAAATCAAACGTGTTGAACTTTCCACTTCCCTGTGGGGCGATTCCCGAATTATCTGGTGCCCGTATAAGCATCACTGGATACAGTGGAGATGCGAGACATTATTTGTCTCTATTGATTTCTGCTATGGGAGCCCTGTTCACCAAAACGCTTGATTGCAATAATGACTATTTAGTTGCAGAAAAAGATCGCGGAGAGAAATACATGGCCGTAAAAAGCAGGTGGCCAGAAGTTAAAATAGTAAACCATCTATGGATTGAACAATGTTTCGCACAGTGGAAGTTCATCAAGCCGACGATATCTCGATACCACATGATTACGCAGGAAACTGCTAAACTTGGAAGTACGGTGATTGACCCATCACTGCTAGGACCCATCGGAAAGGACTTCTCACTGAATGTGGATGATAGCGCAGCAGAAGATCTTGATGCTGATATTTCTGTAACTCGGCAAGAAGAAGAACAACAGCAAGGAGTAAATGAAGAGGAAATATTAGTTGAAGATTTAAATAATGATCCGTTGAATGATTCTCCTGACGCCTCGCAGTTTATCGGAGTAAAAGGGAAGCCTTCAAGCCAGGGTATCTCTAGTGATCTGGTGTTGCAAATTGAAGATATCAATAGTCCTGCTCCTACCCGCTTCAATAGATCTGCTAAGCAACGAGCAACTACGAAGCTTCATAGCGATATGGAGGACCTTAATACGTATACTTCAATCTTGAAGTCAACGCGTAAGATGAATAGCTACATGAAGCAATTGGAAACCAGCATTTCAACTCCCCAAAAGAGAGAAGCCGGTGGCGTCGCCCCCTCTGTTACTGAAGGAGAGAAATCACATATGCCAAACCCTTCAACGAAGAAAAGAAAGCCAAATGAAAGCGTTCAGCAAGTCGTATTATTGACTGGATGTGAGGCAGAGATTTCATTAAGCCGTGCTGACGTGATAAAATTAGCGAAAATTGGTATCAAGGTGGTCAATGACTACAATTCCAAACTAAAGGTTGATTCAATAATTGCTCCAAGGGTTTTAAGGACAGAGAAGTTCCTTAAATGTTTATCCCAATGCTCAGAGGTTCTTCATCCTCGATATTTATCGGATATCCTAAGTGAAATACAGCTGAACCCAGATATTGAGAGGTCCGACATCTTTGCTTCATTCCAGAGTGAGCATTATTCCTTGGATTCGATTTTACTGGTGAAGCGCATCAATGAGGACTTGGGTGTGACCCTGAACAAAAGTGGTTTGAAAACTCTACTCCAGGCTTCTAACAAAGGTGCTGTCTTCAAAAACATAAAGGTCAACCTATCTCAGAACTTGAATGGTGGTCCCGATTTGATCGCTAGTATATTAAAGGAACATGGGCTCGAAGAGCTGAGGGTGGTGAAGTTATCAGCTAATTTCAACGAAAAATCGCTTCTTGAAAACTCAGATGGCAGAATTATACTCGTTGCACATAAAGACAAGGACAGAAAAGCTTTTGGTAAGTTATCATCTGAAGGAATTTTCGTCGTGGAGTGGGACTGGTGCGTCAAGTCTATATTTAAACTGAATTTAGACAGTTTCAGCCCTTACGTGATCAATTAAGTTCCATGAACAGTCTTTTAATTCTAATAATACATAGACATAAGCCTATCATATGCAATGGCAATCTTCATCCAACGACATATGGCATTCCATAGGATCACCACACTTCTATATATCGATTAAGCTTGGTTCGCCTTCCTTAGAATTACCAAATCCAAATCCAGTAGGAGCTGGGTCAATTCTACGCGGGGCTTGCAGCCCATTTTGGCCTTGTAATTGAGGCCCATTCTGAGTCGTACTTCCGATTCCAGTGTTGAGAAATGGATTTCCAGTGGCATTGGAGCTCAAGCGCATATCATTTTGTGCCTGCTTGTAACCAGTACCGCTCGAATTGATAAAAGTACCTGTCTTGGTGTGTTGATGAGGAATTCTTGTGGCGCCCGTATTGCCGAACGTGTCTACGCCCGTACCAGATGCCAAAAGATTGTTGAGTTCGTGTGATTCGTTAAATCTTGAAGAGGAAGTTGTTTGAGGCTTGAGTTTTGTTTCAGGTTGCTGGACAGGTGCTGGTGATTGAGGCTGCGTGAAGAATGATGGCTGACTTTGCGCCATCTGGTTCAACGACTGCTGTTGAGGTTGTTGTTGTGACAGAGAGTCCTGTAAAGCAAACGGGTTGTTGGAGCCAGTTTTAAGAGGCTTCAATTCCTCGGTATTGTTCGTAGCTCCCGGGTTGGTAAAGCCCGTGAACTGTGGAATTTGTGGTTGAGCTTGGAATTGTTGTGGTTGCTGCTGTTGTTGAGCATAGTAACCAGTGGCTGAAGCTTGAATTGGATTGCCGAACATGTCAAATTGTTGCTGCTGTTGCGGTTGATAATATTGGAATTGTTGGTTGTACTGAGGCTGGAACTGGCCAGTTTGATAGTAGTATTGAGGTTGTTGTTGCTGCTGGAACCCGTAGTTATCATTCAAGTCCAACAAATTCTCATTTTGTTGGTTCTTAAGCTTCCTCATTTCTTCCTCCTCGAGAGAGAGCTTCAAAGCAGCCTGAAGCTCAGGGTCATCAGCCTCAGTGTTTCTAGATTGCCTTCCTTTCTCCTCCTCGGCAGTTTCGCGTGAGAGTTCCAATGCTCTCTGTAAATCTGAATCGTAGGGATCTTCGTTGTTGGGCCTTTCGGGTCTTCTTCTTTCCTCCTCGCGTCTGCGACCGCCAGATTTAGCATTCTCTCTCTCTCGTGCTAGACGTTCGTCATCACGCAAAAGCGAAACCAACTCTTTTGCCTTAACCCTGATGATTGCACCTTGATCATTGCTTGCATCGTCAAGATGGACAAATTCTCGCAAAGTTTTGACAATGTACAAGTTGTCTTTTGACCAGAGTACGCATTTAGTAGAGCCAAAGCGGACCAAATAGTCCAAGACAGTCAACGATTTAGCAACATGTCGCCAATTTTTACCTTTATCATTAAGACGACGGTCAAGCATATCCATAATTTCTAAAAATTCCGTTTGGTTGTTGTAAGTCGCTGCAGCTATCTCCTCCATTTCATACGTGGTAGGACCTGAGGGGTCATTGGACGTTGCATTACGAACCAATACCTGGGCAGACAGGTACCCATTGGCCTTATTCTTAATAGTACGAACAATCTTAGACATTGGTCTGGGGTTGCTTGTGAGTGTTGGCAGGAATGCTAAAGGACAGGTGATGAAAGACAAATGCCTTGCTAGGGGTGGAAGGTGGTTGAGCAGGTGTGCGAATCCGTGCACCAGTCGTGAAATGGGAAAAAGAAACTGGCGAAAGCTTGCCGTGGTAACTACTACGGGAACAAGAAAAAAGAGATATGAAGAAGGCTGTGCCGAGGGTTCCGATGACGCAAGTATTGCAACCCTCTTGTCTTACTAAATTGTAAGTAGGTATCTATCACTAGTATTAGGAGTCCCTACAATCTCAAATGGGCTGCAGCCATTTCGCATCGGGCCGAATGTTGCTTACCGAAGTCGCATTTCTGACATTGTGCTTGGTCGCTCTTCTGTATGTGAGGCAAATATGTGGAATCGTTTTATGAACCAGCTAGATTAGGATTTCCGCAATCGCAATTTTTGTGTCTTTGTACGTTTCGGAAAAACAACTGTGAGGGTGCCAGAGTACTTCTCTCGGTATGCTTCCCACAGCACTTTCTTTGATTTCTTTATTTTTTTTTTTGTTTTTCCTTTAACGTTCTTTCCGTACCCTACTTCACCGCTATTTTGTATTCAAATTGCGATCGCTAGCAGTTTAGAACGCTAACTACAGATTGCTTTTCTTGTTGTGTAGTAGTTATGTTGTATACTTGCACATCAAGAGAAAGCTCGCAATGCCTTTGATTTTATGATTTACCAGTAAAATTAACACTATTTGCCAAAAATGAAAGTAGATTGCAAAAATCCACTTTTTCAAATTTTCGGGCAATGAATGCATTTCAATTATCTGACTGACTTCTTCATCCTATTCTTTTGGATGAGCATCTTCCATAACGCGTTGGTGTCGCAGTAGCTAGTTTCTTCCTTGCGTCCGGTTTTTCTCCACGCTATCTGTCAACGGTGCGTGGGTGCGAAAACGCTTTGAAACATAGTGATGTTACTCCTGCATCGCGAAAGCGATATCGAAAGACTAAAAATGTGCAACTTCTGGGTATAAATTACCATATACTTGAAGTCATCTAGTATGGCGAGACTGTTTCAACAATGTGGTGTGCTTACTAATCACAGGCCACCAGCACGTCTTTCCAGCCCCACCTGACCCCGTTTGCGTGCGCGCACCAAAAATTCCGGTGTCACCTACATCCAATACAACGTAAAAAAAAAAAAACCAACATTCGATCCTAATCGTAATCAACCTCATTACAAACAAATCCGCGCCTTTTATCATGATGATGTACGAGGGAGATCTGAGAAGATGTCGTCGCTGCAAGAGAAAGAGAATGGACGATGAGCCTCCAGAGGTCCAACAGTACAAGACCTGTGCCAAATGTAGAATTATCGAGCGCACCAAAAAGAAGCTGAGAAAGCCTTTGGCTGAGGAGACCATGAGATATGGTATGCGCCAATTTCAAGAACAGAATCAAAATGCCAATTTCATTCACGACGATGTTTTTACAGCTGATCAGATTTTATCGGACATGCAAGCTAACAGGGATGCCGGCTTGGTTAACCCACTGAAGCAGCTGTACAACACACAGTTCTCGGTATACAAACAACCTAACGCCAACGCGCTGGGATATAACCAACAGCAATACGGGCTGCAAGGAATCAGTCTGGGAATGGGCGCCGCATCACCAAATTACAATTATGCACAGAACTACTCGTACAACGGTGGCCAACTGGGCATGAGTCCAGGGTATCCTGGTGCATCAGTAGGGCTGTCTGCCTATCAACTGCCGCTGATGGGGAATGCATCGCCTTACATCAACAATCCGGTAGCTATCGCGAATGCTGCTACAGCAGGTGGCCTTTCTTCTGTTGGTGTTCCCACTGCTCCAACCATGCAGACTAATGGCAGAAACCTACAACAGGTAGGTTCCACCTCGACAGCAACTGCGGCCCAAATCGCAGCAGCAGCCATTAATCGGCCTGATGCTCTGATCGGTCAGCCTATGGGATTCAAGCTGCAACAACAGTACTATCGACACTATCAACAAAAGCAAGGAGACAGAAGCAGAATAACAGTGCCGACTTCTTGCGAGCTATGTTCCCAACCCTTGGACTTGGATGACAGCGTAAGTGCAATTTACAGATTATGTAACACGTGTTACTCAAATCCCTACAGCCGTCCTCATGTTTACAGCGACTTTAATGATTTTCTTCTAGCAATGGGCAGCGATACCGCGGAAGGCTCCTTCACCTATATCTCCGAGCTCGCATCTTACCTAGTGGAATCACTCAATTCCAATAAGCCAATAACTTCGGAGCAACAGTTTCGTAAAACGATGCTAGACAGTTTCCGTCTGATTTACTTGGATCCGCTATTCGCTTCCTTATCACCAGCCAAGCTTACTCAAACTAGCAATAATATCTCGGAATTGAATAACACTGTTCCCATAGTGTCAAAGGTCAGTCAACAAAATCATTACTTATTAACACCTCCACTCAAACAGACATTTGCAACAGCGGATAACGGCATCAACATTGAACTTATGTTTGTAACGGAGACAAACTTAATAATCATCAAGAAGGTGGCGAAGGCAGCTCCTTCTGAGTTTACTGATGATTTCCTCAAGGATCTTGATAGCAAGATGCACGAAAGGGGCTTAACGTTTGATGATGAAGCATCAAAGGTTTATACTGATCTTGGGCTCGTCGTTGACGCGGAACACTTTGCTAAGAACTTCAAGACATTTGAGAAACAAATCGCGGAGCTTTCCGGACCTCAAACAGTGAAAAGTAACTCTTCACAGAACGGTAATGGTGATAGGAAGGCCAATGAGAGCGAACAGAGTGATAAGGAAAGTAATGAAAGTGATCAGACTCAAGCCACGGGATCTGTTGACTCGTACAAAGAAAACAGTGAAGGGCACAAAGGTGAGCCAAATGGAACAGAGGCCCTGGTAGAGGGTGCTGATCCTAAAGAGGTTGATCCAGCATTCGCTGCTTAAGCGTACCTTAGGCGCCAGATGTACAGAAGCATGGAAAGAGAAGAAAAAATAAAGATGATACAAATCAAGCACTGATTTGGGTATTTAGTTCACGAGGATGGCGTATGGCCGAAGAAATGTACTATAGCTTTCTAGAGTTGAGTAGAATTCTCCAATAATTCTTATCCTTCGCATTAGGGAACACAGTTGCCGGTTGTAAAGGGTTGTAAAGGGTTGTAAAGGTTGGTCCAGGAGACAGAATAAACTAATGCGCGACACGTTGGGGGCGCTACGCCTGAAGCGAAGGGGCACAGAGCGATCGCGAAAAAGCAAGGAAAATGGTGAGAGCGTGGAGTGAGACCTAAAAAAAGGATCGCATAAGGACAAGAAAAAAAAAAGAAGAATAAGTGTCAGGATTAAGGAACTTCATCTTTTGATCTCTACAAGACAAGAAAAGAATACAGTCGTTTCAGCGGAAATAGTCTTAATTTCCAGATAAACCCGCTCGCTACACAAATTTCAAATCAATGAGGCTTCTACTGTTGGCCGCAGCCTGGGTTTCATATGTCTCCTTGGCTTCAGCCGTTTGGTTGGATACCAATAATGAAACAACCATTAAGGAGGCCACGGCACAAGTGGCTGAAGGCCTTCTCAACTACTATCAGGGAAATCAATATGGTGGAACCATAGGCATGTTTACTTGGCCGTACTACTGGTGGCATGCCGGTGGTGCGTTCGGATCCCTTTTGGATTACTCCTATTATACTGGCGATAGCAAGTATGACGATCTTATTGAGCAGGCTCTTACTTATCAGGTTGGTGAACATTACAACTATGTTCCTTTAAACCAGAGTACCACTGAAGGTAACGATGATCAAGCTTTCTGGGGTTTTGCTGTGATGGCTGCTGCAGAACACAACTTTACAAACCCAGAGGACCCTAAATTGGCTTGGTTAGCTCTTGCACAGGGTGTATTTAACACCATGAGTTCAAGATGGGATATGGATCATTGTAACGGTGGCTTACGTTGGCAGATTTTCCAATGGAACTCCGGTTACGACTACAAGAACTCGGTCTCTAACGGTGCACTCTTCCATATGAGTGCAAGATTGGCGAGGTACACTGGTAATGATTCTTATGTTGACTGGGCTGAGAAAGTCTTTGATTGGATGTACGGAGTCCATCTTTTGACCGAGGGCGAGGAATGGTTCGTCTACGATGGTACACATGCCCCTGACAACTGTTCAGAGGTCACAAAATGGCAGTGGACCTACAACCAAGGACTCATGTTGGCTGGATGTGCTTACTTATGGAACTATACTGAAGATGAGAAATGGCACAACCGTACGTTGAATTTCTTGCACTCCGCTAGAGTATTCTTCTACAAGAAATCTGAGGATGCTACTATCATGTACGAAGCAGCATGCCAAAGCCCTACTAGTGCAACTTTTTCTTGTAACCAAGATCAAAGGTCTTTCAAGGCTTACTTTTCTCGGTTCTTGGGACTTACCTCAATTCTTGTGCCAGAAACGTACGACCAAATCCGCCGATGGCTTGTCGACTCTGCTAACGCCGCTGCATGGTCTTGTAGTGGAGGTTCTGATGGCCACACATGCGGCCTCTCATGGACAAATGGCTCTTGGGACGGGGTTTATGGCTTAGGTGAACAAATGAATGCTCTTGAAGTCATGCAAAACTTGTTGGTCGCCGAAAGACCAGGGCCATTGACCGCAGATACTGGTGGCACTTCCATTGGCAATCCAGCTGCTGGATATGCTATAGCAAAGACCGATGGGCAGCCCCTTGACCTTGATGCTGGCGACAAGGCCGGCGCCAGTATTATCACTGCGATAGTAGGTGTCGCTATTATTGGTACCGCTACATGGCTAGTAATCTAAGAAAGTGGACTTTCAGTGTAATATATTTAAATTTTGATGCTATAGAAGAGTAAGATGTAGAAATCAGGAGGTATTGACTGACTCTAAATTACACTTACCCCAGAGTTAATGGTCGTGCGTGGCAGGACTGATAAGTATGGGCCGGCATGCTCGATAACCTCCAACCCGCTCCTGACTAAGAAAGTTACCACAGCAACATGGCATCCGAAGACCCTTTCACTTCAATTAAATGGGACAGGGATGATGGCAACAAAGCCAAAAAAGACCAAGAAACTGGAGTCATCCCTGAAGAAGGTCTTCCGGAAGTCCCCGACAATGAGGAGCCAGGTCAGTTGGCTCTCGAACTGGACCAACCAGTAGAAACTTCCACCCTTGCTCTGAGAGAGCCGCAGGTTGACGAGGAACAATTTCAAGAGCAAAATGAAGGGGGAAGCACTCTTGAGAGTACTGCCGAGGCGCGTGTCATGGATACCACATCATCTCCTTCTTCTACGCCACACGGGTGCGACCTACCTGAAGTTGCAGACAAGGAAGAGCCCAAGCTCCCTGTTCCGACAGAAGACGAGTTGAGGCAGGACGAGCTCAGACAGCAGGAGCTCAGCGAAGCTTTCGATAAGTTTACCATTGATCTGCTGGTTAGCCATCCTATCAGTGATAAGGATGCCAGCGCCAAACAATTCATTTCGTACCTCATCACAACCACAACAGACCATCCACTGGTAACAAAGCTTTCGAGCGTGAAGTCAGATGAAGGCTCGGAGACCGTTACCGTAAAAATCAGGAGGCGTTACGGGGACTTTAGGTTCTTGCACAACTGCTTGATCAATGACTTTCCCCAATCTTTAGTACCTCCTCTCCCTCCAAAACTGAATTTCAAATATCTTACTGGCGACACTTTCAGCACAGCATTCGTGCACAAGAGACTACATTCTCTTAATACTTTCATCAGGTTTATTTGCCAACACCGGTATCTTTCCCAACTGTCCGTTTTTCATCATTTTATTAGTGATTCTTCAGAGTGGTCAACTTTTACAAAAAATCTTTCTGTTTCAAAGAATGCTTCACCGGAGGAAGCAGAAGGAACCGGCTTTATGGGTAAGGTTGTGAACGAGGATTTGCTTACTGAGACTGTCATGAATTTCTTCACATCATCAAAGCATAAGAGGGAGACGAACAAGGATATCTTGGAAATAAGCGACAAGCTTAAGAAGCTTTATGAGAACCTTATCAAACTAGACAAGATATTCGGCAAACTTAATCGAAAGCACAGTGACTTGAAGCTTGATTATGAACAGTTTTCTGTCCAGATTAATAAATTGGCCACGATACAAAACGTTACGACCCATGCTAACGAGAATTCAAAAGTCGATCCAAATAAGAGTCTCAACTCGCTTTCAGGTGACATCCCGGTATTTCAGAACAACTTCAAAGTGTTTTCAGATTCGCTTCTTTTCTTTTCAGAGCATTGGTCTTCCCTTCATCGCTATGTGGACGAATCTTTCTTGGTGTCATTGAAAGACTGTGCTAAATACATTATTCGCTTCACGGAACTAATTGAGCTTCAACACAACAAAAAGATTGATTTGCAAGTTCTCCAGGACTATTTGGTCAAAGCACGAGCGGACTTGGCCAGTTTAGGGGGAGCTGCTAGTGGAGGTCATGGGCCAGCTCCTACACCTGTAATGGTAAGTCAACAGAGAGGGTTAGTGAACAACACTACTCAACTAATCAAAGATACAATTTCGACTTCAGCCACTCCTCATATTGGCTCAACCCATTCTGACAGCAAGAGATTCAAACTTCAGCAAAGGGTCAGTCAGCTTGAGAGCGAGATCAAATCTCAAACGCAGCTTGTGAACCATCTAACTAACCGTATTATCAATGAAGAATATCCTAATTGGGATAGGTTTAATAAGAAGTTGTTGAAGAAATCGATGGTCGAGTTATGTGATCAAGAAATTGACTTTTACAAGAAGCTAGCAGACAACTGGGGCGATGTTGAAAGCAAGCTCATTATGAGATTAGAGGAACTTTCATGAACCGGCACATTAGTTAGAAGTATAGGAAAGGATATCTAAGGCAAGAATAAGAACCCGATCCGTCAGCGGAGGCAAGTGCGTGATATACATCACGTGTGAAAATCGCTTGGCTACGCTGGTTTGGCAATGCAGACCAGTAGGCCACATCTACCTCCTCCCACATCATCTAAATTATGTTACCAAGGGTCTCGGGTCTACTCGTAGGCTCTATTCTTACATTTGCAATTGCATTGGCCAATCGTGTTCCATTTGATGAATTCACGAATGCTCAGGTATGCGAGGGAATGTATTCGAAGAAAGACTGGGGTGGCAGTACTCAGCCTCAGATTCAATTGAAGCTAGAGCAGTTTGGCAGTCATAAGTATAACAAGAATGATCCAGATGGCAATAAAAATGATGAAATCCGAGTTAGCTACGTTGTTTTCGAGTATAAGGATATTGTACACCTTGGCAAGACTAATAAAGATGGCAGAAGAAAGTACATCTGTGACTCCTCGGCGATAGCGGAAGGATTGTGTGACGAAGATTCTCAAGGAAAGTTCATATTGAATAGTGATGTGACTAACACTACTGTCCAAACTGCACAATTAACCCACTTAGGCCCAGGCCACATCAAGTACTCAGTTGACAGAACAGGCTACTACTGTGTAGCAACATACAGTGACACAAACTCCAAGTATAAGGGCGTGACTAATTTTCAAAACGCTTTTGGTCACTTGAGTGCTTCAGAAATACCAAAATTGCCTGCTTATGGAATCCTTACCCTTGGCTACGCAGTGGTGCTAGCATTGTATGGGTTCCAGTTTTTCAAGAAGAGAAATCAGAACCAAATTCTTCCATTGCAAAAGTACCTCTTGGCCATGCTTGGATTCTTGACTTTTGACACACTAGTTGTTTGGTCTTATTACGATTTGAAGAATAGAACAGCTAACCAACAGAATGGTTTTGTCATATTCTATACTATCTTCTTATCGTTCTTAAATGCCGGCAAAATGACTTTCTTCTTCTTTTTGCTTCTATTAATCGGACTCGGTTACGGTGTTGTCAAGTTGAAGCTTCCAAAAAAAATTATGTTCAGGTGCAAACTTCTTGCTGGCTTTCATTTTGCTGCTGCTATGTTTTACTTAATCATGACGTATATCAGATCTTCAAAGAATTCTTTGTCCTCAAGCAGTACGGTTTCTTCAGACAACTATGCAGCAAGTATCTGGGATATCATTCCGATTATACCGGTATCCATTACTACGACAGCATTTTACGTGAGTATTTTATCATCTATTAGAGGAACGACCGCAAATCTTCATAAGCAACGCCAGGTTATCAAGTTACAACTTTATGAAAATTTGTTCCGTATCATTTTCCTTTCGGTGTTCCTCTCTATGGGTGGATTGGTCCTTTCCAGTTTCATTTTATTGAGTTTATCTACTACTGATGTTATTGAAGAGCATTGGAAAGGTTCTTACTTCTTGTTTGACTTTTGGCCAAGTATTGTTTTCTTTTTGGTTTTCTTTGGCGTCTCGTGGCTCTGGAGACCAACTGAAACAAGTTATATGTTGGCTGTTTCTCAACAAGTTGCTACTGATGGTGGCGAAGAAGGCGAAAATGGTGGTGCTGCTCAAGGGCATGAATTTGAGTTGGATGACATCTCTTTGATGAGTCACAGTGATGATGAGGGTAATCTTGGTAGAGATAGCTTCGAGTTGCAAAACCTGAATATCCCAAATGAAGCACCTCCAAACTACGAAGAAGATGAGGCCATCCACAAGGGAAATCTGGCGCATGGAGAGGCGGGCAAGTCCAATAATACACTCTTCGAACTTGGTGATGACGATGAAGATGATCATCATCATGGAAGTAGTACTGGCCGTGATGAGTACGAGCCTCTTGATGATGACGAGTCAGACGACCGGTTAAGAAAATAGAAAAAGGAAGTCATAGTATCAGCTATGATGAACCATTTATAGTGGCTATATAAATTTCAGCTTTTATCCAGAAGCCCATAACGTGCCTCCACGAGAATGCACATCCTCAGCCAAGTGTTCAACTCTCGAGTCCCATTCAACTAGGTGATTATAGAGATTCTTGACTTGGTCCAAATTTAAGATTCGGGGCTGTAACCACGTCACGACCAAGATTTGTTGAATCTGATTGATGTATCCCTTTATCAAATTGAGCGAGAAACATTTGATGATAAGGTACTCTACCTCATCTATTGGTGTACCCGTCACTTCACTTATAGACTTGAACAGCAACTTCTTGTTGGTGGTCAGCTCCGTGGAAATCAATTCCAACAAAGACATTATGATAATTTTCTGATTCAAGAAAGTATCGTGATGGGCAAGGAGAGGGCTCTTTGCTAAAGATGGTTTAAGCCATTCATTAAACTTGGCTAGATTACCAGAGTTGAGGTGCTGGATTAGGTTGAACAACCAGAAGTATTCGCCTTCTGGGTTGCTTATAACTTTTAAAATGTCATGAAGAATCAACTCACCAAAATTGTAGATTTTGTTTCCAAGAAGAGCAGCAATGCATAAATCATAGCAAAACTTCACCTGTTGTTCATCTGGTAGAGGCGCATCCAATGAGGAAAGGTATAATAAGCCATTGGTATAGAACAAGTTGTAATTGTCGTGAATCTTGTAATACTGACACTTGGTCAAATAGAAAGCTGCATTGATCTTAGAGCTGAACTCATTCTGCAATGTATTCTCGAATTTGTCGCCAACAGACTCCAAAATATCATCCGCCAGGTTGGGATCGTTCAAGAGCAATGCATACCTAGCAATCTGCAAGTTGATGTAAATGACCGACTCATCGTTATTGATGAGCTCATCTAAGTTGTCTGGCTTTCTTGTGCCATACTTCTTGGTCAATTCCAGGACCAATGAGCCTTTCAACTCGATCAATTTGTCATAGCAAACCTGGTTGTCATCAAACGATTGCAATAAGAAATCCACGATCTTGATCTGATTGAGCTTATTTTGGAACTGAGACAAAAACAGACTAAAGATCTGCTGTCTCAAAGTCCCCACTTGACTCTCAGGGTTTTGATAGAGCTCCTCGAGAGCTAAAGTCAACTGGTTCCACAATTTCCTTTCGTAGTAGTCTTCTAATTGATAGATAACTTGAATGAGATCCGAAGATTCAAGCTCCAGTCTCAACTGGGCAAGCACAGTTGAGACATCATTATCCACATCCATTGCTGACATCTTTCGATTTCTGTTCCGTGGTCCAAGCGTTCTCACTTGATTATGGAGTGGCGGCGATCGGAGAGATCGGGAGTGCGAGACTCAAAAGAGGTGCCATGAAAGAATTGGAGCGCTACTGTATACTCTCTACCAAAAGTCGTTGCATGCATTTACTCATATACCTCATTAACCGATTTCTTGAAGTCACTCCAAGTTGTTAAATTCTCTTCAAATAATTGTTTTCCAGCACGCACAAATTCCAACATTATTGTAAGCCATTTTCTTTCCATTTTGTCGAGGAAATCCTGAAAGTTTACCTGTAGGTTCTGCGTCAAAGCTATCATATCTCCATTCACCAAGTCAATGAGCTGATCAAGCTTATCGAGTTCCTTATCGATGTGTTGCATTTTGTGTTGATAATGCGTTTTAAGGTCACCGGGACTTTTGGTGTCTTGGGAGTTGGACTCCTCGTGGTCTGCTGTCGCTTCCGGCTCCCTGTGGAGATCATGGTCCGGAAGGGTGAAAGTAGTCTTTGTTCCACCAAATAAACCATACCAAGACTTTTTTGATTGTAGCTGCCTCCCACGCTGTTGTCTGCTTTCAATGCGTTTGATAGCTTTTTTGATGGAGGGGCTATTTATATCAAGGTCCTTCAAATGCTTCACTGAGTTGACGTTATCGTGGAACGCGGTCATCTCTTGCACCTTGTTGAACTTTAGTTTGTATATGAGTTTGAATTGAATGAGCTTATACTTGTAGTATTTTACAAGTTGTAACGCTGAAAAGTAGTATTGAACAAAACGGTTAACAGGGTCATCCCACTCAGGTATCATCTTGTCAAGTAGAAAATGTTCAAAATTGAGAAAAGTCGAGTCGATGGCTGACCCAAATTTTTCGATCACTGAAGAGAGAGATTTGCTCCGTTCAGTCGAGGCATCGTGTATCTGAAGCGAAAAATTGTTCAAGTTGCCTCCCAACTCTATAAGAGAGCTAATCAAAGTCCGGAAGTTTTTGACAGAGCGAGCATTAAGCTTCTGAACGTCGTGTAGGACTTTGATATTTTGATGGAAGTTAATCTCGTAGTTTATCAAGTTGACTGGAATGTCTGAAAAGCTCGTGTCATTTTCAGAAATCTCATGAAGATTATTCTCTTTGAGATCGTAAAGCTTAATATCCGCATGTAGTTTATGGACATCATCATTGAGCTTTTTGAGACCTGAAAGGTTGTCGGGGCTGTCAGTATCAAAACCTGTGACTGAAGGAAGAAGCAAATATAGACCATTCTGGTCTGTTGTATCATTCGGATTAGCGAGTAGAAGGTTAGAAGGGATTAAGCTAACGGGTGGCTCGTTTATGGCTGTTTCCCAGCATGACTCGTAGTTTGGATCCAAGAACTTATGTAGCAAGGGACAGTTCCTCAACTTCAAGCTCGAGTCGAAGATTACATCTTGTAAAAAATTTCGGAAATAACGCTTTCGAAGTTCGATAACGTTCATTTCTCTGGCGCTATCAATGGAATTGATCAAGTATGTGAGAAGCGTGTGTTTCTCAGGGATTGGTGGCACGACTAGCGTAGGAAACAACTTAACCAAATTATCTCGAAGTGACTTAAACTCACTGTATCTTCTTTTCACAATGATCGCGTCTTCATCCTTGGCACCCTTTACCTTAAGCTGTATGAGGTACACAACTATTGAATTCACCACACGCTCGCTCAGAATCACGTCTATCATGAGCTTCGGATTATTGAGTAACTTCTTAATCTTTTGAGAGAGCCCAATGGAGCTATTAATTAAATTATTACCCACGACGTTATCGACGCCGCTGCTATTGAATTCCATTGGTTTACCCTTGGCTTGTGGTTCTGGGGATGCCAGTGCGTGCTTTTGTTGTTGCTCATGACTACCATTTTGGGTGTTGTCTTCTTCCAATGTTTTGCTCTGGTATAATGACGGATTGTTATCTTGTTCTATATCACCAAAAATTCCTTGGTCGGCCATTTTCCCTATTTGACCTTGGAGTTCAGTGTTGGGTTACTAGTTGAGACAGGGAGCTCAGAGGTAAGGTGTCACAGTGTCTGCAGGCCACTTTGCAAGACCCGATAAGTCCAAAGCAAGTGTATGGCAAGCATACAACGAGAAAAGTTTCTCCAAAACTTACAATTCATTACAAAGAGTAATTTTCTGGCTTTGCTAGATAATCATTACGTATCTTCTATTTCGGTACCACAATCTCTTTTCCGCAACCTAGTCTAGTACTGAAGATTTCTGCAGGGCAGGAAAGAAACTCAGGGGAGAGCTGCCCTGGAGAAAAGAATTTGGAGTCGGAAAGAACCTTAATCAAAGTTGATCTTTGCTGTACTTTTCTTTCGGGTCTACTTATATGTATCCCATCTGTAGTTTTGGCGATAACCCCTTTCTCAAGAAAGGCGCTCTGTCGGTCATTTGGCAATCTATACATCTCGCTTTAATGGATATCCACCAACTTCCCTTGGAAACGCATTTGGTATCACTTCAAGTCCTTGCCTTCAGGAATGTGGTATTCTGCGAAAACAGTCGCCATACCGCAGTCGCCAAGAAGCACAAAATTAAGAAGGATCGATTTCTTGACGACTCAGCCCACAGTTACAGTTCTCCTTTTGTGGATTTATTGTAAATCCTCTTCTTGCCTTCCGTTTGTTTTGTGGTTGTTGTTGCTTCGCCTGGGTCAGACTTTAAACCGTCAGCGACTCATTGCCTGTAAGAATAAGGCTTTCACTCCCCTGCGCACAATGAGATACGTGGGGAGAGCCGAATCTTTTGACGTAAAGCGTAACAATCCATTATACTCTTGTGTCAAAATATTTTATACACATAATTTAGCGTAGTCACTTTATTTTCTAACAATCGGCTGTGAGCGCACAAAAATGGCCCCCATTAACCAGTACCTAGACGCTTCCAAGAAAACTCGCGTCTATTATCAAGCCTTAGTCGCGCAAGGGTGCAACTTTTTCTCAACCACCTCAATTCTTCAGATCAACACGTCTCTCGACAAACAACAGGGGAAAGTTATCTGCAACAATGATTTCCTTGCCTGCGAAATGGACAAGGATCCTAGTCGCAGCTTTAGCAGGCGTCATTCTATTGAATTTCCTATCTACTGCTTTCAGCGACCGGTCCTCCCCTAAGTTTGATGCTTCTCTTGGGAAAACAAACCTGGGTTTTTTCCATGCTGATGGAAGCAAGGATCTTCTTAAGGTGGGATCAAATGGAGCCGATGATAAAGCTGGCGATGACAAGGGCAGCGATGACAAGGGCAGCGATGACAAGAGTGGTGATGATAAGGGCAGCGACGAGTCGGAAAGTAAGCCTGTGGAGGAGGAATTGACTGAGATTGATACAGACACGGGGCCTATTAACAAAGCCAAGCCTCCTGTTCTTGAGAAGCAGCTTCGAAAGTACTTCGATGATCGTGATAAAGGCTTGTTGATTATTCTGCTGGAAGTTGGCGACCCCAATGTTCCAGAATATGAGACATACGACATTAAGCAGCTCATCAAGGAAAATAAGAACAAAAAGAAGTTTGAAGTTACCCAGATTAAAGCTTACGATTACTCTGCCATGGAAAAACAAGTCCAGCTTTCTCAGAGTAACGGCGGGATCACAGACGCTTTGCAGCTCATAGACTTCCGTAAGTTTTTCATTGATTTTATCCAAGAGATTTGGACTTCAATCGAAGCTGCTAGACCAAGTGTGGGCGGAATAAATAATGATGCTCACTATTCCCAGGCCAAAGCCAGCAACAAGTTTGTGAGCAACAATGGTAAGATACCCGTCTACGGTGGTCATTGGAGGGAATCCTACTTGGCTGAGCCAGTGCGTACGAAGGAGTACTTACTGCATTTCTTGAGAATCACTACTCAAGAAAAGAATGCTCTTCACAGATCACATAGCAGCTTCATGGAATCGAAACCGAACGCGTTCCCCAGTCAGCTATTAAAAGCTGGTAAGAAGTTCGGCTTTATGGAGGGAGATGGTATCGTATACCTTGGAGGTGGAAAATATAACCAATTGGTACTACTATCCATATCCTTGTTGAGACAATCCGGGAGCAAGCTTCCTATTGAAGTGATTCTTCCCAGCAAGAATGATTACGATCTTGATCTCTGCAACAATATTCTTCCATCTTTCAACGGAAGATGTAAGGTTATGTCGGATTACCTTCCTGATAAGCTAGTTGGTGGGTTGAAAAATTTTCAACTTAAAAGTGTTGCACTCTTGATCTCATCATTCAAGAATGTCTTATATTTGGATTCTGACAACCTTCCCGTGAAGAACCCCGATTACCTCTTCGTGAACAAACCATTCACAGAGAAGCATATGATCATTTGGCCTGACTTGTGGCGTCGCTCAACTTCTCCCAACTTTTATGATATAGCAGATATTGAAGTCGATCCTGAATGGCAAATGAGGAACAGCTACTTCCCCGGCGACGAAAGAGGAACTACAAAAGACAAAATCTCGTTGCATGATACAAAAGGTACAATGCCAGAAGCGTCTAGTGAAACTGGCCAGTTCATGATCAACAAGGAAGCCCACTTTGGTACCCTCATATTGTCCTTGTACTATAATTATTATGGTCCAGATTTCTATTATCCGCTTTTGAGTCAAGGAGCTGCCGGAGAGGGTGATAAGGATACGTTTATTGCTGCTGCTCACAAGCTTGATCTTCCTTACTACCAGGTCGTCGAATTTAATCGAGAGTTCGGTCCAGAGAAGCCCAACAAAAAACACGAATACTTCGGAATGGGCCAATACGACCCTATAGTGGACTACCATAATGGAATTCTTGGACTCACAAATGCTGCCAATACTGAAAACTTTGCAAATGACAATGAAGACCCTTCGAAACTGAACTATGATTTCCATTACTACAAAGCTTCCTCATTGATGTTTGTCCATGCTAACTGGCCCAAATATTATATCGATGAGATGTTCGGAGACCTGAACTCGAACGGAAGGGGCCCTAAAGACGGTAATGGTAACAGGAGGAGGTTGTATACTGATTACTTAAAAAAGGAGACTCGCGAATTTGACTTTGAGTTGGAGGTCATGAAGCACGCGGAGACGTGGTTTTGCAAGGGCACCGTCAATCTTCATAACTTATCGCCTCCTGGTAGCCCTGAAAGAGAAAAGGCGTGCGGAAGCATTAGGGACCAAATCGACTACTTGAGAGGTTAGGGGACGAAAAGTGCAATTTAGTATAACCATTTGAGGTTCATGATTGCTTCTGGAACCTCACCTTTTTGTGCATATATGAGGCAATAATGTTGAAGCAAGAGACGTATCTCCTCTACCTCGTCTATCATCTCGATTTTGGTGGCTCTCGCTACCTCCTCCCTCAGCAACCAGGAAAGATCGTTTGTCGAATATCCACCGACTTCAGCTAAATCAGTGGATTTCACTCTGCTAAACCCTAGCGTCTCTTTAAAGAACATTTCCCTTGCTTTTAAGTCAGGGTACTTCTTGAAAGTGTGAAGGTCAATACCACGGCTGGTAAGGTTTTGCTCCATGGTCTGACCAAAGGCATCTCCTAACCCCATTGGCTCATACATCAAAACAGCCAAGTCCTTTAACTCATTCTTAAAAATTCAAGGACTTTTTCGTTATCTTCGGGAGTTAAATAACATAACACGCATTCGCTAATCACCAAAGTAGGTACGTCATCTTTTAGGTAACTCGAAAGTCTCTCTTTACCTCGTAGGTCGATATCCCGGAGATCTAGAGCAATCAAGTCGTACCTAGATGTATGAATTTCAGGATCCATACTCTCAAACGATGCTTTGTCCTTAAGTGGAGTCTGTTCTGGCGCCTGTCCGACGATCTGCAGAAGGGTTGCACTCAGCAAAATAGCCGACTTCTTGATCTTAACCAGCTCCACGAAATCAATTTCCATATATCTCACGCCAGTGGGGTGGTCTTGCAAAACACGAAACCCTCGGGTATCAGATCCACCTCCAATGGATATGATTTGACATTCTTCATGAGAACTGATGAAGCGTTCAACGATTGTATTTATCAGCTTCGTACGGAAGAACGTACCTCTGTTAATCAATGGATACTTGGGATCCTTAAACAAAGTTCTGAGAGCACGACCAGCAGACATCGGTGTGTACCCTTGACAGTATTGGAGGTTATGCTCATAAGACTGTAGTAGGTCCTTAATGTAAACGTCGGATGGAACAAAGTACCCCTTGGCATTGGCACAGAAGCGGCAGCTAAGAGCATCAAGATCAGTAGCCCTGATACTTTTGTCTTTCTTTTCTCGGGGCGAAAGCATGTTGGAATAATTTATCGGTCTGTATGAACTTCAGAACCGTTTTTGTCGGTTGTTTGTCGCGATAATCACCGCGAGCTTCCTGGTAACCAGGAATCTCTATACAGACAGCGTCTGCATAACTTCGACTTCTACGTTACTGACCTCTACATGCTCTGGAGGATCGAATATAAAAGAAATGCGATCGATTCTTGCATTTTACTTTTACCTCTTCCTATGAACATTTTTCACCACATTTAGGCTGAAAATTTTCACTGTTGAGGAGCTTTTTTTTAACTGATCAGTCATGCCAAAAGTCACTAGTGAAAATTCTGGATTGATCTCCAGCGATGATGAAGAAATGGCCAGCGAAATCAACCGTCCTCTCCAGCAATACGATTTTACCACTTTCAATTTACCTCGGGCATATAGATATATTCGGGAAATTAGCTATGTGGAGCCTTTTTCTTATCGCCTCCGCGATATTCACGATTATGACGAATGGAGAATGCACTTAAGAGACTACTTTTCAAGGATGAAACTCGGCCTGGGTGATGCTGTGAAACATATAGAAAGTGGTCTCGTGCTGCAAAATACGATGCATCCGTCAGTTGAACATTATTACGAAGAAGCACGAGGTGACATGCCTCAACTTAAGAAGGTCTTGAGAAGGATTGAAAGGCACATGTGCAACGTTGTTAGAAAAACTGTTGATAATAACTTTTTAGACTTATGCGGCTTATTAAATTGTGATGTTTCCTATGTGACTATAATTTCCAGCATTGATGATTTTGCAAAGCGCTATTGGGTCGAAAGAAAGGTTCGTGAACTCCGGTCCTTTAACGACAGAGTGCATCTCAACCTCAATCGCCCCAGAGAAACTTGGCTGCATTATAGAGTGTATGCTCACGATTGGATAGTTCTATGCCTATGCCTATCCATAGATATAAAGAAATACTCTGATGGTCAATTAGGTTTTGTCTTTGAAAATATTGAAAAGGCTGGTCTACGTGAGAGTTTTAAGAAAGCTGGTAAACACCGGCGTGATTTAGGTGGGGGAACTTTCACTGATGCACAAGTTTCTGTGTTGATCAGAATAACACAGTTAACGAAAGAAGTCTGTGAGGAATTTGATCCACCAAGGCAACATCCTAGGGGTAAGAAAAAGGGACATCATTGAAATGAATTATTCAGCCAAAAGCTCAATCACGTTCAAAAAGCTTGTTTAAGATCTAAATACTGAATTATATACATCGCCCACACAATCAAAGTTAGACTTCTCCAGGCCCAGCAAGGTGTACTTCCGCTGCCCCATTTCATCAACTTCGCTCCCTGTGGTGATATATTGATAAACGGATTTTTACTTCAAGAACAGCATTTCTACGACTACATAGCCGATTAAAAGAAAAAAAAAGGCGTATTAAAAACCTCTAAAAAAACTAATAACTTCACGGGGCCTCGTGGCCAGCACGGGCTTCGTCATCTTCATCTTCATCTGCATCTTCATCTTCATCTTCATCTTCAATTTCATGCATTGGCACCAGGAACTGCCTTGCCCTCACGAACAAGATCCTGTAAGTGGCCTTCAATGGTGACTCTAGTTCTCTCAAAAGGAGTCATCTTGTCAAGTTCATCCTGGCTAAAAACCTTCCTCTTGGGAGCCTCAATCCGTGGAGGTGGAGCCGTCTTCTTCATTGGGTGGGCAGAGAAGAACGCACCAAACGCCTTTCTCTTCTCTTCAAAAGAACCGTGGATACACTTGACACTAGGAAGTTCCTTCTTCGTTAAAGGAACATTCATTGGAGGAGGTGGTGGTCCAGCAGCATCCAATAAGAACCCTGGAGGCGGTGGAGGTGGAGGAGGAGCTGCTGAATTGGTAAGAAAAGCCGGTGGTGGCGGTGGAGGTGGTGGAGGGGCACCACTGGCCATCAAGAATGCTGGAGGTGGAGGTGGAGGCGGTGGAGGCGGACTATTACCAGCACCATTACTAGTACCATTAGTCAAGAAACCAGGTGGAGGGGGTGGTGGTGGTGGAGGAGCCGTGCCCAGACCACCAGCTGGTTTTGGGAAGTTAGGATGGGAAGGAGGAATGAAAACCTCAGTCAGGTCCATGTCGATATGGAACTTGGACACTTTAGGAGTCTTAGGTTCCGCCACACCATTGTTCTCGTCAAGGCGGTCTTTGAAAAGACCCTCGAGCTTGTTCAAAATAGCAGCGTTCTTACCATTATGTTTCTTCTTGGGCACCTCGTCTTTGGCAAGTAGAGACGCTTTCTTTGGCTTAGGAAGATTCATGGGCGTAACAGGACCATCAAACGATAATCTGCCGTCGGCAAGAAGGAAAGCTTCAAGTTTTGAAGCCATCTTCAGCATCTTCGAAGAAAAGTTCGTCTTCTTGGAGTAGTCAGGGATCTGGTGGTCGATATCTGACAAGTCGATGCTTTTCTTCTTTTTGGCAGAAAGCTTAGCTTCCAATTCGAGGTACGCTTCAGAAGGAGTCGTTGGATCTTCAGGTTCGTCTGGAGTTTCAGAGGCAGCTGGAAGAAGACTGGCAGGAAGGGCTGGAGGAGGAGGAGGACCAACAGGAAGCAAAGATGGAGGTGGAGGTGGTGGAGGTGGAGGAATCGATGAAGCTGGAGGAGGAGGGGGACAAATAGTCTCCAGAGACACCAGTGGCTTCACATCCATAAGATCTTTGGGCAATGGAGGAGCTTCCGGAATGCTCTCCTTGCGTTTCTTTGGTTCATCTTTGCTTTTGGTAGCACCCTTTGATGGGGTATCGTTGGCCATTTTATTCTTCAAGGCGGCAAGTCTCTTCTTCAACTGAGCCTTCTTCTCTTCTTTAGAAAGGCCCTCAGTCTGGGAAGTAGAAACATCAGACAGAGGCTGGACGATTGGAACAGGAGAAGAAGGTTCAGTGGCTGTAGGTTTTGGAACAACAGGAGGTTCAGAAGTAGCAGGAAGATTAACAGGAGAAGGAAGAACTGTTTCGAAAAGGTTGGCAGGTAAAGGAGGAGCTTCAGGAACCTCAGGAGCAGCAGGCTCAGCTGGAGTATGAGCTTCCTTCTTTGCAGGCTTTTGAGGAGCCTCAGCTGCCATTCTTTCTTTCAAGGCAGCAAGCCTTTTCTTTAAAGCAGCCTTCTTCTCTTCCTTCGAAGCATCAGAAGCAACTGGAGTTTCAGGAGTAGGAGTGGAAACAACAGCAGCTTCAACAGGAGTGACAGCTTCAACGGGAACATCAGAACCAACATCAACAGAAGCCTCAACGGGAGCATCAGAAACAACGTCAACAGCCTGAGCAGGAACCTCTGGGACTGTGTCAGACTCACCTGAATCCAAATCAAAAAGGCCTTCAGGGAAGGCCGGAGCGGGAGGTATAACAGGGGTCTTAGCAGCATCAGACAACAAAGAAGAGGTTTCTGCTTGGGCTGGTTTCTTTGGAGCTTCTGCTTCCATTTTGGCCTTCAAAGCGGCAAGTCTTTGCTTCAACTGAGCCTTCTTCTCATCCTTAGAAAGAACAGGCTTCTGTTCCGGGCCCTCTGAGACAGGGACAGGAAGATCCTTTTCAGCAGAAACCACAGGAGAAGGGGAAGAAGCTTTCGGAGATTCAGGCTCGGGAGAAGACTCAAGAGAAGAAGGTTCAGTGGAAGCAATCCTTTGAACTTCTGGCTTGGGAGAAGGCGAAGCAGAAGGCTCCAGACTCAGACTGTTATCCAGAACAGAACTTGACAAGACAGTAGGCTCAGGAGAAGGTAAAACAGGTTTGTTGGAAGACGATTCAGAGTTGCAAGGCTCCGAATCAGAGTCGAAGAGGTCTTCAGGCAAAGGAGGAGCTAGAGGAATCTCCTCTTCTGGTTCCACATCCTTCTTAGGCAACGGCTTTGCAGTGTCAGAGTCCATCTTCTGCTTCAAGGCAGCAAGTCTCTTGGCCAACTGCCGTTTCTTTTCAGCCTTAGCACAAGCGGCAGCTTCGGCATCTCTTCTCTGAGCAGTGGTTTGCTCAGATTCAGAAGAAGGCTCAGACTTATCAACGGCATCAGCAGAAGACTTAGAATCAACGGACTCAACAGACGGCTTGGACTCAGAAGAAACAGTGGTGGTATCAACAACAGGAGACTCCGAAAGGGAAGGAGTCTTGGGTTCCACCGACAGTTTCAGCACAGTAGAGGCTGCTTCTGTCTTTTTAGGTACTGCCTCTGTCTTAGAAGTGACCGTTTCTGTCTTGTCATGCTTGCTTACCTTCACAGGCTCCTTCACAGACGACAAATCTTTCTCCTCAGGCTTCTGGAACCCAGCGTCCTCGAAGAAGCCATTAAGGGTGCTGATCTTGCTCTTGATCAGGACTTGCTTCGAGTTTGTGTAGATGTGTGCCTTACGGACAGAGTTGTCGTTAGCCTTCTCGTTGAGCTTCTCCTTCAATGCATCGACAGCAGAAATCTGCTTGGTAGGTATCACTGTAGGAGAACATACAGAGGAAGTCACCGGAGGAGCTTCTGAAAGAATCTTAGGCTCGCTAAAAGGAAGTGAATTCTTCTTGATAGACGATTCGGGCAGCGATGACGGCAAATCCTCGGGAGGAGAGAGTGAAGTCTTTGGCGTAGGAAGAAGTGCCAAAAGGGAAGGATCACTTTTACCCTCTGATGGAATCTGAGGAATCTTGCCAGATGCCAGTGAATATTCAACATCAAGAGAAACTGGAGTTTCAACAGCAACAACCTTGGAAGCGCCAACCTTCAAAATCTGCGTGGCACCAGTTTGGGTAGCCTTCTCGAAAACAGACTCAATTAAAGGTTTCGTCTCCGTAGGAGTCTTGAAATCCACTGGGGCTTCAAATTGTACCGTCTCCTGTGTAAGTTGAAGTTTTGATTCTTCCAACGACAAGGCTGGCTTCGTTGCATCTGAAACTTCACACGACAATGCACGGGGCATCAGTAAAGTAGAAGCAGGAGAAGCGGCATCTGCGTCTACAACAGTCTCACTCGAGGTCTCGAAGAGTGCCTTTGCGGCCTCTTTAACTACCTCTGTGGGTAGCTCACGAAGAGACGCAACTGACGAAGCACGCAGAGACCTACACCTTGAGACAGGTAGAGTCTTCAAGCCGGCAACAACCTCCTGTATCTCTTTGGCCACATTGTCCAAATCGTCGAGCGTTTTAAGCAGAGAACGCACGACATCTGCCACGAAAGGTGATTCCACAGCTGTGGCAGCAAAAAGAGGTGGTGAAGGACAACGAGATGGCGTATGAGACACGACTGGAGTCGCTGTGGAAGGTGTCTCAGTACCTGGAGGGATCGCGGCCCATGGATTTGCAACCATATCATGCATGTCGCCAGAAAAGAAGTCCAATGCCAGACAGGCTGGAGGCAACTCCAAAGACAGCGACAGCAACGACAGTAATGCAGAAGCATTGTTCCCGAGAAGAGCTGGAGTCTTAGGAGAAGGCGACGACGACGACAGCAGCTCTGGTGAAGTGGATGCCAAAGGAATGGGTGCAACTTCGGGCCTCACTGCTTGGGCCGATTCAAAAAGTGCGGATGATTTGGGTCCCAGAGCAGAAACTGGCGCAGGCGCGCCGGTCTCTGAAGAAGGAAACAGGGACCCAAGGGCGCCGGTTGGCGCGAGCTGGAGCGATTGGGGCGACTTTTTGGTCTCGGACTGGGGCAGCTTTGGTGCGGAAAATGAAGAACATGGGGCGCGAGAAGGCAGAACAGGCTGCAGTTTCGAAGGCGCTGGCGAGGAAACTGACTTTTTTGGCGCGGGAGAAAAGTAAATTTTCTCTGAGAGAGGGCCAACTTTGCCTGTCGCGGAAGAAACTGGAGACTTGGTTGGCGCGGATGCCCCAGTTTTTCTCGAGCTCTCCAATTTCTTGGAGCAACCAGCACCCTTAGGAAAAATGTCGCTGGCTTTCAAGTCAGCCTTCATCGCAGGTAATGGAACGAGAATCTCCTGGACGGACCAGGAAGAAAGAGGTGGCAGAAATGCCTTAGTCAAAGGAACCTTTGGGGCCTTGAATGTCAGGGTAGCCTTCATGGCGGCCCTCGAAAGCTTCACTGGAGATTCCTTGCGACCAAAGAGCCAGCTCTTATGGTCATGTGAGCAAATGTCGTGAAGCTGAACATGGGGTCTATGGGACGATTCCACATGCTTTTTCACGGGAGTCTTCTCCAACTTAGTCTTATCATGATGCCTTTTTTCTGAGGCGCACTTAGGGTCCTTGACGTGCTGCGTGGCGGTATTGTGAGGGGGCCGAAAAGCTTTCGCAGCCAAAATGTCGCGCAAACGAGACATTTTGCTAGCCTTGGGCTTAACCTGGGTGTTAACTATGGGTTCCGAAGGATCCCTTGTCTTGACACCGCTGACAACAACCACCTTTTTAGGGGCCTTAGAAAGAAGCTTCTTATTGGCAACCTTCTCGGCCGGTTCATGTACTTTCTTCGTAGCTTCTTTCAAGCCCCTTTCGGGGTCCAAGCAATGCTTGGGGCAAAAGATATGAGTCTTGTTCCTCAATGGAGCAACAGAAATTGCTTCTTTCCTACTGTCGATGGCCCCAAAAGCATGCCTGGCGGCAGCCTTTGCATCGGGATGGGCATCGACAGTCAATATTGGCTTGGTTTTAGGGCGGGAGGCCCTCTTCTTCTTTGTGTTCTCCTTGGGAGATAAACATTCGAACGGGTTTACCGAACGACTATGGGAAGGTAAATCTTTAGAAGAGGGTTTATTGTGTCCGCCAAGATGGGCGACACTCGCCACCTTCTTGGGAGTGACCCAAGAGGTCGTAATGGTGTTATCCAAAGCCAAAGTAGTACTGCGGTGTTTCGTTCGAGCGAAAGAGAAAATGTCACGAAACTGGACCCTCTTAGTCGTTGGAAGGTCAAAAGCAACCTTTTTGGGTTGCGCCGCCTCTTTTGAGGCGTCAGGCATCTTCAAAATCGGAGGATTCTTAAATGTCATTTTTGGAGTGTGGTAGGTAAGAAGTGGGAAATATGATAAGGCCCTCGCTCTATGAGCACAAGGTTGTAGGATTCCCTGCAGGTCCGTGCATAACGCTTACATAATCTTCACATAGAAACAGTATACGGAAGGAATTGACAAAACTACAATTTCAGGTAGTTGTGATGATTGTGGTCGTTACATAGTACTTTTGCATGAAGGTTCTGTCATGAACGTTTCCTGAGTTAGGCTTGGCGAGTTTGTGCATACATCAATGCAGGGGAGGGTAAACAAAGTTTAAACTATGCAGATGGTATCGGCAGAATTCCTCGTTCGGGAGCTTCGTGGAATGCAATAAGACAGAGTTCACGAGGAAATATATCTACACCAAAGAGTATATGTAAAGGCTCCTGAGCTTTGGCTCCTACTTACTGATGGATGAGGCGCTTGCGTGGTAAGTGATCTCGCAGTGGTGAATACGTACGTACCTGACATATGTTCTGTTACTATAAAATGACTGAAGACTTCTCAAAAGTCTCAATCCTTCGTAGGTATGCCTCTCAATGTATTCTCTCTTTCCTTTTTCTGCGGCGGAATTTCAACATCATTGATTGCTAACGGTACAATGCTATCTAAGTTACAACGGTTTATGCACAGCTTCAGCGTACGTATCTAAAACTATAGATTTAAAATATCTGCAAGATATTTTAGTGTTTCTTTAGCTTATTTCCAAATGAAGAAAGTCCAGGGAAACATTTTAGGTAGAATTTTTAGGTAGTGAACCAGTCAATGGATACGAGGGAAGGCCCAAGAATCAGAGTTCTCACTTCCATGAGAAGGTGTAAAGTAATATATGACAAGTGGTTTTTTATCTCTCTACATCCAAAATGACCAAGTTGGTCGGGCCCTTTATAGATGTACTTAACCTGCTTAACTAGAAAGATTGTACATCGCTCTGTGACAGGCCCTTTACGGACCGTCCACTGTTTGAAAGCTACATTTTTTCAAAAAACAAAGAAAAAGATCCATATGCCATTTCCTAAAGATTTTAAGATATTTTTGGAGGATTTTTATCATATTTGTGGGGACCTCCATTTCAATATTCCGCAAATCTTGTCTTGGACTTCTTGGGTGTGCTCGTTCGCATCCACAAGCGAAAGCGCCAATAAGCCCACACACGATTTCTAAAGGCTAGGGAGGCTTACGGGCATGGTTTGAGGTGGTATAATGTATTCCTTGTCATCTCTATCAAATTACATGGGAGTTCGATTTTTGGAAAGCATTTGAAATTCGTATATTTTGCACACATTCCATAAAAATGATACTATACTACAAACCTACCTGGTGTGATAGGCAAGGACATACGAATGCATTCACATAAAAAACTTAAATCCGTTACGAAAGGCCCTGAACAGCTTTTTTTAGAACGCTAAGGTGTTCTAAATCGTAGCGAAACTACCCCAGAGACTCCAGCTTGATTCTTCCCTACTCTCTTTACCCAACTTGGGAATTACAGTTGAACATGGGACGGTAGATCCCATACCCAGGTATAACCAAGTACACTCGAGCAATTAGGACTGCCAATTGTTGTGAGTCTCTTGATATAACAAATATTGTCTCTTGAACGTCCAGAAGGTTTAGGACGCCGTTTAAGTTTGGATAACCAGCGCCATATTGAAGGAGCTCAAAGGGTCATATCGATACTTCGCTCAAAAAGACTTACGGCTCAAAAAAGACTTACAACTACAGGAGAGAATACCGCTTTCCTCTTAGATCCTTCTTAAAGAACTTCCAGAACCTGACCCCCTTTTCATCCTTCCTGGTCTCCTACAGTACTACCCTGCGCGGAAGTACACCTCCGATACATTTTCCCAGCAAAAAGGAAACTATACCAACTCAACAACCCTGCTTCCTCCATACACTAGATAATTAATAAAAATGCAGGTTTCCAAAAATTATTCGACTTTCCTAACTGCCAACTTGTTGGAGATTCGTGGCGCAGCTCCCCAACCAACCTCTTTCGTCCACTCGTCGACTTTCCTTGACGTAACCAAAGCAGTCGACCACGTCAGCCAAAAGCTCAATGCCCTCCATTTCCAACCAAATAGGAAGGCAGGAAGATTTTGAAACTTCATGACAGCCAGTTGCGTCCAAGCGGTGGCTTGAGTGAGGCTTCTGCAAGGGGAAAGTATAATGCTCAGGGCACCCTAACCAGTTCTACCAACGTTCCACCGTTTACTCCCTAGAAGCCGTGTAGATACCGTTTTGGACCCTTAAAAGAATCAAAAGGACGTTGAAGCACAGAAAAAGCGTTTGATTTGAATCCCATAACCCTATAATCAGCCAATTGGTACCCATCACTGTCATACTGCCTTCACTACGAGAAACCAGCTCACAAGGTGTATCTACCTGGTTACCCAAAAGGAGGGAAACTCTTAGGCGTCCTTCATACTTCTCTATTGTTCTCGTATGCACAGTTTATACTTTCCATCTTCTTAGAGCCCGAAGGTCCCTGCGGTTATTATACTTTCCCCAGGCCGGTCTGCGACATTAAGCCGCACAACGGTAAAAGCCATTTTGCAGCCATTAAAATTCCCCCAAAACCTACATTTATGGGTCTCTAACTGCCCATAGTAAACTCTCCCGTTTCTGGGGTCTTCAAAAAGTCAATTTTGAGCCCAATTGAGCGGGGTGTCGTTTCCCCAGCTCCCTCTACTTCTGACGATATATACGCGCACACTCCACCTACTCTTTTGATTTCCCACCAACCTTTCCTTCTTTACCACTTTCCTCCAGAAAGTTTCAGTTGTCCCAATTTCGAACATAAATATCCGCCCATTTCGCCTGAGTTTCGTTTTTTCTTCCACAACCACTTCTTGTTCTTTATCCTTCAGCAATTTGAAAGAGAGAGAACCTACCTGAGCTTGTACCACCAGTCAATCACCACTTGACTACCCTTCGACCACCACCGTCGACTACTAAGCTCCAATGACTCCTATTAGCTTCACTACCGTACCTAAGAACCTTCTTGGGTACAACATTTTTGACGGAGGCTCTTCGGCCTCCCAGAGTGTTCCCTTGGATTTTGCTGGTTTTGTGTCAACCGAAGCCAATGGCCCTAAAGTTGACATTGAAATCGGCATCGACGAAGCCAGAGTGCCTCGCAGCCCTCCAGTTGACAGGCCTGTCATCTTTTTCAACCATCCAGGTAAGCTTGATTATTTCTTGCACACTTTCCGTCCTATGGCAGTTGGTCCCACTGTTCCAGTCTACGCAGTAGTTGTCAGAGCTACTCAATGGGGCACCCACCAGCTCCACAGTGGCCCTCATGCCATTAACGTGCCAGGGGAGTTTGCTAACTTCCTTTCGCCTTACCCAAAGGCCAATTTTTTTGACCCTTTGCTCCTGGGACCAGTTGTTGACCCGGTCTTGTTCCAGTACATGGCCAGGTATGGACCACCTCCACCACCACCTCAACAGCAGCCTCAGTACGCCCAGTACGCCCAGCCATGCCCTCAGCCTCAGGGTCCTCATATGCCTCAGGGCCCTCAAGGTCCCCATATGCCTCATGGTCCTCATGGTCCTCATGGCCCTCAGATGCCTCATGGCCCTCATGGCCCTCAGGGTCCCCATGGTCCTCAGATGCCTCATATGCCTCAGGGTCCTCATATGCCTCATGGTCCTCATGGTCCTCATATGCCTCAGATGCCTCAGATGCCTCAGATGCCTCAGCAGCATCAACCTCAAGCTCAGCAGGCCGAGATGCCTCAACAGCCTGAGGCTTCCCATGCCTATGGCCCTCCTCCAGGTCTTTCCAAGGCCCCACAGTCTGCCGCTGCCCAGCCCGTGGCCACTCCTGTTGACTACCCTATGGCCAGCTCCACTCCCGAGCCTCAACCTCTTGCTCAGTCTACCGAGCCTCCAAAGCCCCAGGCGCCCGTTTGCCAGGAACCCAAGGCGGAAGCTCCAGCGCCAGCTCCAGCTCCAGCGCCCGTTGTAGCTGAGTCAGACGAGAGTATCCCTACGCCTAACACGCTGAAGGGAGAGCTGGATGGTCCTTCGATGGAGGAGGCTTCTGACGAGCCTCTCCAGAAACCTTCTGCACCTTCTAAGAGAGCCCAGAAACAGGCCGCTAAGAGAAGAGCCAGGAAGGCAAGAAAGCAGTCCAAGAAGGCGTTCAGAGAAAGCAAGAGACTCTCTAGCGTCGCCGACACCCAGGCTAAGAGTGACGTCGCAGAGGCTGCAAAAATGACCAATGAGTGCAATCTTCCCACTTCTCCACTTCCTACTCCCAGTGTCCCTGACACTAAAGAAGTCGAAGAAGCAGTGGAAGCCACTCCCGAACCTGCCGACCAGGTGGGCCAGTTGTCTCATTACCACCACTTCATGAACCTCTTCAAGTTCTTCGAGTACCTTCCCATGTACTTGGAAAATGAGAATGAGAAGATGACGGTGGATGACAAGAAGGAACACACCATCCCAGTGTCTATTCCTCCTATCGTCAGACAACATTTCGCCACCGTGGAACTCACTGGATGTGCCATTAAGTTCTGGAAGCCGTTGCCCAACGCTTCTGTTGTTCAAGAAACCACTCCCTCTGAGGCCCTTCTCAACCTCCAGGTGAGTACCTTTTCTTACCACCACCACTTCCAGCGGTTCCACAAGTTCATCGGGTACCTCGAAAGCTACGTTAAGGAGCACAGTTACCCCTGCGCTGCTCCCGTCGAGGTTCCAAAGTCTCCCGCTTCCACGCTTGTGCCTTCTCCAGTCTCTAAGTTGACTCAGAGACCCAAAGTTCTTAAGGTTTTCGTTTACGGACCTTCCAAAGCCAAGCTCAGAAGACAGAGAACTGCTCATGCCAGAAGAAACAGAGAAATGCCCAACCCTAACTCTTGGTATATTAGGATTGAGCGGCCTTTTGCCACCTCTGCTGCCATGAGCCTTCCACAACCAGCTGCTGACTGGGTTTATTAGATCGAGAGACCCAAGGAATGAAGACTCTCAATGCAACCAGCACCATTCCTTGACCCTAAATAAAAAAGAATAAAAAAAAATATTTATTAAGTCTAGAAGTAGCTAACATCCCTATGATTATCCTTCACTGGATGTATGCTCTTTGTAGTAATCCAGGTTGGCAGTGTCTACTCCCCTTACTATTTAAACACGTTCCACTATGACCCACCAATTATCCTTTTCATACCCATGGTCCACAATTTTCCCACCTGCTCTTTCAGCATTTTCAACAAGCTCACCCTTTCTGTAGAGATGATAGTAGCGGTATTTGGTCTCTGGCTGTTCCGCTTCCTCCACCTCCTCTGATTCTTTTAGCTGCCGTTTCTCTTTTTTGTCTTCTTTGGGGTCTTCTTTTGCAAGACCCACGGTATCAAGATATCCTGGTCATCACCTTCCTTGTACCCTCGTCTCGACTTTTCCTGTTCGAGGGCCCAGCAGTAGACCAAAAGTTGTCCACCAACTCGAAGTTTGGTGAGAATATGCTCTATAGCATCCACTCTTCTTTGTTCATTGGCAAAATGATGAATCACTGCAATCAGAATAGCGAAATCGAACCGTCCGTCCTCATGAGGTAGATGCAAGCCATCGGCAACAGCCAAGTTGAATCCCTTCTCGCTATTTTCCCTAGCACAGTCTATTAAGCCATCCGAACGGTCAGAGCCAATACAAAATAGCTTTTTGTTCACCCCTAGGTATTTGCCATTACCACAACCCACGTCTAATCCAATGCTGTAGTCAGGGCGTTCCAGTAGAAACTTCTCCACGATGGGCCATGGTTTATATCTTGTCAGGGAAAAGTGGGATGCTATCTCGTTGTAGACCTCGTGAACATACTGCTGTTCTTGGTTTTCGGGCACAGCCTGGGTCTCAAGCGGTATGGATGGAACACTCATTGATGTCTCGAAGTTGAAGGTTTGGCGATGCCGCGATGATATATCCAACTTGAAGTATGCGCACCTGGAACAAGTTAAGTTATCTTCAACAAAACAAAGCATTGAGTCGCTTCAGGATGTTCGTGCCTATATTTGTTGCTGTATTAGCAGCGATAGGGGCCTACTTTCATTTAAGTCCAACACTTTCTACAGCCGATCCTTCTGTTGCCCAAATAGAGGCACTCAGGGACTACGTATCTAACGACTTCGCTGTGAGCCAACCGATCCACATTAGGTTTAGAGATATAGGGTTTCGTTTCCCAGACCTCATTGAAGCTACTCAGGTACAGCTTGACTACCACTTGAGATCCCGCGGCATTCCTTACAGATACCCATTGATTGACGAGCTTCCGAAACATATCCCTAGATTTGGGGGTGAGAGCACCGTTACGAAGACGGCGGATGTATTTGTATTGACTGAGGATGGAACGGAAGTGATAACACTGTCTGAACCTACTGCTGATGCAGACTCTGTCGACGTGTCAATCGCTCCAAGTTCGGAATTTTCGTTGGACATGGCTCAAGGTGGAAATATTGGTGTCTGGCTTGATCTGTACAAATACAGGGCCATGATGACATACACCCTCGAAGCTATTCATGCCAATGATCTACCTTTCTACTTGGCCCAAACGATTCTGGACCACTTGTGTGAGATTGACCTCAACGCGTACGCCAACCGCCATACCATCGATTTCGATCTATATGTCCCTCAGCTCACTTTAAATGTCATTGCTGCAGAAGATAGCGTTAAAAAGGATTCTTCGGTCGTTGAGGATGCTTTGAAGGAGCTGATTGACAAACATCTTGACGCCATCCGACCATTCGTCAATGTCACATCCAAAATCCAAACCATTGACGTCACTAAAAATAGGATACCCTTACAAAGTATGAAAAACTCGACCTCCCAGCTTACGTTTATCTACCTGACAACCCTCGAGGGGTTTTTGAACCAAATTGATGGGTCTCATGTGTATCATCTCACTCGCGATGTACCCAAAGAGATTTCTGGCGATACATATGGAACGGAGTACATCGAAGCTCAAAAATTGAACGAAAATCCTCGTATTAACATCACGGATTTCTTATCGTCAGCGTTCAATGTGCTTGAACTGCAGGTCGGTTTGACCGAGAAGTGCTCGAATAAACATCTCGAGGTGTACTTCATCACAAAGGCACATGCAATCAATGGTATTTCGAAGACCCTTGATCTAATCCTGAAAAGCCCAGATGCTGCTAATTTGCTTATTTTCAAGGAAGTGTGTGGTTTGATTGATACGATACTCACGGAACAAGAGCATGACTGGGCCACTCATCTTCAGCATACACTTAAACTATACAATGAAGCAAAAGAAAGATCGCTTCAATAGATTATGGGTTCATAAAAATTTATAAGGTTACGAATACGACTCGAAACTGATGTTCTCTTGGGTTGTGTAGAAATTTCCTGCAGACTACTAATATCAAAACATCACCTACCACTATCTCCTTAGTGACAATCGTTACCACCATGAACAATACCGACGATAACGAAGTCCTTAGCGACGTTAGCTTAGATGAAGACGACGAGGAGTTGATTTGGCGCGTGTTTTATTCATCAAATGAGGACAAAGCAAATGAAGAAGCCGAACTAGATCCCAATGATGAAGAAGTTTCAGACCTCAGCGACATAGAGGACGAGCAATTAGTACAGAAATACAAGCAGCTCAAGGAGCAAGAAACAGCTTCTCTTTCAGAAGATGATAAGAAAAAGCTTCTCATAACATCGTTCACCGAAGATCAAATGGACAAGTTCGAGGCTTACAGAAGAATGGCGGTTAATAAGCCAGGGGTGAAAAAGATCTGCGGAGGAGTGGTGAATCAATCGATACCTCAAAATATGGCAATTGTTTTGGCTGGTTTATCAAAGCTGTTTCTAGGAGACATTGTAACGAAAGCGTTTGAAATACAAGAAAGAGAATACAAAGCTCAACTCATACTCGATATTGATGCCAAGAAGAGGCGAAAAAAGGAGGCTCTCAAGAGAATGGAATTGGGCCAAGATGTTTCCAATGATCCACCTGAAAGGAAATTAGAATACATGGGTGATATTAAGGGACCTCTTCAGCCTGAACATGTGAGAGAAGCATGGAGACTATATAAGCTTGAGAATAGCGGTGCATACCTGTCACAGTGGAGGACACAGGGAGAAAGAGATGGGAAGCTATTCAGATAAAGAAGTTGAATAAGTCTATTTGCTATTTCACGTTTAATGTGCTTATCTAATCCTTAGATTTTAAGACTGCTCATCCGGCGACGTGCGGCCTGTGGCATCTTTTCACCAGCTTTAGTACAGACCCAAGTGGAGGAGTACATGTTAATTCTGTCAATCAGCTCACCAGAGTGTCTGATAGCGGCTGGCTTACACTTAAAGCCGCATGACTCGAAAGTCTTGATGTACCATGGGAACTGAGCAGCAGAACGAAGCATGACACGTCCACCTGGGCTCAAGCACTCCTTAACAGCTTCAATCTCCTTGCGAGCATCGTCGCCGTTTGGATCAAACCAATCCATGTGATCCATGATGATAGCGACAGTAATAGACTTCTTGCTAAGACGGGCGAAAACATCGTTCAAGGTGTCTGTGTGGAGACGAACGTTATCAATTGGGGCAGCTCCATCTTTGCGAGCTGTAGTAAGGTTCCTGTAACCCTTCTCTGTTAAATAGGAAGGACAGTTGTTACGGGCATAGCGACCCTTCAAACATAAGTAATAGAAATAGTTATCGGTGGAAATCAAAGTGCGATGAATAACAGGATCCAAAGTGTCAACAACGTACTTGAAGACAGAGTCTCCCATCATCTCAGCCTGGTTTGCAGGGACACCAAGTGCTTTCCACAAAAAGATTGGGTTGCCAATAAGAAGGGTGGCAACAACAGGGTTCAAAAGGGTTGGTCTAACCTTCTCCTTCCAGATACGCACCTGGTCTTTCATGTTGGTACACGAGCAGAGCTCATTAATGTGCTTGTTTGCACCAAAGAGAGTGAAGATAGCCTTAGCAAGTCTCAAGGCCCATCTAGTGGAACCGGTATCATACAACCCTTTTCCAGAAGGATTGAAAGCTGCCTCACCATTATCAGCCCAATATTGGAATGCGTTTGAAGACATGTTTGCACTGAGACTGGAAAGCAAGAGCTCTCTGAAGTTGTTAATGCGGCCGTCACCAAAAAGTTTCCACACTTTCTCCTGATCAAGAGATTTGAAAGCAGCCAACTTCAATTCCAAAAGGTGATTCTGACAAGGGTTCAAGTCGACCGCGTGAATCTTTCTTGGAGGATCAGGAAGAGCGGCGTAGTCCAAGATATTGTCACCAGCGGAAGTAATGGCCAAAACGGTGTCGTTGCTCGAGAATTTCAAAATGTTGTTATCTTCACGTGGATCTTCCCAAGTGAAACCATAAATGTACTGGTTCCTGAACTGATGATATTGTGGGTTGATCTCATCGAAGTACACTCTCCATGGTTGGCGCTGGTAATAAGTGGAAGGGAATGGCAAGTTCTTTCTAAAGTTAGACAAAGCAGCCTCATGACCCTTACTAACTGGAATGTCGTATTCCTGAGCCTGAGTTTCGTCGGAAGGAGCGAGATAGGGTGATTCAGTGGCAAGGCAGTTGATACGGTGAAGCAAAGCAGACGATCTAGACTTGTCACATCCTACCCAGACATAGTAAGGGATTCTGCCTAACACGTTGTTGTAACAGTTCAAAGACTTGAGGGTACCAAACTTGTACTCCAAGTAGTTACGTCTAGCCGAGTCCAAGAAAATCTTGTCAGCTTCGAACCAAATACGCCAAAAGTTTCTAAGCAACCAGGGGATATTTCTGTTCACAAGACCGCCAACAGTGTTAATTCTTCCCATGTATGTGTCAGAGCTTTGTACACCAAAGTCAACACTGGCAATGACACCATTTGCATTGTCCAAAAGCTCGACTGCACGATCAATAACAGAGTTAAAGGTTGGAATCATCAGCAACGAATAAGAGAAAGTGATCAAGTCAGCTTTTTCATGGTTGATGCTGAAATCAGCAGCGTCGGCGACCATCACTTGAATAACATTCTCATAAGGCTTGCCAGCAAACCTTTGACGTGCAATTTCACAGAGTGAAGGCAGCAAGTCGACTAAGTAGATGGCTTCGAAATTGTCAACAAGAGACAAAACCAGGTCCATCATTTCGATATTTTTGCCAGTGCCTCCGCCAATGTCGACCCAAACAAGCTTGCCGTTCTTGTTAGGAATATGAGCAGCAGCCAACAGGAGACAATCTTCTCTGCCCTTCAACAAGACACTACGAGTTTTGTCGTAGACATGGGCTTGGTTACTGTAAAACAACTCAAGAGCTTGCTGTTGCTCGGTAGGTTTGTTGTGAACCTTGTGAATGAATGGCTTGACGAAACACTCCCAGGCAAAAATAGTCACTGACTTGACAAATTGGTTTAATGTGGTTGAAAACAAGAAGAGTGCAACAAGGGTGAGGGAGCCACCAAAGAGGACCTTGACAGGCTCAATATCCAAAAGAATCTGCTGCATTTTGACTGAAGCTGAAAGAAAGGAAGCTACTGAAGAGAAGAAAACAAGAAAGATTTTGGCCTTGTCCTAGCACGTTTCTCTATATATACTAGAGGGATTTTGGGTGCAAAATGGACCAAAGAGCACGGTGTGCACACGGGTGTAACAACGTGTGCAGCCACATGGGGTATCGTGCAGATATGGGTTCACAAGGGTAATAAAGGTAGGCCACGAAAACAGGAAAATGAGACCGTGGGAGACGAGGATGAACATGAAAAGACGCGTTTCAACTCACCAGTTTGGCGATATAACTGTTTTATCTCAAACTACTCAATAATGATCGGACACTTTTAGGTTTTTCCGTGACAGCGACGTGCGACAGTCTCTTGCAGATACATAGAGATCGAAGACCGAGGAAGAAAAATGCCCCCGAAGGTTCTTATTTTCGTTCAAAACGGGGACCCGTGCTCGTGCTATACGCACAGCTTCGCCATTGATAAATTACAGGCTTGCGACCGTTTTCTCAAAAGGACTTGTGCCCATGTGCTCCTGAAGCTGATAAGTGCAACAATTGGATTGTGCAGGCCGCACATTGGTCCTGGGAGGATCCCGAATTTAGCTAAAATCCAATCTACAAGGACAATTTTTCGTAACTTTCTATGCATTTTTTCTTATTCTTACAAAGGATCCTCTAATCTTCGAAGCAAGTAGTCGACCTCGACCTTCTTTGTGAGAGGAATCACATACCGCTGGTACAAGTCGATAATCACCTCAGGCTTCACCTTCAACTGCACAACCTTCAACCATCTTAGTCCAGGATCAGTGCCATAAGCCTGGCACTTTTCTCTCAAACGGTCTAAAATTTTTTGCTCCACTGCGCTGTTGGTGATGCTGTCCTCAATACCCTTCACATCGCGAGCTTCAATGAGTTTTGTGTAAAGTTCTCTGTTCTCCCTGAACTTCGATTCTGCGACAAACTTTCCGAAATGAATACGGCGAGAGATAGCTTGCAAACATTCAACATCACACACAGCAACTGATCCAGAATTTTCAGACTGGTCGCCTTTGTTGCAGGAAACACCAGGCACGATTTCGTTCACGTAGAATTGCAAAATTTCCTTGTTGACGTTGATCTCGTCGCCATAGTACGCGAGAATCCTAGGGTACTTGATTGGAGGTAGGATTGGCGTGATGAGTTCATCAGGGAAAAATGGCATTTCGTCAGGAGCCTGGTACCTTCTCACCTGAGAGTGAGTCTTCTCGGTTTGCAAGAGAAGCCATTCCATGAACAGGCCGCTGAAGCCCTCAATCTTGTACTTATCAATTTCGTACACACTGGGCAGCTCGAAAAATTGCAGCCTCTCGATAAGAGCAAAAAGAATGGTATCTTCCATCCGCACAAGGGCGGCACGGATGTTATCAAGGTCTAGCACCGTCTCTGCCTTTTGAAAGTCCATGGGGTCCCGCTGATAAGGATTTGATAGTCGATGTTCGTCGAGAGCTGCTCACCGGCATGGTAATCACGTGAACTGGATGAGTCAGGCCCGGTCTATCGGGAGGTTACTACCAAAGAACAAAGGTTTCTTGAAAAGCTTGAAGAGCAGAGGAGGTATGGAATGGCCAATGAAAGTATCAAAGTCGTACTGTTGGATGTTAAATTATGAAATACTACTGTACCAAACAGAGTGGCTGCGAAATTCCTCTCTACGCCTGGAAACTGACAGTTCAGTCTTTACATTTTTTTTTTTTTATTTCTAAGCCTAGTAAATTCCTATTTAGCAGGAAGAGAGTGGTTCTGAGAATGGACCTGGAGTTATGTCGAAAGTTTCAGGATAGTCTATTTCTTCCTGATCCAGACTCGCATCATCAGGCAGCAAGGCAAGAACCAAATAGCTCCGAAGGTCTTCCAATGATGTGCCCTTTGGAAGCTCAACAGGACTTCCCTGTTCACATATCAGAGACAGAAAGGTCTTTGGGGATCCGTCGCACGAACTCAGAGGTGCTATGTTGTTGGGCCATGGAGTAGTGCTTTTCTTGTCAAGCGTACCATTGTGTGACAGGCGGTCTCTCGTAGAACGAAAGAGTCTTTCGAATGCTTGGGTCAAGCTTTGAATTCGTGGGACTTCTTTACGTAGGTAGTTTTTGAAGGCGTCTCTTCTTCTGTTGGGCTTAGGGAGATTATCCGATGTGCTTGCAATCATACTGAATAATGTGGTTATAGTTAAGAAATTTGATTCTTTAGGACTTACGGTTGTTTTAAAGCTAAGAGGCGTTAGTCGTCATTTGTAAGGCGATATTACAAGACTTACCTTTGGAAGCGTAAGCGCTATGAGGAAACTATACTACGGCGAGAATCGCTAAAACTTCCGAAAACGAAAAGAACAACTGAGGTAAAAAGGCACAGCTCTTACGGGGTTGAAATAAGTAGAAAGTAATACGTGTCAGTAAACTCCTACGGTCTAAGGTATGGTGTCCTCACGTAGTGATATCTCTATTGTACATTAGTAGCTTCGAAAATAAAGCTTCCAGTCTAGTATACATGCCGAGTGAAGCATCAACGTCTTACTTAAATTGGTCGACTTTCAGCTGAGCGAAACGTGTCAATATCTCGTTCTCCTCCTGCTTGCTGCCTTCATCATCTCTGCCAGCAAGGCCCGAGCGTCTATAGAGCAAGAAACGACGCAAACGCTGGAATTGCGAGCGGCCCTCCTCAAAGTTATTGTAGCTATCTCTTAAATCAGCGTCGGCACGAAGGTTCATAAGCCGCGTCTGTCGATTGAACTCGTCTGTACGTTCTATAGCTAGCATGATCTGGAGCACAACCACCACGGAAGCCACGCCAAGCACGCGATATAGGATCTTCCACTTATTCTTCTCAAGCTCCTCTGCAGTTGGAGGGGACCTGCCCCATTTCATATGGTAGTAGTCTTCCCAAGTGGCAGCATGCCAAAATTTGGGATCGTTCTCATACGAGTACTGCCTTCTGTGTGCGTTAGCCATTCTGTATGCTTCGAACGACGAGGTCTTGCCCGGTTTATAGTCTTCCCATGTCGTGTGCTCGTACTTCTTATATGCGATTCTTTTCCTTGGGTCCTTCAATAACTCGTACGCTTTCTGGATCTCGTCGAACCGGGCTCTCTTCTTGGATGCCAGCAATGCCGTGGATCCCTCCACGATGTCATGAGACACGGAAAGATCAGGATGGTACATTTTAACCAATTTCTTATACGTCGACTTCAATTTGTTATCGAATTCCTTCCTTGTTTTGTACGAAGCCTCGGAAGGATCCATATCGAATATATCGTGTGGAGAAGGCCTTCTTGATTTAGGCCATGCGTGTAGATCGAAATGTGTGTGGTTGACCTGACGTTTTCCCGCCTCGGTAGCATAACGTCTAAAACTAACAAGCATGACTTTAATGAACGTGAAGCGACTGTGGACGATGGGTATAAAATAAATGTGTGACAGTATGAGCTATTTGCCGATACCGGATAAGGAAGCAGGTAACGGTGCGAGAGGGTTTTTAGACTGGGCCAGTACACCGGTGAACCTTGGATTTTGGTTGGACCGGAAGAAACAGGGATAAATTAAAGTCTAAATTTGATTTTGCGGGTAAAGACATTTCTGGGGGATTTGGATTATAGAAGGAATGATTTTTGGGTACCTGGTATTGCCATTGGATTGAGAGTTTGGCTGGCTCATGTGGAAAGCTATCAAAATGGCGATTTAAGAAGAGTTGCGTTAATCAGGGATGCCATGGATGCAAGATAAATAAGAACTGCAACAAGCAACAAAAAATAATGGCAAAGATGGGGAAATTGGTTGGCAAAACGCAGTAAAAATGGAAAATCCTGAAGCGTCAGCTGAGCTACCCATTTCTGTGCTTTATAAGATTCTATTGGTTTTCGCAGCCATTTGCAGCCACTTAGTCCTCACACCACTTCCCCAGAAAAGCTTAAATGATACTTCATTTCTTTTTCCCCAGTTCTTCTAGATGTCTCTTGCGTTCCATCTGACAATCTTTTACGAGTAATGACGCAACGTCTCCTTACCCCGGATTAATGGTCGCCTCACCTCTCAGGTGATGGCCTAGTCTACACTGGAATCAGGTATACACATGTATTATGCTAGGTATTATGCAACAAATTTGTAGATCAATTAGAGGGAAGCTGAAACACGCTCATCAATAGAGGGAACAGCTTGACCACACTTGTAAACGGTCTTGATGTAACCGTCGTTGTCCAAGACAACCAAGTCGGCGTCGCAGCCAACCTTCAAGTAGCCCTTCTCGTTGGACACATTAAGCGAGTCAGCAGCGTTGTTGGTGACGGTCTTGACTGCCTGCGCCAAGGACACATTGGCCCACTGGACCAAGTTTCTCACACACTCGGCGAGAGTAGTAGCAGCACCGGCCAACGTGGTGGTGCCTTCCAAGTAAAGTCTTGGGCCTTGCTTGACGATCTTTTGCTCGTCCCACTTGTAGGTACCATCAGGCAAGCCAATCAAATGCATGGCATCCGTCGTAAGGACACACTTGTCTGGGTTGGCTCTATAAGCCAAAACACACATGGATGGTGCAACATGGACACCGTCACAGATGATGCCGAAGTATGGACTGTCCATACCAGTAGATGGGGAGGTGACAAGACCAACCACACCAACGTCTCTGTGGTGAGGCTGGGGCATGGCATTGTATAAGTGGGTGATCATGGTGGCACCTCTGTGGACAGCTTCCAAACTGGTCTTGTAGTCAGAAGAAGTGTGGCCCACAGAGAAGATGACGTCGTTCTCAGTAAGTTCTGGAATGGAGTCCAAGACACCTGGAATCTCTGGAGCAGCAGTCACAATGGCAACGTTTTCTAATAAGTTTTCTTGACCGTAGACTCTAGCCAAACCACCTTCCTTGGTAGCATCGGTGAAGGTTTCCACTGGGTGACAACCCTTTTTGGCAGTACTGATGAATGGACCCTCACAGTGAGCACCAAGCGAGTCACACATGCTCTGAGATCTCGTCTTCTTGTAAACTGGCAAGACCTTCTCGTAGGTGGCTGGGAAGTTAGATGTGACGGTAGGACACATGGCAGTGACACCAGTTCTCATGTACTTGGACATGGCATCTCTGTAGAAAGCCTTAAAGCGTGCGATATCTTCGCCAGTAGAGTCCTCTTTAAGGTTGCTGAAGTTCAAGCCATAGATACCGTTGTTCTGAATGTCAATGTAGCCAGGAGCCAAGATCTGGCCCTCAAGGTCGACCTTTTGAACCAGAACCTTCTTGCTCTTTGGAGGTGCAACAATCTTACCAGTCTCAGTATCGACAAAGAGATCGGTATTGTGAGTGATGATGCCGTGGTCGCAAAGATGGCAGTTGGTGAATTGTAGTAACATTTTGAAGTTGTGTTTGTGTTTGTTTTGTATGTTTGTGATGAGACTGAAAAAAAAAAAAAAAAAACCTGGGGCCGTTTGTGGTATATATACTAAGTCATGGTCTTCGGAACAATCATCAGCAACGTGCATCGAATGAGCCGCAAACCAGTGTGGAGGTTGCAATTGCAACGTTGGAGCGGCTCTGCATACAGGAGCATCTGACCAGTGTCTTGAAATTCGCGCCGCCTCGCCAAGTCCATGTTGCATTTTGCAACGTTGCACCCACACCACCCGTACCTCGTGACGAAATGGCCCATCGCCTTACCAATGGGCCTTTCTTAGAAAATAGCAGCTATAAGAGCCCCAGGTTCGCTTAGTTCTGCTTCTCACCACTTTTCATAAACCCTAACTTAAAATCATCATGAGACAAGCTATTTTCTCCTCCAGCGACGACGCCTCTGCTTACCTTGCAAGCTATGTGATCGACAGAATCAACGACTTCAAGCCTACGGCGTCTAAACCATTCGTGCTTGGTCTTCCTACGGGCTCTTCCCCAGAGGGTGTCTACTCTCGTCTTGTCAAGGCCTACAAGGCTGGCAAGGTCTCCTTTGCTAATGTTGTCACCTTCAACATGGACGAATACCTTGGGCTTGAGCCTTCTCACCCACAGCTGTACCACTACTTCATGTACGACAAGTTGTTCAACCATGTGGACATTCCAAAGGAAAACATCAACATTTTGAACGGTCTTGCAGCTGACGCCGAGAAGGAGTGTGCTGCCTACGAAGCCAAGATCAAGAAGTACGGACGCATCAACTTGTTCTTGGGCGGTTTGGGTCCAGAGGGCCACTTGGCATTTAACGAGGCTGGCTCCTCTAGAGACTGCAAGACGCGGAAGGTCGACCTTGTTGAGTCTACTAAGAAGGCCAACTCCAGATTCTTTGACAATGACCCAGAGAAGGTTCCATCCCACGCCTTGTCTGTGGGTATTTCTACTGTCTTGGACAACTCTGACGAGATTGCCATCATTGTCTTGGGCGCCAACAAGCAGTACGCTTTGGACAAGACCATGAACGGTCAGGCCAACGACCCACAGTTCCCATCCTCATACTTGAGAGACCACAACAATGTCTTGATTGTGTGTGACCACCCAGCTGCCGGTTTGGGCTCCAAGTTGTAAATGCATCAGTTGACCAATATCATTTCGGGTTAGCATAAATAATAAATAATGGGCAATAGAAGATAACATCATAATGTGGTGAGACGTAGAAATGGCTGCAAAATTGCACCTACATAGAAGTCTGTCGATCTTGCAGCAATGAGTCGTATGACTCCAGGAACAAATCACAAAACAGACCCTGAAACGGTTCTTGATGTGAAACGGTAATTGCTTATTATCAGGAGATTCTGGAGATCGACGCCCCACAAGCATTTCCCCGGAAGACTACATGTGACTACCCCGGAAACAAATTATTAAAAACAGACGTATGATTCATGTGCCTCGTAACTATGCGACTATATGACTTGGTAACTTTTTTTTTCTTTTTCTTCAAACCCATTTCAGGTTTATTAGTTTTTTTTTCTTCTTTCTGCGGCGTGATCCCACTAACAAACGTTTCTAGTGATCTCTATGGTATGCAGCGCCAATGGCAGCACCAACGATGGAACTCTCTTCAACAGAACGAAGCTGAATCTTCACGTTCATGTCCATCATATCCTGGCACTCGTTGGCGTAGTTCATGATCAAGTCTCTGTACCTGTTGAAGTACTCCAACACGGAACCGACAAAACCGATCTTCACCACGTCAGTCTCGAGCTTACCGTTGTGCTCCACCAACAATTTTATAAGGGAGACAATGCATGTAGCCACGACGAAAGCGGCTCTGCGAACAACAGCATCAACAAGAAGCTTCAAGCTGACAACGTCGTTCATCAAAATCTTGGACTGATCCCAACCGTAGTGCTTAGCAAGGGCCAGGGCAATCTCATTGTTATCGTCGGCTTCAGAGATATGGCACATCAACTCACCAGTGAAACCTTCGTAGGCCTTGGTGAGCTGGTGCAAATTTTGTTTCTGGTTGGCAAACATCTCGTCGTTAGAAATGCTCTCGACAAGAGCTAATCTTACCAACTCGGGCAAGTACCTACCAGAGGTCAAAAGCTCCGTTGGCTGGAAAATGGTGTTGGTTTCAGGGTCCAATTCCATGTGAGGAGCGAAATGCAAATTATGCTTGAAACGAGGGTCGATTTGGGTGTCGTAGGACGTAAAGATGTCATCAATGATGTTATCGCCAAAGAGCGACAATTCGGTGTTGAACAAGATGTTCTTCTCTCCACCGAGGTGCTTGGACTCGAGGATCTTGTCGGAAGAATTAAGGGAGCAGCACATGTTAAGACCGGTACCCAAAACAAGAGCCAACTTGGTCTTCTTATCAATGAAAGAACCAGCAGCGTAAACAGCAAGGGAATCATTCAAGATGGACTTGACGTCAAGGCGGATGTTGAAATGCTCAAGAAGACTCAGTTCCAACAAGCCCTTCAAGTCATGACCCTTGACTTCGTCACAAACGTAGTAGCCCTTACCAGCATGGCACACATTAGCTCTGTTGAAAGAAGTCAGCTCCAAGGCAAAGGACCAGGTGATACCAGTGTAGATGATCTGATCACGCTTCATGACATTCTGGCTGTCGATAGTCTCGGCGATCTTGGATCCAATCCACTTGAAGAAGTTCTTGTCGATAGTCTTTGCACCATTGTCGACGATCCACTTCTTGGAAGTGACAATACTGATTCTGTGGGACCTATCGTCAATACCATCGTTAGGAGCGACATCCACGATGGCCACACGAAGAGTAGAGCCACCCAAGTCAATCACAAGGTAGCAGCCCTGCTCTTCACCAGTAGGGTTAATGCTGTAGTTCGGAAGCATCGTAAGGGCATCTTTATAAGCCAAGGCTTCGTCAAAAGCACGTACCATGCCATCGGCATGGACGCCTAACGAGCCCAGGTCAACGCCTCTACTAAAGTCGTAGAGTGCTTTGGCCATGCACAGGCGGGACTCGTCAGTAAGGGAAGTGTTGGGGCTCAGGCCCAAGGAAAGGTCTGATTCGGAGTGTTTGCTCAGAGGATGTGCGAGCATTTGAAAAGTGATGAAAGTATGGGGAAGTGTAAAAACGATGGGCTAGGAAAGCTTGGGGGAAATGTGGAGGTTAAATATATGGGGAAATGAAAATAATAATAAAAAAAAAAGATGGTGTGGAGCGAGCAGACGCAAGACATAAAATAGGCCACTTAAGAAATGAACAAATGTTTATGGTAACAGTGACAAGAAACAGGCTGCCCCAGGATGTTACAGTTCCATTTTGTTTGCAGGGCGAGGTTGCAGTGGGAAGCTGGTGCGGTGCGCGTCTGTGTGCAGTATTTTGTTACCTCGTTGCAATGGAGATGGACATTTTTTCTGTTTCTCAGGTTGCATTTGCAGCTGTTGGGCCTGCCAGGAAAAGCACGAATAAGAAATTCAGTACTGGGGTTGGAAGGGAAAATTACAGCTCGAGAAAGGAAGATTCTTGCATGTAAGAAAAAAAAACAATGCAATTTTTTGGCCTGACCCCTATACAACACTGGTTTTGGTGGTGGTGGCATCGAACAATTCCATCTCGTGTGGCCGTGGTTTTTCCGATGTAGCATGGTGTCACCGTGCGACTAGGGCAACTGGAGAGTGGCTGTTTTTCCGGGACCATCAAGTGATGGCTGCGAAAAAGGAAAGAAAAACAAAAAAATCGCCCCGGGGGTATTCCCCATGACCCCAGCCCATTTCACCGTCATCTTACGTCTCACGTCACCGCCCTGCCGATCGTCAGATCTACTTCGTGCTTGCCCTGGCCGGGGTTGCTTTGTCCTATGTAGTATTATACCGTCATGGTACTATGAAGCAATCTCTTCGTTCTCTTCCTCGTGTTGCACATTAATCACCGGCACAGCTTCCTCGGTTTGCTCCACTGATTGCACCAGCAGACGTGCGCTTTGTCCACTGATGGTGCTTAGGTTGCGGCCATGTTGCCCTGGCTCGTCAATCAATATCTCCCGCAACTTCTCCTTGCCCACTGCAACCGCCTCATCGAATGCTCTTTGTGCAACCAACATTGATGGTCCGAGTAAATTCATCTGCCACAAGATGTAACCTCCAGCACCAAACATGATGAGAAGCGTGAAGAAGAATGGGTTGCGGAGCACCGCCATGAACTCGTTCCATCCAAGCACCACAATCACTGCGTAAATCCACAATGGTATCTGTGTCACCAGCTGCATTAACGAACGCTTGGTCTCCACGAACTTGGCGTCCGTTTCTTTTCTGAACTTGTTCAAAACCTCGTTCTTCTCCTTCTCAGTGACAATCTGCGCAAAGCTGTGACCGCTTTCGTCGTCTTCAGCATCGCTGTCAGCCTCGTCATCCTCTTCATATCCCTCATCTTCCACCAGTAAACTAACTGTAGAGTATCTGTGTTGCAAAGCTTTGCTGCGAATATCGTACTTGGGCTTTACTTCAGCACCATTAGACAATCTGGCGAAGGAAAGAATTGGAAGTGCTTCCAATGCGTACTCCTTGGAGTCACCAAAACTGCTCTCCAACTCAATATTGTTCTGATACAACTTAGGAACTCCGTTCTCGTCATATCTGAACTTATCGTCAAACCTATCCTTGAGGATGTTCAACAAGTTATCCCTGGAGATGTATTTATGCAACAATTGATCAAAAAGCTCCCAAGCCTTGAACTCTAATGTAGACAAAGCCCTTTCATTGACCAGGTCCTCTGTACCTAAGGCAAAGTCATAACCTTCTCCAGCCTGGTACTTGCTCAATGATGAATTCTTCAACTCAGTGAAGCGGTCAAGGATACGGTTCCAAGTCTCCTTGTCAGGATTTGCGGTTTCATCAAGAATTGTGGTAGATAAACCATTGTTAATCTTCTTCAATGACTTGCTAATGATATTATTCAACTCAACAAGCTGTTGTTTTGTAACAATGCCGCTGACACTCTCCTGAAGCGTCTTCACTTTAGACTCAATCGGTAAAGAGCCACCAAGAGATAGAAGCGTAAGACTTGCCGCAAAGCTTGCAAGTGCCGATGAGGTGAGCTTCTCGATCTTCTCCAGGAAGGAGCCATATTTCGTTGATTTCTTCTTCAATGCAGAGGTCAAATCCTTAATAGTTGTCGAGCTAAGGTAATCAGCGTAGATAGTGAACACTCCACCGAGACGTTCGCTAACTTTGCTTGACAATGCCGCTCTCTTTTGTTGGAAGACCAGGCTGTTATACTTCGATGCTTGTGTATCGTACTCCTCTAATATGTCTTCATTGATGTCACCCATGACCTTTCCAATATCTTCATAGTTGACTGAGGTACCGTTATCGACAGTCTCACGAGCATCAGCCTCGAAAGCCTGGAACTTCTCTTCGAAATCCTCGAGGCATTGGGTCGCAATCTCGTCACACTTGAATTTGGCAACCAAGATTTGCTGTGTAGGAAGGTCTAAATCCTTGTTGTTATCAATTTGATCCCAGCAGCTTTGAGCGTACATAGTCCAGCCCTCGATAGGAATGTCGTGATGGTAGAATGGCTTGAACAAGAAACCCGAATCGCTCTTATCCACAAATCTGTTTCCCAAAAGCTTGATATCGTCCTTAAACTTGTCATACTGCAAAACCTTATGACTAAGAGTATGGAAAGCCAAGTCAAAGAAATCGGAAAACTGAAGGTGTGCAACATCTGCGGGCTTGTTCAAACTATCCCAAATCTTCATCAAGTCCTGCTCGATCGTTCTGGCAAGCGACTCGACAGGAGTAACACCAAGATGATCTCTGATAACAAACAAAAGAAGCACCTTATGGTCATTATTCTGCAACTTGGCCTTACCAAAAGAGACAAGTTGACCTCGAACACGGTCTTGAGCAAACCCATGTTGGCGCCCTGGTAGAGACCCACCTGAGTTTCCCAGAGATTCACAATAAGAACCTCACTGGTGGACATGGCGAAAAGAGCAGCCTTTCTCTCGAAATCCTGGTCCTCTCCTCTTTCCCTACCATCAGTACCCTCAACATCCATCACCAACACATTGTCAGGCGCAGATGTCTTAGCCAGATGAGTGACACCTGGACTGTGTGCCAACCAAATACCCTTGGTGGTTTGCTGTCTGTTAACCTCATCCATCACATCAAAGTTGGTGTTGAAAAGGTGGTTGAGCAATGTAGATTTACCCGTAGACTGAGAACCAAACACAGAGATAATTCTGTAGTCACCCAGTCCCAGGCGGTCAGGGGAGCTGCTGATATAGTCTAAAATGGCCTCGTTGAAGATTTTGTTCTCGTCAATCACTTGGATCGCATCTTGGACATTATCCACTGGTACGAACGAGGAGCTGGAAGATGTTCTGGAATTCTTATCAGGAACAGCGTCTTCTAGACCAACAGGAGAGTTTCCCGAAAGGTCAGCTGACCCTGCCAGCAATGGTTGAACTTCAGGAACGTCAGACATTTCGCTTTTGGCTTTTCGTAGTCGTACCTGAGAAAGATGTGGTTGACGATGATAATAAGCAGAATACGTGGGGTTGAGTGCGCACTGATCTTGTCACATGGCTGACCACGCAGTGACACTTAGTTGGAAGGTTTGGGCTTACGTTGGTAGGAAAAATAGAGCAATAATAAGAAACGGTGTATTATTTTGTATTTTTCTTTAGGTTGATTTATGTACGGTTTTGGAGTTTCTTTTTTTCCTTTGTTCTTGCTGTTCTTCTAGATGAACAGGAACTGTTTCTTGATCGCTTCGAGTCTTTGCTGCAGCACTCTTCTCATGCCAATGTAAGACATGTCAAATACACCACGGCCTTGGGTCAAAGAACGAAGCTTCAGAAGGTACCCGACCATTTCTTTCAATGGCGTTTCTGCGATGATGATCTTCCTTTCTGTCAAGTCGTCTTGGGTTCTCTTCATTGTGTAGTCAGGTGGTAAGTAGATTTTCTCGGCCTCTTCACGAGCCCAGTTTTGCTTATCCAAGCTTTCACCCAGGTCTTCAATAGCAAGAACGGTCGCCAGGCATCTGTTGTTCAAATCGTGCATCACTTCTCCCATCAGACCAGAGTCGACGTACACATGAGTGTTCATGATAGGTTCTAAGACACCGAAGTGGTTCTCGGACTTATCGTTGAGTTCTTTGACAGCTTTGGTGACAGAACGACGACCAACATCTAAAAGTGATGAAGGCTGAGGGCCCTTAAGGTCGAGCGGGAAGTTCCACTTTTTGATTCTGAGCACACAAGAATGGAGAGGGAGCCCAAACCGAGGGCCTGCCAACTGAAGTCCTGTAACACAACCCTGGATCAAACTCTCTTGGAGCTCTTCTAAGGTATAATCAAGTTTCCATCTGCGTTCATCAATTGCTTTCAACATGTATTCGGGCGTGGCCAGTGGCTCCAAGATCACAATGTTGTTATCATGCTCCAACAAAATAGAGCCCTCTTCCTCTGCAAAAACGCTTTCAGAAGCCTCGCCTTCAAAAGAGTCAAACGAAACCTCGGCATTGATATCTGGGTTGTCAAAATGCTCGCATGTCACACTGGAGCCGTCAGGACGAGCTACTGTTTCCTTGAAAGACACAGCCACATCTCTCAATCTGACGTTTGCCTTCAAATCATTCACCAACCTATCACGAAGAATCTCAAGATGCAATTCACCCATACCACTGAGCACGATTTGTCCCAAATCCTCATCTTCAGAAACATGCAACGAAGGATCCTCTCTCAAGAGAATCTTGATACATTCATCCAAATAACGAGCATCGCCAGCAGTAGCTGGTTCAATGGAAGAGTTGAAAAGCGGAGGTGGAATGTCAATTGGATGAAGCTTCAAGTTAGCCTCGAGGTCAGAGAAACTCTTGCTCTTTGTAACTCCACGGGACACTAAGGTATCACCGGTAATGATATCGTCACCAGTACCTGCGACAACACCGATATTTCCTGACATAATGCTTTTGACTTCTTCGGGAACATCACCATGCATGAGCATAATCTTTCTCAATGGAAGTACCTTTCCAGTTCTTGTGTTGACGACAGAGGAATTAGCAACAAGTTGACCACTGTAGACACGGAAGAATGTCATGACTCCACGAACAGGATGAGTAATGACCTTAAATGCAAGTGAAACGGTTAAGTTATTGTTGTTGTTAATAACAAGGCCTTTGTGGGGATCCATCTTCATTGGTATCACCTCATCAGTCTTTGCTTTCTGAACCTTCTTTTTCTTCTTAGCAATCTTACTTGACGAAGAGGTTATCTCTGGAACATTAATCTGTAAAGGAGAAGGCAAGTATCTCACAACACCATCCATCAAAGGTTGTACACCAATATTCCTGAAGCTCAGACCACAGAAAACTGGGGTAACTTTGTTGGCAATAGTCGCCTTATTGATGGCCTTTTGCAAAACAGTATCGGGGATAGCCATGTAATCTTCATTATGCTCAAAGAAAGATTCGATGATACTATCGTCAAACTCACCCAAGGTCTCCACCATGGACTCTCTACTGCTGGCTACCATCTTGTAGAGCTCGCCTGTGGAAGCCTCATTAATGTCAATGACAGTGATCTTCGTACCATCTTGTTCGGCGCCAGTATCCCACATAAGTAACTTCTTGTGGATCACATCCACCACGCCTTTGAAGACAGGCTCGGAGTCAATATTTTCGAAGTATGGCAAGTTGACGCAAACCACACGAGTTTGGAGCTTCGAGATGATCTCCTTCACTGTACGACTGAATCCAGCGCCTGGGCGGTCCATCTTGTTAATGTATGCAATGCGAGGAATGTTAAGAGAAGCAGCCTGGTGCCAAACCTTTTCGGTCTGTGCCTCCACACCAGCCACAGCGTCCAAGATAGTCACAGCACCATCTAATACACGAAGAGATCTTGTCACTTCGAACGTGAAGTCAGCATGTCCTGGAGTATCTATGATATTGATCTTGTGAGTGTTCCATGGAATTGAGATGGCTGCCAGCTGGATAGTGATACCTCTCTGTCTTTCCGACGGTAAATAATCAGTCACGGTATCACCCTCATCCACATTTCCGATCCTCAGCGTCTTACCACTATAGAAAAGCATTCTTTCAGTGGTTGTCGTCTTTCCAGCGTCGATGTGAGCAATGATGCCGATGTTCCTGGTTTTGATCGGCGGCACCGAATTGAGCTTGGGCTCAGCTCTGACACAGGATGCATGGAGCTGACGAGAAGCTCCAGCCGCCAGTCGAAACAATCCAACTAGCTTTCGACTTGCCATTTGGTAAAGAAGACTAGTTGGAAAATGGTCACATGATCGGAGTTGCATTTTTGCGGTTTGTGGAGGTACGAGTCTCATAGTACTGCATTCACCAACCGTTTTGCAACCATCCACCAGAAATGAAGACCACTAGATTTACCAATTTATTCGGCTTTTTGTTTGGCAGGCGACGTTTTCTTCATACTTACAGCTGTGTAGTACACTGTAGAAAGTACAATTGTCAAAGAGCCGAGGATGCCTTGCGTAGTGAAGGATGAGCCGTACATATAGGTACTGATGGCTAAACTGGCAAACTTTCTGGTAAGTAAAATCACGGCAACCGTTAATGAGGTTGTGCAGCCAGCTAGACGGTTCACTCCCAGGGCACAGAGTACCTGTGTAGCGGAATTGAGTGCCAAATACGCCAAACCTTTGGGTACGCCTAAGTACAACGGCTGCGACTGGCTGAGCACCCTAAGGTCTGAGAGGAGAGCTGGACTGAACACCAAAAACATCGGTAAAGCCATGAAATGCGTGTAGAACAACGTCTCCCTCCAATGAGCTCCATACTGGGTGTACAAATTTTCCGTATAAATGCCCATATAAGCACCCAAAAAGGAAGCCACAGAAAGCACCAATACACCGCATAGAAAGAGGTAGTTGAACGAGACGGTTTCACCCTTCTGAGGTCCCTGTGAAATCACAAAAAACGTACCAATAGTCATCAACACACACAGAAACACTTGGTGTCTCAGGTACTTCTTCCCGCCCACGAGGTATCCCACGATCATGGAACACACGGTACTGCTTGATCTGAAGACGATGTGAAGAGGCACAGAGATGCCAAACCGCCAAGCCAGATTGTTAAGCACTGAAACGACAAAGTAAAGCAGAACGAGGAAAAGTAACTTCAGGATCGGAATGTTCGGTTTCTTCAAGTAAAGGCCTCCTTCAAGCTGGCTAGGTAGGCTCATCACCAGAACCAAGATGAACTGACATAACGTCACTGTAGTTCCCAAATTGGGCGCCTGAGCGATGAAACTCAGGTCTCTTGTGAGCTCTTCAAACAGATACACATTGCAACAGCATCCTCCAAATACCTGGCTCAAGGGGAAGAACCAGCTCATTAACCACAGTGGTGTTTACTGGTAGTTTTTGAAAATCTGGGGTCGCGTTGCACATGTGCGCGAACTGGTGTAAGTAGCTGGCCTAGTATCTATCGTTTTCTATTACCATTATTGTATTTCTAAAAATGTAGTCCCGTAAATCTATTAAACATGACAGACTCCAGCTAAGCACCGAAGTCACTGGTGGAAATGCCCGACTTGTCGCACATTTGCCTGAAAATCGTGTTCCTCGAATTGAAGAGGTTACGTGGGGTGTCGAATTCCTTGATTTCACCTTGGTCCATCACCATCACACGGTCGTAGTTCAAGATTGTCTTAAGACGATGAGCAATGCAAAGAATGGTACAGTCGGCAAATTCTCTGGCGATGGCCTTCTGCAACTTACTGTCGGTAGCGTAATCGACACTGGATGTGGCTTCGTCAAGAACAAGGATCTTACTGTTCCTTACCAAGGCTCTGGCGAATGCAACCAATTGCTTCTCACCCAAGGAGAAGTTTTCACCTTCGTCGTCCACTTCACTGTCCAAATGGAACTTGTTGTAATCATCATCACCGACCTTTTGAGCTTTCACAGCTTCCAATTTATCAGCCGAGATAATGTCAGACCTTCTCAATGTGTCCCATAATTCGTCATCGGATTTGGTTCCGAATGGATCCAAGTTCTTCCTGATAGTGCCCTTGAACAAGACAGGATCTTGTGGGATGATCGACAACTTGGATCTCAAGTCATGCAAACCAAGGGTTCTGACATCAACGCCGTCAATCTCAATTGTTCCGGATGTCAACTCGGCTATCCTGAAGAGAGCAACCATGATGGACGACTTACCAGCACCAGTACGGCCACAAATACCGATCTTCTCATGCGGACGAATATCAGCATTGAAGTTCTTCAACGTAAGCGGTAAACCTTCTCTGTACGCAAAGTCCACATTTAAGAACCTAATCTCACCATTTTGCGGCCACTCGGGTGAAGGCTTAGTCTCTGAAATCTGGTATGCATTTTCTTGTGGAATCTTGTAAACATACTCAATGACTCTCTCTGCGGAATTCATGTCCTGTTCGACTTGGGTAAACACAACAACCAACATGGAGATCATCGAAGAGATTTGAAGAACATAAGACAACAATAAACCGACCGAGGAAGCCCCAATGTCAAAAACACGGAAAACACAAAGCATGGAGATCAAGAATGCAAACAGCGAAGCCAACATCGATAAGTGAACGTCAAGCCATCTCTGGTTCGCCACAGTAATGAAGTAAGCTTCACTCATCTTGTTGATTGTGGAAACATTCTTTTGCAAGAAGCGACCAATCAGGCCAAAACCTTTAATGGTTGGCATACCAGACAATGACTCGTTGAAGTTATTGTACACATGAGATCTTTGGATAGCTTCAAGACGTTTGACTTCTCTACCAGATGCTTGGTAGAATGTAGCTGCAATAATAAATAAGCCGATAATGAAAGGAACAGCAATTGCGAACCATGGCATGTAGATGATACACAAGATAATGATACCAATAAGGTCCGAAAGGAAGTAATTAACCATGGATACTCTGTCACCAATTTCGTTATCCAATGTATCAGTATCTTTAGTGAAACGATTGATAACTCTACCCATTGGGGTGGTATCCATGAAAGACATGGGCACATGAAGGATACGCTCTATGGCCTTGATATTCAAGATCCTAGAGGCTCTGTTCAAGATGAAAATCACACCACAGAACTGCGAAACCATAAAAAGAACTGCGAGAACAGTAAACATGGCATAAAGACCAATGTAGAAGCCATCGGAACGATCGAATTTCATAGAAATCCAAAAGGACAACCAATTATTGGTGAACAACGTAAGGAAAGTGGTGAGAACAGTAATAGCAAAGACAACATAAATCAACCAGTTGGCTTTGAAACCTTCGACACCGGTCAAAATGTACTTTCCATAGACATCCCAGCCAATAGCATTGACAGAGCGCTCTTCATCCATGATCAATCTACCGTCTGACTCAGTAAAGTTCTTCTCATCAGTCTCCTCACTTACCTGCGTGGTAGTTTGTCTTGTCAACTGTCTGTTGATAAGTTCTTTCTCGTTGGTGGGACCCTGCTCATTCAGGTCTTCCTCCGTGTCCTCGTTATTTTGACTATGCTCCATAAGTGTGGCAAAAGCAGAGTTGGTACGCTTAAGCTCATCAAAAGTTCCACGAGAAATTGTTCCATCTCCGTTCAAGAACACCACGCTTTCGGCTTCACTGATGAGAGAAAGCTGATGTGTTGCCAATACGACTGTCTTATCCTTCAAAAGTCCCAAGATACATTCGCTCATGATGTGTCTTCCTACCTTGGCATCAACAGCACTCAAAACATCGTCAAGCAAAATGATTGAACTGTCCGCGTAAACGGTTCTAGCCAAGCAAACACGAGCCTTTTGACCGCCAGAAAGTGTGATACCACGCTCACCAATCTCTGTACGATCACCAGCAGGGAGGAGGTCAAAATCACTATCCAAGGAGCATGCATTGACGACCTTGTTGTACCACTTCTCGTCATAAGGCAGACCGAATGTAATGTTCTCCCTCAATGTACTGTTTTGGATCCATGGTGCACCGCACATCAAAAGCGATCCGTTAAGAAGTAATTTACCAGCATTCTTTTTCATAGTACCATCCAATGCATAAAGCAAGGATGATTTACCAGAACCAATGGAACCGGTGATGACCATGAACTCGCCGTCCCTGACATCAAGATTGATATCATGAAGCTTAAATGAAGCAACTTCAGCTTCTTTTTCCTCCAGGGCTGGAGTTGGAGATTTCGAGCCCTTTGACTTCTTGTTCGCTTTCTTCTCTTCCTTCTTCTTTTGTTTCAATTCTTTCTTTTCCTTCTTCAATTCTTCAGTATCCTTTGTTTGGTCTTCAGATTTCTCTTCCTTGAAATTGAAAACCTCCCATTCGAAGTCACAATCACGTACCGAGATGGCCAACTTCTTCTCTTGCATCAGAGTGATTTCGCTGTCAGTGATCATGTGTACTGAGTCGTTAGGGTCGATCTCGTCAGCAGCCAAAACAGCAGCGACTCTGTTCATACCAAGGAAAGCATCGGTACTTCCAGCAAGAGAAAGAGGGAGGACCACAAACTGACCAGCCAACATGTTGAAAAGTGCCACGGATGAGAAAATGTCAGCCGGGTTTCTGGCACTTGGAGATGCAATACCATACAAGGTAAGGAAAGAAGCAAGAGAGCTGATCAAAGTCAAGGAGGAAGCCAAGGTGATGATAATCATTCTTGTGATCTCCATTCTGAGAAGGTATGCCATTTCTCTTCTTCTGATTTTCAGGATAAGCTTGAAGTAAGGAATCTCCCAGGAGTAGAATTTGATCATCTTCAAATTGTTCAAAATCTCTTTCATGTAGCTGACTCTAGCGTCAGTAGATTTCTGAGCTGTTTGTCTGAAGCTAAAGAGCAAGAAACTCAAGAAGCCAGCCACGAACAAAAATGCAATCATAAGGCCCACACCGACCATAGCAGGGGCCCTAATGTTATAAACCAAAATACCAATCGAGATACCCACGGGGAAAATGAAGATGAAACCGTAGATGGAAAATCCAGTACCCAAATCCACACGCGAGACGTCAGTACTCATGATGGAGGTGATCTTGGAGGCGGGAAATTGTTTCCTAGACTTGGTATTAAGCTTAAATGACTTGTCAAGCAACAACTTTGTGAAAATAGCTCTGATTTGAGCACCCGTAAGCATAGAGAGGTAGATACCTTGGTTGATGAGAATGTCACCGGTGAAAATCAAGATGGACACACCGATGGCATAGCCCACACCACGGCCCATATTCACGTCCATACCAAAGGCCTTCGCCAGGACAAAGTTGATCAACTCTTTGGACAAAAGTGGAATACACGTTGAACAAGACATGCCTAGCACACCAAAGAACAAGGCCAAACTGTACTGCCATGCAAAAGTCTCATACAAACTGAGGAAACAAAGCGACTTGGGTAGCTGGTAGTCGGCAAAGTCGTCGTCAGAGTCAACCGAGGAGGTTTCAAGAGTTTCACCTCTCAGCTCAGCTTTTTGTAGCAAATGCCTCTCTTTGTCGGCAGCCAAGCGGCGGTAGAAGATCCGCTCGAACTTGCCCGCAAGATACTCAGCCGTCATCTGGTCGTGAAGTTTAAACATGTCTTCAGGTTGCAATGTACGCTTGTAGCCCCTACGCAATACAGGGGTCAACCAGGTGAAGAAGAGGAAACTAAATGGGTTTCTCCATTTAGGATGATAAGGACGTTCGTCTTCTAGAGGCACCGGCGGCACCTTCTTCAGAAGGAACGGAGTAAGTAGACGTTTCTGGAGCACAGGCGGGTCAGCCTTCTCCAATTCAGTCATTTTGCAGAAGTATCAATGATGGGAGGAAAAGAACAAGACCAAAAGTTGCGAAATGCGCTGCTTTTATGCTGCGAGGTCTGATAAGCTGCGACGCACAGAAGCGCTTGCGGATGGCTCTTCAACATGCAGCAAACCACACAAAACAAACCACATTGATTTGAAGGTGGCGAGCGGCTGCAAGCGGCAAAAATGCAGCCCTTCTGAGCATTATGAGTGTGTTTCCAAATTGGTTTTTTTCCCAAGCAGCTGCTTTGAATTCCTTCCGTAGCTTCCTCAATGTCTATTATTGTGATGGCTGCGAAAAGAAGCTGTCTGCACGAGGCGAATATCTGTTATACACTAATGTCGATTGGCTGCGAAAAAGCAGAAGTGGATCCTTACCAACATCAACAATTACTCCTGGCGATTGACGTGTGAACGTTGCAGAACGGCTGTGCTGACGGCGGGTCCCGGAAAGACTGAAATGACCCGAAAATGTATGGCAGCATCCGGCCGGAAAGTGGATACAAGTTTGAGTATCCGAGCCGGATGCGGTTTCCGTCGGAACATCCGTACCGTAAAGACAAAAAAACAAGCCTTACTTCTTTGGCGAGGAGCGCCAGGCCAGCCGCTTGGCGAATATTTGCCACCCGCCGGTTGTTCCCCCCATTTTGAATTAACTATGGCATTGTGTTCGATTGTTTTTAGGGGCCTCGGCGTGGATTCAGTGGCTGTACTTGGTCCGCTGGCTCGCACGGCTCGCCTGGGAGTTTTTCACTTTGGCTCATTATGGCTCATTTTTCCTCACTGGGTTTTCGCGTGAACCATCTGGGGACTTTTTTCTACAGTGTGAATGGCATATATAGTATAGGTACGGCTTGGCGAGAGGTTTTCTTAACTTGCTAGATATAGAGGGTAGGTTGATGTTGACAGAAATCAAGGTAGGCTTGTCGGTGGCATTGTTCGACGGTTAGGAATCCTGGTATCGATGGCAAATGGCAAATTGGTTAGACGTGATTGCTGTACTGGTTCTGAGTCTGCAGTACAATTGGGCCCTGGTGTTTTGCAGCCACGACTTGACCTGGTCATCGATTATCGTCTTTCTGGAGATCTCGGTGGGAAGGCTTCATTCACCGATACTTCCGAGTCAGCCAAGAAGGAGGGCGTGGGGCCAGCTACACTCTTCGTATGCACAAGGGACTATATCGATACCTTTTATGGGGTTGTCGAGACTAGATTGGCTTCGAGGGGATTGCCTCAAGGATTCTTGGACAGCAACTTCCAAAAAAAGATTTTGCAATATGTTTTGGATTGATTTAACTTTGAATCAATTGCCTTGTTTAAGTACGTCTTGGCGAAGTTGAAGCCCTACATCAACATTGCTCGCGGTAGTAAACGTGGGAAATGGACGAGGAACGACAATCTGGAGGGACAGTTACGACGTGTAGAGCGTCTCAATGTATGTGTGTAGCTACCTGACGTTCTTTTGACGGCAGCCGTGCCTTGGGATGGCCAAGAATGGCAAATGGACGAAACCGGGTCAACATCCTGGTGAACGATAAGCATGGGTGGCGTCTGCATTGGCCATTTTAGGAAAGCGTGATCACTTCATTGATATCAATTGATTGAGTCAATGGCTATTTTAGGTCGTCGTTTTTCAACGCTTCGAAGGTTCGTAGAAGATCCAGATCACTTCGGTCAATATCGGGTGCATTGATCTCCACAATATGAGTCTTCATGACCTCCTTCCATCCACAGTTAGCGAACCTGACGTTGATCTAGAAGCGTGACTTTTCTAATTAAGAGAGATCTCTTTAACGAGAAAGCCATCTTCATTGGTTCTATCATTATCAAGAGGTACTGGCTGCAAATGAGTCGCATGTACAAGGACTGAGAAGATCACAAAGACTGGTTCACGACATTTCCCTAAGTCAAACGGTCACCTCTGGTAACTCGATTGCTATTTTTCCTGAGGAAACATTCAGGTCTCTTAAAAGAAGGAAAAGCCTTTTGATTAGCAAGTTGGTCTGCAACAGGGAGCCACAGTGATGGGTGTTGCATGTGCAGGAAAAAGGAAGAATTACGCCATAACTCGGCTTGATGGGCACCATAACGACTACTTTGGTGAAAATAAATAAATTTGCTATATTTCGAAAGTAATTTTTAGTGGTATAGTTTCTTTGTTTTAGGTTTTTAGGCTTGTTTAGAGGTTTTTGAACGTTTTTTCCACTTTTCTCGCGTCACCGGCCTTCATACCTACTCAAATTTCTACACAATAAACTAGCAATGTTGAATTATATTTTGACATTGTTTTGAGCCAAAATAACAATAGTTACCGAATTTGGGGATCATATAATGTCGGTAACCCAAATTAGTCAATAGTCCGATATAGTGTAACGGCTATCACGGTTCGCTTTCACCGAGCAGACCGGGGTTCGACTCCCCGTATCGGAGCTCTTTTTTTTTTTGATTTCGTCTCCAAAAGCTTGCAATATTGACATTTAGACAGAAGATCACCAAACAGCCTAAGATCGTCCTCCATCACCCTTCTTTCTTCTTTAGGCACCGGCCTACCTGAATGACTCTATCACCTGCCACGGACTCACCCTCTTTGCAACCTTAAAGTATACACAATGCCACCAACATGTTACAATTACGGTCAGCCGTATACCCTCCCTTGTTCCCCAGCTATAAAGCTTATCCCAACAATCAGTCACCTCGAAAACAAACTTTTTCACAAATCAACCACGCACAGACTAACCCCTAATACATAGCACACGCGGCGTTAGATGCCTTTAGTAAAAGTGCCCCAAACGGCTAAAACGGCCACCCAAAGGCACGAAATCTCCATCTTTTTTGCAACCCCACAATGCTTACCCACGCTTACTCTGCTACGGCTCGAAATTTACGGACAAATAATGGAAATCAAGTGGCTCTGCGAGTCCCGCCTATGCCAAAGCCTCGCTGGAGCTGATAAGATGCCTTAGAAGAACCACGCATCCATGAGCCATGAACACATTAGTCATCCCAATGCAAATCACTGTGGAGTGCAGCAGCATTAAGGCAATTTAGCCAAAACCATCGGCATCCTGAATGAAGATTCCGAAATATAAAAAAATATTACCTGAATCCCGTAAAGCGTATACTTTTCGCTTTAGGTGCTCGGAAAATCTCATCCTACGCTACTTTTTTTTTTTTTTAGCGGCGCCGCGCGCCAAGCCAGAAATACCTCTCCAACTGGAGTGGCCAAGCTAAAATATCCACTTCCAGTACTGGTGCCCAGCAATTCCTAGCATATTAATTCTGTCAGAAAAACGTCAAAATGTAGCTAAGCGAAAACAGCATTGTGGATGGTTTTCTTCAGGTACACCTTTTGGTGGTAGAAGCCAGTGGTGATGTTCGGCTGGAGAAACCTTCCATGTAAAAGCCCCCTGGCACGGCGAAAAACGCCGTGTGCCATGCGATGGAACGGCGCTTTTGCTCTTTTCTTTTCTGTGGGACCCTTCACAGGGAGACTCGGAAGATGTCTGCGACTGCCGACATGCAAAAAGAAAAGACCACGGAAAAAAATGACGAAAGAAAAAAGAACTAAAAAGGAGGAAAAGTAGCCACAAAACGCACAAACGAAAGGTTCCTGAGACACTTTTTACAAATGTCTTATGTCTGGTGAGAGAGGATTGTTTGTGGATTTTTTCATGTAGATATGTCTTTGGTGGAATCGCTTTGGTTGGTTTCGCTTCTCTTTTTTTGCCTGGCCTGGACGGCAACTAACGAGCTGCAAACGCCGCACAAGCACAGATAATAGGCGTTTTGCCCTAGGCCTACATTTTGCAACCGGTGGGTGTGAACCTAATTTCTCCCGGGTGCCGTTTTCCATCTTCGATAACGCATCTCCGCATGAGGCAAAATGGATTACCGGGGCCTGGGGGCATTTGGGCGCTCGCGGGCTTCACTTATCGGTGCAAATTTCTGTCCATTGATAGTCTCCTCATACCTTCTTATAAATAACCTCCACACTGCCTTTTCTGTTGCAGACCTTGCCTGTTTTTTTTCCTACTTTATCATGTCTGCTGAAAAGGATTACGAGAAGTCTCCAGATGAGAAGATGGTGGACGAGAAGTTCATCAACGCTGACGAGAAGTCGCTTGAAAAGTCCCAGGATCTTGACTCGTTGCCCCAGTCTGAGGAGGGTGCTGAGCCTACCGATGAGGAGATGAAGACCCTCAGACGTGTGTCTAGAAAGATTCCTCTTTCTTGTTGGCTTGTGGCCCTTGTGGAGTTGTCTGAACGTTTTTCTTACTACGGTTTGTCTACTCCTTTCCAGAACTACATGCAAAATACCAAAAACGATACTCCTAAGGGTGTGTTGGGTTTGAACCATTCTGGTGCTACTGCCTTGTCCTACTTTTGGCAGTTTTGGTGTTATGTCACTCCAATTTTTGGTGCCTGGATCGCTGATACGTTTCTTGGTAAGTACCTTACCATTTGCGTCTTCTGTGTGATCATGATGATTGGTATTTTCATTTTGTTCATCACTTCGCTTCCTTCGATCGCTTCTAAGGATACTTCCTTGGCTGGTTTCATTGTGGCCATCATTGTCATTGGTATCGGTACCGGTGGTGTCAAGTCGAACGTCTCGCCTTTGATCGCTGACCAGGTCCCTAAATCCAAGCCTTCCATCAAGATCTTGAAGTCAGGTGAAAGAGTCATTGAAGACCCTAACATTACCATTCAGAACGTTTTTATGTTCTTTTACCTTATGATTAACGTTGGTTCGCTTTCTGTCATTGCAACCACCGAATTGGAGCACAATGTTGATTTCTGGGCTGCTTTCCTCTTGCCGCTCTGCTTTTTCTCCATTGCCATCGCTGCTCTTGTCTTGGGTAAGAACAACTACGTCAAAGTCCCAGTTGGTGACAAGGTCATTTCTCGTTCTTTCAAGTGTTCCTTTGTTGCCTTGAAGAGCCTCAGCTACGACGCTGCTAGACCATCTCTTCACCCAGACAAGGAGTTCCCATGGAACGACAGATTTGTCGATGAGGTTCAGAGATCTTTGTACGCCTGTAAGGTGTTTGCTTTCTACCCTATCTACTGGTTGGTGTACGGTCAGATGAACAACAACTTTGTCTCTCAGGCTGGTCAAATGGAGCTTCACGGTTTGCCTAATGATATCTTGCAAGCTATCAACTCCATCACGCTTATTGTGTTTATCCCAATTTGTGAGAGATTCGTCTACCCATTCATTAGAAGATTCACTCCTTTCAGAGCCGTCACCAAGATTTTCTGGGGTTTCATGTTCGGTGCTGCTGCCATGGTCTACGCCGGTGTGTTGCAACACTTCATCTACAAAGCTGGCCCTTGTTATGACCACCCAATGGCTTGTGACCCAGCATTCAAGCATGTTCCAAACAATGTCCATATTGCCCTTCAGACTCCTTGTTACTTCTTGATTGGTATGTCTGAAATTTTTGCTTCTATTACCGGTTTGGAGTACGCATACACCAAGGCTCCAGTGAACATGAAGTCTTTCATCATGTCTATTTTCCTTCTTATGAATGCTTTCGGTTCTGCCCTTGGTATTGCGCTTTCTCCAGTTTCTGAGGACCCAAAGATGGTCTGGACCTTCTGTGGTTTGGGTATCTCTTGTTTCATTGCTGGTTGGATCTTCTGGTTCTTGTTCAAGCACTACAACTACAGAGAGGACGAATGGAACAGTTTGGATTACAATGATAAGAATGGTGAACATAACGACCCTGAGTTGGAGCCTGTGGTTTCGCTCACCCGCTCTTTCAAGCAGTTGCGTTAGAGCAAACTAGTTCTTCTAGATGTACGATTAATAGTGTAACGAGGTTACGGTTTAACACGGAAACATACGAAAAATATTCACCAGTAGAAACCCATTCACGGCACAAAGAATAAGCCTTACCTCCGGCCACAGTCCTCCCCACAGATTCAATGTTGCAATCTCGAAAACTGTGGTACTCCATAAAATAGCAAATTACTGGAAATGTCACCGTGGGGTACGTGAGGCTTTTCGGGAAAGAACAATCATATGGTTGGATCTTGCATCAGCGTCGGCACTCTCTCGCTAGCTCTTGCCCAGGAGATCTAAGGATAATTTTGGCCAGTAGCGAGGCTTGTTCGAGGCGTGGAGGAGCAGTTCGTGCTGTGGAGACCAGGAGGCCAGGTAAAAACGCCCAAAGAGCCACACGGGGTAAACTTTTAGGTAGCGAAGCGAATCCTCGGTTAATGGATGATAATTGTAAGAATCTGATTTTTAAGGTTTATTTTAATTTTTTGAAGATTTTTTTTGGGTTGGATAGTACGCTTACAGACTGGGTTTATAGTTTTTCGCAGCCAATACTCATACCTCTATACTAGTTGCAAATGAGTAGTTTAGGAGCCAAGTCCACACCATACATTCACGAAATAAAGGGAAGCGAAGCTGTAAGAGAGATTAACTTATGTAAACCCTATCCCATTTGTATAATCAGACAATTTTTTTTAAAAAAAAGGCATCTGTCTGCCCTTTAATACTAATACGATGACTGGCAAGACCGTGAACATTGTTTCCACACGTCCCTTCCCGTTCGACTTGATTCAGCTATTCCAAATCTCCTAAAACAAAAAACACAATTTCTTTTCACTTTTCCCAAAACTCTCCGTTTCCCAGTCACTTTGGCTCGCTTCGTCATGATCAACCAACACCTGTTGACGAGGGCCTGCAGGGCGACGCGCCTACACTTGAGGATAAAATCATCACCGACTCCGAGTCAGAACGGTCCTGCCAGGGTTAATCTCCAACTTCTGCTATTAAATGGATGCTACCCAGCCTACGCAGACGCAGCCGACACAACAGTCTGCGCCCACTCAGCGGGAAGACGATGCGTTTGACGAAAACCACGTTTGCAGACTCATTTGCACGACTGGTCAATACAGACACTTTGACTTGAATAAGAACGTTCCGACGCGAACGCCGACACTGCTGCTGAAAAAGACATGGTTGTTTGGACGGAATGGTGAATGTGACTTTGTTTTAAGTGTTTGCACTCGACTTTCGAATAAACATTTCAAGCTATGGCTTAATTTAAGCGACAAGACCTTGTGGATCCAAGACACGTCCACGAACGGCACGCATCTTAATGGAAACCGTTTGGTGAAGGGTTCAAACTATATTGTGAACCAGGGAGATGAAATTGCTGTTGGTGTGGGCGTGCCGAAGGATGTTATACGCTTTGTTGTGCTTTTTTCCGATACTTATAACCCCCTGAACTCGTCTAACAACCTTGTGATCAAGGATGAGGGCATTTATAAAGATTTCATTATCAAGAACGAGACCATTGGTCAGGGCGCATTTGCTATAGTGAAGAAGGCGGTGGAGCGAAGTACTGGTGACTCATATGCCGTTAAGATGATCAACCGTCGAAGAGCTATACACGCAGGTGGTAAAGGGGCCATGATGGGTGTTAATAGAGAGCTCGAAATTCTTCGAAAGCTTGATCACAAGAACATCGTGAAGCTCAAGTCGTTCTATGAGGATATAGAAAACTACTACTTGGTCATGGAGTTCGTGCCGGGTGGTGACCTCATGGACTTCGTAGCTGCAAATGGCGCTATCGGTGAAGACGCTACTCAGGTTATTACCAAGCAAATATTGGATGGTATTGCTTACGTGCACAGATTGGGAATCTCCCACAGAGATTTGAAGCCGGACAACATTTTAATTATGCAAGACGACCCCATATTGGTGAAGATTACTGACTTTGGCTTAGCCAAGATTAGCGATAACGCTACATTCATGAAGACGTTTTGTGGCACCTTGGCTTATGTCGCCCCAGAAGTGATCACTGGAAAATATGATCTGCAACAAGCGTCCCAGGACTCACCACATATTAACTATAGTAATTTGGTCGATATATGGTCTCTTGGATGCTTAGTTTACGTCCTTTTGACATCGCATTTACCTTTCAACGGCAAGACTCAGAGCCAAATGTTTCAAAAGATTAAGAGCGGCGAGTATCATGAATCGCCCCTTAACTCTTATGAGATTTCTGACGAAGGACGCGACTTCTTGAAGTGCTGCTTGCAAGTTGATCCTAAAAAGCGTATTGTTGCAGACGAAGCATTGCACCATCCGTGGCTCGAAGGGGTAGAACCTTACTCGCAAGAATCTGAGGAATCGCAAAAGGTGAGCTTATCACAATCGACTTCTCAGAAGTCAAGAAAGATTGAAAATGGTCTCCACGTCAATGCCTCTATGAGCAAGCTTGATGACGATGTGATGTTCAGACCATTGGAAGGCGAGAAGAATAAGAAACCAAAGGATAATAACTCGCAATTTAAGGTTCCCAGAAGAGTGGTACCTCTACCTCAATCTCAACCACTCCATCCAAACTCACAGAAAGTGAATGTTGCTGCACAAACACTGCCATTGAAGCGTAAAAGTGATGAAAGCGGCCGAAAGCGTCCTCCTCAAATACTTGAAGATGATGATACTCCCAAGCGAGCAAAGCTTGATGTGGACGCTGTCAAGCAACTCAGCTTAGAGGGGCCCAATGGAGTATTTGATGGTCCTCCTGAGGATAACTTCATCACCTTAAAACCTGAATCAGATTCTGTCACAGACAAACCGATCTATATCCGCCAAGGAGTCAATCCTTACGCAATCGGAAGAAACGAAACTTGTGACACTTTTATCAATGACGACAGGATGTCCAAGATACATTGCCTTATTCATAAAAGGCGCCATCCAGTCACGCAGGTTTCCATTTACGAAAGTCCGGCGCATTGCTTGGAAGATATCTGGATTCTCGACTTCAGCACGAACTCATGCTTTGTGAACGGTGTGAGACTCGGAAAGGGCAAGAAGGTTCAGCTATTTAATAATGACAGAGTCGATTTCTTTGTTGATGATACTGTGAACCAGCTGATGGGCTACAAAGTCCAGATTGATGACACGACCGGGCTCTTCAACGGCGGGGAGAAATTGGAGGACAAGTTCGTTAATGTACTTCAGTTCGACAGTAACGACATCAAGCTAAGACCTCCAGTGGTATCTGTTGCTAATGTACCAGGCAAAGCAGAGCATGAAGGTAGAAAGTCGTCTTTGCCAAGTCAGGAACTTGGTGGAGGAATATCGGGTGGAAATGGGGGAAGCTTCAATTCACTGCTTCGCTTACAAAGACGTCTTCATGATAGTGCTAAAGCACCACCAAAACCTCACCAATCGAAAAGAGCTAGCCTTCAAAGCGGGCAAGAACGTCCTCAGAACTCGTGGGCGTGATTCATTCACTGATCATTATAATTCGTACATATAATAGGGTAATTTAATTAAAACGTGGCACAGCAGGCTTCTTCGGGCTCAACCTGAATTGGCGAATCTCACTAACCATGTTCTCTTTATCCAGGCTGGTGACAGCCTGCGGAATCGTAGGTCTCTTAGCATAGTCATTGACGGATGGTGATCCTCCTGAATTAGAAGAGTCCACCAAGCGACGGAGCTTTGTGGTTTTCGTAAGGCCCTGAATGATCTGGTCCTTATCACGTAGCGTCTCTTTAAGCAGCATAATCTCTTCCTCTTGCAGCTTAAGCAAGGAATCATATTGTCTGTCCGAACGTTTCTCAGTTTTGTTAGAGTCTGCCATTGTGGCAGCTGCTAACTGTTGATAAGTTGACCGGAGCTGGTTCTCTAAAGACTGATTGTATTGCTTGTGCTGCTCCATTTCATGTGTCAACCGTTTGTAAAAATCTTCTAGATTAGCCATCATCATTTGTTGAGATGATTTATCGATATCCATTCCTAGGATATCGTTAAGAGCATCGTTTCGTAGAAGAATGACTTCTGTTTTGTTCAAGTCCGCAAGGCGATTAAGATGTTCAATTTTCTCGTTAAGCACCTTGATTTCGGCCTGTAGTTGTGGCACAACGGAGTCTCCCGATTGCTCTGACATGGGCAGGGAAGCACCGGGATGTAACTTCAAAAGGGCAAGTTCATTCTTTTGATTTTCCACAGTCCGTTTGAGATCTTCAATCATCTTTTGAGCCTCCAGGTCGCCAATCGACAGTTTGCGGTTGGCCTTAACCGAAAGCAAAATATCCTTCGCCCTTGCGGCAAAACGAAGAGTGTTAGTGGTCTCTGTAACAAACTGCTGGGTAAGTGCCGATTGACTCAGCCCCAAATGAACATTACATAGAATCAGGATAAGGGCCAGCCCGGAAAGTGATGGTTGAAGAAGTCTTGTAAGCTTCGAATCTCTGTATGGGATATGATCCATAGTGCCCGAGGTTGAAGCTAAGGACAACTTATTGATGACTGTGGAGAGTGCAAGAAGAGACTTATTAATAAAAGATCCTTCCTTCCGCCTCTCAGCACACAGAGTAGCCCTTTCAGAGCCTGCCAAATCACAAAGTGAGAGGGTCGACTTGTGTTCGGAATTCAAGGCCATATCAATAGTGTGAAGGCGTAACTGTAGAATTGCATGAGAACGAGACAGTCTTGCGTTGTAGTCTGTAGCAGATGTCTTACGCTTTAGGTCACCAGCTTTTATAAGTTGAAGCAATGATTGTTTCGAAGAAACAGTAGGGCTGCAAACACCCATTATCTTCACACCGTATTCGGGATAGTCTCTTATTTTAAGTTCGGAATGTGAGCTATAAGCAGCTGAGCCATTGGCTAATAGATCCACGATTTTCTCATTATAGATCTCCAAGTAAGTGACAGAAAGCGCATAGGAGCATCCCAGGTTAGGGGAGTCTATCTTGTTAAAAATATCGTCAATTGCCAAACGAACAAAACCAGGGTCGTGATCTTCACCACGCATGGAGTACGTTTTACCAGACCCAGTCATACCATAAGCGAAAAGTGTGGAGTTATAACCTTCATGGAGAAACTTGTTGACAATATGAGCACAGGAACGGTTGTAAACAGTTCTATTAGTAACATCTAAGGAAGCGCCAAACACATTATCAAATGTGTAGGAGGAACTGTCTTGGGCATTGGTGATGGTATTCGAGTACTCTTCAATCAGCCAAATCTGGTTCTGAGAGTTCCCACTTGTATGAGGATTCGGTCTAATACTCACAGTAATTGACCCAGTATACGGGTCAGGTCTAAAAGTAGGAGTAGATGGCCTGGAGCCAAAACTTGAGGATGGTCTTGAAGATGCAACATGAGGCAGTTGAGGCCTATAGCCTCTAGCAGATGCCGGTCGTTTAAGGTCAGAAAGACTTTGCCTTGGGGTGGGGGTTCCTCGTCCAGAACGGTACATTTATAGTGTTACAATTGGAAGTTAAGATATCAGTTAAAGCTGTTCTTAGAAAAGGTTAGTCCTGATGTAGAGACAGATAGTGTTTGTTTACATCAACTCCCAATTAGGCAAGTGGTGATCTAAGTGCTGATAAGTTATGAGTAGGGAGATGGAGAGCCAAAAGGGTATGTAAAAGGGAACTCGGCTCTTTAGTTCTTCTTAAATTAACAGTAGGTATCATATTTATTCAATGCTATGTTTGTTGGTGTAGTCATTTAACGTAATGGGTAATACTACTGAGCCGCGAGAATGGCTGCGAAAAGCATAGATGCTTGGGAGTACCAACCATTGAGCATGAAGTGGAGACAAAAAGAGATAAAAGACTTTCTTGATTTCCAAATCCCCAGTGTTATTCCCAATACTTCCGTATATTAGCTATCTTCTATACATTGAAACATGGCACGTCTGCTGGGTCCTTACCGTACTCTACCTTCCAGCCTCTGTACTTAGTATGGTGATAAGTGCCATATAACGAAAACGACAGCATGGCAAGAATCAGTTCTGCAATCGACATGAACTGGATTGAAATCGTGCACTCTGTGGCTATCACTGGCCTGACTTCTACGATGCTGCCAAACTGCACCAAGTCTCTTCTGATATCAGTGATATCGAGGCCACTAACGTACCACTGAGAAGGCTTAGGGTACTTCCCCAGTGAACTAGTCGCCAGAGGAGCTTTAAATGGAATCAGCAACTCAATGACTCTAGTGGCCTTGTTTTTGGTAGCGGCTGCCATGACATAATCTTCGACTGGGTGAATCTTGACAAGCTCAAAAGGACGTCTGCTTACCACTGGCTTGGTCCCGTTGACAACAAAGAGACCGGTTCGAGCGTACTTAGCAAAGGAATCCGCCGACTTGGAATGAAGAAAATGGACTTCGAGGAATGGTTCAGGGCAAGTCCCGGGAACAACCCTCTCAATTGGTCCTCCTCGAACACGAGAAACCACATCACAGACGCTGGCATCAGCAGGTAAGTCAAAGAGCATTACGCCCCTCTGTTCAGGTTCCTTACGGAAGTACAGAGAGTATCTCAGCTTCCGGCTGGTCTTCTTCTCCTCTTCGTACTCTGTTTGTTGGGCAAGCTTCCTGAACTCTTCAAGCAGTATATCCCTGCCATTATCCACCGGCTGGTCGACCTTATACCTAAACCGCTCGAATTGGTCGGTTATGAAGTCTTTCATTAAGTGCTTCTTACCGGTGGAGGCAAGGCTTCTGAAAGACCTGGGCCTTTGGCTCATGTCAGGGAGCTGGGGTAAGGTATCATATAAGACCCAGTTGGCAATGTTCAGGTCGTAAGGCTCATAGCCTCGGGAGAGCTGTGGATAGAAAGACATAGCAATTGTAGCGAGTTGGTTGGTTTTAGCAAGTGGTGGTGGGAAGTAGAGAAGAAAGTGGTAGCAGGTGTTCTTGTGTTTTGCAGCCATTCTGCTACTTATAGTGCGCAGCGAGGAAGGGACATAGATAACGCTTTTGGTAGTAGAAATCCAAGAGAAGGTTACTTTTGGGGCCCGTCCCAGACCAAGAAAGACCAATAGTAGTTTATATTTATATTCATTTCAATTATGTGTGTCTTTCGGTTGCAGCCTTCGCCATAGTATGCGAGACAGACTACCCGAGGAAGAGAGCACCACAAAATGTCCAAAACAGACACCCTTAGTGTACTAGAGAAAATAGCAAATCACCAAACGAAGGAAAAGCCAAACCCCGTCTCTTTTCCACCCAAATCAGGCGGTTTCGTCCTGCTATAGCCTTGGGCCTCTTCCTTCGTCTGCAGTACCCATCCAGAGCTCATCAGGGCCATCTCAAAAAACCATATCCATCTTTTCAGTGCATGTCCAGATCGTGACTATCCAGCCTTCTTAAGAAAATCCCACGTGCTAGCCAGTACATTGCATACGTTATGGACGGTCCAACCAAAAGAAGCGCATCGCCAGCCGCCGAATTGCTCAAGAAACCAAAGGTGTATGCTGCTCCAGGCAAAGTAGTTCTGGAGGCAGATGTGGGAGTGACTCAGTATATTAATGAGGCCTACAAAACGGGACCGGGTTTCTTCGGTTCAATTAAGCAGAGATACTCTGATTTTCAGGTCAACGAGATCACGTTGGACGGAACAGTGGTGCATTTGACTGACGAGGGCATCGACTTGGGAAAGACTAAGAAAGAAAGAAAACAGGAAAGAAGACTGAATGAACGTGCTGATCTTCAAGATAAGACTCCAGAGGAGATTGAAGCTATCAAGGCAGAAAAAGCAGAGAAGGCTACGGCTGAAGAAAAGCAGGAGAATGGAGAGAACCAGCCTAAGTACGAGCTCAGCGAGGACCACAAGGCTCGCTTATTGGAACTTCTTGCTCCAGAAGAGCTCCAGGAGGTTGAGGCTCTTTTCACGAACGGAGGAAACATGGAAACAAAGACAACTTTTGACGATAAGGCTACGAGAACGCAATTGCATCAACTCCTCAGACAAGCATTCCAGGGAAAGCTCGAAACCATGACTTCTCCTGAAAACACATTCAAAGTGGCCTTATCGAAGGGGACCAACAGCAAAAGAGGTCAGAATGTTAACCATGTCGACGACCTGGGCGTGATAAACTACGGGTTGGGCCCATTCAAGAACTACTTGCACTTTACGCTCTATAAGGAAAACAGAGAAACTATGGAAGTAGCTTCTATGATTTCAAAGTTCCTCAGAGTACCACACAAAGCGGTCAAGTACGCGGGAACCAAGGACCGTCGTGGTATCACTTGTCAGAGACTCAGTATTCACAAGGGTAAAGTCCAAAGAGTTACATCTCTTAACAAAGGATTGAATGGCTCGACTCTTGGTGGATTTAAGTACGAAAGCAAAGGCCTTGATCTTGGTGATTTACAGGGTAATGAGTTCTTAATCGCTATCCGTGACGTTAAGACAGAGACGGACAACTTGGAAGAGGTTGTTGACAAGGCCTTCAACTCTCTCAACGAAAAAGGTTTCATCAACTACTACGGTTTGCAAAGATTCGGAACCTTTTCAATTTCTACCCATGTCTTGGGTATTGAGCTTCTTAAGGATAACTGGAAGAACGCCGTTGACCTTCTCCTTGCTGAACAAGACAGAGTTGTGGCAGAGTCAGTGGAGTCTCGTAGGATTTGGGCTGAAACCAGGGATGCTAGTACAGCAGCCAAGCTCATGCCAAGGAGATGTTTTGCTGAACAGAACGTTCTCAGTTCTTTGGCAAAGGAAAAGAAGGTGAACGATACCGGCGAGGAGGACTATCACAAACAAGCATACTTCCGTGCCATAATGCAGATTCCACGTAACTTGCGTCTCATATATGTCCATGCTTATCAATCCTATGTGTGGAATATGGTCGCCTCGAAGAGAATTGAGCTTTTTGGGTTGCAAGTTCGTGAAGGCGACTTGATTATGGTGGAGCACAAGAATGCCGAAAGCCAAAAGGTCGTCTCTCTCGATGAAGATGGCGAAGAGTTCGAAGAAGATGTTGCAGGTACGCTTTCTGACAAGGTTCGTGCTCTTACAAAAGAAGACATTGACTCAGGAAACTTCTCCATTTATGATGTGGTGCTTCCATCTCCTGGTTACGACGTGGTCTACCCAACTAGCCCAGAACTCATGTCAGTTTACGAGCAGGTAATGGCTAAGGATGGCCTTGATCCCCACAATATGGGCAGGAGAGTGCAAGAGTTCTCCTTAGCAGGCTCCTACAGACCACTTATGGGAAAAGCATCACAGCTCTCATACAAAATTGTTAAACACAAGGACACTCAAGATCCGATCTTGAGAACGGATTTGGAGATTTTACGTGCTAAGAAGGAAAATGACACAGCTTTGGACAGAATCATCGATTATTCCGATTCCGAGGAAGCTACCCAGACCGGCATAGTCTTACAAATGAGATTAGGCGTAAGCTGTTACGCCACCATGGCGCTTCGAGAGTTTATGAAGGCCGACACGAGTCGGTTTAGTGCCAACTTCGACGTCAAGACCAATAATAAATAAGTAACGGTCACGTGTATGGACTCGTAACCTCCCTTTGACCCGACACCCGTAGGACCGGTGAGAGTGAGAACCCCAACCCCAGTAGTAGGAATATATCGAGCATTCCTTCACAATGGAATATCACCATATCACTCCACACTTGCTCCCACTCTGGTCATAGCTATACACAAAAAATGGTCAATTCTCCCAGAGTCAAGCTTCTTAATGCAGACTACGCCCGCAGACTCATCCAATCGCCTGGACCACGTGTAGTGCCAGTGGATGCCACTTGGTACATGCCCAACTCGCCTAAGAATGCTAAAACGCAATTCGCTCAGGAAGATCGTATCAAGAATTCGACTTTCTTTGATTTGGACTCGGTATGCTGCCGTACGAGCAAGTATCCGCATATGCTTCCCCCTCACAGATTGTTCGACAAGGAGGTTGGCAAACTTGGGATCAAGCCTGATGATCTTCTTTTGGTGTATGACAGACAAGGTATCTTTTCTGCACCAAGAGCAGCGTGGACGTTCGCTCTTTATGGCCACCATAATGTGTACTTAGTGGATCATTACCCTCAGTATAAGGAGAAGTACCCTGTTGAGACCGGCCCTATCCGTGAGTCCAGCAATGAAGCAAAGGACGAATCCGCTTATAACGGAATCGATAATACCGAGTTTGGTAAGAACTACCGCGAGCAGGTCATCGAGTTTGACGAATTGGCTGATTTGGTCGTGCTGAGGAACTTGGACGAGTACTATGTGTTTGATGCCAGAAGCGCAGATAGATTCCATGGCAAAGCTCCAGAGCCTAGAAAGGGATTGCTGTCTGGACACATCCCAGGAGCGCTCAATTTGCCATTTACCAAGGTGTTGAATGAAAGTGGCCAGTATAAAACAAAAGAGGAATTAACAGAGCTCTTCAAGAACGAGTTTGGCCTTGACTGGAACCAACCTTTGGACAGAAAGGGCGTTATCGTCATGTGTGGCACGGGCGTAACAGCTGTGATCCTTCGCTTGGCAATTGAAAAGGTCAATTCCGAAGTACCTATTCGTGTCTATGACGGGTCATGGACCGAGTGGGCTCAAAGAGCGCCTGACTTGATCTCCGAGGGAAACTTGTAAGGCTAGCTCCAAATCCTGACAGTCTTGTCGACACCTCCAGTAACGAAAATACATCTCATGTTTTGCTCAATCTTCTTAAGAATAGCCTCTTCGGTCTTCTCGGCGTCTTTGGGGATATAAACCTCAAAAGGCGCCATGTGCACCGTATTAACAAAGCCTTCATGCGCTTGCAAAGTCTTGACACAATGAACCAGACCCTTTTCTATTAGTGTAGAGAGATCCCAAACTCGTATAGTTTTATCGTCGCTACCACTGAAGACAAAACGGCCCAGTGGATGTATACTCAAACTCTTGACCCATGAGTGGTGCCCTATAAGATCAGCCAAATGCCAGCCTTGTGAATTATTAAGCTCTGATGGTGCTGGAGGACGATTAGGACGCATGATAGGTGGCGGTAGAAGCCAAAGCTTGATTAGGTTGTCTCTTCCAGCGGAAATACAGTACTTGTACCCTAAATTCTGATGGTAGGCTGGATTATCAAGAATCTCCTGAGACAAAGAGGGCATCTTGTCCAAAATCAGCAGCACGTACCCATCAATGTATTTGTTTGAAAGCATTGGCAAGAATTTAACAGTTTCAATAACATGTGTGTGTCCTAGAAGAAGAGCAAGGCCGATACCAGAGCTGGCGTGGGAAAGTCTGATAGACTGATCATTAGAGCAAGTCAAAAGGAAGTCGCCCATAGATGGCTTTATTTCTCCAAATGCAAGAAGATTATCCACAGAAGCTGCGTCCACGTCCCTAGCCCATTCACTATGACCAACAAACTTCCGAATGCAAGTGCCATTGGTAAGATCCCACACACGAACAGACAAGTCTCGAGACACCGAATATAGAATGCCCGGATTAGAAGGCGAAAATGCAACTGACGACACTGTATGTTCATGGCCCGTGAGCGTCCTCACATGCTTCAATGAATCTCCTTCCCATATCTTCACAGACAAGTCCAGAGACGAGGAAGCCAATAGCCAATTTTTAGGTCCATTGTCCATCAAAGCAACTGGAATTGGCAGCCACCGTAGCGCTGTGACGCTTCTAGTATGTGCTGAAATCATTTTTTCAGGAATGGCCAGTGAATCATGGACCAAGTTCCATGCAATGATGCTTCCATCAGAACCACCAGCAGTCACCAAAGGAAGCAGAGGGTGAACAGCAACAGCATTAATCAACTGCGTAGACAGAGTCTTGTATGTTTTTGAGTTGATGTTGGGAAGCCAACCAAGTTTATCTCTAGGAAGCACCAAGGCAGAACCATTCAGTTCATTGTGAGAAACCGAGTCAAGAAGCAGCTTGTACGAAGAAACCTCATTTTCCAAATCCAAGATCTTCTTCTGGAGACGAACCACCGTCGTCCATTTTTTTTCCAAGTAGTTAGGCACGATTTCCTCGTCGTGTGGATTGATCTCGAGAAGCTGCGCTAGGTTCGGTAGAAGCTCGTTGCCGAGCTCTGCAGAAGCTGATTTCGAGTGAATGTATTGGTAGATGGCCTTGTGAAGCTCTCCACGTTGTTTGGACGTGAGAAGAGACATTTCTGGGACTTATTCTAGCTTAGTACGTTGGTATTGATCTGGTTCTGTTTTCATGCCCATGTTAGTAAATACAGGCGCGATGTCTAATCTGGGGTGCACGAACCTCCAGAGATCTATGTCTATACACCAGGGTTGGCGGCAGGGGACTGTTGGAAGGTCAGAATGGGAGGCTGGGTTGTTTTAGTGGATGGTTTTTTGTCTTGAGAGATTTTGGTGGGTGTAGAGCCTTTCTGTTTTGAGAGAGAGGACCCAAGCCATCCACTGTTGGGCTCCATAAGCCCTAGTCCCAGTGAAATCTATAGCAAACGATAGACTGGTAGCTTCACTGTAAATATGCTTCCAACAACGTACGCCGAGGCGTTTCCCAATAACTTCAACAACAACCATTACTTCTTCAAAGCAGCGAAACGGGCCTTCAATTCGTCAAACTCCAGCTGTGGCGGCTTCGGTGCTGTTTGCTTCACTACGCTAGGCCTTTGGCCAAACTCTGCTTCAATTGGGGCCTCAGGCAACCCGCCCCCGCTTCCAGAATCCGAGTCCGATCCTGGTTCTTCATCCTTCAGAAGCTCGAGCTTTGGGGGTTCCTCCTTGAGTCCCAGGTATGGAACACTATAGGTTCTGGCGATCTCCCCAAATACAAGTCAACTAAAACCTCTGAAGGTGGATCAACTGCACATCTCTTCACAATTTTCTCTGGAACGTACTCCCCATCAGTATTGCTCTGCACGGCAGCTGCAAACTCCGGACCATATCTATGCTTGAATAAATCACCCAAAGTAATCAACTCCTTAACCTCCGTATGGTGACAGGAGTAGATCACCAGCAGAACAGCTTCTTTTAGGTTAGGGTCCACCTCATGTCTCAGAGTATCCAAAATGATCGAGATTCTCGCAAGCAAAAGCTCACAGTAAAGCTCGAGAAACTCCAAAAGCTCAATGTAGATATCGTCACGAATGATATTCTCCACTCTAATTTTGGCACTAGACTCTTTACCAGCACTCAACAAGTCAGCCAATTGCCTTCTCTGTTGCTTGGTGAGAGCGGTTTTCTTCTCCTGAAGAAACTTCAATTTTGAAATTGCCATTTTGAGGCTTGTTTTGTACTTGACAGAATTGACTTGTAGTGGAGGCATTGTTTAGCGTGGTTGGACAGGTATGGCTATCTTATCAGTCTCACTGGCCTGATTATACTATGAATACTGGGGCAGCACACCCGTACCCCATCACCAGTTCCCCAGACAAAGCAGTGTTTCATTTAAGGCACAGACTACTGGAATATCGTTATGATATAAAATTGAAGTGATCCTCTTTGGTTAGGCACGCTATCTAATATGTGCTAATTTGTTATTGCCTTCTCAATGCGTGGTCATAACTCGCGTTGTTTCTGAGCTTGGTCTTGGTTATACTTACTATGAGACGAATATTATCAAGGTAAGTCCCAGAAGTGATCATGCATTATAATGTGGCTCGTCAAGGTTAGCTATATATCAGCCACCAGATCAACTGAATCCCTTTCTCTATCTTCTCCATGCCTATTACATTTGTTACGTGTGCACCAGTATATATGCCACCCTTATTCGAGCATATAGATACATTCTATGTGTTGGAGAAAGGGGATAAGAATATTTCCCAACCGATTTCCCAGGCTCTTTCTGAACAGGTACAAAAGCGTACATCCACCTACGTATCGCATTGTACTCAAGGATTTGATGTGTCAAACGAGCACTATCAAGTTTCAGAGTTTAAGTTTCGACGTGGCGGCAGAGGAGCACCACCTTGGGGAGATGAAAATTGGCAAGCTGCTTGCTTCAAGGCAGGTGTCGATAAGTTTGGTAGCGGCCCCAATTTCGAGGAAAAAGTTCCCATGCTAGTGTATGCCGTTATTGATTATCGCCTGCTCTCTGACATGTACCAGAAGGCATCAAAAAAGAATGGCACAATTGGAGGTGACTGCGTGTTTGAAGTGAACGACAGCCGGCATCTATTCAGTGGGTCCACATATCCGATGACCCACGATTTGTGGGGGCTTCAGTTACAGAGGAATATGAAACAATTGAATAATAGGAGGTTAAGATACAGAATGAAGCTTGAAGCGAACTTCATTAAACCGGCTTCTTTTTCCCAAAGCGACAATCATAAGATCATTCTTCCTGGGACGAATGTAGCCGATGTGCTTTCCCTCGGTTTGAAATTTCTGAGAACAATATTTGGCCCTTCAAAATCAGATGTCTTTACAGTCCATAAGGTAACAGTGGCATTGAAAGAGCTTACTTGTGCCCCAAGGTGGCAGGGAGACAGGATATTGCTTTACAACTCTTCCAAGTACTTGCGAGAAGAAGAACTCCTTAATGTTAATGTCAAGGAAAAAATACACTTTGATAGAATAAAGGAGCGTCCTTGCGTTTACTGGTTACCACGTAAGTTGTATGACTGCCAAATACCACCAATAGGTCCGACCTTCTTCTCCAATACATTAACGCGAAGTTATGCTTTGGAGATAGCTGTATATTTTAAGCGGGACGGCAAGCCCAAGCCGATTGTATGCTCCACTTTTGTGGAGATATGTGTTGCAAGGAAAGATACTGATTTCAAACCCAGCATTGCAAAGTTAGAAACGCCTGTCCCATGGGAAAACAAGCCTCATCGTACTCTTATTTGCACTGAGACTTTTGCTCGTTCCAGCTTCGTGCCTCATTATATTGGCAAGTCATGTTTTGAGAATTCCTGGTCTGATAATGCTTACATTCATGGGTATTTGACCAAATGCTTCATCACTAACACGGGTGTGCTTGCAGTGACCAAAGTGGATGTTTTTGGTTACCGAAGCCTGGATGAGAAGCTTTTAAAGCGTGTGCGTGAAAGGAACACCCATATGGGTGGCAGTAATGTGCCTATTGACAATTGTGTTCTGTGCAGAGTTTTGACTCCGAAAGAGGTCGAAAACGTGGACGGCTTTAGATCCCCTGAACCATATGGGGGCCTCTTTGTAAAGGCCGGGTGGCAATACCAGGAAGCCCCTCTCTCTTTTGCCTTCTTTGACAAGAAAGATAAGTATGATACTCACATATTTAGAGCAAAAGATCTTTTTCCGGGTGGCTTCCCACTGACATGGTATCTTGGTCTCCAAGCCACATTCACTAAACACAAGTATTTCAAGCAGTCAGATGATGCTAATGTTGTAAAGCAGGACATCAACTTTTCTGAATTTTTGAAACTTCGCTTGTTTTACCCAATGGCATTCAACGACGCATGCCATCGTGCCGACGTTCAAGGAGATCATGAAATAACTATTACTGGTGTTCTGATTATTCTACGCAAGATAGATGGAACTCATGAACGAGGCGATGAAGATACTACTAAAGTTTATGATTTTTTAGTACATGATCGGGTATGTCAAGAGAGTTTTAAATGGAGTGAATTTGATGGCTGTGACATGAATGATCCGTGCAATGTTACTATGGATGTGCCTAAAGATCTTATTGATTCCAAGTTTCCAAGTGTTTCACCTACGATTTATTGCAATCTGTATCACAGACGCTATAAGTTGAAGATAGTTATGGATGTAAGGGTGAGGATGGGCGTTTGGGAGGTCCAGCGTTCCATGAAAGTCCGCCTCCATATCAACATTGCTTCGATCCATAATTATTGAAAAGACTACAGATATAACTAATTTACTAGTGAAGATTGAAATTCAAGCACATGTAAGTTATATTGGCGACCTAAAGGCATCGGACAGTGGCTTTGATATGTCGAAGGCGAATGAACGTAACAAGCGACACAAAATGATGAGAATTGCCTGAATAACAGTGAAAAAGATTATGAACCTCCTCCTGACAAAAATAATATTAGGATCTCTTACCTGCTCTGGTAATAACTTCCAGAAAAAAACGAATGATGAAAGTAACGAAAACATCATCGCCAAATAGAGGAGGCCCTCCAAGTCTTCCTTAGCCTCAAGGTATTCAGCCGATTGTCGAAACGATAAATCTGAATTTGATAGAGTTACATTAGTCACTTGGTTCTCAAATGCTTTTTCCAGATCGCCGAACTTAGGTACGTAGGTCAACAGAATAGACAAAAGTATCACCAGAGTAAAAAACGATACACCTGTCACTAGGACGTATTGCACGTGTAATTCATCTTCATCCAAAGTTTTATAAGGGTGAGGAATAAGTCTGAGGTGAAATGCTAGCCATGATAAAACATCAAGGAACTTTTTTTCCCTGCCAATTTAAAGCACCTTCCAATGCGGTGGAGTTGATCTGCTACCTGATCCATCATATTGTTGAGATGAAATCTGCAAATCAGAAAAGGAGGTTTGGAAAAAACTGAAGCCAACCAGGGGTGGTGGATTTCACGTATACTTATAGTCGGCGACCACTTTTTGCAGACCCCCTCCCTGTCTTGTTTAAAGGAGGGCTGGACTCAAACCTGAACAGATAATTTTAGACAGTACATAGCTAGAATGTTTGGCTTCGGTAGTCATGGAAATTCCTGTTTACTTTTCATATTCTTACGTCTTTTTTCGTCTGCTTTACCTCACTGGCTGAAGAAAGTGAAACACTTATGAAACAATACTCAGACACTTCGGTCACATGGAAGATCATAAGTTCGTTCAGTCGGTCATAAAGTAAAATTGTCTATTTTATTTGTCCTCGTCAGTTTCACTATATCTTCAGTGTTGCAAATATTATCCATTACCTTGGCGCCCCTACGACTTTTCTTAATCAAAGCTTTGTTCTTATACTTACTGTTATGCATTAATAAAGCGTGACAAGTTGTTGTACCTGCTATCGGATAAGACTTTCCGCCATGGTGGACTGGGCGAACCTTATCTATTTCTTTACGCTTCTCGCTGTTGAAAAGCCACCATCAGTTATGAAATTTTTTGTCGATCAAATTGATACCATCTACATTTTGGAGAAAAGAGATAAGGTTGGTTCGCCTCAGGTCTCTCCAGGACTCTCTGAAGAGGTGCAAAAACGAATATCGAGCTACGTCTCGCAAAAAACACAAGGGTTTAATGTATTGGACAATCATTATCAAGTTTCAGAGTTTAAGTTTCATCGTGGCAAAGGAGAGGGACCATTTTTGAACGATGACCATTTGAACGCCACGCGCTTGAGAGCGGGTGTCGATAAACTTGGTGATGGTCCCAATTTCGAGAACGAAACTCCCTTGCTAGTATATGCCGTTATAGACTGTCGCCTGCTCTCAGAAAAAGGCCAGAAGTGGAATGAAATGCATGGGGCCATCATAGGTGACTGTTTGTTTGAGGTAAATGATAGGCGGTATGTTTTCAACAATGTCAGGTTACCAATGACACATAACCTTTATGGACTTGACTTTAAGAAAAACATACCTTTCATGAGAGCTAGGCATCCCGAATTCACATTCCTGCTCGGTGCTAAATTCATAAAGCCCTTTTGTTTTCGCCAAAAGATATCTCAGAGGATAGTACTTCCAGGCATGGATGTTGCAGATGTGGTCTCACTTGGAATAACTTTATCAAATCCTGGCTCATCTAGACTACATCGAAAGCATAGGCAAAAACGCTACATGATCGTCAAGGTCACCGTTGAATTGATGGAATTGACTTGGGCCCCAAGTTGGAAAGCAGATAATGTGTCTCTAACCAATGTCTCGCAACACTTGCGAACCCAGAAACTTCTTGACGTCATTGTCCAGGAAGAAATCTGCTTCAATGCAAGAAAATCGAACTGCAATATTCGCTCAATACCTCGCAAATTGTATAGTTGTCTCTTACCGTCAGTGGGACCTACGTTTTTTTCAAATTCCTTGTCAAGAAGTTATGCCTTAATGATAACTATTCGATGCAGAGAAGCAAACGGGCTAGCGACGTTTACGTGTAGCTCATTTATGGAAATATCTGTTGCAAAGAAGGATACGAGTTTTACTCCAGGACTTTCAATCCAAAATATTTCCTCCCCCACAATATCTCGGCCTCGTCGCACTCTTATTACCATTGAGAAGTTTCTACGCCCAAATTTCTCGCCCCATGACGTCGGTAAATCGTGTTTCAATGAGGCTTGGACTAAAAATGCTGTCCTTCGTTCTTACCTGACAATGTGCTATACGTCTGTCGAAGAAATAATTGCAGTCACGAAGGTTGATGTATTTGATTTTCTGCATCGTGAGCTAAACCTTTTGTACCAAGAAACCAAGACATTTTGTGTTACACCGTTAGGAGGTGGGCCGCAGAACATTGGCACCGAGATTATGATATATGAGGTGTTACCGAAGGAAAAGTTTAATAATTCTGATGGAAATGAATCGAAGAGACGTTATGGCGGCTTATTTCTACGCTTGAACGACAGACGTGAAGAGGTGCCTCCGTCCTTTTCTTTTTTTGAGGAGAAAGATGTCTACGATGAATCTATTTTTAAGGCAACAAAACTTTTTCCAGTAGGCTTCCCACTGGTATGGCATCTCGGCCTCCAATGCATCTTTGTCAAACATGAGTGTTTCAGACAATCTACTGGTGCAAATGTTGTGCTTCCACGCATGAAAATCTCCGAATTCTTGGATATTCGTTTTTTCTATCCCATGAGTTTCCATGATGCACGCCGTCGTTGTGATGTTGAGGGGGATCACGAAATAACGATCGATCTTGTAAGAATCGGTTTATGTGAGATAGTAGGAACCCATGTACCAGGTGAGGAGGGGACGACCGTCTTTAACTGGATGATACGAGACAAAGTATACCACAAGCAAGTTTTATGGAGCCAGTTTCACGGTACGATTCCTAACGATCCGACTACGGTCACTATGAGTTTGCCTAAAGATATAATTAATGCCAACTTGTTAAATGTAGGACCTACATTTTACTTGAAGCAGCTTCACAGACGTTACAGAATGACAATTGAGTTGTCTGTAAAGGTTAGGATGGGTGCCAGAAAGGTGGAGAGATGTATGCAAGTTTCTTTGCCAATCAACGTTGCACATGAAGAAGATATCAGCCATTAGTTGTTTTGAAGACTTAACGAAAACTAGCAATGGAATCAAGACAAATGGATTGATTTGTAGAGCTATGGCTCACTACAGGCATTTAGATATTGGTGATATTCGGCCATACCCAGATTGTGCTTTCACATAAAGCAACACTCTGGCATAGAGTATGGCTTTGCTATAGGTAGAACTTCTGACGCATTCGAATTCATGAAAGAACGGTATTCAATCAAAAATCAAGATGGTGTATTCAAATAAAAATCAAGAACACCATCAAGGGACATACAGTGAGCTGTTTAAATGCGATGCCCACCCCTTCAGCCACATGACGATCGGTGGGGATCACATTAAGTCTTACCATCGTACTAAAAATTATGAAAGCGACATTAAGAGTGACGATAACACAGAGAAGACCATTTTTGATACACCGGCAAGTTTCCGGCAGTACAGTGCTAGGCAAGATCTGTTTGGCCAATATTGCAAAGGCAATCTGGTAGAATCCCATAAACATTATAACACATACCCTCAAACATTCAGCTTTTCTCTCCACATCCCCATCTTTCATTGAACGCACGAAGAACACCAGACCCACCAACGATAACATCGCAATTGTGGATGCCCTGCCAAAGCCATACCACTTCCCTTTCATTGTAGAGCCACGTCTCAGCATAGACAGTTCTCCGCCAGTAACACCACCGTCGGCGACCTTGGCGACTCCAACGTCATCAGTAGTCTTGGGTTCTTTTGCAGTTTGACTCATTTGAAATGTAAGTAAAAATGAAATATGATTAAGTTCCTTTTTGGATTAGAAACTAAGGATAATAAGGGGATTTTAAGTGGGCAAGGGAGGCGGATTTCCCGTCTACTTATAGTCGGGGACCACTTTTTGCAGCCAGAGCGCAGGAGGCCCTGCCATGTTGGAAGAGGACTGGATTGCCCAGTTATGCCAGTTTGAGAAAACAGATAACTGGAAATAAGGCGTCAGATGACGGTAAAGGGAAAAACAATACTAAACAAGCCTTAAATGGATTGTTGAAGCCAGTATCTGTCTGTTGATGGGTCTGGGGAAGGGCATTGTGCAGTCCATATCAAACAAATGGGAAAACCCCTACAACAACACGAGAGTGGAAAGTCTGGATTATCGTTCAATTGCAAATTAATAGTGATTCTTCATTATCTATGAGCACCTAAGTATCTCAGTTGGCATCGTCCTTATCATCATCCATGACTATGGTATGCTCATGGGGAGGTTTACCAGGCACTAGCACCATTTCTTCCTCGTCTTCAGCAGTTACACCTTCCACAGCTTTCAATGTGCAACACTCAATCTCTTTAATCCAGTCGTCCAGAAGAATTTCTTCGATCGAGGCTCTCTTGCGTGGATCGATTTGTAGCATCTTGTGGATGATAGGTCTTGACGCATGCGGCAATAATCTCATCAATCTATAAGGCCCGTGTATCAGCTTGTGAGATTTAGAACGCTTCTCTTCAGACTTGGGCGAGTCCTCCGTCGCCTTCTCGGCACCAGGCTCGGTGTTGGCGTTGGCGTTGGCGTTGGTATTGGCATCGGCTTCTTCACGGCGCTTCTGAAACAGCGCCTTCTGTTCTGTCTTGATGTTCTCGAATTCTTCGAGTTTGGCATCAATGCTCTTCAACTCATTCAACACTTCCTGAGTCTCTTCTTCGTCGAGAACCTTCACTGCCAGCAAGGACTGTAGCTTATCTTCAACTGCCTCTACCGTCTCTGCGTCGTCGCCCTCGTGTGGTTCATTCGCCTGTTGTTCCTTTTGCCTCTGTAAAAGCTTGCTCTTCTTGTTCAGCTTGATAATGGTATTCTTGAGCTGCCTCTGGCGCAATAATAGCTTGTGGCACTCATTCGACAAGTAGTAATCGTGCCAGTTGTCATCCTCCATGGCATATAGCTTGAAAGAATTGTCTTTCTCGGCATTAGGAATCTTCCAGGGAAACCGTTTGAGTGTCATGCAGCAGTATATGATAGCAATTGACCATAGATCAACGGGCTGGGGGTTATAAGAGTTCAGACTTGTCAAAACTTCGGGGGCAAGGTATGGGTCTGAGCCAACCACACCATGGCAATAGTGGATTGACTCGTTGCTGTTAGGCCCATGCTGGTCATAAGGATACTTGAAGATAACTGCAGAACCAAAATCAATGATCTTAAGTATACCATCTGTAGTTAAAACGCAATTATCAAGCTTCAAGTCACGGTGGGCAAGGCCGAGGGAATGCAAGTAAGATACACCTTCAAGAATCTGCTTCAAGCAGCAATTAATCTCCTGACGCGACATCTCTCCGCTCATCACGACCGCAAAGAAATCGATCGGCGCGTACTCCATGACCTCGTAGTACCTGTTGTTCTCATGGATGATGTCGATCGTCTTGATGATATTAGGATGTTTCAAAGTCGAGCCAATGCAATATTCCGCAGTGCACTTCCTCGTGTAGTCCTTAAACGATTCTGTGTTTCTACGAGGACGGAATTCCTTCACTGCAAACGTCTTTCTATCCAGCGGTCTCATGATCAAACGAACTGATCCGCCAGCACCCGAACCAAGCTCCTTCTCGACCTTACCGTATTTCTTAACCAAAGGAGAACCGTCCTGGGTGAAAGGCTCATGGACAGGGCCCTCCTGGCGTTTAGTAGCCTGTGACGAGTTAAGAAGTTGAGAAGATGTCTGGTTGATGAGCGCAGCCAAAGACGTCAGCAGCGGAGCCCTACTATGAGGCGCCAGGGTATTAGCAGGCGGGCTCAAAGCGCCATTGGTCTGTTCTGTGTTGCCATTTTGGACTTTCTCCACAGCAGGCTGAGCAGGAGACCCGCTGCTCGGACTTTGGATGCTCTGGTTAGACTTCTTATTCTTGAACAACCGCTTCAAGTCAGCCATACCATGGCTTTTCGGCGACAGCGAGTCCTCGATGCTATGATGTCTGGCCGCCTGGGTTGGGTTCTGGGACGCATGCTGCACCACTATGGACGGCGACTTGGACTGGTCTCTATTGCTCTGAAGGTGCTCCTTATGTGGATCCTTATGCTCCTTGGGCTCCTTCTCAGAAGAGTTGGTCATGGTAGGAGATGCCAATGACTCCTGGGAGTCGTGCTTGCCAATATGGAAGCCAAGAAACTTGCGTCCCGAAGATGAGTCGGACGGTTGCCTGTTCAAGGACTCTTCCTGGGGCAGCTGGTGCTTGAAATGGGAGAAAAGCTTGAGCCTGTGTCTATCAGGCATGATGCTATGCAAATGTGAAGGGAGATATAAAGTGAAATAAATGCAAGAACGGAAGCCGCTAGGGGCCGATTAAAGTACAACTAATGGGGGTTCGATTGGTGAAATGATAAATGCTTGCGACCCAAGTAGAGGGGCCTGGAATCCCGGGAAAACGGGACGGGGAACGGCGGTGCACGGAAAGTGTCGACTCCTGGAACGGTGTGGTCGTCGGCGGCACGGATTCTCGAGAAATTGGAGGGAAAGGGGTTAATCAATACTGGGGTACTATCAGGTGAAGAGTTGATTTTCCGGAGGGTAGGATTCGTGATTCGTCCTGGTGTACGGGTGTCTTGGCCTAGTGAGACAGGCGAGTTGGCGAGTTGCGGTGTGTGCGGTGCGACTTGGCAAAACGCCAAAAGGGTGTTTCTATTGGCCGGGAGGGACTGTGGAGTGGCAGCTATTTGGAGGGAGAAAGAAAAGGCTGGCGGGCCAGAGGAGCGGAATAAAAAGCAACTATATAAGGGGCGGAATATTTATTTCCTTTTTGGGCGAATGACATGGCTTCAGTAGTTGCCTCCTTTTTTTCCTCCTTTTTTTTGCAACCTTAAGCTACTATCAGACTGCGGCTCGCAAGACCTCTCGCCGTATATGGGCAGTCCGAGTGTGTGCAGGATAGGTATAACGAAAAGAAGCATAACCAGTGAAAAATCGTCTCCAAAGTAATTTTAGTTGAAAATGGAGATAGACATATGTTTCAGGGTTCTTCTGCTTTCACCTGGGAAAAGCATGGACGTTGCTGCTGCACATCGTTCACCCACCGCAGCCTGTCAAAATGGCTGCGAAATCATCAGATGCACCATTCTGTTAGAAGATCTAACCACCTTCCAAAAACACCACCCTTCTAAACAATGGGCTCTTATTGTTCCTTGATGGCAGTGCCACGGATATGCTTCTTTCTCTCGGCCACTCTGGGCTTCGAGCCCTCCTTCGAATGACGACGGTCGTTCTCCTCTCTTCTCTTCAACGACTCCACCTCGGTACGCTTGATCTCCTGGGCCTTCTTCACCACCTTTGGCAAGTGACGGTGACGAGCAATACGGCGCACCTCGGGCATGTACTTGTACCTTTCCTTCAACTTCTCGTCGTAGTTCATCTTGGAACGTTCTCTCAGAGACTTGACGTCGGAACGGTCGGAGGCCTTGGCTCTCCACAATCTGATGTTGGTATCGTCAGAACCACTCAAAATGTACTTCAGGTCGGTGGTGAAACAGACGCTGAACACACGCTGCATTCTCTTGGTGTGGTAGATTTCCCTCGAGTGGCCCTCTCTAGGTCTGTAGATACGGATAGTCTTATCATAAGAACCAGTGACAAGCTCTTGGCCAGTAGGCGAGAAATCTAGATCCATGACAGCACTGACATGGTCTTTGTAAACGTTAAGCGAGGAGTCCATCCGACGCATATCCCATAAATACGAGTTGTGGTCGTCGTGACCCGATGCAAAGTGGTATGCCTCCATAGGGTTCCAGGTAAGAGCGTTGGCTCTCATATTGGTAACCACCTTCTGGATAGCACTGTTGCTTCTGATATCGTAAAGCACAATCGAGTTATCTGAACCTGCCGATGCCAAAACATTCGACTCTGTACGGTTGAACTTGACGCTGTTGACGTTGTCGGCGCCCCAGGTAAGGTTCAGTGTGTACTTGGACCTGTTCATGTCCCAAAGGTTAATGCTAGCACCACCGGTGACGAAAATGTCCTCAGAAACATGGTGGTCAAGACCATTAAATGCATGTTCACCGTTGAACGTCTTGATCAAGGCGTTTTCCTGGTTGACGCCCTGAGGCTTAAACACATCAAGGTCATCGGTCTCTTCAGGGAAATCACTACTATCGAGCGACCACAACTTGATAAACTTATCGTCACCACACGAAAGCAACCCACGTCTTGGCGTAACACTCAAACCAGTCACCATTCCGAAATGAGCACGGAAACTCACCAGCTCATCTCTCAGAGTCATGTTCCAGTACTTCACCACACCGTCACCAGAACCTGTGGCAACCTGGTTAGTGGTTTTGAAATTTCTAGCAATGCAGTAAACACCGTCTCTGTGTCCATCGCCCAACTGGCCCACAAAAGGCTGGGCAAACATTCTTTCAAGCTTAGTAGCCGTAACAGCTCTAGTATATTCTCTGGCTCTCTCAAACGGATGAAGAGCAGGGTTCAAGTTACGAGGCATCGCCAGCTCCTGGGTGTTTCTGGCCGGCACATAGGTGTCCGACAGCCTGCTGAGGGTTTTTATCTTCATGTGTAGGGGAGGGTTGTTTGTTGGAGGAAAGTGAGTAGTAGGTAAATTTGATGCCTGAGATGAGCCATGCGCAGTAGTATGTACTACGAGATGCCCAGGCGTGGGAAGTGGGAGATCAGTGGTTTGGGAGGGAAAAGTAAGAAAAATTTGTCTTGGGTGGTGGTTTTGGATTATAGGCGGAGAAAGGTTTGCTTTGGTGTTTTTTGGGCTTTTTTTGGGTGGGTATTGGTGGTTTTGGTGGAGCCTTATATTGGCTGCAATAGTCTTCTCAGAGGACTACAGATGCTTAGACAGACTACAGTAGTAACAGTATAGAAGTATACAAAAGATGGGATTTTATTTAGTTCTGGAATTTTGGATGTCTTATTTTTGCTCTGATGTGTTTACATGGACTTGGTGGGATTAATTGGGAAAAAGGGTGTGGAAGACGATTGGTCTGGTTAAGTATACCATATTGGCTGCAATTATGGATATAGAGCTCGGCGGAGTATTCGATTTAAAGTAGGCATAAGCTTCTTAATAGTCGAGATAGTTCCACTTGTAGGCCTCAAGAAGATTCTACCAAGCCTTAGAGTAAATAACATGTTACCTGCTCTTCTTCAGGTATATCCTCGGTTCCTCTTAATGGAGTACTTAAGGTACTGTTAAAGAACACACTTTATCTGGAACCAAAGCTTTTAACTAGAAATCTCAATAATATTAGATTCAATGGAAGCATTTTTGGCTAATTGAAGGTCAATTCAAGCTTATTAGTTCTAGCTCTCTTGCTTAGTGGTAAGCAGTCAAACCCAGACCGGTCTTCCGATTCCACCCATCTCTAAACAACAATTGGCTGGTTTTCTATGGGAAACTTTAAGCTTTGAAGATACGTAATCTTCAGGTCCAGCTTTTCTGACCCCGCTTTGCTAGATAGCACCAAGCAATTACCATATTGAACGAAAGCAATGGATCTAACTTTAAACAATGGTCCCCACTTGCTTGATCGGATTTCCACGATTCCATCACACCAAGACTGGTGGCTTATGGAATTAAGCCTCTACTTCAAGATGCGCTTGCTTGTAGTCTACAATCACAGTATTAGACGATTAAGGTTGATTACAGAGCACCGCTGGAAAGGCTGGAGTGGAATGGAACTCGCAGCAGCTGGACCAAGGCCGGTTTCTAAGGCAAGAATCTATTAAACCATTTAGTTTTACATGGACCAGGGCCCTTGGGATTAGTATGCTGGCTCGAGGAGGGCGGGCCTCACGCCCGAGGTAGGTAAGTCCTGCTTACCAGATGCTAGCATAGCTACAAGCCGATGTCAAGCACCTTGGCAACGTCGTCAACGTTGGGCTTGGAGACATCCTCCAAAAACGGAAGCAAGTCCAACAACTCATTGTCGTGAGTGTCGCTGAACCAACTGGAAATCGGGATGGAATGCTCCGGATGGAAGATATACGAGGCAGGCGAGTTATCAATAATGATACACTCGCTCAAGGGCCGGCCAATTTGGGACAAGTTCTTGATGAAGTTTCCCTGGTAGTTGTAGCACGAGTCACGGAACAAGCGGTGGTGGACGGCACGATGGATGTCAAGCTTGTTGAGCAAAGGATCACCGTACTTGGAAACAGAAGCGGTAAAAACCACCACCTCGAACCACTTGCCAACCTTTTCCAAGAACTCATCGACGCCAGGCCGTTTAATCACGTACACGTGGTGAACCTGGTTGTCAATCTCTACTGGGATAACAAAATCAGCTGTGCGCAAGTACTTGAACGACGAATGGACCAAAGTCTCGTCAAGATCCAAAATAAGACACTTTTTGTTGCCGTACTTCTTCTTGTTCTTGTGCCCTAGGAGAAAGCCGGTCTCAGGGTTAAACGCCTGGCCCTCCTGTAACTTGGTCAAGTCAAACTCGGATTCCACGTCGCTGGAGTTGCTGAGTTGTTCTTGCACGTCGGCGGCGATCTGGGCCTCAGTACGCTCCTGGTCTTCATTCTGCAAATTCAGAATCGGGTTCTCCAGCATCTGAGGCGCCGGCTGGTTGCTGTTATTATTTAGCGTAGGCGTCGGGTTCAGCTCTTCGTTCGTATTGGTAATCGTATCGGTCTCGTTTACAGAATTGTCGTCGTCCAAGTCCTTCTTCTTTGTTTCTTTCTTCTTGGCTTGTTGTTTCACCACCGGAACCTTCGAAGTCAGCGGTTTCGGCGAAGAAGATGGCGGTTTTGACTTGGGCAGGGCGCTCCGGGGACTGCTCTTGTGGTCCTTATCGTCGGAGTCGTTGGCGTCCAGATTGCAGCAGAGCAACGAGGCGAACAGGCCCATAGCGGGAGTGGATAAAATGGAAACTGGACGAGTCTTGCGGGGGACTCAATGGAAAGGCGACCCTGGCGATATGGGCATAAACGGGGAAGCCGAGGAGGAAGACGTGATGGAAGGTTGTTTCTTGCTCTGATTGGCGGTGTGAATGGAGTAGGGCTCCAGGAGAACTGGGGCCAGAAAGTAGTTTGAGTGTTGAAGTTGAGAAAGGAAAAAAAAAAAAAAAAAATGTGCACAGAAAAAATGAACGTAAATAGTCAACGAGGACTGGAGCACTGGAGGGACAAAAAGCAGAAAAAGCGAAAAGGCGAGTCGAGAAAATGTGGGCCTGGAAGTTGCCGCGCAAGCAAAAGGAAAGGATTAGCTGGGTGCAAAAGAAAAGACAGGGCCAGGGAACAGGCAGAAGTAGACTGTGGAGGGCTTGGAAAAAGGGAAAAAGGAAAAAGGGTGGGAATTCGCTCGTATTTATAGTAAAAGCGGGGAAAGAATTGCCCGGTCTTTATAAGTTTTAAAGAGGTGTGGTTTCTTACAGTTTCAGTGGTGGTGGAATGGAGGAAGTAGTAGAGATCCTGGGGACTTTACCACTTGCAGGAACGAGCTGGAGCCAGCCATGTGAGCTGGGAGGGTGGTTTTGGAGAGATGCTTTGGTTTTTTTGTATGGGTATTTGAATTAAGGAAATGAAGGGGAAAGTGGATTTCAGGTAAAATGGTACTTTTTTACGTTGTTGTGTTTTTGGGTTGGTCTTTGTGGTACTGGCTCGTATTGCTGGTCGTTTGGGGATTGGCTACTGGAGTTAATGGCTGCGAAAAGTCAGAGTCGAGGAAGAGCTGGAAACGGCTGGAATGAAGGGGGATGTTTGGAAAGGATGGGGTTGGGAAGTGTTGGGCTCTTTAGGTGTTTATGGGGTTTCAGTGGTGATATCATTGGGATCGGATCCGTTCGGATTCCTCGGGATTGGCGTCTGTTGTTGCTTATCTGGACCTTTCTGGTCCGATGCAGCTACGATAAGACGTGGAGTGACACAGAGACGCTGATGGTTCCATCTGACGTATCAAGTGGTTTGAAGAACTTAGGTAGTTCGTAGATTTTCAACTTTTGTGTTTTCTTTTCGTATCTTGGATGGAGCCTAATGGAGTAGCTACCGCTAGCGGCAAGCCTCGTAAAAAGACGTCGTCACAGCTACATCAGATTCAAAGAAGGGCATCTACATATACGTTGCCTAGTAGCTTGTTGGCATTTTAGGAGCCTTATGCTACCCTTTGGCTTGCTTGGTACCCAACAAGTAGGCACCATCTTCGCTCCACCTACACTCACGTACTTCTAGCATATATTAGTCTATCTAGCGCATGGTCACCAACTCCTCGGCAGAGGTAGGGTGGATGGCCACACAGTTATCGAAATCAGCCTTGGTGGCGCCCATCTTGACGGCAACACCGAAACCTTGCAACATCTCACCGGATGAGTCTCCCACAATGTGCAAGCCAACAACCTTCTCTTCTGGGCCAGCACAAACGATTCTGTAGACACAAGGCACCTTCTCCTCCTCGTGCTCCATCATAGCATATTGCATAGGGTTGAACTTGGAGTTGTAGGTCTTAATGTTCTCTTCACCGTATTTTTCAATAGCCTTGGCGGTGCTCAAACCAATAGAGCCGACTTCTGGGTGGGCAAACACAACAGATGGGATATTGTTGTAGTCTAATTTGTCGTTAGCGAACTTCTCTTGACCAGAGAACAATCTGTTGCACAATTTTCTGCCAGCAGCAATAGCCACAGGAGTCAATTCAACACCACCGGTAACATCACCAAGAGAGAAAATGTTAGGGTTGCTAGATTCCTGGTAGTCGTTAACAGCAATCTGACCATTTTCCTTGGTCTTGACATTGACATGCTCCAAGCCCAAGCCGGTCAAAGACTTTCTACCGACAGTCCAGATAACCTCTTCAACTTCAAGAACCTCGCCATTGCCCAAGTGGACACGCTTCAAGTCGCCGTGTTTCTCAACCTTGGTCACACTACCAGACAGCTTGATGATGTTGACGCCCAAACGGTCGACGTAGTGGTTGGTAATAGTGTTCTGGATGATCTCGTCAAAGTGTCTCAACACAGTCTCACCACGAATCACCATATGGGTTTTAGTGCCCAAAGACTGGAAAACACCAGCCAATTCAACGCCAATGTAGCCAGCGCCGACAATGGCAACAGACTTTGGTTGCTTTTCCAATTGGAAAAAGCCGTCCGAGTTGATACCAAGCTCAGCACCTTCAACCTCAGGGATAACAGCCTGACCGCCAGTAGCCACAAGCACCTTATCGGCGGTAAAAAGGAACTTTTCATGCTTCTTATGTTCCTTAGACAAGAATTTCACCTCCTGGTCTTCAGACAAGGTCACCTCGACCTTACCCAGATCGTCCACGAACTGAGCAAAACCATAAATGTACTCCACGTTCTCCTTCTCCAAGTTTCTCTCGTAAATACCGTTCAAGCGCTTGACGTAAGCGTCTCTCTTGTTCTTGAACGTAGACCAGTCAAAGTCTCCATACTGGACCTTCGAGCTCAGATCAGACAACCCGTACGCCTTCAACTGCTCCTTCTTGTGAGCCATATCAGCAGCATACCACATCACCTTCTTGGGCACACAGCCCACATTCACACAAGTGCCGCCCAACTTCTTATAGTTGGACTCCACAAGCAACACTTTGGCACCATACGATGCGGCACGACGAGCCGAGGCAGTTCCTCCAGAACCACCGCCAATGACGAGATAGTCGTAATGTTTAGTCACAGATGTTGGAGCCATGTTGGAAAGATGTCTGTTTACAGAAAGGAGTCGGGATACTGAGGATGGGGTGGTGAATTGCTTTGCCGGAGCAAACATAGTATGAGTTTTAGTAAGCGTGGGAAGTGCACAGGGTCTGGTTAGAAGAGGTGCGACTGGATGGGTGCAAAACGGAAGGGTAGGGGAGAGAAGGGTAGTAGTTTGGGAAAAAAGGGAGGGGGTTTGGGAAAAAAGGGTAGTAGTATGGAAAGTTTTGATTTGGTGGCTGGTTTTGGTTATTTTAGGTTGGTGGTTTTCGGGTGCTGGGGTGATTTGTCATGGAGCTTTGGAAGTCTGACTAATACTGTACTGGCTGGGTACTGCTTACTGAGGTTTGCAGCCAATATGGATGGAGATGTGGAGAGGGAAGGTGATGGTTTCTACGGGATTTGGGATTTCCATGAGGGTATATTTTGGATTGGCTGTTAGGGGTGTTCTTTATTGGGGTAGGCTGGTATGGTGCTTGGAATGGCGGGCGCCACAGTTCAGGTGGGCACTGTGAGGTTGTAAACGATAAAATGCCCAAATGTGAATAGAAGCGATAAAAGCTTGTTTTTTTAATATAGCCCTAGCAGCCTAATTATTGATTGGATTGTAAGTTTGGATTTGTGCCCTGGTCTTTCAGTATCTCCAAGTGGCACAACCACTGGTTTATGCAAGAAGTAGAAGTTAGCTGGTTCATTGGTTATTGCAATATTCTGGGACATCAATTGTACTAAGAGGAAATGGAGAAAATAGCATTTTCTGGCAAAGGAATTGCAAGTAGTGAATTGCATTGTTTTCAATGGCAGTAGATTGAAGCGTAGAAAGCCGTTGAGAGGTGGAAATGGTTAATTTTGCGCCCTTAGAGATTCAGTATATGAAGAGAGTTGTTGAATGAAATTTTCCTAGACGTTGCAACCAAAACTAAAGAAGCATCGAAACTCCACAGTAGAATGGACTTAGTATTCATTAATGGGTTAGACGTGTGTTGAGGCCAATAACTGTAGCAAGTGGGTCCTGTTAAAAATGAATCCTCGTATTAAAAGAAAGATATTCATGATTAAACAAATTGAATGCAATGGAAATAATTAAAATCTACGAAGCAACTGCTAGAATTACAACTATGCCCCTTGACTAGACGGGATAACTAGTACACTGATCTCAAGACCACACAAGAAGCACACCAACTGGTATGCTTTAAAGCACCATCACTACATACTATTTTCTTATTCACTCATTAAATAAAACACTCCAATGAATCAAGAAATAAATTGGAAAAAGAATGAATGAAAGAATGAAAATGCAGAATTCACCTACTTTCGTCCACTGGTAGCATCCTCCATCCTCCCTCACACAGCCAGAGAAAAGCCACCACGAGGCACCGCCAAACCAACAAAACTCCTACAAAAAATACCAAAACAGCCCTAATGACTCCCTTACATCCTCCTTTCCCCAATCGACCTTTTAAAATTTGTAAACCCCCAAAATCCACCACTTCCTCAATTCACCCCAACCACCTACCAGTACCCAATCCACCCTGCCAAAAGCATCCACCACTTTCCACCAAAACCACCCCCAAATCACCCAAACCACCTCAAACCGCCTCAAACCGCCTCAAACCGCCTCCAAATTCCCCTCCGACCTTTAAAAACCACCAAAACCATCAAATATCTTATTTGCATCCTCCCACCTTCCTTTCTGCTGGGTTTCCCATTTTTTGCACCCAAACCGTGAACACTGCCAGACGCGAACCCACGCATCATCCTCTATTTTAAATACCATGCTGGCTCGCGCGTTCCAGCCAGCCAGCCAGCCACTCTTTTAAACCACTTGCCATTGCCAGATCAAATCAGATCAACTTGGCCGTTTTCGTCTATTTATTGAATTTGTGGTTTTTCTTTCAACATGTCCTTTGCTATGCCTTCGACGCCGCCACGGTCGGCTAAAAAGAAGACTCCTCAGGTTTCAATCACTGAAACCACTCCAACTACTCCAGCTAAGGAGAAGCCTGGGTTGGACTTGAGCGACTTGCAAACGCCCAGAAAGACCCCTCATAAGCCAAAAACGCCATATAAAGCCCAACAGACAAAGACTCCTAAGGGTTTGGCGCCTACTGAACTTCTACTTCCTACTCCAGGGTTCACGCCGCAGAAATCGCCTAGGAACAGAAGAAAGAGACCCCTGGTGGACCTCTTTTCGCTGCTGGAGCTGCTAGGAATGCTCCTTCCTAACCATCTGGTTGCTGGAAGTGGCCGCAAGACGGTGCTGCCTCAGAAACTACATGCTCCTATTAGTCTTGACCCTAGGGAGCTTTCCAAGATCAACGAAAACTTAGCATTTGAAGAGGACGACGAGGCCGTTCCAGATAGCCCTACAAGAAGAGCTCCCAGGAGAAAGCATCCAAAGACTGCTGTGACGCCTGGAAAACAGATGATCACTGAAGACTTGGTCGAGCAGTGGCACGGCAAGCTGTTCAACACGGATTTCTCTTCAGACGATGAGTTTGACTCAGGCGGACCTATTCCAAATCCATTTACTGATGCGTCGCCTACCAAGAGAGGCCCTCCAGCACCTTCCAAGGTCGATTTCTCCACACACAACGAGTTTATCAACCCCAAAACCGGCGAACGGAAAGTCGTCGAACTCACAGAAACACAGAAAAATTCAAGCCTAAAAATTGAGCTTTTCGGGTTTATAGGCTGGCCCATGAACCACACTATATAGACGTGTACTGCATAACTTCCCTCATATATACATAAATCCATCACATCACCAAAGTTCCAACAACCACGTAAAAATGTCAATTCCAGGGTTTGCAGGGAATATAGATCCAAACCAGCCTGGTGCTGAGAACCAGGTCACCGAAATCAAGGTTCCTGCGCTTTCTGAATGGCGTTTTGAGGTGCCTTTCAAGTGTATCATGAAACTTAAGGTAACCGAAGGCATAGCTGAAATCTTTGGCACAGAGCTTCCGTCTGGCGTCGATATACGGCTTACGGGTGTGAAATATGCTGTTTATGCTCCTACACAAGGCTGTACACTTGAGTACACTTTGACTCCCAATAAGGAAAACATCAACATCTCCAATGAGAGTTCCAATATCAGTGAATACACTTCAGACGAACTGGCAATGCCACACCACCAGAACCTTCATTTTGCTCTTGAGCTTTTGCGTCAGGAGGCTGCTGCCGTGGAGCTGAAAAAGGGACCCAAGGTGCTTATATTGGGTAACAAGCAGAGTGGGAAGACTGCTTTGGCTAAGACCCTCGTTTCGTATGCTGTGAAAATGGACCACATGCCACTTTTGGTGAACTTGAACCCTCAGGATGGTGTATTTTCCGTGCCTGGCTCACTCACAGCCACGCCGATTTCTGATAATCTAGATTTGGAAAGTGCTGGTGGATGGGGTGGTTCTACGACCCTGGGAGCTACGTTCCATAACCCCAAGCAGCCGCTTGTTAAAAGTTATGGATACGATAATATCGAAGAGAATTTGGAGTTGTTTAAGTACCAGGTATCGCAATTGGGAGTGGCTGCGCTTTCTAGAATGGAGGCTGATAAGGCGATCAGAACAAGTGGATTCGTCATTGACACTCCTCCGTTGAACATCAAGGATGTTACGGTCATTGAGAACATCCTTTCTGATTTTGAGATTGATCTTGTGGTTGTTGTGGGTAATGAGAGACTTACTGTCGATTTGAAGAGGAAGTTCCACCACAGAATTGAAAAGAACCTGCTTGATATTATCAAGATCCCACCATCGGGAGGTGTCGCTGAAGTTGACGACTCTTTCATCAGAAAGCTCCAGGAAGACACTATCAAAGAGTACTTCAACGGTAACTACAAGACGAGGTTGTCGCCTTACAAAACGGACGTCGACCTTACAACTTTCCAGGTTTACAAGATCGTCAAGCTCTCAGAGTTCAATTCCCAAATGGCATTCTTGCCTTCTGGTGATGATTACGCTCCAGAAGAGACTGGTGAGTCTGATACAAAGAAGGAAGAGAGTTCGTTAGACAAGTTCTACGCCAAGCTTGAGGACCCACTGAGTTCCAACTTGGAAAATTCTATTGTCGCTATAACCAACGTACCAATCCCACCGGCAACCGGTAAACTTTCGCCTCGTGATTTGCTCAACACAAGTATTCTTGGGTACGCACATGTTTCCCGAGTAGACGATGCCAAAAAGCGTATGTCGCTCTTATTGCCCTTCCCAGGACAGATCCCAAGAAACATCATCATCGCTACCGGCATTGGATACACTGAGTAAGCTTAATCAAAAGGCACAGGCTTGGACTTTGCGTTTCTTTCGATCATTTGTGAAGCAGCAATGGCACTGGGGATCTTAATACCGCAACAGTCTCCCCAAGTGTTTCTCGTATCTAGGTGGTTATGGACATGGCCACATTCGCTTTCCGACTCCTCCTCAGAGTGTTCTGGCACGTCTTCAGGACACTGGATGATACTTCCAAACATGAAATGCTGGATAATGGGCAATTTGCCGAGCACCTCGGCCTTGTACATTTTAATCATGCCCTCTTTAATCTTAGCCCATGACTTGGCAGACAGAATATCATCCAACATTGGCGAGTGCCATCTGAGACTGGCCTGTGTGTTTCCATCCCAACCTGGAACTGTCTTGATGGAGTTGATGAAGTGAATGCACTCAAAGTACATGTACTGTTCCCAGAAACTCTCCACCATCTCCTTGTTATGGATAGACTTGGGCTTCATATGCGGATGAGGCGCTAGCTGAGACGCGCCAAATAAGAATGGCAAGAAGTGGTAGTCGTCAAGACCCCAAACACCATGCGAGCCCGCAGGCTCAAGCCAATACGTTTTCTGAAGCTGTCTCATGATGCTGATGTATTTGCAAAACACCCTAAGCACAAGTGCAGGGTAGTCGTCCTTGGTAATCACGCCTAGCTTGTGTAGACAATAGAAGAAACATAAAAAGTTCAACTCGTGGCCCAGCCCGTAGTCGATACGTGTTCTATCACCCCACGACTCTCCAAAGTACCTTGAAAGCTCCACCACAGCGCCAGTCTTATCCTCTGGCACAAGACTAGCCAATATAGTAGGACCCTCTCTCTTGATCTCATCATAGAAGTCACAGAACTCGCTCTTTCCAAACCTCGAGATATCTTTCTCCTTCACAACAGGATGCTTTTCCACCAACCCAATCACAACATCCAACTTCGCCACCAAGTCCTTTATCGTATCGCTTTCATCCACTTTGGCCTGGTTGGTCAAGCCCTCCACTGAGTTCTGGAGATCCACGATAAACGACAAAATGTCCTCGTGGGTTTTCGACGCCTCCCACTTGGCAAGGTCGTCTTTAGTGACTATCCGCTTTCTTGGTTCGAAAAACAGCATATTCAGGAAAACAACGTTGGGTCTGGCAGAACTTGTTCTTGGTCCCATAGATAGTGGTCATAAGCGTGGTGCACGGGTGCGATAGTGCACATCTTCCAGTGGATCTCTCCACAAGCACTTTCTATAACTTGCAGCCATTGAAGTATGAGTTTGAAAACGGTGGAAAATGGCATCTTCACTATTACTAGACTGAAAACTGTGTTTGAGCAGCTGGTCAAGTCGTCCCAGCTTCTTCTGGCGCTCTGGAAACAGCCATCCAAGTCTGAGGTGAATAATATGAAGACGCTTCCATTGGCAATCAGACCAAAGTTTGATTTGCGCCAGGAAATCGCCAAAAGCAGCGGGAAAAAGGGCTGGTCGTTGAAATTGGCTCAGTCTTTTGGACATGTGAAGGAGCTTGTGAAGTTTTATACGCACGGAGTGAAACTGGTGTGGAATAATCAGAAGGCGTTGAAGGTGCTTAGGAAGACTGACTATAAGGTGACCAACCAGATCAATAATGCTGGAAAATCGGTCGATATTCAGGTACCTTCGTTTCCTGTTTTGACACAAGAAATGGCCCAGGCATTGTACCAGACGTTCGTGGAGAACAGGACGAATATCGAGAACACTGCTGGAGGAGCAGTGGACCATAATAGGGCATCTTCGCTTGCGGTGTATAAACCTGAAATGTTCAATTTGCCTCGCCTGGACTTTTTGTTGTTCAAACGGACGCCAATGGACTTTATCAAGATCCCTACGTTTTCGGTGATTTTCATTGTGTTCATGGAACTCACGCCAGTGCTCTGCTATGCGTTTCCTGAAATCACTCCTCTGACGTGTGTGCTTCCTAACATTCTCCCACGTCTCTGGCCGTCCAAAAACCACGAAAAAGTGATTAGAACCGTGCCAAAAGATACAGACTTGGAAGAGTTGGCATCTAAAACAGCATACAACTTGTCTCTGGACCAAGTAAGTGCTTTGGCAGACGCTCTTCGCCTCAAAACGAAATACATCCCTACGCAGATTTTCCCAGAACTGGTTTTGAGAAACCGTTTGCAGGCCCACTACAACTTCCTCAAGGTGGATAACTACTACTTGAGCGGTCTCAACGGGAACGGTAATGTCTGGGACTTAACCAAACAAGAGCTTCTCATTGCCTGCCTCGAGCGTAACTTGATCAAAGACGTTAAAAAATTCACCGATTTGGAAGAATCCCACAAGCCCAACAAGGCAGAAGTGTTGGAGCACGAACTCAACCTCTTGAGACTCCAGCTTATACAGTTTATCGTGAACTTTGAAAAGTTCAACATCGGCTACCTTCTCTTGTCGCAGCTCATCGAGCCGCCAACCGAAGAAGCCCTCCACTGGAGACAGGAAAAAAACTAGCCCTGCTTATTTATCTATAGACTTAACAAATACACTGTAAGCGGTGGGTGCGAAAAGTGCGTAGTAGTAAAACTGAGGATCAAGAAACATCACCACTTATCTTCAACACATGACAGAGAAAGAAAAGACCAAACTGCCGGTCGTCCCTGACTCCAGCACATCCATCCAAATCAAGGCAGAGGAAGACGAAGGCCCAGACCCCAAGTTTTCTGTGGACGAGATCTTGTCTGGATGCAAAGTGTATGTAAACAAGGAGGACGGGAAGAGACTAGCGGAGATTCTCCAGCAAAACACCAGAAAGGGCAAGAAAGTGTTCTATGTGCATTATCAAGATTACAACAAGCGTTTGGACGAGTGGATCTCGCCTGAAAGGATCGATTTCCTGAAGCTGATGATACCTCCAGTCAAGGAGGAGGAGAAGAAGCCAGAGAAGCTGAAGCTGAAGACGGGCACGAAGACTGGGAAAACAAGCAAGAAGTCGTCTACGAAGTCTACGCCACAGCCCAAGGCTTCAGATAAGGAGGGCAGCGAAACGCCGCTTGAAAATGACGAGATGGACTTGGATAACCTTAATGTCCAGGGTCTTAAGCGTCCAGGCGAGGAGGTGAGCCGAGAGGACGAAATCAAGAAGCTTCGTACGAGTGGATCGATGATTCAGAACCACTCTGAGGTGGCTAGGGTGAGAAACCTTCTGAGTGTGATCTTGGGTGAACATATTATAGAGCCTTGGTACTTCTCGCCGTACCCTATTGAACTCACAGAGGAGGATGAAATATTTATCTGTGACTTTACGCTTTCGTACTTTGGCTCGAAGAAACAGTTTGAGAGGCACAGAGCGAAGTGTTCTATGAAACACCCTCCAGGAAACGAGATTTACAGAGACGAGAAGGTGAGTTTCTGGGAAATCGATGGTCGTAAGCAGAGAACATGGTGCAGAAACTTGTGTCTCCTTTCCAAGCTTTTCCTTGACCATAAAACCCTTTACTATGATGTGGACCCTTTCTTGTTCTATATAATGACTATTAGGTCGCCCCAGGGTCACCATGTGGTGGGGTACTTCTCCAAGGAGAAGGAGTCTGCGGACGGTTATAATGTTGCGTGTATCTTGACGCTACCGTGTTACCAAAAGAAGGGTTACGGTAAATTGCTTATCCAGTTTTCGTACATGTTGTCGAATGTCGAAAACAAGGCTGGGTCTCCTGAAAAACCGCTTTCTGATTTGGGTCTTTTGTCGTACAGAGCGTACTGGACAGACGTTCTTGTGAAGCTTCTCGTGGAAAGATGCAATCCTCATTTGTATAAGAAGAACAATCTGCGTGAACTGAATCTGAGGGAAGACTCTGCCCTGCCGCCACCAAGAGCTAACGGTGCTGCAGGTCCAGGATCTGAGATCACCATTGAGGAAATCTCTGCCATCAGTTGCATGACAACCACAGACGTTCTTCATACGCTATCGACGCTTCAAATTATTAAGTACCACAAGGGACAGCATATCATCGTCATCACCGATCAAATCATGGCATTATATGATAAGTTGGTGAAGAAGATCAAGGACAAGAAAAAGCACGAGCTCGAACCAGACAGACTTCAATGGACGCCGCCTTCGTTCACAGCAAACCAGCTTCGTTTCGGCTGGTAGTGTCGTCGTCCGTGCTCCATATTTTGATGCTCTTGTCGCTCAGGCCAGTGATGAGACGCAATCCCAGCATATCGTAAGCAGAAGTATATATAGTACAGGTATCATCTGCAGAAGCAGGTTTTGGAGGAACCGTGGACAATTTCTGTCCAGATTCGTAGTCGTAGAACGACATTCTGCCGTCTCCATACCCAGCAAAGAGTTCATTAGAAGCTGGATTAATGGAGAGCGTGTTGATCACTGGAGACATGGTTTCTGTGCCTGTTTCTCCAAACTCAGAAAGAAGCTCTCCGCCAGGGAGAAGCCATTCCCGTATGCTGCCTGTGGAGTCACAAGACGCCATGGTCATTTCACGAGGATGCATAACCAACAGACGAACAGACTTACGATGTTGTGTTAGCGTCAAGTGGGTTTTCTGCTTTCTCAAGTCCCAGAGCCTGACTGTACCGTCCATAGACGACGAACATATTTGTGGGTCGCCAATTTGCGACACAATGCTCAGAACATCGCCCTTGTGGCCTGTAAGCACCATAACCTGTGTTCTGCTTCGTATATCCCAGACCCGAATAGCAGCATCTCTTCCACCAGTAAACAACAAATCGAGTTCTGGATGCAATGCCATAGCGTAAACACCGCCAACATGGCCATGATAATTCCTGATTTGACAACCAGAAGGAGAATTGGTTCTCTCCAAGTCCCAGCACCTAACTGTCTTATCCTCAGAGCCAGAAAACAAGTACGGGTACCGTTTCGACACCTGAAGCGCCCTAACCGATATGATATGGCCAGAAAGCGATGCTTTCAAAGACCCCAGGACCAAATCCCAGATCTTTATCTTGCTGTCTCCTCCTCCAGAAACAAACCATCCATTGGTCACAGGATCCACAGCCAAAGACCGAACCCAGCCATCGTGGGCGCCCAAAAGAACTTTTCGTAGTGAGCTCGAAGGCTGTGGTAACTCTTTCTTTTGTTGGATTTCATCTGACGTATCTAGCTTGACAAGTTCAGTAGACTCTTTCAACTCAGGTACTGGTTCTACCTTATCCTGTGCTCCACGAAGAAGATACTCGAGCTTTGTGTTTGAATAGACTGCCTCCAGAAGCACATCTGAAGCTGAAAACAGGTTATCTAGCGATATGAGCTTCGAGTAGTGCACACCAGACATTGTGCTAGGACTATGGTGGTTTGGAGGACTGGTTCTAGTAGTAGGTAGATGCCCTGAGATGTATAGTGCACCCGTACATCCTTAACTTATCACCAACTCTCCTACTACCAAACCAGCCAGTGGTTTGTACCAGAAACTGTTATAAATTCGTCTATTCATGTCTCAATGGCCTGGTACTGATGCCTTTAAGCTAATACGTTCCTTGCACGAGCACGTTACTTCCACAAAATGCTCATATAGTGCACTCCAGATAATACCTGGAGCACCAGATGGAGAGATCCTAGCCCACGAGTCTGAGGAAAGAGATGCTCTTGATATTGCATTGTCTAAGAAGACATACTTGGGTGTGTTTGCCGAAGCACATGCTTTTTTCGAGAAAGTGGGCTATAGGGAAATTCACGTTAAGGACCTCACAGACACTGAGCTCTGGACGGTGTACTACGCTTCAGGGTCTATTTTGTTTACTACAAACGAACACTTTACAGCATGGAGAGTCCGCCAGGATGTTGTTTTGGAGTTGCTACGCCGTGGAAACGAGATACTTTTGGATGAGTTCAATTTTGCAACCTTTCTTGCAGCGTCAAGGCTAAAACGGGTGAATAAGAGCTCAATTCTTTTTGCATGGATACGGAGGGTGTACGTTGCTTTGGAGGGGGAGCTGAAGGTCAGAGAACTTCTTGTTGTTAGGCTTTTGAAGTCTTTGGATGCTCATTTTGCTAATTACTGTGCTGGATACACATTGCAATGGTTGATTAGGGTTCTTCGAGCCCAGGGAGACGGCAAGACACTTGGATATCTAGCTGAAAAGCTTCGAAGCGCTTGCAGGAGCCACCTAAGTGATGTCACATTATGGAGAACGTACAGTGTCTACCTCAGAAGTGAGGATAGCGATACGTACGCTGTTGAGCTGTTCAATGAAGATCTTCAATTCTGGGGACCAAAAGTGGCCAATTCAAAGCTCCTTAGTGTTTCACTTCCTTCATGGGACAAGTCTGAGGACATTGCAGCCGAATTGGACTGGCTCCTCAAGGTACAATGTCCATACCTCACGCCTTACGATTGTCTATATGAAGCTGCTTCAGACAAACCTGCATTCCAAGAAACCATCAAAACTGCTTTCAAAAGCATGGATCTGAAACCTACCAACGCTGATCCAGAGAATGTGCTTACTGCTCAATCTACCAACTTCAAAGATATCCTCCACCAGTTCCTCAAAAAGGCTGAAAACTCACCCAAAAACGAACCATAACCTCAGGATGACAAAGCAGGACTCTTTATAACCTCCACAACTTAATCCCCCATCGGTGGTGTTGATGGTGTTGGTGCCATTTGGAAGACACCCGTGCACCGTGATCTTCCCATATCTACTTGGTGGTCGCATTACCAAATCTTGCTACCACTGGAAATGGTATGTCTTGAAAAGGTTCCTTCCACGTGATATGTCCATATACTAACAGCAGCTCAAAATCCGCCAGCTCCAGAAACAAAGGCAAGAACAAGCCAAACAGTCTCCCGAGGCCGCAGCAGCCACCGCCGCCAACCCCACGGGTAAAGTAAGTGCAGCTCAGATCAGACTACAAAAAGATGTCACTGAGCTTGAGTTGCCCTCTACAGTGAAAATAGAATTTCCTGATCCTCGTGATCTTTTTAACTTCAGAATATTCATCAGGCCTGCTGAGGGCTACTATAACGGTGGTGTGTTCAGCTTTACTGTGGAGATTGGAGACAACTTCCCCATCGACCCTCCTAAGATCAAATGTACGCAGAAGATCTACCATCCTAATATAGACTTGGAGGGCAATGTGTGTCTTAATATCTTGAGGGAAGACTGGCTGCCTGTGTTGTCGCTTAACTCGGTTATTCTGGGGCTCAACTTCCTCTTCTTGGAGCCCAACCCTAACGACCCATTGAATAAAGCTGCTGCCAACGTTTTGGCAAAGAACACATCCACATTTGCACGAAATGTTCGTCTGGCCATGCGTGGGCTGACTGTGGATTACGAGACTTACGACAGGGTGGTATAATGATTCCTAATAAACCAATGCATTGTTTGTTTCTGTAGATTAGAAGCCAAAACCGCCTCCAAAGCCGCCGCCAAAGCCGGAAGACCCGCCAGGGCCAAAACCTGGGCCGCCAGGGCCTCCAGGTCCGAAACCTGGTCCTCCTCCTCTGCGTAGGTTACCTGGAAGACCCATACCCATGTCTTCCAAATTGTCTTCTCCCATCGGATCGTCAAATCTTGCTCCTGGAGGTACACCTCTTCTCGAGGCGTTGCCCTGGCTCCTTCCAAAAAGCGGATGATCCATAGTAGGATGCATGCCACCTTCTGGTGCAGCCAAAGGATCAATGAAAGGTTTCATCGGTGGATCACGAGAAAGCCCCGGCGGATTCAAATCCCTATCACCAATTGGAGCAAACGTAGACAGCGTGCCTGTTCTGTTAGCAGAACCAAGCACTTCATACTCATCTTCGAAATCAGGCATATCTGCTGGTTTTCTCGAACCAATAGCATTCAAATCGTCGTCAGAAGCTCTTGGAATACCTAATCCTGGTGGTCCTGGCGGTGGAGGACCCGTCAAACTCTCTGAATCCTTATGTTCCTCGTCTCTCCTAAGCTTTGGTGGATCAAGCCTGGTATCTAGGAACACAGCAAACTGTTGCTTCAATTCGTCAGACACCTCCTTCACAGGCAATTCAATGTTCCACTTTTCCCATTCAATAGAAACAGAAACGCTTTGACTGCCCCTAACAAAATTTATAAGCGAATTATTAGGTGATATTTCACTCACTGTAACTATGAAAGGACCTGCCTCCCATTTGTTAAACTCTGGAGTATCCACCTTTACATTAACCTGGGCTTCGTAGCGCTCGGCAATATACGCTTTAAGAAGCTGTAAGGTGAGTTCGTAATAAGTATTGGCCATTTTTGGAGCTGTTTTGGTGGAAAAGCAATATGGTAGAGTGATGGCAAACGGGTAGTGTTACCCCAGACTTGCTTAACTATGTGGTGCACGGGTGCAGCATCGTCATTTCAGAATCAACCTGCTTCCACCCACAGAGGACTAGGGAAGGAGGTGAGCTCTATGGGGAGTAAGGGAAGCTTCTGTTGCTTTCATAGTATTGCTTGAAATGTAAGTGATGTAAGTGACTGGTTTATAAGTCAAAGTAAAAGCTCTCTATGGAGCAATAGTCCATTTTCTTGAACTCCAACCATCAATAAGCAGATTATATGCCACCAAGAACCATTCAAACAGCTAAGGGACATTCAAAGGATTTCTTTCTAAATCTTTTTTGTACCTGACTGCGCTCAGAAGCCAATAGTTTCCATTATATGTCTTTTTCAGCTCGGTAAGTACTAATTCTTGCAACTTCCAGGAACATCCTAGGCCCAAAAGGCATTCCAATAAATGATGGCTCGTATAGGTCATTCTTATACTCTCAATATATTACTCTGCCTCGATTTCTTATATTTTTTTGTCCATTCTCTGTTTCTTGAGCTGCTTTACTTGAATCAATACATATTCATGGACGCAATAGAATATAGACTACCAACACCCATCCAACAACTTCAGTAAACTGAACTTCCACTCAACTCTCTTACAGTTCTCTTTTCTATAACTCCTCTTATCGCTTCTGACTCACCTTGGTTTGAGGCTTTGCAGCCACTGAACTTGTGACATCTACAAGGAAAGGAAGGCCCAACACCTTCATTACGGCAAAGTTTGACATATTATCAGACATTATTAAAGACTAATTAGGCAGTGAATCAGCCCTCGTGGGCCATAAGAGGCACTTCTTTAGGTGAATGACCACTGGAATGACCGTAGCTTGGTACCTATATAACCTAACATATCCCTCCACCTACACAAATTATCACCACCTACCAACATACTCCTCCCAATACCAACAAACCCAAAAGCCACTTAACCAGTGGCTACATCCTACAGCAACATATTCACTAAGCTTTCTCAATATATACGACACGACGTGATGTGTCTTTACTAACTAGGCAGCGTCCGATTAATGGCTGCAACAAGACCTCTTTCTGAGGTATGCGGGTGATGGGGCCTGGAGAATAAACTCAAGGCCAAAGGAAGGGCGGATGGTTGTGGTTGAGTACCCAAATGAAGGCACGGTGCTCTGACTGGATGTCTCTGGCAGGAAGCGCCAGATATTGTGGAAGTCATTGAGGTAGAACACAGCAGGGTGCTTTTCATTGGTAAGCTCCTTGTACTTGAAGAAGTCCAGTGGAAGGAATGACTCTTGAGGGGCCTTGAACAACTTTCTAAAGAAGTGGAAGTCGCCTGGCAAGTACAGAGAGTGGTGCTTCTGCAACAGGTGTCTGAAGAAAGGAAAGTCTCCAGGCAAGAAAGAAGCATGGCACTTTGGCGTCAAGTGACGGAAAAAGAGGAAATCCCCAGGCAAGTAGCAAGGAGCCTGCTTATCCGACAAAGGCCTAAAGATGGGAAAGTCTCCAGGCAAGAAGGAAGCATGGCTCTTACTAGACAAGTGCCTAAAGAAAGGAAAGTCCTCTGGCAAGAAAGCCTCGTGGGTCTTCTGACTCCAATGCTTGAAGATGGGGAAATCGCCAGGCAAGAGAGCATTAGACTGCTTGGGCAAGTGTCTGAAGAAGGGAAAGTCACTAGGCAAGTACAGAGACTTGGGGTCTGAGAAGGTGTCTGTCAGACAAGGAGTAAAGAACACGTCATCCTCTTCAGAATCTTCATCGCCATCGTCACAAGTTTGCAAAGAATGGAAGAAGGCAGCGTTGGGCAAGAAGGCGCCGGCGACGCTTGTGGTTCTCAAGTGCCATGGGCGAAACTGGAACTTAGTTGGTGTAGAAGGCAACAGGACCAGGTCTGAGGCAGCTGCAGAAGCTGGAAGTAAAGTTTCCTTTGGCGAAGGCGTCAAGAGAGACTTGATATCAACCGGCTTCCATCTAGGACTGCTGGTTGGAGTGGTATAGTCCTCATGGTTGATGTCCTTCGAGGCCACGGGCTGAGGGTGGATCTTCTCTGGAACAGGAAGGGTATCCGAAGAAGAAGCATTCTCGGCGGCAACAGCAGCAAAGAGCTGGGTCAAATCCAACTTCTTGCCGGGAGAATGTTGGACTGGTGGTGGTGTGGAAGGTTGGTGTTGCAGGGCTTCCTGAGCAGCAGCTGTAAAAAGGTCGTCAATAGATACAGCCAGTGTTCTAGCAGGAGAACCAGGCAGAGGAGTGCTGGCGACCAGGTTAGACCTTGAAGCATTCTCCTTGGCCATTTGGGCAAAGAGGTCGTTGATATCCAAAGGAGTACCGTGCTGGACGGTCTTCATTTTGGGAGTAGCCTGCTCTGGAGTGGTGTCAGCGGTGCTGGCATCAAGTGGAGCCGGAGAGACACTTTCCTTTGGAGATTTGGCAATGATGGACTCGTCGGCAGCGGCTGGAGTGGTTTCAGCAGCCTTGGTGGCTTCCTCGGCTGCCTTCTTCTGTCTTTGCAACCGCTTCTCTCTGAAAAGCTTCTTTAAGGCAGCCTCCTCAGCTTCAGCCTTTTCCTTGGCCATGGCCTCCTCGGCGAGGCATTGCTGCTGGTAGGCGTCGCTGTAATTCTGAAGCTTAAGGTTATAAATGCCCTGGGCATTAAGTCTGCAGTTGGTTTCGTAGTTTCCCAACTCGATAAGAAAAGTGAAGTGGGCGAACTCGCCCTCTTGCCAACGAAGCTCGGTGTAACTGGTGCCATGGTCGGTCATGACACAGCCGTCTTCGCTAAATGTGGCCATCATTACGTCCATCGGGAAGAGGATGTTGCCAATAGTATGGCAATCGAAGTGACACATTATGCTTGAGTATACGCTTTAGTAGGCTGGTGGATTCTGTGGCTTGGACAGAACGATTACACAATAAAATAAGGCTCTAAACGGATGCTCAGAACTAAAAGGGACCAAACGGTTAAAGAGAAAAGAAGAAGAAAGGAAAAGGAAGGGAAATGGGAGAAAGGGCGAGCTTTATCACAAACAGACACTGAGGGAAGCTCCAGCGAGAGTTGAGCCAGGGCAAGTCTAGCACCCACGAAGAGGTCACTCAGAAGACCATGGAATTGAAGAGAAGACACGTCATAAAGGATGAATATCAATTTTGGGAACTCCAGTATACGGGTTTACATGGTTTTGGTGGCCTTTCGGTATGGCTCTTTGGCTGCGAAATGTCAATGCGAGAGGTCTTATCTCGCAGCAGCGCATTAGGAAATGTTCGAGATATGAAGTAACGTCGAGGGGGTTCGAGGAGAAGGAGTGGAATTTGAAGGGTTTGGTGGAGATGGAAATGGGGAAGAAGAATTGACCTTTTTTTCCGAGAAATTGTGGGTTTCTGGGTCGTTGGTGGTTGCCCTGGGCTGACGCAGGAACCGAAAGTATGGACGGTGACGTGAAGAAGAGGAGGGAGAGGCAGAGGGAGAGGCAGAGGGAGAGGTAATTATGGGAAGAGGCAAGGGAAATATTTAATCATTCACTGTATCTTTTGAGGTGGTTTTTGGTGCTTTTGGTGCCTAAGTGGACCTTTGGGAGGGTTACTGGTGGATATCAAGACTCAGTGAAAATGGAGACTACTCACTAAGGGTCCAGGTCAATGCAAGGGTTACTTCCATAAAGAGGGAACCACTTGCCTATTAAGAGAAAAGAAGCAAAGAAAAATCATTAATTCCATGCTTCCCAGACATGCCTTACCATCCGTTCCTTACGACTGCTCAGACTTCTTCTACTGCTCACACGAGGCCTACTAACCAGCACCACCATACTGAAACCACCAACCAGCCAAATCCAAAACCCTCCAAACATTTCTTACATAGATATACACCTCCTGTAAATACAATCCACATTCATTTGCTTTCCATGAGCCCATTCCGCCAGTTTGCAGCAACCCTTCCTCTAAGCCCACACCTGAGCAAACCAGCTACCACTGAACCACTCAACCTCTACTCTCCACAACCAATACACTATAAATAAAGAAAACGACATAAAACGACCATATCATATTATAAAACATGAATGCCCATCCTGAGCACTCTCTACCCCTACCTTATTCTTTTTCTTCCCATGGCTGCCTGGTGCCCCACCAACACCATCCAGTACTCTCTCCTCCACCGCCCTTTACTTTCCACCCTCCACCTTCCCGGTCCGTCCCTGGTCATTCTTCGCTTAAATCACCAAAAAGCCACCAAACCAACCCGTCATCCAACCTCCCCTCCGCCAAACCTCACCCTCACCTTCACACCAACTAACTACTCACTGACCTCACCATCACCACCCACCCTCCAACCACTAATCCACCAATTACCTCTGCTCCCCTCGACGTCATTGCCTGGGGGCTTTTTCTCCTCCATTGCATGCAAAAAAGGGGATCACTCTCTTTTTTCCCCAACATTCACTTTCCCAAACCTTCTTGCTTCGCTTAGCCCCAGCCAGGACTTACCCCTGGACCGAGGCACCCAAGTAACTCCAAGACCTGGCGAAGCCCAGTGCCGAAGACAAGTGTGCCGAAGACGCCAAAAAGACACCAAAGAGAACAACTAAGTAAAATCACCAAATACATCCTTAACGCTTTTTTTCTAAATCCTCTAAACCAAAACCCACTTCTACTGCTCTTTTGCAGCCATTAGTGCACCTACACTTAACACCGCATGACAGGCAACCAAGGCTCCAAGGGCTGCTAGGGCTGGAGAATCGACGAGGGAGGGCGCTCCTGCACGTAGGCGCTGGGTCGACTGGTCCCAGTTTCTGGAACTTTCCAGCTCCCCAACTCATGTCGTGGAGCATATATTTAGAAAACTCGGAGTATAAAACCTTGGAGGATTTCTCCCTTCCTTGACAGTTTCTTCCTCCCTCCTCGCCGCCGGTGGCTTTTTTATTTAAGTTTGCTGTGAGGTCTCCCACCCAGGTCACGTGCGCGCTTAAGCTTTAGTCTCTGTTGTTACTCATAGTGAGAAAGTTACCTTTCTTTCTTTCCAAACTGCTACAGTGCAACTACTGCCCATCACCCACAGTTTCTAATCGAACGTTCCGCCCGCCGGTTGCCTACTTAACCCAGGACTGTCTGCTGCCTAGTAAAGCACTCCGTTATTTGCCCCTACCCCTTTGTCACGTGTGGGTTTATCCCGTCCTCCAGTGTCTTATAATCAAGAGAGTCTGACCTCTTTTCACCTACAGTCCAGTTTCCCCCCTTTATATCATGACGACAACCGTCCCTTTGATATACTCGTTTGCAGGCTACGAGGGTGTGGCCGACGCTGTCGCCGACCACGTCATTCTGGCGCAGAATATGACCTTGTATAATACCTTAGATAAGGAAGCCATTGCTAAGCTAAAGGTGGCCGCAGCGCAGAGGCCGTCCTTGACCAGTGATGTGTCTTCGGCGTCGATTTCCGGAATCTCCTCGCCCAGACCTTCTTTCAGCCGCAACGGTCTGTCGCTGAATACTAATGCCACCAACGGCAGCCCATCAGAAGAGCGCTTGTCCCTGCTGAGACGCAAGAAAGACATCAAGAAGAAGGCTGAACAACGGTTCAAGATTGCCATCTCTGGTGGTTCCCTCATTAAGATCATGCACCTCGGTTTGTTGGCCAGGGAAGAAGAAATCGAGTGGGACAAGTGGGATATTTACTTTGCCGACGAAAGATTGGTACCTTTCGATAGCCCAGATTCTAACTACGGCCTGGCCAAGAGAGACATTTTCGACTTGATCAAGAGCGAGAAGAAGCCCAATGTGTTCCATATTGATGAGCTGTTGATCTCAGACCCGCAGGAATGCGCTGATGCCTACGAGAAGTTGCTTATCGATAACTTTGCCAAGAAGGATAGTGTCAAGTTGCCCATGTTTGACCTTTTGCTTCTTGGATGTGCCCCAGACGGTCACATTGCATCGTTGTTCCCTAATTTCGGCGAGCAGTTGAGAGAGAAGTTGGCCTGGTGCTTACCTGTAGAGAAGGCTCCACTGGGCCCGGAAAACAGAATCACCTTGTCCATCCCTGTCATTTGCCACGCCCATAGAGTCACCTTCGTTGTTGAAGGTTTGACGAAAGCACCAATCATGAGAATTATCATGGAGAGACCTGAGAAGGGCTTGCCGAGCTCGATTGTGAACGAGGGAGCCGCCGGTAGGGTCACTTGGTTCGTGGATGACGATGCATTGAAGGACTGCTATGATATTACCAAGAAGAAGTACAAGTTTCTTAGTATTCCCGAGCCCAGCAGCTAGGGACACAGAGCAGATCGGGGTAGTATCATGTGCATGAATATGAATAGCATGAAGAGTGTTGCAACGTGTAGAGCGAAGTAGACTAATCTTTTCATTTATAGGAGAATGAAGTGGGAATGAATTTTGGAGGAAGCGAGAATGGCCTGAACCGGGGACGAATCGGGACCTGCTGGCATGGAAAATGAAATGAGGAGAAGTACAAGCGAAAGTAGATAAAATAAGTGAATGAAGAAGTTTGGATAATGAAGGAGTATTGAAGGAGTAGTTGGAGTTGAAGGAGAGGTATTAGACAAAGAAGCTACCAAGAAAGAACTCCTTAAGCCATTACGTCTCCTTAAGCTATTACATCTCCTGAAACCGTAAAGCAGCGCAATCTCCAAGCCCCAAGTCCAGACCAAGAAAACCCCACCGTATATCGTACTTCTTTCCTCCAATCGACTTGGAGCACCACTAGCTTCGATCTCGCTTACTACGCCAAACAGCATAAACCTACTTACAATAGCTTGCCATGATAAATCCGCCAAAAGGCCGCACAGTAATCGACCAAACAAAGAAAAACAGCAATGACAGAGGTAACGAGGAGGCTTTACCCCATATTCAAAGATTGTCGAGATGTTTTCCGAATACGGTGATGTAGTCACACGAGTAGAGGCTTTTAGCGGTGATAGCCAAAACCTTCCACACCCAAGTAACACAAAAGCAAAGAGAATGTGAGCGATATTTTAACCTGGCGTTTACTAAATCAGGGGGGAGGCTAGGTGGTTGCCAGGGCCTGGCGTACGGAAGGTGAATGAAAGGCAGGGGCTCGGATCGCCATTATAGACCAGGTAACAAAGACCAAGCGTGGAAGAACAAAGAACAAGGCAAAGAAAGGCAGGCCAAGCACACAAAGAGGGCGAAATTGGCCAAAAGGGACGAGAAAGGTTAAAAAAGGCTTCTAGTGGTTAGACTTACTCTGGTTGGCTCGGCTGGCCCACAAAGAGCGATCGGTGACAAGATGACAAGATGACAAGGAGTGATCTGAGGCCAGGGCAAAGATTGCCATATTTACGAGATATGGCCACGGCAGCAATGGCAGGAAGGTTTAGCGGAAAAAGGCATTTTTCGATTTTTAAAGTCAGATTTGTGAATGTCACCCAGAGTGACCGGGCCGAGGCAGAAGTGCCATAGCAGAGTATACTTCTGGATTCAGGGAAAGTAAACAGACCAATAAAAAAAAAAGACAAAGTACAAAGCAAAAAAAAAAAAAAAGAAGACAGACGGACTCCAAAGAACGTAGTTCCTTCTCTAACACAAAACCCCAGCTGTACGAACCATTCGGTGCAAAGCAGGGTATCTGAAAAACTGCCTGTTATACATAAAAAGGTAAAGAAGCCCCCATTTCTTTTTTCCCATATCGAGCCTTTTTTCAGGTTTCTGGAAATCCACATGTCCTAGTTTCCCAGATCGGAACTGCCCCCAGACCAGATTTCACCTTGTATTATTATTCGCTTGGAACAGGGCATGCCTGTGTTGGGAGGCTTCTATTTGACAGTAGTAGTTTCCCTAATCCGGCTCGGCAAAACAACGAAAAAAGGCGAGCGGGGGTGGGTGGGATGGTCGCAAAGGGAAAAAAGGCAGAGTGTAAAAATATATATCTGGCCAGAAGGGGGGCCCGCCTGGCGACAAGTGTAAGCGAAAAAAAGAAAGACCACAGGATATTGTCACTGCCTGGTTTTTAAGCCTGCCTGGCCGGGTGAAACGGTCTTTTCAAGTGGTTTGGGCTTGAGAACCACCCTGGTATGCTCCACTTGCGAATGTTCTTTTTTCATGAGCTAGCTCAGGGTGCGGAGAAATTTTTGCAATCAATTGCCTGGACTGCATACAGAGGCGCGGTGCGGCACAGAAGCCGGCATCTGGCTGCGGTCGCCGGGCTATATACACTCTGTGCACCGCCAAAACTCCCCCTTTAGGTATATACTCTGCATGCGCCCACAGATCCCACTCTCCATTCCCTCCCCATTAGGCAACCGGCCCATCTCTGGAAAATACTACTGCCCTATCCTTCCCCCATTTGTGCCTCTTCCTTATATAGGTTCCCTTACCCACTTTATACTTTTGGTATCACCACTCTTTCTTTTTTTTCTATACCATGTCCAACCACGACTACTACAGAAACGTGTACGGACGCAGTGAACCAAGAAACCCTTACGACTCGCCTGCTCAAGAGTCTGACAACTTTGTCTCCACCCCATCATACCACTATTACGTTCAGCAGCAGCAAAGACATCAGGGCATTCCTGCTGGCACCACAAACACAAACACACATTTGCATCCCATCTCGTCTGACCACTCAGACACGACTACAACGTATGTGGAGTATAATCTGGACGATCTGATGGCTGAAGATGCCCCTCCGGTGATACCGAAGAAGAAGAAGAAGGCCAAGATGCCTCGGGTGCCCAAGATGAAGAGGAAGAGTGCTGGCGCTGGCGCCGGCCTGGGCTCCAAGGATCTTGAAGCAGGTAAGGAGGAGGTGAACGAAAAGCGTATGCTAAGCTTTATGTTCAGCAAGAAGGTGGACCCGGTGCCTCTTCCCGAGGAAAGAAAACCATACCCATGGTTGACCACCAACTACGTCAACCGAGCTGTTTTCTACTGGATCTGGCCGATTTTGGTCAAGGGCTACAAGCGTACGTTGCAGCCAGACGACCTTTGGTACTTGACCGACGACTTGACTGTCGAGTACATGCACAAGAAGTATAGAGCCAACTTGGATAAGATCTTGCAGAAGCTGAAGGATAAGCATCTTAAAAAGGGTAAGGACGAGGACTCGTGGGAGTGGCCCTTCCACGCGGTGCCTTTGGCTCTTTTCAACACCTTCAAGCTTCAATATACCTTGTCATGCATCTTTTTGGCCCTTTCGTTTGTCTGTCAGGCCCTTTCTCCATTGATCACAAGACGTTTGATTGATTTCGTGGAGTACCGTTACTTTGGCATTGAAACTACCTACAATAAGGGTATTGGCTACACTATTGGCGCCGTCATTTTAATTTTCATTAATGGTTTGCTTTTGAACCACTTTTTCCATAACGCCATGGTGGCTGGTGCCGCTTGTAAATCCATCTTGACGAAAGACGTGTTGATCAAGTCTTTCAAGTTGTCTGCCAAGGCCAAGCATCGTTTTTCTACTGGTAGAATTACCTCCCTCATGAGTACGGATTTGCTGAGAATCGACTTGGCTATTGGTTTCCAGCCGCTTGTGGTTTGTTTCCCAATCCCTGTGGTTATTGCCGTTGTTTTGCTTTTAACTAACATTGGTGTGACTTCGCTTGTGGGTATTGGTCTTTTCATTGTTTCCCTTATTGTGTGTGTGCTTCTTACGTCCAAGTTGTTCTTCACCAGAGAGACGGTTGTCAAGTATACCGATAAGAGAATTTCCTTGATGAGAGAGGTGCTTAATAACCTTAAGGTGATTAAATTCTACGCCTGGGAGTTGGCTTACAAGGCCAGCATCACCAAGGTCAGAAACACCGAAATGAAGTACCTTTTCACCATCAAGGTGTTGAGAAACTTCATCACCGCCTACGCCGTTACCTTACCCACGCTTACCTCCATGATTTCTTTCGTTACTATGTGGAGAACCGGCAACATGAGAGACGCTGGCAGAGTGTTCTCTTCTCTTTCGCTTTTTTCCATTTTGGCCCAGGCCATTATGCTTTTGCCTATTGCCCTTGCTACTGGTGCTGATGCCATGATTGGGTTCAGAAGATGCAAAGACTTCCTCAGTGCCACCGAGTACGACTCTTCTTTGGATGACAAGTTGCGTGCTGAAGAAGAGTACGTGATTGGTTCTGACGAGTCTGTCTCTGGCTTTGACTTCAACAAGGGCGGTGACAACCACGATGCTGACTCTTTCAACAGCGACACTTACTACGGTATTGAACAGGAGAAGACTGACTCGCTGGTGGATATCAAAATCTCCAACGCTGACTTTGTCTGGGAATCATTCCAGGGTGACGATAACGATGACAACTCCCTTTGGGAAGCCACATCTACCAAGTCTCCTATCGGTTCAGGCAAATCCAAGACTGAGACTCGTGTTTCTGTGGAGCTGTGCTCTCTGGACATGAAGCTGTCATTCCCAGGTCTTATGGGTGTTAACTTGACTGTGAACAGTGGTGACTTTGTTGTTATTACTGGTGTTATCGGTTCTGGTAAGACTTCTCTTCTTAATGCTATGGCTGGTTTCATGAAGTTGACCAACCCAGGTGTGGGATCTATTGAAGTGAACAAGGAATTGTTGCTTTGTTCTGCCCCATGGATCCAGAATGCTACCGTTCGTCAGAACATCTTGTTTGGTCGCCCCATGGACAGACAACGTTATAAGGCTGTTTTGAAGGCTTGTTGCTTGGAAGACGACTTGAACGAATTGACCTACGGTGACCAAACCGAGATTGGTGAAAGAGGTATCACTCTTTCTGGTGGTCAGAAGGCTAGAATCAACTTGGCCCGTGCCGTTTACCGTGGTGGAAGCACCATGCTTTTCGACGATGTCTTGTCTGCTGTTGACGCTAGAGTTGGTAAGCAGATCACCAACGACTTGTTCTTTGGCTTCCTTAAGAACCAGACCAGAATCTTGGCTACCCATCAGCTTTCTTTGGTTGCTACTGCTGACAAGATTGTTTTCTTGAACGGTGACGGTACTACTGATGTTGGCACTGCTGCTGAGCTTGTTAGCAGAAACCCTGGTTTCAAGAAGTTGGTTGATTACAGCCACGAGAACGCTTCTGCTCCTCGTCCTGAGGAACAGGCTGATGAGACTGAAGACAATGTTTGCCTTTTGCCAAGCGGTGTTGGTGCTGAGAACGAAGACGATGTTAAGTTGGCTGTTACCCAATCTATTCTTCCTGAGAATGGTGCTGCTGGCGATATCGTTGGTCGTACTATCGAAGACGAAGACAAGGCTGTGAATGCTATCTCCTGGAAGGTTTACAAGAACTACATCAACTTGGGAGCTGGTATTTTCGGTTACACTGCAGCCCCAGTCTTCCTCTTCCTTGTTGCCATTGCTACCTTCTGTCAGTTGTTCACAAACACCTGGTTGTCTTTCTGGATGGAAAAGAGATTCAGCCACTTGTCTGATAACTTCTATGTTGGTTTCTACGTTGCTTTTGCATTTTTGACTGTTTTCTTTACTGGTGTTCAATTCACAATGTTGGCTTACATGAACAACAGATCTGCTGAGCTCTTGAACGTTAAGGCTGTCGAGAAGGTGTTGCACTGTCCTATGAGCTTCATGGACACTAACCCATTGGGTAGAGTGCTTAACAGATTCACCAAGGACACTGACTCGTTGGATAACGAAATCGGAGAGCAGTTGCGTTTGTTCATTTTCCCACTTGCCATGATCATTGGTATTATCATTTTGTGCATTTGTTACTTGCCATGGTTCGCCATTGCCGTGCCATTCTTGGGCGGAGCTTTCGTGTTCTTGTCTGAGATCTACTCTGGCTCTTCCCGTGAAATCAAGAGATTGGAGGCTGTTCAGAGATCTGTCGTCTACAACAACTTTAACGAGATTTTGACTGGTATGCATACCATCAAGGCTTACAAGGAGGAGGTGAACTTTATCAAGAAGAACGATACCTTGCTTAACCGTATGAACGAGGCTTACTTCTTGTCGATTGCCAACCAGAGATGGTTGTGTGTTCACTTGGATATCATTGCTTCCCTCTTTGCGCTCATTATCTCCATGTTGTGTATCACAGAACAGTTTGACATTTCTCCTCAGTCTACCGGTTTGTTGTTGAACTATGTCATTCAGATTGTTGGTTTGTTGTCTTTGACCGTCCGTGCCATGACCCAGGTTGAGAATGAGATGAACTCTGTGGAGAGATTGCATTCCTACGCCTTTGACTTGCCTCAGGAGGCTGCCTACGAAAAGACTGAGTTCAAGCCACCACCAGAATGGCCCATGACAGGTTACATCCAGTTCAAGGATGTCAACTTGCGTTACAGAGAAAACTTGCCTTTGGTGTTGAAGGACTTGAACTTTGGCATTTACCCTGGTGAAAAGGTTGGTATTTGTGGCCGTACTGGTGCTGGTAAGTCTTCCATCATGACTGGCTTGTACCGTTTGAGCGAGCTTGAGTCTGGATCGATCACTATTGACGGTTTGGACATTAGCCAGCTTGGTTTGAGAGACTTGAGATCGAAGTTGCTGATTATTCCTCAAGACCCAGTGCTCTTCCAGGGCTCTATCCGCAGAAACTTGGATCCTTTCCACCAGTACCCAGACAACATTTTGTGGGACTCGTTGAGAAGATCTGGTCTCATTACTGGTGAACAGTTGGAGAGAGTCAGACGTACTGAGTTGGTTGACAACAACTACGACCAGCTCCACAAGTTCCACTTGGACCAGAATGTCGAGGATGACGGTTCCAACTTCTCGTTGGGTGAAAAACAACTTATTGCATTGGCCCGTTCGTTGGTTCGTGACTCCAAGATCTTGATTTTGGATGAGGCTACTTCTTCTGTTGACTACGAGACAGATGCAAAAATTCAGGATACTATCATTCGTGAGTTTGACAAGTGCACCATCTTGTGTATTGCTCACCGTTTGAAGACTATCTTGACTTATGACCGTATCTTGGTGATGGACCAGGGCCGTGTTGTGGAAAAGGGCACGCCTTGGACGTTGTTCCGCCAGAATGGTGTCTTCAAGCTGATGTGTGACAAGGCTCACATTGTGGCTGAAGACTTCCGCAAGCCAGGCGTTTGAAACGCTTGGTAAGCATTAAAACGTTATGTATTTATATTAGACTAAAAGATACCCCCACTTCGATTCTGTCTGTTTTATTTGTAAGGTCTTTTTTTGGCTTCAATGTGTATTTTTAACTAAAGACCTTGAGGCTCTAGATGCTAAGTGAAATGTGCAATGTAGAAAAGAAGATAGGCGTTTGTGGCCTGGACTTCTTGATGGGTGGCATGCGATACAACGCTATCGTCGAATTTAAACCACTGCCCTATGCTGTTTTGATGAAGGCCACATAGTGACCGGTATTGACGGAGCCAATATGTGTGACCACGGCAAATAGCTCGTAGACCTTGCCAGAGTCGACTTCATCGCTGCCTTCGTCGTACTCTGAGACATATTTTGTCAAATTGAGGTATAGAGGTGTCTCCACCTTGACTTCAATTTTAGAGGCGGTGTCATTTGTATGGTTATGCTTGAACCGTTTGAGTTGAATGCTAAGAACCGGTGGGAGCTTGCGGATCCGGAGCGACCGGTAAGGCTTGGACTCGGTGCCGCATGACTGACACTTGGATTTGGCGTCTAGCGCTTCATTGTGAGTGAACTGGTCGAGGCATTCGTAAAGTGTGTTGTTTTTGTGGTTAAGGTCATTCACCTCGAGGGATAAATCGACCAAGGGGTCGACGGTCCGCCTGACGAATCCGCAACTGCCACAAGACACTGAACTTTCTAATTCTCCGGAGAAAACGGTATGAGTGATGCAAGAACAGTTTTCTGGCGTTGGAATATCCAAATGGGATTTCAGCAATGTTCTCTCGTGGTCGTTGTGGAACTCATTAAGTAGGAATTGCCAAAACTCGTGAGCGTCCTGTTCTGAAAAGCCCGCTAGCAGCTGATTCTTATACCAGGCGGTCTGTAGAAGTGTGGTAATGCCGAAACCTTCGTTGGAAGATGCACAGTAGACTTGTTTAAATACAGCGTCAACCAGGCACGTAATACACGCCAGGGAGCTGTCGATTTGGCTGTCATCAAGGTAATGCTGTGCGGAAGGGCAGTTGAAGAAATGTAGGTCGTTATTGAAAAAGTGGTTTCTCACCAATGGATTGTGAAGTAGCGTCTGAAGAACACAGCTCATGAAACATGTGGCGCCCAAGTTGACTATACCCTTAAGTCCCTGGACAGCCACAGCAGAGGGCTTATCGTAGTGTTCGTGTAGCACGTCTTCTCTAGCGGCGGAAGGCGGAATCTCATCCATCGACGCCACGGCTAGTCTAATATCGTTAAGAGCAGAATGGTTGATGTAGTCGCTGCATTGGAAGCAGAATAAAAGCCCATTCTGAGCATCTATGGCAAACATATGGTTCTGTTTCACCGCATGCTCTCTAGCGTGTTTCTCGTAACAACCGACATGCGGACACTGCAAGCAAAAGAAGACCTGGTGGAAGTTTGCAAGCTGGCAATCACTACATCTGATCACCTTATGTTTCAAGTCCATAAACGTCTTTGGCGGGAGCTCCAGGCCGTCCTTCTTCAGGCGGAACACGAGCCGTTCCTTGAGCAGCGGGTTCACAGCGACCAGAATGGCCACCGCCTGCTTATACGTCGCCATAACTGTATCATGAGCACTTGTGCCCAAAACCTTGGTAAGATGGGAACATGGCTGGATATGGCGCCAGTTATCTGGAGGAGGTGTTCGTTGCTGGAGAGCCAAAGACGAGTTCGGGCTGATTTTGCCAGGCGGGTCGTCATGGCCCAGCGAGGAGCCGTTCAAGCCGAAAGGGCCTGACTCTGGCGATGCTGGCATGGCTTGTGATTTAAAAAAATGGGGTTTCTAAGAATGTGGTGGGAAATCCAGCGCCTTTTATACGTAAGATGGTGAAGATGGAGAGATCAGAACGAGGCCTAAAACAGGCGCTACTATCAGCAGGAACAGCGTGGGGCGATGGATCCTGGAATGGGCCGTGGAAGAACAGGGAAGGAAAGGAGGGGGAGTAGAGGAATATAAATAGGGAGAAGATACTGAAATTGGGATTTTTTGGATGTGTTTTTGGGGCTTTTGGAGGTTTGGCGTGGGTTGCTTGGAGCCTGTTTTGGGTGCAAAATGGTTGCAAATGGTGAAATAGAGGAAGTGTGGGTGGAGAGGCAGAGGGGGTAGAGGTGTGCAAGAAAATAAGGAAGGTGGTGTTTAAGGGAACGGTTTTTGAAGTTATTGGAGTTTGGAATTTGGAAGTTTGGGGTTGGAGGTGGACAGTTGGTGGTGGTTTAGCGTGGAGATGGAAGTGTGGACAGAGTCAGAGGAGCAAGAGCGAAGAGGTGGTGGTGATTCGGGAGACTAAGAAGTTTATAATATGAAGGTGTTATGTTTTGATAAAAAGGGATAGTGGTGTTTATTATGGAAGTTCTGTTCATTTCGGGTGGTTTGGCTGGGCTGTTACTGGTGTGTCTCAGATTCACTATAAGTAGGTGGAGCCGGGGAAGATTTGAAGAAAGTAGCTGGTTTGGCCTTTTTGGCTTTTTTGAAGTTAAGACCATTTTAAGGACTTCTGTAAGTATTAGTTTGAAATCGCTGGGCACTTGTGGGGCTGACTAGTGTGATGGGCCTGACCGGTTCCGTCCTCGGAATAGTGATACAAAGTTGGAAGATCAAGAAAAAGGACGAGGAAGAAGAGAAGAGAACTTGGTCAATTTAAAACTATATAATTATTTGGGTATTTGAGATAGTTGTATAAACGTTGTCGTGATATTAGGTTGATTTCCGGAAGTAGTCCTCTTCGAATGGTGTAATTGCAGGGTTCTTTGCCAGGAACAAGCCTTTGTTGAAAAGCTTAAAGAGAAGAAAGCTTCCAAAACGTACCCAGTAAAGCTTACTTTTAACGTGTCTATTTAGCTCTTTTCACTATAAGCAGGGTATTCCATACCTCGAGTCGTTGATGTCGTGACCAAAGACATGCAACAGAACATGGACCATAACGACTAAGACTTGTAGCACAACATGAATTGGCATATTCTCCAATCCTATCTCCTCTTTCATACATCTTACCTTTGTCAAATATAGAGTACCTTTACTGTGTTGCCTGTTTGGGTGCAAAAGCTTAAATGGCAGCTCATTTCCACAGGGCACTTTTATTAACAACTTGGTTCTCCTCTCAGCTTAGAAACCATTGGTTACCCTCCGCCTCTACGATCTCTCCAAACAACCCCATCTCTCACTGCCGTCTTGTATTGTGCCGATCTCGAGGCAGCGTTCTATTTACTCCATTAATCGTAAAAATCGTCATCTTCGTCGTCACCACCGATCGCTGGGCCACGGATACCCTTCTGCACAAACCTCGTTCTTCTGGACTCCTCCAAGTCCTCCTCGTTCTGATTAATTTCCAATCTCTCATCAGCATCCTTCACTGCACCAACCTCAACAAGCACCTTCTCCAAGTCCTTCAACTTACAATCACTTCCACCCAACTGCGTCAACGTGACAAACTGCTGAGCGATCTGCTCTTTGTGGTATATAATTAATGTTGGGCAGTTCAGCTCTGGGTAGTTCTCCACACATCTGTTAGCAGGGATCTCACAGAACTTGATCTCTGGGAACTTACGTGCCAACTCAATGGTATGCAGCCCAAGAAGACGTGATTGCACGGCCAGCTGGGCCAGCATGTGAAGAAACACAAAACAGTCTTTGGAGGCTTTGGTCACCTCGTCAGCGTACTCTGGCTTGGTAACGTGTTGGACGGATCCAAACTTCAGTTTTTGCTGCAACTGTTGAAGCTCTTCGAATCTTTTTTGCTTGTAAATCTCCAAGAAATCCTCGTCTTCTTCGTCTTCAAGCTCATCGAGCTCTCCCATGGTTTTCGTCTCAAGACGGTTCTCATGTTGAGCCTTAACAGCTTGTTCTAAAGCCTCTTCTAGCTCTTCTGTTGGAGACTTTGGTCTTTCTGGGATAACGCCCTTGGCACGAAGAATGTCATTCCACTCTGTATCTTCATTTGGATCGACCTCTACAGGCACCTGGATGTCGTTTAAACTCATTGCAGTTGTATGACTTGTTCGATGGTCTTGACGTTCTGTTGATCTTGAGTCACGTGGACAGTCACGTGGACAATCTGAAAAATCTCATTCAAATCGGTTTCCCAGCCCAAAGTGGTTTGTTGTCTTAAGGGAAGCAGTTTGATACAGGCTTGAGCTTCGGAAGTACCTAACTGCTAGGCGTATAATGGATAATACAGACGCCATCACCCGACATTTATCTTTTTAGAATGCATCACGTGATTCCATATCAAATAGCCTTTCTAATGTACCCCGGACCATGATCGTAAGTTCTAAACCCCCTGATTTTCAAACTATAGTACGATTATACCAGAATCTCTATCCTTCATCCTTCTCTTCTGGGGTGACTTTGGGTTTGTGGGGTGTAGTATCGTTCCACACCCGTACACCACATCGAGAGAGCAGATCATCATGAATCATCCAACCGTCCAACCAACCTCTTCTTACTCCTCCAATATGGTCAAATTCTACCTCAAAATCAAAGCTGAACTCGCTGGAGTCACCGATCTCGAGCCTGTCGACACGTCCGAGGCCCACCACGAATATACCTTCAAAATCGAGTGCACCAAGTGCAGAGAAGTCCATGATAAGCCAGTGAATATCAACAGATTCGAGAAACACGATATCTCCGGATCTCGAGGCGAAGCCAGTTTCGTGTTCAGATGCAAAGGATGCAAGCACGAGCACCTGGCGCTGATTGAAAGAACCAAAGAGAAGGTACAAGCTGGAAACAGCAACAAGTGGACTAACTTGCTTGAAATCGATGCCCGAGGCATTGACTTTGTGGAGTTTATTCCAGAAGGCAGGTGGCAGTGTGTGGGGGAAGAGCTGGGCACGAAGTTCGAGGAAGTGGACTTGGAAGATGCAGAATGGTACGATTATGACGATAAGCAGGGAGATGAGGTGAGTGTGACTGAGGTTCAGTTTGACATTCTGCGTGCCTAAGGAGGGGGAAGCGCTGAAGGAGGATTTGGGTTGAAGATATGGGAGAGGTAGGAGAGATTTGGTGGAGCTGGATCTGAAGGCTTAGACAGGTAAGCTATGGTAAGCCGAAGGACCCGGTGGGATGATGGAATATCATGATACAGATAAGAAATGCAAAGTAAACGGCAACAGCGGCGGCAGCAGCAGCGACGACGACGACTCGAGGATACGAGGATCATCGTAACAGGAAAGACGGGTTGCTATACAGCCATCTACACTTGACATTGACATTGACATGGATATCATTCAAATCAAGCATCGTATAAATAAATAAAAAACATCATAACACAACGTCTACACTCGTCTGAAACAGTAAACAGCACCGTCCAAAGAAATCACGGAAAACAAATGCAATTAATATATACAGTGAACAGAACAGTGGCGTACCAGCGTAGCGTCAGCAGCGTCTAGGACATAATGCAACAGGCAGCTTGCCAGCATGAATGACAGCGTGCTTAGTCTTTACAGGCCTTGGACAAGTAGGTGATCAAGTCGTTTCTGTCCTTTGGCTTCTTCAAACCACCAAAGGCCATCTTGGTACCTGGAATGTACTTCTTTGGGTTTTCAAGGTAATCGTGCATGGTCTGCTCGGTCCAAGTGACACCCTTCTTCTTGTTGGCGTCAGTGTAAGAGAAGCCTTCAGCCTGACCCGACTGTCTGCCGAAAACACCGTGCAAGTTAGGACCAACCTTGTTTGGGCCACCCTTTTCGGTGGTGTGGCACTGGAGACATCTGGTCTTGAAGAGGTTAGCACCCTTCTTCTCGGAACCCTTTTCGAATTTGGCAGGCATGGTTTATAAATATATGTGTGTGGTTGAAAAAAAAAAAAAACGCTTTTAGCAAATTCAGCGAGACACCTCCACTATATATAGGGACGAAGAGGTCGTTTTTTCTTTATTGCCGTCTCACCAGAAAATACCGTACACTAAAGCCAATAAGCAGGAAGCTGATTTTCCGCGGTCTGCCATTGGCCGGAAAAACCTGCTCTTCGCTGGCGTCACGTGATGCGACCTGCCAGTACCAACCCAAATTTCCACCCTTCCACCGTCACGGCAGTGGCAGCTGCCGTCAAAGTCTCTACTAGCCCAGTATGGCCATCCTACGCCACTTTTCACCCAAAAAGCGTGCCAAAACTGCCTGCTTACGCCTAAGCTCGTGCCCATTGGCCCGACGCGACGCTGCCTGGCGGTTCCGGCACGGACAAACTCGGAACGGCACTACGGATGGCATGATGTTCCCCAGACAAAAAAAAGGACAACGATAAAGTAAGAAAATAAGGTAAGTAAGAAAATGTGATAAATCTCTGTATGTGCCTTCAGCTTTGGGAACTGGGTTGTCACAGCTGCATGGGTCTTCTTAGTGATTTAGCCGCGGCATGTCTCACTTTGTATGGCACAGCAAGTAACCGTAGTGTTGGAAGAAGTGTTCGGATGATTTTAGTGTTTTTGGTGATTTAGTGTTTTTGAGTTTTAGTGTTTTTGACTTTTGCTTCCAGGTTAAAGCGTGAACTGTTGGGTCATTTCTCATGGGCTATTGGTGCCTTTTGTGGTACTATTCGCTTATGCTTGTTTGGCTGCGAATGGCTGCAAATGCCGCCAGCAACCGAGGTTGCTTGCTAGCAATGCCACCTGGAAGCAGATTAGCGATGATAAGGCTGGGAAGGGTATGACTGGGGGCTGCTATTGGATGGTTGTGGTGCACCACAGAGCAAGAGGATCTGGGAAGGGAAAAGAAAGACAGGTTAGGTCTGTCTACGTCACCTTTGAAGGGTCCACCCAGATGGGATTGAGAAAGAGACTTCAAAGAAGATGTTCTTGCTTTTGTAGAAGGTAATTGAATGGAAGGTGGTTATGGAGAACAATGCTTGACCTGAAGTGCTGTTTTTGGGACTTTGGACTTTGCTTTGGCTGCTCTCTTTGACAGGTTCTGTCATGCAAGGCAAGAGAAGAAAGAGGGCACGTTGAGCTTTTGCTGGGGCTCGGGACCTTGCATTGTGTTCACAGTGATAATATGTGATTTAGGCAAGAACAAGAAGCCTCTTCCAAGTAGCCCGTTGACGACTATCTACGTAGAATGGTACTTTCTCTGTAATTTTTCGTAAAACATTATCTATTTTATGGGTTACTTTTGGTTTTAAACGTCAAATACAATTCGGATGGGTGTATGCTTGCCGTTGGTGGATCTTCACTCCATCGATACCAGGTCTATAAGCGGTCCTGGTATGAAGTTTGGTTCCCTCGGCTAGTCACCCTGGGGCAACTCCCTTGATGGACTCCGTGAGTCCTGACGTGGGCTTCTGGATCGACTGGCGGATCGACTTCTCGATGGCGACCTCGAATACGATTCAGACCTGCTGTAGGATCCAGACTCCGAGTAAGAACCAGACTCAGACCCTGAATCGCTGCTTCTGCCACGGCCGCGTGGCTCTGGCAAGTTCTTGAGCACCTGTCTCATCTCTTCTGTCAAAACACCCAATCCAATGGCGGTGAAATAGTTAATGGAGAACATGATATGGGCCGAATCAGACTCGTCAACTTGAACAACTGGGAACAATCCACGAAGAGTGGGTTTCACTTCTGGGTCCTGGATAATACGCTTCACTTCGTTGATACCCATCTCTTCAACAAGCTCTTGGAAGAGAAACTTGATGAACACTCTGCTGGCACTGTTGGTGGCAGTTTCAGTCAATTCAATGTACCCCAAAGTGTCTTGAGGGCGCAAGTTATCAGATGCTATCATATGGCCAAAGAATTTACCCATGTTTCGAAGCTGGGACCCTTCGTACTGGTACGAAGTATCGTATTTCTGCTGGAAATCTTTGGTAAATGTCTGATTCCATGCTTCGCTCATGCCGCTCATTTTCTCGCCAATTATACCAAAGTACTTGGAGTAGGTCTTCTCCTGGGCGCAACACTTGACAATCATATCCACAAGCACGCCCTGCTCGAGTTGTTGCTTGTGTCTCACTCTAAGAAGCTTGTGCACGGCTTCTTCGGCAGACATACTGGACATCACCGTCAAGTAGATAGTCTTCTGGTGCTTCAAAAGCGTTTTGTCGGTCATATCGGTGGTTTTCTGTGGATGTTCCACCTTCTCGTTGGGTCTCTCTTGTCTGACCTCTTCAGCAAGAATCTGGCGTCTCAACTGGTTATACGTAGCCTCGGCAACCTCGTATTCTGGGTCGTCCTGGAAGTAGTTAAGATCCGTATACGGTTCCTGAAGGTCTGTGAGGTCCACATAGTGCGTAGCCTTCTCTGAAGCCTCCACCAAATTAAGATCCGGGTCAATTAAATGCTTAGGACGGTTCCGGCGGTGTTCAAGCAAAAACTGAATATCCTTACGGCGTTTTTCAGCCAACCCGCCCTCCTGGAGCATCATCCTCAAGTTATCATAAATCAAGTTGGCCAGAGACCGAGAGTTCTTCTCCAAGTACGCCAGCAAGTTCTCCAAAGCATACGACGCCAAATGCACCGAATCGTCCGTCACAGACTCTTCAAGCAAAACCTGGAAAATCTGCAATATCACCACATCCTCCACCACCTGTTGCTTCACCAACTCACACAAAAAGAGCAACACTCGAAAGATCCTCGTGCAATCGTTCTTCATATACAAATGCTTCCAAAGCGCCACCGTCCGAGCCCCCACAAGCTCGCCAATCTGAGGAAGCTTCAGGTTAAGCACACACACCAACAGCGCAAACACAGCGTGTTTCTCGGGCTCTGTAAGCACATTAGCTAGGATTGCTCGTGCCAATATGCCTCTTCCTCTCACACAATTCGACTCGAAAAGCTTCACCGAAACATGGCGAATGTTGCTTTTGTTGGCACGTGCCACCTGCTTGCCTATGGTTCGTCTTAGCTGAAGCCACAGTGTCCGTTGGTCCATTTAGCAAAGAAAGCGTGGAGTAGGTTGGTGATCCAGAATGGCTGCGAAGACTGCTAAGTGTGTATATGGGGGACCCTTTGGAGCATTGGATGGATGCGAAGAGCATCGAATACACCATCTCGAGGGAGAGTGAAAAATAGACAAAAGGAGCAGTGGAAAATGCTAATACGAAGGTGGTTATCACGTGGTGCTCTGGCTTCTGCTCTAGCCAGGCCTGGAAAGCCTTCAGGGTCTCATATCAAAGAGAAGCTTGCACATTTCGTGGAGACGGGACAGATCCAGACGTTTACGCCTGCTCAGGCAGCGGCCAATCTACAAAGAAAGAATCGAAGGGCGGCTGCTAGCGCTGCTAAGAATACGCTTAGTCCTCAGAAAGCGTTGCTTTTGTTGCGGTCGAAGTATGATACTGGCGTTATACGGTCCAAGGCTTCCAAAGAGGTTATACACTTGGATAAGATCAAACCGAGCGATTTGGCTGTGGAGTCGAAGATGTCGCTTTCTATATTTGAAAGCCTCGCAGAGATGAAGAGTGTAGGCCGGAAACATGTACCGCCAAAGCTTTTGCTTCACTTATTGGGGATTACGCCAGAAGCGCTTTTGGACCCGTTTAAGGTGACTGAAGCTACGCTTAAGCTTTTGGAGATTGATCAGGCTCCTACAAGAGCCATGGAGCTTTGCCATTTGGCTCGTGGAAACGCTGTGGTGGCGCTGAATGCCGTCATTGAATGGTGTATGGACCATGGCAAGATTAAATGGGGCCAGAAGGCTCTTCACGACCGCAAACGGTGGATGATTCCTACTAATGACCAAACTTACGTTCTTTACTATAAAGGGTTGGCAGATAATCACGAATGGGGTGCTTTGCTGCGTAGTGCTGTGGTGGATGCCTTGTCTACGTATGATCGTATTAAACGGCCGCTGGTTGAAGTGTTTAATGCTTTTTTGCTGTTTGCGATGAAGAACTATACGAATAATCAGCGTCTAGCAATGGAGTTTTTCGAACGTGCTGAAACTGCAAAGACATTTGTGCCTGATTGTCAAACGTTTACTATCTTTCTCAATGGCAGGAAGCGTTATATTCAAGACCAAGTGGCTCAAATTAAAGATGCCCCTAATATCTCTGCTACAGAGAGAACAAGACAGCTTTTTGCAGCCCAGGCTGAGTTGGTAGAGACCGCCACCAATGTGTATAAGAAGGTGATGGCTCTGGCAATGCCCCCTGTGCCTCCTACTAAAGAAGAAGCAGAAGCTGATCCAGGCAAGTTGGAACATTATAGAAAGCAGACATCCCGTCTTCTTATGGATATAGATCCAGTTTTTGCATCGACTTTCTTGCAATGTTTCGTCAACAACTTTTCGGGTACTTCTGTCACTCCTCGTTCTGGTTCCCACTACGAGTACATGCTCCAGGGCCTCGAGTACCTCAAGATGTGGTGCCCTGAAGTTGAGTCAATGTTGCATTTTGCTAAGGAGAACGATGAAAGCAAGGTTCTTGCGCCTTCAGCTGATATCAAGAGACGTACTGAGGAGAGAATCCAGGAAGCTGAAGTGCCCGAAACTGATCTTCCTCTGACCCATGTCAAGGAGCTTCTGCTTGACGAGGTTAACCCATTGGTTGTATTCCCACCGCCAGCATTCTCCACAAACAAGACTAGAGCCATTTTCTCAGACAAGAAGAAGAGATTGGTGGACTTCTCGAGACCAAGGTTCTCTGACATCAACAAACTCGTTCAGCACCAAAACTATATCAACTCGGACGGCAAGTTTGGAGTAAAGCTTCCATCGCTGAAGCTGATTTCCCTTGAAAAAGGCTTGGGAATCAACGCTTTCTTGCTCTCCAACGCTGTGGACTCCATCTTGAAGGTCGGTGCAGTTAAGGAATTCTACTTGGCCATGTGGTATATTTTGACGAACTGGGGTGGCATCTATGTCAGTAGAACTGATTTGCGTAAACATGTTGCCGAAGATTTGACATGTGGAGCACTCCCCAAGTCTCAGTATCCTGACTTGACCAGGGCAAGAAACGATAAAGGCAAGTTTGTGGTAAAGGAATGTCTTGTGGGCGAGAGAGGTGCAACTGAAGATGGTGGAGAGTTCAGTAAGCTTTCTTTAAGTGAAAAGATGGACTTGACGCCTCCTCATCAACCAAGCATTGTTGACACTATGCTTTTGGAGAACTTCATTTACAAAATCGATGACAGTTTCCCTAAGCGTTATGTTCCCGCTAGGTTCATTACTGAGCTTCTAGCAGCTGTGCTTTCGCCAACCTCGAACCTCTCCAAGAGCCTCCAGCCTCGTGAGAAGACGTTCGATGCTGTTTTCTCTGTGCTCAAGAGAGAAGTCTACTTCTACAACGATAAGAATTTGCATAAAGGTGCTGTGGACAAGCGCAGAAAGAAGCTCCGTAATAACACCCCCAAGAAGTCTTTGACAGCGGAGCAGCTTTTTGATGTGCTTGACCCACTCAGTGTGCTTATGAGATGTATAATGGTTCACGAAGCCAGACTCTACGGTTTGGATAAAAAGAGACAAGCGCTTATGCTGAACAAGTTCGTGGAGTCCTACGACAACCTCATCAACCACATCAACTCCACGACATGGATAGATGCTCCAGATAACCATAAAAACGCTTTCGAAGTGCACAAGAAGATTATTGGCTCGGGTATCTTGTTCTACACGCCAAAGGAACTCTGTGATCCCAGCAAGAACATTGCCAATGCCAGAGAAGTCGCCAAGTCTGTGTATTTCGTGTATGGAGCGTTGAAGGACCGAGACGATCTCGACGATAAGCTGAAGAAGTTGATGCTTGCATTGAAGTCCTTCATTCAGTTGGAGTCCAAGCTGGTTGATGTGGAAGAAAAACTTAGAGCTCTCCAGTGGAGAGTCTACAACGCCTGTAAATAGAGCCCCAAGGCAATGACGAATGCATGTATGATGGTGTAGAAGATTAAGGAGAAGTTGAAGGAGGGATGGATATCTTTTGCAGCCATTTATGACTAGTTGCTACCACCAGTACTATACGACCCTGGCAGTTATTGGAACATAAACTCCAAATCAGTGAACTTAGATCCAAAGTAGGTTAAATTATAGATATACTACCCTCTGCCCCCCTCCAGAAGACCAATCTTCGCCATACCCCCAGTCCATACTTACCATCCATTTCGCAGCCATTCTATATACCCATACATAACGCACAAGCCACAGTTAACTCGCCCACTTTTGCCAATATCCAGAATCCAAAAACACCACCAAACTCCCCTTCACTTCTCCACTCTACCCTCCTATTTTCAGCCAACCCAAGTCATCCCTCCCCCAACAGCCTATCCCTCCTCTTCATCCACCCCAGACAAGTCAGTGCGAAAAACCACCTTTCCCCAGATTTCACCAACCATGGCCTTTTCTACAGTTTTGGTCGTGAAAGATCCAGCCAGAAACGACTACGCCCGTTTCTTCGAGGCAGTGTTCACCCACATTCCAGCTTCGCTTCCTGGAATCGACGTTTTGGTGCTTCTGCCGGTGAAACAGACCAAAGAGCTTAACTATGTGCTTGCCAGGCTCTACGACCAGTTACGTGGGTACGCTAACAAGAGGGAGTTTTCGTTTAAGTTTGAAATAACCGTGCTTTTGGAGTCGCCCAGGGATGACTGGGACGTGGCGTTTGTGCCGCTGCTGGAGGCTGGCGATGTGGATGTGGCTGATAAGGTGATACCGTTGGAAGGTGACATCACCAGGGTTGAACCACCTAGTTTCGAGTCTTTTGGCAGTCGCCAGTTTCTGGTAAGTGCTGTGGGTGGCACGTTTGATCATCTTCACGATGGACATAAGATCTTGTTGCTGGCAGCTGGGTTCGTTACGCTGAAACACCTTATTGTGGGCGTGACGGGGCCTCAGATGCTCTTGAAGAAGAAGTATGCTGAAGTGATGGAGCCAATTGGACAGAGGATCAAGGCGGTGACGAAGTTTTTACAGCAGATCTTGCCGCCTTCGGTGACGTTTGCTATTTACCAGATTGACGATGTCTGTGGGCCTACTGGGTTTGTTAAGGATATTGATGCATTGATAATCAGTGAGGAAACGAGAAAGGGTGCTGATTTCGTTAATGATTATAGGCAGAAACAGGATTTTCCTGTGTTGGAGGTGGTTTCGGTGGATGTTCTTGGTGCTACGGGTAAGGAGGACGAGAACTGGGAAGGTAAAATCAGCTCTACTGGCGTCAGGGAAGAAGAGGTCAAGAGATTGGCCAAGAGACAGAAACGTCATTGAAGAAACATACTAAAGCATTCTAGAATACACACATGTGGCGAAGAACAACCATGTATTGGTACAAAGATCAACTTTGCTGGCATACGAGTTTTATCGGATGGAGATACCCTTCTCGAAAGGATTTGGACGACGTGGGTTCCTGTCAGGATGGTCAAGCGCAAGGAACGTGTCGGCATCAAACTTCTTGATCTCCTCAAAAAGCTCCAAGTTAGGATTGTCGCTATCAAGGTACCGGCCCTTGTCATTGGCGTCTGTGAGCGCAATGCGGACCTTGTCGAATGCCTGTCCGCCAAGTCCAAGCTTCTTGCGTAACCTGATCTTTGTCTCCTCGAATGGTTCGCCAGGGAAGACGGCAAAGATGAATGGCTTACTGTGGCTGTAAGCAGGGTTTTTATGGAAATGGAACACTGGAACAAGGTTCAACTTTTGTGAAGTCTTCTGAGCTTTTTCAAACTCCAGTCTGAGAAGTTCGTCTTCGATATCCTCCTTGGATACGTGCTTTTCGTCAAAACGCTTGAACAAGTCATTGCTGACGAGAATCTCAACCTCTGCTGGGAAGTAGCCGCAGTAAACCTCAGATGCATCTGGAAGATCGCTGATTTGACGGTCAAACTTCACCAAGTCGCTGTATTTACTTTCCTGGCCAGCCCATACAAGCAAATTGCTCCAAAGCTTAGGTGGGATATCAAGCTTGTGAATTAATTTTCTCACCAAATCGGCAACGGTGCTTGTCTTAGGCACCAACAAGTCAAATAAATGGAATTGTTGGATACTGTTCATCCAGTAGATCTTCACCGACTGAAGATTTTCGTATTCCTTCAATGTGATGTTAAGAATCTCATACTCGAAGTTTGTAACAGAGGATACAGAAACCTGCTTAGTAAACACTTGCGAAAGGGATTGGAACGACAGTAATGGGAATCTGGTTCCATGGTTGTTCACCACAAACAAACGTAACTTAGCAGGGTCAACATTGTCTCCAAGCTTTTTAGCAACGGCGTCAGCCAATTGGGCATAAGAAAACTGAGTCAGAATCCACATGTCTGTAGACTTGCTCATTTCCTTAGCTAGCTCGATCTCAGCAACCTCAGCTTGAGAAGCCTTTGTTTGATCGCCGTTTCTGTTGTCACCGTTCTTTTCTTCATCAGCCACGAAATCACTGTCCTCTTCCTCTTCGTTCGCCTTGAAAGGCTTCACATGGATATGAAGTCTCGTAAGGAGGAACTCATAGTATTCCTTAGCATTCACAAAAAGCCTGTCGAATGTAGCACTCTCAATATCAGCAAGCTGGACTGTTAAAATATCGCCAGTTCCCAACTCGTTCTTCTCGAACGTCAAATTCTCATCAATAGGCTCAATACTGGTATGTGTAACTTCTTCAAAATATGTCAAAGGAGTGCTGGCATCAAATTGAAGCACATTGTTGATGATAGGAGTCAACAGCGAAACCTGAGCATCTAACGGAACTCTAGCGTAAGTGAGACCACGAACCTCGTCACTGACAGGATCAAAGTATTTGACGAAGATTCTGATTGAATTCGATGTGTCATCATCCCATGAGCGAGAGGACTTATTCGAAAGGATTCTTTGAGTGGCAGCCTCAAAGTCAAATTGCTCTGGGCTTATCAACAGCTGAGCCTTGTCAATGCTTTGAAGTTGCTTCTGGGGTTCATCCACAAAGAAGACCATCTCTTCGTAACGGCGCTTGAAGCATTGAGTATAGACTTGACTCACGGTAGCGTCTTGAAGCAGCTCTGCAACCGGTGCATCTGGTCTGTTGGTTCTGTTGTTTCTGTGACTCACGCAAAGAAGTCTAAATGGCCACCGCAGCTCACCTTCGCTGTCAACGGACACAGTTTTATCTGAAGTTTGTCCGGTTCCGTTTGGAATCTCATAACCCAATTGTTCTGCCACTTTCTCATAAAGCTGAGAGAATGGTGCATCCTTTTTCACCTTGATTGTAGTTGGGTACGCATCCTTGTGGAAGATGTTTTCATCGTAAAGACGAGGCTCAGTAGGATCTGGATATGTATCAAAGCCATTATAAGATGCAAAGTTCTTGACAGTGATGATCTTGACATACATGTAGAAGAGGGCTTCCTTTCTGGCCGTCTCGGCCTTCAAGAACTCTTCTTGCTCTTTCTCAATTTGCTCGGCGACATACTTGGGAGTAGGGGCCAAGGTGTTGTTTGGTGGCAACAACTTCTCCAATTCAGACTCGCGCAAATACACCAACATGTAAGCTGACGTAGCTCTTCTTATCAAGTACTCGTTTTGTTCACTGCGAGTCTGTAATCTAAGCTGCTGAGGAGAGATCTCAGATGCACCGTAGTTCTCATAAAATACCTGGTTTGGAGTTGCTTTCCATACCTTGTCGTCATCAAAACGTAACCATTCGTCGTCATGCGATTCTGGTTTGATCAAACCGTAGTAATGGCCATTCGAAATGCTACCTTGGTGTACCAATACACCATGAAGTTTATAGTTCCAGTTTTCGTTTTTAACCTCCTCGGGCAAGTCTTCATCGAGGAAAGGTCTAAGATCAACGCGATCTGGGAATTCGTAATAGTCGTCAATTTTCACAAGGTCGTCGACCATAAAATCATATTCAAATCTCTTTAGCTGAAGGTGGAGAATAGGTGGGAATGAACGGAAAACAACACCCTTTTTAGCGTCCTGGTATCCATATTGGTCACCAGCTTGATATTTGTTCTCGCCATCAAGCATTTCAATCTCAATATAGTTCTTGAACGATTCTGTAAGATTCTTGAAGCCTCTAACATTAAGCTGAATGTCCCAAAAGTCCTCTTCTCTAGAAGATTCGTAAGGAACGTCAACACACTTGATATACGACTTCATCTTACCCACAAAGAGATCATTAAGTTTGTTTTCAATCTTGGTTCCCTTCATAGCCATCTCAAGCTTATCCATCAAAACACGGTTAAGTTCCTGAATATCATGCTGAGTGAATGCATCGGTGGAGTCCCAACCAAAAGATTTTGTTAATTCCATGGTACCCACGGGCTCATTTGACAGTTGCAAGAGGTAGAAGATTCTTTGCAACGCCAATGGGACAGCCTTACTCTTTGTTTCACTCTGAGGGTCTGTAGGAATCTGGTTCACCAAATCTCTAAACGTTCTTGTCGTGTAGTAGGACTGAAGAAGAGAGTTAAGGTAACAGGTGGCACCCTGGTTGTTCAAACCAACATAACCTGTTTGAGCCTTAGAGTCGTAGTCAATCCAATTGTGCCACAAGACACCTGTGGATGTATCATCAATCACACGAACGTAACCTGTGAGATTGAACTGGTTCTTCTCCATCAAAGAATGGGAACGGCCAAACTTGGCTGCGTTCAGAAGGTCTCTGACGGAGATAAAAGACGAGAAACCCCAATCGGTTTCATTTTTGTTAAACCTGTGGCTCGAGCTGCTTGGATAATGCACCTCTGGATGGTTAGGGTTCCACATGTCAAATGCAAATTGAGCGCAAACATACCAATTTGGATCAACATTGCCGTCGGCATCCTTTGGTGGGTGTGGCTCCATGTACATTGAAATCAAGTCGTTACTGCCCTTGGGAAACAAGAGAACGTTCCAGGTGTAGCCACCACACTCAAACTCGGGGCCCCGAACCTTCTCTTCTTTCCTCAAGGCATTCCAGTCCTTGATCTCCCATACCACGTAACTCTCATCTTTCACAGGGTAATCAGGAACGGGTTTCATCAATCGTTTGCTCACATTCTCAAAGTCGGTGGCCAAGAGTGACAGTGGAGGTACTCTTCTTGGATCAGGCTGTTGTCTTGTAGGAGGAGTGATCTCCTCGATCTCGTCATCATCGTGGCCCAGAACGTCCTCGTCCATATCTCTGGGCTCGGCGTCCAGAGCCTCAGACACGTTTTCAGCGTCGGAACCGTCAATTGGCATTCCAGACTTGTCCAACATCTCATAGTCACTGCTGTCGATCTCCACCACATCGCCTTGGGGACCGTCAGCGGCGGTGTTTCCACCGGTAGCGGGGTTGCTAACCATATGAGAAGCTAATCTGGAGTTTTCAGGCGGAGGCAGACCGGGATCGGTGCCGATGATGTGCTTCTTAGCTGTTGTGGTTTTCTTGTAGAGCCTCACTGTGGGCAGGCGGGGGCGGATTAGTAGGCAATAAGGGGGAACTGGGAGCTCGAAGGTTGCAATTGGGCAGCACTTATGGTAGATATGCCTAGTTTAAGTTCGATCAAGTGCTGTTTGTAAAGCAACGCCAATTGTATAAGAAAGAGCTACTCCGAAGCAAGGGATATGGGACGTGTGATCCAGGTGCGGTCACGTGCGCGGCACGTGAGTCTTGGCCAAACTGTGGAGTCCCTGCCCCTATCCTGGAGATTTGGGAGGTTTAGGAGGGTTTTCGGAGGCTGGGGAAGGGGAATTTTGCCCTGGTGGGTGTTTTGGGTGGTGGTTTCGGGAAAACGTGGGGAAAAGCGTACAGCAAACAAGTGGGCAGATCACGTTCGGGTACCATGGCCGATGCCCGGTGAAACTGGAGAATAAGGGGTGTTGGGGAATGTTTAAGAGGTGTTTAGAGGTGTATATGTTTATTTTAGGCTGTTGGATGGTGAGATCATCAGTTTGGACAGGTTTGGTGGTGATTTTGGAAAGATGAGTTGGAAGTGTATGGCTGCGAAATCTCTCCATATGGACTTCCGAAGCGCAAGATGGGCATTTAGGAGGGATACAGGGAATGGAAGGTTGAGTTGGTTGGGGCGGGAATTGAATGGATTAGTAGTGTTTTGGGGTGGAGAGGAGAGAGAGGAAATGGGAAAAGGAGGTTTTTTGGTTGGCTGGTGGTGGAAGTACTGGTTGGTTTGGGACTTAAAGTGGTGTACTGGGCATCTCATTGGGCAGTGTAGAGGGAGAAATGGAAGGTCCAGTGTTTTCTGGGTATGTGGCCTTTTTGGGGGAATTTTTGCACATTTTATGGGGAAGATATGGCAAGGAATTGGGCTATATACTTTGTTTTGTGGTTTAGAGGAATTTCGATTTTTGGCGTGGTGTTGAACTTTTTGCAACTGGTCGGTATGGCTGTATAAAAGTGAGAAATGACGTAGTCAGAGTGGTTTTCAAGGGGAAGTTAAGATTTTGGGAAGTGAAATAAAGAAGAAGAAGGAAACTTAGAAGATAAGTTTGAAAGTTGAATTTGCTTGAAATTCGGGCGAAAAGGCTTCGAAAGAAGAGGACTAGTGGAGGAAGTATGGTTCTGGGTAGTTTCCATATTGGCTGCGAAATCTACAGTGTTATCCACTGGGATGATCAGAGGAGGTGGTTTAAAGATGGAGGTATTAGTGAAATGAATATTTTATTGAGCGATTAGTTGGGATTTCAATTTATAATCACTGGGTTGGAGTTCGTTCAGGGGGTAGTGCTTAAAGAGGGTGTACCACACGAGAAGGTATAAGCAGCTGGACAATAGATACCGTTATTTCAATAAGTAGAGGCATTTTGGACTGAAGGCAAATTCTGAAGTCACCTGGTACTACCGGTTTAAAGTGACTGGGTAGATTTCTACGTCTTTGACGCCCTTTGATGATGCTAGGGCGGTAGGCTATTCTGGTATCAGCCAAGGCACTCATACATAGACAAATGCTAAACCAAATAAGCTTCCAGCCAATCGTGGGAAACTTCAAACAGAAAAATAGTACGTTTTTATCTCTAGCGTCGCTTAGAAAAGTCCACCTGTCCTTTTAGCTTTCTGTAGCACACCTCCATAGACTACCAATATCACCAACCACACTGAACAACCAATAACCATATTCCACAAACCACAACCTCTCCCCATCACTTCCTCATCCCATCTCTTCACCTCTCCATCTCTTCATTTCTTCCCGTTTCTTTTTCTAAATCTTCCACGGTGCTTCTTTTGCAGCCACTTCCCGCCCTCGGACCTTGCATTATACTACATCAAAAGATACACAAACGACAACCCAAACCCACAATTCTTGGTTTTTCCCATGCCCGATGAGCCCTCGAAAGCTGGTCCGGTTCTGAACTCCGGATTGCCAGAGCTCAAGGCCGGATTTCGAGCCCAATCAGTGCTCATCCCATTTTACACGCTGTGCTTGATGCATTTTATTGATGGGAACTCTGCGTCTAGACCATACAAGCTCCACAGCTTCCAGGCGATGGGCCAAGTGGTTTTGTGGTTTTAGGGGTGGCCACTCCGAGGCAAGGCGGTAGGTGGTACGATAAAGAGATGTTGATTCGGCGGAAGAGGTTAAGCAGGCGAGGCTAATGCCAGGCAAGTGCCAGGCAGATGTAAGGCAAATATGTAAAGCAGGATGTGGTACTGTGGAGCGATATTGTCGAGGGTCGTTTATGCCAGGCGACAATAAGCATACCCGATTTGAATAGGGATCTTCCAGATCGGGAGGCCCATGAGGCATTGATTTGTAATGTATAGTGTGGACGGGAGGGATGGGAGTGGTTAGGGTATGGATTAGCGGGAGTTGGTTGTGGTTGGCCAGAAAAAGGGGTACTTTGGGGAGGTTAAGGTAGTGGGAGGCCATATACTGGAAGGCCATATAGTGGGAGGCCATATACTATAATGATGGAAGTAGACGTAGTAAGGGACCTACCTACAATACCCTAAATGCTACTTTAAGTAGAGTATCGTAGGAAATTCACTAAAACCGGGAAATACCGTTCTTTGGTATTGTTGTTGGTACTGTGGTACCCTACTTGGATACTTGCCCTCTATGGCTCAATAAACCACCATTTCGTGAACCACATTCCTGGTCCACCAAAGCCCCAGGCCAACCTGGAAGTGTCTATTTAGCCTGCTAATTAAGTAAAATGCTTCATTGACTGCCGAATGACTGCCCATTGACTGCCTGGCCAATGTGGATGGGTGCAAAACCGGATACCCGACAAAGACGGCCATTCATTCCCAGCAGACAATGAAGGTATCGTAAACGGTGGAACAGTTCCATCTGAAAAAAACCCACCAGTCCAGATCAAACAAGAAAAAGCCAAATAATCGAAAAAGAAAGAAAATAAGGAGATCAATGGATGGCCAAGTCCATCCTATGGATACTCTCCCGAAAGCAAGTTAATTGCTATTTCACAAAAATGCATCCCCAATCGAATTCCGAGGTTTCCAAATCCAACCAAACCCGATCCAGATTAGTTAGCCCAGGTCAAAACGGCCGTGGGTCCATTCTCCATGTTTTCATGTTTCTGGAACCGGCCCAAACAGAAACAGCAAACTAAGACACCCGCATGTTGTGCTAAGTGGATGTTTCGGGAGTTTACAGGTACCAAAGGGGAAGCCCCGAGGGAAAGGAGAGGAAGAGTTAAGGGGGTTAGAAATGGTGAATTTGTGGATTTGGTGGGTTTGGGGGTTTGGAAAATGTGAAAAATTACGTGGAAGTGGCAGGTGAAAGGCATGAAATGGCTGCAAAGTGAGAGTTTCCAGGGGTTTCAGAGGTTTCCAGAATTCTTTGAATTTCTTACTTTTTTTGAAAAAGGAACCTTCCATTTCCAACAACCCACGACGACCCAGCAATTTCACCAGCAAGTGCCACCTGTTTCTCCCACAATCCAGGCCAGTGTCGATGTGGAACGACGAAATGGCATTGGATTCAGTGAGGACGCACAAAAAGCGAAAAAAAGTGGATTTTTTCAGGCGATTGAGGCGAAAAAACGCACAAAAGTGAAAAAAAAAAGGCCATGAAAAAAAAAGGGACGAAAACGACGAAAATGGATGCAAATGAGAAAATCGAGGAATGTAGAGGAACAAAAACGGCATGAATTAATTAAGGTTATGGTGTGAAAATGGAACTAGGGAAAGGAGAAGGAGAAGGAGAAGTAGGAAACAGGAAAGGACAAAAAAGGCAGGTTGTTTCAAGTTTGTCTGGTTCTGGTTCGTCTGGTTGTGGTTTCAGGATTGGGTAATCTCTGGACGTCAATTGGTCCCCAAGAGTCTCACATTGGAAGAGGAAGAAAGTAGTGGAAAGGACGTAGAGGAAGTAGAGATGAAATTAGGTTATGCTCTTTCGGTTATTCGTTTGGTACGTTTGGAATGCCGATTTTCTTGGACTCGGGGATCTGGTAATTGGCTGTTTCATGGACTCGAGGTGGGATGGTGCCGACTCAGATCTAGACCAGAGGGAAGGAAAAGCGGTTATTGGGTGAGAAGACAAGGCGAAACCAACGAATTAGTGGATGATTGCATAGAGGAGAGCCGCTGGACGCAAGTCATATACTGGAATAAGTAGCGCCGCACGTCGGGTGGGAGAACCGGGGGTGCCCAATCCGGCCCAATCACGGCCCCCTTCCCTGAGCCAAAGGCCAGGGAAGTGGGATGGGATTGGGTGAACAGAAAGGGGCATATTCATAAATCCATATTCCTCTGGCTGTATTTCGACTACTCCCGTGGGGGCGGGCTTGGGGGACTGTGCCAAATCAAAACACGAGGGTTTGTTTGATCGTCTCGACGATCGCATCACGTGACTTACATCACGTGCCGCTAATAAAGAATTTTTTTCTTGTTTATTATTTCCCACATCCGAGGGCGCCATCGCCCACTTCCGAACCAATAACATTACCCCCGGAACTACCCAAGTCGGAAATCCCAACAGCACATATCGGTCGTTGCAAATTACCCTCGACTCCCAATCCACCCCCGAATCTCTGGCTGCAAATTCATAGTTCACTATAACTATCACTATTAAATAGCACTTAATACTCCTTTCCTTACTTCTCTCCTTGGGGGCCTGGCGGAGCGGTGGGCGCGATTCTCAGCCTCTAAGCCAATCATGGCTTTGCCGGTTTTTGTGGTTTTTCGAGCTCTAAATGGTGTATAATAGCTCTTTGGCTGAGTCCAGAGCACAATGGCTTTTAGGCCAGATAAAGGTAATTTAGACGATTCAATTGGACAGTTGAAGAAAGGAGAACACTCGAAAACCAAGTATCTGCAAAAACGGTGATGTAGGAAAACAGCCACAGTGACTACGGTGACGTTTAACGTTGTCACGAAACGTCCACCAGGCTAAACCAATACGAAGATCGGATCTCAACTAAGAAACGCCCCGTTTTAGTCAAACTAGTTTCCTATCAATTTTCAAGTGAATGTGTTGAGTAGACGATTTATTGGACCGTTCACGGCACGGATTGTTTCCTGCTGAGCGTATTTGACGTCGTAGCCAAGCCACATTGTTGAATGAGCCACCATAGCGAGGCATTGAGTTATACTGAATCGGGAAAAAAGCGTTGACGGTGGACGAAGTCGACGTTTGGTGTTTGGTGGATGAGGTTGAGGTTGCAGTGGCTTCGAGGAAGTGGACGTTGAGGTCCAGGCAGAGTTGATGTCCAGGAAGGCGGTGTTGTTTAGTAAATTAAAGGAAGGGAAAAGAAGGGAAAGGAGGGAAGGGAGGTATTGGAAGGGAATGGGTTGGAAGGAAGAAGTAGAAATGGAAGTGGTGGAGGGAATAGTAGAAATTGGGTATTAAATGGAAGGGAAGTGTATTCAGTGGTTGAAGGGAGCCAAGGGAGCCAAAGGGCCAAAGGAAGCTTTAGTGACCTCTTTCGATATCATCCACTCTATTTACTCCTATTTCTGTTCAACCTTGGTAACCGTAAAGTTAACCTTCTACAAGTCTCCTTTTGCAACCACTCCACGCGACGTAGGCACCAAAAGGACCACCAGAGCAGGTACCAGCAAGGCAATAGTAAGACCAGCAAACTTTACCCCTTTCTCTTCCCCATATCTCCAAAAACTAACCCCTTTCCTTGTTTTGTGGGCGTATTTGTTAAAGCACTGTCGCATGGGAATATGCCGAGGATCCAAGACGAAACCAGGCATTCCAGGGTAAGGAAGGTCCCGCTCAGCCTTCCAAGGAAGGTCAGGTCAGGTCGACCATTTGAAACGACACTAAAGTAAATGAAGAAAATAAAGAGTTGCCCCGCCTTTTTGTGTTGGTTGGTTTCTTGGACCGTGGTTGCCTTGGCTCTTGTTGACGCAGTAGTACCAAGCAAACGCTGGAAGTCAAAACACGAACGAAACACGGAGAGGTAGTGGGAGACGGAGGGAAGTGAAGAAGAAGATGGAGAGTGGAAATGGGTGGAAATTGGATGTTTAGGTAGAGAAGTAGGGAAGAAGCGTGAGAGGATAAGGAAGGTGAGCTTAGGGAAGAAGGGAGGAAGAAATGGAATAGGAGGATGGAGAAGAACAATAATGGGTACTTTGGAGGGAAGAGAAGAGGAATTGGGGAAATTGGAAAACGTAGAAAAAGTAGAAAACCGTCATTGGATGTGTTTTGTGGATACTGGTGGATGTTCTATGGACATGCTTAGACGAAGCAGAAGAAGCAGAAGAAGTAGAAGAAGCAGGAGAAGCAGGAGAACTGGGAATGGAAACCTGGAATTCATGGAAGCTTCTTCTTTGACTTCTTCAGACCTTCGAATTTCAAGTGACGGAACGGAATAAAGTGTTTTTTAGAAGTATTTTTGAGAGAGCTAGGGAAGAGAGGTTTCCATGAATGGCTGCAAAACGCCCTTCTGACATGTCTGAGGATGTAAAACACGACCTCAAACGGCCCCCACTTGACCAATATCCATGCAAATTACGTACCTTCAACTTCGGCCTTCGCCTAACCCAGACCATCCACTTAAGCCATTTGACCTTTCTCTTCCTCCCTTCCTGGTCCCTTTCGTTGGTTGAATAAGGTTCGTTTCGTTCGCAGGAGTGCGAAGGAGGCGCCAAAGGCACCCAGAAAAAGGCACTGGAAAAGGAGAAACACGATAGAAGGACGCACAAAATATACACCAAACGGGCTAGCGAAAAAGGAGCAACGACGTCATCGGCTGGGTTTACTATAGACGTTGAAGGCACCAGGAAATGGGTATTGGGCACTGGCTATTTGGTGTGGACCAGTTCCGGGGCCACTGTGACCGGAATGGGTTCGTTTTTGCCGACTACAACCACCGAAACTTGGAGCAGATCCTACCGGCTTGGAGGCAAGGTGACCCCGGCCTGGGCTAGTTAACTGGCCGGTGTAACATGATGAATTGACCGGCTGGAGATCAGACCCTCGGGCTGACAGTGGCCTGGGCCAAAAAGACCGGGGGCGCCTAGACTCACCCTCGGAAATGGCAGCGACGCACCACTGACGCACAGCGGTACTGCAGTGCACATAACCTACAAAGGGACGCATGCCGCGAAATCTCAATGGGAAATTTTTTTTTTTCTAAACAAAATAAATCGGCAGGTTTCGCTTTCCCACCCCTATATAAAACGCCAATTCCCCTACATTTTGAGCTCTTTTTTTTTTTTTTTTTTTTTCTTCAAGGTTCCAATCTATAGTCACTCCTTCTAAATCCCTCCCTAGAAAGAAACCTCACCCCTAGCCATTCTTTTAAAAATGTTGTTCAAGAGCTTCGTCCAGGCCGCTATCGTCGCCTCCGCCATTGCCCAGCCAATCCAGCACCAACACCACCAACACGAAAAGAAGGCGGTTGTTGTCACCAACTGGAACACCGTCTTCGTCACCCAGACCGCTGGTGCTCCTCAGCAGGAGGAGTCTCAGCCAACCGCTGAGGCCCAGCCAGACAACGAGGCCCACGCTGCCGGTGTCATTGGCGACCTTATTGGTGGTGGTGACTCTTCCAGCTCTGCCTCGTCCACTGCCTCCACTCCTTCCAAGCCAGCTCCATCCAGCTCTGGCTCCGACTCTGTGTCTATCCCATCCTCCACTGGTTCTTTCTCTGGTCCAGCTAAGGCTATCACCTACTCGCCATACTCTGACGACGGTGGCTGTAAGTCTGCTTCCCAGATCAAGAAGGAAGTTCTGAAGTTGTCTGGTTTCGAGACCATCAGACTTTACGGTGTCGACTGTAACCAGGTCGAGGCTGCTCTTTCTGGTTTCGCTCCAGGCCAGAAGCTTTTCGCCGGTATCTTTGACGTCCACCAGATTGAGAAGGACGTTGAGACTTTGTCCAAGGCTGTCAAGAACCACGGTGGTTGGGACGTTGTCAGCACCGTCTCTATCGGTAACGAGTTGGTTAACGCTGGCCAAGCCACTCCTTCCCAGATCGGCAAGTACGTCGAGTCTGGTAGATCTGCTTTGAAGTCCCAGGGTTACTCTGGTCCTGTCGTCAGTGTCGACACCTTCATTGCCGTGATCAACAACCCTGACTTGTGTAAGCACTCTGACTACATGGCTGTTAACGCCCACGCTTTCTTTGACGGTCACATTGCCGCCAAGGATGCCGGTGACTGGGTCTTGTTGCAGCTCCAGAGAGTCTCCAACGCCTGTGGTGACTCCAAGAAGGTTTTCATTACTGAGACCGGCTGGCCAACCAAGGGTGACTCTAACAAGGTTGCCATTCCATCTTCTGAGAACCAGAAGAGCGCCCTCCAGTCTATCTCTGACAAGTGCGGTGACTCTGTCACTTACTTCAACGCCTACAACGACATGTGGAAGAACCCAGGTCCATTCAACGCTGAACAGTTCTGGGGTGTCTACACCGCCTAAGTCAATAAAACGTTGAAGCATTTGCACTAGTAGGTTGCTGCCAAGCGCCTTATTGAATACCCTTCTTGTTGTCAAGTGTTTTTTTTTCTTCCCAAAACAATCTCGCGTGAGATCTTTTTTGAATACCTTTTATTGTTTACTTTACTTTTAACCTTCATGTAGTGTTTACCATTGCCTAATTCGGTGCTGCGCGTCGAACGTGTTGTCAAAATTTGCGTAGCTAAGCGAGCCTCGAAGGAGTCGACACATTCGTGCACCCTCGGAAGTCACGTGGACGTCACATGATACCACCCATACAAAGCGTTACCCTTCTCCCCCTTCTACAACCTCTTCCTAAAGTAGTTATATTAAAACATGGCATCTGGGTCACAAAAACCCAGAATTGCTAATTTACAAAAAAGCCGTTATCAGTGTCTTAGACTTGACGCTGCAGGGACGACAACCACACCTTACAAGTCCAAAAACCACAAAACATCAACGGCTGCAAAATACATCCAACAACGTAAGTTGACGGTTTCAGATTTTTCTTACCAAGAAGAAACCACACGGTGGCACGCAGGAGGCCAAGAAAGACGTGCTGGCACTGTTTTTGGCTTTAAAGTTTACAACAAAACGCCAAAACCAATAACACTTGTAGTCAAGGCAACCAGCAACCTTCTCCAAAGCCTTAGAGGCCGAGGAACTGTCTTCTGGCGGCAATGCTCTCGGCATCGTGGAAAGCCAACTTCTCCATGTGGCCTTCCTTCAAGTCGAAATCCTGTTCTGGGGTCCACAAACCGTTATGGGCACGTGGGAACAACACGTCCACCAAGTCAAGACGGTCGTCTTCAAGTGCATCCCGAAGTCTGTACAAGTAGTCGTTGATGTAGCGCACAGAGCTGCTGGTGACCTTGAGAATGTGGCCCACAAAGCCTCTGGTGAAGCCCAACTTCTCGAATTCGTCAAAGAGCACACCAACGTCGTCTGGCTCCAAAGTGGTCAAAAGCTCACGGGCACGGTCAATCACAGAAGGCTCAAAAGCAATAAACTTGTCTGAGAACAAGGCAGTCAGCAGAACATCACGAGGCAAGTAAACCATGTACTTAGCCCATGGATCCTGGGAATCAGCGTCAACCTTTAATTCAAGAGCCTCGAAATCGTGGCCATCCACTGAAGCACCGCCCAAGTTAGGGTGAATGGCGCTATGGTCGGTTTGGTGGATTCCCAAAGCACGTACGTCTGGGTTGACCAAATCATCTTCGATTTGCACTCTTCCAGCGCCCACACCAACTTGACGAAGCGCATCGTCGATATTCAGGTTCTTCACCTCGCCAATCTCTTCGTCAAGAGCTCCCTGGCCCACAGCCATATTGGCAACGGCTGCAACGCCAGCAGAGTCAAGCTGGTGAGTAAGATGGTGGCCGTGGTGGTGGCCATGGTGAAGCTGGCCATGGTTCCGGGCCAACTCGTCAGCCAAGAAGGCCTGGTCCTGAGGACTCATATCCATACGAACCTGGGAAGCCTTCAACTTCTTGGCGGTAAGCTGGGCCTTCTTCTCGCTCTTGGATTCACGAGAAGTCAAGTTCTTCATTGGCTGAGGACCTTCCTTGGTTTTAAGTGCTTCACGGTAGTAGTTTCTGAACCTCTGGAGTCCGTACACTCTGGCAAACTTTCTGTAACGGTCTCTCCAGCTCAGAGACGAGTGAGAAGTGTTCTGGCGAGCAAACTCGTCAAAGAACGAAATCAGCACCGAGAAGTTAGCCTCGTTAAGCACGCCATCTGGAAGCCTGGTGGTTTTATCCTCGGCAGTCTGCAACGTCTCCCTATCCTGAGTGCTAAGCACATGGTTGATAATACTCTCACAGAGCGTGTAGTCGTCCTCGGCAGTAAACCTGTTCTTCATTGTTTTGGCCAGACTCACAGGCACAACTTGTCTGTTGCCCTCCTCGTCCAAAATCAACCGGTCGTACTCATCCGTCTTGTACACATACTGCAACTTGTGCTCCAAATGAGCCCTGTAACGAGACCTGACCGAGTTTCCCGTATGGCCCTTAAGCAAGTCGTGCTGGGCCAACTCCTCAAAGAACTTATGTGATGTTCTGAACCGAGGCTTCAACCTCACCTGCTCGAGAATATACGTGTCTGCCTCCTGAGTGAACTTTGTCGTGGACTTTGGAGGCCCCTTCGCCTTCTTGTTCATGGCCTGGGCCATCGCCTTGGCTGTACGTACATCCTGTTCGTCCAACTCGTCCGCAGCCCTCTTGGCTGGGTTCAATTGGTACGGCTCCAAGTAAACAGAACCCCCCTTGTTCAAGTAATCGTCAATAAACTGAAACAGAAACGTCGTTCTGCGAGCAACAGGATACGACGAAAGCTGCACGTACAGATTCTTATCAGCGTTGACTTCACTAAGCTCAATGTATCCGCCATTCTCCCGGATGATCTTCAGGTACTTTTCCCTGAGCGGATCCTGTGGGTTTATATAGAAGGCCATGGGCAGGCCCGAGTCGTCGGTAAGCAAGTTGGGTACCATCATGTCAGACATGATTGGAATGGCTGCAAATAGGTGTCTGGGTGTGTGAGGCGTTTGGGTGTTTAGGTTTAAGAGAGGTGGTGATGTTTTGATGGTGTAGGTGTGCGGGAACCAAAAGGGTGGCCAGATACCGGGGTCCGCCAGGGCCCCGGGAGCGGCCGCCTGAGCAAACCAACCGTGTATATATAAACAGGCAGGGATACTTAGCTGGGTGGGCCTTTTTCTGGGAGATTTTCGACGGTTTTGGTGGATTGGGGTTGGGTATGGCTGGTTTTGTTGATGAATACTGCATATAAGGGACCAGTACTAGTAGTTACCCTTGGCTAGTTGGGGGAAGTTGGCATTGGAGGGGTTGGTGGCAGAAGGGGGAGGTTATGGGGTGGCTGGAGAGGTGTGGTGGAGGTGATGGTGGTGTCTTTTTCTGGGAAACGTGGCGTGGACGGGTGGAGGGATGGGAGTGGGTGGAATATATAGAGGACGAGGAGGGAAGAGGTTAAGGGAAGTGGTTGTGGGGGATGAAGGGGAGGGAATTACTTGGATTGGGACTGGGATTTGGGATTTGGGATTGGGGGTTGTTTGGGTTGGAAAATAGCAAGTGGGGTATAGTAAGGGAGAGGTGCTGGTGGAGTGGTAGTGGTGGTTCATGGATGGTGTAGAGTGGCTGGGAGTGTTACCAGATCGGCTGTCACTGGACTTTCCTGGATGGGTTTTGGCTAAATAATTAGTCTAGGCAGTGGTGATAATAATCTAGGACGTTATTTGATGATAACGGTGGAGATATTTGACGATCTGGATAGGGAAAGGGGATCTTTAAGTGTTCATCGAAAGATAAGTAAGTGAATGTTTATCTGAAACGAAAGTTATCAAGAGCTGTAAAAGGGGAAATTAAGGTGCCTTTTGAAGGTCTGATGGATACTAATAAGGGTTTGAGTACACAGAATAGATAAGGTAGGCTTGTAGAGGAGGAGTAGAGGGAAGACACAAATTATGAGCTTTAGTTTGTCAGATACCTCAATATTCATTTCTATACTTTTGAAGAGAGTGGTAGTTTTGAAAGCGATATAATTCTCTAACCTAGGTTTAGTATAATCTGAGATATATGAGGAGCTCTGCTGGGTATTGGGTTCAGACAACTCAGTATGTATTTGACCACTTATAGCAGAGACTGGTAATATTGATGACATTTCATTTCAATAAGGTAATCTACATTCGTTAAACTTGTTTTACTGGTTCCCAGTTATCTATGGTGGTATGTATTTGATGCTTTCTTACATTGAGAGCCTAGGAGTACACAAATACCACAAAGCAATCAAATTACATCAGCAAGCTCCCCAAAACCTTAGATTCTCCAGTTTCATTCAGCGAAGAATCATAAAAGGAAAAAGCAATGTTTCGAATTGGATATATATGGTCTATACTTTACCATTACTTAACCTTCTGATACAACCATCACCAACTACCACCAACTCAACCCTCACCAACACGTCACCACCAAATACCAACACTTACCTACTCCTTGTTTTTATAAATTTTTTTTATTTTTTATATAGGTATGCTAATGATCCACCGATCCGTCCATGCCTCTCCAGGCACCATCACCGAGCTCAAGTTCCATTCCTCCCCACTTGAACTCTCCCAAAGGCGAAGTTTTTTTACCAACTCCAAAGGAGTTGCCTCAAAAACCTCTCTAAATCGAACCAAAGCCACAGGCTTTCGCTCTGAACAAGGAGTTTTGAAGCCATAAGGCTACACTAAAGCAGCATTTGGAGACTCCTCAATCTCCAAAGCCTCAAAGGGGTTGTGTTTCTTGATGTTGGAGCGCCCAGACATCGAAGAAGCAGCGGTATAGGCCGTGACAGAACACTTGGTGTGCTTTGTCATGGTTTTAAGTGCACTGGGGATACTAGGCCCCACAAGAGCCTTAGCTTTGGAAGGCTTGGCTCCAGTATACACTGTAGTCCAACCGTCATCGTCAGACAAAGGTTCAGGACTAGAAAGACCAGAACTGTCGCCAGAACTGAGGTCAGAACTGGTACAGCTAGTACTAGAACCAGTACGTTCTGACATCAAGGCTCTGGCTTGAGCCATGAAGGCTTCGTGCTCCTCACGGTCTCTGGCGTCCTGGTCGTTCTGCATTTTGAAGAACATGGGCCTGAAAATGCCCAAAAGGATCTCTTCAAGCGTGGGAGGCTCCTGTTTCTGCTGGAGTCCCAAGTGGTTCAGTACAAACCCGTTCAGGTACTGGTCCAGGCTGGCCAGCGGCTGTTCAAAAGGCTTACATACGTTTACCAAAATTTTACATTGTTCCAGAACACTCAATTGAGGTTTAGGAGCATTTTTTGGCTCCTCTTCGGCCATAACAGCCTGAGGGTGTTTAGAAACGTTTTCAAAGCCTGAAGAAGTAGTAGGTCTGGCAGCCTCAGGCGTACCGTGGCCCAAACAGGCGCTGATTTTACTAGACATACCAAAGTAAGGTTTTTTTAATACGGCTCCAAAGGTAGAACCTTTGAGTGGAGCAATGAAGGTGATGTCCTTCAAGTTAGCTGGGATGTAAGACGAAAAGTAGCTTGTGCGTTGCATTGTGAAGAAGAAGTTATGAAAAAGTGGTTGAAGAGGAAGAAGAGACTCAGGGAAAAACCACGTCTTTTTATATTTAAATTCTGGGACAACTGGCAGGATTGGTTTTTTAGGGAAGTATAATTCTGGTTTGTGTTGGAGGGAAAGTGGAAGGGAAATGGTTGCGAAAAGGGAAACCCCAGTAGATTTGAAACGGTGGATAGGGAAAGTTAAGCAGGGTCCAGCGCCTGCCGATTACGGCTGAGCAGAGCAAAGGAGTTGGTTTGGGGGTCTACGGGATTTCCTGGGGGTTGGCGAAAAGTGGGAATATTTGGAGTGGTAGGAAAGTGTTGATAATGGAGGGGGATAAGGAATGGGAGGGTGGTTTCCACCAGTGGCTGGTGGAAGAAGGGTGAAAAAATAGGATAATATATTTAGACGTACAAAAGAGGCGGGGGCCCGTTTTGTAGACGTTTTACCGTTGGACTGGGATGTGTGGTGGAGGATATACTTAGGCAGTGTAGATATATATGGTTTGGAGGGAGCTCACTGAATGGGACTGGAGGAGGGGGAGAGGAGGGGGTAAGGGCTTTTTGGGGTTATTGTAAGGGCAGGGAAAGTGTTTAGATGGAGATCGTTCTTTGAAGAGGTTCATGGGGAGTTATATGGATTGGGTACTGGTAGATAACAGTGGGTACTGGTAGATGACAGTGTGTGAAAGGAAGAGATAAAAAGGGAGGAACAAGAAGTGGTTGAGAAGTTTAATATAGACGCTTTTAATGTAAATCTGTTATTTGGGTAGCTACATCTTATATACTTGGCGAAGTAGCAGTGTAGTGTTCCCCAGCTGTCCATATCTTAGACACTAAGAGAACACATAACTACTCAAAGTATAAAGAAAGCCAACAATTGTCTCTAGCCCATATATTAATTAAAGAGTATATTGAAGTAAGTAAGGCCTTTTTTTGGACTCCAAAGAAGCTATTTCTGTGGATGCCATATCCCACTGGATGATACTACTTCTATTACTATAGCTTCAACCCATAATAGACAGACAAGTAAGTAGAGGCGTAAGAAGGTAAAGTACGCTCCTATAGCATCCATACTGCCTTGGAGATTGCTTTAGTTTCCCCTGGATGGGTAACTTCTGTCATATAGTGTTTGTCATGGATATCTCTAGGGTACTTAGAACCAATAGTATAACCAAGCAACTTACTCTTATAGAAATACAAGAAAATGATACAATGATGGAGCTACATGAGCACTCACCTTCACCTCCACCATCACCTTTGCTCCAACCATCCTACAACCCCTTTTCGATGAATATTAACTAAACAATGAAAGACAAACAAAACACCATTCAGCACGGGGAGATAAATCTCTTTAGCTGAAGCATCAACTTCAACTGCAAGACCTCCCGCATTTCCAAACTTGATAAATCAGATTCATAAGATCATGACATGCAAATGCATCAACACTTCTGCTGCACAAGAGCTTCCTTGTACAACACGTCATCTTTACCCTTCGCCTTTTCTTGCCAAATCACCATGGCACTCAACTTGCTGCCTTTGTAGCATCCAGAATCAAGACCCTTGGAGAACTTCTTGAGCTTGAGACCTCTGCCAGCATCGTGTCCGTAGTACACAACAATGGAACGGTCCAATTCTCCAGCCTTCTGCTTCTGGTTCCAGATCTTAGACCAGGAAACAGCACGCTTATCGTCTGGATCGTCAGTGGTCTCGTTGTAGTTTGGAGCGAGATACGATCTCATTTCAAGACAGTCCTCTGGGTCCTGTTCATTGAGATCAATAAGCGCATCCCAACGAAGGCCAGCGTGCACGGCAACACCTTCAGCAGAGCCAGTCTTGCCCTTGTTCTTCTTTGAGTGCAATGGCACTCTACCAAGCTCCTTCATCACAGGACAGTTGTTGATATACTCCACATGTCTCGGACGAAGCTTCTTAGCAAGAAGGAACTCAGGATCGTCATTAAACTTGCCGAAAACGTTAAACGTTGGCGAAGTTCCATTCACGAAGAACGGCTGAGGAAGACCGTGGTACTTGGCATAGTTCTGAAGAACATAGTACTCGTGGTTGCCCATTATACAAGCAACGTCGTTGTCGATAAGATATTCAAGCACCTTAAGTGAGTGAGGACCTTTGGTGATAAAGTCACCCAAAACAAGAAGCTGATCCTTGTGTTTTCTGTACTTCACCTTTCTAAGCAACTTCTTGAACTCTCTATACTGACCGTGAATGTCTCCAACAAGAATAAGTCTCTCCTTGCTCTTCTTAGCAGAACTCTGCGAGGCATCAGCTTCAACTGCAAACTCCTCAAAGTCGTCCTCGTTGTCGCTATAGCTTTCCTCGTCTAAACTCTCAAGACCCCACAGACTCACGGTTTCACTCAGCACCGGTGCCAAAACAACGTTCAATGGTTCCACCTTGTGGATACCAACCAACTCCTTCGTTTCCGGAATGAACATCTTAGGCAAAAGAAAACAAAACACATAAAGAAGACAAACGGCCACAAGGGTACCAATCGTGATGAGCCACTTTTTGGTGCGACTGGAAACTTCCCAGCCAACCTCTTCGGCGACTATGTCGTCATCTTGATCTTTGGTAGAGCTGTAGCCCTTCTGGAATCCATTCTTCAACTGTGTGCCCATAAAATGTGGTTTTTGTGGCGTGACGAGTTTTGGAATTCAGTGATTCTTTAATAGAAAGCTTGACAATGCATGCTGGGTATGAGATGCATCGCGTATGTGCAGGAATTACACACGTGCGTGCCCACATTCTATCTTGCTCTCCCGCTGTATGCAGGTGGCGGATAACCTCCTCCCCCCATTTTTGCAGCCAATTCTAACCTCCACCGACTCCTTCCGGTCTTTCCACTTCTTTTTGTATAACGAGCTTGCGGCTGAGTAATTCTCGTAAATCTGGGTTCACATTCACTTCGTAAAGATCCCCGCCTTCGTGGCGCTGCAGATTTTCCCGATCAATAAGCGCAATCATTCTCTTGAACCGAAGGAACAACAACTCGGCACGAGTCAATAAATCATTGAGTTTCATTTTTCCGGAAAGCTCGTTCATGTACTTCAAGACCTCGTCAAAGCGTCTCAAGTTCTGCATGATGATTCTCTTATTGTCGGAAAGAACAGACAATGCAAAGAACAAATGGAACTGACTGGAGTAGTAGTCAGTGAAGAGAACTTCCCATAAAGTCAAAACATCGTCCCATTCAAACTCACGCTTGTACCAGACAAGAAGCATACGGAAGAAGAAGAACAAGTCAGTTGATTCACACTTCTCCAAATGCTTGAAAAGATCAGGAAGCATAAACTGCAAGAGGCCATTGAGCACATCCATTTGATGTTTCATACCACTTTGATCTCTGACAAAGTTCCTTTCCATTCTTTCCATGAATCCACTGAAGGCCCAGAACGACAAAACCTCGTCCTGCAAGATCACATAGATTGGCGAAAGCAAGTCTGTCATGCCCTGAACGTAACCAAGGTTGACGTTGTACTCGTTAAAGGTTAACAATATTTCACGCATGGCGAATAAGTGTGGGTTCTCGATATGCGCAAGGTCCCACTCGCTCTCTTCCTCGTCTTCGTCTGGAGTTTCAGGCAGTGACTCTCTCGTATCGGCGGCACCAGCATCAAAAGAATCAGCAATGTGCGCTGACAAGTTGGGAACATCAGGCTTCTTTCTTTGGAAAAGAGGCAAGTGGCGGTCGTTTCTGTGGATATCCTTCTCGATACGCAACTTCTGGTCTTTCCAGAAAGGATCCTGGCGTTTCTCCTCGTCGTCAACCCACCTCTTTTTGTAGTCATGGTAGCTCGTTTCAAGGCTCTCACGAAGAGTCTTACGGTCTGCCGCAGACGAGTCCCAAGGGTATACACCAAGCAAGAACAACCAGGCTTCTTTCCTTGTCTCTTCTTCTAAACCGCCGTGGAAGATACGGAACTTCACTTCGTCCACAGTCAATGTAAGACGGCCCTTGTGATCAAAAAAACCGTCCCATTCCACCTTACTTATAGGTTTCCTTCTAGAAGCGTTGCTGATTTCCTCTGGCGTCAAAATCTCCAGCCCGTCACGAAGTTCTTTGTTGATTCTATTGTAGACTGAGTCTTCCAACATAAACTTACGCTGGGAGTTCTCAGCCTCTTCTTTAACCTGAGCAGCCCACTTAGCCAAATAGACCCTGGCACTATCGAAATCATTACTGATCTTCTTCACCTCAGGCTTGCTCAAAACCAGCTTGACCACAACCTCAGGCACATGGTCATCGACCATATCGACAACCAGGTTCTTTGTTTTCTGACCAAAAGAAGCCACAGTCTCCAAAACACGCCATTTGGCCGTGGCAAACATCTTATTCACATCTGGCAACTTGAAAGGCTCCTGTTTCTCCTTCTTTTGCTCCTTCAAAGGCGCAAAGTTGGCCAAATCAGAGCTCAGCGGGTCCACCAAGTACGCCGAAGGCTCCACGGTCAGCTTTTCCACGTTTATATACCTCCTGAGGTTCTTGATAAGGTCCTGGCCGCCCCAGAACATCTGGCCGTCCTCGCCAAACGGATCAAACAGCTTATTCATGAGTTTCTGGCGCTCAAGAGTCAGCGGCGACTCGTCATCATGAAAAAACACCGCAGGCATCTTCTCGCCCGTCTTGGTATGCAAAATAACCGATCCGTACCACCATCCCAACGATGGCAAGCGGACCTGGATCATATAGACAAGCTGCAAAGGCAAGGAGAAGCAGTAGCCTGCGCCCGAGCTCTGGGGAGGTCTTCTAACGGATCTATTGATATCCTTAGCCTTTTTCGGCGTTTCAAGCAGCAACTTGCCCATTGAGTCGATCACACACTCAGCCATATCGACCTCCTTGTAGACCTTAAGTTCTTCAGCAGAAAGCATGTTCTCTGGCGTATAACTAAGCAAGATATCCTTATTGGTAGAAGGCCCGAAGGCCTCGAAAGGGACACAAACCCAGGCACGTTATCTTTATTAGACGACGACGGGTGGAGGTACGCCTTACTTTTGGCGTACAAGAGCTCAACCTTGCTCATGATCGATCTGGGATGAGATTAGTTCAATTGATTGGATTGGATTGGGTTAAATTGAATTTAATAAAATGTTAGTGAAATCTGAAAATCTGAATCTTGAAATTTGATGATTTGAAACCCCCGTGGCTGCTTTCTCGCTTCGTCTCCAGGTGGTTCGTTTATCAGTTGACTAGTGGCAAGGGAGACCGCACGGTTTTTATATCCCGGTCCGTCTGGGGTAACCAAAAGGAGGAGGGAGGGAGGGAAGGAAGTTGTTAAGGAGTTCGATTGGATGTAAACAGACGGGTTGGCTCTTTGGGGCTCCAAAAATCTAAGGCTTTTTTTTTTTACGGGGGAAATCGACGTCCTTTTATAGTTCGCCAGTTCACCAGGGTCACTCTTTATATGGGGTCTCCTTTGGCAGCCACTGGCAGGAATGGCTGCGAAAAGTGATCCAATGAAGGGAAGAGCTGGGATGCCATTGTGGCTTGAGTTACAGTGTAAATGGAGGTATGTGGAAAAGAACGTGAAATAAGGGAAACAGAATAAAAGGCTTTATTTGGGTAGTTCTACTTTTTATGGTTTCCTGAGGCAGCTGCTTTGGTGGAGTAGGGGCTGGTAAGACGGACACTATGTGGATGCTCTAGTATATATAGCGGATATTCTAGTATATATATTTTTATCCACTGTGAAGCCATGGATCACTGAAGACGTCTAAGACACTTAGAGCGGCTTCAATTGACTCTTCAGATAGGCGTGTGATCTTCTACTTCATTCTTTTTTGAAGCTTATCCTACGAAACTACAGGTTTCCTGGTCGATGGTAGATATATTAAACTAGTGATGCACCTTTTGATGACTTGGTGGTTTGATGAGTCTGGGGGTGTTGGGTTTGGTGAAAAAGTGTTAGTTTTTGCTGGACTTGGGGGACTTGGGGGACTTGGATGGTAACTGGCTGGGTTGGTGAGGATGGACTATGGGGAATACAGTGGAGGATGGAAACGGTGGAAGAAAAAAGATATATGTTAGGTGGAGAGGAAAACTAGGGAACTAAGGAAGGGAAAGTTTGGGACGAGTGTTGACGGCTGGTGGTCTTCAGTGGATGTATGTGTTTCTGTATTTGTATGTCTGTGAGTGTAGGGTACTACTTATGGCATGGAAGTGAACTAAGTGGAAAGTGAAGAGCTCTAGGGACTTTGTTTAGATTTTAAGAATGGCAATTTGGTTATTAAAATTGATAGAAAGTGGGAGTTTTGGTTATTTAGCGCTTTGGTGGGTTGTAATAGATACTGGTTGTGAAACTGGAGAGGAAGTGGAAGAAGACTATGGATATTCTGGAGGAGCTCTCACTCTTCTTTGAAATAGTATAAGATCTGGTTTCAATTAAGAGTCAAGGTAGCTGGAGTGAACAAGAGAATGGATTAACCAAAAGTAGTATAAGTAGTAGAAGTAGTGTAAGTAGTGTAACTAGTGGTTATAGTATAAGTAGTATGAGTGGTATACACTAGAAAAGTGGTAGAACTGGTGACATTTGATTATATAAGAGCAACAGTGTTAAAGTAATGGATCTAGGAAGAACAGTATTAGTTGTATGAGTAGTATTACTTGTGTTCCTGGTATTACCAGTTATATCAGTATTACCAGTATTACCAGTATTACCAGACTGAAAGCATTTACCTGTGTAAGCGGCATAGTTAGTGAAACTAGTATACAATCATTTGTAAGCTAGTTACTGTGGTTTAAGTAGTATTAGTAGTATAACTAACATAACTAGTATAACTAGTATAAATAGTATATAAGGTTTAGTTGTATAGATAGTAGAACTAGTATATACTGGGACGTAGTAAAAAAGACATTCAAATAAGTACGAAATCAATAGGACTAGGACAAGTAGTGCTATTAGTATGATAAGTATTACCTTTGTTACCAGTATTAGCAGTAAGACGAGTACAGCTATTATAGTTTAGGAAAGTAGTACACAATCAAGTGTAAGCTAGTATAAGTAATATAGGTTGTACAAGCTGTATGAGTAGAAAAACCAGGATAACTAGGATAACTGGTATTAGAGCTACTGGTAGTCTACCTAGTATAAGTAAAATAAGTAGTACAAGTGTAGTAAAAGTAGAATAAATAGTATAACTAGTATAACTAGTATAAGTAGAGTCTGAGAGATAGTAGCCAGAAAAGCTGATTACCACAAGATAAGCAGCTTCTTAAATAACAGTCTGAATCAACGACTCAGACATACATTCACCTTCCACCTTCCTCTTCTACACTCTTTGTTAACATATGCTCTTCCCATTCCGTGGGTCTATCTACTCTATATTACAAGTACAAGGATGCAGCAGAAACGATGTCCCTGTGCACCATTTCTGTGGCCTTCTCCATCTTATCCTCCAACTCGATATTACCGATCGTCTTGGCGGCCTGGATCATCTGTCTGATCATCTCTTCCAATCTCTTGAACGTTCTGATCAATGAACCTTCGTAGACATCGGTCATTTTACAGATCTGGGCAAACTTGGCGCCTTTACACCAGGCGTACGTCACTTCCATGAGTTCTGGACGGAACAGCTCGACGTATTCCTTCTCGGCGATTTCAATCTTGCTCTCCTTGAACACCTTAGCAATCTTGGTGGCCATGTCTTGCATTGCCTTCAATGGTTCAGCCAATTCAGGCTTCAAACGAGGAACCTCTTTAGCACGTTCCTGGAAGACGAAACAAGACAAAAGCGCAGCACACTGCTCTGGCGTCAAGTCGTTGAACGTACCGTTGAATATAAGCTCAGTTAAAAGAAGCTCGTCACCGGTGGAGATCTCACATGCAACTCTGCCCTTAAGCTCGATGATCTCATCAGGACTGACGAACCCAAGCTTTCTCAAAACTCTTCTTCTGTGTTTCAAGTCGTCAAGCTGAATGACAGCTTGTGCCTGTAGGATCTTTTCCTTGGTATCTTCAATGCTCTTCTGGATATCCACCTTATTGCTGTATTTGGCGTACAAGTCCTTGATTCTGTCAGACTCGTGCAATGGATTAGTAGCCAATTTGCTCTCCAAGACGTCAATCTTACGCAACAACATCTTGAACTCTGGATCGATGATCTTCATGCTTTCAACAGGGTCCATGGTAGGAATACCATCTGGCAACTTGTTGGGCAAGTCCTTCAACGTACGAACCAAGTTTCTCTTGGCTGTAGAGCTCTTGAAGTCGTCTGGAACCTTCAAACGAACACTGGAAATGGCCTGGATCGAGTCCAAAGTGATAGGAATGTATTCAGCTCTCAGCTTCTCGCCTTCGTTGGAAGGACGGATACCTTCAGGGAAGACTGGGTTAAATGATTTGATTAAGTTGACTGGAGCATCCACAAACATCGTGCACACGAAAACACTCACCAAGTACAGCTCGTGGTCAGTGTAGGCCTGGGAAGGATCTCTCTTGTTGGATCTCTTGGTGAAAGATGCAACCATTCCCCAACCGTAGTCGAATTCACCAATCTTGATCTTGATGACTCTACCAGGCTGCAAGAACGGAAGAATATGGCCTGGATGGGTCACAACCTGGCGCACGTTCTCCTGGTACCCTTCAAGCTGCTTCTTCAAGTCATAGTACTCTTTGACATGGAACTCATCCTCAACTGTGACATTATTATAGTCCAAAGTCAATTGCTGAAGGTGCTGTTCAAGCTTAGGCACAGAAGCAGCGTTCTGGAACTGGTAAAACGAGTTCAGCAACATGAACTGTGGAGAAATACCTTCCACACGCATCAAATTCAAAATCATATTGTATCCCAAATGGAAAGCAGAGTCCAACCTATCGGCCTGACCCTTAACCATACCCTTGGCGACTTGAGGTTCCATTTTTTCATCAATCATCATAATAACAATACCTCTGTCATCCAAACCACGACGACCAGCTCTTCCAGACATCTGGATGTACTCACCACCAGAAACCCATCTGAAGCCCAGACCGTCCCACTTTCTGACAGACGTAAAGACAACAGTCTTGGCAGGCATATTAAGACCAATGGAGAAAGTTTCAGTAGCGAAAAGCACCTTAAGCAAACCTTCCTGGAACAAAAGCTCGATGACTTCCTTCAAAATCGGTAAAAGACCAGAATGATGAATACCAATACCTCTTCTGAGAAGCGGCAAGATGTTCTTGATCTGGGGCAATTCCCTATCAGCTTCAGGCAAGACGTCAATGGCGTTTTCAAAGACCTTCGTCAATGCAGAACGCTCTTCGTCGGTATTAAAGTCCAACTTGGACATTTTGAGCGCCAAAGACTCACAGTCACGCTTGGAAAACGAAAAGACAATGACTGGGTTGTATCTCTTCATGTAGATCATCTTAACGATCTTATAGATATCGCTTTTGCCGTCCTTGGCTCCACCTTTATATGTTTCACCCTTCTTTTTGCTTCTAGTGGCATCAGCAGAAGCAGGATCGTCACCGATGTTGTTGGAAATCGACGACATGGCTTTCTGGAAGTTCTCCTCCCTGAAAGTACCCTTTTCGTCCACCACCAAATGAATACCATCGCCAGCAGCTGGAAACAAGTAATGCTGCAAAGGCGTAGGACGGAAATCGGTGTAAACAACGTGACAAGGCTGGTTATGCGTCTTGACCACCCATTCAGCAAACTCCATAGCGTTAGGAATCGTGGCAGAAAGGAACACATGGTGCACCTTATCAGGAAGCAAAATGATGGTTTCTTCCCAAACCACACCTCTATTCTTATCTCTCATATAATGCACCTCGTCAAAGATGACCCAGGCAACTTCACGCATCACCTCCGAGCCTCGGTACAACATACTACGCAAAATTTCAGTCGTCATGACCAAACACCCAGCGTCTGGGTTGATGGTCACATCTCCAGTCATAAGACCCACATCGCCAAACTCAGCCAAGAGCTCTCTGTACTTCTGGTTACTCAAAGCCTTAATTGGCGAGGTGTAGATGACACGCTGCTTTTCTCTTAACGACTGGGCAATGGCGTATTCAGCCACCACTGTCTTACCAGCAGAAGTATGCGCAGAAACCAACACAGACTCGTTTCTGTCAATACACGAGATGGCCGTATCCTGGAAAGGATCCAAGGTAAAGGGGTACGTCCTGGCTTCGTTCGTTCTCTTGTGTTCTCCAATAGGAATGTATGGGTAGTCTGGAGGAATGGCAACCTGATGTCTGACCTGATGCTTCAACTTCAACTTAGCCTCTGCCTCTTTATCGGCAGCACCAGGAAGAAGACCCGCCGAAGGAGCCACTTCTCTGGAAGCTTCAATCTCGACGGCATCACTGACAACCGGGTTTTTCTTCTTTTCGTCCTTCTTCTTATCCTGTTTCTTGTTTTCGTGGTTTTCCTGAGGAGCAGGTCTTTTCTTGGGCTGGGGCTTGGGCTGGTGCTGTTTTTCAGCATGCTGCTTTTTCGGCAAATTGGCTGGTGCCTCCGAAAAGACGCCAAAAAGGTCGTCACCGTCCATTACAGAATGATAGAGTGGTGTTTGACTGGAGAGGATGGTTGGTTTTGAGAGATGCTCATCTGGATGTAGTGAAAGACCTGTACCTCCGGGGGAGTCCCAAAGAGTTGGAAAGAACCAGACTACAAAGAAAAATAAAGGATATTAGTGTATTGGGTGGGTTGTAGAGGGCCCGAAGATGTCGGATTGGTGTTTTTTTGTGGATTTTTCCGGGTGGTGTGGCGTTTGGTGGAGGTGTTTCTGGGCCTGGTTGTACATAGAGAAGAGCATACTTTAGGGTAGACTTTGGCTTGAACAAGCTTTGGGAGGAAGGAAGGGAAGTTTGCGTTTTGGGTTTTTATCAAAGAAGAAGAAGAAATAAGTGGTTTTTGGAAATTCGTGGTGTTGGCGTTTCGTGCTTATCGGTGGTTGTACTGATTGGTGTAGGTTTCTCTGGCCTAACACTCCTGTTCTAATTCGGTATTTGTGTTTTTCACTTCTTTCTGAATAAGCTTAATTTCAGATTTTTAAATCTTCTGTTTCACTTTTGTGTTCCTGGTAAGGGAAAGTCAATGTTAAAGCCAAAGCTTCGTAGGAAGAAGTCTCTAGATACAACTGTTATAGGGCACATCCAAGGATCCAAAGAAACCCTGAAAGTCTATATCTAAAGGTCTTAGGTTATGAAGAAGCTTCATTTCTTCTTTATAAGTACTTCCACTTCTCTTTAGCCTCAATTCTCTTATACATCTCAGGCCCTCAGTACCTCTATTGCTTAACTGAGGAGTGTCCAAGACTACCAACTGAAGCCTCCATGAACTGATCTTCCACCACAGCTTCTTAGCCCATTCAGGTATCTTTACATTCTAATTACACCTAAATAGCAGAAAGAGTGCTTTTGGTCGAATTACTCACGTTAATACTTTGATCAATGACTACTCTTCTACACATCTTCCCTCATCCCAGTATCTACCATACATCGACTTTAGCTTTTCCTTGTCCCATAGACTTTCTCTAGCATTAAACTAACTTCTTCACCGTCTCAGATAACCATATATACTAAATTCACAGCTATATATTAGCTTTCACCTCTGCTGGAGGCATCGTATTCAGCGTTTTGCAGCCATTTTGACAGGTCCATGCGTGGGAGAACAAGAGACAGAGAAAAGAAGAGAGGATTGTTCTTTTTTAGTGAATTTAATGCTTTAGTGGCTCCTAAAGCTCTTAATTGTATAAACCGTTTAGTTAGAGTCATGGAATTTCGGTTAAGCTGGTCATTGGATGGAACCTTATTGAGACTTATAGAGGTTATAGTGATAAGACAACTGATAACCAAAAACCACCAAAACACGTTTTCGAAGAAAGTGAGCTACCAGAGCTTCTTACGAAGCCTTTCTTCAAACAGGTTAAGCAGTCCTCTTATCCAAATAACTCCAAGTATGGCCATTCATTGGATACTTCCATTTACCATGGGACCTCTAAAACATATAGTAAATGCCACAAAACATCAAGAACAGATTTCCCTTAAAACACCTTCCTTAGCTCTTTCCTCCTCTACAACCTACATCGTCTTCATATGCAACGTTCATTAATGCTATGCTACTCGGCCGCCTGCTCGGCAATAGCCTCTGCCTCCTGTCTCTGTTCAAGCTCCTTCAACTTCCTCCACTTCTCTTTATCATATTCACCAATAATGGCACTCGGCAAACTGCTCACTCGAGACTGGTCCAGTGCCGTGGCTTCGCTCATTTCCCACTCGTCAGAGGGGATTCGGAATGGCTGCAAAAGCTCAGTGCTATGACGAAAAAGTGGATCTTTAGGCATGTTAAACAAAATGGGAATCGGTGGAGGCGCCGGCGGCACAGGCGGCGGGTTATTAGGGGTATAAGTGAAACTACTGCCTGACTTGTGCAGCAGCAGGTGGCCAAGAAGGAAAGACTTGATGGCCTTGCGTGGCAGCCCGGAGCGTGAAGACTTGCCAGAAGCCAACGACACCGGATGCGAGTTCATGGAGTTGGCCACCGAGTCCAGGTGTTTATGGGACTGGGACTGGGGCCCGGCAGGCGGAGGCCCATAGGCAAAGCTGTAGTTGGCACCAGCAAACTCTGCAGCCTCCAGGCCTCGGCGACGGAACATGCCCATGACTTTCTTGATGGGCGACGAGTTGGTCAGCTGGATGATGGGTAGTTCAGGAACCCTGGCAGTCGGTGTGACGCAGTGGGTAAGAACGTTTTCAAACAGCTCTTGCGCTAGAAGCAGCCGGCGGTTGTTGCACACGCTGCCTTCCAGGTTTCGTCTATATGTGTGGAGGGAAGGAGCAGAAGCCAGGGCCAGAATATAGCTCTGGGGCCTGTTTTGCTCGATTTCTGTGTTCATCGTGGTCAGTTTGCTCATGTACTGTTGTTGGAGCCACTGTTCTTTGTTTTGTTCCCAGTCTTGGAGGGAGATTTGGCGAAGCCCAGAGGATGGCTGGTTCTGGGCCCATGGTGGAGGTGTAGACAGAGGAATCTCTTCGAGGCCTTCCATGATATCAGGGAAAGCTTCAGAAACGCTGGTTCTGTTTTTGTCAAAACTGACCTTTCCTCCAACACTGGACCGTCTTTCTGTGTCGATGCTGTTTCTGGTGTTTTCTTCACCAGGCCTCACCGTATCCAACAGAAACCTGGATTTGCTTTCCTGGATCGGACTGACGCCTTGTTTCAATACCGACGGAAGAAGGTTCTCGTTGACGCTTTGCAAAAACACCTTTTCGTCGTGGATCAGCTGCCACTTGCGTTTTTTGGGCAGACGTTTATTGACATGAAGCTGACTGACCAGTTTGGACCGCTGAACGTCACCAAGCGACTCTAGACTGTGAAGAGCAGGAACCAGCGGGTAATGGCCGAGCGAAGGACTCATCCAGTTCAGCAGGCAATAATCGTCAAGCGAATTGGACGCCATAGCTTTGGTGACCATCTCTGGCTCGGTTTCATGAGAATCACTATGAAGCGTACTCCCAGACGCTTCCCTTGTCTCTTTAAGTTCCTGGACGAGTGTCTTCTGTGAAGCCTTATTAGCCACATCGTGCCCAGGCTTTTCATGAGCCTTGTTAAGCAGTAGCTGCTCCAGACACGCCGTAGCGGTGCTTTCCACATCACTAGTTTCTGCCCCAGCCTCTCCAAGCACAGCAGCAGCTCCCATAAGAAAACAGCTCCCCAATGCCAACAGCAACACCACCTCCACAGCATTGTACTTCCAGACCCGGCTCTCCCCCAGAAACTGAACCACCACCACTATCGAAGCAGCCATATGGAAAGCATACACCACCAACAGCCCCATTCGAGCGTTTGCAGCCATTCTTCCTCCTCCAGCCACCATCACCACCGGCTGCACCACCACCACACAAAAACTAGACACCATAAAAGGAAGCATCAGGCGTTTCGGCGTCACACCGTACGCTAGTGAAGCCACCACCCCCAGGGCTAGGCACACAAGCATTAGCACCAGGCGAATGCTGCGATGGAGCCACATTGGGAATATAATAGGGAAATTTTAAACTTGGTAGTAGGAGTTTGTTGATGCTAAGGTTTTTGGAATTTGGTTTTGAGTTTTGACATCTGCTGCTTTTTCCATGTACCATGGGTATTCTTGGGGGATGGGAGTGTTTTGAACATGGCCAAATCGGGTAAAATGGTTGCAAAATCAGTGGTGTTTGTTGTCCCGCGCAACCTCCAATGTGCTACAGAATGAGCTACTCCAACCGCCTACACTGAAAAGTCAAAGTCGCACAAAAAGCTTGTTATTTGGGTTTCGCGTGGCGCCTGCTGCTTAGTTGTAAGCAAAGTCGCCTGCGATCCATCTGTTGACCATGTCCAAGGCGTTCTCAGGCTGGTCGAATGGAACCATGTGGCCACCGCCGTACACACGCAAGAAGGTAAAGTGTTCGTAGTTCTTCACTTCACCAGCTTCCTCCTTGCCAACGGTCCACTTGCGGATGGGCTGGGACTCGAACTTCTTCTGGCCGGACCATGGCAAACGGTCCGTCCATGCACGGTTACCTAACCAGTTGCAAATGAAGTCCTTGTCTCCAGCGTACACAAGCACAGGCAAGCCGCTCTCCAACAAGTCAATCACGTTCTTGTGGTATGGCTGCATCCAGTCGCCAGCAAACAAAAAGTTTCTGTTGATGTCAAAGTTGCATCCCTGGTACTCCTCCACCTCGACACCCAAGGCCTCCTTCACCTCTGGCTTGTTCAAGTACTCATCTATGTAACTCAATTCCTCGTAGCACAAGTTACCGCCCTTGCACTCGGTTCTAATGTCGTAGACGTTTCTGCCGGTCTTCTGGTATGGGCCCATCTGAGCGTTGTTACAGTAGATGGTGGCTGGAACACAAGACCACACAGATCCAGAGTTGTAGCACGACTCAATCAACGACAAACATCTAGGGATCGAAGCCTCCATGTTGTCACACTCCTCTGGCTCCAAAACGGATTTCTCGCCACCCTCACCACAGGCCATTGGCTTGTAGTACTCGTACTGGGTCAATGGGTCAGTCAAACCGTTACCAATCAAGACAGAAGTCAAGTTGAAGTGACGGTCATCGTGGCTCAAGATTTCAGAAGAGAACACTGGGATGTAGTGGCCACCGTAAGACTCACCGGCAATGTGGAAGTCTCTCTCGGCGTATTGAGGGAACTGCTGGAAGAACAATTCCAAGAAAGCGTAGACATCCTGGCCAGCAGCGACGGTGTTGGTGACGGACTCGGAGGAGTACGAGTAGCCGACATTGACTGGTTGGTCCAAGAAGATAACAGTAGCATTGTTGTTCCAGGCAGAAGGGTTGTTGACGGGCTTCAAGTCCTCGCCAATACGAGCAGGGCCCAATTCAAAGAACAATCCGGTCAAAGAAGAGCAGCCTGGGCCACCGTTCAACCACAAGATAACTGGGTCCTTCTTTGGGTCGTTTCTGGACTCAAAAGCCCAGAAAAAGAAGTGCTTGTCCTCGTCAGCAACATCCAAGTAACCAGAGTACTGCTTAACCGAGTCAATGCCCAAATCCTCAGGCGTAGACTTGACACGCAACTTGTGGTTTGGCAACTTGGCGTCAGAAACGTGGAAGTCAAAGGTACGGGCAATCTTCTTAGCGCTAGAAGCTGGGTTCTTGAACTTAAGCGAGCTCACAGATTCAGGGAACTTGAGCATCATCTCCAGCCACAAGGCAGCGGCGTCCTTTGGAATAGCGTCAATTGGCTCCTTCACGTACTGAGCAATCTTCAGCAACACATCGCCCTTCTTGTTTTCCCACGCACCTCTAATATCAGCATACTGGGAAGAAAGCGAAGAAGCCTTATCAGACAAAACTTGCTGGACGTTCTGCAAACGGTCCATTGGAATGGAAACAGCCGACGCCGACAGCGCGGCGCACGCGGCGGCAACGAAAGTAGAGATTCTCATGACAAAAAAGGTGGTACGGCTTTGTCAAGAAAAAAACAGTAGATATCAAAAAACGGGAATTTGCAGTCTTTATATAGTTTTCTGGGGTTGGGTTGCCGAGAACGAGGTTTGCTGCCAGTGTGCAGTCGCCCCTAACCGGTACCCTGGTGACGTTCCTGCAGGAAGTGTCCCTGATAAGGCTATAACCAGCTGTTTTCGGTATATTGTGGTGCACGGGTGCGCCGTACACCGTAACCGATGGAATGACGACGTTCAGGGAACGTAGAGGAGTGGAGGATTGGCATAGGGGAAGTTTGGGTGGAGAAGAGGGTTTATACCAATTTTCAGGTGGTTTCGATGGCCCAGCGTGGAGATAGCTGGGGGTTACTGGGATGAGGAAGTGCACATGACATATTTCACAGAGATAAGGTATTTCACTGGGTTTTTGGATTTAGGGAAATCCAAGGGTATATTTTGAATCTACGTGATTTGTTTAGTATGTTTCATTCAATATTTCACTTAATTTGCGTATATGGATTTGCTTGGGTATGGGTTCTGGAAACCGGTCTCGGTGCGGATGTAAGGTCGGCTCTAAGTGGTCTAGAAGGAACCCAAAGAGGCTCAGTCCAGGGTCCAGAGGCCCAGCGGGTGAGAGAGGCCCTGGAAAGAGGGATTGTATGAAGAGGATATGGTTTTTTATATACTTAGATTTGCTTCTTGTTTATGGTTTGGTGTCGTAGAAGGCATCAAGAAATGTCTTGGAGGTCTCGGTGACTCGGTGATAAAGCCGAGCAGCAGGTACCAGCAGTTATAGTGGCAAATTACATATAGAGGTGAGGTTTGGCTTTGTGGATGGAAATTGGAAGCGAGTGGTTTAGTGAAGAGCACGCAATACTGTGGATCCAGCCATGGGGACAATGTGGTGGATGGTTGGTGGGATGTCTTGGGTAGGTGCTTGGTGGTATATAGTAAGGGTTTGATGGGTTTTGTGTCAATGGGTTTTGTCCGAGGTTTGGTTGGTGGTATGGCTTTGGATTGGTTAATCAATGGTTGATTTCTTCTTCTCTAGCCTCGTTGTTACTTGTTCATGGGATGGTGTGGCTGTTAGTGGACAGTGGTTGGAGGAATGGCTGATGGCTGCGAAAAGGCAGTTATGGTGGATATTGTACTCCTGGGATGTTCTCAATAGAGCTGGTATTCGTATGTTGGCTTTATGTTATATTCTTAGTTCTATGCTTTTTCTTCTTTGGGTCAATTGAGGTTAGTCGTTGGAGTATGGTTGGTTCTCCAGCTCTCTATGTGCTTCCCCAGGTACATCCTTCCATACAAGTGACCCGTAGTCTCCAAAGAATAATAACCAGATAAATTAATGCTCTAATTTTGGCCCAATTTAAATTTTTCTATCGATTTAGTTGCCATTTTACCGTATAAGTTGTGTTTACTGAGTACTTGCTCACTGCACTTCCAGATCCCACTTGACAAGACATACAAGGCATCCCTGCTAATCATCTCTGTAATGAAAAACCAATCCGTTCAATACATCGATTAAGCACCTTAATCATCCAACTCGTCCAAATAAAGAGCCAATTGATAACTGAATAGCATATGGGATTCAAATACTGTTATATAGTGTACTTCCTCTCTCACTGCCCTTACTTCACCACCAGATCCTCAAACCACCAACAAACCAAAAAAAGACCAACTCCTCCATTCCAAACGAACCCTATATATCTATAACACTCATTCCCTTCTTCCTGCCACCCCCAACTTGCACCTCCCATAACCTTCCTCCTACTTCCACCCTCCGACCGGTATATAGCCCTTGTACCATCTACATCTCCAGTAACCTACTCTTCTCTAACCCAGGCATGTCAGAGCATTACCTCCCGAAAACTCTACATGTTCTCTAGAGATAAGCTTCTTCATCGTCCGGCGGTGGGGGTTTCCGGGTCAGTGGAGATCTGGGAAACTCCAAAGGGCACTAAGTATGCTGTTAAGACATACCATGAAAAAGAAGCCCATGAGCTGCGCAAAGAGTACCAGAATAGGGTACTATATGAATACGAATTGCTTAGGGGGATTCAGCATGAAGCGTTTTATGTCCCTACAAAGTATACCATATCCTGGACGGGCCTGACGGTTTGTATGTATATGGAGGCTGGACTGAGGGACTTGGCTAAGCTTCTACGGAAACAGGCTTCTGCTAGGTTTAATGTGGCTGAAAATTTGTGTTACTGGAAACAGCTTGTTTCGGGGATATTGTACCTTCACGAGCAAGGCTTGAGCCATAGGGATATCAAGCTTGAGAATATGGTGTTGCTGAGTACTGGCAGGCTTAAGATTATAGATATGGCTACGGTGACGGCCAGCGAACCTGCTATAGGTATTGTGGGCTCGCCAAAGTATATGGCGCCAGAAATGACCACCCAAATAAGGTACGATGGCCAGAAGGCAGATACTTGGTCTTTGGGTATAGTGATGGTGTATTTTGCAACCAAGACGTTTCCCTGGAAAACTGCGCATATTAGTGATTCGGAGTATTTGGCGTGGGAGTCTGAAGGGAAATTGAAGGGCGTGGAATCCGTTCCAGCCAGTTTCAGGGCGTTTGTAGGGATGCTTCTATTTGTGGATCCTGACCTTCGGAAGTCAATTAAAGAACTTCTGGGGCTGAAGATCTTTGTGAAGCTTCCATGGTGCCATGGAGAAAGCACTTGTGGGACAAAGCATACTTTGATGAAAGAGATAGACAATTGAGTTGTAGCCAAGTGGGGCACAACGGACAGGAAGACTCTTAAGGAATGATATTTAGCATATGGGCAGGCAGCTCACTTTATTTAACAATTAACAATCAGAAACGAAGAAAAGAAATCATAAAAAAAAAAAAATTCATAGAAACAGAAGTAGAAGGTTGGTGTTTGCTGGTAAGGAAGAGTAAGAGAGGCGCCATATAGAGCCATAATGACCATAAACAGCTACTACGGGAAGCAAATTAAAGGCTTAATATCAAAAACCCAATGAATAATGATCGTTTTATTGCCTTTTCAAATTTTTCAATATTCAAAGTATCAGTTGTACCTGGAAATTCACATTGGTCTGAGTATATAACCCTACTTACACAAAATGTGCAATTACTGTAAGTTTTCACAATGACCTTAAAAATCGAAAAGTGCCCAAAATTGAAGAAAAACCGGTTAAATGAAACGAAAAAAGTCCAAGTTATGTCCCGTCCAAGTTTCAGCGAAAATCCATGTCTTGAACGAAAGTTACGCTCTCTTCCGTCTTTCTCGTCCATTACTCACACACTGAGCCAACATTGAAGCAACCAATGTGACCCTCAAGGCCTATAGAATGTAACAATAGAGAACCATAGACCACTTTAACCAAAAGACAATACCTTCATTTACCCTATCCACTTCATTAGCACCATCACTGTTACATGGTAAGCAGACTAACCAGTACCATAATGAAGTACCCACAGTCCTCCACCTGAGCTATTCAGAACCCATAAAAAAAAAAAAAAAACCCACAATTCCCTTCAATTACTTCTCTTCAGCCCAAAACCATGAAAGTCTACCACACTCACTCTCTATACCCTACAACCTATCTCCCTTGCTGGTTCTTCCCCTTTCACTACTTTTCGCAGCCACTACTACAACCTAAGAACCACCACCACCACCATCAACTACAAACCTCAACTCCAACGAAAACCAACTAAATTACCTAAAAATTCCATTCACTACCAACCGATCCCATCTACGTACTTTTTTTTTTTTCCATTCATCCACCCGGCACTACACTACCAGTCCTCTTACCCACCCAACCTCAACACCACCACTTGCCTACTTTGGTGACTCTGCGTTGTGGGGTCTGTGACTTCTCCAGACGGAATTATAGGTGACCCCAACATGGCAGAGTCAGGATAGAACACGGGGAGGGCTTTTTTGGCGGTGGGACAGTGACTCCACTTGTTGACTCTCCTCCTGACTCTGATACTCCCCTGGGTTGGGGCTGAACCGGGGGTCTCGGAGTCGACCGCGTGGCCGGAGGCGGCCTCGATAGTGCCCCCGGAATTGGTTTGTTCAAGCTGCTGAGTGTCAGCCGCATATCACGTGCTGCACACCCCCGGCGTGAGTCAAGACACTGAATTTTTTCAGCACCCCACCTAAAACTATAAGAACCAAGCCGTTCCCTCCAACCCCCAAATCACCCCCTACAATTGTCTCCCCCCGGAATGCTTTCCCGTTCGCTTCGTGCCATCCAGCGCTCCTCCATCAGTGCTCGTACCTACGCCCTCTCGGCAAAGGCCCAGAGCCTCATCTCCAAGCCTGTCCAGGAAGTCGATCCTGAGATGGCCTCCATTTTGCAACAAGAAAGAGACAGACAGAGAAACTCCATCACATTGATTCCTTCTGAAAACTTCACCTCCAAGGCCGTCATGGACTTGTTGGGCTCGGAGATGCAGAACAAGTACTCCGAAGGTTACCCTGGTGAGAGATACTACGGTGGTAATGAGATCATCGACAAGGCCGAGTCCTTGTGCCAGCAGCGTGCTTTGGAGGCCTTTGACTTGGACCCAGAGCAGTGGGGTGTGAACGTGCAGCCACTTTCTGGTGCTCCTGCCAACTTGTACGCTTACAGTGCTGTTTTGGAGGTTGGTGACAGAATCATGGGTTTGGACTTGCCTCATGGTGGTCACTTGTCCCACGGTTACCAAACCCCTTCTGCTAAGATCTCGTACATTTCCAAGTACTTCCAGACCATGCCATACAGATTGGACGAGGAGACTGGTCTTATTGACTACGACACTTTGGAGAAGAATGCTCTTTTGTTCAGACCAAAGGTCATTGTTGCAGGTGCCTCTGCCTACTCCAGAGTGATTGACTACAAGCGTATGCGTGCTATTGCCGACAAGGTGGGCGCCTACATTTTGTCTGACATGGCTCACATTTCCGGTTTGGTTTCTGCCGGTGTCACTGCCTCTCCATTCCCATACTCTGACATTGTCACCACCACCACCCACAAGTCCTTGAGAGGTCCTCGTGGTGCCATGATCTTCTTCAGAAAGGGTATCAGAAAGGTCACCAAGAAGGGTAAGGAGATCCCATACGATCTTGAGAGAAAGATCAACTTCTCTGTGTTCCCTGCTCACCAAGGTGGTCCACACAACCACACCATCTCTGCTTTGGCTGTGGCCTTGAAGCAGTGCCAGTACCCAGAGTACAAGCAGTACCAGCAGGAGGTCATTGACAACGCCAAGGCTTTCGCTGCTGCTTTGGAGGACAAGGGTTTCGACTTGGTTTCCAAGGGTACCGACACCCACTTGATTCTTGTGGACTTGCGTTCCAAGAAGATTGACGGTGCTCGTGTGGAGGCCGTTTTGGAGCGTGTTAACATTGCTGCCAACAAGAACACTGTGCCAGGTGACAAGTCTGCCTTGTTCCCCAGCGGTTTGAGAGTTGGTACTCCAGCCATGACCACTAGAGGTTTCGGTCCAGAGGAGTTTGCCAAGGTTGCTGAGTACTTCCAGAAGGCTGTTGACATTGCCATCAAGTTGAAGGCCCAGGAACAAGGTACTGTTGCCAAGGAGTTGATGGCCAGCTTCAAGCAGATTGTCCAGGCTTCCGAGGAGGTTAAGGCCTTGGACGCCGAGGTGCAAGCCTGGGTTGCCCAGTACCCAGTTCCAGGTGACTTGTAAGGGACAAGAACGGGACTGGTGAATGAATGAAGTTTCTGGGATACCAGATGCTTTCATGTCGTTAGACGCATATTCGTACGGAAAAGAATACAAAAGACAAAAAGAGAAGATAGGAGAGTGTAGGTGGCTGAGAAGAGACGAAGTGTTGATGGTAGAGGTCTTGCTACTCGTCCAGTTATATTATAACAGGACTTTAAATGCCATTAGCGTACTCGAATATTCAGAATTAAAAGAGACATCACGAAATACACATTGAAGGAAGACGAGCACTTGAATATACAGATGCCTTACTGCTTGAAGTGAGTAACTAATGATATTTAAGAAACCCATAAGTAGAAGCCTTCGTAGCGTAGCCTCAGCCGATGGATCCAACCAGGCCAAACCCACCCTTCCTACTCATAGCCATATGATGTGTTCGGATATTGTCCATCTTACCCAGGGAGCCTAACTGGAAGAAAATAAACAAAAGAATGCTTCACATTACCAGAAAGGTACAAAAAGTGATTTGGTGATGTAATGTCACTGCTTGCTCTTCTTCCTTAGTAGGAGGCATAGAGTACCTCCAGTATTTCACACCAATTGGCCTAAAATGCTTTAGTTAAAAAAACCATAAAACAAACCACCCTATCTTTTTCTTCCCCACCACTTCGTACCACCCAATTCCTTCCCTGTCCTCCACTTTTCACCACATTTGCTTCTCCAGTAGTTACCCATACTGGCTGCGAAAAAGGGTACTCACCAAACCACACCCTTCCTTCTCCACAGACAAATAACTGACACCCTCCATCCTAAAAACCCCACTACAAACCGAAAACCCTCTCCTAATTGCCCCACCACCGTTGGGCTTCCCTTTACAGCTCTTCCTTCCTTACTACCACGGTCACGTGCCGCTATCACCAAAAAGATACTACCCACAGATCCTCAGCCAGTCCTCAGCAGTCAGCTTTCCTAGTATAGTCCCATAAACAGCAAAGTATGCCTGTGCAGGAACGAGATCCCCATGCTCTGAAAGAACCCACCTCCCAAACCGCCGCAAGGTCCGCCAGAGCCATCTCGTGGTCAAAGTATGGTTTCATAACGTACGCACATCCAGACCCGACCTCGGGCCACAACATGTGTCTTACGTACTTGGAAAACACAAACGGCAAGGATTGGCAGTTGGCGAAGGCGACGGGGATAACGCTAAAGCCGCTGGACGACGGCGCCGCTGCTGAGATTGATATGCTTAAGTGGAGTAACCTACTGACTGATTTGGGTGTCTGGGACGTGAACGGCAACTTCTATATATTGCTTGCTGGCGTGGGGCTTATTAATGATAAGAAGGGTGAAAACGGACAGAATGGGACGGCTAACGGTGCCATTTCAGCTCCCAGCCCGACGAAACGTGATTCGGATGGACCTTCTTACGAACTCACCTCTTATAACCATACAGAGATGATCTATAGGGATATTGTGCCGCCACAGGCACACACGAAATGTGTGAGTTTTGAGTGGTTGAATATTGAAAAGCCTCAGATCGTGAATAAACTGGCGACGCTTGCTGGTGAAGATGGCTCTGGGTATGCTAATTATTCATATGGTGTAACGCAGCACCATCCGCCTGGAACCAGCCATCCAATTCCTACAAAACAAGCATGCGTGGCTGTGCGTCAAAATGGACTTTTGAATTTGTATTATCAAGGCGAACATAAGGTGGAGTACCATAAGTTGTCGTATAATCTTGCTCCAGACGGACGCGAGGGCAGCTGTACTTTCACGAAAGCTGCAATTGGGTTCAATAACGATAAGAAAATTGTTATTGTGGCGTACGATGCTCGTTCGGACCTTATCCTCACGTATGTGGTCAGCATAGATTGGGGCTTTTTGGTGGATTCTGCTCAGAGACAAAGAGCTGATCCCCATTACCATACGCCTAAGGATGGCCAGAACCAGCCGCTGATATCGTGCTCTTTGGTGCACGAGATGCGCCCAGAGCCTACGGCTTCTATTGATTACGGCGACGAAAAAGCATTTGGACGCCCTGAAGTGGTCCAACAGACACTTAAGCTGATTGAGCTTTTCTCCCCATTCTTCCAACAAGGCTCGTCCTTGGAAATCCTCGTCACCTACGAATGCATGAACCCGGTGGGAAGCCAGCCTTTCACTCTGGCCTACAGGTACAATCTAGAGAATGCCATGGACAGCGTGGGTGATCTCTTCGACAGTATGGGCGATGGAGCTTCCAATAGCGATTCTCGTGAAGGTCTTTTGAGGCTTGTGTTACAGGGCCATATAAGTCTTTCCAAGCAAGTTCAGCAAATTGAAACAGCAATTTCTGAGAGTTTGCTTCTTTTCATATACACTGATGGGTCAATTGACGCCGTTAACAGAGAAACATGGGAAATTATCCCCAATCCAGGCTTAAAGATCGAAGGTCAGGATTCTTCAGCTACATTTCCTCCTACTATATCATCGCTACTAGACTGTGGCTTCCTGTTCCCCGAGCTTGGTGCCAATCCTGCTTTACTTGCAGTTTCGCCCAACATGGCTGCTTTTGTTCACCATGCCGATGGACAGCTACAATTCAAGTCGCTTGAACGCTTGAATGGCAAGGAGAATATTCTGCTTTGTGGAATTGGCTTTGCATACATGCATGCATGTGCCTGTTACTCGACAACTTCTTCCGATGATCTTTTGGTTATGCTTCGAAACGAGCTTCTGAAAACTGAATTGGAGCTGCCTGAGCTTGCATCTAAACTAGTTGATTTGGTTATGACAGAATCCCACAAAGCCATCAACTTCCAGCTCAACTCGTTTGGCAAAGAGTCTGTTGATAAGCTTCTATCGAACCCTCCTCTTCAAAGACTCTTATCGCTTCAGTTGGTGCTAGGCGAACTTCACTCAGATAATAGAGCTATCAAGGATATGGCATGGATTGTTCTCAACTTGAGATCTACCAGTTTTGGCATCATGTTCTCTTTATCTAGCATCTACAGACAGATGTCAAAGAAAAAGCCAGCTGAGGATCTCTTACAGGATTCTGTGAGCAGAGCTGAATGCATTATGCTGTTGGTTGGAAACGTCCGTTGGCTCATTGACTTGATTGTCTACTTCAACCAAGAGCTTCTTCAATTGGCATTTTCGAGAAACCGTCCTAGTCAGTCTAAAGTCACGGTGGATAACTCAGTGGTGCTTCCTGTGATTCTTGGAAAGGTTCCACGTTTGTTCTTGATGTACTCGCTTTCTTCGATTGGAAAGACGCATGAAATCTTGAAGAAGCTCTACAAGGAACTCACCGAGAGCAACAAGCTCTACACTCCAATGAAGGAAGCACTTAACAGATTCTTTACTGCTTGCAACTCGCTGCCTTTGAACTTGGGTCTTTTTGAAAACTTCCTTCGTGAATGTGAAGTGTACGTGAATAAAGAGCTCAACAATGTGGTATCCAACGACCGTGCTCAGCTGCTTCGTTTGGAGCAACAGCTCTTCTGTCGTGGACACGTTCCTGACGAGGTCAAGTACATGGCAAATGTGTTGATTGACCGCCACGCCGCTACAATCAGCAGGGACTTGAAGCTTTCAGATTTGTACTTCTACGAAAACAACTGGATTGATGTTGGTATTGCAAGAAAGGAGTTCACCAAACCTTACATACCTACTGACGACGAGTACAAGCCGATGGTTCCTCGTCTTCGGTATTCAGATAACGAGGTGGTTGACGCATTGCGTAAGATCATCATCAATGCTGGTCCTACGGTTGTATCGGGAGGCGCCTCGGCCATGGGTAAAGGCTATTCACTGAAGAACAAAATCAGAAAATGTACGAGGTGTCGAGCAGTTTCGTTAGTCGCAGATCCATCAATTTTCGACGGGCCTGGTGGCTTTGGCGTTTGGACAATGGTGTTCCAAAGGACGTGTATTTGTGGTAATGCATGGGTGAATTGCCTATAGACTAAAGTGCTTCATCCAGAACATCAACTTGAGGACCTCTGAGGGGCCCGTGGATCAACGTGCGAAGCAAGTTCCTGAGTCCGTCTTTCCAGACCCCTAGGTCAAGGTCCTTATTGTTGAGAAGATTTTCAATGGTTGAACGAGCTTCGTTTCTGATCAGCCGGTCAGAAATATTGCCAGACAATTCTATCAAATATGACAGCACCACTGTGGGCATCTCCAGCAATAGATGTTTTGCAGAATGGTTATGACGAGAAATGATCTCAAGCAACTTGTAAAGTAAGTCTTTTGGAAGGCGAGAAAACGTAGAATTGGAGAGTTTGCCCTCGCTGGCAAACAAGTTGAAGAAGTCTGGATCTTCAAATGCATGTAGAACACAAGCAAAAAGGATATAGTCCATTGATGCTAGGTCAATTGCAGCAAAGTAGGTATCAAAGAGCTGGCGTTTCTTAGAAATAAAAGCCGGATTCGTCTTCAAGAAAATTTCATTATGGAAAGGCGCTTTAAGGTCGATATTATCAAGAATGGCAACAACCGGTTCCTGCTGCTTAGCCCAGGCCACTATTCCATCATCCTTACAGTAAGTAAGTTTCCCAAAAAGCTCAGTCAAACGAGGACTCACAAAAGCAGCCTTTTCCACCACCGAAACGGCAAGCACATTCAAGCACCGAACAATCACCGGCTGAAGCAGAAGAAACAACGCCTCCAGGCCATCCATCAACCCCACAAGGTTCGTATAGAAGTCAATAATCACACTGTACATCAACGCATCCGGGCTGGTCTCCTCAGTATCGTCAAAAAAGCTCAACGAGTCCACCACAGCAATCAATTTCGCATAGTTGATCTGCTTCAAATCAAGTCTTCTGGAAATAACCCGTTCTGCAAGCGCCATATACCTCGTAGTCAACGCCGAGTCCGACTGCAACGCCACAAGGTCCACGCAATGCATGAGGTCAGTCGTTATCTCATCAAGAAGCTTCCCGTCACAGCTCTTCACCAAAGACTCCACCGTCCAGAACCGATCTGGAATAGAATGGTCCGACAAGCAACGAAGCACAGCTTTCGGCAACAACGCCGTCGTATCCACAAACTCCACGGCATCTTCATCATTGCAGCTAACTCTCCAAGCCACAAGGTCCACCGTAGCCGTAAACAACTTCACAGGGCTAGGGTAATCTATAGCCTTAAGCATCTCGTCCTTAGGGAAGTACACCCATGTAGTTTTCATAGGCACAAGCATAAGAAGGTCTCTAAGAAACTCCACGTAGTCGTCGTCGTACCGCTCCAGGTTCATGATCCTCGAGAGCAACGGCATCACCGTGGATAGGATAGGATTACTAAGTGGATCGCCAGCCTGGAGAAGGTACTTATGCAAGGAAACAAAGTCATAGTACGTTCTTGCCGGCTCAGTATCGTCAGTTTCGTCGTTTAGGTATGCATTGAGGTGGTTGACAAACCTCTGGGTGTCTGGATCTAGCTGTGGCGAAGGAAGCATGGGGAGGTTTGTAGTTGGCTGGTGCGGTGTTGATAGTTTATGTATGTATGTAATAGTGTGGATCGCGATAAGGTGATAAGAGGGAGAGTTGGAAGGTGAAGAAGGTGAAAAGGGAGAGTTGGATGGTGAAGGTGAAAAAGGTGGTTAATTGGGTTTTTGGGTTTTTGGATGAGTGGCTGGCTTTTGGACTTTTGTTGGGGTAGCTGGAGAGGTGGAGGTTGGAGTGGAATGGATGGTAGACAAGACGAGGTAAGTTAATGGATGTGTTTTGGTGGTATGAAGGAGGGACGGTGGAAAGCTTATTTTGGTTCATTTTTTATGGGAATGAAAAGGTCATGGTTGTTTGGTAAGTAGGGTCTTTTGGTGGTTGGGTGGTTGGATGGTTGGGTGGTTCTAGGTCTGGTGGGTAAGGCCAGTGGTGGTTTAAGCCAGGCAGTGACATCTTTGCATTACCAGGAAGTAGTAAGACCGGGAATTGGAATTGAAATTGATGGATATTCTTCAATTCCTAGTTGATCAAATGCTTGGTGTATCTGGTTAATTGGCTAGTAGAGCATTGGGTGGACTGGGAAGACATGGTATTGGTAACTGAGCAAGCACTGGCAGCACCTGGAGAAACCCGAGTGGTGGGTTACGGGCAGCGGGATTTTCTTCCTTTTCATGAAAAGGCAATCCTTAAAGCTTGTTAGTGGGGTCTAGGCATTCTTGGGACCTGGAGCTGGTGGATGGAAGTGAAGGACCAGTAAGGAAGCTAGTATAGAACCAGAGGCTGCTCCATAGTCACTGGCCAAATTGAACTGAAAAAAGACGTAATATCCAATACAGCCTTTAGAGCCAATGGGGAGTGATAATGGACTATTATCTCGCCTATTGCTGCCTTTGGTTCTACTTGCCCCCATTGATCCAGCACATCCACCCTGAATACCCTGAATACCCTGAATACCTTCCAGAGCAAAAATACCCTTACTTCTCCCCAAAGCCACCAAAAGCCCCATACCTTTCCTTCTGCCAAAGCTTCCTTTCCAATCGTTTCCCTGATCCAGAGCCCTGACCGTTTCCCGTTAGCCGTTGGACAAAGCATACCGAAACATTTGCATTCCAAACGCTCGAAACCGAACCTTAGTCAGAATACCTTCAAAGAAGAATGGACATGCCGCTGGTCATCCAATGCCACAGGCGGGAATGAACGCCAGGGAGAGGAAGAAAGGAAGGGAAAGAGAAAGGAAGGGAAAGAGAAAGGAAGGGAAAAGAAAGGAAGGGAAAAGAAAGGAGAGGGACGGAAAAGAAAAAAGAAAAGCAGTAAAACAGTGTCCAGAGCATTGGAAGCCAGGAATTGACCAATTGCATGGAATAGACTAAATGAACTGGAAGCAGAGGAGAATGGTATGGTGAGTCTGGACAAGCCAGCCAGAGCAGAAGCAAGAGCAGAACCAGGAAGAAACCAAGAAGTCAAGAACCCAGCAAAGAACCCAAAACACTAAGTTACCCCCAAAAGACCTCCAAAAACCATCCCTTGGCCATTGTAGTTGCAACCATGTATTGTCAAGAAAAGACCCCAGTTCTTCAGTTCTTCAGTTCCTCAGTCCTCAGTAGTCAGTAGTCAGTGCTCAGTAGCCAGTATCATATGCCATTCAACCACCAATTCCAACTTCCACCCTCCAACCTCCACCTCCAAATCTCCAACCCTTACGTTTCAAATCCCAAACCCATTTCCATACTTCCATATTTTCAGCCCCTCTTCCACCTTCATTAGGTTACCTGATTGAGTAGCATTCTCGGTGGACAATGGGATCGTGCGGGCCATTCCGGAGGAGGAAACAGTGAAAATGGAGAAAAAGAGGACGTAGAAAGGAAGGGAATTTTGGGAAATCTACATCCTTGCATTAGCTGATTGTCGTTGAGAGCCGCTCAGATCTGTTCTTTTGTTGACCCGTTTAAGCTTCTGGAGTGACTTGTTCGTGTATTGGAAGGGTTTGGGCTGCCTCGATTGGGTGCAAAAAATACCGTTTAGCCGCGCTGCCGTGGGTCCAAGAAAGACTAGAAAGGGACACGCAAAAGGGCAGGTATGGACGGAAATTGGCGGTTTTTGGGTGATTTCAAATCTCCTCTTCTTTCTCTCTCCAACCGTACTACTTTCACTTCTTTATCTTTAAAACTCGTGGAGATAACTGGACCTTCTGGGTTAGCTGTGGGTGGTTCCTGAGGCTCCCGCCGCGCACCCTTCACTGGTAGTAACCCACAGTTATTTCCACGAAAAATACAGCAAAAGAGCTGGGGTTTGAAATTGCCGCCAAAAGTGGCCCCAAAGAATCCACCAATATAGTTACTTTTTCCAAAAACCCAGCCTAATCGGCTGGTTTTTTGAAACACCCGTGCACCACTCCCAGCCCACCTGCGCGCCGCACTGACACCATCCTATGTCGTCTAAAGACTGTACCTCGAATCTTCATTGATACCAAAAACCACCCTGAGTTTCGTGAAAAATCATCCGCCAACCACACTCTTTTGATGTCGCTAACAAAGACAGACTCGTCAGAGACGCTTCACGGAACGGAAAAAGTCGATAAAGTGGGGCAACAGGATGCCCCGCCCGATGCCCACCAGGGCGCTTCACCGCTGGAAGAGCCTTTGGAGGAAGCTGAGGTGACCAAGACAGATTCGCCTCGTGTGGAGGAGACTGTGGTGATTGTGGAGGTGCCAGAGAAGGTGGAGGACGGGAAGGAGGAGGTGCTGGAAAACGTGAATGTGGAGGAAACGCTGGCTCTGGAGGAGCCTGAAAAGACCCAAAACAACACGTCTAAGCTGGTGGAAGAAGAGGCTGCAGACGAGCTTGTGGAGATTGCAAAGAAGCTTTATAACGAGGAGTTTGTGCTGATCAGGCCCGAAGAGTATACCCAGTTTTTGGCGGCGGACGATAAGGACTCGGCTGCTATCAGGGAGCTATACATGGACATGTTTACGTGGAGCCCCAGTTTGGTGAAATCCACGAGAATTTTGTGCCTGAAGTTGTACTTGAAGGGAGAGTCCCAGGAGATCGACCGTATTCTTCTGGCGTTCACGAAACTGTACATTCGCCAGAACCCAGTGAACGTGTTTTGCACGAGAGATTTCGAAAAAATCTATATTATCTTGTACAGTTTGATTTTGCTCAACACGGCGCTTCACAACCTGGAAATCAGCAAGAAGAGTTCGATTTCACAGGCTGATTACGTGAGGAATACGTTCACGACGTTCCTCCAGCTGAACAAGAAGACCTCCAGTAAGCTTTCTGTCAAACAGAAGATCCAGATCGAAAGAGAACTTCACTCGTACTATGACGATTTGGCCCGTTCAGAGCTTTACTTGAAGAAAACTAGCGATTCTACCCTCCACACTTCTTCACAAAGACGCGTGATTTCTACAAACTCCAACCGTCTTTCTGTGGCTGAAACAATCCGCCTGACTGTCTCTGGCAACTCTAATGATCACCCAGCACTGCCACAAGTGAACGGCGAAGATTTTGACCTTTCCAGGCAAATCTCCAACACTTCAAACCTCTCGACCGACCATGATGGCCAGCGCAGACACTCCTTGGCGCTTCTGAAGGTGAGATCGGGCGGTTCTGCTGTTTCCCACGTCACTGCAACATCTAATAACGCTGGCTACGGCCTGAACGGTGCTCGTGTGGGCTTCACTCGTGTTTTGCACTCCAACACCAATTCTCAAAGAAATACCTTGAAGAATAGATCTTCCTTGGACCACTTGCGTCACTATGGGCATTCTTTGGGTCACAAGAGCTCCAGAGCGTCCATCGTCAGCAGACAGTCCAACGCTCCAGAAGACCAGCTTTCGCTTCTGACCACTGATCTTCCAAACTTGGATACACTGTACAATGGCAAGCAAGACCTTGAAGATTTCGACGTGGCAAACTTCCAAGACTCGTACGACCTCAAGTTAGAGTTGCAGGGCTCCCCTTACTTGAAAGAAGGTCTTTTGAAGCTTCGTATTATTAACAATGACCAGCTGGATTCTACTGGAAATGGCGACGTGCACACGCCTGCTTCTTCAGGTATTCTCCTGAGCGCCTCTTCCATTACTTCCAGAAAGCCAGGCGGATTTTTTTCCTTTTTCAAGAGTGCTCCAAAGGAACCTGCTTCTGTATCTACTACTGTGGGAACCAGCCACAACCACCATGCCTTTTCCACAAAGTTCAGCGAATACTTTGTTGTGGTATCTAAAGGTGAGCTCAGATTATATTCTTTTGACCCTAAGCAAATCAAGAAACAACAGCAGAAGTTGAAGAAGCTCAGAAAACACAGTCTTGCTTTTGGTGTTGATCTTGAAGATGACGAGGACGATATTGGTGACGGTAACTGGCTTAAGAACGCTGCTAATATGGGTAACTACAACTTGTGTTCTACCATTGCTCAGCTTGAACGCCTGTCGCTTTCTCAACTGTCTGATAAGATCCAATGGTCGTTGTCGTTCCCTAAAACAAGCAAGAAGGCTCCAAAGAAGTTCGTTTTTGAAGCTGGTACAATGGAAGTCGCTACTGAGTACGTCAACACCTGTAACTTCTGGGCTTCAAAGATCACTGCCGTGCCCCCACTCGAAGAAAGTGTTTCGTCTCTAGAGTACGGCTGGACCCATTTGGACGGACTTGTTTCCATGGGCGATGCTTTCAAGAAGGCAAGAAATATCAGTAAATGGGAGCAGCTTCCAAAGGGCGTCTACATCAGCAACTTGTCTGTGGCTGACGAGGGAGACGAAGTGCAACACGAGGGATTGCTGAAACAGTTCTTGATGACGCTAAAGTACTATAACAGCTTGAAGGGCTACTATAACAATTTTAGTCAGATGAGAACGACATTCTTGAGGAACATGAGAAAATTCACCGGCACTTCCAACTACAAGTTGGTTTCCCAGAACTACGAAACCCGTGCTAACGAATATAAGGTTGAGCTTACCAAGTACAAGAACTACGTGATTATGCTTGGATACGGCCTCAAGCTTAGATTTGATGCTGTTGAAGACGACGTTTACGAGAAGCTTAAGCAGGATATCATTGACGACACGGAACTCACCATTGATAAAGAAAATGACGTTGAGGTTGGTGCTGAAGTTGCCAAAAGACTCACTGAACACCATGAAAGCGAACTGGAAGTGATTAAGGTGGCCAAGAAGGAGCTTGAAAAGCTCAGTATGCTTACTCCCGACCTCTACATGATGTTCAGAAGGAAAGACGCTTTACCTGAGTCCAGAGACGAGAAAGAGGATGCCGAGTATGATGTTTCCACCGGTTTGGAAGACACATCCGGCACGTTGGTGAAACTGCCCAAGAACTTCAGTCTTGCCGATATTAAGGACCTGGAGAGCAGCCCCATCAACCAGCTACTCACTGCGGACGTGAAAAGCAGCGGTCCTGGCGAGGGAGAGTTGAACCAGGCCAAGAGAGAGCTCATTATGAGTTTCAGTACAAACACCATCAAGGAAGAGGACGAGGAGTTTGACAATGTGATCTAGGAATAAGAGAAACAAGGACTATGAATAGAGAGGCAATGTATGGATATTTTGTGTACAGAGGTGTAAAACTAAAAAATTGTCGGTATGGGTTTTGGGGGATATCACGTGACCCATCACGTGACCAAACAGAGGTGTTGGAGTTTCCCATTAGACTCTGTACAGTACGTAGTGCAGTACAGCATCTTATACAGTCTTGTTATATGTTATACAACTAGATGGATTCTTGTATTAGTTAGACTCTCTATAAAGACGAAAAACGCCAGTTTATATATTCCAATCCAGGTGAAATTGGATTCCGCTAATTTCCTATTTGGTGATCCAATTTCACTTGTCCTCATTTCCTCGGGATACCCAAACCGGTTATCGAGTTCCGTCTTTGACTCTGACCGATATCCGTGATGATATAGAGTCACTGCACACAGTTACTCTGACAAGAGGCAATATCAAAGGTGGCGCCGTCGATACCAATACTACTACTATAACACCATGTCAGACCCCAGTTCCATCAACGGTACGTTCCCAGTCCAATCAGACTCCCTCATTCAATACTAACATCCAGGTGGCTCCGCCGTCGCCATGGTCGGCAAAGAATGCATAGCAATTGCCTCAGATCTCAGACTAGGCAACCAGTCCTTAGGGTTATCCAACAACTTCGAAAAAGTGTTCCAATTCGGCGACAAAACCTTCTTGGGCCTCACTGGCCTCGCCACCGACGTCCTCACGCTCAAAGAAGACTTCCGTCTCAAGAACAACTTGTACAAGTTGAGAGAAGAAAGAGAGATTGAGCCCCAGACGTTAGCCAACTTGGTGTCTTCGTCATTGTACGAGAAGCGTTTTGGTCCATTTTTTGTGGGTCCTATTGTGGCTGGTTTGGAGCTGAAGACCAACAAGCCGTACATTTGTGGGTTTGACTTGATTGGGTGTATTGACGCCGCTAAGGATTTCATTGTTTCAGGAACCGCCAGCGACCAGCTTTACGGTATGTGTGAGTCTCTTTATGAGCCCGACTTGGAGCCGGAGGATTTGTTTGAGACGATTTCTCAGGCTCTTTTGAATGCGGTGGACAGAGACGCCTTGTCTGGGTGGGGAGCTGTGGTTTATATTGTCACGAAGGACAAGGTGATCAAGCGTGTGCTCAAGACCCGCCAGGACTAAGCTCGCTGGGCTACTAGAAGGGCTGCGGTAAATGTGGTCTTTGATATATACAAGCTAATGAAATAAACGGAAAATGAAGCCCAGGGTGAGGCCGACAAAGCCCATGGGAGGCTTTCGGGGTGGTCTAAGAGGTGTCAAGGCGTGCCAAGGGGGTGTCAAGGGAGTTTTGACAGCCGAAGCTCTCGAGCAGCTTTGCAGCTGCTCTTGATCTTCAGCTGCTCTACTGCCTCTTCAGAGCCTCCATCTCAATCACCTTCTTCAAATAATTATTCTTCCCATACAACTCCTCATCTCTCTTCTTCTGCTGCTCCTTCAAAACCTTCTGCTTCTCTCTGCTGGCTCTAATTCTTGCCTTGGCGTCGTCTGATCTTTGAGCATGAATGCATTTGGTCAACTCGTCTTTTTCAAAGTTACACATGCCCATGGCCTTTTTGAGAAACTCGGCTTTGTGGCACTCCTCAAGAGCGTCCATGAGCTTTTCACAGCTATCGAACCTGTTTCTGTCTAACTGGGGATGCATGGTTTGTGGAGAAGAGGTGGTTGATAAGGTTACGGGAAGAGTGGAACGATATACGAGGCGAGGTCACGTGATCAAATTTGAAAAATTGGAATAAACCGAAAACTAAAGCTTTTGGAGGGAAAGGGAGGGCATTGACGGGATATAGTGGGCGTTTTGGAGGTCAAGAAGGTGTTGAAATAGTCTTTTTAGGCTTCTTTTTGGCTTTGGCGGTGGTGCTTTTTGGCTGCGAAATGCCTTAGTGGAGCCAATGAGAAGAGGTACATATAGAAGAAGGGTCAGTCACTTTTTTCTTGTTTACTTAATAATTAGTTGATCTCTTTAAGGTTGGGTGGGTTTGTTTGTTTGATGGTTTTCTGTTTTTTGGTGGTTTTGGTGGTTGAAGAATGTGGAAAGTAAGTTGACTGGCTGCGAAGGGCATCAAGAGAAGGTGGAAAGGGAAGCGTAGCTTTTTGTAATTTGGTGGGTTTAATGTGAAAAAGACGTTTGATAGAGGCTTGGGGCTCTGTTGGGTGGAGTTTGGGGAAAAAAAGAAGTGGAAAGACGTATTGGCTGTTCTCTTAGCTGCTCATTTGATAGTCAGTGGTGGAAGCAATACATATATATCTGTCTGGATCGCTTGATGGAAAGAAGAAGTCCCTTATTTTGAATAAAAGATGTATTGTTTTTATGGAATTAAAGGTTTTTTTTTTCAGGCTTTTTGTTCCAGATGGAGTTTATGGCCATGGAGAAAGGTAGAGTAAAGAGGAAGACGGAACAGATGGATACTTTTCATTTGGAAACAAAGATGGAAGGCGTGAAAGGATTGGGCTGGCAGGTGAGGCTGTGAGTTTAAGGAATTAAAACAGAACATAAAAAAGGAGAAGCAGGTGTTTAGTTGTTAGTTTGTTCCATCACCAGAGACTATCTATATGGATCATACTGAACAACATAACTTACCAAAGACGACATAAACAGAACTGAAGAGCCCAGAATTGGCACTTCTACAAATACAGAGCATTTCCATTTAGATCATATTGGACTAAGGAAGCTTACAACGCTCAATATTGATATCTATTGGACAATTCATACACCATAACACTCCAGGCTTTGATCCAGGCCCTCAAAATACCCAAACTACGTTATTAGAGGTTTTACCGGCTAGGAGAAGGCCAAATTAAAAGGGCGGAGCGTCCATAGGTCACTCTTAAGTCCTATGTCGTTGGTAGCACTTCATCCCACATACTCTAAATGTATAAATGGATAAATGCATAAATGAAGCCCTGATAAGGAAAGATAAACAAGGAAAGCCCAAACTCACCCAGTCAGCCTAACAATCCCTCATCTATCTATTTCCTAAAAGTACCTAACTTTAAGAAAAGACAAAGTAGTCTGTTAGCTGTCCACCAACCAGCAACCAGTAAACACCAACTATTCACCCATTACTAGAACTACGACGGCAAACAAACCCCAGAATAAATCCATAAAATGCAAGAAATTTACTTTAGTTTCCACTTCAACGTTTTCCCTCACGACGTAACCAAACCATCCAGCCACTGCCCTTTCAGTACCACTTACAGAGAAACACACAATAAATTCCCCCAATTCCACCGAAAACCACCACAAACCCCAAACCATCCCCCTTTCCAATCCCCCTTTCCAATTCCCCAAAACATCCCATCCCAGTTCCCTCAAAACCTTTCCAAACCTCACCAAACCTTATCCATCACCATCGACCCACCTCAACCTGACTCCACCAGACCTTCCGAGTCCAGAAACAAATAACCAAAAACCAATGAAAATTAAAAAAAATAGAAGAGGACCACCCAAACCTTCCAATTCCAATAAACAGTCACATAAATCACCCTTAAATCTTGACCCCCACTGTTTACTTCCTTCTACATCTTCTACTTCCACCTCTCATCAACCTCAGACTCACAAAAACCACCGAAACGAACAAACCACCAATTGTGCCCCCCACTTGTTCCCCCACTTGTCCCCCAAACTCCCCCAAACCTACATATAAGCAAAAACAGACCCTCCAAAACCCTATCACCAACTCCCGCCCCTTCATCCTCCTCCAAAACCAACACCTCCACCACGCCCCGGACTTCTCCTAACATACGGCTCGGAGTGTCAGAGTCCGCTTCGCTTTTCGCAGCCATTTGACGTTTTCTTATATGCAGGTCATTAACCTCAGCTCCAACAACCCTCCGTCAATCCTGCAAAACCAAGGGGGTTTTGAATTTTTGAGGGTGAAAATGGGTGGAAAACCACCCAAATAACCCCAATATCTGCTTAGTTTTCAATAGTTCCCCCTGGGTGGGGCTCGGCCAGTGGGCTACCTAGTCCGAGGTCACGTGCGCGGAAGTGCACCTCCGAGCATCCCACCCAGCGCGGAAAAGTCCATCCCGAAATATCCCAATAATCCTCCATCAACACTTCTTCTATTCTCCATTTACCCAATGCTTAGAAGTGCCGTTCGTACTAAAATCAACCCGGTCAGGGCCATTTCTGCCTCCAGGCTGTTGGCTTCCCAGGCCCTGGACCTCGTCCTGATCGACCTTCCTGCGTCGTCTTTTGAAGGCTACAAGCTTGACCAGATGCCAGAGTTGACGTTTGAAACCGAAAAGGACACGCTTCTTCAGATGTACAAGGATATGATCATCATCAGAAGAATGGAAATGGCCGCTGACGCTTTGTACAAGGGTAAGAAAATCAGAGGGTTCTGCCACTTGTCGGTGGGCCAGGAGGCCATTGCTGTGGGCATTGAGAGTGCCATCAACCATAAGGATACTGTGATCACGTCGTACAGATGTCACGGGTTTGCGTTCATGAGAGGTGCTTCTGTCAAGGAGGTGTTGGGCGAATTGATGGGTAAGCGTTCGGGTGTGTCTTACGGTAAGGGTGGCTCCATGCACATGTTTGCTCCTGGCTTCTATGGTGGTAACGGTATTGTGGGAGCTCAGGTGCCGCTTGGAGCTGGTTTGGCTTTTGCTCATAAGTACAGAGGCGAGAAGAACGCTACGTTCACGTTGTACGGTGACGGTGCCGCCAACCAGGGTCAGGTGTTTGAGGCCTACAACATGGCCAAGCTCTGGGACTTGCCATGTATCTTTGCATGCGAGAACAACAAGTACGGTATGGGTACTTCAGCTTCGAGATCGTCTGCCATGATTGAGTACCACAAGAGAGGTCAGTACATTCCTGGTTTGAAGGTGAACGGTATGGACATCTTGGCGTGCTACCAGGCGTCCAAGTTCGCCAAGGACTGGTGTGCCAACGGTAACGGTCCTTTGGTCATGGAGTACGAGACCTACAGATACGGTGGCCACTCCATGTCTGACCCAGGTACCACTTACAGAACCAGAGAGGAGGTGCAGCACATGAGATCGAGAAACGACCCAATTGCCGGTTTGAAGGCGGTTCTTTTGGACTTGAACATTGCCGACGAGGCTGAAATCAAGTCTTACGACAAGGCTGCCAGAAAGTACGTTGACGAGCAGGTTGCTGCTGCTGAGGCCGATGCTCCTCCAGAGGCCAAGATGTCTATCTTGTTTGAGGACGTCTACGTGCGTGGCACCGAGATTCCTGAATTGAGAGGCAGAATTTCCGACGATACTTGGAACTTTGAGAAGAACGACTTTTCCAACCACGTTTACTAAGCGAGTAATAATGTCAATGAACAGATAGATGAAAGACGACTGGCCCCTCATGGCTTCCGACTGACAGCCTACCGGCTGTCAGGAGGGAGTCAGGAGGTGACCAGGAGGTGGCCATATGCTCCACCAGTAGATGTAGAATTGTTTTTGGATGCTTGATTACTCTGCTTCCCTCCACCCTCCTGCCTCCCCTTAAGTATGCGTTTTGCAGCCAACGCCAACTCCACGAAAAACGGTCCCACGAAAAAACCAACCACACCACCGTACTCCCCTCCTCTCCACCAACCCAACGAACCCCTTAAACCCCCCAAAACACCACTCCTTCACCTTTTTACTGACCCTTCTCTGTCCATCGCTACTCATCCAAGTCACGTGCGCTCATCACCAACTTTCATCTACCAACCTACTTCCCATCTTCCCATTGCCATGTCTGAAAACCAGAAAAACGGAGGCTACTCCCAAAAAGAGCTAGCTGGCGTGGCTCTACTGAGCGGCCGCAGGCTGCTGGTGCAAAATGAGCCAGATTCGGCGCCTGCTTCGATGGCTGGACACATTACTATGAAAGAGATGGGTTCTCGAGCCAGAACGGAAGAAGACACTGAAAAACGGGTGGCCAGGTCGGCAGAATCCGAAGACCAGCTAATAAAGCCTTCAAATAACCTGCTAAATCTCGAAAGAGACCTCAATTTCGAAGATATAGCGTATAAACCAACCACAGAGGCAGATGCACAGGCGTTTGAAGCGTTTACGGCTGGAATACGACACCATATCCCTGACCAACCACATAGTGTGATTCTTTCGGCTGCCGATACGGTGCTTGAGGTGTTGAAGGATGAAAGCAAGGGTGCTGGCGTGAAAAGGGCCGAAATAGAGGACCTACTCTCGGTGAAGCTTACTGAGGATGAGCTTTCTGTGTTGATTAGGCTTTCACAGAAGATCACAGATTACGACCAGAAGGAGGAAGGTGCTGGGGAAAACGGCGCCCAGGCCGTGGGTATCGAGTTTGAGGAGGAGAACGAACAGGAAACACATACTAATGTGGTGGTGGAGCCTGAAGCTGGAGTGGAAAAACAGGAAACCGAGCCTGTGCTTCAGGATTCGCTGTATGTGACGGTTCAGGCGGGGGAGACGCCGAAATCCACGATTTTGCCTTTGCTGGAGATCAAACGTGACTTCATGTATAATAGAGTGGCTGCCGTGGAACCAGAATGGGAGCCTGAGGCTGTTCGAGAACAGTGTAAGAAGATTACGAAGGTTTTGTTTGATAGGAACGTTCCGTCTGGCGAGCTTGAAACGAGGCTTATGGAAGCTACCGACTTTAAACACCTCGAGTTGGTCAAACTATGCATAGACAACAGATGGAAGATCATGTTCCAGCTACAAGCGCTTAGTGGCGAGAAGGAGAAAGCCAAGGCGGTTGAGGAAATGAAGGAAATGGGGCTCCATCTGCTTCTCCAGGAATTTGGCGTGGCTGTGGATCAGTCTAGGAAAAGAAGAGCTTCAGAGATGGAGGAGCCAGTTAAAAGGACAAAACCTGCTGAAGCTCGTAAACCGAAAATTGTCGATTTGGAAGGGCTTGTTTTCGAACAAGGAGCTCATCTTATGGCCACTTCCAAGGTCAGTCTTCCGAAAGGCTCGTACCAGCAGAACAAGAAGCTTTACGATGTTATTTCAGTTCCAGCGCCAGAAGGTCCACCTTCGCTAGAATCGACCAACGAGTCGCTTGTTTCGATAAGTGAACTTCCCCAATGGGCCCAGGCGGCCTTCCCATCTGGAGAAACCCAGTCTTTGAACAGAATCCAGTCAAAAATCTACCCCCAGGCGTTCCAGAGCGACGAAAACCTTCTTCTTTGTGCTCCTACGGGTGCTGGTAAAACCAACGTCGCCATGCTTACGTTTCTTCGACTTTTATCGAACTACCGTAACGACGAAACGGGCCGTATAGCGTTAAAGTCGTTCAAAGCAGTCTATGTTGCACCTTTGAAGGCTTTGGTTGCAGAACAAACAAGAGAGTTCCAAAGAAGACTCACTTCACAGTTTGGCGTGGTGGTGAACGAGTTCACTGGTGATTCCAGTCTTAGCCAGAAAGAGATTGCAGAAACACAGATCCTCTTTACGACGCCTGAGAAGTGGGATGTGGTTACTCGTAAAGCTACAGAATCCCTGTACGCTCTGCAAGTGAAGCTTTTGATTATTGACGAGATTCATTTGTTGCACGACGATAGAGGGCCTGTTTTGGAGAGTATCATTGTCAGAGCAAAGAGATCTCCAGATACAAGAATCGTTGGGCTTTCTGCGACTTTGCCGAATTACGAAGACGTTGCACGGTTTATTGATGTTGATTTACAAAAAGGGCTCTTTTTCTTTGACGCCCTGTACCGTCCTTGTCCTTTGGAACAGCAGTACGTTGGAATTAAAGAGAAGAAAGCTATCAAGAAGGTTGCAGCCATGAACGAAGCGTGCTACGATAAAATGAAAGAAAGCATCAAAAACAACCACCAGCTTATCATTTTCGTTCATTCCAGAAAGGATACGTTCAAAACCGCTAAATGGCTTGCTGAAAAAGCCCAGGAAGAGGAAGTCAGTATCGCCAGTTCCAGCGCAGGAACCCAGGAAATCCTTCGCCAAGAAGCCGAAAACGCCCACAATAAGAACTTAAGCCAGATTCTCTCTTCTGGCTTTGGTATCCATCATGCTGGTCTTAAAAAGGAAGATAGAGGCACTGTGGAAGACCTTTTCGCCCAGGGCCACATTCGTGTACTTGTTTCTACAGCCACTTTGGCGTGGGGTGTCAATTTACCTGCCCATACCGTTGTTATCAAAGGTACAGACACTTATTCTCCAGAAAAAGGCGCCTGGGTCCAGCTTCTGCCCCAGGATATCCTCCAGATGTTGGGTCGTGCCGGTAGACCTCGTTACGACAAGTCTGGTGAAGGTGTGATCATCACAGCACACGACCAGCTTCAGTACTATATGGCAGTGTTGAACCAGCAGCTTCCAATTGAGTCTCAGCTTATGAGCAAGTTGGCAGATAATGTGAATGCAGAGATTGTTTTGGGCCAGGTTAAGTCGTTGAACGATGCGGTGGAGTGGCTTGGGCTGACTTATTTGTACATTCGAATGCTCAAGTCGCCGAAGTTATACCAGGTTGGCGCTGACTACGCTGACGATAAGGCGTTGCACTGGAAAAGAGCAGATTTGGTGCATTCTGCGTTTACTATTTTGGATAACCACAAATTGGTGAACTACAACGCTGAAACGGGTCTGGTTATCCCCACAGAATTAGGTAAAATCGCTGCTGGGTTCTACATTGGCCATTCCACCATGTTCATGTACCACAACAAGCTCAAACCGTGGATGTCAGAGATTGACGTTCTTCGGATCTTTGCGTCTTCAGACGAGTTCAAGTACGTGCCAGTGAGACAAGAAGAGAAGCTCGAGATTGCCAAACTTGCTGAAAAGTGTCCCATTGCCATTAAAGAAGCTCCCAATGAACCTTTGGCCAAAATCAATGTCTTGCTTCAAGCGTACATTGCACATCTTCAACTCGAAGGGTTTGCACTTATGGCTGATATGATTTACATCACCCAGTCGGCAGGCCGGTTGCTTAGAGCCATCCACGAGATCTGTTTGAAGAAAATGTGGGCTTCAGCTGCCACTATCACGTTGGAGCTCTGTAAGATTGTGGAAAAACGGACCTGGAACACCAGTTCTCCATTCAGACAGTACGGAAGTTTGGTTCCCTTTGAGATCATCAAGGCCACGGAAGCGTCCCATTTGCCTTTTGTCAGTTACATGAACCTTAACGCTGCTGAACTTGCAGAGGCATTCAACTTCAAGGGCCAGAGCCAGTTGGCGTACAGTTTGCTCCAGAATTTCCCGAAATTGGACATCAAATGCAACGCCCAGCCTATTTCTCAGGACACTTTACGTATTCTGGCGGATATAAACCCCAACTGGGAATGGAACAGGACGCTTCATGGCTCCAAAGAGTCGTTTCTCATTCTAGTGGAAGACGTCAATGGAGAAATCATCCTACACAACGATGTCTTGCAAATCACGCCAAAGAACATCCACAGGACCATCGCTCTAGACATATTTGTGCCTATTTCAGACCCACTTCCTCCTAATTTATACTTAACTGCCGTGAGTGAAAAATGGCTCAATTGTCTGTGGAGACAACCGGTCGAGATGTTCCACACACAGCTTCCCAAGAAACCTCTGTCTGCTACCGAGTTGCTTGACGTCCAGAGCATTCCTACTACAGCATTGAAGGACGAAAAGTTCGTGGATTGCTTCGATTTCATCCATTTCAACAAGTTCCAGTCGCAGGTCTTCCATGCTCTTTGGAACACCGAACAGAACGTCTTTTTGGGAATGTCTAAAGGTTCTGGAAAGACCGCTCTTGCCGAATTGGCTATACTTAACCACTGGAGACACAATAAGCAACGGTGTGTTTACCTCCAGCCGAGCCAGGAACTCGTGGATGCCAATCTTAAAGCATGGCAGAAGAAGTTTTCTCAATTGACGGACCCTCCAAAGCAGATTTCGAAGCTTACAGGTGATCTCTCTGCAGATATAAAGATCCAGGCCACGTCCCATTTGGTTTTGGCTACTCCAGTCCAATTTGATGCACTTACAAGGCGCTGGCGCCAAAGAAAGGCCATTACACAGATTGGGTTGGTTGTTGCAGACGATGCACATTTGCTTTCGAGTGGAGAACACGGCGGTGCAGCTTACGAGACGGTGCTTTCCAGAATGCGTTTAATGAGTGCCCATTTACAGCTGGAGCTTAGAATTGTGGCCTTGTCTCATCCACTTTTATATGGAAGAGACTTTGGCGAGTGGTTGGGATGCCTGAAACAGAATATCTTCAATTTTGAAGCTTACGAGCGGTCCAGGCCGATTAAAGAGATCAGGTTTGAAGCTTATACCGGTGCTCAGTATACTGTGCTGAACTGGCCCAAAGTGGCTGGCTTTTTGAAGGAAACTGAAGGTTCTTCGCTTGTTTTCGTGCCCAACAGGAAGATTCTCCATGAAGTATCGTCAAAAACTGCCGAATTCACCAAACCACATCCAGAAATTGCCAATTACCTGCTGAAGATCACAGATCCCGCTGCAAGAAAGCTTGTGGAGAAAGGAGTGGCTATTTTCCACCAGGGCTTATCTTCCAGAGACCAATTAATCATTACCAGGTTATTTACTGGCGGGTTCATCGAAACAGGCATTTCCACCAAATCCTTCTCCAAATACGCTCCTCTGGCTGCAAACGTGGTGGTTTTCGGGTCCCAGGACGAAGAGGTTCACCAGAACACAGACTACTACTTGAACGATATTCTCGAAATGGTGGGTGTTTCCACTGGAGGTAAAGTGCTTGCGCTTGTACATGCTCCTAGGGTGACTTACTATTCGAAGTTCCTTAGTGTTCGGATGCCTTTGGAGAGTTACCTCTATTCTGACCTTTACGATGCGTTTCTCCATGAAATTTCAGCCAGAACGTTCCATTCTCGCCAGGATTGCGTGGACTGGCTCACCTATACGTTCTTCTACCGTCGTTTGGTGCAAAATCCGAGCTTCTACGGATTGAAGAGCGTTGGCCATGTGGAAGTGTCTGAGTACTTGTCAGACCTTGTGGAGAACACATTGAAGGAGTTGGCAGACACTGGATTGATTGAAATGGACGAAGAGGAGGATGAAGACGACGAGGAAGAAGAGATGTCGCCATTGAATGGCGCCATGATTGCTTCTCATTATAATGTCAGTTTCTATACAATGAAGCTTTTCAACGAACTCAGTGCCAAATCTAGACTTCGTGATTTACTTGAAGCAATCACTTCTGCCACTGAATTTGAACTGCTTCTTTACAGACCAGGCGACGAACACACGCTAGCCCAGTTGGCTACAGTCGTTCCTTTCAAAATAGGCTCTGACGTTGTTTTGGAGTCTCCACAAACCAAAGCGTTCTTGCTTGTCCAGGCCCATTTATCTCGAGTTTCGCTTCCAGCCGACCTTGCCGACGACCAGAAACACGTTTTGAAGGCCATTGTGAACCTTGTGTTTGCTTGTGTGGACTCTCTTTCGTCTGAAGGCCACCTTAACGCTTTACAAGCAATGGATCTTTCCCAAATGATTGTTCAGGGCATGTGGAACAGAGAACTGCCGTTGAAACAGATCCCCCACGTCAACAACGGCATGCTTGAACGGTGTAAAAAGTATAACGTTGAAACAGTCTACGATATCATGTCTTTGGAAGACGAAGAGAGAGACGATGTGCTTCAGCTTGAAGATGAACAGCTCCAGGACGTGGCTGATTTCGTCAACAAGTACCCGAACGTGGACGTTTCGTATGAGCTTGATCTTGAAGAAGCTGTTGTTGCTGGAGAGCCCAAACAGATCACCGTGACGATTGAAAGAGACGAGGAGTTGGACGATCTCGATGTGGTTGCTCCACGGTTCCCAGGTGAAAAACGTGAAGGCTGGTGGGTGGTTGTTGGCGATGCCCAGTCCAGGCAACTCTATGGAATCAAGAAAACAACGGTTGTGCACGAAACACAGCTGGTGAAGATGGATTTTACTGTTCCTGTTGCTGGACATCATAAGTTGAGTGTTTGGTGTATGTGTGATTCGTACTTGGACGTGGATAAGGAGATGTCGTTTGAGGTGGACGTTCAGGATGAACAGTAGGGCAGGATTGAGGGGGACAGGGAAAAGCTATGGAATCTGAGGAGATGGTGATTGATATAATCGTCTGTTTGGCTTGGAACTTGGCCTTTTTTGGACTTTTGGTGGGGCCTTCTTATGTCCTTTAAGGAAGGTAGTACACCAGCAGTTCCAGAAGAAACTGGGCAGGTTTTGAGAAAGTAACAATTATTATAGACTTATGGGGCCTCAATTCGATCAAATAAATTAAATTGGTATTAATATCATACTTCTGTCTATTACCTGTTCTCTGTACTAGGTATATGCCAGTATACAGAGACTATGTACCAGATTTACATCTAAACACGCCCGAAAAAGAATAAATTGTAGTTTCTTCGTGCTTCCAGTTCCAAACTAAGTATACTTATAATCCTTAGAAACCAGCAAGTATTAAAACCAGCTCAGTTAGTGGCACCTCCCAATTACATACCATTAACCAGAAACCCCCAGTTAAATCCACCCCCACCCTGAAACCAAGCCAACCAAAGAGCCCAAACCATTCCTGACCCCCAAAATCAACCAATATCACCCTCCACTTCCACTTCCCGTCCTCCCTCCTTCCAAACCTCCTCATCTGATACTTTCCTCTGGCCAACCTGCTGAAACCACCCACCCCAGCGCTCCAAACCTCGCCAAAATTCGCCAAACCAACCAAAACCGGTACTTCCATCCAAATTCACCCCGAATAACCTCCCAACCACCTCCCAACCGCCGCTTCTGCCTCCCCTTGAATGGCTGCAAAATGGCACTTCCTGGTCCCTCGAAATGCAGGACACACACTATTAGTCATTCGCCAACCCCCAGCTATCTCCACGAAAAACCATCCAATCCAAAAACAAACAACATATCCTAAATCCCCGAGTCTCCCCGATTCCAATACACTAATTATTTTTGTTCTACGACCCCTACTTCGTCAGCTACACCACCTCCCCCAAACCACATCACGTGCCATTATCACCAAAATTGCACTCAACATCCATCAACTACTACTTCCACCACTTCCTTCCCAAAATGTCCACCAAACAGGTTCTCACGCCGTATATCAAGTCGCTCTTTCTCGAACCGCCAAACCTCACGCCAGACGATTTGAGCACCGTTCTCAGGTCCATGTTTCGTGGAATACCTTCGGATATCCAGCTGGCAGCGTTTCTTACTGCTTTAAGAATGAGAGGACTCGACCACGAGCCTGAGTTTATTGCCGCTGCTGTGCTGACGATATTGGAGTTTTCAGACTACATCTTGCCTGAACTTGTGGATAAAGACGGGTACATTGACATTGTTGGCACCGGTGGAGACGGACAGAATACCTTCAATGTGCTGACTTCGGCAGCTATTGTGGCTGCTGGAATGGGGCTTAAGGTGTGTAAGCACGGCGGGAAGGCGCTGACGTCGGCTTCTGGGTCTGGCGATCTTCTTAAGTGTTTGGGCGTGGACCTTAGCGTGGTGAATAATAAGACTACGCCTGAAATAGTGCAGAAAAGCAACTTCTGCTACTTGTTTGCGCCTTCTTTCCATCCTGGCATGGGCAAGGTGGCGCCTATACGGGCGCAGATGGGCATTCCGACGATATTTAACATTTTGGGCCCGCTCATGAACCCAATCCCGCTTCGAGCACGTATTTTGGGCGTCTACTCTGAAAAACTAGGTGAACTGTACGCTTTGGCGGCCGCTAAGCTTGCCCAGAAGAGCCCTACGCATGAACGCACGATGGTGGTTTGGGGAGAGGTTGGGCTTGACGAAATCAGCCCGATTGGGTCCACGAAGTGCTGGATAATCGATGAAACCGGCAGTATCACCAGAACAGTCATTTCGCCCAAGAACTTTAAGCTTCCTGACCATTCGTTGGAGTCTGTGCGTAGCGGTACTCCTGAACAGAATGCTGATATCTTGTTACATATCTTACGCCAGGATACGCCCGAGTACACTTGCAAGTCAATCAACCATCCATTGGTGGACTACATTTTAATGAACGCTGCAGCTGTGGCTGTGATTGCCGGGTTGACGGATTCCTGGGAGGAAGGTGTGAAGATGGCTGTTGACAGTCTTGTGCTGGGCAAAGCCGCCAAGGCGTTGGAGGATTTCAAGGCTGCTCTTAACGATGCCAAGACAAATGGCATTTAGGAACAGCGGTGATAGATAAAAATAATAGACAACAGAAGAAAAAGAGAGGTTTATTGGGTTAGGTGTAGTGGCAGGAGTTGGACTTACAGAAGTACTTGTTCTGGTTATTGGGGTTGTTTGTACTCTGAAACATGCTCACTCAATCTGAAACATGTCTGTGGGAAAGTGCCAGTTAAGGTATTCCAAAGGCCGCCAAGCGTATATCTATAGATAGAAGAATGTTCTGGGTAATTCCAGGTGGACGTGAATTGTATTCTGGGTGTTTTCAGTCCATGTGTTTCATGTTGTAGATCCTGTTTGGGCCATGTTTCAGAGTATAAAGTAGGTGCACTTATTAAACCTAAAAGGGTCTAAAAGGGCATCCAAACTCTCTCTATCACTTACTTCTAACCAAATTCAAACCATTTCTTCAGATCCTGGACTACTTAAGGTCGGTGGAGTCCACATGAGCTTATACTCCAAAGCATGAAAACCAGAAACTCAAAACCTACAAAGAAGACCTTCTTCAAGGTATACCCGGATGTGGGTCTCTTGCTTCTTATGAGATATTGGACGTTTCTGGCAACTCCGACTGAAGTTCTCGACAGGACTGGATTGACTCAAGCGGAAAGAATATGTCTAAACAAGGGTTTTAACAGTTGTTTAAAAGCAGCAAAAAATAAATGTAACGAATTATTTTTAGCCAAAATGGCTTATTCTGAAACTTGCAGCGATAAAGCTAGACAAGACTGTGGAAGGTCCCCAGACGTTTCGTGTTTGGCAGGTGATGTAACTCAAATTCAACACGAAATCAATAAATGTCTTCCAATGGATAAAAGAAGTCAGTACATATTCCGGGGAATGTTTTTCCAGGTTCTTTTCCAGTGGGGCATGACTCGGTGTGTTCCTTTCAACAGGTTCTACTCTCCTGTTTTATTTGCATATGTTGGTGTGCTTTGCTACAGTTTGGTTTGTTACTTTGGTGCTTTGTTTAAAGGGCAACGAGACGAAATGGCCTTGTACTGGATGGCTTCTTTAGTTATACTGGCAGTAGCATTAGTGAAGGCTGTATCCAGAAGAAGGGAAAATCAAGCCAAATTGAAGAAGGAATAGAGATGTTGGGTCAGAAAGAAGTCACTTACATAGTCTGGAAAGAGTAGAACAAAATGCCTTCAGATGAAGATGTGGATTATGTGTCTGTTGAAGAAGCTTCAAGCAGCTTAGTGGCCAGTAAAGAGGTTGATTTAGAGAAGGAAGGAGAAGAAGGAAGTAGAAAAAAACGGATAAGTTTTGGAAAGACTCAGAGGGTGTTTGGGCATACCTTCACCTAAATACCACCAAATACTGTTTTATTTATATGTTTAAAGAAACTGATTTAAAGAAACTAGTAGAGATAAAACTAGATTGTTCTTAGGCAACTATAGCATTTACTGGCATCTCCAAAAGAGCATATTCCACTTCTGGCAGTTGCAGTTGCAGTATATATCCACCTTCGTATCCACTTCCCACTATCATCCAACATACATGCAACTGTAAAGCTGCAGCAAAAATTGCAACAACTTAAAAGTGATTGGTGAAAGGTCTCTTCTCGGTTCTTAAGCAAATTATGCTACTTGACCTCTCATACGACTCGATCCAACTTGGAACCTGACATTGAAAAATGTCTAACCATGAAGACAAGAAAGCTATACATGTTTTGGTATTTATGTGCCCAAGCGATTGGACAAATGGGCATGAATGTGTGTGTCCCTTCCATAGACTGTCTTGATCCGTTTTTCGTTCTCTCAGCATATCTCATTATAACTTCCCTCAGTCTTTTGTTTTATTTCATCGCTTTACTTAAAGGGCAACGAGGTGACCTATGCTTACGTTGGATGGCATCACTACTTATCCTGGTAGCAGCCTTCATGAACAGTCTTAGTTTGCCACGGAAGATGACGGAAGAGAACAACTCAAACTCCGGAGATGAAAACAATGGTGACGATAAGGGGGCGCTTGACCGTTTTCTTTTAATGGTTAAAAAGCGCTTGACTTCTATGAGGAACAAGTCTTCCAAAGACCAAGGTCCAAAGCTACCAACGGTAAACCCTGAAAACAGTTCCAATTCCGCCTCAAGAAGTCAAATTAACGCTTCAATGGTTCAAAATGAGAGCAAGAAGCTTGATTCTAAAGACGACGGTCAAGAAAGCGAAGGAAGCATCAGAGATTTTGACCCGTTTAGTGAAAGGATCGGCGATGAAAGTGGAAGTGAATCCGAAGTAGGGAGTCCAGAATTTCCTCTCAGAAAGCAAAAGCATAAGACTCTTACAGTACCAAAGGATGGTGATAAGTTTTGGGAAGACCTCCCAGAGGGCACTTTGGATAGTCTTTTCAGCCAGGATGCCTTGTGGACTAGTCTAGCCCTGACTTCCAACAAATACCATGTGTTTGGTTGAAATATTGTTTAGTTTGTTATGAATAAGGCAAAATTGATTTTTAGGTATCAGTAGTATTAGGAAAGTTGACAGAATCAGGTCGACATTTAGGTAATTATAGTTGCACTTACCGCCAATTCGAAAAGATGACTGGTTTCAAATCCGGCAGTTGCACAGATAGTTACAGTGGCAGTGCAAAGGAATATATAATACATCCACTTATCCACCTCTCTCTACCATCCAACATGGATATAGCTGCGTCGTTCTTTTCGTTTGAAAAGTTTAAGGTAGGCGCCAGGACGCCCGGAACCATCTGGCTTCCAAAGCCAATAAAAGACACTTATGTGAGTCACACGAATAGAGTATATGAGAAGGATGGGTACATGTATTCAGGAAGCCGAGTTGTCGTCGAACTCGACAACCCCAATATAAGGTTGGAAATCGAAGAAAAGGTTACAAAGAAGTTTGGGTGGGAGCCAGACCTTTCAAAGGAAAGCTGCTATGCGGTTTATGCTGTTATCCACCCCAGCCAACTCTCTATACAAGAGTTCAGAACAGACAAGCAAGATAAGGCTTTTGGGAGGTGTGTGATGGTATCAGGACAAGATGTGTTTGCCTTTCTGACACTTGCCACAGAGATGCAATTATCGCTATTCTTGGATCAGGAGACCAAAAGTGATGACGGTCTGTTGACGCTACGAAGTGCTACTTGTCGCCAGACCAGCTTTGCACATGCTGAATACGAACCGGTAGTGTTGCCAGGACAGCAGGTGGCAGACAGTTTGGAGCTTGCATTGTACATGGAAGAAGGAGAAATGCCGGAGGTGACAATGACTGGAGTAAAGATAGCGTTCCAGGAGTTGAGCTCCACAACGCAAGCCACAAACAACCAAGTCAGCATAAAAAGATCATACTGTGAGTCGCCTTGTTTAGACAAGACAATGAAAGAAAAGCTATGCTTTGAAAAACAGAAAAACGGGACGTGGAAGTGCTGCGTGCCCCGTTCCTTCTACCAGTGTGTGTTGCCCAAGCTTGGACCCACGTTTTTCACCAACACTCAGTCCAGAACGTACTCTATTAAGGCAACCGTGCTGGTGGAATGTTCAGGAGTCTTCCAGGACCTAACAGTATATGAAGAAATCACTGTTGCCAGCACCATGTTCAGCAAGAAGCGAGAAAGCTGTCCAGGCCCTCCTCAAAGACAACGAGGCATCGTCCATATTGAAGAGGTACGTATGGGCCGTGTATTTGAGCTCGAAGAAAGTGCAAAACATGTTGAAAAGCTTAGGCAAATCGGGTATCAGTATATTTGCCAACGTACGGAAGCTATTAGTTATGATGATAAAGTGCGTGCCGTGAGTGTCATTACGGTGCTTCCCACAATGCTTGTCCAGTACAACCAGGAAAAGATTCCAAACAAGTTGCTTCGCTCCTGGGGGCTTGACAAGTTTGGGTCTCGTTCTTTAACAAAAAGATCAAAGGCGATGGTTTGTGAATATGCACCTGCGGATCCACCTTATGCGAAATACATGCTATACTCTGGTGAATATCTTGCGATTCCTGAGTTTAGCGCGTTTACGACCCACGGCTACTGCTATGGCTGTACCACGTACTCGAGGCCGTTTTTCTTCAATAAGAAAAACAAGCTTGTGGTGACGTTTGTCGGGGAGAATTTGAGCCGAGAGGAACCAGGCCATGCGGTGTTGCCCAATGCGAGACTTACGGATTTTCTCAGGATTGAGTTGTTTGATACTAAAGAACAGCCGTCTCGTCTTCATATTGACCTTCATGAGTATATCCAGGGGATGGCTTGAAGTATAGAGATATTTCAAGGACGAAAGTGCTTGTGGATGCGTTCAAGCCAATGTACGAAGAGTGTTTCATGAAAGGGTACAAGCAGCTGCGGCTGGTGTACGTGGCTGACCATAGGGCGTACGATGTGGCGCTTCCTTCGTTGGGGGCTTCTTTTTTTACTGCAACCCATTCACGGACGTATATGCTAACGATTGAGGTTATGGATAGGGAAAAGAAGTATAAGGTGTGGTTTCCTTTGGAGGTTGCAAGGATGGTAGTTAAGACTGTGAAGGAATAATAAAGGCTTGCTTTTGGTGATTTGGATTCTGTAGGGGCACTTATAGCCCTGGGTTTCTACCGTTATATGTCAAACGAAAAGTGGGCGTTTCGGGATGAAACGGCTTATGTAGGGAGCGAAAATGAGATGGTGGCTGCATTGAGCCTTAAGTAACAATCGTATATTCTTTGTTTTATCAATATATCTGAAAGACACCTTTTGTTGATGGTGTTTCAGCGTACGGCTGTGCAAGATAAGGTTTACTGATAAGACGCATGGAAGGTGTCTATATGCAGGTGACACAGAAATACATAGATAAGCTGTTCACCAGAAATCCATTTCAAAGAAGGGTATTTCATGAGTGGAAGGGTAGAGTGTTGTAGGAAAGGCTAGCTGGGGTTCTACACGCTATGAGGCCTCCTGGGCATAGGTTTTTATAAGGGAATTGAATATTCTACTTTGGTCCAGGAACCCAAGGCCTCTTTTTCCTCTATTAATCGCTCTGAAGGCCTTTAAGCTTGCTGATGATCATGAAATTGGATAAGAGACTTGGAATGACTCGTATTATGACTTCCCGTAGCAAGTGTATAGAAATACATTGCACTTCTCACTGAACTCAACTGGATGTACACCCAAAGCGTCATCAAAAGGCCCGTTTCCTTCCTTAAATGTATAAACCTTAAAATGATATTCATATAGCCCTTTAAAGTAATCCTGTGTTTTGTATAGTCAGGGAAAGCTGTAAATGGGGCAGGGTTTCACCAGTATACGACTGGACATCCAAAGAGGAACCATCCAGCTATTCAGGCCCTGCAAGGCACTTAAACAACCTTAAGAAGCTTTCAGCGCCTTCAGGATTATTCAAAGGAATGAGAAGTTTCCAGAAACAGACTTTCTGGGGCCCCGTTTAGCCGTGGTTCGTACATTCCCAGTACACTTCATCTAAGGCCAGCCAAAGGACACCAAACGTATTTTCTAGGATTGTCAATCCACATCATTTGATTTAAAAGAACTGAGTGACTTATTTGGACCAGCAAATGTACACTTTTCAAGTGAAGTTCACTGTATTGCTTGTTACTGGAAGACTAGTACTGATGGACAGCCAAAGCCACAGAATCCTAGTAAGCTCTTCCTGAAGCTACCGAGAACGTTTTAAACTGACAAAAGTTGTTTGAAAACCCAAAATACGCTGCTTCCTGGAATGCCAGTTCCAATTGGCCAATGCTTCCGTAGACTTGATGGTCCATAGAGAGGGCCAGTATTTGGCCTCAAAAAGGGCATATAATTTTTAGAAAAAGTACCAGGGCACTACCAGACACCTCTGGATTCTATAGAAATGCAAAAATCAGCTGAACTGGGGAAATGGTGCTTCTTTGGTGGCCCCAGTTTTACCACCACTTATACCTCTCAAGCAAGTGCCATACGTTTTCATGTAAACCGTGGATATAGGGGCAGCACAGCTCTAGGTGAGCTTTAACCGCCGAAACAACGAAAAATAGCCAACCCCGGACTCCCTACTGCATTTGACAGAGCAGCAAAGGGAGGTTATGTGGTTTGTGAAAATTCACGTGACGTGTCACGTGACTTTCCAACTACATCGCGACAACGCGCGATTCTCCAAAACACAAACAAACCCACATACTACTACTAATCTCCATGTTTGCCTCTTCGTTGGTGCCTCCCGAACGCAGCTCACGCTGGGAGTTCACGCCCATCGGCAAGCGGCGCCCGCACGAAAAAACGCCGCCAAAAGAGCCCAAAATGGCCATAAACAGCGACAAAATCTCCAACTCCCAGATCGATACCACTTTCGAAAACACAGACGATACTGAAACCCACCACCTGATGCAGCTGCAAACAATAGGCGTGTCGTCGCTCAACACAGCGAAAAATCCACGTCTGGGCGGGTTTTTGGACGGTTTTTTCAAGCAAAAGGACAAGATATTGGGCGATGGAGCAGGCCTGGCCCAGGAGATCACAGCACGGCTCGAGGCGCTCCAGCAGGAGAACTATAACTTGAAATTTGAAGTGGCCACGTTGACAAAGTATATGCGGAAGGCTCCCGAGGAGCAGCGCCAGATGGTGTATGAGAATATGGAGCTTAAGCAGAAGTTGGCTAGGGCGATGGAGGATTTGGAAAAACAGCCTGCGGCGGCGGTTGCGTCGTCAGGGAGCCCTGAGCGGGCGATGGCGGCGATGAAACTGCTGTATAAAGAAGCATTGGGCGAGAAGGATGATATAATTGGCGACTTGAAGGCCCAGGTGGCCCAGTTGCAGCTGGAAGTGCTGGGGAAGAGCAAAGTGCCTGGCGAGTTGTATGAGCGGTTGGAATCGCTCCAAAATGATAACCAGCTGCTTCGCCGGCAGTTAACGGATCTGGCGAGCCGTCGGGATTTCAGCCACAACGAGCTACAAGAAGAGAATAACGAATTGAAGGCTCAGGTGCACCAGCTACAACTCCAGCAGCTGAAGGTGCCTCTGGACGCGAACGAGCAGATTGGCAGTTTGGAAGGTGAGTGTAAAACGCTTCAAAGGAAGCTTCGTGAGGCAGTGGACGATTTACGGCTGGTCGAGGGCCAGAAAGAAGCCTTGGAGCTGAAGCAGAAGGCTGTAAAGAGCGAAACACAGGCGCTCGAGCAACGCATCGATTCGTTGGTGCACGAGAAAAAGACGTTACAAGATGAAAAGGACTCGTTGGACGCTCTTGTCAGGCAAATACGGTCCCAGGCGCCTGGAAAGGAGAAACAGATTGACGAATTGCATGCCCAAATGAGCAAACTCAACGCCAGCACCAGCAGACGCGACGCACAGCTCAAGGAGGCCACCGCTGAAGCCAGAGATCTTCGAACTCGTTTGCGGAGCCTTGAAGATGATATTTTAGAGAAACAGCATGAAGTGGATCGTCTTTCTCGCAAAAACACACATCTCGAGAAGGAACTAGCGTCTAACAACTCGCTCGACCGGTACAGGCCTTTAGAAGATACCAACAAGGCCTCTCAAGTGTTTGAAGAGCAGATAGACGAGTTGCACAAGAACTCACAGAGATTAAAAGCAGAGAAGCGTGATCTTGAAGATATTATTGCTGAATTGGAAGATAAGTTGGCCAGGGGCTCTCATCTGAAGAACGACCAGCAACATGTCATTGACGAACTACATGAAAGAGTTGATTTCTACGAAAAGGAGTACAGCAGTCTCGTGGACGAGATGGAGAGAAACTCTATCAAATACGACTCGTTAAAGGAAGATCTCGATGCCAAAGAGCTCCAGCTCGAACATCTCAAGGCTGAATTGAGAACGGCCCAGCGTGAGCTGCAGAGAACCGATACAAGGTACTACGAGCTTGAAAAGAAGCGTGACGAAGAGAAGGTGTACCGTCTTGAACGCCAAATCGACTCCTTGAGCAGCCACAACAGGCAGCTTGAAAGAGAAATGGAAGACGCCAAGAGAGCTTCGGATCTTATTGCCAAAGAGAAGGATCGTCTTGTTTCTGAAGTTCACGATATGGAATCAAGGATCAGAGATAACAAGCTTTCCCAAAGCAAGCTTGAAACGACTGTGAGAGATAAAGAGGAGGTGATTGAAGCGTTGGAGTCGCGTCTCAGAACTGTAAGCAGAGACTACAGAGGTAAGAGTTACGTGGAAGAGTCGTATGGGGCCAAGGCCGAGTTGAACTACGAGCTTCAGTCTCTCCAACGTGAAAAGGAGCGCCTGGAGCGTGAATTGGAGAGGTTGCAGAAAGAACTCAATGATCAACAGCGTTACTATGAAAATAAGCTTGATGTGTTGAAGGAACGAGCCAGGGTTGAGTCTGTTCCAGACGATTCGGCCATGGTTGCGCTTCTAGAGAGCCAGCTCGAGGAAGCCAAGCGTGAGATCAAGGCGTTGGAGGTGAAGCAGAACGAGGCAAGAAAGAATGACGTTTCTGCAGCTTTGGATGATTATAGAGACCGAATCGCCGAGTTAGAAAGCCGAGTGACGAGTTCCCAAAAGGATAAGTCGAAGCTCAAGGAAGTGATCGATACGATGGAGACGGAAATGAAGATTTTGGCGTCTGAGAAAACGCTGTTGGAGGTTCGTGCAAGAAACTTGGACCTGGAGTTGACCAAAACCACACGCCATTGCAACAGGCTTGCAAGGAAGATCAACGACATTGATTCGGTTGAATACAAGAACTCCAATAAGAACGCCGAGGATATTTTGAGAGCAAAAAAGACAAATGCTCAGCTTCAAGCGCACATTGACTCGCTCAATTCGAAACTAGCGCAAGCATCCATTTCCAATCCTTTCAGTGCTGCTCCCAAAACGCCCAACCGCCGCAGTTCAACCGAGCAAAGACTCCAACAGAACGAGCTTCTTTACTACAAAGCGAAGCTCTTTGAGATTCAGAACAAAGCCAAAGATCTAGCACAAGTCCATTCCATGGTGATGTCGTCAGTACGCAACGCCGACGCCGAGTTCCGCAACGAGCTTGCCAAAACGGCGCTTCTAGGCGTTTATCCAGAAGTCGAACAACGCCAGGCCAAGAAACCCACATTTAGAGTCGTGGCCCAGTTTGTGTTGGCAGCAGTAAAGATGAAAAGAAGACAAGAACGGGCCGAGGCCCGCAAGCAGCAGCTCCTCCAGCTTCGAGAGGAGATTGAAAAAGACCGGATCACGTTGCTTGCCGAGTGATTCACTTTATAAATTAATGCCTAATTAACGCACAATGCGTCCAATGGGAGTCTGGTACTTTTCCAGCGACATCTGGCGAGTTCTGCCGACCTGCGGCGTATGCAACGCTGGGTACTCGTTCAGCTGTTGATGATGGTGGTGGCTCCCGCTTGTAGAACGCATCCTGACGTTGCTGAATGTATGGTTTACCGGAAAATCACTCGTCACATTCAGCCAACTATCTGAAACATTGCAATTGTCGTTTGCCAAAACGGAAAACTCCGCGTTATACCCGTTCGACAAAAAATCAGTCAACGAATCGTCCCCCATGCCGCTATGAAGCAGTTTAAGAATCGTCTGGTCAGGGATTTTCTTCACCTTAGCATCACTTCTCAACTGGTCAGTTCCCAAATCCGTCCAGATCGGCTGGCGCAAGAGATTCTTGTTTTTATTGACTTTGGAGCTGAACGTGGCCAGATTGAGTGGAATTGCACCGTCTTCTTCTTCTTCTAGCAAGAACTGGGGAAGATATTGGCAGAAGCCTGGAAAAGCAGGGTTGTATCGATTTCGTCGTAGGGCACGTGATAATTCCTCCAGTCTTCCATGAACGTGACTTGGTTCGGGTGGGAGAAGTGGATGCTCGAGTAGACCGAGTCTTTAGACATGGCTGGAGGAAGAAGTGGGGGAATTGGGTTGTTGGAAGTTGTGGATTTGGAAAGTGTTGATGTTTGGTGGTTATATGCAGGAATGGTTGCAAAAAAGAAGGATTTGGGTGGAAGGAGGCGAGAGAAGGTTGATGTGGTTAAAGGGAGGCAAAGGAGAGGCCCCTGGAGGGTAGGGGAAGACGAGGGAGTGGCTTGTTTGGTGGGTTTGGGGGTGTGTAGGGAGTTGGCTGGGAATGTATGATTTAGTATGGGAAAGACTGAGAAACTGGATGGGTAAGCTAAGTTGGGAGATTTTGAGGAAAAGAGAGATATAATGACTTTCTGGTGTTCCTGGGAAAGCAAGGAATCTGGTGATATCTTTACTTTTTTAAAAAGATGACTCTTCGTGGAATTGGCGGTGGGTTTCTCTGTGTAGCTTTGGCTGCGAAAAGTGTTAAGTATGGGAAGCAAGCAAGCATGGGTTTTTCCGGTGAAATGAGTCAATTTCAGTGTAAATTTGATTTATTTCGGTATATTTGGCTGCTTTTATGCTATTGACGACTTTTGGTTGGTTTTTGATGGTAGATGGTCGTTTTGGCGGTGGGTTCTTCTTCTCGTAGTAAGCTTATATGGTGAAGACAAGAAGGGTCAGTGAAAGTTGGAACGGCTTTGTCTTTTAGAAACAATGTGTATTTTTATGGTTATTGGAGCTGCTTTGATTGTTTTGGGTGGTTTTTGTTGAGTTAAGTTTATGGAATACGTATACTGTTCATGGTTGACTGAAGGATAATTAATTGTACTTATGTTCACTGAGATGAGGATTGGAAGGTGGAGGGAGGCTGGGAAGAGAAGGTGAAAGGGATGGCGGTGGGTTGAAGAAGAGTATTGAGCTTTTTGGACGTTTGACGGACGTTTGGTGGACATTGGAGGTTTGTAGTGTTCATGGATTGGCAAAAGGATGTATAGAAGGTGGATTCTCGACGGGTTCGTTGTCTGAAAGTCATTGAATTTGCTTGGCTTCAAGGAAATAACCTTGTTTTTTATTGAAGTTAAATGTATGGTTTCTAGAGTTCAGGTTCTGGGATTTGTCCATGGAAGTGGTATGTGTTCAGTGAATGAGGTGGAGAGAAGAGTAAGAAGTAGAGTGTAAGTGTACTGGTGGAATGGTGGAAGAAGGGGAGTGTTTTTTGAGGCTTTATTTTGATATTTGGATGATTTGTAGTGGGTATTGGTTGGGTAAATGACGTAAATGGTGTCTAAGTATGTTACTTAAGGAAGGCTAGGGGAGTAAGTAATGAGTGTATAGTGGTTTCACTCTTTTTGAGCAATAACAGAAAGATGGGATATTGTGACTGAATTAGCTGACGAATCTTTTAGTAGAAGTCATTTTTCTTGGAAATCAGTTTGTAAGATGGCCTGGTTAGAAGACATGGTGAGTGAGCTGGAGGTGAAGGATATACTATTAAGTTACAGGTTTTCTACAGTAGGAATAGAAAGAATGTAAAGAAAAGTCATCTGATCAAAATAAGGAGAATAAATGGACTTTAGCCTTCCAAAGTACGTTCTTTGCTTACATGTGGCTTCTTGTCTGTTCTTACTAAGAAGGGCAGTAACAGTCAGTGGGTAGTAACAGTCAAAGGAAGTAAAGAGTTGACGTGGGTCCAGAACGCCATTCCAATTGAATAAATGGCCGATTTTGGGGGAAATCTACGTAGAATGAGTAATTACTGGTAACTTCTGCTCTTCACTCTATGGCCAATTTGAGTAAGTCATGAGCAGTAATAAGTAACCCACCAAGAAGGCCACACAAGAACATTTTGACTGCAATTGACCTTTATTTTACATAAGAAACAAGAAGAAACTTTATAGAAATTAAGTTTCCTTGCTTTTTGTCAAAAATACAGCTTCTTTCAGTAACACCTTCTTCCTTCCACACATAACCTCCACTTACTCCCACTTCTCCAACCAATTCCACCAAAAACAACCCAAAACAGCCCAATGCCGTTTCAGAAGCATCCAAGTAAACAGAATATGTACTTACATTCCATTACTGAATCCCCTCTATTTGTGTACTTCCCTCTTGCTCCTCCACCAGCCAAACTAACCCTCCCCTCCATTAAACAGCCTTCAACGACCTCCCCTTGCTTAAACTTACATCAACGCACCTTCTGCCCTCCCTGGACCTTCCTTTCCTGCCAAATCCAGTAACATTTTCCCTCCACCTCCCATCCTTCCACTTTCCCTCCCAGAAACCCACCTCTATAAATCCTCCCACCTTCCCTTCTTCCTCCAAGTCCCAAAATGCCTAGAACCCAAACCAACTGGCCTTCAACAATCACCAAACTCTTCACAGTCCTCCTCGTCCTCCTCTGCCTTCGTCTCCAGCTTTCCCTTCTCGTTCCCAGCCGTGCCAGCCAAATCACCACCTTTTCCCTTCCAAACAACATATCCTGGCAAGACTACTCAAAGAAGCTTATTCGACAACTCGAAAGAGCCTCTCCTGGGTCTACAAACACCATGGCAGTGGCTCTCCTCGAAGAGTGGCCTTTTGAAGAAACACAATACACATTCTATCCATTTGGCTATTGCAGAACAGAACCTCCAAAGTGTTTCCTCGGTTTACGTCACCCACTAAAAGAAATCATGCTTGACGTGGCTTCCACTATAGCACAAGCGCTGGGGTTCCTGAAGTCTCGTCGCTGGGAGTTGGTTGACTCTTGGGACGATACATTGACTCTGGCTTTGGAGAATGAGCTGGTGAAGGATAGTACTGATCAAGTTATAGAGGTTTTTAGGAGTTCCAGTTCTTTTGAGCTAGTTAGGCTTCTTTTGGGTATTCTGGTTGGTTCTTCGTGGATTGCGTTTTGCTTGATGTTCTGGACAACCAAAGAGTATGGGAAGTTTATGAAAACGTCGGTTTTTTGTTTGGTTTGTTTGTGGTTGGGCTATGGCGTTCCCCAGGGATGTGAGTTGGGCGTTGTGAAGAGAAGTGATGTTTCTGGAGACTTTGGCGGTGTTTGTCTTTTGCTTTTGGCAGTGGAGGTGGTAGTGTTTGGTGTTCTGAAGTTGATGGAAGGGGGAGAGGAAAGGGGAGAGGACGAGGAGGGAGAGGAGGAAACAGAAAACCAAGAAGAAAGAGTACCAAAAGTGACTGAAGTGACTGAAGAACCAAAGGAAGCGGAAGTGCCAGAGGAAGCAGAATTACAAGAAGTAAAGAAAGTACTGGTTTCAATTCCAGTGGAGAGTTCTTGGGAAAATGACAGTAGGGCTTGTATGAAAGCGAAGGTGATTGAAGAGATGGTGGAGAAGGCGAACAGGAGAGGTAGAGGGAAGTAAGTAAAGTGGAGGTTTTGAAAAAGAACGGAGTTTGTGGATCCAGTTATGTTATTTGAAGAAAGAGTTATGTGTTAAAGAAGAAAGGTTTATGGATATATATATGGATGAATGTATATATATTGTTTGAGGAATAGATATGGTCCCATGGATATACATATTTCATTTAAAGAAAAAGAGGTTTATGGACATACATACATGTAGTATTTGAAGAAAGAGAGGTTTGGATTTACATATTTGAAGAAAGAGAGGTTTGGATTTGAAGAAGAGTTCTATATATGATAGTCATATGGATATAGGGATATTATTTGAAGAAAGAGAAGGCCATGGATATATTCATATAAGTATTATTTGAAGAAAGAGTGTTATGGATATATTCATATAAGTATTATTTAGGGAAAGATAGTCCTATGGATATACATATATTATTCAAGAAGAGTTCTATATATGAAGACAGTCTTATGAATATAGGGATGTTATTAGAAGATAAAGCCATGTATATAAATATGAGTTATTTAAAGAAAGAAGATCCTTGTTTGAGAAAGAGTGTTATTTAAGGAATGAGTGTTATGGACATACATATAGTGTTTGAAGAAGGTATATGAAGAAAGATAGGCATATTGATATACATGTATTATATTTGAAAGAAGAGTTTTATGGATCTATATACATATGTTGTCTAAAGACAGATAACGTTATGGATAAATAGACATATATGTTCCATTTGAAGAGAGATTGGTATGGATATACATACATACATACATCGTGGAAGAAAAGAGTTCTAGGGGTTAGAGTGTGTATTTCAGAATCATGTCTTCCAAGAGAGTACTACTTCTAGGAAGCAAGAAATAGGGTACGTATTACTTGAAGAAGTAGTGAAATAGAAGAGAACGTGCCATCAATTGTAGACACAGTATGTACTATTTGAAGGAATGAAGAAGTACAACTATATGTATTGTTTGTAGGTACAAAATTATGTACTATTTGAAGAAATACATAAGTACAAGAGTATGTAGTACTTAAAGATATTGAACAAAAGAGTATGTAGAAATGGAGTACAAGGGTATCCTCTGTTTCTGTAAAATATGTACTATTTGAAGTAAGATCATGGCTTTCAAGAGTACGTACTTTTAAAGCAAGATGTTGAATTACAGTACTAGTGGATATGGTGAATTACAAGGGTACTTAACATCTGTAGATATGGTGACTGTCAAGAGTACATGATTTGAAGATATGGTACAAGAAGGATGATACAGATATGGTGAAGTACAAGGGTATTTGACATTTATACATATGGTGAAGTACAAGAGTAGTTGATACTACTTAAAGTAAGATGTATTACTTGAAGTGAAATGAGTGGTTACAAGAGTATGTACTATAAGATGTGAATTACAAGAGTAATTTTCCAGTATTTCTAGTTCTAAGTATGCTTATCTTCAAGAGTATGTATTATCTGTAGATATGGTGGTTCCCAAGAGTAGTAGATATGGAATGATATGAGTATGTATTCTTTGAAGATATGATGAATTACAGTGAAGGTATTATCTGTAAATATGGTGATTTACAAGTATGTACTATTTCTAGGTGAACTGATCTTCAAGAGCAGTATTTATTATCTGTAGATATGATGAGTTACAAGAGTAGGTATTACTCGAAGATGGAAAAGGATATGTATTACTTGAAGTAAGATGTGAAGAAGTGTACTATTTGTAGATATGGAAAAGGATAGGTATGATTTGAAGATACGGTGAAGTACATAGGCATGTCTTACTTGAAGAAGATGTGAGTTACAAGAGTATTATTAGTAGAGAATGCATTACTTGAACTAAGATGTACTTACATGAGATAAGATGTGAAGTACAAGAACAGGTATAATTTGAAGTAAGATGTGACTTAGAAGAGTATGTTTCTAGAGAGAGTGAAATACAGGGTATCTTCAAAAGTATACATCTCAAGACCATCTATTCTTCAAGAGTATTATATTTCTAGACCATCTAATCTTCAAGAGTATGTATTATCAACAGTATTTATAGTTCCATTAATAGGTATGGTGATTACCAGAGTATGTATTATCTGTGAATGTGGTGAACAAGAATATGTATTACTTGAACTAAGATGTGAATTACCAGAGTATGTATCATTCGTGGATATGGTAATGTACAAGGGTATGTACTACTTGAACTAAGATGTACTATTTGAAGTAAGATGTGACTTAGAAGAGTCTGTTTCTAGAAAGAGTGAAATACAGGGTATTTATAATTCTACGTATCCTTATCTTCATGAGTATTATACTTCCAGGTATGCTCTTCTTCAAGAGTAGTACGTATTATCAGTAGTTATCGTGATCTTCAACGGTATTTATAGTTCTATGCTTATTTTCATGAATATGTATTACTTGTAGATATGCTGATTTTCAAGAGTAGAGGATTTCAAGTACATGAGTAAGTATTACTTGTAGATATGGTGAAGTGGTATGTATTATTTGAAGATATGGAATGATATGAGTAAGTAATACTTGTAGATATGGCGACTTCCCAAGAGCATGTATTATTTGTAGATATTCTATTCCTTAAGAGTAAGTAACACTTGTAGATATGGTTTATTATTTGTAGATATGCTAATGGTCAAGAGTAAGTAATACTTGTAGATATGGTGATTCCCAAGAGTAAGTAAATACTAGTATATATGGAAAGACACGAGGAGTATTACTTGTAGATGGTCATTTCCATAAGCTGTGAACTACAGTAAGTGATACTTGTAGATACGGTAAATTCATGGGCATATATTATTTGTGGAAGTAAAGATAAAGACGGTTCCTGAGTTGGAGACTGCCGAGTCCAGAAACCTCTGAATATGATGCTTTGGCAAGTGCATGGAAACTGGATTTCAAGTATGAAGTTCAGTGACCAAAAGTTACCCCAGAAACACCCAAAAACGTCAAAACCACCAAAACAACCCCTCAAACCTTAATTCCCTTTATAACCAACTCCTTCTCTTTATGCCTGCGCTGGAACCTCACAGAGACTCTCAAAAAGCGTCTCCTTCTTCTTCATCCGGGTCTCGTCGTAGTTCGACGTCTTGACCATCTTGAACGCTCCTGTACCAATACCCATGGTCTGGCCCAAAATGATACACTCAGAAACACCCTCGATCTTATCGTTTTTCATGAAAAACGCAGCGTCAAACAAGTGGTCGGTGGTTTTCTCAAACGACGCAAGCTGCAACACTGAATCTCTCATTTTGGAGAGACCAAACCTGGTAATTCCCAAAACTTCTCCTTTATACGTCATCACATCGCCCAAAAGCTGGATATGTCTTGGATCCACGCTCATACCGTGCTTCGACATGGTGTAGTCGATTTCGCCAATGATGGACGACCTGGCAGCTTCAATTCCAAGCGTATCGTAAACCTCCAAAATATGGTTGGTGGTGGTTTTCGTGCCCACCACTCCATCTGTCGACATGACTTGTTTTAGGCCATAACCTTCCACCAAAAGCTCCTTCTTACTATCATCACGAATGTTGATAACTGCACGGGAAATGTTGGGAAGACCCTTGATAACCACATCGGGAAGAGCACGCTTGAGATGCTGCATTCTGAAGAAAAGGGAGGCGTTGGTTTCGGACACTTTATAGTCAGACTGGGCGGTTTTGGCGAGGTTCTCCAGTTTCAGCTCCTTGTGCGTCACCAACACGTTAATTCGGTCTTTTCCATAGAGGGAAACCTCGTTGTTGGCGATTTTGAGCCTTGGAGCGTTGGCAATGGCCTGGCGAATGTTATCCAAGGTCAATTCCAACTGGAGCTTCTCGATGGTTCTTGTATCGATTTTAATGGATAAAAAGGCCATATCGTTCTTGTAAACGTCTTCAATGTAGAAAGCAACGTCTCTGAGTAGCGTTTTCTCGATTCTGCCTTTAACCACACGTGCAGCGACTTCGTCGTCGTCGTTCACCAATACAGAATTAATAATAGGCGTGGAAATCACCTTGGCAGCGTTGATAATCTCTTTGATACGAGGCACACCCAATGTAACGTTCATTGAAGCCACACCAGCAAAATGGAATGTCTTTAACGTCATTTGCGTTCCTGGTTCACCAATAGAATGAGCTCCAATGGCGCCCACAGCCGTTCCAGGCTCAACCTTGGCTCGTTTGTACTTGTAGAAGCATTGATTCAAGAATTCAGAAACACACTTTTCGGAGATTTTGAGGAGTTGGTTGACGGCATGAGTGCTGGACGAGTCCTCTTCAATCTCCATATCATTAGATTTCCTCAAAAACGGCTGCAAATGCCTGTTTTCTCTGAATTGCGCAAGCTGGGACGCTTTCTTGAAGACATAGTCACGAAGCGACTTGTAGAAGTTTCTTTCAGCATCTTTCTGATCAATAAACTCAATTTTTTCACTCTTTTCACCCTCCACAACGTGCCCAAGGTTATCGTACCTGATAAGCCTCTCCTCCAACGGTCTAAGGACATTCTCCACCACCTCCATGATCTCATACGGCTTCAAAGACTTATCTTCAATCCTAAACGTCACGTTAAACGCATGGTCCCACTGTCTATTAAAGTTCACCGGCTGGGCATCGCCCTCCATGTCCAAAGGATCCAAACCGTCTCCTCCATACGTAAACTGGACAATACCATTGGACGAGTTACGCACGGTGTTGTCGTACAGCGCAGACAAGTCTTCAAGCGACTTCATAAGACGTCTGGACATGTAACCAGTTTCTGCGGTTTTCACAGCGGTATCCACCAACCCTTCTCTACCAGAAATAGCGTGGAACAAGAACTCTGGAGGGCTCAAGCCGCTGAAGAAGGAGTTTCTCACGAAACCCTTGGACTGGGGCGTTTTCGACATTTTCGTGAAATGTGGTAAAGACCTGTCTTGGAAACCATCGGGAACACGGTTACCTGAGATGATTTGTTGACCCACAACAGCCACCATTTGAGAAACGTTCAATGTAGAACCTTTAGAACCACAAGTGGCCATAATCAACGGCGAATTGAGCGAGTCAAGTTCTCGAATACACACGTCACCGACCTCTTCACGAACTTTCGAAAGCAAACCACTGATTTTCGCTTCCAACGTTTGTTCTTCGTTACAGCCAGGCTGCGTTTCCAATTTCCCACGGTTATAAAGATCAATAAGCTCGTCACACTTGGCATACGCCAGTTCAACCATATCTTCCTTCTTTGTCTTCAATTCAAGTCCTGGAGTGACATCATTAATGCCAATAGAGAACCCGTGGTTGCCCAAAAACCGTGCACAGAGCTTGGCCATTCTGTTCATGGCGTCTGCAGCCTCGTCGGGCCCGTAGTCACGGAGAATGGTGTAAAACACCGAATGCTTCTTTCCGTCGCCTAGAGTGGACTTATCCATTACTCCACTTAAGATCTGGGACCCTCTGATCACCACAAACCCGTCGTTGGGCGACATTTCACTGGGCAAACCTTTGGCTGGCGGATGGAACGTTTTGTTTTTGGCGTCAACGTTAATCACCACTTTAGATTTCCTGTTGGGCTTGATTAAAAGCGAAAACACCTGTTTACCCGTCCAAAGCGCCACAGGCTTGAAGATCGCCGGTGGAGGAATGTCAAACTGCAAATTTGCATCTGACATCATCGATAAAAGCTGGACAAGCGTCGCTCTATCGAAAAACGAGTCCTTATGCGAGATAATATACGACCCAGTGATGAAATCCTGGGTAGCAGCAATGATAGGTTCACCAGATTTGGGCGTTAATAGGTTATTCTTCACGCCCATCAAGTTGATGGCCTCGGCTCGGGCCTCCTCCGTCTGGGGAACATGCAAGTTCATTTCGTCACCGTCGAAATCGGCATTATAAGGCGTACAAACACACTCGTTGAGTCTGAAAGTTCTCCAGGGCCTGATTTTGGCGTAGTGGGACAAAATGGAAAGTCTATGCAAGGAAGGTTGTCTGTTGAAGAGAACCACATCGCCATCTTCGATATGACGTTCGACGACATCGCCGATTTTCAAGTTTTTGGCTAGTTTCACCCGGTCGCCGAACTTCAAATTACGCTTTGCAGCTTCGTTCTGCTTCAAAACGTAATTGGCGCCCGGGTGCACGTTTGGACCGTTCAAAATCAACTTTTGCAACTTCTGGCGGTTATAACGAGTACACTTTTCCGGGTACGTCAAGATCTTAGCCACACGGTCAGGAACGGCCACTTCGTCGATCTTTAAATTCGGATCTGGCGAAATCACCGTACGCCCAGAGAAATCCACTCTTTTACCAGAAAGGTTACCTCTGAACCTGCCCTGTTTACCCTTCAATCTCTGGCAAAAACCACGAATAGGTTTTGAGCTTTTAGAGCCAGAACCCATATTTCCAGGGAGAAGCGCCGGGTTGGCAGCGTCCGAATTGATATACATCGCCACAGAAAGCTGCAAGTAGTCCCACTGCTCCATCATATTGTTAATTGAAATACCCTTTTCAATTCCAGCCTTTATTAGCGACGACGTCCACACAATCTCCGTCAACTTCACCGTCAAGTCGTCCTCGTTCGACTGGGCGTCCATCATCACCGAAGGACGGATACAAACCGGTGGAGCAGGCAAATACCGCCAAATATACGTTTCTGGTCTTCCCCCACGAGCAGCATCAATGCCAAAAAGCTCACAGTCAAGCGGCGAAATCTGTTTAAACAAATTCAACACCTTCAACGGATTCAAGTCTTCGTGGACCCGTTTAGCAAACTTTTCAAGCTCTGGGTTCCTCAGAAACACCTCGTCAAACTCCTTATCCCAGAACTCCTTTTCCGGCGTGGCTTTCTTGCCAATGTACCGAAACGTGTCGTGGACGATTTTAAGCGCCGCCGGGCCAGCGCCACTTGCTGCTTTCTTCACCACGCCATTCACATGGTTACACTTAAAGCACCTTCTCTGCTTCTTACACTGGTCCACCACTTTGGTCAATATCTTCATGCGGCGCAAGTTATCGATATTGGGCCTTCTCAAGTCGCCCAAGAACCTCCTTTTGGTGGTTTCGTCGAGTAATATAGCGCCACACGACTTGCAAATGCACTGGAGCACTCTGATGATCTGTTTGAAGAAACCAACGTGGAAAACCGGAAGCGCCAAGCGAATGTGGCCAAAATGGCCGTGGCAGGTCGCCAAGTTCCCGTGGCACGTGGAACACTCCACGGCGTTCGAAGAAGTACCCATTCTGGTGTCCAAGGCGCCTTGTTCCTTGACTTGTCTTCCTTTTCCAAGTCGTAGAGATCTCTTGTGGTGACCTCAGCTTCGGACTGGGCGACGATCTCCTTGGCGGAGAGAGCGCTGAACTCGAGCCCTTTGATACACTTGGGCGCCACGTCAACAACAACGTCTTTCATGGGGAGGAGGGGGGTTGTTGGTGGAGGTTTGGTGGGGTTTGATAGATTTGAAATTTTGCGATGGCGCACGTGAGAGGCACGTGATCTGGAGAGGGTCTTGAAGTTTCTCTTTAGTCTCTGTACAGTACTTGGTACAATACAGCATCTTATACAGTCTTACTATAGTTTGTACAACTTCTTTAATATAGTATTAGTTATCCTCTCTAGAATATGAGGATACTACTGAATATATACCTTTATTCTCGTTACCCGGACCTCATCTCATCGCCTATGAGCCTCACCTCATTATCCTATGAGCTTCGGTCCTTCTCGGTGCCAAGCTTTCCTCTCTCTTCAGACACCGGAACATCCTCGGACCAACTTCTAGAGTACATCATGCAGGATGGACTCTGACAGAGGGATTCGACTCTAAGTCGACAGCCAGGGGATTCAGGGGGAAGTGGATGGTCCAGGGGTGTTGAGGGGGCCCAGTTTATTCAGGCTAGTTAGTTATTTTCTTGCTTTTATGCCATTGTGGCTGCATTGGTGGAGGGTTTTTGTGCGATGGGTGCAAAAAGGGTACATTTGGGGGAAACGGGTGGAACTGGCCAGGAAGGGACGATTTGGGGCGGAAAAAGGATGATTTGGGTGGATTTGGCGTGTGTTGTTATGGGGGAGTGGTTGGATTTGTGTTTTGGTGGGGTTTTGGGCGAAATGGCGGGGGGTTGGTGGAAGTGAGCAGAAGGGGAAGAGGTGAGATGGGGAAGAGAAGGCGGAGGGAAAGGGAGAGGGTGTAGAAGAAATGTTGTTAGATTTGTGTATTTATGGAGTGGAGTTGGTTGGTGAAGTTTGGGGAAGTTTGGTGAAGTTTGGGGAAATTGGGATGGGCTTGGCTGGGACGGCTTGGAGGAGGTGGTGGACGACGAGAACGCAGTGGAGGGAGACGTTGGGGTGACCTAGTGGTTGTTATTTCCATTGAAAATGGCTCTAATGGTTGGAGGGGGAACGAGAATTGGCTGGCGTGGAAATGAGTGGACCTCAGTGGGTGGTGAATAGTAGATGAAGGAAACAACCAACGGCAACAATTGGATTGGTGGTGGCCCAAAGACGCTTTCGGGAGTTCCTTGGCATTCATATCGTTAAGGATTGGCCATTTTGGGTGCCAGAAAATGGAAATAATTGGTGAACAGTGAGATCTGGTAATATCCATAAACTGAGAAATAAGTACCATCCAGCAACACCACCATCAATCCGCTTGGCAAGAAAATTAGTCAATTCACTCGTCTTCATTACCTTAAACGACCAAACTGTCAAAAACCAAGGAATCATCAACATTCCTGAAAATCCCTTCAGCCTTTCTGGGCCATGTCTCAGAACGGAGAAACCACCAGCAACATCAACACCGTGGCCTCGAAACCGCCAAAAACCCACTTCCCTAGCTTCTTTTCCATCTCTTTCCACCACAAAAACCCTCCATTTCCCTCAATTACCTCCTCCTCTTCCTCCCCCTCCACTTCTTCATTTCGCAGCCATTTCTCTACCGCCAAACCTCCACCAAAAAGCCCAAAACACAAGATCCCGAAAAACCAACGGCACCATTGAAATCCCCGGCTTCAGAAGAATCTCCTGATCCACTTTTATCCTCCAAAAGCTGTCTCCTTGGCTGAATCGCCTTCCCACCCTAGTTTGGTCGTGCGCGGCCCAAGTGGCAAGTACTCAACTGACAAACCACCAAACCTCCAAACGCCAAACCACCACCTCCTTCATCCACCATGTCCAACGAAGAAGGCAAAGTGATCAAAACGCTAGAAGAAGACGACGAGTTTGAGGATTTCCCAGAAGACTCCCACTGGACAAACGAGCCAAACCCACAGCTCAACTCAGGCAACCTCTGGGAGGAAGACTGGGACGACGACGACGCCAAGGACGACTTCACGGAAAAGCTCAGAGAGGAGCTCAAAAAGGTCCACAAGTGAATAGAAAACAAGAGTTATCAGTGAATTTGTAGTACTTATGCGTAGAAGTTGACCAGCTTGGACTTTCTGGCCTGGACCTCGCCAATGGCTTCAACAAAGTCTTCGTGCTTGATCACGGACTTGCCGTTTCTCAATGCAATCATGCCGGCTTCCACGGTGACGGCTTTAAGCTGGGCGCCGTTGAACTCGTCGGTGGAACGGGCCAATTCTCTCCAGTTGATCAGGTTATGGTCGCAGTTGAGCTTTCTGGCGTGGATCTTGAGGACAGACTCACGGGCTTCTTCGGAGGGCAAGGGGAACTCGATTTTCCTATCCAAACGGCCCGAACGCAAAAGGGCTGGGTCTAAAGTGTCCACACGGTTGGTGGCGGCCAAAACCTTGACTCTATCGTCGGAACCGAACCCGTCCAACTGGTTCAAGAGCTCCAACATGGTACGCTGCACTTCACGGTCACCAGATTTATCTGAATCGAATCTCTTCGTTCCAATGGCGTCCAACTCATCAATAAAGATAATCGTAGGCGCCTTCTCTTTGGCCAAGGCAAATGCGTCTCTCACCAACTTGGCACCGTCACCAATGAACATCTGCACCAACTGAGGCGCCGCCAACTTCAAAAACGTCGCTCCCGACTGGGCAGCACAGGCTCGTGCAAGAAGCGTTTTACCCGTTCCTGGAGGCCCATACATAAGAGCACCTTTAGGAGGTTTCACGCCCAAGGCCTTGAATTTTTCAGCCTGTTTCATCGGCAACACCACGGCCTCAATGAGCTCCTCAATCTGCTTATCCAACCCTCCAATGTCCAGGTAATCCTCCGTCGGCTTCTCGTCCACCTCCATCGCCTTCACCCTCGAATCGTACTCAGAAGGCAAGAGATCCAAAATAAGGTACGAGTCCTTATTCACGCCAATCAAGTCGTTCGGCTTCAAATTCGCCGGATCCACCAACCCAATGAGCGGCAAGAAAATCGTCTGCCGCGTGCTGGTCTTGATCACCGCCAGTTTGCCCAGCCTGGCAGCGTCCACGTCCAAGTTGCCTCCTTGTTCTAGCGCCTCCTTTTCGGCATTGAGATCCAAAAGTTCCACGACGTTGCCCACCAAATATGGAAGCTGTTTGTTGTTGTTGATTTTCTCCTGGTTATCCTTGATGCGTTCGGCCATGACGGCCTTTTCATGGCTGAGTCTTTGGCTTTCGCTGAACATGACTGAAATGTCGTTGTGGAGGAGTTTTGTGCGGTTGGCGATGTCTTGGGTGGACAGCAGGGCAATCTCCTGGTCGAGAAGCTCGTCTTGTTCTAATTCCTCTAGCGTGGCCATCTCTGGGGGACAAGTTGTGTGGGAAAAGAGTAGTTGTTGGTTGGTGATAGTGTGAGGTTTTAGTTAGTATGAGGTTGCCACTGGTCGTGCGGAGCTCAATTTGGGGAACTGGGGATCTAGAGGTGCTACGAAAATTCTGATTGGTTTTTTGGAATCAGGGGAGTTTGGTTAGTCGGGTGGAGTTGTTTTTGGAGTGTTTTGGGGTGTGGGAGATGGAATTGGCGGACGGTTGGTGGAGGTGGAATGGCTGCGAAAAGGTGGGTTTAGGGCAGGTTGGATGTAGTTGGAGGAGGGAGGAAGGTTGGGAGGGAATGGATGGTACGGGTGAATAGAGAAAAGCTGGTTTAGTGGGTTGACGAGTTTTGGCGGCGTTTGGAGGCCAATTGGGGGAGGTAGGGGGGGTTTGGAAGGTGAGACTGAGTGGAATGCGCTGTTTTGGAGTTTTGGCGAAAACTAGGGGGATTTTTTAAATTCTGGTAATTTTACAGGAATCTCCAGGGTCAATTGACTTGTTTGACGTTTGTTTGGGTGAATTTGGGTGGATGTGGCGGGAGATAGATATAGGGTTGGTGGATGTTTTATGGTGGAGAGAAAGGGTCAGGTATTTCCACATAAGGGTTGTTTTTTTCGGTTTAGACGTTTCCAGAGGTTTTAAAGAAGGTAATTAAAGACGTTTTATGTGTTTTTTATTTGTTTTTGTTCAATTTCATGGAGATACGTCTTGTTGGTTGAACTCAATGAGTGTGAAAGTAAAAGTAGTTGTTCTTCGTCAATTGAGTGTTTTTTGAAACGAAAAAAAGTACTGGGATTAAAGAGAGTCTTCTGAATCTTTTGGTGGTAATTTGGGGTTGTTTAAGTGTCTTTTGGGCGTTTTGGTGGTGTATCTCAATGTGGTACTCCAAGTGAGTCTACTCAACCAGAACGTTTACTGGGAAGTTTGTTTCAAAAGGTTGTTTAGAAGCTTTAAATGGTGAATTTCGTCAATTCTACAGCCTTTGTTTGGTCTCTTTACTGGTTTGAGTGGCCATTTTGTGGCACTTCAATGGACTGGGCTCTGGAACAAAGAAGAGTCACCAAAAGGCACTTAGTGTTTCTTTTGGGTACTTTTTTAATTCCAGCAAATACTTTCATTGCTTTAATTGCCATTTCAGTCCTTTTTCTTCAGTCTTTGTCCGTTTCAGAGAAGAAACGTTGGATACTTAAGAAGTACTGGTGGTCACTGAGAGAGACCAGTAAGAGGCTCCCAAAGCACTCAATTGGCGAAAGAGAGAGCTGTTTATTGATAAAGGAGGTCTTTTCTCTTTCTTTATTTCTTTCTTGGGGTCCTTTTATGGAAATTGGGTTCTTTGGTGGACACTCATTTCTCTATAGGGCACTCAGAGTGAGTCCATTTGATCTAAGACACTTGATGGAGCTTTTTATCGATAATTAAATTGGAGACTAAAAAAGGCAAACTGAGTTCATTTTGAGTTTTATTTTTAAGTTTCTTTACCCAATTGGTGATGTTTAGTGTACTGCCTGAGTTGACTGGATTATGCCAAACGAGGCAAGCAACAAAAGGCACTTAAGCTTTCAATTTGGCCACTTTTTGAAATCCATTCGTTTTTTTGGTTTCTCCAGTTGACGATTTAGTCCTTGTTTTGTTGTTTTGCTCAATTTATTTGGAGAAGTATTGGATATTTTATGGACTCTGGTATCCACCGAGAGGGACCAGTAAATGCCCTTCCCAGACTTCAATTGAGGAAGAAAAGATCATGAAAGTACTGAAAAGGCTTAATTAATTACCTTTATTGCTTCCTTTTTTAAATATTCATGGAAATGGAAGAAATGGAGCTCCCTTGATGATTCTTCACTCCATATAGTACACTTCCACTTAGTGAAGCAAAGAGACTCTCAATTGACTTAAAAAAGAAACAGGTGCTTCAATTGGCCATGGAAAACGTCCATATCCTTTGTAGTGTCAAGTTTGTTATAAACAGATGAGTTGGTAATGCCCTTCCACTGGCAGTACTGAAGTGGAAGAAAGACATACTTTTCCATGACAAACATAGAAAGAAGTGCCCCAAAAATCCATCTAAAGCACTTTAAATAACGTAGATTTTCATTCCTTGTTCAATTCTGCTCCTTCTTTGGAAACCTACGTCGAGACATAGCAATGCCCCCGAAATGGCTGCAAAATAAACAGATACATCCGCCACTTCCCACCAATTGGCATCTAAAACCACCAAAAACTCCCAAACTCAACACCCCTTCATCCAACCAACCCAATCCACCAAAAACTCCAAATTTCTAAACCTCCTACGCCACTTTAAATCCCTTTAATGAACTTTCCACTTACTTCTCAGAAACCTCCATCAATCTCGCCCAAATACGCCAATTCCACAAATCCAACACCTCCAGTACCTTCTTCGCCGCCCCTTCTTCCCCCTAAACGCTTTCTCCCTTCTTCTACTTCCCTTCCACCTTCGATCCCCCACCCTCTTTCTTCTCATAATCTCACTTCCTTACTCCATCCCCAATTCACCCAAAACAACTCAATTTCTCCCCAAATTTCACCCAAACCAACCTCTCCTTTTCCTTTATCTCCCCAATTAACAAACCTCCTAAACCTATTCAAACCCACCGAGTTACGTCCCCTCCACCGCACCTCCACTTACATCCGCTTAACCGCCCGCCAAACCCGCCCCAGTGGCCCAAAAACCTCCAAAAAAGCACCAATCAAGTCCTCTCCTTCCCCTCTACCCAACCAACCCATTTTCAACCCCCAAAACTTCCTATTTATGCTTCCCACGTTGAGCACCCCTCCCCTCCTACATACAACCCATTCCATCATCAACACTTTCCAACATCCTACTACTCCTCTTCCTCCCATGAACACACAAACGCCCGCGTGGAACGCGCTGGAATTGCGTCCACCGCTCGGCACCATCCCGCTGGGGCTCCCTGCCGATTTTCAGCCAAATCGGTCCACGGACGGCCGAGTTACGCCCGAAAAGGCGTTTTTCCACTCCAGAACAGAAGCTTTCCAATCCACAGTGCCTATTCTAGCTGCTTTCCCTGTGCTTATTATTACCAGCAAGCTCATGGTGGAGCCAGAGACGCTTAGCCTCGAAAACCACGCGGTTTTGCAGCTTTTAATGCTGACTTTTCAGGCCCTTTTCTTTCTGGCCGTTGGAGGCGTTTTGGTGAACCTGGACGCGTCGTCTGCTCGTAAAACAGGGTCGACTAGGACATTGTGGGTTGGTTTAGGCGCCTTGGTGGCGTTTTTCAGCGCTGCCGCTGCTCTTCCGGCTACAAGAACGGCCACTTTGTACTTGGGCATGTATTTCAACTTTTACACGCCGTACACGGCCGTGGCGTTGGTTTACGATGTTTTCAATGATCCCAGCGTGTTTGTCGTGGCTGGTTACGCTACATTGATTCTTTCTTTTATGTTTTTACGCAAATCCTTGCTCAAACACTTCAATCCTTTTGCCAAACACTATCATTACTTATTTGGCGGGTCTGTGGCTGCTGGAATGGCCATTTTGGTGGTTTATGGCCACGCCATCAACTACTTTTTGTTGTTGATGAATTTGGCCGCTGGCGGGTTGCTTTTGGTGCTGCTTCCGGAAGCCAAATTGAGGTCTGCTACGAATATGGCGGTTATTTCGGTTTTCACGTATTCTTTGGAGACGTTTGTCCTCAGAACGAGCCCGTTTAGCCTTGTGAATGCTCTTGTGCTGGTGGTGGTGCCGTTGGCAATTAAAATTGATTTCCTGGAGGAATTGGCTGGGTTGGCTTCAGATACACCTTCAGCTCAAACTCAACCTCACTTGCTTACAGAGATTCTCCAGCACTCAGACACCCGTGCTATCTTCAATTTCCTTCTTCTCAACACGGCGTTCATGTTTGTGCAGCTTTTGTACTCGTTTAGACTGAAATCTTTAGGTCTTTTGAGTGATTCGCTCCATATGGCTTTGGACTGTGCTTCTTTGGCGCTAGGCCTCGTGGCGGGCGTTCTTCTGAAAAACCCAGTCAATGCCAACGGGCTCTACCCGTTTGGGCTTCAAAACTTTGAGATTCTTGCCGGTTTCACGAACGGAGTGTTGCTTATGGGTATTTCAGGAAGTATCACATTTGAAGCCATTGGACGGCTTTTTCACCCCGTGGCGCTCCAGCAAACGACAGAGCTTATTATCGTTTCTGTTCTAGGTCTTTTGGTGAACATTGTGGGTATATTTGCGTTCAATCATGGGCATTCTCATGGCCATTCTCATGGACATTCTCATGAACATGGCCATAGCCACGGCCACAGCCATTCCCACGGCCTGGAAGACTCTGACGAGCCAGAAATCAACGATAACATGAGAGGTATCTTTCTACACATTCTAGCAGACACTCTAGGCTCAGTTGGTGTCGTTATATCCACAATTCTCACCAAACTCTTTAGCTGGCAAGGTTTTGACCCTGTGGCGCTGCTAATCATTGCCGTGTTGATCTTTTCCACCGCTGTGCCGCTTATAAAGTCTACTGGATCAACTCTTTTGCTTCTGGTGAAAGGTGCAAAGGAAAAGACCGTCAGAGACGCTTTAAACGATATTACTACGATTAAGGGGATCAAATCGTTTACGCTGCTGCGGTTTTGGCCATCTCACCTGAAACAAATTAGGGGTTACATTCATGTTCAGGTTTATAGGGGAGAGAACGTTGGGCTGTTGAAACGGCAGTGCCAGGATGTGTTTGGGAAGTACCGGATGGAGGTGATGGTGCAGATGGAGAATGATTATGATCTGTGTTGGTGTCGAAGCTAGCCTAGCCGGAAGCGCCTCCGGCGCTGGAGGCTAGCTAGGCTCGAAAAAGCACGTTTTTGGTGTCTTTCTTGGTTCTTCAGAGGCGCTGGAGGCTAGTTATGCTCGAAAAGTGTCAGAAATGGACGTTTTTGATGTTTTATGGGCACTCTAGAGGCACTGGAGCCTAGTTAATGGCCTGAAAACCACGAGAAAGCTGTTTTTGGCGTTTTTATGGGTAATCCAGAGAAGCCTCTAGTCCTACAACCATGGAAGACTCATGTTTGACGTTTTGGTACTCCAGAGTCATTGCTAATTTTAAAACGGTTAAGAAGACGTTTTATGACGTTTTTCTTGGTACTCCAGTGAAATTCCAAGTCCTAAAGCCATTAAAGGGACCATTTTTGACGTCTTCATTGGTACTCCAAATAAGCAACTGGCCCTGGAAAGCCCATTTTTGATGCCTCACTTGGACTATTGAAGGTGTCTGGCTCGCCATTACTTCATTTCTGGTTCAAAAGACGCAAAAAGACCCCAAAACCGTCGTTTTGAATTCCAACGAAGTATCTACCGCTCACTTGCCTGCTGTTGTGGTGCTTCAGAATCATGAATTGGTTCCCTTCCATGTCAAATACTGGGACAACTACAGACTATTTAAAGGCTTTTCATTATAGCTGTTCTTGGTAATTGGCACTTCTAGATCGATTTTTACTTGGTTTTTCGCTTCAAAACTGTCATTTACAGGTTATTACGGCTCTTCTTGATGTTTACAGATTAAAATTTGGGCTGTTTTTACGGTGGTTTTCCAGAATGGACATCAAACAAAATGGGTTCATTAGAGGTTCTTGAAAGCTATACGAAAGAGCAAATTGAATGTTTTGGTGACAATTTCAGGAATTCAGCACCCAATCTATGCAAAGAATGGAGACACCTCTCAGAACCCTCCATATTCCAGCTCCATTTCAAAGCCAAAAAAACATCAGGATCGGGTTCTCAGAAGACCTATTTGGATAAAATCAACGAAGGTTTCGATAAAGCATTACAGAAGAAACGGATGAACTTGGATTTCCAGAGAGAGCCTTGATTTTATTTTCCAAGAAACAGCAAATATCTCCGCTTTGTGCTTTTACGTTGATGATCTCTTTCCAGATCTAAAGACAGCTTAAAAAGTTGATGAACTGACGACGATGGGATGAATCCAAAACAAGGAAAATCAGTTGATCTTCGTTTCCTGACTACATTAGAGAAGTTTCACTTTCCTTGTCAAAGTGAAAAAGAGCATCAACGAAGAACGAAAGACAAGAAAATACTTCAAGTTCTTCCAGCTGGAAGAGTCATTTTTAAAAGGAACCACGACAGTTTAGAAAGAAATGTGCTTTTGCAAAAGTGACTTTTCCAGAGATATCTCTTCGTTGACGAAGTAACCGAAAGAGAGGTCTTTACAGGTTTTGAAGGATTTGGATAAAGCAGCAGAAAAATGATAAAATTCAAAGGAATTGGATATGAAAGATGTTGATTTGCTTTGGAAACTGAAGATGAAGAGGTTATTTGGTTGAAGGGTCTACTGAGAAGTGGAAAATGGACAGTACATTGATTTTGGGATCCACGTTGAATCCCAAGCGGCAACGGCTACCCAGGGGAATTGGGACACCCAGAATTCACAGAAAATTACCAAAACCCTTGAAATCAGAAAGTCATCATTGACGTTGGTGATGGTGTTTCACCAGGGCCTGATTTACCAGGGTTCGCGGGACCATTTATGAACTTCGCACGACCCCATATATTCCCCCTTCCTGGGCCCATTTCTCCCCCGAAAAAGCCCCCACGGTACTGAATCACCGTCTGAGCCACCCCCATAGCTTACCATTCACGTTGGGTGGTTTTTGGCGTCCCAGTGAAGCTTTTTCACTTTGTCGTCCATGGCTGTCGCCATGGATTCACTTTTGAACCTCGCACGACCATCGCTTTCGCGACGGTCGCGGCCGCATTTATGAACCTCGCACGACTCATCTCACTAATCATCACCACCATCTCCAATCCCATCCAACCTCCAACTCCTCCAAACCAAACCCTCCACAACACCGAACCCCATGTCTCGTACAGGAGTGCTTGTCCTCGGCCCAGCGGGAGCCGGAAAATCCACTTTTTGCAACTCCATCATCTATCACATGCAATCAATTGGCAGAAGAGCTCATATCGTCAATTTGGACCCAGCAGCCGAACCAACGGAATACGAATTTACCGTGGACATCCGAGACCTTATTTCCGTCGACGACGCCATGGACGAAATGGATATGGGCCCAAACGGCGCGTTGGTGTTTTGTTTTGAGTACTTATTGAATAATTTGGACTGGCTCGATGAGGAAATTGGTGACTACAACGATGAGTACTTGATCTTTGACTGTCCGGGCCAGATTGAGTTGTATACGCATGTTCCGGTGTTGCCGACGGTGGTTAGGCACTTGCAGACGACGTTGAACTTTAATTTGTGTGCTACATACCTTTTGGAGGCACCATTTGTGATAGACCGGTCCAAGTTCTTTAGCGGGGCGTTGAGCGCCATGTCGGCGATGATTTTGTTGGAGTTGCCGCATATCAATATTTTGTCAAAGATTGATTTGATAAAGGATGAGGTTTCGAAGAAACAGTTGAAACAGTTTTTGAATCCGGATCCGTTGGTTTTGGAGAAGGATGCGGATAATTTGCTTAATCCACGGTTTGCCAGGTTGAATAAGAGCATTGCGCTGCTTGTGGATGATTTTGGCATGGTGCAGTTTCTTCCGTTGACTTGTTCGAAGGATACAACGTCTGTGGCGACGATATTGAGTTATATTGATGATGTGACGCAGTGGCTGGAGAACCAGGAGCCGAAGGAGCCGAATGATGAGGTGGAGCTCCCAGAAGATTAACGAGACCAGCAGATCCAGCAGATTCAGCAGCTGCTAAGCTGCTGGAGATGGTGGAGATGATGTCGAGTTAAGATTCTGGGAGTTGACGATTTGGCAGCCAGCAGAAACATCAGAAACAGCAGCTGCAAAGCTGCTGGAGATGATGGAGATGCTGGCGATTGAAGCTTGGTCAGCGGATTAGCATAAAGTGGAAACAGCCATTTGAAAACAGCAGATAGAACAACCAAGAGCTGCTGGAGATGCTTGGTATGGCTACTCATCAATTCCACTTCAGAAGCAGCAGCATTCAAGCAGATTCAAGGTAAAACGGCTGCTGGAGGTATTGGATTGCTCATGTTCTGGAGATGTCAAGCAATGGAGCCCACAGAACGTTAAACATGGTGAATTTTGGTGATCCATTGAACAGAAAGAGGAGCGCTGCTGGAGAAGCTACATCTCTAAAAGAACAGTTAAGCCAGCGGAAAGATAATATAGATTGGCTGGCAAGCCGCTGGAGATGCCCATTCATTCAAAAAACAGTCATGATAGTCACGGAGTCGCTCATAAAGACTATTTAAAGAAAGTTGGAGATCCTGAGGCCGTCTACTCAGATCATACAGCAACAGGAGGCTGAACAGAAGCAGCAGAACGCTTAGACGATGCAGAGGATTCAGGAAATACAGCATATACGGAAAATCAGCATACACAGCAGAAAGAAAGGAAAGAGGAAAGCGAGCTGTACGAAAGGTGATGGAGGTGATGAATTGTCAAAGGGAAGTTGGGATTGGGCTGTCTATTGAATGTCAGAAGACGAGAAAACCATTTTAGAGCTTCCAGAGAGCTGAAAGTCCATATTATACCTTTTTAGGTATGGATGTTGTTGGGATTCATTTTCAATCCACTTTAGGCTGTTGAAACTGGTGATTCTGGAGGTTTAGACGATGCTGAAGGTGTTTTGAAGGATTTTTGGAGCCAATTGAAGCCGGGGAAGTCGTTTAAAGCCAATTGAAGCTGGTGAAGTGATTTAGATGAATTGGTTTACCAGGAAGATATGGTTGAAAAGGTAAAATTGACTTTTTCAGCTGCTTTCAGTGCCCAGGAAATTCAGATTCTGAAAGCTTCCACTTCCTCCCAAACGACGGTTATTTCTTGGATCTCTGCTTCCCTTCCCTTTCCCTTCCTTCCTTTGCTTTGCAGATTACAGAACATATCCAAATTTCTGCAAAACCACATCCATCAGGCCATTTCCAAGGAATTGGAAAACCCCGTTTTTGGTGATTTTACTTTAGGGAGTCTTTTTGACGGTGCTGCAAACCCAAGCCATTTTTCCCCTCCCTGGTCCAAGTAAACAGCGTTTAGCTGTTTACGTTGATTAAAGTGATTAAGCTGATTACGTTGGTTAAGCTGATTAAGCTGGTTACGTTGGTTAAGGTGAATTACCCTTTCTAGGCCTTTTAAGCTGTTAAAGCTGTTTAAGCCTTTTAAGCTTATTCCCTTTTACCTTTTCCTGGTTATTCCCTTTTCCTGGCGATTCCCTTCCCCTTTTCCTCCAATTGCCCCCCTGCCCCTGAAAATCACCTCATTTCATTCCCTTCCCTTTCCTTCCTGGCCTTCTCCCCTTCATTTGTTTGAAGCGTTGGACCTACTGGCTCTCCCTGGCCTACAGATTACCGTGACGACGTTTGCTCGTTGGAGGAAAGCAAATGCAAAAGGGAAAGGAATGCAAATGGTTAAGCAGAAGAAGCAGAAATTCAGGGATATTGTCGTTGTTGGCAGTTTTGGGAATTTCCAGAATTTCCAGATTTGGGTTTACTTGGTTTCTTGACCTTTTTAGGGCCAACCAAAGGCGCTCTCTTCACTCAAACCACCAGAATCCCTCCATCTACGCTGCCTAAGTCCCTTTTGTCCTTTTATCGACGTCGTCGCTGTCGCTCCTCCGTCTTTTCGATGTCTCAAACCCGGTCCAAATCGACCTTCTGGGCCTTATGGATTTTCCCCTTTTTTTTTGTGTTCCAAACACCTTGGGGACCCTGGAACGCTTGAAAAACCCTTTCGTGCCATCGCTACAAACATCCAAAAAGTGCTCCTACGCCAGAAAACCATCGCTCAATTGCAGTGTGACCACTTTTCTCGGTTGGTCTGGGTTTCCTCCAGTTCAACTCCGTTGCAGGAGAAACAGCAAGGATAGAAGAAGTGGAAGGAAAGGACGTCTCTTATGGCGTTCTTTTGCCTTGATGTTGTTGGTTATGGCCCTTTTTTTTCGTTTAACCGACGAGAGTAAGCGAGGTTTGAGCCCCAGGGGAAAGAAAAAGGCTAAAGACAATATAACAAAGAAGAAAGAAGAAGGAAGGGAAATGACAATCGGATAATGGTTAAAGGTAAATCTACCCGAGGGGCGTTCTGGTGGTTTTGCAGTTGCAAAAAAAAAAAAAAAGTCATTGAATGAAACAGGATAAATAAATGCATGATGGGTTTGAAGACCGGTGGACCGTCCACGAGGGTGCTAGGAACCCCGAGAACGACCCTCTTTGAAAAAAAATAAAATTGGTTTGTAGATTAAGGGAATAAATTGAGAGGAAGGGCTCGGATATGTTAGAATTAGAAAGTAAGAGAGAGACAGAGAGATATGGCGCACTTGTGTGCAGTACCCACATTAACCCCCAAATGTCGCATCACTCTCTTTTTTTTTCACTCTCTCACTCATTTTCTTTCGATAAGCATTTTGTTATTGTCCTGCAGTACATGCGTCATTGATTCTACATGATGCATATCCTGCATTAGCATGCATGTTCCTCTCTACCTCTCCCTCTCCCTCCTTTGTCGCGCATAGTGCATGATGCATGATGCATATAACAACAAAAGTGAGAGGCCTTCGAGAAAAGTACACATGCCAATCTCCGGCAGGCGCGTCACTTCTCTCTCACTCTCTCATTGCACCGTGCTAGGCGAGAAAAAAACAATGGGATTTTTTTTTGATAGAAGCATATGAGATGCCGCTTACTAAAATAAAGAATACTTTAGATATATTTGGTCTTGCCTGTCAAAGCGAGATAAGGAACATCGTAGAAACCCCTGTTAAAAAAAAACCAGCAAAATCCAACAAAATCCAGCAATTCACAAACAATAGGACCCTGATTCGATAAACGCCCATAATCAATTCAACCGTTGTCCAATGAAAAATCCTTTTGAATTGCTTTAGCGGGTCTTAGCGGTCCCTCAAGAAGCTGCCGACGGGGTCCGTGCTTAAAAAAAAAATCCATAATATGCATCCAAAGAAATTTGCATAAAATGCATCATATCAGTGCATTACCCAGCAAATTAAGCAACCCGGGTTAAATTCTTCCAATATGTAAACGAGTCTCCCTGGGCAAGCGGCGGCAGCACGAATTCGCTTCAAACCAAAATCCCTGGCGACCCTGCCCTGCTTCTCGTGTTCTTTTGCTCCTGCTGCTTTTGATAACGCCAGTTTAGGCAAACCGCTGGAGAGATTCGCTTCTTTATTTAAGACACACAGTGCGGACTTCCGGGGCTGCTTTTGGCGTGTTTTCCAGGGTTTTTAAGGTTGTTTGGCTTCGTTTGGAGGTGATTTGGGTCGTTTTGGGTCGTTTTGGGCCTAAAAGGTGTAAGAGGTGACGAGAGAGAGTATGCATTGAAGAAATGGCATTTTTCTGGCGTTTTTTGACCTGATTTTCATGGTTCAGGAGGGTTTTGAATGCTTGCGGCGTCCAAGGCGGCAACCCACGTCAAAAAAAATAATTAATATTGATTGCCATACGTTTTAGGGGTTTCTGGAACACCGAGAGATAAAAATATCAGAGGAAAACGGAAGGAAAGGTGAAATTGGATGGTTCCACAAAGCAAAAAGACAGTTTTTGTGGATTTGGAGGTGCTTTTTGATGCTGAAATGGCCAGAAAATGATGAAAATTCATGGAAAATCGACCATTTCTGACCCTTTTTGAGCCATTTCCAATCTACATCCCCTAATTCCAATTCCCTTTCAAAACCTCCGTCTACGCCTCTTTAAAAGCACGAAAACGCAAGGATTCGCCTTGAAAAAGCACCATAGAAAAACGCAGAAAACGCAGAATCCGTGCCACGCCGCTGGAGGGACTTGAAAGTCAAGAAATCTGATTGAAACAGACATAGAGAGATCACAAAATGATGCTTTTTCACTTTGCATTTGACTTTTGGCAACGCAAAATGTCCATTTTTTTCTCTTATTTCATGCAAAAACGTCCATTTTTTTCACATTTTGCATCGTCAGACCATACGTATCTTTCCAGAAAAGCTTAAATTTTGTTAATTTTGTGATTTGGGGCGTCTGCCATGAAAAAAAAAAAAGATGAAAAAAATGGGTGGTTTGAGTTCCGGAAATGGCCTTGGGTTATCCGAAATACCCAGAAATGGCCGAATATCGGTTAGTTTTTGGTGGATTTTCGTCGTTTTTTGACCGTTCTAATGTGAATTCCCATACTCAGTCGGTAAATCCACTGGGAACCCCAAAATCACCCGAAAAAACCCACCTTCTTGCCCTTTTTATCCCCTCCATCCACCAAAACCACCCAAAACACCTCCAAACGGTCCAAATCCCGTCCAAAAAAGCCCGTTTTTCACCCCAAACCACTTCAAACCCTTCTCTTCCATTTAAACCCATCAAATCCTCCCTAAACCCTTCCTTTCCACCTCTTTCCCTTTAAGACATCCCCGTATTTTCTGCCTCCAGGGCTATCTCTCAGATCCTTCACATTTTGGTGCTTTTTTTTTTTTTTTTTTACTTTGGCGGCATCAGCAGCTCGGTAGAACGAAGTTTGTGGTTTCTACGCATCAACGGCTTTTTCAAAACCAGGAACGCTTCGAAAAGATCTTGAAAGAAACGTCAGCGAACGTTGGAGATTGGAAGAAGCGCTGGGACGGCTGTTTTTGGGTTTTGAAAGGGAAGAAGACATCTTAAACGTGTCTAGTGTATTCCACTGGAATCTACGTGTTTCTACGACTTGAATGATCCAAAAACGGTCCATTTTCGATGCGTGTTGGCCCTACAAATGAGCATCTTTCAAACTCCCCCCAAAAGCTCAATTTTCAACCTAAAAACGACGTGAAAACACCTCCAGCAGCATCAGATCGTCTTCTTTCCACCGCCACAATGTCTCTTGTTTTTTGCCGACTCGTTTTACACAAAAAATAAGCTTTTTACGAAGGTTTTCCCTTTTTTTGGTGTTGCTGCTTTCTGCATGTCCAGTGATGCAATTTTTCCTGTTTCCGTAGAGACCACAAATGACGTCTGGCGGGGGCAGATGAGCCCGGGGAAGGTTGTAGAGTAGTTTAAATTAAGGTTTTGGTGTGTTTAAGGTTGGTTTTGGTGTTTGTGGATGGGTTGGGGGAGGAAGAGGACGGAAGGGTGAGTTTCTCGGGAAGGAGAAGAGCTATGGAAAAACAGATTGCAGATTTGGAATCAGGGAGTCGTGGAGGTTCTAGTGTGTTGTTTTCGTGGGGTTTCAATGTGTTTTGGGTGTTTTGGCGGGGCCCCCATTTATTCTATATATGTTGAGAACGAAGGGTATACGAATAACGAAAAAACCTCCCTAAAAAAGGCAAATCTCGGCCCCCTTGCAATCCCACGTATTTTCTGATTCCATTGGTGTTGTTTACATTGAAATCCCGTGATTTCTGGCTTCCCTGGCTCCTTCAATTCCAAAAAACCGGTTCAGCTCTATTGATGTCCACAAAAACCCATCCAAAAAACGTCCAATTCCCTCCAAAACCTCCAGATTCCATAACCCACGCCTTCCTGACTCTCCTGGGCTCCACCGAATTCTTCGGCGCTTTCGGGGCCGGTTATGAACATCTCCATTTGGTTTTTTCGCTCTTTCGGGCATGTTTTGTGGGTTTCAAGACCAACAAGGAGGTTTTGGTAAATTTGAAGAGTTCTAGGGGAAACAGGGGGCGTTAAAGACGGTGGTTTGTTGGTTTGGGTGCTTTTTTTTGGGCACTTTTGGCGTTGGAAAGTGACCTAAATGGGTTCTTTATGGAATCGGTAAGTGGCTGAGCTGAAGAGGCAGAAAAGCCACGACAGAGCTGTAAACAAGTTTTTGTGGTGGAATTCGTTGTTTATTTGTGTTTCTGGAAGTTTTGGGGCTTGGTTGGCTGCGTTTGGTTTGTTGTTTTTGGTCCTGGGTGAACTGAATGTATTGGGATTGAAGGAAGAGCGAAATTGAAGAAAAGAAGATAAAAGAAGGCGTAAAGAAGCTTCTAGGAATTACTTTAACGTCATTTGATGCAATTCTGTTGTTTTTTGGCGTTTTTTGACCCATTTTTGACCGATTGGTGGACACTTCAATATACTGATAAATCCACCTTCAAAGTCCCAATTTAAATCCACCAAACGCCATCAAATTGTCCGAAAAACAAACCAAAACAACTCCCATTGCCAATATTCAACCAATTGAGGCTTCATCTGCCCTTGGACATCCCCAGTTCCTTCTCTTCTGAAGACATTTCCTCTTTGGGACGGTAATCCATAAACTGCCATGAATCTCTACATTGAACCTTCCAAAATCAACAAAAGTTTGTCTGGTCAATCTCCTGGCCTTCTTTTACCCATTCCACTTGTTTTTGTTCTCTTTTGGTGGCTTTCGGCCGCTTTTGGTGGACATTTCCAGATTTCTCTTTCAACCACCAAACGTCCATTTCTTTCCCTTAAACTTCCTGATTTTCCAAAGCAATTACGTTGGAAGCTTCCAATTTCAGCTTCTTCTCTTGAAAATCTCCTTCTTTTCTGCTTTTCCTGGTCATTTGAAAAAGCAAAACTCCACTTTCTGACCTCCATTTTCCACTTCTTTTTGGTCCCTCAGAACTCCAAAAACTTCCAGAATTTCTACAAAAACCTTCCTTTTCTCTTCCAGTTTCTCCCAATTTCTTCAAAATCCCTTCATTTTTTAAAACTCCAACTACCCTGGAAACCTTTCACTTTCCACTTTTCATCTGGCGAAACCTCCAATTCTCAAAATCCACAAAACCTTCTGAAAAATTGGAAACTCTTCCAATTGAAAAGAAAAAGGTACCAAAAGAATCAGAATTTTCTGAAGTTCCCAAATTTTTTTTTAAAAGCTTAAAATTCCTTCTGGATCGCCCAAAATGGCCATTTATCTGTTTTGGCAGTGGAAGTGCAAAAACTGAAACCCCCTTTTATTTCCACCAAAGCAGCCCAAAATTCACCAAAAACAAATAGACCATGTCAATTAGACTACCCAAATTCTTCTAGATTGCTTACATAAATTAAAACATTGAAATTTGGAGATTTATTGGGCATTTGGATATTCATCTTTTATGGTGTACGGGTGTTTATACAACACCCATTTAAATCCCCCTAGACCGCTGAAAAATTACAAAACAAGTGCCAATACGTTCAATTCATCCATGAATAAAGCCACCAAAACCTTCAGAATCCCAATTGCACTCTTTGTCGTGCAATTGGCGGACAGTTTACTCTGATGACCTTAGCTGGTGTACGGGTCTTTAAATACACCACCAATAAGTGCTTAAACGCCCACCCCAACGCTGGAAAATCAAATTTAAAGAAAGTTAGACAAGCATTTAAACCTTCAAAAGCTCAATAGTATCCTTAAAATTTGCCTACTGTCCCTTACGAGCTATTTGGCGGTGGGCTTGATCTATTGACTATGTTTGGTGTACGGGTCTTTTGCAAAAGCATATATCAATAAAAACTCCAATCCACTCTGAAAAATTAATATTGAAAGACACTATGGGGTTCCTAGGATCCCAATTAACTCAAAAGTACCTTCAAAATTTGTCTACCGTCTCTTTTGGGTTATTTGGCGGAGGGTCCAATGTACTGACCTAAGCTGGTGTACGGGTCTTCAACTTTCACTATTACCACCCAGTCTCCACCAAACACGTAAAAAACTAAAATTTAAAGTAGATTAGTAACTTCCTAACAACTTTAATACGCTTAATATACCCCAAGACATTCAGATAATATCCCTGGCGGCCGCCAATCGTCCCTTACGGTCCGATTGGCTCTCTGGTGCACGGGTCTTTCCACCCATCTCAACTCACCTCCAACTCCATCACCACCTCTACTATGAAAAAATTAATTTAAAGAGTATTTCTAGAATCCCGAAATCTCCAGGATCCCAAAAGTACCCATAAAGCCTATATTCAACCACTTTGATGTTGAAAAGTGGAGGGTCTAAACCACTGACGTTGTCTGGTGTACGGGTGTACCATAAACCACCATATGTGTCCTATCTCCACCAATTCCCAAGATATACAAATTTAAAAAACACCAGTAGCTTCCTAGGGGAAATAGCATCCCGACCATATCCAATTTGTACCCTCAAAATCCGGCTATCGTCCCTGACGGGCCGAAAACCGGCCGATTGGCTTGTGGTGTACTGGCCTATTTACCACATCTCACCCCAAACTTCACCTCCACCACCAACATCAACATCAACTCCAATTTGTTAACTCCTGCCTCCCCAAAATGGTACAGATAAACGAAGTCAAGGAGTACTCCTCTCTGCAGCTGCGCACAGCCACGCACACCCACATCAAAGGCCTCGGGCTCGACGAGCACGGAGTGGCCAAACCCGTCGATGGAGGATTCGTAGGCCAGGCCGAAGCCAGAGAAGCGTGTGGCGTCGTGGTGGATTTGATCAAAACAAAGAAGATGAGCGGCAAAGCGATCTTATTGGCTGGAGCGCCGGGGCTGGGGAAAACGGCGCTTGCGTTGGCGGTTTCCCAGGAGTTGGGGCCGAAGGTGCCTTTTTGTCCTATAGTGGGCAGTGAGTTGTACTCTGCTGAGGTGAAGAAGACGGCGGCGTTGATGGAGAATTTCAGGAAAGCTATAGGGTTGAGAATTAAAGAGACGAAGGAGGTCTACGAAGGAGAGGTGATTGAGTTGACGCCAGAGGAGGCAGAGAACCCTTTGGGTGGGTATGGAAAGACGATTTCTCATGTGATTGTGGGATTGAAGACCGCCAAGGGCACGAAGAATTTGAGGTTGGATCCGAGCATTTACGAGAGTATTCAGAAAGAACGGGTCGTTGTGGGCGATGTGATTTACGTGGAGGCCAATACTGGAGCTGTCAAGAGAGTAGGACGGTCAGATGCGTACGCTACCGAGTTTGATTTGGAAGCTGAAGAGTACGTGCCGTTGCCTAAGGGGGAAGTTCATAAAAAGAAGGAAATCGTGCAAGACGTGACGCTCCACGACTTGGACGTGGCCAACGCCAGGCCTCAAGGTGGCCAGGATGTGCTTTCCATGATGGGCCAGTTGTTGAAGCCGAAGAAGACGGAAATCACAGATAAGTTGCGTGCCGAGGTGAACAAGGTGGTGCTGAAGTATATTGACCAGGGCGTGGCGGAGTTGATTCCGGGTGTTTTGTTTATTGACGAGGTGAACATGTTGGATATTGAGATATTCACGTACTTGAACCGGGCTTTGGAGAGTTCCATTGCGCCCGTGGTGATTTTGGCGTCCAACAGAGGTATGACGACGATCAGGGGGACGGGAGATGACGTTAAGTACCCCCACGGATGTCCTCCAGATTTGGTGGACCGCTTGTTGATTGTCAAGACGCTTCCTTATAACCAGGAGGAGATCAAAACGATTGTTTCCAAAAGAGCACAGCTTGAAAACCTTGTGCTTGCGCCAGAAGCTTTGAACAAATTGGCAGAACACGGCGTTTCCAGCTCGTTGAGGTACGCCCTTCAGTTGTTGGCGCCAGCAGGCATTTTGGCAAAGACCGTGAACCGGTCTGAGATCATTCTTTCGGACGTGGAGGAGTGTGAGCTTTTGTTTTTGGACTCCCGTCGTTCCATGCAAGTGTTGGAGTCCACCAAGGGCTACCTCTGATAGATAGAGCAAGTGTAATATACAAAAGGATATGACTTCGTGGCGTTGGGCCGGGAGGCCCAGGTCGTTTATTTATGCCTCCGGGAGGTACAGAAAGCTTTCTTTTGAGATGGAAATCCAGGACGTTGAGTTCTCAAGACGATAAGGTCTCTTAAGACGTTGAGTTCTCAAGACGATAAGGTCTCTTAAGGTGTTAAGTTCTCTCAAGATGCTGAGTTCTCTCAAAGCATTAGGTATCTTCAAGACCTTCTCCCAAAACGTATTTAATCTTATCCGTCTCTTTCAGCCTTTCTTCCAAATTTTCAATGAGATTTTAAGCTCTAACGACGTCGATATCTCACGTTTTTCCAGTATTCTTTTCCGGCTTCCAACGATATCTTAAGCTTCAATGATAGTCCAGCTTTCTAAGGATAAATCGAGCTTCCAAGAATTTTCCAAACCTCAAGAACAATTGGAGCTTCTCAGGATATTCCAGCTTTTCAGGAGATTGCAAGTCCTCAAAACCATCCCCAATTTCCAGGGATACTCCAATTTCATCAGATGTTCCATATTTCCATGGATACCCCAATTTCCAAGAAACTTCATCCTTTAAGGCTCTTCAGCCACCGCCTACTCCGAGTTCCCGAGGTCCAGCACTTCCTGGACGAACGCCTTTGCCGTGACAATATCCGTACTGCCATAGACAATACCCTTCCTTGGCGAGTTCGGCACATTCGCCCATTCCGTCAAGTTCTGGTACTCCAAGTAGTTTCCACCGCCCACAACAAACACTATTCCTTCATCGTAAGACTGTCTCTTTGGAGGCTTCAGGTGACCACCTCTGGATTTTGGATCAAGGTACAAGTACTCGTCGGTGATATGCATGGAGTTCGTGGAGGCATTCGTAGGGTCCATGATGGCCTCGGCAATGTTGGTAATAGGTAAGTTTTTCTTTTCAGGCAAGAGTTTCTTGAGACCACTGGCCAACGACGAAATACCGCCAGAAAGCTTCCCTTCAGTGAATCCGTACAATTTGGACGAAAGACCGTTGAATAAAGCCGAGTTGTTGGTTTCGCCCACGCTGTGTTTCAAACTCAGCTGTTCGTTTAACGAGACGTTCTGGGACATTCTCGTCATTTGTTTAAACTTCCGAACGTACTTGATAGAGCTCATATCAAGCTGCGGGTACTTTTGAGCAAGCGCTTGTTCACACTGCTGGGAATACGATTCCGGCAAATCAGCCAAAATGCTTAAAATCAAGAACGTCCGAAGCTTATCAAGCGAATTGTCTCTTTTCGAATCCGACTTCAAAAGCTCGAGAAACTCGCTCTGCACCTTCGGGTCCAGGAACCCTTGCTCGATTTCAAAGAACTTATCCAACGTACGAGCCTCCAACTCTTTTAAGAGCGACCCCAACACGTCCATGTGCATGTCCAAGGTTGTTTTTCTTGCTGTGAGCTCCGGCAACGCTTCTACGGCCTGCTGGATCAACGAGGTGTCGGTGTTGGCGTCTGGATTGATATCGTTGATGCTGGAAATGCCCGTCCGGTTCGTCAAGTCCTGGGCATCTTTCTTGTACAAGTTCAACTCGACATCGGCGTTTTCAACCACATCTGGGAACGGCAACTGGGAGTTTTTGTTCCAGAAAAAATCCTTCGGGTCCACGTCGTAGCTCTTGGTCTGCGCGGTGCCGTTATCGTCATATTTCACCACTTTGATGGTGTTTCTTCTCAATTCAAACACATCACTCACCATGCACTGATAAATCCACGAATGGGAAAACATCGACGCCAAATCCACGTTCCTATCCAAAATAATCAACACCGGCCGCTGCTGGAGCGACAGCGACGCCGTGCTTCGACTATTGGCACTGTAATCTCTCAATTTCATATCCAACTGGGTCGCCACAAGCTCAGCAGGCCCGTTCTTCGGACACCTGATAATCGGCACGCAGTTCATCGTCACAAGCGACGCAAGCAACCCATCGGCAATCCCATCAGCGAGTCTATGAATAGTATCCTCAGACGTAGCAGGCGAATTGAACCTGGTAAACGTCTTCAGCATATCAAGCAGAAACAAGTTCGGCTCCGTCACTATAAAGTCAAGGTACTGGTCATAAACCTGCTTGATCTTCCCGCCCTTCCCGCAGAGCGACACCTTCTTGGCAAAGTCCTCCAAGAGCTCTCTATTGATAGTACTAGTAAAGTTCACATAAAACGAGTCGTACACGTCGTTCTGCAAGTCCTGGATGATCTGGCTCACGTTTTCCACCGACGGCTCCACAAAGTAGATGGCCGGGACGTCTGGCAACGGCGATCTGGACCCGGAAACAAGAGCATGGACGGTGATTCCACACCTCAAAAGGTCATTCACACGCAAAACAGACGAAATCACCGCCTGGGACTTTTTGTCCATCACAAGCACCTTCCAGACGATTTCTTCGCTTTTGGACGCCAACGTGAGGTCGGCAGAGCCGTCTTTGTTGAGGTGGAGCATTCGTTCGAGAGCAGCTGGGGAGAAGTTAGTACTTTGGTGGCTGGAAAAATGCGGAAAAAAGGGTCCGGAGAGTTTCGGGCCCGCTCAATTCACATACATATCTGTCGTTCTCGCAAACTGACTGGTTCGGACGACATGGCAATGGCTGGGGAGTTGGGGGTTTGGGTGAGTTGGGTGAGCTGGTTGAAGGTGGTTGAAGGTGCGGTGGGAACAGAGTGTTGATGGTGCACGGGTGTACCAAAGACCTGTACCGCAGGTACGGGTCTTTGAAAAAACGAAGCAGCCAAAATAAGGGCGTCAATCCCTGGAAACGAAATTCAAAGACCACCGTAAGAATCCTGGATTGCATGGCAATTCACTGGTACCTTTAAATCTTAATTTCCATCACTTTGGTGTGGAAAAGCGGAGGGGTCTAAACTGCTGAGGTTGTCTGGTGCACGGGTCTTGTAAAACCACACGTTTGACATCAAAACGACAAATTGACCGTGAAGAATTAAATTTGAAGACCACCAATGGACTCCTCAAACTTCCTGGATCCCGCCCATACCCCTAAATCCTTTCCCTGGCGGCTCTGGAGCTAAATAGTGGGGGACCTTCCCTGGTGTACGGGTCTTTCCAACACCACCACCAACGTCAAACTGCCAGTCCATAACCTCTTTTTGGCGTAAAAACAACCTTTCCAGCATCTCTATCGCCCCAACTTACCCCCATAAACGTCCCATTCCCCCAGCTTCTCTCCATCCGCCAACCCACCTAAACTACCCCCACATTCCCATGATTGACGCCATGCCTGGAACCGAAAACACCGTCTCGTGCCCCAAAAACACATCCAGCGTCCTCCCCGGCATCACTTACCCCTGTAGTGTCGTTTTCGGCTCGAAAAAACATGCATTTTCCGTGCATTTCTCGATATGCCAGGTCAGGTTCGGCCTTTCGTCCAAATACAGCGATAAAGGCGGTAAAACCAATACAGAAGACATCCATTCCGTTTCTTTTTCGTAGCTAAAAAGCCTCCAGCACGGGCCAGGGTGGTTTTCTTAGGTTTCTGGAAGTCCAGGGAGGCTAGGCGTGGTGAATTGCATGCGTTTAGGAGGTTGAGCGTCAGAGGCCAAACTGAGCTCAAACCGAAGGTTTGGACGATGTTTAAACGACACTGGGATGAAGCTTAGATGGTCAAGAAAATTCAGGCCAAGTTTGGAAGCGTTTCGATGGCTGGGTGTGGAGAAACATGAGTACTTGGGACGTTACTACTATATACACTGAGAAGCCACCTAAACCTTCAGAAAACGACCAAAAACTGACGAAAATTTACAAAAAAAAGACCCTCCATATTCTAAAACTCTTTGTCTTCACATTCCGCTACTTTTTATTCTCTCTTTCTTCCTTTTTGCTTGTTTCCCTTCGGAAAACAACCTCCTCAAACAAGTGCAGCAAACAGACCGCCTGAACCCCAGAAATAACAACAAGAACAACAAAAACAGCCCCTACAATTGAGACACACCGCTTTAGCAGCCCCCACATGAACCCACCGCCCTTTTACCCGCCGTCCTTCGCCTCTCCCTAACCATGTACAATGGGCTAAAAGGCATATTATGGCTTTATCCCAGAACCCTTGGGTTCGGAGTACCGACGTGAAGCCCGGAAGCCAGCGAGTGGACACGCAGTGGCCACGAGCTGGCCAGGCCAATTCCAGGCATGTTTTGGTGAAATTTGGACGTTCTAGGGCCACTTTTCGGTATGGTTTCCCCCAAAACGTGAAAAACCAGCCTTTACCGGCCCACCGGTTCTTCCAACGACATGGCAAAACAAAAGAAGCAATTTTGCTTCAAGGCGGGCTGCCTGGGGAATCCTTGCCACGGCCCCACGGCCCTGTTGACGCCGGTTTGGAGCCGAAACGTAGGCTTTTCTGGAGAAAAAGCGGTTTCTGGGCGGTTTCTGGGTCTTCCGGGAGTTCTAGAGTTGCTGGAACGGCAACAAACGTAGAAGTGTGGAGAGAAGTCGATTTAGAGAGACTTTTAGAGACTTTGGGGAAGTCTGGGCGGTTTGCCGGTTTTGTGTTTCGGTGCTTCTGACATCTACATATTTTAGATTGGCCTGGGTGGATTTTGCACAAAGGGAAGACGAAGGAGGCGCCGAAGGAGGAGATATTACGGGGGTTTCTTCTGTTTTTGGAGAAGTTCTGGGGAGGTTTGGCGGTGGTTTTGTTGGTTGAGGTCTGGAAAGTCAAAAATCGACGTTTTTTGAAAAAAAGAAGCTTCCCAAGTCGACAATTTTCGGTGTTCTTGAAACCCTGGGGGTGTCTGAATCGACGTGTGGCGTTTGAATTTATCCTTTTTGTCGTTTGTGCTTGGGGAAACCGACCAAGCGTTGCCGACGACACCGGTTCCGAAGAAAGCGGTGGAGGAGGGCGAACCAGTAATGCTAGAAGAAAAAGAAGAGCACCACCGTGATCCTGGAATTTTTCTGATTCTATTAATACAACTTTTATTCACTTTCGGTATGTTTTGATCCCGTTGGCTGGCACTTTCCCTCTTTCCTTATATGTATTCAGTAGGCGCTGTAGAACCGGCAGTAGTGGACGAAAAACGCCCGGTTTTTTACTAGCCAGGGTAATTAGGACAGCTAGAGTCGTCTGGAAGGCATTCCAGGTGTTTCCTGTCCCTCCTTGGCCAGTTACCTGTCCCTTTCTGCCTTCCCTTGTCCAAAGGCACTTTGTCTTCTACGCCCTGTGCATTTCCCCAACGTTCGATTCCTCCAGCGGCATTTCAGTTAAAACAAGCAGGATGCTCCTCTCCAAAGCTTGTTTGGCAATCTGGGCAGTTTTGGTGGTGATTTGGTGGTGGAAAGTGGATTTGTTAGAGGAAGAGAAGGAGCCTTGAGATTTGGGAAAAAGGAGGAGATTTCTGGGGAATTGGAGGTTTCAGGAGATGGAGATGACAGAAGTGAAGGGTCCTGGTTGATTTGGGAGGATTTGGAGGAGTTTTGGTGGAGATCGGTGGACGGTTTTGGGGGAATATGGAGAAGAGCGAAAGGGAAGGAAGAAGAGGAGGAAAAGGCACTGGAAGTGAACGAAAGTGGTCACAAAGTGTTAAAGAGGAGTTGGAGAGTTGATTGGTATGTTTTTTGTTTCTTTTGGACGACTATTGGTGGAGTTGTGGGGAGGTTTTTCGAGTTTGGTGGAGGGAAAGTGGTGAAGAAGGTTTAGGAGATCAAGGAGCAAAGGGAAGTGAAAATAAAGGTGGATTGGGGGTTGAAGGAGGGTCCTGGAATGTGGTTTATGGTTTAGGGAACTTTTTGGGTCGTTTTGGGTTGTTTAGTTTGTCCATTGGTGACTTCCACTGCTCACTATGGAGAGTTCGAAGAAAGGTCACCCAAAATGGTCGAAAAGGCTCAGAACGGCTGGAAAAGAAGTAAAATGATTTATTTGGGTTTCCTGGAAGCTCCAAAATTTTCAATTGGCTTTTTTTTGGTTAAAATATGGCCAGATATTCAGGTACTTCCAGGTTCTGGGAATACTGGAGGAAGTCGTCCACCAATTGACGAAAACAAGGCCGTTTCGACCCAAAAGTGGTTTAAATGAATGACGGCTTCTTTGTTTTTTAAATAAGTACCTTCTGTTTCCTCAAATTCCCGGTGGTTTTTGAGTTCTCTTGGAATGTTCAGACGTTCTCTGACTGGAAACCCCAGAACCACAAATGACCAAACATTCTGGTGTTGGTTGGAAATCAAAGAGTTTAAAACATTGCCGACGTTCATTTGGCTTAAAGAAGGAAGAAGAACCATCAGTTTGTTCTTTTCTGGTAGTTTTGAACCACAACCAATGACTTAGCTAGGAACTGAAGAAAGTAAGAAACCAGAAACTAAGAACTGAAAAATTGATTAATTACGAACTGAAGAACTTGAGTACTTTAGAACCGAAGAACGTAAGAACTCAAGTACTTAAAAGACCAATTAACGAAGAAATGAAGAACTTAAGTACCCAACTAACTAACTAGCTAAGAAACTAATTAAGTAAGAACTATAGAACTGGAGAACTGGAATACTTATAGTAAGAACTGAAGAACTGAAGGTTTGTAGAACTGAAGAAAGTAAGAACTGAAGGGACTAAGAAGTGAAGTGTTGAAGAAGTAATGAAGTGAACTTAAGAACCTAAGAGTTTAAGAAACCTTGAACGGAAGAAAGTAGTTACTTAAGAAAGTGAGAAAGTAAAACCTAGGAACTGAAGAACTTGAACTTAAGTACCCAAATCACTAAGAACTGAAGAGACTAAGAACTGAAGAGACTAAGAAACTAGAAAACTCAACAAACTCAGAAAACTTATCCAAAAACCAGGAACCTCAAAAGATTCTCTTATTCACCAATTGACCTTCCAAGTACTCATGATTCCTCCATCCCAGCACCGTCTGGAAGCACAGAAGAAAGTCACCATCGATTCTTCTTGAGGCCTGTCAATGAACGTAGAACGACGATTTATCATAATAACCATCCATTGTTCTTTTGGCTGCTTCTTCCTCCAAAACGAACCAGAATCTCCAGAACCTCCAGAAGTCCTCACATTTGATAGTTTTCCTGAATAACCGAGGCAGTCGGCGTCAGCAAGATCTGGATGACAAAGGAGAAGATCTATAAGGGTAAACTGAGGAACCTGGGAAAAATTGAACATTAGACGCCAAATAACCAGGAACCGAGGAATTGGGGGAACTAAGAAGTGAAGAAGTGAGGAACCTAGGAGTTTATGAACTTAAGAAGGTAGGAATTGAAGAAGCCAAGAAGTGAAGAAAGTAGTAACTGAAGAAAGTAAGAAAGTAAGAACCAACTTAACTTAGAACTGAAGAACTTAAGTAACCAATTAAATACTTAACTAATGAAGTAGTTTACTAAGCAACTAAGAACTGAAGAAGGTAAGAAGGTAAGAAACCAAGAACTTACGGTACTTGGGAACTGAAGAACAAATAAGAGTCCACTCAGCGTAGTTAAGTATGACTTGAATGGCCCAGCCGAAGAGAACCGAACATAACCGAAAAGAACCTAAAAAAGCAGCAAAAGCCTGTTTGAAGTGAACAGCTCAAATAGCTTCTAGGTAAACTTCTTAGACCTTTTTGGATCCAGACGTGCCAAAAAGAAGCATTGGCAGCTAGAACTAGCAAGAAAAGACCCAGATCCCTTGTTGGATCGTCTGAATAGGGTTGGTGAAGAAGAGAGGTGACCAGGAAATGCTTATAATTGGGATAAAAGTGACTCTTTGGGTCTCTTTTCATGGTAAGAAAGAACTGAGGAACCTGATTAACCAGGAGCTGAGGAATCGAAGGAACTACGAACTTGAGAAGGTAAGAGCTGAAGAGACCAAGGACTGAAGGAAGTAGTAACTTAAGAAGATAAGAGCTGAAGAGCCTACTTAACTAAGAAACTAAGAACTTGAGAACTTAAGTACCCAATTGACTAATTAACTAAGAAACTAGGACCTTGAGGAAGTAAGAACCTAAGTACCCAATTAACTAAGAGCTTAAGAACTCAAGAGACTAAGAACTTAAGAAGGTAGGAAAGCAAGAGCTTAAGGTACTTAAGAACTGAAGAGACTAAGAAAGTAAGAGCTTAAGAGAGTAAGAGCCGAAGAACTCAAGAACCTAATTCACTAAGAAACTGTTTAACTAATTAACTAAGAACTTCAGGTACTTGGGAACTGAAGAACCTGGGAATTCAGTGTGTACTCAGCCTAAGAAACCATGAACTGAGCAACCCAAAACAACCCAAAAGAAGCTAAAATATAGCCCAGAAAGCCAGAAACTAGGAACCTGAAAGCTCCATCTTCTCCAGTTACCATTCAAATCTCTTTACCTTCTTAAGCTCATCCAGGCAGCGAACTCTTTGGCCTTTTAAGATGTGGATAACCAAAACAAGAGAATCCAGAGTCTTCTTTAATGCAAAGAGCTCCAGAAAGTTCAGAAAACAATGAAAATTCACTTTTATTGGAAAGTGCCTCTTTAGGACAAAACCTGAAACCACCCATTTCTCCATCCAGACACCAAAAAGACACTTGAAACCACTAAAAACCACTAAAAACCTCCTTTCTTCATCTTCTACACCCCAAATTTACTCTATAACGTATGTTTATATTAACTTTAAAAAACTCTATTACAAATACAAGTTGGTGCTTTCAAAGAAAGCATCAGGAAGGAATTCCTGGGGGGAATTTCAGGAATTAAGGGGGATGTTTTGAAACGGCGACGACGGCGGCGTCTTTTTCAGGTTGTTCTTGGGGAATTTTGTTGACGTTGGTTGGAAAACATCAAAAAACCGACAAAAAAACGACAAAAAACGTCCAAAAACGTCCAAAAAACGACCAAAAGAAGCAGGAAAGAATGTCAATTCCGTGCTTAAACGATTCCAAACACGTTCTTTCGCTTTTTGAGTGGTTTCTGATCTTCATTGGTGCTTGGAGTGCCTCATTGGCGATGTGAGGGCTTCAGAGGGAGGTCAACCAAATACCCAAAAACAACGAAAACAACACCAAAACAACTGGATTTGGATTTTCCTGGTGCTGAAGAAGATGGTGGCCAATTTTGGTGGCGTTTGGAGCTGCCAGTATCGAAAAACCTTGACCTTCTGTTTGAGTACCAGAAAAAGCAGTAACAGTCAGCCAACAACACCAAACGTCAACCAAACGATTCAAAAACTTGCATGGGGTAAACTGGCGTCCAGAAGAAGGCTATGCCACTTTTATTGAGTCCTCATCTCCTTCTGGTTCCATTTTGGCTGACCCTTTTGCTCATCTCAGCCAATGTCCAATAACCACCGCCAAACGGCATCCAACGGTGCCGTGAATTTTCCACGAATTAATTGGAGGATCTAGACGACGTGGGGAGTTCAATGAAGGTGTTTCTGGGTGCGTAGCAGGTCTGGTTCGTCAGCGGCGTCGCATTATGTTGTTTGGGCAAAGTAGGAAGGGATCCGTACAGCAACGTGGCGAGAGCAAGTCCAAAGAAGATGAAATCAAGCCAGGATGGAGATTGACGGCGTCTTTTCATGACCTGCTGTTTGGTTCTTGTTTGTCAGCGCTGGTTCAGCGTGTACAGCTTCTCACTGGTTTACACCGAGTACACAAGCAAACAACCACCAACGCTTTGAAAACCAAAGCAAACAAGGTGAAAATGGGATGGCATGAAATTCAGAGTCCTCTTTCCATGATTCAGTACTTGTTTGGTGCTAAACAAGCCTGGTTCCACTTTTACAGCTTCTCACTGGATAATACCAAGAACCATCATACTCAGCCACCAAACTTTGAATAGCAAAGCAAACAAGGTGAAACTAACACAGGATGAAATTTGACGTCCTCTCTCCAGGATCCAGTCATCGCTTAGTGCTAAACATGTCTGGTTCCACTTCTACAGCTTCTCACCGTCTCACTCCACTGCATCACCAAGACTCACGTCTTGGCGACTACGTGTTCGTTCCACGGCTCAAAGTCTGCCTAAAGCAAGCATACCTCCGTCTTGACCAGCGGTCCAAAGCAAGCTTTGTCCCGCTGCTCAAGCACTTCGGTATTCAACAATCCCCCTCAACACCTTAATCTTCCCATACACATCATGGTCCATCGTATTCTCCTGGCTCTTCACCTCCTTGCTCTTATTCTTATGCTCCGTGCCCGGTTTCGGCCAAACACAGTTCAATCGAAGCCTCAGACACTCGGAACACTTGGGTCTGGTCTCACAACACCTCTTCTTCCTTTGACGACAAGTAAGACATCCCATTCGGGATCTTTTGGTGACACTACCTCCAGAAGCCGATCTAGGCTTTGCCTGGTCGCTCGACGAACTCCTTCCACTTGTTTCTGGACTGCTCTGGTCTACAGAGCTTCTGGATTGGCGAGATGTCTTGTCCAGAGACCGAGAAGCGATAGACCCATTTCTAGCCTCAGCGCTGCTGATGGCCGGGTCCCACTGGTCGCCGTGGAAGTCCTGGGGGCCTGCTGGAGCGGATGCTTGGAATCCTGGCGGCAATATGGGCGGTTGTTGTAAGGGATATTGCATGTATTGGTAAGGAGAGGAGGAAAGGCCAGATTCTGGGTTGGGGGCTGCTGGGGGTGATCTGGGCCGGCAGAAGGCTGGGAAAGGGGGTTGGGGGAGTAGAGGGGCTGCCTGGGCCCGTTTTGGGCGGCGTTGGGGTTTGCTGGAGGCGGGTTTTCTGGATCATTGCTGAACGATGGTCTGGAGTACTTTCCTGGGATCCCGTAGGTGTAGAGGGGGTCCTGGGGGCCTGGTTTTGCCCTGTGGGGTTGGCCACGTTGGGGGCGTTGGCTTTGGGGTACGAGGGCCACGACGGTTGCCACTGGCTCACTGGTGGGGTTAGTATACGGGTTTGGGTTGGGTTTTTGGAGAAATGTGGATGTCGAGGGTGAAGGGGTGGACGGACAGGGGTGAAAGTGGTACCAATGGAATGCTGGGATGGAGGGGAATCGAATGGTGGTGGTTTCGTTTGGTTTGGATGGCTGGTTGTGGAGATACTTTGGGGTTTGGTTGTTTCGTGGGGGAGATGGTGATGTTTGGGATTGTGGGGGATCCCGTGGGGGTACGAGCGTGGGGGAGGCACCAAACGACGTGGAATTGGATGGAGAACGTAGTGGGATTGGAATTGGGAGGGTATTTGGGGGATTTTGGTGGTTTGTTGGAGGTGTAGTGGAGTTCCTTGGAGAGGTGATCTTGGGGCTCACGAGATCGCCAGAAAACCGGGAAAACGACAGGATAACAACATATCAGCATCGTGATGGTCTTACGACCATCTCTCTGCTGATTACACGTCTTTTCTGTGCTTTTCTCCGACTTCTGGTTCTCGAAATCACTCTTCCAAGACGACCTCGGTCAGACCGGGACGATTCTCGGGAAAACCACGTCTCCAACGTAAACACCAACGTTCAAGGACCATTCTAGAAGGATTCGAAACCACTTTGGATCACTTTCACTCGGTTTATATGGACTTTTCATGGATAACTGGAATATTCAGGTAAAAGGCCAATAAGTAGGTCCCCAGAAACCCAAAAAGGCTCGAAAAAAAACGTCAATACACCTTCTTCCAAGCCCAATTAGCCTTCCAGTAACCTCCAATTGGCTTCTTCCTCGACATTCATCTTCTTCATGTAAATCTCCATAGATAAGCGCCAGAAACGGCTGGTTTTCGAGCCCCAGGTCAATTCACACTCGCTGTGTCGATCCTGGAGATCCCCAGCCGTCCAAAACGCTTCCTAGGAAGACAGTTCTTTGGTACATACTTTTAATGTTCAACGACACCCGGTAGCATCAACTTTCTGGATGGGAGCCTTCCTAATGGATATTTGAGGCCTGGAAAAAACGGGGAAGTAGGTTTTTCTTTGTTTATATGGACTGAAAAACCTCTCGGGGCGTGCGCCGGGACGGGAAACGGTTTTTTTTTTGGGGGGGAGGATTGGAAAATGTGGGTAGAGGTTATGAGTTTGAGTTAGATTTCCACTCTAAAAATCGGTTATTTTAAATTCCGAAAACCCCTTTAGATTCCTGGAAATTGTTGCTATAGATATACTTTGGTTTTTTTGCCTCGAGGAGGCTGTTAGATGAAGGGTGCACGACTGTAGGTAAGAAAGACTATGTAACGGACATAGCTGGGTTTATAGTAAAGAGTGGTTCGTAGTGTATTGAGATAACTAGTTAAGGAAAGAAGGATGGGAGATGCCATCCTTATATAGTGAAGACATTGGATGGCAAGCAAGTAAGAGGGTCATCATCATAGCAACTATAGGAATCTGGGCAACAGGATATCATCATGCCTGCATATAGAGCATGTATTCCAACACCCGTTCTTAGCCTGTGGCCTAAGATTCATTTGAGTTCGGGTAGATATGGCCTGTATCAGTGGAGCGTCCTTATCAAAAGTAGTCTGTAAATGTTCGTATAGTTGTTGTTAAGGATTTGGGACATTCGAAGGACCACTTAAATGATTGTCCATGACACTGAATTTTGAGCCCAAAGCTTCGTGAAGGGCGTAACTGTCTGATGATGAATGACAGTTCTGATTCCTTTGATTCTTCGACGATTATTTAAGTCACATATTGATCGTTCGTTCGAAAATTGACTTCTTTCCTCTTGGAACCGTCTGTCCTCTTGGGACCGGTTGTCCTCTTACTTTCGCTTTTCCACTGGGATAGAGTTTGTTACTCTATATCCCACAGGCACATCAACGAGAACCTAGACATGTTTGTGAGTGTTGCAACCGTATGGTCGGGACGCTCATGGTGCTCAAGACATTACATCTGGGTAGAGACACCTCATGACAAACTGGTTGTTATCTCTCGTTGTAGTACCACAGCAGAGTATTTATTTTATCTTCTCTGCTTTGTCCAAGGTTGTCGCGGATTTATTGTAGCTCGGCGGTAGGGTGAATTCCCTTTATCTTTGTTGCGCAAGAGATGTAGCTAGGTTAACAAGTATCTGGCTTCTTCAGATAGTTCTTTGATGAAATCTTCCGTAGGACCCGTCCTTCTATATTTGCAATTGTCCCAGGTAACCTGCTGTTTTCTTCCTGACTTCTTGTCTCGCAACTTGCTCATGTTCCGTCATAGCCGCCTTTAACAAATAATCTCTGAGTACATTTCTATGTTGTGTCTTCAACGCGACTGGCCTTGTTCACTAGTAATCCACTCTTTAAGACAGGTCTCCTTCTTATGGGAGTAAAGCCTATTTGATCAGCCCAAGGTTGCATGCGTAGTCCATTTAGTGTGTCATTAGGGGAAGTCTCTGTTCAAGGTTTCGTGGTTTAGTTCCTTTGGGATTAGTGAAATCAGGTCCAGCTAACTTTATCAGTTCAAAGTTCGACATCGTTTTGTTTAAGCATCCATGTTAGTTGTTAAGGACCAACGTTTAATTTAGCTGTTTCGAACTGTATTGCTGGCTGTTGAGTTCCTTGGTTGAGAACCTGATTGACTGTTGTGCCTGCTCTCACTATCCCCTTTTTCTTTCTATGGCGAGTGTGCTTGTCCTGCTATCCGTTAGGTTTCATGCTCGAAGTATAACTGGGGGAACTTTGGTGACTCCCTAACTCTCCAGTTCAACCTATTAGATATTGCGGATGTGTTTGAAGTCTTTTGGTGAACTTAAACCCGTTCTTAACATGCTTTCCTTTCCTATGATCATCACTTCAAGTGTGCAATCCTTCTTTGGTTCTGATTAGTAGTGATATTCTTGTTATGTTGTTTTGGTTCCTCTTATTAGGGTTGACTTAAATAGCTGCATGGAAATCAATGGTAAATTGGCGACCTTCGGGGAGGTATCTCCCTCATATAGATCTGAAAGTGAGAACAACACATGAATTCCCCCTTTCGCCAATTTGGCACCATGCGCTTTGAATAGTAGTCTTCTTGTCTAAAACCGTTCTGAACTCACCGACGATGCATACGCTGTCCTGCTAGCCGGGACAGTACTCGGAGCTGTGTTGACTTCGTCTCTCGAGCCTGCCCTCTAGGCTTGTACTCTCCTAAACCGGCCAAGATTCATGGAGGTCCCCACTCTCACTACTTCAATGTCTTTTTGCATTGTGACTTCCCTGGTATCCATTCCACCCTGTCAGAGGAAGATTTAATACCAGCCGCCAGAGAAACATCCTCCTTAACTTTCCGGGGTAAGGAGGTCAAAAAAATTCTGGACGAAGTCAGTGGGATGGCTTGCTTAGGACTCTAAGAACGTCTTCCTAGAATTGTGCGTAGGCGTTGGTGATTCTGTCAACTGGAACTGGACTGTAAAGAGTCAAAATGTTGACTCCACTTGACGCAGTTTCTGCGTTCGCTGTTTCGCTGTTAGTAGCATTCTAACACATCTCCAAGATGTGGTTAGTGGTGGAACCTGGTATAATGTGCTTTGCTTAGCTTCATATACTTATTACTGACGGGCTTTAAGTGTCAATAATAATCCACCTATTATCTAAAGGGACGATCGACGGAGAGACCTGTTCTCCTTTGGTCATATTTTGCTTTCAAATCTTTCGCAAGTCAATTATTAAGATAACGAATAAATGGCTTACCTTTTAACGATAGTGGGTCTCTATTGTAGACTCTCTTCTATCGAGCGAGAATGATTGAGGAGTACCTGACCTGGTAGCCATATAGTCCAGCGGCGCTTATTAGAGTACGCTCTTTCTGGATAGGAAACACGAGCTTAAGCGGATTTTCTTTCTTCGCTTTTCTTATGATGTTGGCGAGTTAGAGCGAGGGTTGGTTTGTCAATAATGAGACATAATGGAGCGCCAATTATGGTCTGAGGTACCAAAG